CAACCCCAACCCCAACCCCAACCCCAACCCCAACCCCAACCCCAACCCCAACCCCAACCCCAACCCCAACCCCAACCCCAACCCCAACCCCAACCCCAACCCCAACCCCAACCCCAACCCCAACCCCAACCCCAACCCCAACCCCAACCCCAACCCCAACCCCAACCCCAACCCCAACCCCAACCCCAACCCCAACCCCAACCCCAACCCCAACCCCAACCCCAACCCCAACCCCAACCCCAACCCCAACCCCAACCCCAACCCCAACCCCAACCCCAACCCCAACCCCAACCCCAACCCCAACCCCAACCCCAACCCCAACCCCAACCCCAACCCCAACCCCAACCCCAACCCCAACCCCAACCCCAACCCCAACCCCAACCCCAACCCCAACCCCAACCCCAACCCCAACCCCAACCCCAACCCCAACCCCAACCCCAACCCCAACCCCAACCCCATATTAAGTTTTTATTATAAATTATTTAGTTTTTAAATAATAGATAAAGAAAAATTTAAATAATTTAAAAAATAAATTTCTATCAGAAAAAATATTAATATACTAATTAGAATAATTATTAAAAATAATATTTTGCTAATGGATAGAGTAGATAAAGATTGTGTGATTGGATCTGCAGAAACATGTGGGCAAAAACAAACAAAAAAGCTAATGTGCTTGCTTCACAAAAGCGAGGAAATTAGCTTTCTTAACTTAGTTGCGGGAGTAGAAGCTTCAAATAGGTTTTAATGCATTGAATGCTAATATGAATAAAATAGCAAAAACTAAAAAATCAATTTTTTACCCATTAAAAAAATTGAAACAGCCTAAATAGATGATGTGTTCATCTCTAGATTATATAATTGGCCAATAATATCTGATGAGAGCTAAAATAAATTTTAGTTTTTAGAATAATTATGTGCTTAAGCTACAAATAGTCTGGAAGAAGTAGTCAGAGTTGTAGATAATATGATTAAAGAATATACTCAAGTTTTAGAGGAGTATAAGAAAAGCTCTATTATTTTTTATAACGATTTTATTCAACAAGCATAAAAAGTAATTATCGAGTTAAGTGATATTGATTCTCTGTAAAAAATAAAAGATATTATTTTTGATGGTTCTAATGAAAATTTAATGGAAATTAGCGTAAAAATAGATGAAATAATTTAAAATAGATATAAAAATTAAGATAATTTCTCTTAGTAAATATTTGATGCTCATAATATGTATTCTTCTTAATTCAAAAAGCATGACGACTTTGGAATAAATTTAAGTTTTAGACATGAAAAATTGATCTAATTCGTACAGCAATTTACAAAATCTAAGAAGGTTTTTTAAAAGCCAGAAATACATTTAACTAAAAGCACTGGAAGAGATTCTCATAAGCTAGATATAAAAACGTAGTAAAATGAAATAGTTATTCAAAAACTGACTGATTATTATGCCTGGTGCTATTCCAGCTCTACATTAGACAATCATGAAACTTATGAAATGGAGTTTTTTTTTGATAATGAACCCCAAAACTATATTATGGTAGGTCTCATTCCTGATGACCATAAAGATACTTAGCCACCTGGTTCTGGATAAAGCCATTTCTGTAAAATTTTTGGTGACAATAACTCTTTTTACTGTGGAAATTTGGTTAAAGGAGATCTTATAGAAAAAACAGTTAAAGAAGAAGAAATTATAAAAATGAGAGTTTGTATAGAAAAGAATGAACTAATTTTTTATGACGAGTATGGAAACATTAATTCACTTCATTAGCAATACAATTTAGAAGAATTTTCAAAATATAGGATATGCATCTAATTTGGTTAAAGAAGTAAAAATACAATCAGAATTTTTAAGTTTGCTACAGTTTTTGAAGAAAATATAAATCTTAATTGAAATAAATTTTATGTAGAAGCATAATTTGATTAGCATTCTCTATTTAATTAGTATTTTTCTTATTTTTTTAAGAGCTGAAAATTAAATCAATTTATTTTTTTAAATTTTATTCATTTTTAAAAGATTTTTTATTATAAAAAAATTAATTATTCTGATATTTTTGTTTTATTTATTAAATATTAAAATCAGTTTTATATTTTTTTATTATTGCAAAAAATAATGAAAGTTACTTAATAAATTAGTTTATTTGATCCTAAAAAATTATTAAAACTGTTTCTTACCTTTAAGCTATAATATAAATTAAATGTTGAAATAGATATTTTTATTTTTAAAAATTATTAAAAATACAGTTTTGTTTTTAATTTTGTCTACTTTTAGAAGAACGACTTTATTATTAAGAAATTCAAGTGGATATTTTTTGTAAATCTACTTATTCAATAATTAAAGAATATATAAGATATCCTGAAATTTATAAATTATTGTAACTTTCTTAAAATTCAATAATTATTTCTTTGTGCTTTTTAAAAATCTTTAAATTATTTTATATATTAAAATATTTAAAAAGTCATAATTATCATTTTCCAATTCAGTAATTATTTTATTTTTAAATTAAGTAAAAAATTTAACTTTTTATTATTAATGTAAATTAAATGGGTGGCTGGGTATCTATCTTGTTTAAAGTATTTATTCAAAACAAAATAAATAATTATATAAGATAGGACCTATAAGTTTAATAATTTGTTAGTAAGTATAACTTAAAAAATAATTAAGATTTTTTCCTTCTATAACTCTGATAAAGTATTGAGATATCTTTAAATCAACTCTTTTTTTATTTGATCAGATTAATTATTTTTATGATATTAAAAACGATATTTTTAAAAGTAGAAATAGAAAAAGTAGTACTTAAGTAAATAATAAGAGATGTCTTATAACTCCTCTTAAAAATACATTTCTATTCATATTTAATGGACTAGAGCTTTGTTTTCATCAGTTAAAATAGATAAGTCCCTTAAGTAAAAGAATATTAGCTGCATTTCAATGATCAGAGATTAAAAAGATTTCACAGAAACATAATTAAGTAAAAAAGTTTAATAATAAATAATAGATTTAGTATCAAAAGGGGCTTCTTCTAAAAATGTAAGCAAATTTATTCAGAAAAACTATGAGCTATAATAAGATTTAAAGATGCTTTAGCCAAAGAAATTAAAAATCTTAGGAGGTGGGTGTGTTTCCTCTTCTAATGTAAGAAAAGTCAACTCTAATACAATAGTAAAAAAAGAAATGTCTTAAGCTAAATAAAGAAGAAAAAGAAATGAGTAATCGATAGTAAAAGCTGATATTTTAAAATTAAACGAAGAAATGGAAGCTATTATAAACACCAAGGAAGATGATATCTACAACGGAAAAACTTACGTCTTAGATACTATACTTCCCATTTTAAATAAGTAAAGTGTTGTATCAAATAGACCTCTTCATTAAAAGCTATCTAAAATTCTCTAGAAAGCAATAAATTTGGTAATTAGAGTTAATTCATAGGGAGCTTCTAATGATAAAGATGGAAAAAATAATAAATAAGATTTAGATAAAAATAAAGAGAATAATATTGAAGAGAAAGATGATGTAGAAGAAGATGTTGACGATAAAGAACTTGATGAGGATCTAGTTTGGACTGAAAAAGATAAAGCAGATATGGATGCGACATTTACAAATATTATTGATAGAATCAACGCTAGAATAAGTAAGGAGCCTTTGTTGAACCAACTTTATTGTGTTACAATGGTAAGAAATATTTTAAGGACCAAGAAACATGCCTTAAAACTAATGGATGAAGCTATTAGATATGGAGTACCCCTTTTTGGATTAGTTAGAAACTAAGATCCAACACTTTTGTTGATGCTGGCTGTTAAAGGACTTTAATTGATGGATTTACAGTAAACAAAACATATGGTGCAAAAAATGATGAATTTTTAACTTCAAGCATTGCAGTGTGCTAAAAATTTACCAGAAGACTTAAAAAAGTAAAGTAAAAATGTTTAAATGCTATTTGCTTACTTTAATGCGCTTGATGAAATTATTAGCAAGAAAAATAAAGAATCTTGGGAAGTTTAATACTTTTGCTTAATGCAAATAAATGATTTAATTAAAATAATGATTGATCTAAATGAAGTGATATAGATTAGTAACAGTAGTCCTCATTGGAATAGCTTTTTAAAAGATGAAGAAAAGGGTATGTTTACTATTTGTCAAAAAAGGATGTCTATGAGTGGAATCTTCATAGTAAACGCACTAGATACTTTCCTGTTAAATCACAAATTTTTAAGAAGTATTTCTTTAGATATAATAATTAATTTGCTTAAGCTTATTAAGATTGCTGAATCTAAGCATTAGCAGAGTGATAAAAATCAAAACTAAAAAGTTAAAGAAGAAATTGCTTAAGTTTTATATCAAAGATGGCTTTTTGAAACCAACAATCAAATTCGTACATAATTTATAGATGAAGATGTTTTACAGTCTGTTGACGAAGTTGTATAAAAGAAAAATGGAGGGAAACATAGAAAAAGCAATTAAAATTAAGAACATTAACAGCTAGGATAGTAGTAATCATTAAAATAAGAATAATTATCTGTAGGTGCTATTTAAACGGAAGATTAGGAAGAAAGAATTTTAATTGATTTTGCAAATTAAGAGCAGTTGGCTTTACAAGAAATTTAGAAATAAATTCAGCAATAGTAAGGAAAATGCTTAGCTGAATTAGAAAAAGAATTCAACAGCATGAATGAAACATTTGATTGTATGAAGTCTGCTGATGGTATCAAAAAAGTTATTAAACTAAGATAAACTGAAATTTGGAAACAGAGTATTTTAAACAGAAGAGAATAAGGAGAAATATAAAAAGATGATGCTTTGTTAGAAAGCATCAATTTGTATGTAAATTAAAGATTGTAAGAAAAAGTATTTTCTGAATAAGAAGAAAATTAATAAAAGCCTAAAGAAGTTGATGCTCTGAGCTTTATTATGAATTCTTTTATTTAGAAGAAAACTGATCTTAATTATCACACCCCTCTTTTAAGTGTGGTAGCTAACGGTGGTATGGGTAAATCAATGCTCTTCAAAAAAATAGAAATGGAGTTATTAGACGATTTTAGTAAGGATTCTTAGCAAGCAGTTTATGAAAGAGTTCCTATTATTATAAAAATGGCTGATTTAGATTCAGAAAATCCCAATTTAATTTCTTACTTAGACAACTAGCCTATTTTTAAAGAATTAAGGCTAGATGCTTCTGTGTTAAAAACATCTGAATTAAAAAAGCTAATTTTATTTGATGCATTTGATGAATACAAAGGTAAACCTTTTAATCTGTGGACGACTTTCAATTTAACTGAGTGGAAGAATACTAAAGTGATTGTATCCTCAAGAGAAGAAAATTTATCTAAAGATGATTATAAACTTTACTTTTCTGTATCTGAGGGTAATGATTAAGAAAAAAAGAACCAAAATTTCTTAGTTTATAAACTGATCAAATTTGGAAAAGAATAGCTGCTAGAATTTGCGAAAAAATCATTCAATCAAGAATAAAAATAGGATACTGATCAAAAGCGTGTAGATTTACTTGCTTCGTTCACTTAAATAATAGAAGAAAACTCTCAGATATTAAAGTTAATCAGTCTTCCTATAAATGCTTTTATTTTTATTAGAACTCTTCCTTCTCTTTTAAGCTAAAATTCAAATATTTCAATTAGAAATTAGACAGAATTGTAGGAAATATTTTTTAACTATTAATTTGAAAGAGATTCTTTGTTGTAGCCTAGAGCAGGAACTGATTAAGGTTTAAGAGAATTATACAAAATGTAATTCTTTGATCTTTTCTAAAGAATAGCTATTAATATGTTTAAATAATCTATCTTAAGCGTAGACATTTACGATGTTTAGATTGATCTTTTACCACAGATAAAAAAGAAATTGAACTCTCAAGAATAAAAATAGCTTTTACAATTCTTGTAAGATTATCGCAACCCATAAATAATTACTCTGGCTGATGATACAGGAAGAGACTTATATACAGTTAAATTTTTACACAAATCGTTATATGAATATTTTGTAGCTAGAGCTATGAAGTTTGACTTTGACAAGCTAGAATGGAATAATCAAAAGCTGATTGATTTATCATTTGAAGAAATATCTAAATTTGCAATTAATAGCAGATATATTATGGTAAAAGGTAAAAGTGAAATTTGTATTTTGTAATAATTCGCTAGAATGATTAAGCCTATCATATAAAAGAGAGAATTCTTGCAACAATGTGAGAAGGAAGAGTCAATATAGGGCTAACATAATTTTATATAGATTATGCTCTTAACTAGAAAGCAGTTCCATGGAGAAAAGCTAGATATTGCGTCTTCCAATATGCTTAGTGCTATAGCAAACAGCAAAATATCTCTAACAGGATTAAAGTTAACAAGGTGCTCCTTCAAGAAAGCATATTTATATTATTATAGAGGAAATATTGATTTCACTGGATCTAATTTAAAAGAAGCAATGCTCGGTTAGTGCTTAGCTGATTATTCAAGAAGTAAAACTGAATATGCTTAGACTTAAGATTCGATTAGTGATTGGAAAAGCGACTCCATTTACTCTTTTAGTTGCTGTGTTATTCCTTCAAATTAAAAAAATAATGATAAACTAAGCATAATTACAGGCTCATTTAGTGGATTTGTAAATTAATATGTTCTTGAGTTAAATGGAAATTATTCAAAAGATAATAATCAATTTTATGTAATTCCTTCAAAGAAAATGTACGAAATAACAAAATCAAAAAGATTATATAAAGGAGAAATAACTAACATCGAATAATTCGAAAACAAATATTTTGTATCACAGAAAAAAAATATAATTGTTCTTGATGAAAATGGAGAAGAAATTTTTATATTTTAAGCTCACACATAAGATATTAAATTTATAGACATTAACTACTAATTAAAGCACTTGGTGACTTGCGATATAAATAAGTAATTGAGATTTTGGAATATCTCTAAGCAGTTTCAATTAATATCTTCATTTGATGAAGTGCATTAAGAAGTCATGACTTCGATTTGTTATTCTCAGACCTAAAATATTCTAGTGAGTTCATCGAAAGGAAAAAAATGCAAAGTTTGGAAAATGGAAGGAAGTGAATATGTGATGAAGTATGAAATTGATGTGGGACAGCCAGTTGACAAAATGATTTTTACGCCAGATGGAAAATAGATCTTAGTTTCTCAAGGATTCATGAAAGGTTTAGTTACTATTTCTCTTGATGAAAATAAATCAGAAGAGAAGTAAGCTACTAATCTTACCATTCCTTTTGCAAGCAAAATGAAATTTTCACCTGATAATAAATATTTGGCAATTATATGCTCAAATTCAACATCGATATTTGATGTTAACAAAAAATATGAAAAAATTCAAACTCTTTAATTCAATTCTTATGAGTCTTCTCCTATAGATATTGCCTTCAGTAGCAATTCAAAATATATTGTAGCTACAGGTTATGATAGCAGCTGTGCAGTTTGGGATATTTCTTAAGACTTCAAATTAGTTAGTAGTATTACAGGTCATTAATCTAGTATTCTCAACTTAAGTTATTCACCTGATGGTAAATATATATTTAGTACATCAAGATACTATATTTTCGTTTGGCAAGAAATAAAATTACGAGATGGCTCCTTAAATTATGAGGTAATATCTACAATATCATTAGACAATTACTATTATATTGAAGGATTAGCTTTCTTAAATAATTAGAGTCCTAATCACTATAAGTTTTCAATAATTAGCAATGCAAGTTACTTTACACTTTATGAATTTAATTGTTCAGATAATAAAATTTCTTTAATAAAAAACTGTAATATTGAAGATCAGTAGAACAGATAAAAACCTGTAGCATTATAATATTAAAAAAGCGATAAATATTTACTTTCTGCAACTACTTAGGAATTAAATTTATTTGATGTTGCATCTGATTATACTTTAATCAGATAATTTTCACCTAATACAGCAGATTAAAAAATAACTTGTAGCTGCTTTTATTCAGATTTACAAAAAGACTTCCACCTATTAATAATTGGGTACAGTAGTAATACATTTGACTTATGGGATATTTCTGAAAGAAGTTTAATTGAGAAATATAAAACAGTTACAGTGCAAGGTTCGCTTGCTAAAATGATTTGCTCTCCATGCGATACAATTTTAGCAACTGTGACATCTGATAATATAATTTAATTGTGGCACACTCAAAAAGATTTTGCTCTATATACAACAATAAGTGCTGTAAAAGACACAATATATTCAATAGCATTTAGTTAAGATTCTCAATTCCTTAGCTGCATTACTGAAGACAAGAGCATCAAGATTTTCTCTTAATAGAATAACTTTGAAACATTTAAAATGTTGAAACATGATATTGACACAACAATAGGCTGTATTTCATTTCAACCTAATAATTCTTAATAGTTAATGACTTCATTGAATAATGAAATTACTATTTGGAATCTTTAAGAGACTTATGAGATAGATGATAATTTATAAGGCCACACTGAAAGTATATCATCGACATGCTTTTCTTATGATGGTAGTTATTTAGTTACTGCAAGTTCAGATTCTATAATGAAACTTTGGTACAATTTATCAGCTTAAGATAAGAGTCTGATTCCTTTGTTTGAGTTAGTCTCTACTATAAAATTAAATACTCCTAACAATTATACTGTATCAGTAATAGTGTTCATGAAGGATAATAAAAGTTTCTTAACAGGATGTGATGATGGATCAATTAGATTATGGCTCATTGAATAATTATATATAACCCCAGCTTTTACAATCCAAAAAGATTAATAAGTTAAGGCTATTTCAAGCATTTCCATAGATGCAAACACAAATAAATATATAGCAATGGCTTGTTAAAAAGAGTTCATAAGATTTTATACTTAAAATACTAAATAAAAGAGCTTAGAATTTTATAAATAGGTAGATTTTGAACAAGCCATTCATTCTGTTTTGTTTTCTCCAAATAATAAATACCTAGCAGCAGGTACCAATAACGGAAAAGTTTATATATTAGAAAGTGAAGAAAAATCAGATTAAAACGCTACTTTCAATGTTTTATGTTAGTTTAATGATGATGAGTCTACTGAATTTGTAAATAATTTAGCTTTTACCAAAGACAGTAAATACTTAATAGCTGCTTTTTTCAGTAAAATTCTATTGGTATATGACATAGAGAATAGAGTTGTTACTTAAAAAGTTACTTATTCTGATATTTGTAGCCGTTTAGAAATCTCAGGAGATGGAAAAATCTTAGTACTTTCTAGCTATAAAAATGCATTTTATTTATTTACATGTAATTCAGATTCTGAAGATAGAAAAGAAATCTTAAAATATATTAAAAAGAACACTGATCACTCTAATTCTATTTTTTCTATAAGTATTTGTTAGAGTTCTAATTTATTGTGTTCTGGCTCACGTGACTCAACATGTAGGTTATGGGAATTTTCAAATAGCTAAAATGATATTTTAGTTAAAAATATCCAAACTCTTTGAAAAAAATGTTAAATATTAATTTACTATTCTAAAATTTTTAATGTAAAGCAAAAACTATTAAATTAGTTAATTTTTTTGGTTTAATTGAAAAAATAATTTTATTAAAAATTTAGTTATATTTATTAATCAATTTTGTTATTTTAATACTTTTTATTTAGTTAGAATTAAAATATGTTATTTTATTTCATTTTTATTTTAAATATTTAAAAAATTGACAAAATTTTAGATATTCAAAAAAAAAGTTTAAAACTAATAAAAAAAGACTTTACTATAATAAAAAAATGATTAATTTAATTAAAAAATATTTTTTAACAATTATTAAATAATAATCAGTGAAAATAACTTTAATAAAATTTTCTGTTAACAAACAGAGAGTTATAAATTAATAAAAAATAAGAAAATATCACTAATTTCATTCAAATTAATATCCTAAAAAGTTTTATAAATATATTCGAAAACATATTAAATAAAATATTTACAGTCCGTCTCTTGATATACCGTAAAACCTCGTTAATTCGCAACCCACAAATTCAAAAAATTTTCGATTTATCGAGGTTTTCATTCTAAGGCTCTTACCTCTTACCTCTCAACACGGGCGTTTTCCTTAACGGGGTTTTACGGTATATATTTGATTTTAGATCTACAATAAACTTATCAATGGAAGTTTCTTATATATATTTTAATTGAAATACTTTATAATTTTATACTCTATTAAAAGATTAAAAATTCTAATATTCTTTAAAAATTTTCTATTTTTAACTATTCGCATTATCATAATATGAATAATTTTGATGAGCTTAATATCTATTCACTAACTATAATTGAGAATTTAAAATCAAATTCTGTATTTTCAATTAGAAGAGTTTTATATTATTTTTAAAATATGTTACTTACTTTACTAATTTAATAAAAAGATAAAAAAAATTTAAATAATCGTTAAATATATTTAATTTGTTAGACAGACATAATGTTTGAATAATTATCAAAATATTAAAAATTTAAGTAATAAAATTTTAAACATCTACTTACTTTTTTTATATTTAGAATTGAAGAAGTTTATTTATAATTAACTATATATTTATTTTAACAGAATTCAATCAAGCTGTTTGAGTTTTACAAAAATCAGAAACTATTTATTTATATTATTCAAATAAATTGTAATCATTAATTTGTTACTGTATAAATTTATTTGATTTATTGGCTATCATTTACCATTATTGCTTTTCTTTTTAAAAATAGTTCTCTAAAATCCAAATCATTAGTATGGTCATGAACAAATCTTTTTGCTAAAATAATTTCAAGGTTTCTTCAAGTTTATCTTATGTGCATTTAGTAATATCAAGAACAACCTATTAGTTGAATATCCACTTTCCTTCTACTGTTACTTATTTTATGATATTTTATAAATCTAAAGATCCTAATTTATAGTGATTATTGATATTTTAGAAGCTACTTTATGAAAAAGTATTTATTTATAATTTACTTTAATTATCCACAAATTCAACTTTTTGAATTTTAAGCAAATCCTTATTAAAAGAATTAGTATTTTATGAATTAAGATTTTAATTTACATAGGAAGAGAGCTAAAGGGAATTGAAATTATTATTATTTTTTGTATCATTAAATGTTTAATATTACATATTTTATCGATATCTTGATGCACAACATTAATTTGAATTATTTTAGAATATTTTTTTCTTATTAATTTCATCATCAATTAGATCAGTTAAATACTTACTTCTATTCTCTCTAACCCTCAATCTCTCTCTACTTCTACTTCTGCTTCTATCTTCTAACAAATCATTGCTTTTTAAAACTTACGTCTTATCAATAAAATTTTTATTACCTACAAAATAATTATAATTGTAGTGATTTTATATACTTGCTTTATTTAATTTTTAATCATTTTAAGGTAAATATTGGTCTACAAAATACTATATTCTTTTTTCATCAGTAATTTACTCAATTTCACAGAAATATGAAGTGTAGCTAGTTAATATCTGATGCTCAATAGATTCATTAACTAATTATTAGATTTCTTATTCTTAACTTAAAATTTAATTCTTTATTTTTAAAATGTTAGAAAGCTAGCAAAGTTTTTGGTGAATTCCTAATTTAAATACAGTCTTATTCAAACTAGGATCATATTTATGGGCATCTTAAGGCTCTAGGATAATTGTTTTTTCTACTTTTTAATTTATAGTAGTATCAAAGTATTATATCTTTACCAATTTATTTTCATCATTTAGACTATCAAAATCAATACCAGATTTTAAAAAGAGTGTAAAAGTAAATAAATCGTTTTTAAATAAACAGTATAATGAATCTTCTTTTGGGTATTAAGAGTTAAATATCTCTTTATTATAAGATAGTTTTACATCTTCTAAAATAGGGGAAATACTATTTTATAAGATATTAATAATACTTTCTTAGATAAGACTTTAATCTGTAACATGTGCATGGCAACCCTTACCTGATTTAGCTGACTGGATTATAAGGTCTTTATCTACATAGAGTCCAATACCTATAGCATGAACTCTATTACTAATGTTATTAGATTATATTAAATGCATCACATTTTCTTTGTTTTCAATTTATCCATCTGTCAATATATAAATTTACCTTCCATAACCCTTTACATATGGTTGATTAAAAATCTCGCTTAAAGGTTGGTATATATTAGTTCCACCATAATTTGCAGAATAAGTAATTATTTCATTTAAGGCTAATTCTACGTTTTCGTTAGAATACTTTTGTGATTAATCAAAGAGCTTAGAAAATTCAGTACCGAAGCTATAAATATTAAAATAGCTATCTAAAGGTAAACTTTTGATGAATAAAATAAGAGCTTCAATAGCGTTTTAAATACTTTATCCAGACATAGATCCACTTCTATCTAAAAGAAATATAAACTCACATTTAGAGGAATCTGTCTAATCTATTATTTATTGATTAAAAGAGTTAAGATATTCTTGAGAAAATATATTTTAATTTTCTGCAATTGACTAAACAATTGCATCATTAATTTAAGATTTAAATTTAAAATTAAAATCAGGAACAAAAGATATCATAAACGAGTTATTTTAAACATCAATTTGCTTATTGGATTTATCATCTTTATTTATGTGAACCTAACTTTCACAAGCTCCATAGAGAACTTAAGGAACATGCATATTTTCAAACTAATAAATAAGTTTGAACTAAACTATTTATCCTCCTTCTTAACAAATTTGTGTTTAAGATCTATCTAATTACCTTGTATAAAAAGCTGTGTGGTTCTCATCAACCTGCTATACAAGTAAAGAGATTCCAAAATTTTTAAAGAAAGTTATCTTTTAAGAGCATAGAAGATCTAAGATAAAAGAATTCTAATTAATTTGCTCATGTGATTCTTTTAAAACTAGAGATAAATCAACTGAATAAAAAGTGTTTAAAATTACTTAGAGCTGCTAAGAATATTTTAATTTGATATCAATACAAAATTTTTGAGGGATATTTCCTAATCTGATTTCAAGACACTCTCCTACTTCCCTTTAGAAGATCTTTTTTTCACAATAGCCTACTATATTACCTTCTTATCTACCTTATAAGTAAAGATCTTTAGCCTCATTGATCTTCTTTACAACACCTTTTGCAGTCTTACCATTTATAGTAGCCTAGAAAGATTCAATACAAATATTCTAATCAACAGGAAGATAGTAAATAGCCTCATTAGAGTCATAGATTTTCAAGTTAGAGTCAAAATTATTTTAATCTTAAAATCTTTAAGTTAATTCTACTTAAAGAATATTATTAATTATTTTGCACTAATAATTAGAAAAAACTAGTTGAGGTATTGCCTCAAAGTTTTTTTTATTATTGAGTGAGATTCCAAAGAATTTATTGTTCATCTTTTTATTTTATTTTAATTTTAAATAAAAAATTATCAAAAAATTTCATAAATCTAATAATTTAAAGAAATAATTAAAGATTTAAGGGAGACGTAAACTAATATTAAAATAGATAATTAGTTTTTTTTTTTGATCATTACCTAAATTTTCTTGTCATTTAATAAAAGATTAATCATGAAATATGATCAGAAAAAATAAAAAAGGATATATAAAATTTAATGGTTTATATCAATATCAAATAATTTAGAATTTTATGCAAAAGAATAAATAAAATTTATTGTCTACCTACTTAAAGATATTGATAAGCAGTATATTTTTCCAATTATTTTATTTTTAGGCATAAAACACACTTATCTAGTACCTATTACTAACTTGATCATCAAATTTCTAAATTAGAAAAAATTATTTATTGAAATACTTATCTAAAAAATTTGGATGAACAATAAATGTTTAGATTAAATAAAATATAAAATTGATTAGCAAATTTCTTGATTGTAAACTTCCAATATTAAATTTTATTGCTTAAAAGGAATCATTGAATGTATAAAATATTTAATCTTAAAACAATAAACTATAATTTTATGTGTTGTATGTTGACATAGTTAATTTTAGGTTTGAGATATAATAATAATTTCACTGATAATTTGTGATTAATAAAATATCTATTTGAAGCTAATATTTCTATTTTAATAATTTATTTGATCTTTCATATCTTGACCACAATTTAAAATTTGAGAATATCTATTTTAATACCATATATCTTTTATTTCAATCTATAATGTCAAAAACAATTTAGAGACACAAAAATACCTTCTCATGATTATTTTTAATTCATATTTATAAACTACTATTTGTTTATAATTATTAATGGATTCATGCTGATAAAATTCTTATTTCATAATCAAAATTAATTAGATATTCTTTTTTTTAATTAATTTTTATGTTTTAGTATATTGATTGATAGTTAATTCGTTTTTATTAATAATAAGATGAAGTAATCAGTTTTTATTAATTAATAGACAATATTTTATAAAATCTCAAATTAAATTTTCTGAAAAAATTAATAATTTTGAACTTGTTTAAAAAAAATAATTATTAATTATAATTTATTATATTATATTATCAAATGTATTAAAATAAACATTTTTTTGAAAAATGTAATTAGCAAAACTTTATTTAATTAATTTTTAAAATATTTTATATATAATTTTTTTTAAATAAATAATGAAATACATTACAAAAAGCACAAAGAGGATAAATTTTTTATTGAAAAATTGAAAACTATTATGAGTCAGTCACCTGAATTAGATAGATTATTTTCTTATTATCAAGCTACTATAAAAATAATTAATAAGAATTTTAATTTTTAAATTTATAATCACAAATATTTAATATATTATAAATAGTTTAACATCAATAAAAGAGCAAACATTTTGAAAATAAATTAAACAAATATTTTTTTAATAAAGTCAAGAAATAATTCAGCTAACTAATAATTTGTAGGTTATTTACATCAAATAATTTTAGAAAATTAATATGAAAAAATTAGAAGCAAATCTTAAAAAAATGAATAATTTACTATTTTATATTTATTTTTTGATTAAATTTTTTGAATATATTAAATGAGTTTTAAAATTAAGAATCAATCAACGAAGTTTAACAGCATGTAAAAAAGAGGGTATAAAATTTTAATAAAATTTAAATTGTTAAATTATTAGAATGATAAAATTTTAAATTCGAAAATGAAATTTAATTATTATTTTAAATTTGAAACATTCTAATAATTTAATGAGCAATTACTAGGCATAAAATAGTCATAAGAGAAATATGAAATAAAATTTATCAATAAAAACATCTAATTAAAATAAATTTTAAAAGCAAAGCAGCTATAATATTTAGACGATAAATGTCTTAAGAGGTGAATAACTATTCCATGTAAAATGAAAATAAACCTTTCTTATTGAAGGGTATTTAAGATCTAAGAGATTCATTTGTTAAAAATTAAAGTATCCTAGGACATCTTACTTTTAAATATACAAATTGGTGCAATTTATTAGTAAAAAATAAGGATTAGCCAATAGAATTATAATATCCTAAGATTGTAGAGAGTTCTTAAAAGCACTTGGAATAAATAAGATCAATATACACAAATTCAATTAGAAACTTTCTAGGAGTTCTTTAAGGAAATACAGATATAAGTTAAAATTAATATAAGCCTCCATCAGATTAATGTAGCTAAAACAAAACTATTAAAAAAATCATTGAAAACAATTAGAATAACTATTCAAATCAAGATTTATCCCAAAACGAAATACAATAAGGTGATGTATAACAAAATAAGTCTTAATAGTCTAAAAAAATTCAAATGGATCATGTAAAATAGTAAACAAACTTTGATGACTATTTAAAATAAATAATTGAATTTGAATAAAATTTTGATGTCAAAGTTCCCGATTTTTTCAAGGACAGAGATATACATCATTATCGTATGGTAATGTCAAATTATTAAATTTCCCTTTTGAAAGTTAATGATGTTATAGCTGTTAAAAATATCATAGATATCACAAAAAATGATAGGTTTGTGGCTGCTCTCCTACTTCTAACAAAACAGCTTGTTAAAGACATTTTGAAAAGATATGATTCTATTTAAAAAAACCTTTAAGAAGAATTACTTATAGAAAAGGACATGCAATAAGTTAAAGAAAAAAATTACACCTCTTACATATAATAAATACAAACTTTTGAACAAAATTATAGAGTTTAACTTCCTCTCTTCTTCAAAAATAAATAAGATTTTATTAAAAGAGAATATTATGAAAAAAGATTTGCAGCTGCTGTTTAAGATACGGATTGTATCAAAATTCATTAAATCCATTAAAAAGTTAGAAGCTAAAAAGCAATCATAAATGCCCTATTGATAACAGAAAATTAATTTTAAGCTATTATAAACAGAGCATAGGCACTTCTTTACCCAGAAAAAAAAGATTGAAAGAATAAAATATCTTAAAATAACTTTTAACCTTAATGATTAATAAATTATTTCATAGAAAATAAAAATAATCTTTGTAATTTTATAAAAATTTATTTTTTGAACATTATATATATTACTTTTATTTAGTTTAACAAAAGTAAAATTCTATACAATTTTTTTTAATTGAGTTAAAAGTATTTCAAAGTTTATATTTATTTCAAGATTTTTTTAAATTAAAATTTTCCCATTTTTATCTAATATAAATTGTAAATAAAAAGATTGAGGATTCTTAGCAATATGTTTTGCATTAATAATTTCTTTGTGAATATCTAAAAAAATATCTAAAAGTTTATTTTTTAGTTTGAAAACAAATAAAATTATTTTAATAAATTGAAAGTATTAAAAAATCTTTTATTTAGAAAAAGTTTAGATAAACAAAAAATAATACCTGAATTAATGATTTAATTTTATTTGATCCAGTATAAATTATTAATTATTTAGTAATAGTAATTCAGAATTAATTAGTTTACTAACAAATAATTAAAAAAAAAAATATCATAAATTGATTTTTTAAATCTTGTAAAGTATTTAGTTATCTCATTTTCAAATAGCATATATATTTTCATTCAATATTTACTATTATAACTATATAAGTATGTTTATACCCTTTCCTTTTTGTTAATTGATTAATTGTTCCATTTCTAATTAACTACTATATTTAATATTATGAGTAATAGCAAACACTTTGTAGACATTTATATATTAATCTATTTAAATCACTAAGTTTATATACTAATACAATAATTAGTGAAAAAATCGATAGAGTGCTATAATTTTCAAAAATTTTGTAAAATAAGTGGCATTTATTTAATTATAAATTAAAATATAGAAACAGTTTAGACTTTAACTATGAAATAATTTATTTATTTATTAAATTACAATAAAATTATTATTTGGTCTTTCTTAATTTAATAACTAAAAATTTATTTATATTATTGGTTATTGAATTTTTTTATAGTTATATTTTTAAATATGCTTTAAATATATTTTTTCTGATAGATTAAAGATATGTTATAAGCATCAAAGATAGATAGATAACTCGTTCATTTAATCTTCCTTAGATGGCATATTACAAATAAGTGAATATTTAAATATGTAAGTATATCAACTATCATTACTGCTTCTACAATATCGATTCTAGTCTTATCAATTCCTATTTTGTTTCTTTATACTACCTATACTCGTTCTCAACAGGTTATATATCTTTGTGATATCTTATTCTGCGATTATGATTTTTGAAAAATTCAGATTGATAATTATGAAGCTTATCTCTTAAATCTGCTCTTAATCTTTTTAATTCTTCTATTTGTTTAATTATTTAGGCTTGCTAAGGGTTATTTGCTGTGTTTTAAATTTGAGTTGAAAGACCATTTTATGAACGCTATTACTAGTATTATTATTGTTATTGCTACTATGAAGCAGATTTTGTTCTAACTGGCTCATCATCATTATCATCATTAACACTTCCAATTTATCCTTTCTATTGCATAAATTGCTTCAACTTCTTATAATACTATTTAAATATAAAGTAGATTGTTTATAGCTGATCATATTAAGTAAGTAATTATTGAATTAAAGTAATAATTTTGCTTAATTTTGTGATCATTTTTTGAATTTTTGAATAAATTACTATATATAATGGACGAAGAGGCTCTTTTTCGTTCTTTTGCTATTTATATTAGATTAAATAAAATTAATTTCTGCTTTTTATATTGTTTATAATTTACTGGAAATCTATTGAAATGAGTCTAGAATGAAGCATCATACATTTTTAATTCCTATTTTACTTTCTTCTTTTCTAGTGTCAGCTATTCAAATGACATATTTTCTAAATCACTTCTTGATACTCTTGATAAATTTAAATTTAATCTTTATTGAGCTTCTCTTAATTTATTAGGACCTTCCTTTTAGATCCAAAGCTCAGGTGTTAAAGCTTCTTTATTTTATTCAAAAAGATTATTTCTTTGCACATTACCCCATTGAGATTATTAAGAATTAAGAGAGGAGCTACTTTAGGTAGTTGCTTGGCCGATTGATGAAGACAAACTCTATTGAGGTAAATTCGTTGATGCACTATTTGATCTCACTTAACTTTAAGGTTGATTGCTTATTGATTGGTTTTATGAAAGTATTTAAGGCTATTTTGAAATGAATGGTGATGTTTCTATATTTTTGATGTTCTAAGAAGAAGTTTTTTATTGATTTTAAGAAATTGAAGACGTCAATGAAGTAGAAATCGTTGATTTCTTTGCCTATGAAGAAAACATTCCCCTAAAATCATCTATAACTAAAACTTAATTCTCAGTTGAGAAAAATCTGCCTATGGTGTCAGATATTAAATCATTAATTATGTCGAATTCCATTGAAAATCAACTATTTGAGTTTTTTTATTCCTTGCTAATTTGTAATCTTACACTTAAAAAAAATAAAGATTTTTTAATTACTTATTTCTTGAAATCAAAAATTTGATTTATTTAAGTCCACTTTTGAAAAATTGATTAATGAAATGTATTTCAATCATAATTTATCTTTAATAGCTTCTTACATCCATTGTAATTAAATAAGTATTAAGAATTTATTTTATCAGATAATTTCATTATTAATTTTTTAATAATTATGCTAATAAATCTATCATAAACACTCAACATAAGTAAACACAAAATCATATAAGTTTTTTACAACAGTCTTTTTAATTTTTTCAAAAGTTAATTTAACTAGAAATAATTTCTTTACAATTATTTTTTATCAAAATTGCATGCTTTTTCTTAAAAATTTTTAGACTTTGATTATTTAATGGATTGAAAGAAGACATTAAAAAATAAATATAAAATCAGAAAAAGAAGAAGAAGAAGAAGAAAATGAAGATGCTGGCGATGTAAGAGAGGATAAAAAATTAAAGAAGTAGATACAGGATGTACTAGTTAGTATATAGATATCATTTTAACTATATAGCAATATTAGTTTATATATATTCTTAATATTAATGATTCATATTTAAAATTCGATTATTCTTTAGCAACTGTTAATAGTACTAGATGTTTTTTTATAGTAGTGATTAAAAAGATTGAGAATAATGTATTTGATGCTTTCTTCAATGCAGTTCATAAACATTATAATATTTATTTAATAAGTAAATATAAATCTAGTAAGAAAGCTACTAAAGAATATGGCTATGTATTTTTAACATACTTCACTTTATTATTTTTCTAGGCTATATACTTTCTATGCAATATTTAATAATATATTTCATTAGTTGATTGCTTAGATTTTAATGATTGAATTGTTTATATATGGATTGATGGGTATTTGTGTGTGTGTTTAATTAGATTCTTCAGCACTTTTCGTCATCGTAACTCCTAAATTATTTATAAAAATTGGTTTAATTAAATAATGTCTTGCTTGCTTGTTGTGTATTTTTTTAAAAGATTAATTTTGATTAATTTGTTTTTTATGAAGTAATGTTTTTAACGTGTCTATTTCCCACACTAGGTCAACTTTTATGTGTATTTTTTGCTATTGAAAACCAAATGTTAATGATTTTTTATAGATAGCTTATTTAAAAAATTTCTATCAAATATTTAAAAAGCAAACTCATATTTAAAATAACTAGAGCATATTTCAGAAAGAATTATGAGTTCAAGCTAGTTATCCATGAGTTTTATTTTGTTTTATAACTCTCTTTCATTCTATAAATTAATTTGCTTTTTAATATTTTATCTACTATATTAAACACGACATCATTTGCTTAAATTATGCATCATACACTAAAAGAAAATTCTTTCTTATTAAGATTTTTCAAAATTTATTGGTATGCGATAAAAAATATAGATTAAATTATTAAGTTAAATTACCATAAGAAAGCCTTGGGACCTCTACCTTGTGATCTTTTACAGAATTCAGCATCATTAAATGGTCTTCCCTAATAATTTTAGGTAAAAATTAATGTGAAATAGGAAAAGCTATTCGAAGATATTTAGTGAAATAAATTTAATTTTCTATTTAGTTATTTGTTTGTTTGTTTGCTTGTTTATTTATTTATTAGGGTTATGAATTTACCTTTTTGGTTGCAGAAGAAAGCATAGATAAAATAGATAAGCAAACAGAAGAAACAGTCAAAGCAGCACTCCATTCTAATTTATATTAAGTTTATCATTAAATTTTGAAGAAAAGTTAAATGCGAATTGTTGAAAATTTAGGTGCAATAATTTGTGCTTATATTTCGCGAAGTTTTTTAATTTTTTGAAAAGAAACAAAACAAAGTAATTACCATCATATAAAATTGATAAGCAGATAAATCCATTTGAATAAATATGCTCATGGTCAGGGATTTTACCAATAAAAATAACCTTTTAAATTTATTTTAAAGAAATAAAGTTAATTATAAAGTGAAAAAGTATTGATGCTTTGATCTTCAATGAGAATTTTCTTGGTCTTGAAACCAAAAATATTCTCAATTGTGATATTTCTAGCTAAATTTGAAAAATCAATCTATTCACCTCAGGAGATTCGATGGGCTATTTTTATACAAAAAGGTATTGTTTATAAAAATTTCTTTGATTTATCAAAAAAAAATATTACATATTCTGGAGAGAACTTGAATTATAATCTATTTTAAGAAAAAAATAATATTAATAAATTATTTGACCTATTGAAAAACTAAAAAACTGCTTCTTATTAGAAGTGAATCACCACTTTATCTTTAAATCAAATAAATAATCTTTACTTGAACTTTTCTCCTTAGAAAACGGTGCCTTAGGCAGCAGTGAATTCAACGTGCCAGAGTTTCAAATCGTTGTTGGGCAAAGTTACATGAAATTAATCTTTATAGTTTTTTTGCATAGCTTCCAAATCCTTTTGGAGTCTCTTGGTCATTCTTGCTTCCATCTTATTTACCTTTCTTGCTTTATTTGTTTTTGTTTGAAATTTAATTGCTTTTACTTGTAAATATTTCTTTATTTTAATTTTTGTTTATTTTTAAAATTATGTTTTTCTTTCAAACAATTTTTGCTTATATAAACTATATCACTATGAGTGAGTGAGTGAGTGAGTGAATGATTAAATGAACTATCGCAAACAATCAATTAAACAATAAAAAAAACTAGATAGAATAGCTAATTTATTAATTATTGATTCCAAATAAATGGAAAAACACATAAAAAACCAAGAAACTGATCCAATAAACTATTAATTAAAACACTTAAAATTTTTAGTGCCTTATTTTATTCCTTCAAAAAAGGATCGATTAACACCATTATCTTTTATAAATTTTAGCTTTTTCTTTTATTTCTTCAATGATCTTCTTTTTACTTTCTCCCACTTTTATTTAATTTTTTTACATTTCTTTTCTGACTATTCGACAAATTTTGCATGAAGCAGCAGCACATTCGAAACTGATTGATTTACTTTTTTGTTATATAAATTTAATAAAAACATAGGTGAGCTTTCTTGAAAAAGCTCTTGTTTCTATTCATTACCTCCTTAATTTTTCCGCCAGCCTTAGTTTTTAGCAACACGAGAGATTAATAAACAAATCGTTTATCAGGAAAAAAAAAATTCATAATCAATTTTGAAGTGATTTTTTTAGAAAAAATAAATAAATTATTTTCTTTGTTAAGAAAAAATAATACCTAATAAAAAATCTTTATTTAATTTATATGTAAAAAAATAGGATTATTTTTTTGATTTTAGAAAATATTTTAAAAATTCTAACAAAATAAATTTTACAAATTTTTAAATTTCAAAGTAAAAATTTTGTTTTCTATTCTTAAAATAAGTTTCTTTACTCTTTGACAATATTAATAATTAAGTGAATGACTGATAGAATGACATTAAATTATTCTTACATTTTTTATCAGAAAAATAGCCAAAATTAAAAAAAACCTAAGCAAGTTATTGAAGTGTCTAGTTTTTAAAATAAAGTTAATGAAATTAAATCAAATTTGTAAGTATTAAGATAAAATTATAGAAATTAAATTAATATTCCAATTTACTATCAAATTGAAAATACATTTTCAACTTGAACAATAATAATATTAAGCTTATGTAAAAATTAAGTGAAAAATAATATCATTTATTTATTCTGATGATAGTAAAGAATATGTATTTGATGATTATTGATTAATAAAGAATTTGATGATTTATTTTTTGTAAAAAAAGATTTGATATAATAATAGCAATTTTTGGTAAAAATATAGATAGCACTATTAGAAGATAGTAAAAAGCTTAACTATAATTAAACTTGAAGAAAGCAATTATTAAAAAATTTAGTTAATTGCTTATAATAAATTAATAAGAAAATTTTTGCAAGTAATAAGTTGGTTAATGTAGTTGTATTATGAAAAAAACAAAACTTTTCAACGATGTTTTATTCAAAAACAATTCAGTAATTAGAAGAATAAAATCTTCAATTGTTTCTACAAAATAAATAGTTAATTTTAATGGATATATTACAAGTGGTCCTCTGTTATAGAATAAGTAGCTTATGAGAGTTCGCGGTAAACATTTTTTAGTCGCGATATCATTAGCCTTTCTTTTGATTAACTTTATTTACTCACATTAGAGTCTGTTAATATCTTTTATAGGCAATGACATTGTCTCACCTACATTTAGGAGTATTGATATAGGATCTTTTTCGCTATATTGTAATATGTCTAATATTTTAATTCCTTTATTACTTGGCTACTTAAGTGACTATATATCAATTGGGTACCTTTTAATGATCACATTAATTGCAAATTTTTTCTCAAACATAATTCTTTCTATCTTTTTAATATATGGCGGAGTTCAGTAATACCTATTGATGTAAATCCTTTGGCAAATTGCTAATGAAGGTATTCAAAATGCTTGCTTTAATTTGCTCTACGAATATTCAAATATTACAAAATAACAAACTATTTATTACTCGATATTTACTATTGTGGGATATTGCATTCCTAGGTCTATTCCTTTAATTTCTGATTTATTTCTAAGCTAATAAAATACAGATTACATAGAATAAACAATAAACCATAAAAACTATTATGCCTATTTTTACATTGTTCTTAATGTAATCTCCACATCATTTTTGATGTATGTTGTCAGAAAAAATGACAGAAAAGAATTGGAGGAGTTTCTCCTTGATATGAAGTACTTCATGGTTAGAATTTCTCCTGCATAAAAACCTGACTTCTTTTAAGCTGTCAAAAAAATCATCATTCAAAATAAACCTCTAATGAAGCAGTTCTTTTATAGTGCTGTCTTAGTAGGGATATCATCAGTTTTGATGTCACCAAAATTCTACTCCAGTGTTCTTCAAATGAAAAACATAGAGTTCACTTATGAGCCCTACATGTTTTCCAAACGTAAATTCTTTAAAATTAATCATCCTAAAATATTTAATTTTTTAAATATAAAAAGTATGTTAGATCTCAAGTGGATTGCTTCTTCTTCCTTTTGGGAAAAAAGTTGATCAAACTTAATCTGAGTTATTCAAGCTAAAAATTTTTTAAGCGTGTTTCATAGCTATAGCTATTCTTTATTCATTATTGCAAATACTCAGATTCATAGATAATTATTATGTAGTAACAATTTACTTAGGAATATTTGCATGTATATTAGGGATATGCTACTACTTCAACTTTATGACTATTATGGGCACGATTTACTTAAAAAGCGGATATTTATCCAGAGGAATGGGATTCGGAGTATTTTCATGCTGTTACAACTTATCTAATACAATCTTTTAATACATACTTTACTACTTAGCATTTGATAATATATTCAATTTTTCAATCATATTATTTTTTATAGCTGTTTTAGTTGGTTTACTTCATTTCTATTATCAAATTAAAAATAACTCTGATGATTAAAATAGAAATTCTTAGCTAGACTCATTTGATGTATCATCGAATCGCCCATCTAATACATCAAACTGAATTAATAAAGCAATTAGTTTATGAATAAATTATAATAATTATACTAATCAAATCTATTAAATTAAACTAATTAACAATAAAATCTATTAAATATTTATTTACATAAAAATATCTCATTACTATATTACTATTGAGGAATTAATTAATAACCAAAATGTAATAAATTTTATCTATATAATTGGTTTAATATTAACTTAATTAAAAAATTATAAAATCTTGCCATTCAGGCTAATCAAAAGATAATAAATACTAACTTACTACATTTATTTTTTACCTATGAGTTTAATAATTTAATTTAAATAAATAAATAATTATTTTATAAAATATAAAATTATTGATTCAGCCAAATTTCTAAAAAGAGCAATTTAACTTCACAACCTCCTTTTAAAAAGTAAATTTACATAATTTTTTTATTTGTATAAATGAATCTTTATCATGATCCCTCCAAGCAAACACGACTTGTGATATATAAATATTGATTTAAGAATTAAATTCAATAACTGTAAGCTAAAAAAACCTATTCCAAAATAGAAAATCATATTTATATATTTTTTTGGTATTTAAAATTAGTATTTTTAATAATAAACTTAAAACAAAATTAAAATCATCTGTAGTTGTTTTTTGTAAATATATTTAATTTGATCAGTTTTGATAGCATTTATTAAATAACAGTAATTTTTTAATTATTCTAATAAGTATTTATTTATATTATTAAATAGTCATTTACAATTATTATGTTAATTTACTATAATTTTAATAATAAGCTCATTAAGTACATTTAAAGCTTATAAGAGAAACTTAATGTGATGAAGTTGATGACTTTAAATAATAATATCATCATATATAGTATATTTCTAGTATAAAATATAATAAAAATACGTATTAATAATTAAAATATCATATTCTAACGAATTATTGTTTTTATATATTAATCAATTTTCTTTCTTCTCATCATATAATTTAAATTAATTAATAAAAAAACATAAGAAATGACAAAAAATAAAAGCTAAATAACTTAGCATAATAGAAGCGATATTATATGTTCAGGACCAAGGTTCAAAGATACTTAAAGTATCTCATAGAATAGATTTATATTTCTCATTTTACTCTCTGTTGCTATGGGATTTATAAACTACATTAATGCTGATCGATAAGTTTAAATTTAAAATGGTATTTATCCAAATTCAGACAATAAGAACTAAAGCGGTTATGAAATAAATTTTTAATGGATTGAGATCTGGTGTAATCTCCCTAATTGCTTTTTTACACCTTTAATACTTGGTTACTTAAGTGACTTTATATCTATTCAATATCTTCTAAACTTTACTTCTATCGTGTAGCTTTTTTCAACAATATTTCTTTATCTTTACTATTGTTCTGGCTACGTATAATTCTATGTTTTATCTAGAATATTTTTCTCAATTTCTAATGAAGGATTACAAAACGCTACTTTTAATTTAGTTTATGAGTATTCTAACATGTATAAATGCGAATCAAAATATTTTTCCCTTCATTCTATTTTCGGCTATAACATTCAAAGAATATTACCTTATATTTTTGCCTTGGTATACAATCAATCTCCAGAAACTAAATAAGCCATTTATGATAACTAACCTGCATTTTATTCGTAGTACTTAGTTTTTAATCTAATATCATGCATAATTATGGCATTTATAAACAAAAAAAATTAAATTAAAGAGAGAAATGAAGAATAACTAGACCCAGCCTTTTTAGTTGCCAGAATTGCTCCTCAACAAAAATTCAGCTTTTATGAAGCCTTGACTTACATTTTCAAATAAAACAGTTTTTTTACTTAACAGTGCTTGATAGGCGGTATTACTTTAGGTTTTACATCCTTTTACTTCTAAAGTAATGGCTTGATTAGTTCTATGATTAAAGAATGTGGTTTTGAACTTTACATGGAAATAAATTTTTCAACAAAAGGTAAAAAAATATTTTTAAAAATAAAATTAGCATATATAAATTAATAATTTATTTAAATTTACAGGCTTCACATAAATATCAGCTTTTGTTTTTCTTTACTTTATTGGTAAGAGAATGGATGATTATGGGAAAAAGTTTAAATTTTATTTGTTTTGGTACTGTATAATCGGATTAGCGGCTCTTAATATATTCCTTAATCTGATATATTTTTTCTCTAATTAAATAATAATAAATGTAATCGTTTACATATTCCTATTTTTTATAGGACTACAATACTACTGTTCTTTTATGGCCATGAACTCTATTATATTTTGGTACAATTAATGGTTTTAAAGAGGTATGGGTTATGGTTTATTTTCTTGCTCTTTTAACACTTTTTCTACAGTCAGCACTCTGATCACAATCTATTATGCAGACAAATACCCAGTGCCACTAAGCATTATTATAATGATAGCTATTATTTTTATTATTTTAATTTTTAAATACTTCTAAATTAACAAAATCAAAATTCAAAAAGAATCCCCTTCAATGCAAAGACAAGAATAGAATAACTGATATTAATAAATAATTAACTTATTTATTTATCTATTTAATTTACATTAATTTTTTGTTGTACTTCCTATTTGCTTCTTAAATTTTAAATCATTTTAAATGCAATTGATTTTTCTATCTTTATTTTACAATGATGTTATTAAAAATTCATCAAATAATATCAAAAGCTTTAAATTTAATGAGTAATGAAAATAAAAATTTGTTAGATTATATCAGAATCTTAATTAATTGATTGTAAAGTAATGATTTCTGATTAATTATTAATTTGTGTCTATATTCTTATAAAAGAGATAAATAAAATTTCTTAATTTAAAAAAGGTTCACTACATGAGAAGAATAAATAATAATAAAATAAAATAAAAAAATATACTAAGCAATAGTAATAATAATAACAACAACTCTTACAATCAAATATGAGCATAAATTTAACTCAAAAACTTATCATAGTTTTTGTTTTAATTATTTCCATCTCAGCATTTAACTCAGAAACACAAAACCTTAAATCTCAAAAAGACATTTACTCTGAATTGATAAACTAAACAGTATCAGAGACACTGAAACTTAGAGAAGAAAATCTTAATTGGGTGTAAAGTATCTAAACAAAGCACTTCAATCTTTCTTCTGCAGAAACTACAGGACAAAAGATACAGCTTAAAAAAATAGAAGGTATTATTCCTGCTTCATTCGAAAAAGTAATTAAATATTACAATGAAGCCTTTGATAATAGTTAATATGCAAGAAACAAAGAATGTGGAAGCTAATTGTTAATAGAAAAACTTGATGAAAGCTCTTTAATTACTTTGTATAGAGGAGATGGAAATGCCTTTATCAGTCCAAGAGAACATTTATCAATTTAAAATAAAATATAATTAAATGAAAGCTAAATTCTTATCACCAGAACTACTCTCTCTGAATACTATAAAGTTAAAACTGATCCTTAAGCTATTCGTATAAATGGTATTTATAGCATTTTCCTCAAAAAGATAAGCGATAATGAAACCCATTTCTTATCTTATTATCGTTTTGACATAGGATATGTTCCTTATATTTTTATGAATATGGCATCAGAAAAGCGTATAAATGTTCTTGAAAATGATATTGAATTTATAAATAAAATTAATTGATCAAATTATGAAATAAAAATTTATATAAAAAATTAATTTAAAATAAAGCTTTATATAATTACATATATATAATTAACATTAATTTTTACTATTTTATAAATATTTAATTCAAATTAAGCCTATTAATAGACCATAGGTTCTCTTCTATAAGTATAAGGAGGGTCCAAAAATTAATTTTTTCTAAATTTTACTCTCCTTATTGAAAAACCATCCATAAACTAAAATCCATCCTTATTAAATAGTATAAAAATTTGACTTTTTATAATAAATAAAAAATATAACATAAATTTCAAATAATATTTAAATTCCCATAAATCTTTTAATTATAGTAATCTCAATACTCTTTTTCAAAGTCTTTACCTTTCTCTTAATATTATTATTAATTTTAGTACACATTATATATTTGAAAATTGATATGTTTTACTTAAAAAATATTAAAAATATTCTTTAAGATGATGTACTCACTTATACTAATGTCATTCTAATGGATGATTACCTACGGTATTTAGTTTAAATTTAAAAAATAGATTATTTTAAAAGAAGTTAAAGAAATTTTTTTTAATTTTATTAAAATTTTTATAAAAAAATTTAACTTAGCAATTAAATTTTTATTAAATTAAACAAAACATAAGCTTATTTTTCTATCAATATTTAGTTAACATGAAATCCACCAGTTTTATTAAAAATTTGTTGAAATTTAATTAAAAATACTTTAATAGCAATTAAAATTGATAACAATTTCAAAATTAGTAAATTATTTTTTTTAATAATATTATAACAAAGAATTAAAAAACTACTTATTATTATGAATTTAAAAGTGATTTTATTAAAGAATTTTATAAAAAAATCAATTTAAATCTTTATGTTTAGAACATTTTTTGTTTGTTTATTATATTATTTTTAATTGAAGTTAGGATTTTTTTTAATTAATAATTAGGATATCATATGTGCCTAATTTTTTAGCTAAATTTTTATCTGAGAAAAAAATAAATTTATGGATAAGCAAAGTTTTATTTATTTTTTTATTCACTTTTTTCCATTTAATAAAATATGAAAATGAATACAAAATATTACAATTTAAAAATTAAATTAAACATTTAGCTCAAGATATATCGTAATATTTGCTCTTTTTATTGTGATAGGTTTTTTTTTTACAGCCGTATTAAAATCAAGATGGAATATAGTTATACCAGAAGATATATATAATTTTTTTTAAAGAATGCATAAAGTTTAGACAGTGAAAAAAAATTAATTAAAAGGAATATTTTGGATAATTTATTTTTTCATTACAAATTATAATAAATTGATAAGTATTGAATTATATTTATTTTTTTCGTATAAATAAGTAGCTTTTACATAAAGCAAAGTTACTACTATCAAAGAAAGCAATGAGCGAATAAATTGAATAGAGCTCTAGCACCATAAACTAAGATATAAATATACTATAAAAAACCTAAAATGTATAATTAAACAGCTCTTGGGTTTACGATTGCATTTTCACTAATATAAAAAATGGATTAATTGATAAAAATAAATATAATTAAGAAAGATTGCAAATTGATAATAATCAAGAAGGAAATAAACAAAATTATTCAAATGTATATCAAGTCTTGGCAACTACTAGAAAAGGAAAACTTTTTTAATTTGATAAATGTGAAGATGGATCTATATAAAATTAAAAAACCATATATACCTCACCAATTAATGAGGAGTTTTACAGATTATATGAAGATTATGATACTATTGATTATTAAAGAAGATACCTGTTGGTATCTGGTTCTAGAAAAAAAGTTCATGTTTTTAAATTATAAAACAACGACAGATAAAGTAACAATCAGCAAAATCAAGATATTTAGGAAGACTTTAGCTTATACCATAAATTTGAATATATTCCAGCTCCTGAAAGAAATGTTTATAGTTTAAGTGGATATAAAAAACACTCAAACAAAATTCTATCTTCTGGTTAATCAAATATTACTCTTTATGATCTTTAGCATCAAAAGATTTAAAGAAGAATAAAGAATAACATTGAAAATGCATGTATATAGTACAACAGGGATTATAATTTCTTTTTTACATGTGGAACTTCAAAAGAAATTATTGCATATGAAGATAGATAGAATAAGTAGATTTTTAGTTTGAAAGGCCATGAATCAAATGTATTAAGAATGGCTAATCTGAAGAATAATAATTAATTTTTACTTGCTAGTGGCTCACATGATAAATCAATAATATTGTGGGATATTAAATATTAACATAACAATAAAATAATACAAAATCATCATACTAATGCTATTTTTGGTATTGATTATGATCACATTAACTAAATTGTTTATTCTACTGGATGGGATAAATCTATTAAAGCCTTAGATATTAAATCTTTCAAGGTAATTGGTAATATATAAAGGGCTTAATAAGATAATATAATAACTTGCAGATACAATTCCTAAACGTAAGAACTAATGTCATCATCTAGGGATGGATCTATCTAATTTTATAAGGCAAATATAGCTTGAATCTTTCTTAGTTCTCATTCATTTTTGTACTCAAATATCTTATCCTCTATTTAAATTCTATATTAATTAACCAAGGAATATAACTAACATAATAAAATTATTATTTCAATACAAAAATTAATTGAAGAATTGCTTACTTGCTTATTTTCTGAAATAGTAAACCAATAAACATATTTTAATTAATAATTTTTAGTTAAAATGAAGAATAACAGATAATTAAATAAATTTAATTTTATAAATTATATTAAAAATTAATTAGTTAATAAATTCCAAAAAAGCTAAATTAATTTTTTACAGATTTAGATATCAAATTAAAAAAATGTTTTAATGAGTTTTTATATAAATATAATTAAGAGTTCACTTTAAGTAAATTCATATTTTGTAAAAAATATTTGATATTTTATCAAATTTTTTATTAGTCAAATATTTTATTTTATCTTATTTTGTTTTTAGTTTTTAGTTTATCTAAATATTTCTAAGATGTAGTTTTATTTTACATTTCAAATTATGCTCTGTTTATTTAATCATTCACTCACATTTAATATTTTGTTTTGAAAATTCCTTGTTTAATTTTATCTCTAAAACTAATTTTATTAATAGCTTTTAAAATGTATTTTTTTTAAAGAAGTAGTTAGTGGCTATCTCGACCTTAAATTAATGATTCATTTAAATTATATTTATATTTTATGTTTAAAAATAAAAGTTTTTTAAATTAATTTTTATAATAATTATTATTTTAATTAAAGTCAAAAATTAAAACTAAACTCAAATTATTTAGAACTAAAATAAATAACTTAATTAAACACACAATAATAAGTACATGTTTAAGATATAAGATAATTTAAATTAATATATAATATAAGATTGTGATGTGATATTTATTTTATCTATTAAAGCTTTATATTATAACTCTTTACTAAAATCTAAAATGTACATTATTAAGGAAGTATTCTTAATATTTAAAGCTAAATTTATGATAAAATAATTATACTTACATATTCTTAACAAATTAAACTATTTTTATCATTTTTAATCTTTTTCAATTTATTGAGCTTCGTTATTAACATATTTGACAAGATTGTTGAAGAACTTATTATAGTAATTTTGCTAATTTACTTTTTTTGAGTCTGAACCAATTATCAGTTCTGCTTCACCAGTTTAAAAATAAGAATTTGGGTTAAATTCATTATATACAACCTTTTTTTATTATAAACATCTTTGCAATAACTTTGAAGGAATTTAAAAATAGTCATTTTAGAAGGTTTCATAATTTCCTACAACTCTTCTTTTTTGCAGAATATTTAAAAATTATTTTTTATACTTCACTAAATTTTTAGTGTCTTGGACAACGCTACTCCTCATCATATCAACTAGCTAAGTCTAAATATCTTGTTTTTTTTCGTATTTGGAAATCTTTTTAAATATTAATTAATTATGTTTAATAAAAATTTTTTAATTAATTTACCATTTCTTTCTTATTATCATTTAGCATGTTTTTATAATTTACTTACATTAAGAAACTATTTGAATTATTGTTTTTTTATTTGCTTGCTTGATGAATAGAGGTGATTACATTAGTTTTTATTTCTATACTTTTTTTTAAGCAATCGACACTATGTTTTCTATCTTCAATAAAATTTTTTATAACTAATTTACTATTAAAATTTTTTCCTGGTTTTTCAGTCTAATTACCAAGCATGTAATTTCTTTCAGAAACATGTTTAGGGCTTTGACTTTTTAATAGCTCAGAATCTTAACTATTTATCATAAAGGCTCTATCTTCGCTTAAATTTCCTTAATTTAAGTTGAGAATAGGAATTAATTTTTTAGATTTGCCACTTGTAAGAATATATTTTTAATTTTGAGGTTATATTTATTATGATTTTTAAATTGAAGAGGAAGGAGAAGCGTGCTGTTAAAATTTCTATTATTATGCCGTATTTTCATGTACAAAATCGTAGTGAAGAGTATTATACAAATTAGAAGCTGATTTATTATTTATTTGGTTTTTAATAGAGTACGATTCCTCTTAATTATATCTAGACGTGAAATTAAATTAATTGCTTTTATTTAAATCTTATTCAAATAAAATTTTTAATATATTATTACATGATTTTAGTGTAAAATTTACTTTCTGTGATGGTGTTTGATGAACTCCTTTTTGTTGTCTAGTTATGAGAAGGAGAATTAAAAGATAATTCTAAGTAGGACTCGTTTTTATCTTTTTTCAAAGAATTCTATGGAGACATACCAGATGAACTCAAAAAACTACTATCTCTGTTTGTTTAATACTCTTTAGGTTTCTGTACCTTATTTTTTATCTTATCAAATTTATTTTTTATTTTTTCAATGTTACTTTTTCTATTTGTTTCCCAATCTTTCTTTAAGTTAAACATATCAAATATTATATTCTATCCTCCAAAAAATTTCATTTATATCATCAAATTCTTTACATTAGCCAAAAAATCAAAAATAAAAAAATGAGTAACTTCAACTTAAATTTTAATTACCTTAAAATTAACTACATATAAAACTGCTTCTTCAGAAATAACTTCAGCAAAGTTTGTCCTTCTTGGTTCATTTTGAAGTATGTCTTCCTCTCCGAAGTAAGTATTAGGACCTTTTATTATCAATGGTACTTTCTGATATTTTATTGATTTGGGGGACTTTAATAAATTTATTGTTTAATCTTAGCTAGATTATTTAATTTCTTTTTTATAAGAAATCTGAACTTATCCTGATTTAATCAAGTAAATGTTCTCTGCCAAATCATTTTCTTAATAAACTATTTTTCCGTTGTTAGGATAATCTACTTCTTTTATGTCATGCAGAAGCGAGAGAAGCTTGGCATTAGAAAGGATTTCTAAAAAAGGAAATCTTTTAAGGAATTTCATTTTTTCTCTCAAGTCTTATTGTTGTTTGGTACCTAATAGTAAGTTAAATCCCTTTTTAGTAATAGTCAATAATATCACATCATCCTCTGACATCATAGTGGCAGTTCTAAATATATATTAATATATTTTTGGTAATTCGTTTTAATTTTAGTTTTACCTTTTTTGCTTAGTTAGAAGAGAAATCTCACCAAAATACTCTCCTTGTTTGAATGATTTTGTATATTTCATATCGTGGTATAGATTATTTAAAATAGATTCAGAATTATTAAAAGTTTCTTATTGCATTGGCTGTAAAATATCGCATATTTTTATTTCTGATGCTTTATTCTGAATCTGGTTAGAAAATCTAGACTAAGGTAAGTCGTTTGCAGCAGAAGTAGGAGTTTTTTTAGATCCTTTAGTCCACGAAAGGGGTGTAAAACAAGCAACCTTTCCTATTTGGTCAGAATAATAAGAATATTTAAAGAAAATCTAGATGTTTAAAAAATAAATATAAAATTTACCTTTGAGAATTATGTAAAAGTTTTCACCAAACTCATCTTTTTACAAAGTAGAAGTATTAAAATAATTTATAGAAGAATTAAAAGAAAAATACTAATCTCTATGATTTCTGTTTAAGGTGGAAAGAACTCGATATTAAACTGCTCGAATAACTTATTTTCTGAATCTTTTGATGTGAAAAGGTCAATCGTGTCTGCAAATATGTTAATATTTTTCAAAGCTCGCTTAACATAATCTATTTCGCATCTCTTTTTTTATGCTTTTCTTAAAATATATGATACAATCTAGTAATTTTAAAATATTTAAAATGAAATGAGTATGAAATTGAAATTGAATTTTATTTACTTCAGTGTCAATATCGTTGTTTAACCGCACCTGCTATTATCCGTTCAAAAAAGCTTCATATTTATCTCTGTCTTCCAGAAGCTAAGATAAAAATGGAGACATATTTCTATAATCATTTTTTACATCCCAATCTTTAGTACGAAATCTATTTAAAATTCCTGACGATTAAAGATTTAAAACCTTTGTAAACCTACTATTCCTCTGCATGCTAATTCTATGAACAATACTTGCATTTTTCTAATATAATATTGAATTTATAGAGTTCCTTTACTTTTTATTTTTTTATGAGATCAAGGGTATATCTTCCTAATTGTAAGAGTTGTTTGCTTTATAAGATCCTCTCCTTTAAATTATGTTAGGCTCATTTTCATTGCTAAAAAATGATTTGCCGCTTGATATCTGAGACAATTGCTGCTTTAAATAAGGATTCATATTGTTTTATTTCAGAGATAGAATAATAATATTCTTATTTCTACTAACTAATTTTTTGTTCTATATAAATATAGTAATAAATTATTCTAATACTAAATTATAGTGTTAATTAAGAAATAATAATGTTAGCAATTAAAAAGCAAGCATATTAATACAGATTTTATAATCCTTTTAGTATATTAAAAATAGTGATTAATAAAAATTATGTGTGGTATAAGGTTATCTCATTTATCTATATTAATAAGAATAATATTAGAATCAAAATTTAGATTGTTTATTTATATTTTTTAAAGTTAATTTTAGAGTTATCAATAATCCAAAGATTATTCAAATAAATTAATTGTATGTTAAATAAATCAAATCCATTAATTTTTATGATTTTTTATCATAGTTATTTTAGTTGAGTTATTTCATAAATATACACTTTTCTGTAAATGAATAAAATTTATTATTATTATTTTTGCCACAATAATTTATTATCATTAAAATATTTTGAAAACACTTTCTAACTTTTTAACATAGCTAGATATTTTAATTGCTCATTCATAAATTTAGTTTATAATTTTCGGTAAATGAATATGATTTATTATTATTATTATTATTATTTTAAACTATTATTGCAATATTTATTATTATTAAAATGTTTTGAAAACATTTTCTAACTTTTTACATAGCTAATATTTCAACTACTCATTCATACATTTAGTAATATTTCAATTTTCAGTAAACTAAAATTATTTATTATTATTATTAGAGAGCACGGGTAATTTGGGAAACTGAAAACATGGGAAAAAATAAAAATAAAAAATTTTCTACATAGATTCTTATAATAAATATTCATAAATAACACCCCTCTCCCTTTAATTTAATTTTATTATTATTAATAATTTTAACTTCTATGGTCTATTAATATCAATTTTATTAATTTATAAATAACTTTTTAATATTATTAGGTTCATTAATATGAAGATTGAGGATGATTACATCAATTATCAATATTCTGATTTATTATTTACATAAATTTCATTAAATAAGCTTTAATGATTATTATTTTTTTGAAATATTTGTGTTATCTAACTAACTATTTCTATTTTTCAATCATTTTAAAATTTAATTTTTTATGTTTTTACCTACTCTTTAAAAAAATTCAACAAAATAATATTTTATTAGATTTTATTGAAAAATAAGTAATACTTGAATAATATTTTTATTTTATTAAATATAAAATTCATTTAAATCTATTTAGGATTATTTTAAAAAAATAAATTAAAGTACTAAATAAAAAAGCTTAAATTAGAAGAAAAAGTTCTTTCCTTACTTTATTAAAAATGACTAATTAATATTTTTGTATTGTGCTTTTTTTAAAAAAATAAACTAAATTATTAAATTTAAAAGCAAAAAATGGATAAAAAAGTTTTTGCTTGCTTTACTAAAAATAACTAAATATTATTTTTGTAAAAAGTCTTTAAATTAATTATTAAGATTAATTTGTTAAATTATATTGAATTGCTTTTATATTCTTGCTATGATTAATATTATTAAGGAATTCTAAAAAACAAATTACTTTTCGAATTTTTATTAGATTTTTTTTGATTAATAAAAAATCAAATGAGATAGATAAATTTAGTTTATTTTAGATTTTAAATACTCAAAATGAAAAATCAATTTTTTTTTTAAAAAAATGATGCTTAGAATTACATTCTTACAATTCAATAAAATCTAACCTTAAATTTTTAAAGAAATAAGCTAATATAAGTTTAATTTACATAAATTCCTAAAAGAAAAAGAGTTCATTTTTTCTTATTAGACGAAAATTGAGATTAGAAATTGTTAAAATTTATTTTTGATAGATTAAAAATTTGAAAAAATAACACTTTTTTTATCAATAAAAAGTAATTTTTTTCATTTGGTTTATCCCAAATAAAAAGGATGGATGGATAGATCAATTTATTTTAATTAATAAAAATAATAAAAAAATTAATTGATTAAAAAATATCTAAAAAAGAAATTGATAAAAATTTAATTAAATGAATTACTAGAAGATTTATCTAATTATTTTAGTTTTGATAATATAATTGGAAATATCCTTGAGCCAAAGTGGAATTAAAAACAATATTATAGATTAAAGCTGCGATGTTAATATAATTTAATAACTTGAGCTATAAAATATATCTTATTCATGTTCAGACAATTAAATATTAGTATAAAATTAAAATCAGTTAACTTTTGATTTATAGTTAGTAGATATAATGATTACTTCTTCTGTATTGATCTCAGACATAGTTGTTATTAACATGGGAAGTTTAGTTTTATCAAATATTAAAGCTACATAATCTGAATATTTTATAAAATTTAAAAGCATAAATAGTTTAAACATATAAAATTTAAGTATTACTAATAGTAACGATTTTTCTAATTATATTTAGACTGAAATCATCATCTAAGTAGTGATTGGCAAAATATTGTTAAAGGATCTCTAAGGTACTAAATCTATAAATATTTTTTCAGTTGATATTGATATTGACCAAATTAATTTTGAGAATACTTTAGTGAATTTATTTTTAATATAAAGTAAAAATCAGATGAAAATAAATAATTTAAAAATTTTACGCAATGAATAATTTTAATAATCTAGTAAATTTAATATGAGGTAAATTTATTTTTCAGAATCAGAAATAATTATCTAGAATATTGATATAGAAATAAATAGCGTTTCTATCTCGAATTCCCAGGCAATAAAAGAGATTATTACTTTTGATATAAAGACTTTAAAAAAAATTAAAAATATCTAAATAGGTTAAATATCATACGCTACATCATTGGTTGTTACTCCTCACTTTTAAGTATTAGAATTCTTGCAAAATAATGCTATAGGTTAAATATGCATTAATAAATTTATTTATAAATAAAATAATATCAATAGCTTTTTGTAAGTAAATGTAATGAATATTTAAATATTTCAGATAGATGAATTGGATGTAGAAGGATATTCTTAATATATTTAACCATAAACAGAATTGAGTTTATTCAAATTTTTTAATACTAAGACTATTGAGATTAACTTTGTTTCTATGTCTTAAAGCCATTTATTGTGTGGATCACTTATTTAAGGTTCTAATGGTTTAAGCTTTATAATAAATGAAATTTAAGTATCATCTTTATAAATTTATTCAAATTTGATAGATTTACAAAGTTTTGACACTGTTTGGATCTTAAATTTCAAAGTATCAAATACAATTTTAGATCAATTTTTAATTAAAGTAAATCAAATTTTACATTTTAGACTTGAGAAAACTAATATTTAATAAATATGGCTTAATTAGGTCTCTTTGTTTAATTTAAAAAATTTAGATATAAGTTAGTTTTAATCAATAAATATTAGCAAAGTTAATACAAATTTAGTTCAAGCTACAATATTTTTGATAGAATAAGAATATTTATAGAGCTTAAATTAGGTAATGTTCTAAGAGGTAGTAGCTAATTTATAATCATAAAATAATATTTAATTTTTAAATTTAAATGGTTTTTCTAGTTTTTTTCTATAGAGTTCATAAATAATTAAAGGTTCTTCAAATAGCTTTGGTGGCTGCTTAAATTTTATTAACACTTTTCAGACCAATTAACCATCTTAAGTCTCCATTTCATAAAATACATTTATATAATGCAAAAGTAAATATTTAGGAGGCGCAATATCAGGAATTTCAGCTATTGGTTATGAAAATTAATTTATTGATTGTAATAGCTAAATAGGAGGTGCTATATATTTTATTTAATAAAGCTATGTCATAGATTCAAATTAATTTTCTGGAAATACAGGTTACTTAGCAGCTAATGATTATAACTAATAAGCTCTAAAAATAAAAATTGAAGAAATTTTAGAAATAAATAATAACAATCAAAATAATTCAAATGTATTTATAAAAACTGACCAATATTTATACCCTGGTTTGATTTATATTATAAGACTTTCAATTGAACTAGATGGAAACTTGTATGATCAATACACTGATAAAAATAATTTTGGTAATCTTTACAGTTTTCTAGTCTCACCTTCTAATAATTTCGTACCTAATATTCCTGCCCAGCTCTTTTCTATAAATTATCCCTTCCTAGTATGGTCAGCTTAAGATGTATAGTTTAATGGTAAACAAGCAATAGATTTAGAAGATATTCGCATTTTCTTAGCCTAATTATAAACTTTAAGAACAAGTTAGTATAAAATATACAATGGATGTAAAGAGCAAGGAATGGAAAAAATCTATTTAAATAACCAGTAAAATAAGTTCTTCATATGTAAGTACTGCGAGCAAACAAAGGTTAGCTACTACGGAGTATGTCAAAATTGCTAACCAGACTAATTCTCATAGTGTTATGGAAATTACTCAGAACTAAAACAATCTTATTGGAGATCTAAATATTCTGTAGATTAATAAGATATTTTTTATTGCACAAATAATCCTGAAAGTTGTTAAGGAGGTAAATTTTATTATTCCCAACTATATTTTTTAATTGATAATTTAAAATTTAATTTTGGAAGAAAAAAAAAGATATGAATTTTATAATAATTTATATCTAAATAAATAAGGTAGTGGAATAGGAAATTAGCTTTGTTATGAAGGTCATGTAGGAGCTTAGTGTTTAAACTGTGATATTTATGGTACCTATTGGAATGAAAAATATTCTATAATGGGCTTCTTTTAATGTGTAAAGTGTAATTCAATATCTTTAAATACATTTAAGATTACAGTGTTAATTGTTGTGCTGGTGTTAAGTCTCATTTTAATTTTAATTTCAACATTTAAAAAGCTCAAAAACGAAATTTATGCTCTTTATTTATCTAAAATGTAAATTTTTTTCATAGGAAAAACAATTTAAAAATAAACACTGACTTCTACTTACATTAAGATCTTACTATTTCATATTTAAATCTATTTCATATCAAGTCAATTCACAAAAGTTGATATAATTTCCTCTTTTTTAGAGTTTTAATTCTTATTTTACAATCCCTTAAGTTCCCCTTTCTTCTCTTTAGACTGCTTAATTTCTCAGTATAAACCTGAATCTGTGAGTATGGGATATACAGATCTCCTTATTACATTTATTATACCATTATTGATTAGCTCAATTACCATTTTTATATCAACAAGTATATTTATTTTGAAAAGAAAGCTATTCAGAAGGAGTCTTTATGCAACTCTCCTTACTTCTGTATACATATTTATGATAGTTTTTTACTCAATTCTATTAGAAAAGACTTTATCTAGTTTCTTTTGTCTAAACCTTGATAAGGATAAATATTATTCTCTTATTGATCTTAGTCTAGAATGTGGAAATTCTTCATAGCTCTAAAAAATTTAAAATCTAAGCTTAGTGATATTAATCTTATTTCTGATAACTTTGCCTACAATAGTTTTTTTTAAATTGTTTTAATCTCGCAAGAGATTGAAAAAAGTGAAAGTTATGTTTACATTTGGGTTTTTGTTTAATGAATATAAAGTTAAATTTTTCTATTGGGAGATGATTAGAATTTTAGTGAAAAGCTTGATAGTTTTATTTTCAGTATGCTTAAAGTAGTATCCTTAAGTAAGCCTCATAATGATTTCATTGATAGTATTCGGATATGTTTTGGCTTTATATAGCTTCAATCCTTTCGTCTCGGGGTTCCTCAATAACTTAGAAAAAATATCAATAATTATTTCAAATATTATATTGCTCTCTTCTATAATGTTTTTATAATAAAATTAGAGCTAGATTGATAATTATTAAAATTTTTAAATTGTATTTTACTTATTAATTTAGGTAATAAACATGATATTTTTCTTTTATTGTGTATTGTTGATACTGACATCATTTTTAGAAAGATAAATATAAAAATTATAATGCATCAAATGGAAATGCATTTAGAGGTTCAAATCTACAAATAATATAAGAATAAATAAAAATATTAAAAAAATGATTGCATGTACTAAAAAAATGCAGTTCTTATACAACATAAGTAATTCAAGAAATTCTTAAATATTCTTTGAAATTTCAAATGAATGAATGATATTTATCTAATTTAAAACATGATTTTGATAGAAGCTTTGCTTAATTAATTATTATTGATAAATGAGTAAAAAATAATTATATTTATTATAAATAAATAATTTTAATTATAAATAATATACTGTAAAGGTTCATATATTAAGGCACCTCGATTTCAGTTTAGATACCTCACTTACCGACTTCGAAAAAATTAAAAAAATTTATTTTTTAAAAAAAATAACATGTAATAAGATTACACAGCATATATTATTTCAAATTTAAAGCTTTCTAAAAACTCAAAAATAAAGCTATTTTAAGCTTATTTAGCTTTATTTATTATGTTATTAAAATATATACATTTCGCTTTTTGTAAATTAAATAGACAATTCACTCTATTATTACTTTAAATTATCTTTATGACATTTATTTGTTTTTATTAAAATATTTTGAAAAAGCTATCTAATTTCTTTGCATAGCTAAATATTTTAATTGCACATTAATAAAATTAGTATTTATATCTTAAAAATAATAATATTTATTTAATAATAAATTTATTACTTTAAATTTTAACTAATTTAAACAATGTTAGTAAATAAAATAAGAAGTGTAGAAAATAATTAAATGGAAAATATATACATAAATAATTTACAATAAAATTTACATAATTTAACTACTCATTTATTCTTTATGGATGATTTTTGCAAATAGATTTTTTAAAGAAGAGAATTAAATTTTAAACAATATTTTTAAAAATAAAATAATTTATTTAAAAATTAAACTAAGTTAATTAATTGATTAAGTAGGTTACTATATTTTTAATAATGAAAATAATTAAAATTTAAACAATATTTTTTTAATATAATAGTTTATTTAAAATTAACATAAGTTAATTCATGCATAAATGTTTTTTGAAAGATTTTTGCGGAGATATTTAATTCCACATTGCTTAGATTTTTTGATTTGTTTTTATTTTTCGATTAGCCGCAAATTTTGTATATTTTTAAAGTAATATTTTTCTATAAATTGTTGAGAATACACAGAATATTCTACGCTTTCAAAAAGAAAAGACAATTCTTTTCTTATAAAATCATCGAAACTATAGCTATTTGTATTTTTTAATAGCCTCTGTCTGAATTATATAAGGTTTTTTAGATCTTCAATATCAACATCAAATTCTATGATATAGAAAATGTATTCATAAAGAAAGGAAGATACATTTTTAGTTTTATAATTTGGTTTTGTAAACTTTTTAACTTAATTTAATTTTATGGTGAATCCATCGAAAGTATTTATATAAAAAGACGAAAAACTTTTTTGATTTTAACTACAATAATTAGAAAAGAGGCTTTTGATAGATTATATCATTAATTCTTCCTTATCCTAAACTAAATCTATCTGCTAATTTCTCAGCATCATTTAGCTAAAATTTTGTAAATCTATACCTATCAAATCTAAGAAAGCATTTGAATAGCCAACTTTTAAACATTCTATATCTTTTTTCTCAAAATTTAGAACTCCTATTGCATATTAAAACATATGTCCTTCATTTTATTAACTATAACTATTCATATATTCATCACAAGATTAAACAAATTTCATCTTTTCTTCATCAAGCCAATTTAACAATTATTTGTCTATTTATATTTGTGAAATACAACTATTTATGTAGTTTTAAAAGACTTCATATTAATAAAGGCCTTCTTTTATCTCTTTAAATAATTTGAAGTTACTATGCCTCAAAACCTCAATAGCTTATTCAAGAGAGATCAAATTAGTATTCTAATAAGAAGCTAAGTTAATTTCAATTACGTTTATATTTTTTTTAAAGTTGACAGATTGTGCTTATTGTTATCCAAAAATTATATTTCCTGTTTGATAAGCAAATTTAAGACAACCTTCTTTGGTTATTGATAGCCCAAATTTTAATTTCATTTCTTGTTCATTTTTTATTTAGTATGGGACAACATTTGCTAATTTTAGATATTTTCTTTCTTTGGAATTTTAATATATTTTTTTCATTTACTAAGATGTAATGTTTTTTTGGTCTTCCTATTCTTCATCTATTGCTTACTCGCTCAGAGAAAAATTTTCTATTTGAATTTATTACTAACTATATTTTCTCTGATTTTCATTTTCTAAATAAAAATGTTGATAGCTACTTTAACAAAACTCAGATATTTGCTTATTTTCATACAGATATTCTTCTAATTCCATCATATTTTTATCAATTTCACTAATGTTCTGTTATAATTATTAGTGATTTAATATTTATCTTATTAATGTAATGTTACAAATTTTAAGATTATTAAAAACTTTAAAGTATTCTAATAATAGAGAGACTACGTTTGAATTTTATTTACAAATTAAAATAGATTAGATCTTATCTATTTTAATTAACTATCAGGGACTAAAATAGATCTTTCGAGATGCTATTAATTAATAATCAATTTATAAACTAATTTGAATTTAGTAACAATCCAGATTTAATCATAAATACATCTTTTTATTTTCTTTTTTGGTGCTTAATTTTTGTTTTTTCAAATTTAAAGGTTGAAGTTATAATATATTATTGAATTTTTAAAGAGTTTAACAAATCAAAAAATCAATAACAGAGTCTTCAGGTTTATGAATTACTTATTTTGTATTTTAAAATATAAAAATGATCACATATTTTATTAAACTATCTTCAAGAGAGACTTTCTTAATGAAATGCTCTAAAAACCAAATTTATTTTTATAAAAATTCTTATTTAGAAATAATCAGAATTTGCAATTTTCAATTTTTCTTTTACACTAATTAGTATAGACATTAAATAAATACAAATACTACTTATGTTATTTGTAATCAAATACCTTTATTATTTAATTTAAAAGCAAAAATTTATTGTTATATTTAGAAATATGACATAGATGAATTAAACTTAGAAAATGCCTCACTTTTCAAACACGAATCTATTTATTACAAGATAAATTTTTAAAATTTAATTATAACTAATCTTTAAGCTATATAAATGTATTATATTTTAGTTAAATCAAGAATTTTAAAAAATTATATTAATTAGTTAACTAAAATAGGTAGATAAATAAATATTTTTAAATAAGTCTGGTTACTTCTTTTTTTAAAGGTGCATTTAAATAATTATAGTTATTTAAGTTAAAAAAATTTTTTTTAATTAATAATTTTAACATGTAAAAATTATCTCAATATTTTTAAAATAAATGTTTATTATTTTGATTATTTGCTATTTATAAATTGATAAATTTTATGAAAATTTGTTTTACCAGTTTTAGTAATTTTATACTTTTTGTTTATTTATTAAAGAGAAAGCATGATTTTTTAACTAAATTATTATTTTTTTTATCAGAATAAAGGAAACACCAGATTTAAAGGTATAAAAAAATGTATGAAAATATTTACGAATATAATTTTAGTATTATATATTTTTATGAAAATAAGATAGTGAGATAGATGATTAATCATATATTACATAAATAAATTAATATTTGAATAAAAAAAATTAAATAATTTTCTCAATTCATCATATTAACCTTTTATTTGAATTATTTTTAAAGTTTATTCTTAATTCTACTCTTCATATATGAGATCTTTCTCATTGTTAAAATTATTCTCAATTTTCATAAATTCTTTTCTTAGTTATTTATTTTCCTTTTAATTAATCTAAAATTATTCAAATTTTCTTAATTTATAAACTAGAAAATTCACTTTCTTTCTACCTTTCTTTATCAAAAGACTTTGCTAAATTTTATTCTTTTATACTTCATATAGATTTAAAATTTATTTTATTTTAAAACTTATTTTTTATTATAATTAACTATAAATCATTATCTAATAACACCTTAAATAAAAAATTTATTTATTTAAATAACATATACTTAATGAATGAAAAGATTCTTAATAATAATTGCAATTTTAGTTTCTGATGATATATTATGGTAAGTTTTGTATAATTTATAATTTTTAATAAAAAATAGAAATTAATCTATTAGATAAAAAATTTAATAAGTAAAATAATGTATTTAAAAATATATTTTAATTATTTTTATTAGAACACTCAATATGTCTTGTATTGGAAAATATTCAATTTAATTATTTGCCAGAATTATTACAAACTATTCAAAAAATAATTTTGTTATTTTTAAGGTTAAATAATAACTTCATACTTTAATTTCTTTATATTTAAATTACCATTATTATTTTATGAATCAAATATTAATTAAATATATTTTTCAAAAAAATAAATATTTTAAAGAATAAAACCTAATCAACTTTCATGATAAGAATTATTCTAATATGCTCAGCTTAAAACTAATATTTATAATATTTAAGTTTAATTAAGAATAAAATTTTAGGCACCTTTCATAAAGATATCTAAATACTAAATACTAAAAAAATATAAATAATAATATTTCAAAAAGTAATAAAAATTTCAAATCCAGAAAATAAACTGGATATATATACTTAATACTGATCAAAGTTAATAAAAGGAAAATTAATTGCAGTAATATTTATAATTATATTGTATGCGATTTTAACTACTTATAAAAATCAAAAATCAAATGTTGTATTTAAATGTTTTTAACTATAACTAATATGCTATAATTGTTGAAAAATATTTGTTGGTTATAATTTTTTGAATAAATTATCTGTTAATTCAAAAAGATTATATTTAAATAATAAAAAAAGCATTTAAAAGCTATTAATAATATACAAAAGCATATAATTAAATAAATAAATTTGATTTAATGGATGACTCTAACAAAGGAGTTGATTTTGATGTAGAGCAATCTTTCATAAAAAGAATAGGCAAAAGTATATAAATTACTATCTATTCTATTATGTATGAGATACTTAACAGTGGTGAAAAGATTTCTTTTACATTGCGTACATTTTTGATACTAATAGAAACAATATAAGTTCTGAACTTTTAATTCTCTCCTCGTTTTGAATCTATGTGGAAAAATAGCAGTGTAACTTCTACAGTTGCAAAAATAATTCGTAAAATATTTATTATTCACATCATTTTTTGAGAAATGATAATAATTTATAAGTTTACCTGTGAAATAATTTTTGTTAATTCTACTAAAAATAACAAAAACTTCAATCTTTCAAATTAAAAATGGGCTCTTAATTTTAACGTTTTTAAATAAAAATAGGTTATACTAGCATATAGCCGAATCTAATTAATGGAAATATATAAAATTATGAAGTGGCTATTTATATTGCCTCAAGCTTAATGATGTTCTGCATTATACAAATCTGTTTAATAGTGTTTTCATTAGAGAGAAAAAAAGGTATATTTTAATGGCCTGTTTTGATTCTAAAGCATATGACTGAATTATTGTCGAATGTTTTATATATCCCTTTGTTTTAGCTATTTTTAAGTGTATTTTAATGCAAGTAATAACCAGGATCTAGCTAATTATACATGGAGTACTTTCCTGCATAGCAGTGTTTCACAGGATCACATATTACTCTAACATTTTTAGGGGCATTTTTTGCAGTGTTTGTATTAATTTATTCTGGAATCAGTTCCCTTCTTTATTTTGATTGCAGGATGGTTTCTCAAGATTGCAATTCGAAGTTAACATCAAGAGGAGAATTTGCATTTTTTTTATATAAAACCTTCCTAGTAATCTTGACCACTTTCCTTGACGACGAGCATTACAAGATTCTTATTATTGCCTTAATTACTATTGGGTCATTTTTGATGTTTGAGTATTACAATTTAAATCTTAATCACAATCATTACTGGATAGCTAAAATAATATCAGCTCAACATATAGTTAATACTTGGACTAGTTTAATGATGATTCTAGCATACATATCTTAATACCAGCAATTTGATTAAAGCATTAACATTTGGCTTATAGGTTTACCTTTCATCGTAGGTATATCTATCATAAGAAGGGAATATAGAATAGATATATTGCTAACAAATACTAACTTATATGATGTTTTAAGTCAACCACTAACAGAGCTTCCTTATATAACGAAGCTACTGTCGTTTTACTACACAGATAAATGCATTTAAATTCTTTTAGAAGGGTTTCTAGACTATCATAGCTGGCTATGTAATAAAGAAGAATGTGCCTCTAAAAGAAAAGTATTTACTTATTATATTAATTTTAAAAATTAAAAAATCCTAATAATTATAATTTGAAAATGTTTTAGCAAAAAACAAAAATAGCTTGAAAAAATAAAAAGCTTTTTTTGAAAAATTGAAATGAAGTAATGATCTATTTTTATTTAAATTTAGATTGTAAAGACAACAAAGTTTTCAAAAGAAATGAGATAATAAGGTGAGTGTGAAAAAATGATAAGATTAATACTTGCAATTAAGGGTATGTACTATTATGCTTTGCAGAGATTTCCCAACAATACATATTTAAGAATAATGTATTCGCTGTTTCTATTAGATAAAATGCTTTCTAAGTAGTAAGCTATGCAAGAATTATTGAATACTGAGCTTGAAGGTCCAGCTTTTGATGAGTAGTTTGTTATTTTTAGATATAAAAGAATCATCGAAAACGAATTAAAAGTATCAACAGTTCAATCAAGCATTATTTAAAAAAATAAAAAAGAAGGAAACTCTGAAATGGTAAATGAGCTATCAATATAAAACCATTAAGATGCTTGTAGATCTAGCATAGAAAAAAGTGCTAATTTGCATGTTGAATTTTGGTCTTAACTGTCCGAAGACTAACCTGATCTTGGAAAGCTTTCCGAGATAGGGTTTAAAATTAACATTATCAATTAGCAAGCAGACGAGCAATGGAATAAAGTAATTTTTTTAATTGACTTTACAAAAAAAATTTATTCTAAAAATATCTCTTCAGCTATAACAAATCAGCTCCTATAATCCTTAATTGATGAGACTTTATTCCAAATATAAACTGGAAATCCTAAATGATAAAGAAGGAGGTTATAAAATAATTAATGAACTTAATAAGAGCAATAATCAAAACTCTAAATAGCAAGGGTATATTGATTTAACTTCAGATCCTAAACCAACTATTGTAAAAAGTTATTTTAAATTATAATTTAAATTAATAAAGTTTTTTATTAAAGGTAATATCAGCAGAAGATGATCAATTCGGAATTATTACTAATGCTAACCTAGCTGCTTCAGGAGCGCTAGGTTATCATAAAGTAGAAGTTATAAATAGGTATAAATATTTATTTTTTTTTTCATAAATTTTAAAATTGATTCTGTTTCTTTATAAATACAAAAATTATAAAAAAAATGTATTTGGGAGTACTGTACGTTCTCATTAATAATGGCGATTTATATTAATACCCAAAATTAAAAAAAAAATTACTTTTTTATTAATACCTTTTTTTAAAGTTTTAAAAATCTTTGGTCTTAATTAACGAGAATTTACAGTACTTAAAAAATAAAATTTATTTAAATTTTATATAAATTAAAGAAATATAAATGCTATAATGCCTTATTTATACGCTTAACATCATGATAAATTTATTGAGTCCTACTTGCAAACATTAGAAGCAAGATTATTAAATATGGACAGATTAGTTCCAGCTAAATCAAAAAACGATTATATATTGATGGTAATTGCATTTGTTAGGCATGTTCCTTCACTCATACATGGAACTTAGTTTATAGGCCAGTTTTCAATAAAAAATCAAAAAAAGAATTTAGGATTTTTGCTGATTAACTTAGAAGGAGAAATTTTAAACATTAATCCTTAATGTATCAGTATTTTACAAATAGATTAGAAAAGGCTTGGTAAAAGATAGGCAAACATGAATAACGCTGTTGAAGGATTCATAGATAATATAGACACTTTTAAAGTAAAAAATGGAGCTCCTACGAAAATGAAAGAATTTGGCAAAAATGCATTGGAATTTGATGCTATAATTTAAGTAAACAAAATTTATAATTATAACTATATTTATCTAACTTTATTAAATAAAAGGTATAAGAAGTTCAGTTAAAAATAGGACATGTAGGATACATAGTTTAGATAGAGAGAGTTAATTCAAATCAACAATTTAATAAAAACAGCCTTCTGTAAACTAAAAGAGATATAAAATCTTAAATACCTTATCATATAGAATTTAAGATTGATCCTACCTTAAAAATATATTATGGTGAATTTTAACATGGAATGTAATCACAAATAAAAGATAATATTGAAGAAAGGAGTATTATCTTTAATTCTCACTTGGCAGCAGAGAGTTATAGAACTGATAACATGAGTGCTATTGCTGATTAACTTTCAAAAACCTTTAATAAAGCGATTTAAGACACCAATAATTATGTTCACACAACTGAACGTGTAAACGAGAATAATTAAGAAATAAAAGAGGAACAAGCCAAAGATTATGCAAAAGGTATCAGATGTGTTAGGTTAATTGGAACTAAAATGGTAGACATTGAAGATTTAAAAATGTAAGAGGAGGAGTAAGAAGAAGAGCTCAAGGAAGAAAATGAATATGTTTAGAGTGCCGTTTAGTGTAAAAATTAATTATTCTTTTAACTTTTAAAGAAAGAAGTGCTTTAAAAAATTAAATTTTACTTTTATTAAATTGTAGAAAAATGATTAAATTTTATTAAATTAATTGTTTTCATGAAAGAAAATTTTTTCAAAAAAGTGATATTTACATTTTTCTTAACAAAACAGTTCTAGTTTATCTTTTAATCGAGTAAATTTTTATTTAAAAAAATCAAAGAAATCCACACAAAAAAATTGAAATAACTTTTTAAAGATTATTTTTATTTCTTTTATAATAAAAATTTTTTTCATTTATGATTTTTCAAAAAATGATACAAATATTATGATTATTTAAATAGAAAAGGATGAAAATGATAATGATGATGATAGAAGCAACATTGGCAGCATCTTTAAAAAAAGAGATAGATTTATAAAATTTATAAATGATACTCAATTTTTAAAGTCTTAAGGATTGAAGCTGATGCAGTACTACTCAATAATTTTTATTTTAATTGCTTCAGGTCTATGCTTGTTTACTTTTTTCATAGTTTCAAATGAACTACAAGAGGCTAAGTAGCGTTACTAGTTTCTTGCTTAATCAAACTAACTCACAGCTGATGGGCAAATCATTCTTTCTAAAATATAATAACTCTATTTTCTTAATATGGTAAATATTTTGTTATGGAATTAAAATTAATTTTTACAATATTTAAATAAATATAGAATATTATAAATCCAACTGATAGCAACGCTTATTAACAGTAATAGAAATAAGACATTGAAACATACTAAAATGACCTTTAGTAACTCTAAATTTCTTTAGAAAGTAATACTCTTGATATGCTTGCAGGTCATAGCGATCTTTTAAATAATCCTGCTGTTAGATTAAAGAATCTTTTAGCAGGATAAGTTTCTTATACGTATCATACAATCAGTGACGCAACTAGACAAATAATATCAGCATCGAATTTTGTTTAAAACATGGTATATTTTAATGAATTTTAATGGAAATTTTTTAGATTTTGTGAGAAAATAATTTAAATTTACTTTTTAATTAAAATCAAAATATCAGACTTTAAGCTAATTCGTATTTACACAGAGCCAATTTTACTTTTTAGAGAGCAACTTGCTGAATGATTACAACATTCAATTAAATAATGTCACTAATTATTATGTGTTAGAGCTTTAAAATTGGGTTAATTAAAAAGAAGTAATAATCTATATTTAATTAGTTGTGATCGGGCTGTTTACATTAGTTTCAATAGTTTTGATTTTCCCATTTTATAACATGATGATTTTATCCTAAAAATAAGTGCTTCAAGTATTTCTTGATATCCCTCTTTCTAAGGTCAAAAAGCTATACATTCAATGTGAAACTTTTTTGACTTAGCTATAATCTGGCAATGATGACGAATTACAAACAGAAATTTCAGATTAAGTAATACAAAATAATATAAAAATTTTCAAGAAAAATTAGCACAAATAAAAATAATTTTGATTTTTTTAATTTATTTATTTTGAAGTTGAAGTTGTGATTGAAATACATACTTAAAATGAAAAATAATTATTTAAAAAAATCTAAAATAAGAAGAATATTATAAAATTAATTAAAATTAGGTCGATGTTGACGATGACCACTAACTTTTACTTAATAGGAAGGGAAACAAAGTAAGATATATCTTAATTTTACTTTACATTTTATATTTATTTAATTCTTTAAATAATATATTTGTAACTTGAAAATAGCCCAGAAAGATAAAAATAAATTTAAGAAATCAAAAGAGCGCATTTGTACCATTATTAGTAACTTTAACAGGGTTATGGGGTTACTACATCTTAGTATATTTTTTAACAGTGTCATTTTCTGATAACCTTTCTTAGTTCATTCAAGAATTTAATTCAACATCTAATTTAGAAAATTTCTTTGGTTTTTCTACAAATAATTTAAAATAATTGCTTATAGATTACACTTTTCCAATTAGAAATATAGATTCAGCTTAATAAGTCATGTTAAATATCAACGAGATGTATAACATAAATAGCATCATACAATAAGAGCACTCCAAGAATTTGTAAAGTCATGATTCATCTTATAACTCTGATTATGCTTCAATTTATATGAGTGATTGCTGTAACATTCTGACAAATTTAAAACAAGTTTCAGTTGAAGTAATTAACTTTTTTTTTGATAATAAAAATTTATAAACTAAATTAAAACCAACATACTAGAAATTAGAAGCAAATTTAGAATTTTAAATTTCAAAGGACGAATGAAAAAATTTAATTTACATTTACAAAATGAAGTTTTCTACAAATTTTTTTGAAGTATTCTATCAATATAGAATATTATTTAACGTTACAAAAATTATTTAGATTAATACAGTAAACTAAAAAGCAATTATCAAATTAATTTACAGATATTTTATTAAATCTAATATTTTTTTAAATATATAGGATTGCTAAGATTTTTTATATGGAAGTGTAACTTAAGGTATGGCAGTTGTGATTCCCAGATATATTGAAATATACAGGGATATCAAATCATAGTATGATAAAATTATATAAGGGTATTCAGGATAGGAACAAAGAAATAGGCTTAACTAATTAATTAACTCAACTGATGTGAATCAAATATTCACCATACAAGATACTTACATCAAAAATTTATTTAGGTAAAAACATCAATTCCAATATATTTTTTGTTTCATCCTTTTGTATTAATTAATTTAAAAAACTATCAAAATTTTTCTATGAAAAGGTATTTATGTTAGAGCTTTATATCAAGTATTTCTAAATAAAACGATGACTAGTTAAATCTTAGAATTACTCTTTTGATAATAAGTGTTGGAACCTTAGCTTTTATATATTTATTTATTTGGACTCCTATTCTTAGCAACTTAAATAAAAATATAGAAAAAGTTAGGTCAATGATACTAATGATACCTCTTGATATCTGTGAAGGTGTTAAATCTATAAGAAATCTGCTTTCAAAGTATATGAATAGCATAGTTGAAGAAAAATCAAATTGAAAATTGTATTTTTTTAAATAAGTATTTTTAAAATCAGAAAAATATGAAAGAACAATCACAATTTAATTAGTATTTTTGTTTTTTTATTTTAATTCAGTTTTACTTCAATTAAATTAAAAATAAGTATGATTTTTATAAGTCTATAGAATTTTTTTTTTTTTATATAAATAAAGATTTAGTTTTAAGTAAAAGTTTTTTATATTCAATATTAATTAATCTATTAAAAAAGATAAAAAATAAAATAGATCATTTATATAAATTGATTTATTTGATAAGAATTTCTTTCTATTTTTTCAATTATAAGATTTTCCTTATTTTAATTTGAGTTTAAAATTAAGTTTGTAAAAACACCACTTCGATATTTATTTGAGATGCACTTTTTTTAAAATTAAATTTTGTCATTTGGAAAGAAATAAAAATATGTATTTTAGAAACAGTATCATGAAAATATAAACTCTCTGAAAGGATTATAGTAAATTTCTATTAAAATTTTTAAATCAAGAAAATCTTAATTTTTTCAAACTGCATTTAAAAAGCATTTATCAATGTTTTTTGATAAGAATCTAATCAATTTGGTTTAATTACTTTGATTTTCAAGTCGAAATGAAAACAAGTTCCAAATGTAAAATAATTAAATTTAACCATGAATTTAATTTTGAAGTATGAATTAGTTTTTAGTTACACTTAATTAGCTAGAAATTCTAATTTTTATTATCACAAAAAAATTGTTTAAAAAGAATTCAATAATTTTTGTCTTGCAAGAGTTTTTTTTAATTTAAAATCTTTTTGGTCTTTGGTAGCAATTAATATTTTTTGAAAAATATTTATTTAAACTTGCTTGTAAAAGTTAAAATAAATAATATTTTAATGTTTCTGTAGAAATAATTTCATCTATGGAAATGACAAGAGATGTTTCATATTTTTAGATTATATTAAAAATTAATTTACTCCTTTTAGTAATTAATCACAACTTCAAATTTTAGTTTAAATCTATTGCTTACACAAATAAAATATAAGCTAGAGTTTGCATTTAGCTTTTAATACAGATTAGAGAAAAATTTTTGTTTATGTTGAATATAATTAATTAAAAGTATTTGTCTATAGAATATTTTTTAGATTGCAATGTAAATTTTAAAAAATTATTAAGTATCAAATTAAAAAACTAGTAATTCATCCATCATATGCTTTTCTAGAAAAATATAGCCAGCGTCTAAGCTATCATGCATTTTTTAAGATGTTTTTCAAAAATAAAAAGTAATTAAAAATTAGCAATAAATAACAAACTAAAGAAACCTAATCTAAAAACAAATAAATAATTATTATATTTTTTGCTATAATTAAGTTTCAGTTATATGGAAAAATATATTAAAATTAAACACATAAAAATATATTTCGATCTGTAAAATATTTATTATAGATGAAACTTAAATTATAATTGTGGTTTGAAAGATATGCTTAAGGTTCAATATAATCTAAAATCGTAGAACTAAATATTAGTTAGTTAGTTAGTTATTATCAAATTTCTTTTATCTTAGTATTCTATTAAAATAGCAAATAAAATAGCTTGATTATGAAATTATTTATTGTCTTAATTTTCACTTGGCTCTGTTTTTATATTCTAATTATACGTAATTTTTTAGCACAATCTTAATGGCTAACAACAAGTATTATTTTAGATATTAGCAATATTTATCTAACTATTTAAAAAATTTGCCTTTGAAGGAGAAAAATTATTGTTACATACTACTCAGAGTTAATAGTATCTTAGAAATTTATAACAAAATAAATTCTGAAATAGTAATTTAATATTTAAGTTTAATATATAAATGGAGGAAAATTATTTAATGGATATTGTAAAGGAATATTCGTCCATAACTTAAAATTCATAGTAAAAGCGATCAAAAATATCATTCATCAATCTACCTTGATGAAAATGTAAGCTAACGAAAGCAAATTTACTTATTTATTTATTTTTATTAATTAATTAAGAAGGCAGCTTATAAATGCGATTAAATTTATACATTTATTAAATTAATTGCGTTTAAGTTAAAATAGAAAATTAATCAACGCCAGTTATTATTCGTTAATGTGTTAATGAATGATTTGGAATCCATCTGATATTGATTTTTTTTTGTATTTCTGAAAGCAATCAAATTAAATGTATTTATTTACTTGTTTACAATCTCTCTTTTAATTTCTATTGGGATAAATTTATGAAGAAATAAAAAGATTGTGATAGTATTTAATTAAAATTATACTTGGAAGAATGTTACTGCTTACAATTTTAAGCTCAACAATAATTCTAATCAATTTTAGTAAATTTATCCCTTAATCATAGGTATATTAAATTTTATATTTATCCTTGTTCTATTAATATCCAGTTCAATTCAAGAATGTGTTACCTTTAAATTATTTATTGCTTCATTAGATACCTGATTTTAAACTTTCATAGAAATTAGCTTAATTTACAAAAATTTATTTTTCTTGAACGATCTTTTTTAAATAAATGATGCAATTAGAATAATATTATCTTACTATTCGCATTTATGAATTAAACAAACAAGCAAAATTTATCAAAATTATAAAATTTAATTCTAATTCCTTGTTAAATAATAGTTTTCTCTCAAATATACAAAAATAAAAATGATTACAAAAAAATGATTGATATTTATTTTTAAATTGATTATGGAATGCATCTAATCAGAAAATAAGAGAGAATGCATAAGAAATTTGTAAATGATAAATAGTCGGCGAGGGAGGAAGTAATTAAAAGAAAGGAGAAATTTATAATATTTAGACTGATGAAGTTTTGATTAATAAAAAGAGGGGGATTGTTGTTGTTATTCAAAAACAGATTTGAATAGAAATATTTAAAATCAATCAGTTTTCAAAAATCTTTTACATTTGAAATGAACCAATCAATCAATTAATGAATACATGTTATGTCATAAATTTTACTTCTTAAGTCTATATGAAGCAACTACAATCTAATGAAATAAACTATGAGTAAATTAGTAAAGCAAAAGCGAAGAATTACATATATGTAAGTTTCGACTTATTCATTAAAAAAAGCTATCACTATGCATATCTATATGCTCAAATATAGGTCTAGCTAATGTTTATATAAATTAGCAGATTAAAGCTATGAATATTATTGATAAGAATGATATAAATTCTTCTTTCAATTTAAATTGTTTGGCCTTTATTATTTAACTTATTATTTATTAAATGATTGATATATATTACATAATTGAAATTATTTGCACATATTAGCATTATTAACAATTCTTATTAAATAAATATCATTCAATCAGGTAGATTGAAATGTTAATTAACAAGCTGTATTAATCTTAATTTATTATTATTATTATTATTATACTAACTTGAATTTATCTATTAATTAAATTATTTATTTTTGTTTGTTTGATTGCTTCCTTATTTTTTTTGTTTGTTTGTATGGTACAAAACTTTGAAAAAAGCAATTTATAAATAATATAAAAAAAATCAAAACAATTAATTTGTAAAAAAAAAAAAAGAAAAAAGATAAGAAATATAGTAAAAAAAGCTATTGAATTTACTTAATTCTATCAATTATATTCATTATTGATATACTCAACATATTCACTTAATAGTAGCTATTAAATAATCAATAAGAAAAAAAATAACTAAATATCAAATAGATTAGATACATATTAAATATATCAAATCATTGGTTAAAAAACATACATATTTTATATAGGCACAGAACATTTTAAAACACTCTTCGTAAACAACCATACTATCGCAAAACTTTCAGTATTTTATTAAAATTGGCTTCAGTTTCTCTAAGAAGTATTGATTATTTCAACCATCTTCCCTTAACTAAGAAGGAGAAGTCTATTAAAAAGCGTAGCAAAAAGATATAATAAAAATCATCATTTTATTAGATATAAACAAAAAATATAATCAATTAAATTACAACAATGGAGGTCAGAGGCAGAGCTGGCACCTTGTGCATGACTTAATATGAACGTGAATAATTTTTAATTACTTCTGAGCTAGAAGGATTAGCAATTGCTGATGAGTCGCAAAATGGCGGCGACACTATCGATCAGATGCCTTAAATCCTTTAAAATGAACTAAGAAATTCCAGTAAATAGTAAAGCTTATAATGCAGTAAAATGATCAACTCAGGCACTGCAGATTCTAGCTAGCAATCAAACTAAAATTGATTCCTTAACAAATGACTTAGTAATATAGCTATTTAACAAAATTCTAGACTAATAACTAACTAACTAGAACAATTAAAAATTTTCATTCATATTTTTAAGCAAATACTAACTAAAAACCATTCAAACTTAAATATCAAATTAACTCTTTCATCATCGCGCTATTAAATATTTTGTAAAATAAAACTATTTTAAACATCCACATCCACATCCAAATACTTAAAAATTTATTCATGAAATTCATAACCAAATTTTGATGAATTCTATTTATTTACTCTAAGTAAAATGAAAATAGACTAAACAAGCAGATTAATAGATCTGAATTATTCAAGCATCTGTTTTTAATACATGCTAGCTGTCAAATATAAATTAAAAAAGTTAAAAAAAAAACCAATCAATCAAAAGATTCTTTGAAAGTCTAAAAACTGAATCAAATACATAAACTATAAATCTATAAGTTCTAAATAATCAAAAATCTTCAATCTAAAATTATTTATAATTACCATTTCCTAAAAACTAACAAGTATCTACACTTCGTATGGGCAGTAAATCAATCAGACTTTATGTTCCAGCACATAAATTTACAAATTACTAATTACTGTCCTATTAAAATAATTAATTACTTATTTTTTTAAATTTTTGATTCTTGGTTATAGTTGTCCTTCCCTCGAAGTGCATACATATCTGACTGACTGATTAATAGAATAGAGTCTTTTTTTCCTGGTTATTTCCACTTTACAAGTAGCTAAAACAGATATTAATTATTTATATATATCACAAACAATCTGCTATGGTCGTTATTGCTGTTACAGACTATTTATACGTAGTCATATATTATTTATCTCATCTAATTAAAATTTAATAAATATATATAAATATAAAATATATTAACTTATTGTATATATAGCTTATTTATCTCAACTTGTTTTTTAATCCCTCATTTTAAAAATTTATCTTGCTTATAAACCTAAAAAATTTTTAAAATTAGCCTAAAATATTTTAAGATGTTTAGTTTAATACAGCTTATTCCCTGGTATTGCAATCATGCTATTTTAAATTAAGTGAACTTCAAGAGTTTATATTCTTTTAAAACTTAAGTAGATAGATTGATAGATAGTTGCTGAATGAATATTCTTCGTTTTTTGGTTAAGTGGTTTATTAAATTGAAGGAATAATATTCATTATATAAACTAGTTTACACTTTAATGCTCTGCAAAAACTATAATTAAAGATACACAAAAAAGATAAAGTTCTATTTAAAGCACTATGACTTCTACTATAACATATTCAATAAATAGTAAGTTAACTAAAATTAAACAAATAAAAAATATTTTTCAATATCAATCAATAAAAGAGTGAATACTTGTTCATTAATTTTCCAAAAAACTCCTTAAATACATTAAATTAAAATTAAATGTATTAGTTTTCTTCTAGCAAAACAATCCATGAAAAAAAATTTCTAATTTGAATTAAAAATCTCTCTATATTATCTCAGCTTATAAATTTAATTGCTTTATTTTTTAGTTTTTTGTGTTTTTTTTTAAATATATGGTAGTCAGTCTCTCACATACATCAATCAATAAATTTTACTGTCTTGTTTTTCATAATTTATAATACATACATGTAATGCTATTTTTTTAATTATATTCGGATTTTAATCAAAATAATTACATTCCTTTCTCAATCCAATCCAATCATTTAATTTCTTTTATATAAGCATTAACAAAATAAATTGAGGATAATTCTTCTAAGCTAGCAGAATTTTTCCATTAAAGTTCCTTAAAAGGTTTTAAATCTACTCATTTTCCTATGAAATTCGGAATAAGAAAAATTTATTAATTAACAATATTTTTAAAAAAAATATATTTTCTCTGCGTAGATGTACTTGAAATTTAAAATGTCTCTTACCAAATGAATAAAAAATAAATAATTCATTCAGAAAAGTAAAAATATCTGTAAAATTAGCAATCGGTATGGTATTAGGGGTGCCTAATAACTAAAGTTTTTTTTTTTCCAGTTTTAATTAACTTAACTATTACTTTACAAGGTATAAATAGAAAGTTAATTAAATCATCTATCCCTTTTCTTTTATCTTTACATTGTAATAAATTAAGAATTTATTTAATTTGCAAAAATTCTTCACCAATAATGAATTATAAATTGATCATTAGAATGATGCCAAAATGATGCAATCCAAATGATGTCATATGTGAGTTAATTCTTTTAAATACTTCCTTCCAAAAATAAAATAAACTATTTACAAATAAATATGCATTGATTTTTCCAATAAAATATGTACAAAATAAAAATTTGTCAAAATAAATCTACTTAATTTACTGAATCATTAAAAGTATTGAAATTGGTTCATTATAAAAAACATAAATCAGGTAATTGAATGGATCAAGTGAACCTAAAAAATGCATAATATAGAAACCTTTTTATGAAGTACTATAGAGTTAAATATTCGCCATTTAAATCTCCTAATTGTCAGAACATCACAGAATATTATTACAGTAAATTTATTAAATTTAATTGGAGCAGGACTGTTAGAAACTTAGTTCTATTGATATATTTATTTAAGATCAATTAAATTTGTTAAAATTCTAGATTTATTTTAATTATTTAATTCAATTTAGAGTATTCTCAAAAGTTGTAAGTGCGCTATAAACCATGCTAACAATATATATTATTTGCTCTTTGAATGGTATTATTGAACTTATACAGCAATTTTAAATAAAATCTAATTCTTTTTATATGTATGTGAGCATCTCTCTATCCTCACAAAGAAACTTTTAAATATCCTGTTCTATAAGCACTAGTAGCTCTCTTATTTTACGGTTAAGAATGGTATCTTTCTCTATGCTATAAATATAATTCTTATTTTATTAGCCAGCAAGGAACTCTTAGTCGGATATGAGCTTTTAGTTAACTTACTCTAAAAACAAAAATATTTATACAACATCATTGATTACACTTTTATTTGTTATATGAAGAGAAACAAATTCTAGAAAATCACACAATTAATCAGTAGTTTTAGCCTTCATCCAGCTTTCTTTTTACCCCTCAGCAAATTTATAGCTTTCTTCCATATTTTGTTAATTCAAAAGTTTTTTATTTGAAAATTTTAAATAATTATAATAATTTTTTAATATATTTACAAATTATCTTTAGTAAAAAGTAAATTAACTCTGAATGAATTTCAGTGTATTCAACAATTATTATTTTATTTAATTTTTTATGTTCAAACAATTTAGCTCACTTTAAATTCCTAATTTAATAATTTTACAGCAATTCAAAGCAAAAAATAAAAAAACATCTAAATCAATTAAAAAATATTTTAATTTTAGAAATGAATTAATAAAAATATTTAAAAAATAATTTATATGATTTTATTAGTTAATTGTTACCGTTTATTACTAAAATAGCTTTTGAATGCAAATTCTTATCTAATTTGTTAGTAAAAACGAATTTTTTGTTAAAAAAGATTGAAAAAAAAGATTATTAAAAAGGGCCATTTTAAGATTATTAAAGTATTAATAGAACTTCAATAAAAATTTACTACAGAAAGGCTTAAAGTTAAATTATAAAGCAAGCTATTAAGAAATAAAGCCTTCACTATTTATTGATCAGACTTTATTTTTATTTTAATGTGGGATGATTAATTGATGGATGAAGAAGAGCTAGAGTTGCTCTCATTTTGCTATTTTTTTTTAGGCGTTCTTTTGCCAGGATTTTGGGGATACTTATTTATAGAATATTCACTTGACCCTTTGCGTTATAATGGTCAGTAGGAAAATTGCCAAATATTAGTAAATTGGGGACTAGTAGCGGGAACTGTCTTCCTTATTCATGCATGTTTTTACATGATTATGAGTACTTTAGCTTGTCTTGGAGCCAGAAATTCCTGGTATACTAAATTTATTAAAGTTGCTACTTTTGAAGATAATTATTGGAGATCATTTGTGCTAACTTTCTCCCTTCTAGGTATATTTGGTATGCTAGGAGTTCTTAATAAGTAATTTGAGGATTAGTTCCTTCTTTGCGGAGATTTATATAAATTAGTAAACACATTTTTCATTTAAGTTTAAAATTAAACAATTCAACTTCATAGTTATCATTACTACTTATTTATTGATACAAATTATGCAAATACTAACTTAGTATAAAAAGATATTAGAAAAACGCATTTAATTAAAACCATATTATTTTTTTGTAATATTTCTAAAAAAATTTTATTTTAAATTATAGTCAGAGATGTTTTATTATGTATTCTTTTCCATAGTGGCATCTTTTGCTATTATAGCTTGCTTAATTTAATGCTCATATGAAAATAATATGTTTGAAGAAGAAGATGAGTAAGAAGTTTTAAATGCTCGTAGAGCATAGAGAAGACGTCGTCGTCAATAATAAAATAATAGAAATAATAGAAATATACTTCCACCAAATATGGCACCATAAAATCAAATTTAATATTAAAATTAAGAAGAAGAGGAAGATGAGTATCAATATAACCCTTAGGATTTTGATAGTGACTAAGAATAACATTAAGCTTAAGTACGTTAAGATGAAGATCATGAAAATCTATTATGAAACAATTTTAGAATTAACTTGTAAATATGAAATATATTTTCATAGCATATAAATTAAGAATTTTACAGAAAAGTTTAAATTAAAATGTTTAAAAATAAGTAAGATTACATTTTTAACTAAATAAACAAACAAACAAAAAATCAAAGATAATCAGTATTATGGACAATATAATTATATTCTGAAATAAATAATTAATTATTTATTGCCTAATTATATCAATTTATAAATTAATATACTTTATCTTGATATGAAAATAATAGTTCAAGTTTAAATATTTTAAATTAAATTACAAATATTTTTATTCATTTTTATTATTTTATATCAATATAAATTAATATAAATTAGAAGAATTTTAATATAGAATAGCAGCATTTATGTTAATTTTATTATTATTTAACAATTTTTTATTGATATAATTATTTTATTTTATCAAATTATTTTAATTCTTATTTGTAATATTTTTATATTTAGTGGAATTAATTACTTTAATCAATTAGACAAATAAATATAAAGTAGAAACAATTAAATTTTTTCTAAATTAAGATCCTTCAAACATTAAATTTTATTTCTAAGCGATATGTCTAGACATTCTAAGAATAATACATCTACAAGCGTTTTTACCTATAGAGAGAGGTAAATGATTAAAGATTATGGAACATAAAAAGCTAGGATAGGAAATGATTCTTGCAAAAAATTTGATCAATGCAATTTATGTTTGCTAAAAGTTTAAGATCCATTAACTTGTAAAGATGGGCACATATTTTGTAAAGCATGTATTGTAGAAAACTTAGTCGAATAAAAAAAAGAAATAGCAGTAAAATAAGAAAAATATCAGTAATTTGTTGAAGCAGAAAAAAGGGAATAAGAAAAAAAATCTTAATAAAAATAATTGGAGGAAATTGAAAAATTTGAATAGGTGGAAGATGGAAGAGTTAAGAGCTCTCTTGAGTCCATCAAGCCAACAACAAAAAAAGTCACAAACTACATAAGTATTTTTCAAATTTATTGGTTTTTTCATATAAATTATTATTACTACAGTTTAAAGTTAGTTTATGAATAAACAACAAATTATTTATAATAAATATATGTATTTTATCTAATGATTTTATTATAGACTGGTTACCTGAAGATAATAACTTGAAATAAAAAATGGAAGAACCTAGCAACAAGTTAATATGCCCAGGAGATAAAAAAAAAGAAATTAAAATGAAAACATTGTATTAAGTTGATATAAAGTTTGCTGGAGATTAAGCTGTATGTCATGCATGTTAAAAAGATCTGGGATTTTAAAAAATGTGTTTATCAAAAAAGTGTGGTCATTTACTTTGTAAAACTTGCTTTGATAATGACATAGCTAAAACTTGGAGATGCTCAGTCTGTTTAAAAAAGTGTGATAAAGATGATATTATTTATTTACAAGAATCTCTTAGCTCGTACTCATTCCACAATAACGTAGAATCTGTAAAATTCTCTTCAACAGCAGCAATTTGAGGTTAATTAAAATAAAATAAATTTAATAAATAACCTGCTTTTATTATTTTGCAGATCAGTTAGATTATAAGGTTAATTAATGATATGGTTTAAATGTAATATTTTCTTATGTAATTATTTTTTATATGCAATATTTTTAATAAATTATATAATTAATATACACAAAAGCTATTTATAAAATTTATGATGCTTATATTTATTTACTTTCCCAAAAAAAAATTCATTTTAGCTTTCATAACTTTTTTTAAGTTTGCTCAAGCCTTTTAACATCAAATTAAAATCACATTTGATATATTTGTTTATAATATACATAGAAAATTTATCAATTTTAATGCTTTTTTAGGTAAGAAATATCAAATTTACATCACATTTGATGCATTTGAGAGTAACGAAATATAATTAAAATCACAAATGAGAGTAGTTAGGATTGGGTATTTAATTAATCGGCACATTAGTGTAAACTACTTATTATGGAGGAACTTGATAAACTATTGGTGGATTGCTGTGAATTATGTGAGGAACATGTAATACATTTTATTCATGAGCTAGAGTATCTACAACAGATCTTTAAATATTTGATTGCAAAACATGGCACAATTTTTCATATTCTGTCTTTAAGCGAGAATTTTATTGGTCTTGGTTTCTAATTGCTCTTTCAAGCTCGAGAACTCTCTGATGAAGTAATTCCTAAGATTCTTTAAAGAGCTTTTTCTCATTATTATGCTAGAATATTACATATTCCTACTTTTCTTTGTTATCATCCTTCAAGCGTTGCAATGCTCTTTATGCCTCCAATAGTTCTTCCTCCAAATCTTGTATTTAATCATCTTTTTAAACGTGCTTTGTTTTGTGAGATTCAATTTTCATATTTCTAACTGACAATTTGTTATGAATAGTATTGAGTTGCTATCTTTGTTCAGCAATTTCCTTCTCTAAGTTTAATATTGCAGAGTGGTACTTTTGCTCTTTATAATTTATATCTTTTACTATTTCTTGATTTTTTCTCAATATTTCTTCTCGCTAATCCTATGCTACACGATAAGCATTTTCTACATTTTTTATAGGTATTTCATACTTTCTTTGTACATCGTCTTAAATTCTAATCTTTAAATTTCTCTTTTAATCATCTCCATCCAATCTTATTTTTAACATCTGTTCACGAATTATATTTATCTTATCTTTAAGGTCCTCATTAATAGATTTGAGAGAGATATATTTCTCATCAAGACTATTATAACGACTTGACCACTCTCTAATCATATCAGTCATATTTCTTTATTAATCTTAAACAAGAATAGTCACTGCCTCAATTTAGTCTCTTTCAAGGGTAGCAACAACCTTATTATTGTTTGAAATGTGTTCCTATAATCCCTCTATTGCTTATGAGTACTTATCCTAAATATTAAAAAGTTTGTTAATTTGTAAGAAAATAATTTATATATTCTACTTGTAAAATTGACAAATCAGCCTTGACCTTTTCCAAATCATTACGAAGATAATTATTTTCGTTTACTAAATTGTTAAAATCCAACTACAACCCAGAAATGACACCTTCTTTTTGCAATACGCTATCCCTCAGCTTTAATAAATTAACTTCAAACTATTATCTAACTCTTTACTCCTCCTAAAGTTCTTGCTCTATTCTTTCCTTCATATCATTTACTCTCTTTTTCTCATTTTCTTATATTTTTAATTAATCATTTAATAAAAATTATTTAATTTTTTTAAAAACCATTTTACATAACATTTTTTCGATCTAATTCATAGATTATTTTTTATCCTGTTATTATCTACTCTAAAAATTTTAGGTATTCTATTGGCCTTCTTATGGGTAAATGTTGACACTTTAAACTGAAGCATTTTGCCTGTCTTATGCAGAAGATATGTTCATACTATTTTTTAAAGGCTGGGTATTAAAATTTTCCTATATTCTAATTGGTTCGTTCTTGTCTTATCTGGATGGTTATCTTGGTGGTCTTGGAACATTCATATTAGCAAAATTTCCACTTTTTATATAAGTATTTAATCATAAACAAACAAATAGCTTATTTGAATATTAAAAATCAACATTTTAAATTTAATTTTATAATAACTATTAAATTAAATTTTAAAGAATTTCTACCTTCTATTTCTATTCAGGATCCTGTTAACTTCGGCTATCATTTCTTCAGGTACCTTATTGCATGAAATATCTAAACTTTTTATTTGTGTATTTTTTTCGAGTCCATCTAAAATCATTTCGGCTCCCTTAACACCAATGTCATTCCACTTAAGATCAAGTGAAAGCAAATTTTTGTTTACTTCAAGAATTTTTGAAATGATATAAGCCCCATCTGAATTAATGTTATTGTTTTTCAAATCAATATGAGTTATGTTTGAGCAATAATCAAGTAAATTTAGCAGTGCTTAAAGACCTTCTTAACTGTCCTATCCTATTTGATTCCATTCTAAATGGAGTTCTTTCAAATTTTGGTTTCCTTGAAGAGCTTTACAAATTATTGCAAACCCAGTTGGTGTTATATTATTTCCTTTAAGCTCAATGGTCTGGAAGCGGTTAAATTTACTGAAAAATTCCGCTACTATCTAACAATTTTGTTCATTTAAGATAACATCGTTCAAAATGAGATTTTGCTGTTTTTCCTATTCCTCTAACTTTATTTAAAGTCTTCTTGCTATTTATAAAATAGAATTATGCTTATAATTCCTCCAAGTATTTTGCTTAGTTAGCTTATATATAAATATATAAATAATTACTGCTCTAAGACATTTCTGTTTCTACTAAATTAATATTTTTATTAGATATTTAAGTTTCACTGTTTTTGAATTTAACAAATACTCAAAAATAAAAATTTCTTTCTTTTATTTATGTGATGAAAGTTGAATATTAAACATTCATTTAGATCTATCTTACTATTAAATAATAGTAATGATCCAAAAGCAGTCATAGATATCAAGATACATATATAAAAACATACTTTGATTATTTTTTTCAAAAAAATTTAAATTTACTTATTTATTAGCTGGTTTCTAATTAGCCTCAAAGCTGCTGATAAAATTAAAAAAAACTTTTAATCCATTAATAAATCTTAATAGTTTTAAAAATACATTGAAATTGATTGTTTTTTGATTTATAGATTGTTTATACAATTAAATTAAAATAATTTACTCTATTTATATAAATATAAGCAGTTAAAATACACGGTAGAAGTATTGATTCATTTTATTTAAAATATTTATTAGACTATATTAACAATTATTAAAATTATTTCAAAAATTTTGGTTATTATTTTAGGTTTTTTCAATTAAAAATGTTTTTGACTTTTAAGGTTCTCCAAAATAAGGAGCACTAGACACAAACGAGTTATCAACTAATTAGTTATTTTCACTTTAAGAAGATGCAGATTTATCTCTATTTGTTCTTAAAATATTAATAATACAAAAATGAATAGACTAAATTATTATAAATTTACCTATTTCTTGTTTTCTGCTATGAGTTTGTAGATTTTTTAGGGATTTTAGTTGGCTAAGGATTGTTAGAAAAGGAAAATCTTAGTTAATCTTTGGAACTATCAAAATTTGTTAACTCTGTTTAAGCCTTTATATTATTTTAACTCACTCTTTAATCAACACTATCGGAATTTATTTCACTTTTTCTGTGTCTTACTAAATTATTTGAACTTTTTAAATTATTTTAATTTAAAATACCTCTTTTATGTTAATATTTTACTTATTTCTGTTCTTACTGTTGTTTCTTAGTTGTTATCTTTTTTAAAACTAAGTTAAATGACCCTAAAGTAAAAATATAAAATCAGAATAATTTAAGTTTAATTTAAATTTAGTTTTTATTTTAAAATATTTACTTTTTCTTAAATGTAAACTGAATTTTTAACATCTATGTATTAAGTATTTGTACTAAGGCTTCTTTTGTTGTGATTTAGAGTATTTTTAGGTATTAAATTAGTTTCTTCTTCTTCCTCATATTCGTTCACATCTTTTGTTTTGTTTAGAATTAGAAAATCTGATTTCAGCTGATTAACTCTTTTAATGTCTTTAGTCAAAATGGTAGTTTTTTTAGAAGTTGTAGATAAAGGTTGTATAGAAGGGAGAGAGAAGTCGTCATTTTGCACAGGAAAATTTATTTAAGAATGGTTTGCTTTCATTGTATTTTGATTTGAATTTTAGTTTTGAACGTTTTCAAATATGGAAGTCATGTTAATCATTTTTTCTGTTATAGTTTTCTATAATTTTTTTTACTTATCCAAAACGAAAGAATCATTTTAGCTGTTTCTTTTTGTATGATGCATATTCTATTATTAGTTTTATATCTTAGGACCAACTATTGTTGATGGTATTTAGTTTTCTGGTTTTTTATTAGTTTAAAGCAAGTAAACTATTTACTGATTTTGAAGTTTAGGTACTGAAGGAAGATACCTTTTGCTTTGATTTTAGATAGTTTCTGATTAATTAATCAATTAACTCTTCTCTTTGAGAGGAATTATTTTATCTTAGTTTGTAAATTTTCCATTTAATAATGCATCATTATTTTCAAAGTCAATATCTTGCAATTACTCTTTATTGTTATCTACTTAATTTATATACTATGGACTATTTTATTGTGATATAATAGCTTTATTTGGACTAGTTTTTTGAATATACTATGGATCATTCACACTGATAGTTTATTTTTGTACCTAAGAATCAATAGGAGTATTCTGCAAAAAATCTTATACTTAAACACAACTAGTTGAATCATTTTCAATGACCAGCTATATTTTTGAGTGATCTACAATCTTTACATTGCTGTTTGTTATATATTAAATGTTAAAGCTTTGTTATTATCTATTGATTTAAGGGTCGTTTTCTTTTTACATATTTTAATTTTCTATGTTTATTTAAGAATTTATTTATTATTTGTTTATTTTTTTTATTTTTTTCTTTGGTTGAATTTATTCCTGCTATAAATCTATTTGCTTTATTTATTCTAATGGCTAAACTATTTGCTAAACTTAATGATTGTGTAATTGTTAGTTAGATTAATTATTATACTAAGCTTGGCTTTGATTAAAATTATCTGATTATTAAGGGAAATATATATTTTAAATACTTTACTAGTGTGAATATGGCTGCTAAATAACTTATAAGGGGTTTTAATTTTATAAATATAATTATTTTTGTTGGAAGGCTTGTTGAGAATTAGAGTTGTTTATTTAGGGTTGTAAATAAACTACTGGTTATGTTTAAATAATTTATTAACCCTTTTGATGAGGATAGATTATTTGCTGATGTGGCTGTACAATCTGCTAATAATTTTAATTATTTTATAAAATAGCTTATTAAAGGTTAGTGTTTGAAGCTTAAATTTATTATTAATTCTATTAATGTGGGAGATATTAATGTTGATACTAATTATTAGTGTTTAAATATTATTGTTATTATCTTTATGGATCAAATTACTGATTAGGAAATGGTAAATCATTATATTAGAACTATGAAACTTAAGGATAATTTTCAGCACATAGACTAGAGTTTTTTCGAATTTGAGGACTGCTAGCTTCAATCGAAGTATTTTATTAAATTTAACTAACCTTTTTATTATTTTTTTAAGCTTATTTCTCTTTTCCTCCTAAACCCTTAACGAGAGACATTTAGTATGGCTGTTAGATTTAGAAGTAAAGTAAGTTAAAAAAGTTCTTATGAAATTTATTACGCTTTTAGACTTGTTTGTAATTGGTGATGGAGTTTTAGATTTTTTATTATCATTTTTGAGCTGAATACTCCCTTAATCGTTTTCTTCATAGTTACCGAGTTATGAAATGCATCTAAAGATATATTTTTATAACATTTTTATTTTATATTTCATTATACTGCTTATTCATAAATATCAGCGAATAATTTCATCATTAAGATTAATCTATAAATTTTTTTGTAATTTTTACATAGATTCATTTACAGAAATACTTTAAATATCCAACAAATCGTACAATTTGTTAGTTGCAATTGTAAACTTTGGAGGCAAATACTTCTGATCTTCCATTAACTTCATGTAGTATATAATTTTAGCGAATTTGTTTTTGAAGGAAGAATCATTTTCACTCTCTGATTAGAAATAATAAATAAAAATATGTCATAAAAATAAATTAATATAAGGCAAAATAACAAAAATGTATTTTTTAAATTATAAGATAATACTACTAGAAATATAGCTGCATAACTTGTCTGATATTAGACCTACAAGATTGATTAAAAGATTATTATAGCGACTTTCTTGCTTTCTTAGAGCAAAACCACTATAAATTGACATGCTTGTTTCTTAATTAAATAGAATATTTCTTGTATAAATTGTTATGAATTCATATGGTGTAATTTATTTTTAGATTTCTTTATCTAATTAAGTCAGCTTAGTATTGACCAATTATTTTATTAGTAATCTATAAGATATTTTTCTAAAAACACTTTTGATTCTTGATTTTTTTTTCAATAACTAAAATAAAGAGAAAAAATCAAATTTGAAGCTTTTAAAAATTAAGTTAGAAGAAAAGAATTTTAAGTAGACTTTAAAATGATAAAAACACTGTTATAGATATATTTTTTAATTTATATTCTTGTGCTTTTACACAAAGTAACTGCATAAGTAGATTTACCATTGAACTTATAAAATTTTATAGTGTAGAATTGTATTAATGATTGTAAGACAAATTGTTAATAAGGATAATCAAGAATGTAAATATTAGGAGGTAATCAAGGCGCTGTTTAAGGAGTACCAATAATAACTTATTAATAGTCTAATATATAGGCATTTTATGAAGCCAAATTAACATTTAATATTTATTATATCCAAAATTAAAACATAAACTCTTTAGTAGTATTCTAAAATTAGAATAATTGTACAAAATCAGGGTAAACTTTTTAACCTTTGGGTACTATAACTTAATAAACTGATATTTACTAGGGATAAACTCTTTAATACAATATATCGAATTCTAGTTAACTAAACCTAAAAATTGTAATTTTAAATAAAGTAAAATAATAAATATTTGATAAATTGATTTTTTTATGAATTAGTTTTCATCACCAAGTCTTTAATTTGGAATTGATCTTTAGTCTATTAAGTTAACTGTAAATTATTGCAAGGACCCACTATGCTCAGTTTGTGACTCTAGTTCTTGCTCATAATGCAAAGATAATGGTAAAAGAAAATTACAAATTGATAAAAATAATTCTAATAGAATATTTTTTAAAAAATTTAACAATTTACCAGATAAATCTTATCCTAATCAATGATAAATTTTATTAATATTTATGTTTCAAACATTTTTTCTTTTAAACTAAATAATTAAAAATATTTATAATAGCTTAAATTGTTTCAGGTTCTTGTGTTTGCTAAGATAAATATTATTGGGATGATGATTTATAAAGTTGTTTGTAATGTGATAGAAAATGTAAAAAATGCTAATTCTTTTCTGATAATTGTACTGAATGTGATGGTAACAATAGAGACATAACTTAAAAATGTGCTTGTTTTTCATATTTTTAAGAAATATATGATTAAACAAATAATTCATTTAGCTGTAAATGTTTAGATACTGATAATAGAATTTAGTTGCAAGGTAGTTAGCAGTGTGTTTGCAAATCAACACAATAAACTACTGGTTATTTTTAATTAAGAGACTAATAAAAATGTGAGTAGTGTGCATAGTATTGCTAGGTTTGTGATACGTATCCCTCAAAATGCTCATAATGCTCTTATAATCGTGATCCTAATAACGGATGCAACTGTTTATGTGGATTTTATAAATAGTTTCCTACTTCTGACTCTTGTGTCTTACTCCCTAAATAATCAAGAGAATTATCAAACGGATAATGTAAATGCAAGCAAGGATTTTATGAAAATAATTAGCCTGATTGCGATAATTGTCTTCAAAAGTGTGTAACTTGTGTAAATAAAAACTCTTGCTAAACCTGCCAACAAGGTAGAGATATCAACAATGATTGCTAGTGCTTAATTGGATACTATGAATTTACTCCTCTTGCTCCTACTTGTGGAAGTAATTTTTAAAAAATAAACAAAATTTAAATTTAACCTTTGCAAAAATAAAGACTTGTTTTATTTTAATTTATTAAAATGGAATTAGAAATTTGTTTGTTTCATTAATAAATGATTGTAATTTTAAAAAATTTAATCAAATTAATAAAACAAAAACATGTTTATCAATAGATTATCAATTAATAAAAAACAAAAATAATTTCATTTTACAATGAATTATAAGTTTATTTTAAAAATTAGAATGTGATTACAAATGCTCAGAATGCATAACAAGTGCAAATAATTGTACAAAATGCAGAGGAGATAGAATAAACGCACCTTAGTGCTAGTGTCCCATCTTTAAATTTGATAATAATTAAGAAAATTGTCTAGACTGTGATTTAACTTGTTAAACATGTAGTGGAAGTAGTCCAACTAATTGCTTAAATTGTATGAGTGATAGAATATTTAATCCTTCAAATAAAAGTTGTGAATGTAAATAGGGACTATATCATGTTTTCAAACAAAGACAGTGTGGTCAATGCTCTTAGGAGTGTCTTACTTGTGTGAATAACAAATTTTATTGCACTTCTTGTAAATTCCCAGAAGATTTTCTATTTGAAGGCAACTGTTATTGTGATAAAAATAACACTTCTAAAATAAGATAACAAGATGGTAGTTGCTCAGAGCCTAATTATCTTACATTTTAAATTTATTCTACTATAGATTAAATTAAATTTTAGAATTTAATAATTATTGAATTTGACGAGGATTTAATTTTAGATGATTAAATTAAACAAAAACTGTAATAAATTTTATAGATTTAACAAACTAAAATATACAGAAACCTAAAGTAGACTAGCTTTGAAGATAAAACATATTTTTAAAATTCAGACCCCTAGTTTGCCTAGTTTATTGATAATCAAGCAGGCTAAAGAAATTTGTAATAATTTAATGCACAGTTTATATTTGAGAGCATCACCAGTAACTCAGTGAAGTTCAGAGTTGTCTCTTCTGAAAGTTTTTCAGATTTAGATCTCAAAATTACGTTAAAAAACACAGAATTTGCTATTTCAAAAAGCAAAAAAAGATTATCTAATGCAAATATTGCTAAATTTTGGAATATAAATCTGGCAAACTAATACAATTTAAACAGTGATTAAACTCATACACAATAGCAATTATAGACTATGGAGAGTATTAATAATTTAACTTTTTTTGGAGTATTTTAGCACCTTTATTTATATTTTATACTAATGCCAGGCTTTTAAATTATGGCAATAATCCAGATACTTCCAATTTAACTACCTCCTAACTTGTATAATGTTTGTAGAATGTTCAATCTCTTAACCTTTTAAGTCAATTTTGAATGGGGATTACTTAATTATAACTAATAAAATACAGTTTACAATAAAGCTATCTCTTCATAATCTGAAGATAATGCTATCCCATAAAATTTTAGGAGATTAGGATTTTCTTCTAATTTTTTTAACAACTGTCTTGAAATAATTATTTTGATCATAATTATGATAACGATTACCTTTATATTATATTTATTATACTCTCACACTTAAGATAAGCTTTCAAAATTATTTTAGTATAAATCGTACATTACAAAGGCATTTAATTTCTCTCATAATGTTATCTCTTACTACATAGAAGCAACCATTTTCTTCCTTATAATAGGTTTTTGGCTAAATGCGATCTATGTATAAAAGTAAATTTATTTAAATATGATTTAACTATTTTAAAATATTATTTTTGATAAAATATCTTTTAATTTTAAAACCCAATCTTTCTATTTGTAAAATTTTAATTTATTTTAAAATTAAAAAAAATATTTTCAAATATTCATTATATTTTTATTAAAAAATTAAATTCAAAAACTGAAAATAATTTTTAAAAAAATCTGTTAGAAAAATTTGTAAATATTTATTTATTTATTTAATTTATTTTATTAATGAAATATAGTAATGGTGTTAACATTTTCGGATTAATTTTTTCTATAGCTGTCGTTATATTTTTAGGTTACTTTTTTACTTATTAAGCTTGTTTAATCCAACTAAAAACAGATATGGTTGCAAACAGGCATATGAGTAATTTTTTGCTGATTTGCTTTTGGTATCAAAAATTTTTTAAACTCTTTAGATATGTAAAAAAGGTGTTGATTTTAAGCATTTTAGTGATTTTTAACTTTTCTCCTATATCGTAAATGGTATTAATAATGCTGGTTTTTTTTACTTTTTTAGTCTTGAGCATAGTTATAAGACCTTATATGTACAAGGTAGATAACATAATTCTAATTTTAAATGATTCTATATAAGCTATATTATCTGTGCTTTTGCTTACAATTACTATATTGTATGAAAAAAAGATAAATAGTGCTTTTATAATTAGCTAAGTTAATATAAATTAGTACATTATTGTAGGCTGGGTTGCAGTTAGTTTTATTTCTTTATTTGCTATTTTAAATGTTTTTTATCAGCTGTATAATTTGAAACGTATTTTTGATTTTATTTTTAAAGATATTCACAAAAACTAATTCCCATAGAAAAACAACTAAAGCCCAGATCAATCAATTCTTAGGAAAACTTTAAATTAAGAGCAACTCTATGGGATAGAAAATATTTAAGATGAGATAATTTAGCAAGCTGATAAGAATTATCTTGAATTTCTTAAAAACTAAAGATTATAAAAGCTATTAGATGATGAAAAAAGAAAATATTTTGAAAATGTAACTCTGTAAAATTAAAAATAGTCTTTAACTCCTGATTAAATGAGATATATCAAGGCTTTAAATAGAAACTCAATTTATTAAAATTTTGAAATTAATCCTGCAAACTAATAAATAAACAACAAAACAAATGTATAAGTTGGTACTTAAAATTATGTGAATAGTTCTTAAACAGACATAAATTAAATATAATTTTAGGCTACTAATTTTTAATAACCTGAAGTAAGATAAAATTATGAACCTTAATATTTAATAGAATTAGTGACTAATTAGAACTATGATCAAGTTTAAAACTAAAATATAAATTAAAATTTCATAATTAACCCATATTTGAAGAATATGAGAGTAAACTAAGCTGAGAGTCCAAAAGATTAATTTTAAACACTTGAAAATGAAGAATTGGAAGATTTTAACTATGAGCCAATATTTTCATAAAACAGTGCATCTAATTATTAAGTACCTTTAATTAACAACTTAGAGCAGTAGTCTTATTAATAACAATAATAAATTTAATATCAATTAGAATAGAATATTACCAATTAAGCCAATAATTAAAACTAAAATATTTAGTAAGGCACTTAATAATTCATTAAGTAAAATGAAAATGAAAAATAGACTGAGGTTTTATAAATTAAACCAATATAAAACTAAAATGAAATGAACATTGATAAAATTAATGAACTACAAAAACAGTAATAACAAATAATATAAACTCTTCCCTATAAAGAATAAAATCAAGAAATTAATGATTAAGCTTAAATCTAAAATAATAATCAAAATCATGAAAACGAAAATATTAATAATAACTTACAAAATGAAGGAGACTATCAAAATTAAAATGCTTACATACCCTAATAATAACCTTTCAGTCATAATTAACTTGATGTCATTTAAGAGAATTTTAATGAATAAGATTCAAATTATTATTCTCCTGATTAAATTATTTAGCGTATTTCAGAATATAAAAAGTCAAATAATTGAATTAAATTTTTGATGTATTTTATAAATACAAAAAAGAAAAAATTAATAACTGTTGAAAGTAAGTTTTATTTTTTTATTTTTGAAGAAAAATTTTCATTTAAATATTATTTTAATTTTATTTCAAAGCATTAAATTTCGTTTTTTGTAAATCTAAATGACATTTTACTCTATTTATTTATTTTTTGTTAATCACAAAATGTTTATACAAAAATATTAATATTTTAAAACCTTATTTATAAAAAATATAATAAATGAGAATATCATATTTTTCTGTTATCATAATTAGAGACCAATATAGTTAAGTTATTAACTTATTGGTAGATCTTACTTTAAAAAATTATCTTCCCTTATGATTAAAAACTAAAATTTGAAATAAAAGGTAAAATTTAAGAAAATTTTATGGTCTGGTGGTTTATCTTCATATAAAAAAACTATGATATTTATTATTTAAAAAAATAAATCTTATCAAATTTAAAAGATACAAAAATACAAATATAAATAAAATATTTATATTTAATTTCATTCGATTGTAATTTATTAATCTTAGGTTAATAATCTTTTTTCACGCTCTGTATATTCTATTTCTTAATCCTAAATATATTCTGACTTTTTTTCATCGATTTGTAAAAGGAAACGTTTCGAATTTGAGTTTTTCGTAGACGATCTATTAGTAAAGAGTGTATGTGAATGTATTCTAGGAGATAATTTTTAGAAAATATTTCTTGAAGAATCTGTCTCTTAAAAAGAAAATTTGGATTTGTTTGTTTTATCTAAATATTTTTAAATTTTTTCAATTTAAATTTTTGATAAATCTCCTTTTAAAACAATCCTTCTTAACATTCTCCAACTATTTATTTTAAAATTTTGATTATATTTATAAAATTTATAATATTTAAATTAAAATACTTTCTAAAAACTTTGAAAGGCTCATATTCTTGGTTGTAAACTAAATTATAAACCAACATATTGTTCTTAAATAATTTATTTTAAATCCACTTTTTGTTTTTTACAAATTTGTTTATCATGAATTTCAGTAATGTAACAACGCATTTTTTTTTCATTAAAGTGTAAGAGTTCCTTTTGAGTATCGCTTATATAAAACTCATAGCTAGTTGTCCTAATATTTAAATTTTATATTATTTTACTATTAATTTATTTATTTTTATTAATAAAATATACCAAACATCATGAATAGTAGTACTATCAAGATTGCTGAAAAGACATATTTAAGGATTTCATTGTTATTTAATTAATCAAATAAACCAACCCAAAAAATTAAAAGGGCATAGGTGGCTGAATTTTATTCTAATCTATTTATTTTATGATCTTAGTATGGCTTAAAAATCATCAAACAAATGCAATAAATCGACTAGACAAAAATTACAGATATAAGCTGAATCACAGGTTCACTATTAAAATATGTTGAAAGTAATAAAACAATAGTTTTGTACCAAGTTTTAGCAAATTCCCACCACCAAGTATTTCTCTTAAAGCCTTAGAAGAAATACCCATATCTTCTTATGATGCTTGTCGAGGTGCTATCATACATTTTTGAATAGTTTCTACATAAAATGTAAAGCATAGCTAAAGGATAAATTACAATAACTAATATCAAAACTGGCACAATTAAAAATATTATGTAAAAATTATGCTCTGAGGTATAGCATTCTTGATTCATTTAGCTTTTCATATAGAATGTGGTATCAAATTTTTCACAAAAGATAATTTATAAAGCTGCTTAATAAATGTTTTACGTAGCTAAATATGAGAATACAATAATAGTACTAATAACCATATTAATATTATCATATTTGGTTTAAGAGTAGCTTAAATTTTGAGGGCTAAAATATGACATTCCTAAAAATATAATTTTAACTACCAAGTAAATTAAAAGCAAAAATGAAGCAGGAAGCACAAAAGAAATATAAATAAATCTTATGTATTAAAGTGGAATACCAATATTTATTTCACTAAGACTACAATCTACTGAATACAAAAACAATAATATTGGCTGTGATGTTGCTTAAGGCAATGTAAATAAACTGTCAAATAGATCAGGAAAAGAAAGACCTATATTAGATTTAAGAGCTGTTATAATGTAGAATTGATTTATAAAAATCTTTGAGATAACTGACTATTAGAGTATAAACTATGAGACTCCCATCTATAGAAGTTTGAGAGAAGAAATTATTTTAATTTAGCTCATTTTACAATTACTATTCTAGGATTCTACGATTAAATAAACAAGATAACACAATATACCAATCAGAACTAAAATTTATTTATAAGCGTTGTTTTTTATTGATGAGCATTTCTCACATAATACACTTTTTTAGGATATTCCGCTAACTCTACCATACTATTCGCCCCAAATCTAGCCATAATTATCACACGCAGAGCATAAAGCCCCTGTGTATCCTTAAAAGCAATATCCCTTTGACTCATCACCATTGCAAACATTTACTTCTGTATCGCATTAAAATATCTAGTCTGAGTTATTATTAATTCTCCTATTTATTTATATTTTTATTTATTTATGAAAAAGTAAAAGTAAATAAATTTCTTTTAATAAAGCTGCTCTTCTTTTTATTTAATTTGGTTAAATTATTTGGAATAAAATAAACAAGCTTAATAATTATTATTTAATTACCAGTAATTTTCTCTTAAATTTATTTAATTTAATTGGCAAGATGTTGTTTATGACAGATCACAGTTTTTGCATGATATTTATTCATTCATTTTAGGCTCAATAAGAGAATAAGTACCATTTAAGCATTATGTACACTCATATAATAAGCAATCTTCACATAAGGAGTTATAGTATTCTCCAACCTAACAGCCTCTAAAATGTATTAGAATATTTATGTTATCTACATTAATAAAATGATTAGTTGAGTTTAGAGTCTTCATTCCACCTAACGATAGCATTAAAGCTGAATTATTTGATGGAACTCCTGTGATTTTGAGGCTGTTCATTAAGCATCCAATTTTGTTCTTAGAATGATAAGCATAATCAACTAAAGTAGCACCTTCTATTTTAATAGTTTCTTACTGTAATGATGTAGTGTTCTCCTAAATATATATTCTACAATTATATTGGCTTATTTCTTAAAGTAATTCAGAACTAATTTGGCTTGTTAAAGCTAATTAAACAAAAATTGTATTAATTTTTATCAATTTAAAAATAAAATACTTTGGTTTTATAAGTCAATTTGTTAAACACTATTCTTAAATTCATCTAAAAATTAAATGCTCAGATCAAAGTTGCTTAAGCCACTTCTAAAGTTGCTAAATGCTACATTAGGATAATTAGTAATGTTGATATTGAAATCTTTGCTTGGTAAAATAGAAGCGTATTGAGGATAGCTTGCAATTTAGTTACCAAAAATTATGGCTTTATTAGTTTTACAGTAATTATAACCAAATGTTTTACAAGAATCCTTTTATGAATTTGGATTTTATATTAAGAAAGAAGGCTTTTTGTTCAAATACCTAATAACTGCTCCAATCCCAGCTGTATTGTTTACAAAGCTTGATTTTGTAATTAACAAATCTGAATTATCAAGTAAAATAACACCACCACTCCTAAATTTAAAATTATTAAAACAGTTTTTAAATTGATGTAATTTATTTTGATTTTAATAAAAATAATTTTTAATTATTTGCTTTTTAATTAATAAAATTTGATAAAAAAATTAAATAATATTTATAATCATTTAAATAAAAATTAAATACCCGAGAGCATTATTATTTTAGAAGATTGAATATATGATGAAAGAATTATTTCCACCAGATTATTAAATGAATAAAGAACCTCCATCACCAGATGCTTAAGTTAATTCTAAAGTTGTGTTTGATATTGAAAATGAAGGTGCATTGCTTATATATGCAAATCCTCCATTTAGAGCAGAAGAACAACCTTAAGATTATACTTGAACTATCTATAAGTCACCTTTTTCAAAGTAAATACTACCACCTTATATAGATTAAGTATTTAAAAATTCAGATTAAGAAATATTTAAATTAGATGAAGTTGAGTAAATAGAACCTCCTTATTATAAGCTTTAATCAGCATTAAAAGATGATTCTTAAATATCAATTTAACTTCCCGATAAATAAATAGAACCTCCCTAATTAGACTAGTTGCTTTTAAATTTAGAAGTACTTATTTAGACTTAAGAGTTAACAATATTAAGAATTGAATTCAAAGGATTTTTTCCAATTGATTAATTTTATGAAAGATTTAAATTTGTTATCAAAACAATTGACTGATCAATAAGTAAACTTTATATTGCCTAGTTAGAAATGATTTAAGAATTTTATATAACACCAATATTTTATACATTGACCACTGCTAAATTAAAGAATCCTTGATTTTTACTTATAGTCAATTAATCAATAAATAATTAATTTTAAATTTCAGTTTATAAAAGTATATTAGAATTAGTTTAATCATCATTTTGGATTATTGATAGATTAGATACAGTTAAGCTATTACTTGTTACCTATAATGCTTAATATTATTTATTATTAGTAAATTTGTTATTATTTAGATTTATATTTTATATTAATATGTGGTCTTAGATTAGCAATTGGCTTATTTATAGGTAATTTTACATAATGCTAATACTTCCTTTGTATGATAAGAACATTAAATTTTTATTATTTTAAAAAATAGTGTTGTTGACTATTAAGTTTTAAATTATATAGCTTTTGATTAATGGAGTAGAGACACCCTAATTCTAAACAATATTCAAAGTTGAAAATGTTACATTTATGTAGCTTGAAATGAAAATAGGTGCAATATCTTGAGCATCTTTGTTATAATTAAATTATGATTGTTAAATTTGGAGATTATCGAAGCTTATTTAAGTAATCGAGCTGTTGATATCATCTTAAAAGTAAAAAAGGATAATTTAGCTAAAAATTGCCTTAAAAATATTAATTTTTTAAAATTTCATTTATTACACATCTGTAAAACTGAAAAGATTGATTATAATCTAAGAATTTAATGATATTTAAGAGATAGATAATTCATTGAAAGAAACAGATTTCACAGAACTTATCTAAAAAGTGTATAATGTTTAATTTCCTAATTATATATTATTTAACTCAAATGTTTAAATATTTTGAACAACAAATTAGAGACATTCCTTTTAAGAAATAGCTGATTCCATCTATAGGTTATTAAATGATATTAAATTATAACCTGAAAAAGATGAAAATAAGTTCTCATTTATAATTATTTTTTATTAATCTTTAGTGACACTGTTTGATAATATGTTTACTTAAGAATATTATGAGAATTTGAAAATAGGTAAAGGCTGTAAAATAGTTTCTTTTTCAATCAATACATCAAATATAAGTTATGATATCAAAAAATAATTTTGAACTTGCATGTAAACGCTTTGAATTGAGTAAATTACTTGAGAAAGTTATTCTGAAGACATCTACTCTTAGCAAATATTTTAACCAAATATAGGTAATTAAACCTATGCAATTTAGTCTCCTGAGTAGAGAATAAGTTAAATGAAAATATTTTCTTCAGTATTGAAGATTTAGTAATTTGCTACTCGTCCCAATTCTTTGCTATTCTATTAAAAGCTTCCCAGTAAATTTATTGTTTAATTGTTTTAGTTTATTTTATAAATAAATATTTGGTATCGATGTACATCAAGGAAATACTCTTTGTTTACAAAAATTATTTCACTACTATCAGGGGTGTAAACATAATTGAATTAAGTAAGATTGAGTGACATAGTAAATCTTCCATAAGCAACAAAATTTAGATTTGAAAGTTAATTAATTTAGTAAACTCCTAAACAACTTTATATTATCATATCTAGTTCTTAATTTAAATTAAGTTTATAAGGATATCCTATACAAGGACTTTAGATTTAACTCATTAGATTTAATGTGATTGGGTCATATAATCCTAAACTAAAATCCATTGTCTTTTTAATAAACACCTTTATTATTTATTTTGAATATTTTAAAACATTTTTAAAGAAAAAAAATATTTGATTATATATATAAAAAATTATATATCATGTTTTTAAATAAAAAATAATGTAATTTTATCATTTTCATTAAATTATAAATTTTAATTTTGCTCAAAATTAAAATATAAAAATTTAAATAAAATAGAAATTAGTAATTAATTCCCCCTATACTTCTAATTATAAAAATTGTGCTTAATAAAAAAGTGTTTAATTTCAATTTAAAATGTTTAATGAATTAAATTTTACCTTTTCATTACAGAACTAGATGACATGTGCATGAGATTATATTCCTGAAAAAGATAGAGACTTTTAACTCAAAACATTTAATTGCTTAGAAAGAATAAATTAACCGGTTTATCCATTAAAACCAGAAGCTATAAATATATAATTGGTTGATTATTCAATAAACAAATTAGTTACTATTGATTCGTTCAGTAATTAAACGTAAAATTATTTAGTGAACTATGATTAGTTTTAAATAATATATCCTATTACTTCTCCTTATGTTGTAGTCAAGAAAATTGAATTTAGTGATAATATTTGTTTCAAATCTAAAATAAATTAATTTTAATTTAGAATAATTTATTAAAATACAGTAAATTTTTAAACATCTAAAATATTTAGAGTATTAACATAAGAGCATATTAGATAATTTTTCAACTAAGTCTATCTTAGGCATTTAATTTACTAAACATTAATTATATCAAAATTAGTTTTATCAAAAAATATTATTTGATCTCGAGTTAATAAAGCTGATAAGGTATCAGAGCCTTCAATATTAATAAATTTACTTTGAGAATCTAAAACAGGATATTAGCTATTAACATAAAACCCATAATTTAATTTTTAAGACTCATAATCCCAAAACTACACTATATTATTTTACTAATGAAATATTATTCCTTGCTCTGTATCAAGTGTTGACATTACTCCTTTGTATTGTTAAATCAAGAATTAATAATTATAATTATAATATATTTTAAATTGATTAATGTTACCTTCATATGTAAAACAATTGTTATAAGCATTAGATTAAATCAATTCTAATAAACTATAATATCCTAAAGTATTTGAATCTAAACTTCCGAAAATTAGCATATTATGCTTTGCATCTAAAAATATTTTTATAATCTTTTTATTAGTTACTTGGATTTGTTGCACGAGGGTTAATGCAGGATACGATAAAGTATATAAGAAACCATTAAAATCTACAACAAAAACGTAATTATTATCACTGTCAAGGATACCATCATAAAGTGAATTTTAAAGTTCAATTTAGCTCCTAAAAATAATAATTACTAAGTAATTCAATAATAGTTAACTATTTACATCAATTGAGGTTTGCTGTATATTTAATAACTCCATGTCTTGACATAATTATCCTAACTATGATAAATATTAATTTATGAAGTATCATAATATAATCATACAAAATTACCTTATTGTAGTTAAAATTAGATTTTTTTCATCAATTATTGTTTTAAAGATCCAATTTTAGTGGGCATGCTGATAAGCTAGAGTGTTGCAATTTAGATCAAATATTCTAAAATCTCCATTGTGCTTTATATAAAATATTTGAATCATTTATTTAATTCCAAGATTATTTTACATCCCACAAAATCTGTAGTTGGTGAGTATAATCAAAGTCTCCAAATATTCCCATCAGTGTGCATCTATAGTTCAGAGTATAATAATCAAGAGAAGTAGACCACCAAGTCCACTAAAAAAAAAGTTGTAATATTAATAAGTAAAAATAACAATAAGAAGAAAAGAAAGTAAATACATTAAATTTTTTAATATTTTATTAATAGGGTAGATATTAAATTAATAAAAAGAAAGATGATAAAATAAAATTTAAAAGTATTTACTCCAATAACCATAAGAACTCCAATTTAAGGATAAAATACTACATTTTCAATCAAATCTACATACCCTATTTAATCAAGTACTCTTATAAGTTAAAAATTTTTAGATAAATCCCACACGACAACAGTCCCAGGATACACGCATCCAACAAATAATCTATCCAGATTTTCATCATAAAAAAATTTATTTATTGTAACGCATGACGAAACATTATGAGTCATTATTCCAATTTATTCATAAGTATCAATTCTATATACAAAGACTTAGTTTGAAGTTTAATTTGCATACCCTACAAATAAAAAATTCTTTTCAAGGATAGAATAAATGATATATGAATCAGTCAAATCAACACTACTTGGAAATTCTGGAAGATACTATTAAGTTAATTAGTTATAAATAGTTATTTTGTCTGACAATAAATAAGATAATCCACTTTTTATATCAATCCAAAAGCTATTTAATTTACTTTAAGTAACTAATTTTTTAATTTAGCAAGTACTAGTTAATCTTCTTGTGTACATCTTTTTTAAAATAGTGTAAAAAAAATGAATAATTTAATAATTTTATTCATTTTAATTAAAATTATTTAGGAAAATATTCCTAAAATTCCTAATAATTTATTTATTTGTTTTGAAAATTAATTATACTTACTTGAATATCTGATTTTATAACAAGAGTGTTGTATTTTTGATCAATATATTAGATATCACCAAAATAAATGTTATCAAACATACTGATTATTTCATTTTTAACATAGTCATATAAAATAAATTTTCCATCATTGTAAGCGATAGTAAATATATCCTGCTCAATATAAATATTAGTATTTTAAATTTTATTAGCATATACTTATATTTGATAAAGAATATTTGCAGTATTTATGTCAATCACAATAACTATATAGTTATTTATAATAGCTATAACTAAGCCTCTAGGGCCATCATAATTGTAATATAGAACTGATTATTGATTCAAGTTCAAAATGTTTTCTTTTAAATTTTGATAATTCTTAAAGTATAGCTTAGTATCTCTATTTATAATGAGAGTATTTTGTTCAATTACTAAGTTTATAGAACTACTTTATCCACTATAGTAATTAATTGTGTTAATCAAATTGAAGCTACTACCATCATGTTAATAAATCTTTTGAAATTAAAAAAAATGGTTTAATATCATAATTTGATTTTTTTTAATAAACTTACTAAAATATTCTATTCTTAAACATTGAGAAGAGATATTTATTGGCTGTTTAAAAAATATGACAACGTTTAAATTGTATTACCTAAAATTAATACCTACTAATTACTGCTTCCATTCGAGTAAAAATAGTTAAATAGGTATAAATTTCCATTAATTTCGATCAATATTTACTTAGCACTTTCTATTAAATAAATAGTATCAGTAATCAAACCATTTGGAATAAGTAGTCCTTTAAATATTAATGAATGATCATAGCTTTGATCAAATCTATAGATAACATATTATGTTGTAGGTCTAATAAAGCCAATCATATAGCCATTAGTTATGTCTTATAAAAGAACGAAACTCTACAAATTACTATCATCAATAGGATTAATAATATTTTCTATCAATGTTCCAAGCTAATAGTCGAAAATATAAATAAGAGGCTTTTAAGTTACAGTGTAATAAGCATATTAAACAAGCTTTACAATTAAAAAATAAATATTTATTTGATATTTGAAATTTTATTTTTATAAATGAAGATTTTTATTAATTTATTCAATAAATATCTCTTCTTTATTTAAAAGTAATTACTTTATTAAGCGACTTATCTATAAAGAAAGTAGAGTTATAAGTAGTATATTTAAATAACTTATCGAGGGTATTATCAAAAAGAGACCAGTACTATATATTTCCTCCCAACTCGATTTTAATTATTCTTTTAAAAATATAAATACATAAAAAGAAAGAAAAACTTTAATTTTACCTATTTAAATCTGAATCCACTTATATTTTTGTTGGTACATCGTATGATGATTTTCCTGTATCGAAGCGATCCATTACATATTAAAATTTGGAGCTTGGTATATCTACTATGGAAACAGAATATGTTTAACTTAGTATGACTTTGTCTTACACTACAAATGCTTAAAACCAAAAAAATGATATTATTTAATTTTTAAAAAGAAGAGGCTTTAAATCATCTAACGAATAGACAAAAATGTAGTTTTAAAAGAAATTATTGGAAACAGCTGCAATTTAATTCTTTGAGTTTATAGATCCAAAGATGAAATCTATTGTTGAATTCAAATAAGTCGCATTTGCATCTCTTTAATCACAGTACATATTTTAAAAATCTGCCTGATAGACTATACCTTTCTACTATATTGACCAGACTGAAAATAAATTATTTTATCCTAGAGCTACTAAATAATCTTCTTGTTGACTTACTAATACTTGCGTGGAAGTGGATGTAAACGATTGCTAGAATTGTAAAATGTTGTTTTTATAAGAAGAAGCATAAGAGGATCCACTTGAATCCTGATAAGTCACGGCTATTTGATTTTATGTAGGATAAATTGATTGCAAATTAGAAAATTAGCTTATTTAAAATAAATTTTTGAATGCTTTGCTCTATATATCATATGAAAAAAGATTTCCTTAAGTATCTATTAGCAAAAACCTTCTATTCATTTTATCATTCACGCATTAGATTATATAAGTATTATCTAGCTTAATCTGAATTATGTTTGTATCAAGAATAGTAGAAGAAGAAAAATCAACAACAAATAACTGTTATTAATAAAGTCTTAATAAGAATAAAGTTAAAAAAAATATTTACTTCAGAAGAATTCCAAGTAACAACAATTAATTCTTCAGAATTTAAGCAAGCTTTAGGATCAACAGTAACTACAGAAGGAATTTATAGAGTATCTCCTTTAGATCCATTTCCTGAACTCCATCCAATAATCCTACCATTCGCATCCAGTGTGTGAATTAAAGAAACCTTTAGGGAAGGTCTATCATCTTTGTCGATTTGATAGAACTAGACATTATCTGCCTCTTCTGTAAATTAATATTTGATATTTTATTGGAAGTTATAAATCCCAACTGTGAAGGGATTATAGACAACCGCAGCAATATCCTCTACATCATTTTATGGGTTTGACTTCAATAAAATCATTGTCTATACTATGTGATCATTGTTTTGAGATCCTACCTACCAAAAAGGGCATCCAACTGCTTTAATTAAAGTAATTTAAGCTATAAATATGCATATTTTTATATTCTAGTAAGAATAAAAGCTCATATGATTTTTTTTTATTTATCAATTTTGATAATCTTATAATTTTTATAAAAACTAAGACAAACAATTTGTTTTTATAATAATTAATTTAAATCGTTATTTAAATAATAATAATCATATCGATACTAAATAAAAACTTTTTCTGTTAAAAAAAACTAAATGTTTGTTTAAAATAACTAGTTTTTAATTATAATTTAATGTAAAAAAAAAACTAAATGTTTGTTTAAAATAATTAGTTTTTAATTAGAATTTAAGTACATTTTTTTTACACTGTTCTGTTCTTTGACCAAAATAAAAGTCTCGCTTTATTTATATTTTAAATTCTACTTAAATTTAAACTACATTTTTCACTTATTAATCAATAAAAATAAAATGTTATTAATATAATCATAAAATTTTGTTTAAATTTAAATGGTATTTTTTATTTAATATTTAAAAATTATCCATCACTTTACTATTTCATAACTTTTTTACATTTCTAAATATATTAATTACCCCCTAAATCAAAGCAATAAATTATTAATAAATAAACGCAAAAGCTATTTTTGTTTTTTGTAGGGCTCTAAAATAAAAAAATGTGAGTTCTTCTAAATCTTTAAGAACATCTTATTTTCTAAAGTAAATTAATTGTAAATATAACAAAATTAATCTTATTTTTATTTAAGTTTTTAAACTTATTATTTTATCAATAATCCTTTTCCGCTATCTATTCTTTTTTAAATTTTATTTAAATATGGAAACCAATTTATACTTAAAAAAAACCAAACACAAAAGGTCATTTTATCTTATCAAATTTTATCATACTTTTACTTTTAATTTATTCATTAATATAAAAAACACTTAATTAATCTAAAGAAAAGTAGAAAAAAATAAAAATAAAAATATTAGATTCATGTTATTGTTATGCATAATGGACACATTTTTAATAATATAGATATCTTTTCGTAGCAATTTTTGTGGCATTTATGCTTTTCTTTATCTTAACAAAGCTCAAATGTAGATATTTCATTTTCTTCTGCGATAGATTTCAGACAAACAGAACACTTAAATTATTCATCAGATTCAAGAGGCTTTGCAAATAAGAAAAGTTGTTTCCATAAAGCAGTATTCAAAGTTCCATCATCTTTAACAGGATTATATCTGGTATAGCTATCAGGTTATGCTGATAGCATTGGTGAATGAATATGCTTATCCTTTCCTTTTTCCACTTTAATCCCACTCCATTTATATTAACAGTTTGTAAATCCGCATGTTACTAATTCAATATAACATTTACATGAATAATTTGGGCATTAAATTTTTTCATAAATATTTTAAATTAATTCAATTGTTTTATACCCAATTTAAGATATCACAAGCCTATCATAGTAAGGGCATTTTTTATTTTTGCAATATCCTTCAATATTTATACCTTGACAAGCTAACCTATAAATTGGAGCATCATTTGAAAATTGCATTTTTTTTTTTGAAATCTCATTTTCAAGATCTACAAAAGTTTAAGCAGTTGCACCACCTCTTAGTCTTAGCAATAATAGCAGCGTATCTTCTTAAAAAAGGCCACACTCATTTAAAGTTTTCTTATCATCTAATTATTTATTATCATAAATCAATCTTTATTAGTCTCGATGAATACCTTTTTTATCTTAAATTTTTAATTGTAAGTTCTCAATGGTATCACTACATTCACAATCAATTGTAAAAATCTCACCAGTTAGACTTTTAATATATATTTAGCTGGATTTTACCTTATAAAACTTTTTAGCTTGATTATTCAAACTTTATGCAATAAATCCAATTTCGTTTGGATATAAATCATTAAATAGATTTCTTATTTGACTTGGAGAGTAATTACTAGTAATTTATATCTACGTTTCATTGATAAAGATGTCTATTAAACTAAATGAAACAAATTTTTCTCCATTTGCAAAGCCTAATTCTTTTAAACTTTTTTCCATATTAATGCTTACTCTTTCTTTGAAAATTTGATTGAATTGTCTAAACCCAAATAAAATACGATTTTCGTTGAGAGGAAGATCCATAGCAATCTAATATTATTTGTCATCGATGTAAATTATATTGTCTGTAGAGTATAACTCTATTTTTTAAAATTTGATAAGTTTTTCTGTTATAGCCTAATTATCTTTCACCAAATAAAGGTTTTTTATTGGAACATTAATCTATTTAGATAGTTTAATCAATAACTCTTTCTATGAAATATCGGAAGGTAGGACTAAATGGATAATATCGTCTCTATACTATATATCAAGTTCAAATGATATTTGTTTTTCTTAAAAGTAAATAGGTAGTAAATTAAATTAAGTTTTTGCTAATCTTTAATCGAGATCAGGTTATTTTGCATAAAAGCTTTTAAATGATTATTTGCTAATCTCAAAATGACTGTTCTTAGAGTTAAAAAGAATATTAGCTTTATCATAAAGTCTTTCTAGGGTTAAGATGTTATAATCACTCTTTTCTATTGGCATTATAAAGCTTTTACTTGGATTTTAAGTACAGATAAATAGCTTATTTTATTTGGGAAGTGAGCATTCCCTTTCTATTTCTTCAATTTCGATCATTATTTAATTATATTTTCTATTAGTTTATTAACCTTTTTATTATAATTTTTATTATTGTTAAGAAATTTAGAAACTCAATTTAAAATACATTCAAACATTATTTACTGATTATTTCTGATATCTAATATAATTTTTACAAATTTTATTTCTAAGCGCTAATCTATCTTATTTGTAAGATCAAATACTATAATCAAAATATTTTTATTTGATTGAAATATCATTAAATAAATAACAACAAAAATAAAGTCTTTAATTAAAATAATAAAAAAAATACTAAAGTAAATATAGTAAAAAATAAAGAACCCAAAGACATAATTAAATATTTAACTTTATGAGCTAGAAGATCGTATACACCATGTATAAAAATAATTAAAATATTTTTTGCTTTAAGAAATTCAAATAGAATATGAAATAGAAGAAACAAAAGAATTTCATACTTAAAAAGTAATTATGCGATTTAGAAAAAGGTTTATATTAAAATGTTAGATTATTCTTAAATGCTTTTAGAAATTGTATAAGTAAATTTTGTGTGATTTAAGAAAAATTAACAAAAAAATAAATAATACCTTTCAAAAATAATAAAAAACATTTATATTGAACTAGGTACAATTATGGCAAGTGCAATATAAAAGATTTTGAAGTTTTGAATACTAATAAAAAAGAATTCTGTGGCTACAAACAATATTTATACTTTCTGATTTTAAAGACCAAGAATTCATTCTTTATATTTTTGTAATGATCATAATAGTTTTTTACTTTAAAAAATTGTTTAAATAAAAGATGGAAGTTTTACTACTTTGAAATAAGTGACTTAGTAGATGAGTTTTTCATAGATGCCTTAGGAGTTTTCCTATTTTTTTTGTTGCATAAAACATAAATATAAAATTTTAAATTAAAAAATATAGTTTATCAAATAAATTTTTTAATATTCCTATCTCTAAGACTTATGGTACATTAGGAAAGTTTTTAAGAAAAACGAAGAATTATCAAAAAAAATAAACAAATCTTTTGAGAAATGTTTAAAGATTTCATATTTGAAATAATAGTCCCTAAGTGAGATATAATAATAGAATTGAAAGATTTTGAGAGAAATATATAGCTTAATTGATTGTTATTCCTATTAATTCTGAGTACAATACTTAAGTTAGAAAGGAAATTAAAATGAAAAAATAGCTTTAGAATTAGAATTTAATCAGAATTTTGAAATTAATTACACCTTAATAAAAGCTACAAAAGCTATAGAATTAGAAACTAAAGATGCTGATATGAACAAAAAATAATTAAGCATTAGCTATTTTACAAGATATAATAAAAATATATTCTTATCTCATGCTGAAAATCATTCAAAAGTTTAAGTTAATATAGTAGTATTATGGTTAAAACAAAATCCATGGACATGGACTGCTATAATTACTAATCATAAACAATCAAAGATAATTACAATCTCTATTAAAATTTAAATGAGAAATAAATAAAAACGATATTATATTTATAGTGTATATAAGGTTTTAAAAAAACTAAAAATAAGATGATATATTTTTTATTAAAAATATTTATATAATTTAAAATTAAGAAAGTTAATATTAAATGTATCAATTATACTTTAGAAATATAATATTTTGTTTTCACTAGATTTTTAAAAGGTATATGGATATATGAAAAATATTGTTTTGTTCTAATTTTTATTATTAAGTATCAAACCAAGTATGTATATTTTTGAATTTTTTTATTTTTTACATGAAACAAAAAAATAAATAATAAATTTTTTCTAACAAAATAAGAATAGTAGTATAAGATAATTAGCTTTTATAATATAGAATAAAATTTAATATTAATTATTTATAATAAATTAAACTTTTTATTTAATTTGTGTTATAAAAATTTGAATCGAGTTGAAATTGTTAATAAGCATGTTGAAATTATGAAACAAAATTAACAATTAATAAAATGAAATTTCGAATACCTAAATGTTTGAATTTTTAGAGTAAGATAATCAATATGAGTCAAAACTTTAATAGAAAATTGTTTGGATAGAAATAGGCAAGTCTTGAGATAATTTAAAATATTTAAATATAACTTTGAAATGTAATATCAATTTTGAGTTTCATGTAAGCAAATACTATTGCTGATGTATTTAGTGTGTGTGGAGATGAAGTTTTATGTAAATATTAATCTATGAATAACCCTTTTTGAAAGAGTAGATTCAAAAGAATATTCAATATAAAAATTTAGGAAAATATATCTTATTAACTAAAAACGATTAAATTATGATTGATTATATTATTTAATAATATTTTAGAAAAAAAAAATACTCCTTTCTTTTTAGTATCCTACAGATAAAGTAAATATTATCAATAATAAACAATATTTAATAAAACCATTCGAAAAAAGGAAAGAACTTTATTATTATAATAAAAAGACATCAGCAACCTTTTTTTAGTAGTGTTTTTAAGATTTTTATTTGAATGTTGCATCTAATAGTGCTCCTTCTATGCCACCTGAGCTATATTCAACTTGGAAAGCTAGATAGCACGATTCCCTAGCCAAAACCCCATCTTACTTTAACTTGCTTTATAAAGCTACTTGCATACATCCCATTTAACGTAGGTTTGTAATTGACATATTTCTAAAATGTAACAAAGCTAATTAGAGATTTGTTACTCTTTTGCTATATTATTGGCTAATACTATACATTTGATTATGATATTATTTATCGCCTTCTTGGATTTGAATTCTTTGTGATATTTGCTCTTCCTTTAATTTTAGAAGGCTGGATAGCTAATTCTCCTAACTTCATTCTTTACTTGCTGAAATTCTACTCTATGTATTTTCCACTTTTCATCAACTAATTTTTGCTTCATGAAGACCGTATGATATAAACTATATTTTTCTTTGCTATCATCGAAGTGCCATCTATGGCACACAAGAGATAAGATAGAGACTTACCTGAAATTAAAATGAATTCTTACATTTTTAAGTTAGTTTAACTTCCTAAAAAGTAAATAGCGATTTTACATTGTACAAAGAAACAAAGGAATGGTACAAATTAGATTCAGTTAGCAATAGCATGTTTTGGGAACTCAAACTAATAAAATACAGAGCAGGAATAGAATATCGTCGATAGCGCAAATGTGAATTAAAAAAAAGTATTAAACGACTTTGAGAATGCTGTTTAACTGAAAATCATTAAGAGCATAGATGTTTGTGCTAATACTAGCGAGCTCAATTACATCGAAAAGAATCATATCTTAGTAATATCATCCTGCTCTGACCTTAAAATCTATAATGCATAGAACCTACAGCTCCTAAGAGTTGTGAGTTTTCCTAGATCTCTCAAAAGACTCTCTTTTATAAATTACGATAGGTATTACTCATTTTTAAAGAAAATTAATACAAACGAGACAATTGTTTCAATAAACGATTCCGTATTCAATACAATAGCAAGCTAACATATAATATAATATGACGTACAGCCTGAAATAATAAAATTTATAAAATACTATTCGTCTTGTTGCAATGCTGAAAAGTATGTTTACATGTGCGTTCCATCTGATAGACTAAACTACCTAATTATAGTAGATGTTAAAGAAGATTATAAAAAAATGTCTTTGAGTAGCAATGATTAAAAAAATATCTAAGATAAAACTAATTAAGAACATAACAATATATAACAAATAGAATAAGAAAACGTTTAAAGTTTAATTAATTTGAAGGAATAACAAAGAGAAGATGAAGAATTTTACAAGAATGGAGAATTTCAAGATGAAGTTATTGAGGAAGATTACTCTGATTTTACTAATTATTGGGAAAATTCAATTGAAATAGACAAAAATATTATCAATAATTAAAGTAAAATTTTCAATCACATAGAAAACAGAAAAAATAAATAGCAAAATTAAAAGATTCTAAATTAGACAGAAGATGTTAACTTGTATGAGTATATATAAAAGAATCAAGGCTTTAATTATAATAAATCTGACTAAGAAAAAGGAATTAATGAGTACGTTATAGATTGTAGCGCTATCAAAGACATACTTGTTCATGAGCAACTGTTAGTAATTTCCTGTTCAGAGAATATTGTATTCTTTGACTTAAATCTTAGAAGAATAGTGAAAAAAATCTCTACTCTTAATTTTGATACAAGAGTTCATTGGATTAGAATTACTCCCTAATACACTTATTATTTGATCTCTAATGAAATTAGGGCTTGGATAGCAAAGCAGTCAAATAAACTCAATGACTTCTCAATTATTTAACATTTTAACTTTTATGATATTCAATACATATTGGAAAACAAATCAAAAAATTCTCTATACGTAATTTATAATAATACCCTCTATAAATAAAAAATAGCTGTCATAGATCTATCGCTATACAGTTCAAGCTGATAGTAAGTAGAAAATATAAATACTAATAAAATATCCTTATTTAATAAATAGTTTATTTCAAAAAATTTTAATGTATTTAATACTTTCATTATTTTATATTGAGCATTTAGTTAAAACATAATATTAAATTAAAAAAAATATATTTTTAAAAAATGAAAAACAAAGAATTTAATTCACTTTTAAAAAATAGCTCTATTTCTTGCTAAAATTAGGTTGAAAAGACTTTTGTTTAGTTTATTTTAATTGTTTTTTGTTGTTTTTTTTTTCAAAATCAAATTATAAAAATTTTAAATTATGAATAGAAAAATATTCTATTTTATACAATAATTTTTTTATTTTTATTTTTTTTCATTTTAATATTTTAATTTTGTTTTAAAATTTACAAAAACTAATTATAAAAGATTTTAGTGTCTAATAAAAACCTCAAAATTATTTATATTAATTATGATTATTTATTTGTTGTTTCAAATTTTTTTTTTTACAATTTGAATAATTTTTGTCAAATTGTTAAGAATATTTTGCTGCTTTTTTATTATCAAACTTTTAAAATTAAGAATTATTGTAGAAAAATATGCTTTTAAATAAATTGAATAATTTTATTTTGTTATTTTTTTTTGTTTTTAATGTTCAAATATTATATTTCATAAAAATTAAAACATAATTTTTGTGCTTAATAAAAAATGCAAACCAACTAATGTTACATCATTTAAGTTCATTTTTTTTAATGATTATTTGTTGTTTCAAAATTAATATTTTTCACTATAAATTATATTTAATTTTATGGAATGTTTAATTATAAAAAAACATGTTTTCAAAGCTAAAAGTGGAATTCAAACATAAAAAAAACACTAAAAAATACAATTTATCAATTTTTAAAGTTAATAGAAAAATTATTTTAAATAAAATCAAAAGTGATGCCCAAAAATATTTTAATTAAGACTATTTATTTTTATAGAATATCAGTTTTTCAATACTTAATACAGTTAAGCATACTATTAATATTAAATTCTTAAATTATTAATTAGTAGAAAGAAACTCCTTCCTAATTCACAATTAAATATAAAATATCTTATTTTTTAAATTAAGCAATTATATCTAGTTTTAAATTATGTTTGACGAATAAATATTGGGATCTGTAGTAGATACTAATGAGCATATTATTTAGAAAGATTAAACAGAATGTATAAACTTCTTATATTGCATTTATTTAATTTTAGAACAGAAATATTGCAATAGAAAATATATAACTATTATTATTATTTTCTTATAAAATTTAGTGTATTACTTTGGTTGCGAGCAGTATAAGCCAAATGTTATTAATGAACCTGTTCCAGATACATCCTTTGTGTAATAGCTTAATTGATAATAAGCTATTAAGAAATGTAACTTTAAATTTTATAAAAACAGATTAAAAAGAGTAGACTTTTCACAAAATCTTAATCGAAACGGATCGATGACGGTTTCTACAAAGAATTTAAATTAAAAGAAATAAATAAAAACAAATATTAGATCTATATATTCAGGTTAAGGATACACATTAGCATTAGATGGTATGATTCAATTAATATTTGCATTGAGCATTTGATAGCATGAGTGAGTTGAAAATAATTTTTTAGATAAATAGTAAATTTGGGGATTCGGAAACAGTATTGATGGATAGTTAGCGGTCTGTATGTAATTATTAATTTTAAATGAAGCTTTTTTATTAAATTGAATAATTTCTCATATAATTTAAATAGAATAGTCTAATTTATGTTAAAAATAGCCTATAAACATCACTAAATTTTTTCCTTTATTTTAAGGACATAAATTGAAATTTAGTATGATAAGTTGTGGTGAAAATTATTGCTTTGCACTAGGAAGTAAATACAATTTCTAACATATACTGTTTTGTAAAAATGTAAATATAATTTATTTTTAATATTTTAGATAACCAAAAGCTTTATGGTTGGGGAAATAATATACAGCTTAAGCTTGGTATTGAGACAGGAACCAAGCATTTTGTACCTCCAACAGACTTAACCACAGAAATAATTAATTAAAATTTAGATAGCATAGCTAATGAATTAATATAGGAAAATGCATAGTATTAAAAACCTTAAGTTGATAATAAACCATAGACACCTTAGTCAGTTTAGTTAAATAGAAGAAAGCCTAGTCAAAAAATTTAAATCAATTATGAAATATAGTAAATCATAGCTGGGAGAAGCCACTCATACGTAATAGCAAATAACAGAGTAATAGCATTTGGGTATGATCATAAAGGAAAAATGGGTATTGGATAACTGGAAGACTCTTTAGTTTCTCCAACAATAATTCAATTATTTGATGTAAATATTAATTAATTTAAATAGCTATAAATTAATTTTATAATAGAAAAGCATTAAAATATCTGGAATAAGTATTGGAAGGACACACACAGTAGCATGGGATACCTAAGGATCGATATATACATGGGGAGATGCAATAGATGGAAAATTAGGTCATCCTATTGAGTTTGGTAGTAAATTTTCTACAATCTAAACAACTCCAAAAAAGGTTTTCAATTAAAAAATTAAATATTTACAAATAAATTAATAAATATTTATTAAAATTAATTAGGTTATGTAGTTAAAAAATGAAATTGTTGTTTAAGCAAGTTGTGGAAATAATATAACTCTTGCTTTAACTTATAGAGGAGAAATTTATTAATGGGGCAAAGGAGAGTATTCTTCTAATTGCAATCCTAGCTTAATACCAAATATTATGGAGGCAATTAACCCTAAAAAGCTTGTTGTTTCTGACGGTGATATTCAAAATAGTAATTTAAAATAATAAATTAAAATATGTTTAAAAACTTTCAATTATTGATAGCAAAGTTTGTAAAAGTTGTCTGTGGATACACTCATTAAGCTGCACTTGATCAGTTTGGAAGACTATACACTTGGGGAGACATGACAGATGAATGCTTAGGCCATATTGAAAAATAAGGTAAATTTTAATTATTTAATTAATAATTTTAGCACTTATAATATGAATGAAAATAGATTTGATGTAACCTAAACTAGTAGCTGCTTTAAAAAAATATAGAGTTTTAGATGTAAGCTGTGGGCAACACTTTACAGTTGCATTGACAGTAAGTAGAGAGAGTAAGTTAGATAGTGATTTCTCAAAAAGATTTAAAGATATTACTTTGAATGATGCAAAGAGAAATATAAATATTTTATAATCGTATTAGAAATAAAAAATAAAACTCATTGATTTATCTTAGTCCTCTTTATCTCATTAAGGATCAAACTTAATAGATTAAATAAATTCTTAACTTCCTGATTTTGTCATTTAGTCTCCAATAAACGATACAAAAATAGAAAACAAAGACTTTGCTGGATAAATAACTAATAAAAATAAATCCAGAAAGTAATCGTTGAATTAGTAGTCATAAATTAAAGGAATTACAGGAGATTTTTCATCAAAGATTCTTCAATATCAATAACAAGAAAGTAGAAAATCCTCTATTAAAAACTAAGCTTTACAATAATTTGCTAATCTAGAATCTTAATTGTAAATTTTTTTATTTATTTATTTGAAATATGCTTATTGTATTTATTATTTAAAAGTTAAAACACAACACCTAAACATAATAAAAATTATTATTCATCAGGTGGCTTAATAGATTAAAAAACAAAAAATTAAATGGGAAACTTTTAAAGTGCTCAGATAAATTTCCCAAGTTCAACTAAAAAAACTAATTAAGCAGGTTATATATCTGAAAATATTATTAATGAATTTGGTTTGAATAAGAACACAAAGAGTCAATAAAGTAATACTAAGTAAAGTGATGTTAGGAGATCTTCTATACCCAAGAATTCCTTTTTTTAAAATTCAATAAGTCAAAAGATCGATGTTCAATCTAATGAAAGAGACAAGTTTAAAAGTTCAATTCAAAATAATCAAGTTGCTTTAAGTAGCTAGCCTTAATCTAATAGAAGAATAAAAATACTAACTCCAAAATCTGATTTAACTTAAGCTATGTAGGGACTATCAATTGCAGTGACTTAAGCACATAAGAGTAACCAGGCAAGTCTTTAATAAGGAGAATAAGATCTTGATAATTCATAAGCCATTTCTATTAGAGATTAGAATAAATAATTCTCAATAACAGAATTTGACGAAACAGAATCCTTCAATAATAAAATCTAAGATATTAGCCAAACTAAGTATATCTAGCAGAGTAACTTGCAAATCGAATCTCCATCTAAAGGCTTGCAAGCTCAAACACCTAAAAGAGATAATACTAAATTTAGTACAACTTCTAAAGAATTCTCTAATCAAAGTAAATAACAATACAACCTAGACTTACTTAATTAGCCAACTAAAAATGATTTGAATACAATTAGCAATTTTGATGATAACAAAGATGAATTTATGTCTATGTAAATTGAATAAAAAATGAAAGGAAGCTAATATAGTGTTATCGATATTTTGAAAAAGCACAACAAACACGAAATTTAGATTATTAGTGTAAACGCTTTATTGAATTATATTAATTTCTAATTAATTTTTTTTTATAAAAAAGAACATAGGAAATTTGAATTAAAAAGATGTTGCTTATTTGTAGTTTGACAAAGTCAGCTCAAACTTGTTTTAACTCGAGGAAAATGACCCTACTTATCTTCCAATTTAATAGCAAACCGAGGATGAATAAGATGAATTTTGGTAAAAGTTTGATGAAGAAAATAAGGCCACAACAACATCAACTACGTCTTATGCAAAAACATAAAACATAAAATCTATAAATGATATTATTCTTCCAAAAGTTAAAGCTCCTCCTAAATTAAAAAGTAAAATAAAAAAGACAAGTCAAGTGAGTGATTTTTAGATGGATGATTTTAATGTTAATAATTCTCAAAAAAGAAAGAATTAATAAATTCAAAGCGAAGTTCTAAAATATGAATACATAGAAATTGTTAAATAAAAAAGAGAAACAGAGCATCTTATGTATTTGTTATAAGACCCTTAATCAAGAAGTAATTTAACAAAGTAAATCGTTTATTTAGAATATTATAAAAATGCAATGATTTTTTTTAAAGAATGAAGATCAAAGAGATACAGGAGTCTATTAAAGAAGATAAAACTGAATCAAAGAGTTAATAAAAGCTAAAATAAGATATTGAATAGGAAATGTAGCCTGTTATTTTTATTAGCATGAAAGATCACCTATAAAAAATTAATGAAACTAAAAAAAGAAACAGGAAATTACTTGCTTAGAGTGATACTTTTGATAAAACTAAGTTAGTTTCAGATATTAAAAGGTAGCCCTCACCTAACAAGGAGCAAATTTTGCAGTAGATAAAAGAAAGAGGATTGCGTTTAACATAGTAAATTTAGTTAGCAAATATAAAAAAGGAAAAGCTTTTTGAAGAGAAAGTTCAGAGACTGAAAGAAGATTAAAAGAAGAAAGAAAGAATGCTTGCAAGCATTCAGGCTTTAGAATTAAATAAAAGGAGAGATTATAATAGGAAAATTTACAAGCTAATGGTTTACTTAAATGCAGAGAGAATATTGTAATTCATATAATAAACAGCTATTGAGGCTATTACATACAGGAGAAACATGTTTAAAATACATATGAAAGTCAGAGTAATTCAAAATGCTTTCAGAAAATATCTAATTCACAAACATGTCATGCAAAAAATGAATTAAAAAGTTGAGATTTTCTTTAAAGATGTTATTTTTAAGTATAAAATAAAAAAAAATATTAAAAGAAAAAGAAAAGCTTGCAAATAAATTCTTATGCACCTATTTCTTAAATCCTTAACCTAAAAAATTAAATACTAGCTAATGGTTATCCGCCGCTCAATAAAAAAGTACTTTTCTTAAAAATCTTATTTTAGCTTCATACACCATAAAATAACTTTTAAAATTAAAATAAAAAAAATTTTTCTTCTTTAAAAAGAAAGTAAAAATTAAAAATTATTTTGAATTTTAAAAATTAATTAATCTTTTTAATTTGGTATTGTTTGCAATATATTAATTTGATTAATTAATAGTATATAAAAATTTGCTGTTTGGACTATGAAGTAGACTTCATGGCAAATATCCTAAATAAGCTAATAATGGGATTTGTATGTTTCAAACATGTTCAAAATTACTGACCCAGAGGTTTTGGCTTTAGCAAGAAGAGGATTGCAAAATTAAGGTGAGTCTAAAAGCCCAAGGGTATAATTATCAGCTATTAATAGCATATCTGGAGTAGCTGATCAGCTTATGTAATATTCACCATAAGTATCATAGAAACAAAAAGTTGATATTGACAATAATGCTTTTATCAGCTTCAAAGAATTTAAAAATTATGTAAAATATTCTTATAATATGATTAATTTTATTTAAATATAATTTTATTTCAAAATTTAGATTAGTTTAAAAAAAAGAGTGGGAGTTATGAATTAGAGATTAGGAAATTAAAAACACGAAAAAGAGGAATTGTATAATCATTTTTAATAATAATAATAATAATAATAATTTAGTTAAATTAAATTTTATTTATAATAGCAAAGTTATTCCTAACTTTATTCCAACTACATTTGAAATGAGAAATTCAGTCGTGCATCAGACACTGACTAAAATGCTTACAGTTGCAGATAAAATTTAACAGTATATGAGCTTTGATCACTAAAACGACTCTCAGAATTTAAATAAAACCAAAAGCCAAGATTAATTTGATATTTTTTTACCTTTCACCGTTCACAGTAATAAGTTCAGTTAAATTAGTTAAAGCTAAATTTTATTCAATTAATTAAAAAGATTCTAAAATTATACTTGGATAAGCATTTCGTATTAAATATGAGAGCGAGCATATTCATCAAAAAATTTATCTGAGAGTAATTGAAGAAGAAATAAGGATTAAATATGATTTGATTAGTAAATTTAAAATTTAATTTTAATTATTTTAAAAAAAATATTTTAATTATTAAGAAAATCATATCCATTAATAGAGGAAATAATATTGTGATCTTGTTAAGGTTTATAAGCAGGATTTAATAAAATTTATTGAAAAAAATAAGTAAGAAGTGAATCTTGAAAGAACATAACTTATGCTCAAGATGAGTCCAATAAAATTAAAGCATTTTTAACTTCAAGAAGAATATTTATACAATCTTCAAGAAAGAAGAAGAAAGAAAGGAGCAAAACAATGTAGCAATTCATTTTATCTTAAAATTTATAATTAAAAATTAATTTTAATATAAATAGAGCTTATATTTTCCAAAGACCATCTCCCATTTTCTAGCATTCTAATGGAAATAGCTTCAAAAATGCCAAATGCTCCTTAGAGACCAAAGCTAAAAATAAAATTCACTATGAAGTAAACAAAAAATAATTTCAAATATATATAAATATTTTTTAAATAATTAGAATGTTTGAAGAAGTTTATTTTAAGAGCTACTATGAACAATTTGTAAGCACCTATACAAGATTTGCAGTAGAACAGAGAATAAAAACTCTTTCTTATAACCAGAAGAACAAAAGCAAATCTGATAAACTTTACAAAAAAGATGAATTAAATGAAGACCAATGAAATAATTTTCTTTAAAACTCTAAATTATAAAATTGAAATATAAAATTTTTGTAAATATTTTCAATTAAAATTTATTTGAAAAAGCCTTTTTTCATAAGAAATAATTGTATTTTATCTATATGTATTATTTTATTTTGTTGATAACATAGTTATATCACTTTGTGGAGGAAGGAAATACTTTGGAAATCAAAAAATAAGTTTCTAATTCTATATAAACAAAAAATTAAGTAAGCAAAAAAAAAAAATCGCTCACGCTGATTATAAATATGGCAAATATAGCGTCATTTGTTATTGGTACTTAAATTTGGAATGAAATATTTATTAAATATCAATTTTTGTTAAGTTGAGTTTAATAAAATCATAATAATAATTAGCATTTTTTAATTTTGGATATAAAAAAGTATATTAAAAATAATAGAACTAAAAATGAAAAAATATAAATTAGCTTTGGCAGTATTAATTTTATTTGCTATATTAGGTAATGTTTTTGCTAAAAGTTCACTGCAGGGCTTAAAATAAAAAAGTTCAAGTATTTAGGCTGTAAGTTTTCTAGCGTCAAGAACTTTGGGAGAAAGATTGTCATAGAATATTACATTTAATTTGATTTAATAAGATTTAAGTGTTGAAAGTAGAAATGAAACACAATACAATGAATATTTCATTCTATCCTCACCTTAGGAAAATTAGCTTGTTATTCAGTCAAATACAAAAATAGGGCTTTCCAAAGGGTTGTTTTATTTCATGAAAAATTACATGAACTCTTCAATATCTTGGAATGGAGATAATATTCAGCAACTTGAATATTTACCAACAGTTAGTGAATAAATTCGAATTTAAACTCCTTATTAATTCAGATACATGTTTAACTACTGCACTTATTCATACAGTTTGATGAGTTTTTGGGATTGGTAGAGGTGGGAGAGAGAAATAGATTACATGGCACTCTAAGGCATAAACATGCCTCTCGCAATCATTGGTACTTCTAAAATCTGGCAAAACACCCTAAAATAAATTAACTACACTGACTCTGAAATACTTGATTTTCTTCCTGGTCCTGGTTTTGAAGCATGGTAATTTAACTATTAATAATAAATAAAATGTAGATAGATTGATTTGTTGATATTGTATTTAAGATCAACATTTTTTACGTTTTTAATTAGATTATTTTTAAAATTCTTACTATAGAAAAGAAATACTATAGATTTTTATATTTTTTAATGTAATTTATTCCGTTTTTAAAACATAAATCTTCTTTCTATTTTGATTGAATATTTTAAATTTTTTTAATAAATTTTATTTAATGAATAGGTGGCTTATGGGAAATTTAGAAGGTTATGGAGGCCCAGTAACACAAGCCTACATTGATGGTTAATATAATTTGTAGAAAAAAATATTAAAAAGAATGAGAAATTTAGGAATGTAGCCTATTTTGTAGGGTTTTTATGGAATGGTACCAAATTCTTTAAAGGCTAAGTTCCCTCTTTCTAAAATATATGGCGATTAATCTTGGTTAGGATTCAGGAGACCTGCCTTCCTTGATGCAAATGATGAGTTGTTTTCAAATATAGCAAATATTTTTTATTCTGAATCTGAAAAGCTTTATGGAAGAGCTAAATTTTATGGAGGTGATCCTTTTCATGAGGGAGCTATCGTGCCTGGTTTAAATTTAACTTCTTAAGCATAAAGTATTTATAGAGCTATGCAGTATACTGATAATCCTAAAGATGAAAAAGTAAAGTGGATTCTCTAATCTTGGTAAGAAAATCCCTCTCAATAACTGCTTTAAGGTTTATAGAATGATGAATGTATAATTTTGGACTTAATGGCTGAAGCAAGATCTAAGTGGTAAACTAATGATTTTTCTGGGCATGACTTTTTATGGACTTCCCTTCCTAACTTTGGCTTAAGAATTGGATAATATGGAATGATTGAACAATATGTAAGCTAACCACCTTTAGCTTATAGCATCAAAAACTCTACAATGAAAGGAATTGGAAGTATCCCAGAGGGAATATTGACTAACGTTTTAGATTATGAAATTTTATTTGACAAAGCTTGGATTTAACCTAACTAAGATACAAATTTGACTCCTCGTCAGTAGGTATTGCAATATCTAGGAGATTTTATAAGGTATCGCTATGGAGAGTAAAATAATAAAAATTTATTCAGTGCTTGGAGTTTGTTAACAAATTCCATCTATAATAGCACAAACCCTTGGGATGGTCCTAGTGAAAGTGTAATGCTAGCTAGGCCTGCTTCTTATATAGATAAAGTTTCATCATGGGGAACTAGTTATATTTATTGGAACACAACTAATGTACTTGAAGCATGGAAATTATTTACTAACTATGTAAAGGAAAAGAAATAAAAAAATAGAAGCTAACATTTGCAAAAGCTAGAAGAGATTAATAAAAAACTTGGAAGATCTGATGATGACATGGAAGCATTTGTTGAAATATCTTAAAATGAAGAAAGAAATATTTTTAAGGACACCTTCTTATATGATTTGGTTGATGTAGCAAGATAAAATCTAGCAAGTTATAGCTATCTCCTTTATAACAAAGTAATGTTGGCTTTCAATCAAACTGATACAATCAAATTTGCTCTTTACAGCTAGCAATTCCTTGAGTTAATTAAAGACTAAGATTAATTACTCTCAAGTCGAAAAGAATTCATGCTTGGATACTATTTGGAGTCTGTTTCTAAATTAGGTACAACTGATTAAGAAAAACAAAATTTTATTGAGCAAATTAAGAGATAAATAACAGTTTGGTCAGATTTCCCTAGTGACCTTCATGATTACGCAAACAAAGAATGGAATGGAATTCTCAAAGACTTCTATTTACCAAGATGGGAGTTATATTTCAAAAGTTTACAATCATACATAGTTGAAGAAAACAAAAAATAAGAACTGGCATAACTTTAGTAACAGTAATCTGAGGAAGAAATTGAAGTGGAATAATAAGAAATAAAGTAAAACGATGAGGATTTAGTTAAATATACAAAGGAAGAATTACTTTCTGGTAAAAACATTAATTGGTTTGATGTTGAAATACAATTCTCTAAGAATAATATTACATACCCATCGACTCCATAGATATCAGAGTTAGAAATAAACTAGGCTCTCTTCTAAAAATACTATTCTGTCATTTTAGCAGAGCATATAAATATAAATTAGATTAAGCCTGCAGTATAAAAACAGTATGGAATAAGATTGCAACCAAAGTAACACTAAACATATACCTAAGTCAAGTTTTCTAAAGATAAGTAAAATACTAAGTCAGAAGAAACTTAGTAGATTTGAAAACAATAAATAACATTAATAATTAAATTATGAACTAAATTATCTTTTTTTGATTTAAGATAGAAATATTTATATTACTTATTTGAATTTTTGAGAATAAGAATTAAAATAGATTATCTATTTTATTTAGTAATTGTAAAATTTTTGTTTGCAAAATATTTGAAATTAAAATAGAAATTTATAAAATTTAATTTTAATTTTACTTGTGTCATTTTTAGTTCTAGAAAATATTCTTTAAAAAAGTTTAGGTAAATTTAAGATTATTTAAATAAAAAGAAATGAAGCAATTAAATAATTTGAGTAAATCAAATAAGACAAAAATACTATAATTCCATTTATCGATCTTAAATTTACTGGAATTAATTTTTTTTAACTTTTAGGAAAAAATAGTTAGTATTATTTGATTAAAAAAGGTTAGTAATTTAATTTAAGATATTTTGTTAAAAATAGAAATATATTAATTTTGGGTTAATATTGAGTTTAAAACATTAAAAAATTGTGAAATTTTAAATGAGAAAGTATTTCATTTTTTAATAGATTTATTTATAAATAGATCGAATTTATAATTTTAATTATTTTAATAAGCAATAGCATAATTAAATGATCAAATTTTATCATATTAAATAATATAAAATTCTTATTTAATTAAAAAATTTAATAATATCAATTAATACTTAATATAGTAATAACAAATTAATTGTGAGCGTTAAGATTAGATTATTTTTTTAGATTTGATCTGTTTTATTTAAATATTAAAAATAAATAGAATTTTGTAAAATACTTTATGAGATGCTTTTATTTTTGTTATTTTGAGCAAATTCGACAAATAATTCTATAATGTAAAAACGGCAAAGATATACTTTATAGTGAGTGAATGAATCTAAAAATAAATCCAATATTTTATAAGATAGTGGAATTTAAGCGGGATTTAGTTGGTTTAAGAAGCTATTAAAAAATTAACATAACACTGATCTTTTCAAATAAGAAAACGAATAAACCTTAGCTAAAAAACACTCTCATGCTTAACAAAAATAAATAGTAAAATACTAGCTATTATTAAAGTGTAGTCAAATATTAGCTGGTAATAATTATTTATAAAGTTGTAATCATCAAATATCAATCAGCATTTCAGGGCACTCTTTTATTGTTAACTCTAAAATGATAAAAAAATCAATCTCTCTCTTCCAATTATTTTTAGAAATAATTAAATTTTCTTAAATATAAATTTCATTCAATAATTAAATTATTAAAAATTAATCACTTTAGTAAAAAAAACAAAAATCTAATTATTAGTAAAATAAAGTGATATACAAAGTTTAAAGATAATTAACAGATGGGTTCTTGTTGTGTTCGTGAAAAAGAACAAAATCCTTCTACTCAGAACATGCCTCATAACATTTAGGTTGTTAGGATGCAGAGGAGGGAACTGCTCATTAACCACTAATAGTCAAAGAGCATCAACAAGTTACAGCAGACTAATACTGGCAGTAATTCAAATAATAACGAACACACAGATTTTGAAACAAATAACTCTACAAACTTTTCGCCAGATGCGGCATCAAAAGCCAAGACACAAGCAAACAACACTCAGCTATTTCAGCCACAAACTAATGAAAAACATGAATAAGACTTTGTCGAAGTATTAATTTACTAAATTTTTAAACTATTCAAATAAATTGGCTCAAATATTATTCTATTCGATTAAATTATTTGAATAGTAAATATGGAGCTTTTATGATTATTTTATTTAAAAACTGCGCGCTAATAAAAATATTATTTTTAAAGGATCAAGAAGAATTCGTTTTCAATAGTGATTTGCACTAATAAGGCTAAAGAGAAGAGCAAGATAAACAAAGTGGATAAAATGTACCTGGATTAAATCTCTAGACTCTGTCTTCAAAAAACATAATAAATTCAGATTGTAACCTAGAAAATGAAGAGGGAGAGTAAAATTTACAAAACGAGAGAGAGTTTACTGAAATAAGAGAAGAAGAACATGAGGATAGTTTTTCTAAACAACTCACAGAGCAGTTGAGGGCTAATTTAATTCAAAAAAACTAATATATGGGTAGTAGTCATAAGGCAAGTGTTGATAGCGATTTTCCTATTCAATCAAATGATATTAGCAGTATTTCTGGATTTTCATAAAGATAAACCTACCCTATTAAATCAACTAATTTTTCAAGGATTTAGTTTGCAGAAAAGCAACAATCTCCCTACTAAAGTCAATAAAGCTCTTATACAAATTTAAATGGAGCCCAACTCAATAAATCTGAGAAGCTGATTTAAGGAAAATCTAGAAATGTATCTCCTTCTTAAAGCAACTAGGACCTAATTACCTAAAAATAAGAAGTATTTAATTTTTAAAAATCTGATGACCTTCAAAAACTCTAACAAGAAGCTTGGGCTATTAAAGAAGAATAGCTTAAGACAGAGTTGAAAAGGCAAGAAACCTATAAGATGGAAGAAGAACTTAAAAAAATGGAAAAAAGAAAAATGATGAAGTAATTTACTTAATCCATTATTGGAGGTACTCCTTATTACAGAAATAGTGCAAATAACACTCCTATGAATTTCTAAACCACTTAGGGATTAGGTTCTGTTTCTTCCTCAACAAGATCACCTACATCCTCAGATCATTAAGTAAAACCCATGCGTACTTATTCTACTCACTTCACACAACACTCCTAAAGTCTCAGATCTAGCTATGTTAATGGTGCTATGCCTGGAAGTATAAACATTCCCACAAGTATTTTTGAGAATTTTAAAGTAAAGCACTCAAAAGAAGGCTCTGATGATAATGATAACGATGATAACATCAGTGATAATAGCTAAAAAATTGAATGAAGAGCACATTTAGAATAGAAAAATTATAAATATTTAAATGATTTAATTTTTTATTAAATTTAGTCATGAAAATTAATTCTATTTCAAATGAGACATCTTCGAATCTCAAATTCCTTATACTCATTTAATTATGCTTTAAGGTTCTATAGTTTCTTGAAAATCTTTTTAATAAAAGATAAAGATACAACTAAACCCTATCTACATATCTATAGATTTTAGAGCAACAATTTATAGAGAATTTATATGAAATTAAAATAAATAGAATCTTATTTATTCTCTTTATAATAGATATAATTAAAATTTATATAAAACTCACTTTATCTTTATAATTTATATAAAAAGTATATATTTTAATTATTTCAACTCAGATGTATTAGCTTTACAGAAAATTTAGTTCAGTAAAGAAGTGTTGTTTGAATTTTCTAGATTGTTTTTTATTTATTTTATAAAAATTGAGACTATCACCTACTTATGTAACCTAAGCATATTTTAATCAATCACTTTATTAATATAAATAAATGTCTTACCCAAAAAATTTTTTTATATTAAAAATATCCTAAATATATATATCTATTTAATTACTGAATAAGAAGCAACTAATAAATTTTATAAAATATGTTGAATTATTTATAAATAATTTTAATATAAATAATTTAAATAGTTAGTTAGACCTTAATATCTTAAAAATATGGCTCGAACTTGAATTTTCCAAATATTATTTTGATAATAAAAAAAAAAAAATAAATAAGTAAATATTTATTTATTAAAAATTTATAAACCTCCTTTTATTTATTTATTTATTTATTTATTTATTTATTTAATCTTAGAATATCTAAAGAAAGTAATATTTTAATTATAAAAGTAAATTAAAAATAGTTAAAATAAAATTACTTTAATTATTTAGAATATTATTTAAATTATTCTAAAACAAAAATAATAGATAAAAGAATATTTATGATATTTTAGCAATTAGAATTATATTTATCTTATCAATTTATTAATTAATATTCTAAATATAGAATAAATTAATTTACTATTAAGATTTTTCATTTATTTTTAAATATTTGAAAAATATTATCGGTGTTATTAGTTTAGTTATGACCTTTTAGTTTTATTAGAATTAATTTATTTTATTTCTATAATAACAAACAGCAAAAAATAATAATCAAATTTTAAAACATTATAAAACTTTCAAATTTAATAATTGAGGACCAACTCAAAAAATTGTATTTTTAAAAGATAACAATAAACTTTTTTTATTGAAAGTCTGAAATATTGTGTACTTTAATAAGAGTTTTTGATAGTATATTTAAAGGATTATGGGATGCTGTGACTCAAAGGAAAGAAAAGATAAGGATCAGAAGTTTTATGATGAATCATTTGACGAAGGAAGCACTAAATTTGAATAAGATGATTTTAAAATCAGTTTAATGAAAAAGAGTCTTCAAAGAAGAGAACAAGATAAGCAGACAGTTTAAGCAAATTTTGAAATGATGAAGTCAAATACAATTTAAAATGGCTAAAACAAATCAAATAATGCTAGTTTCCTAAATAATTCTAATAATAATATTGTTAATGATCTAATAAACTGCTCTGAACGACAAAATAGTAACTAAAAATAATAAAAAAAAGGTTAAAGTAAGGATTAATAAGAAGATATGGAAGAAAGGAAATCTGAAACAAATACAGAATACTATACTCCTCCATTCAATCCAAGTGAAATACCCTTGTCTTACTAAGAAGATTCATTTATGCTAGATTTTCAATTAAACCCTTAACCTAAAGCTTACATGGAGTTTGATCCTCATAGCAGAAGAACTTTAATAAAATCAAATTTTGAAGAGTAATCTGACTCGCTGATGAGAAGTGGCTCAGTTCCAATTTATTTGAAGAATTCTAAGGCATTTATTATTACAAATAGTGGTTAAAATTTTGACATGAAACAGTTCTTAGAAGAAACAAAATAAGCTTTAGAAACTTTTTAACAAACTCAAAATAGCTTAATTAACGATAATAAAAATACTCCTTAGGAATTAAAGGAGAGCTCAAGTAGCATCTCTGATAGTTTTAGCGATAACGAAGAAAGAAAAGAATCTTCATCCTCTGTAAATGATAGTAGCTTTGAGAGTGTAAAAAATGTTTTTGATGCTGAGTTTGATAGAGAAGTTAATTAAACTATTGGCTAGAAAAATACATAATTAGAAATTAAATATTTCTACTAATTAGACGACTTATAAAATCTATAGACGTTATCTGCTCAATAAAAGAAATTGAAACCTGAGTAAAGATGGGATTATTTAAACGTAGAGTAAATAATTTAGATTTTATTTAAAGAGACTAATACTAATGATGTAGCTAAAATTCTTTTTTTTTGACTAGCTATTTAGATAAAAATTTTACTAACTTTAATTTTTTGCAATCAGTTTTACTTCAAAAATTTACTTTTAGTTTTTATTTTATTACTGATAACAATTTATAATTTTTAATCAGCAATACAAATTTACACTCAAAATTCTACTGATTGATATTTGGTTTACTATAAATTTCTAGACTTATTTATTTAGTGAAATATTAAAATGAAATAAACAATAAATACTTTTTTTGACTATTTTGTAATTAATATTTTAAATAATTATCTATTAAAAGAAATGAACTAACACCTAAAGAGCAGAATACATTTAAGTAATTTAAAGAGTACTTTATTGATTTCATAGATTACCCCAAAAAATCAGAAATATCTGACCATTATTTGCTTAGATTTTTGAAAGCTAAGAAGCTTGATTTAAATATATCAAAAAAATTCCTAGAAAAACATCTGAATTGGAGATAAACTGAAAAAATAGACTCAATTATTAATGTACAAATTAAAAATAATAATTTCATCTAACCAATTATAAAATGAAATAAATTATATAGGATTTCAAATTAGAAGAATGCTTATAAATTAAAAAATACTACCCTCATGGACTCCATTTTACTGATAAATTGGTAAAAAAAATTTGATTGATACAATAAAATCTTATTATTTTTTGAATTTATTTGTAGGGAAGACCTGTCTATATAGAGAGATTAGGATAATTAAATTTAAGTAAATTGTTTGAAGTCACAACTTAAGAGAGATTGGTCAAATACTACATTTAGTTTTATGAAAAGATCGTTAAGTATGTATTTTAACAATGTACATCAGCTAAGGGTTAATAAGTTGATAAAATGGTAATCATTTTAGATTGCAAAGATATTAGTTTAAGGGTAGATTAGATAACAACTTTCTTGAAGACAGCTGTCAGTATTACCAAAGAAAATTATCCTGAAATACTTCATAAGTAATTACAAGGGATTTAAAGTTATATTAAAATATTTTTTTTATTTTCATAGAATGTACATTATCAACACTGGTATGATGGTAAATTTGGCTTGGAAAGGTGTTTCATTACTGCTTGGAGAAAAGACCAAAAAGAAAATATCTATGTTAGGAAGCAAATTTATTCACGAGTTAGAAGAAGATGTAAATATTACTTTTTTAAAAAATACTATTTAAATTAATGCTGATTTTAATTATTTATAGATACCAAGAGAAAATATACCAAGATATTTAGGAGGAAAATGCACTTGCAAAACAGAAAATTGTTTCAATGAAAATTATGGCCCATGCCCATGAAAATCAATCCCAAATATCACTTGAAGTCATAAAATTATAATATAAAAGTTTTATAAAATAAATTTCATTAATAAAAACTATTAACTTAATGTTTTAATATTTATTTTGTAAGTTATATTAAAAAATATCTTAAAAGAGAAATTAATATAAATTAATTATGCTTGCTTTAATAATTAAGTAAAAAAAACTCAATAAATTATTGATATGGAATAGAACACAAAAAGCTAGTAATTAGCATTTCTTAAAGAGCTATGTGTCAATTTTAAAACATTATGCTTACCTAAAAATAAAAACTACAAATTGCTTTACAAAAAATTATTTAATTAATTTTAAAAAATTGTTAATTTAAATATCATTCATTGAAAGTAAAAAAAAAAATAAATAAATACATATCTGATTTAGCATAATATAAGTAAATAGCAGCCAAAATGAGTTTTAAAGCATAGCTAGAAGTACTTGTTCACATGGAAAGTTTTAGGAATATCAACATTTATCATTAAGGGATATATGTGATGAGAGCTAGAATATTTCAAAGACTTGAGGATGTAAATTTTCCTCTTTTTTAAGACTTTTTATGATTAAAATCAAATTATTGCAAATTTTATATTGAGAAAATGTAAAATGATGTAAAAGATAAAACGAAATATTATTAATAAAAGGGAACAACTATTAACGCACATCCTTACAGAATTGTTGAATTTGATTCGAGTTTGATTAGAGAAAAAATGAAATAAAAGTACAAATTAAATTCTGATTTATATGATTGCTATTTCTTTTCAAAAGGATTTGTCATTAAATATATGGATGAAATGGTAGATTTAGATGATATTTGCCATTTTAGAGCAGAAATAGATTCTTATCCACATTATAATGAAGATAATTTCTTTTTTACTGTTGACCTTATGTTTGCTGATCTTTCTTCTCAAACATAAGAAAATGTTTCACTCAATGTAAATCAATATTTTATTTGTTCATTGATAGATAGATACATAGATAGATAAATAAATAAATATATTTGAAGCAGCTTATATTCTAAAATAAAATTAAATAGGATCCAGATAAAGCAGCTTTTAAAGTTGTAGGAACTTTTGAAAGTCTTTTACATAATTCATTCAAAGGTAATTTATTTTAATTACTTATTCGAAAGGAATTTAACATTTATGCTCTTACTGATATCAATTAGGTATTAGAGAATATGTTCCTGTCTACTTTGGAGATCTATATTACTCCTAAGTGAATCTTACTGTGCATACTGCACTTATTAGTAATATAATTTGCTAAATGAAGTCCACTTATATCCTTATTAATATTATAAGACTATTAATTTAGATATCTTCCTCCTAGAATCACAGAGAATGAAAAATCAAAGAAATAAAACCACAATTAAGTTTAAAATCCAGAAAATTTTGATTAGTTTTTTAGCATTATAACAGATAACTGTAAATATTTTAGTACTAGAAACTATTTAATTGTTTATTTTAATAAATTACTTAAAAACAGTTAAACCAAGTTAAGTTGATGAAATTTATAATACATATGTTGGATCTCTTAGATTTGATCACAAGAAGTTTCTTAAACACTTCAAGGAGTTAGCTTAAAAAATGATTAAAAATGAGTTCAAGCTTTAAGAGATATATCTAAAAGTATAATTATTTTTAAAATATTTCGTAAATTGAGAGCTGTTTAATTTGAAGAATTGTATTAATAAAATAGATTCAAGAACCTGCTATCCCCGAATATCTTTAGCTTTATTGGTAGAGCTAAAATTAGCCAAATAATTAAGCTATGGAAAAAAAACAAGAGGATTCAATTAATTCTGATAGAATAGCTTCAGAGATGTCAGTATCAGAAGACAATGAAGAGATGAAAGGAGATGATGAAACTACCATACCACAAGATGAAACAGAATTAAGTATATAAATGACAACTTTCAAGGATACTTCATTTTAAATTGATAAAAAATCCTACTATAATTCATTCTACGACATCACTAGAATTCCGATAAGCAAATTTTTTGATTTGAGTAAATAGGAAACAAGAAAGCAGCTTGTTAATGAAATCTAAAAAGTAAAGCAAAAAAATATTTTTCGCTTAAAAAAAATTTTTAAATTCATTATGAAAATTTTATTAAATTAAAAAAAACAGACTTTGTTTGTGATAAGTTTAAGCTAATTTATTTAATAATAATAATAATTTTATTTTAGGAAATAAATGATATGGCTGGTTGTCAATTTTTACTCTGGAATTAATATGTTGAATTGCTCCGTTTAAATACAATTAAGTTTACTAAACTGCTTCTTGATGAGTATTAATATAAAATAAATGATTAATGGGGTCAGAGTATATTTAGATACCCAGTAGTGATTAAAGAATATTACAACTACAGCGAATAAAGAAGTGCTAAATAAAATATAAAACAAGCAAAAAAATATAGAAAAACTACTTGCTTTAAAAACAGAGAACCTTTAAATATAGAGGATTTAAATCTTTTTCCCAAAGCTAAATTCCATCCTATCATCTTCCACGAAGTGTATACTAAAAACAAAGAAATTAATTTGGACACATCTTCTTATGAGCCTTTGAGGAGAGAGTAATTAAATATTATGGATTAATTTAGGTCTATTCCTATTTAAAAAAATTTTTTAATATAATTTACAGCGAAGCACATGTGGTTGTCCTTGTCCATGGTTTCTAGGGAAGTTCCTACGATCTTAAACTATTCAGTAACAATATAACAATAAAGCATCCAGATGCAATATTTTTGCATAGCTCTTGCAACGAGGAGTACACAGATGGTGATATAGAAGTTATGGGTATCAGACTTGCAGATGAAGTTGGAAAATTTTTAAGTTCTTAACTATATGGAAGAAAATTAAAAAGGTAAGTTGTGAAAATTAATATTTTGTTTGAAATATAAATATATTTTAAAAGGCTATCATTTGTTGGTCACTCATTAGGTGGATTGATTCTTAGATCTGCACTGCGTCACTTGACCATGTACTAGGAGTTCTTTTTTACTTTTATAACATTCTCTACTCCACATTTGGGCTTTTTGTTCAGCTAAAGTAAAATGGTTGATGCAGGTAAATTAAAAAAAATAAACTAATTTTAATTATATAAATATTAATTTATTTATTTAATAAAAGGTCTTTGGTTTATGAAAGCTTGGAATAAATCAGAAAGTTTAAAGCAAATGACTTTAGCAGATAAAAAAAATTTAAGAGAGACCTTCATTTATTAATTAGCAAAACAAACAGTAATAGCATTTATTTAAAAATAGTATTTAAAATTAACATATTATAAATTAGGACCTTAGTAAATTTAAGAATATAATACTCTTTAGCTCTCCTTAAGATCAATATGTCCCTTATCATTCAGCTAGGATGCAGTAAACAACAAAATAACATAGTGATTCAAAGTAACTCAAACAAATAATTTATTTTTGATTTCTAAAAAATACTCTATAATTTAATTTAGATAATCTGAAGTATATGATGAGATGCTGAAAGAGATATTTGGTAGAATAACACTTGATAGAATCCATAGAGTAGATGTATCTTTTGAAATACCTGGAAAGTAAATTAAAAGTTTCTTCAAAAATAAAATTCTAATGAAAAAACAATACATCTTTATTTATTTATTTATTTATTTATTTATTTATTTATTTATTTATTTATTTTATATTTAGGGTTTTGGATAATTTTATTGGAAGAGCTGCTCATATTTAATTTTTAGAAAACGAAGCTTTAATGAAAATGATTCTATCTGATTTTAAAAATATATTTATATGAAATTATCTTTGTTTTATTCATTAAATAAATAATTAAATTAAGATTATATATAATTAAAAATGATAATTCAATTAATTTTGCAGCTATTTTTTAATTAAAAAAAACATAAGAAATATTCTAATAAATGATTTGATGTTAGTTAGAAATAGATAGATTGATTGATTGATAATATTAATTCCTTTTTTAAGAAAGTTAATATCTTTTATAAATTTAATTTGGTAGATAATTGAAACAAAATTAAGAAATTTCAAAAATTTCAACCTATTTATCAAAAATTTATTTTTTATTGCAATTGAATATTTTGGTTATAAATTCTAATATTTTGACTTTTGTTTGTTCTTAAAAAGTAAAAAATTTAATTTGAATGATTTTGCTTCAAAAATTGAAGTAGTAAAAGGCAAATTTTAACTAGAATAAATTTAATATGTATGTATGTAATTATGTATGATGAATTTTATAAATAAATATAGATCTCTCAGTTTTTTTTTTTTTTGAGTTTATCATCCTATCCATCCGGTAGGGTATTAAAACTAGATAAAAGCTTATTTGTATTTTAATAGAAAAAGAGATTTTAATATTGATTTTTCAATACTTCTTATTTATTTGTTACTTAATTCGCAAACCCACCGCTCAGGCCTGAGAAAAATAAATAAGTAATATAAATATTCAAAAAGATTATTTTACTGAAAAAATAAATTTACTAGCATCAAATATGAATAACTAGAATTCTCAAAATCATATTCTTTACTATCCCATACAAGCTAATGGTAACGTCAGATAACAGCCAAATTAATTTAATCTCACTTAAAATAGTGGAAATCTTATTCCCTTTACTCAGATCAGTAAAGAAAAAGATTATACGTATGCAAACTAGCCTCCTGTGCTGAATTAACAGCACATCCAGCTCTAGCCTCCACAATTAATGATCAATCAGTAGAAGATACCTAACTAAAATATACCTAACACTCTTCAAAGTTTAGCGACTAATTTTCCTAATCAAATAGTAAAAAAATAACAATAGTAGTTTATGGATTTGAATTATGCACAGCCAAGTAGATCTAGTTTAACACCAGTTTAACAAGTTTAGTAAGCAACGACAGTAACTCCTCCGAATCCATTTGCAGGTACATCTATTAACAATCCAACTACCTAGATGACTCTAAACGCTGCTCAAACATCTACAATTCCCTAAAACCTTCAAAAAAATTAACAATATCTACAAAATAATTTATTAAATGGTAATAATAATAAATAAGCAGTAAATTAAAATCATATTGTCTAAAATAATAACTCTAACAATCTATAAACATAAGATGTATTGCAACCAGAAATGACATTGTAACTGAACACCACTTAAAATTAAATCAAAGGGACAACTTAAAAAAAACAGTAACAAATAGCATTTTAAGCTACCGACTAGACTAAGTAAAATAATCAATTATAATAAAAAAACTCTTAGTACTAACAAATCAGCTTATAGCAATAATAAAGTTTGCCACAATTCATTTAAATTCCTTCTACATTAAATTAACAATAAAATTAGCAATAAAACCTTGCCTAGCAGTAGGTTTCTATGCATTAAAACATACACAATCCTTAGCCTATAATAAAATCTCAAAATTCAACCTAACCCTAATAAAATATAAATGAATTTGATAGTACACATTATATAGTGCCCAAAGCAAAATCTAGCATAATAAACAACTAAAATAATGCAAACAATTTAGCAAATAATTACATTGATTTCAATCAGTAATAGAAATAAAAAGATTAGCAGAAGATTGATTAATTGAGCAATTTATACCCTCAACAGCAGCTTTAGAATTAACAGCTTTTATAGTAAGAAAGAATTGAAGATAAGAAAATTCAATTAATAAAAGATATTTAATAAATTCCGTAACAAAACTAGCTACAGTAAGTAAATATGATATAAAATGAGGGAGAAGGAGAGAATGCATTTGGTGAAGCTGCTTAAGTAGAAAGATTTATTAATATTTAGAAAAATAGCAAAGTGTTGATATTAAGTGAGAAAATTAGAATAAAATATGAGAACAAAGATGTGAATAATAGCTTGTGTAGTGACTTTGATATTAACAGCTGGACTAATGAAATAGATAATATAATTAACTTATATGAAATGACACTGACTGGTATCAAATTATTATTTTAACTTCATAAATAAAAAATTATTTTAAGATAAATTTATTTGATTTTATTTAAGTCAAATAAATTTCCTTTTTATAAAATTAAATAAATAAATTTTTTGTTTTATTTTGAGAATTTGAAGAAAATAAAATATTATTTTATGATTTTTTTTTATCTCTTATAAATTTTATTGAATTTATTTTTAATTGATCAATTTAAAAGGACATCTAATTAAGGCTATTGAATTCATGAACGGAGAAACTTCTCTCAGTTTCTTAATCGAAATAACCAAGCCATTTTTAAAGAATTAATTAAGAAAGAAATCAGGAAAACCATTTGGAGTATAGTTAAATAAATAAATTTGTAAAATTTTAAGTTGACTTATTATTTATAAGGATGGAGATGAAAACCGTATCATAAAAGGAGGATTAGCAGAATATTGTTTTTAAAAGAAGGACTAAAATTAAGATATATGGACATTGAATTAAGAAAAGCTACCATCCATTATCAATGACACAAACGAAAAACTAAAGAAATACATAGACAACTTGAAAAAGAGCAAAGGAAAAGGCTAAACTAGTGTTATTTCATAAGGGAATGATATAAATTAGAGCTTTTAATAGTAAGACCATTAAAACTTAAATGATACTTTTTAAGGTAAAATAATAAATCTAGCTTTAATTCAGATTATATTTTTTTCAAAAATATTTTTAAAAGGATCAACCAAAGCAACAAAAAACGGAGATAAGAAACAAAGAAGAAAAAACTAAGAGAAACTTAAAGATAAAACTGCAGAAAAATAGAATGCAATCTACAATAATTTAGGAAAAGAACATAATGATAATTATGGAGAAAATCATTTAGAAGAGTAGAATGATTTAATTATGAATGAGGGTTATCATGAAGAAAACGATAGAAACTCAGATATTATGCTTGGGGATGAAGAAGAAAAAAAAGAAAATCATGGAAATCAAAGTTTTATTAATGCATAAATATAAAATTATCAAAAGTAAAACAAGATAAATTCTATTAAATAAGAGGAAACTAATTTACTTAATAATTAAGGATTTTATTTATCTTCTAACCCTTCTCTCATGTATTTATTTATTAATAAAATTTAACTTTTTTATTTGATATATAATTAATATTTAGCTAAAACTAATATTCTAAGAACATTGACATTAAGATAGAATCATAGTAAGATAGGAAAGTTAGCTAGTAAATTGGTATCAAGTAAAATAGCTTTTCTATTCCTGAGAATAATTCCAAAAAGAGGATCTTTCATAGTAATGACGAAAATGTAAAAATTATAATCATTCATATTATCTAAGTTTATTATTTTGATTTTTTTTAAAAAGTTTGATGAAGGAATTTAAAATAACGGAGCATCCTCAAAAACAGCTTTGTATAGGCAACATTAAGGCACTTAACAGAATAATAATCTATTTAATGATTAAAATGAATTAAATTAAGGGTTTAATAGCAATTAAGTTGCTAATTTAAATGGAAATTAAAATTCCTTTTAGAATAAAGGATTCGTATTGAGTAATAAAGTTGAATAGCAAAACGAAGATATTCAACACAAAATAGAATTAACTCAAAGACAAATTAATTGCAAAAAATTAACAGAGTAATAAATAAAGGAATACAAAAAGAAATATAAAATTGGATAATTCCTTATAAACGAAGTAAAATAATTAACCATTTTAGAATATGTTTAATTAAAGTAATCAACTAATTAATAAAAAGCAACTAAATTAGGAGCTAGAAAAGAAAGAAAACCAAGACATTACTAAATCTATTAATTAAATAGATCAATTAAAAATTGTAGGAATGGCATTGTGCTATGGAGTATTTAAAGATCAAAGTAATCATTCATACATCCTAATCGTTTTGAAATTTAATTTTTTTATTAAATTAGTAACAAAAATGGTTAATGTTATCAAAGAAAATCAAGATGCTGAAGTGAGAAAAATGAACCAACGTTCAAAAGAAATGAAATAAATGCTTCAATAACTTTAATTACTGTGATATAATTCGCTGAATGAAAAAACAAAATTAAAAAAGTTTTTCAATTTGATTACTAAATAAAAATATAAATTAAAAATTTAAATAGATATTTAAATAATTAATCTTTTTACTAACCTCTATATATGTAAATAAAATTCAAAATTAAATTATTTGTAACTGTTTTCTTAAGTGTTTTGTATTAAATTCTCACACTATAAAATTAAGGGAGACCAGAAATTAAATAATTTAATTTCTTTGATGGTTTTTTAGAATTATTTTATTTCAAAAAAAATTGAATCAAAGATTAAATTCAAAATTAGTTTCAATATTATCAAAAAATTATCTCTTCAAAATTTTTATAATTGGTATAACTAAAATCCAAATGAGTAGTTAAATAAATAAATAAACAAATATAAATTTTATTAATGTTATTTTCTGAACTATTTTGAATGATTTCCTCTAACTATAAAGTTATAAATAGTAAATAAATACTTTTTTATATTTTATTATTAATATTTTTAATTATTTAACACCAATAATAGAGTTTATTTAGCATTAGCAATAAATAAAAACTATAAAAAATTAATACCATCAAAATTTTTGATTTTTATGATAAAAAACCTTTCAATAAAAACTCACTCCTCATAATATTTGAAGCTAATTTATAAAAAATTATCTGCAAATATATACGCAAAATCAAATTAATTTTTGATTTTTAATATTTTGTATAAAATTAAACATATTTTTATTAAATATTAAATTTATAAAATACTACCACAAATGCAAATTTGTTAATTACAGATGTATTCATATAAATTAATTTAGAATCAGATATGTTTTTTTTAATTTATTTTAGTTATTATTTTGATCTAAAAAAATTTATTTGAAAAGATTATTTTTAACAAAATCTTTAAAATAAAAAATGAACAAAAAATAAGAACTATTTTTTTTCGTTTTTTTATTAATTTAATACAATTTACTCTTATCCTTTAATAATAGTAATAATAATATTTATTGTACAAATAATATTAAATGGTCATTTCCATTATTCGCTTGAGGTTGACGAACTGTCATTATCTATCTTCTTAAATTCTATTTTATTTAAGAATTTTTGAATAAATTATTAACCTAGGGCTTCTATTTATGAGAAATATTCAATTTATAAAATTTGCAAGTTTTGTTCATTCTCGAAGTATGATAGTCCACAGTTATATAAAAATATTTACAATCTTTAATCTGATTATTCTTAGCTTATCACTTTGAGTAATTCTTCTTCATCTTGATCAGTGAATTCATCACAAAATTCGATGAAATATTCTAGAATCACTTGCAGAACTGAGTCATCTTTTTCATATTAAAGATTTTTAATAAAAAATTTGTTTAAATATGAGACCCACTTGTCTTTATCACATAAATAAATTATTGCTTTCCAAACAGAGGCTCTAAACTGGTAATCGAATTTATCCATCAGCTTTTCTTAGTCTATGTATTTAAGAGTTTCAATATCTAACTCTTGATAAATCATGTGGTGATCAACGGTATTTAAAAGATATAAAAATTTAGGTTATTCTTGTTATTTTAGATCTTATAGGCTCAATTGCTCCAACTTATTTGTTTCTCTTTCTACAACAAAAATCTTCAAATCAAGGACCTCAAGCTCTTATTTAGATAAATTAAAACTTCCATAATTTTTTGCTTATAGCAGATTTTATCCTTTGAAATAAACATACCCTTATGTTGTTAACAGCTTTTTTGTGACTTAATCATCAAAGTAAGTCAAAAAATCTTTACTAGATATGCTTTAATTTTAAAAATCTTGTAGTAATTTTTATAATATTTTGTTAAACTTTTCTTAGCCATATATTTTATACTCAAGCAAATCAAATATATTTTAACTTTTCATATAAGTAATATCATTATGAGTGTTTAATTCTAAATACATATCATATTTCAAGGGAGTATGCATTAATGTATAATCTATTTTGAGATCATCTTGCAAGAAATCAAATTGATCTAGCTAACTTCTCAATTCAATTCCATTCTCATTTTTAAAATATTAGTAAATCATTTTCTAAGAGAATAAGTTTGCAAACCCTTCTTTGAAAAAGAGATCGTTCCACCATTTAATAGAAACATAATTACCAAACCATTAATGAGCTATTTCATGAAATAAGGTTTCTACTCTGTCTAGATCAAACACATACCTTTTAACTATTGCATTTTAAATATCTTTTGCCTCAATTGCTTCAGTGATGATATTACATAAGTAATAATTTTCATCCAAAGAAATACAACCAAAAGTCTCCATTCCTATATCTTTGTAATAAGGACAGAAGAATAGATCAAACTTTTGAAAAAAATATTTAACACCTGTGTAGGACTCCATAAAATCAAGTGCAAATTTTATTTGTTTGAAATATTCATTAACTTATTCATCAAGAAATTGTATCAAATTTTATCTACAGTATATGTTGATATCTATATTATCTCTGTACTTGTCAGAGTACTTAAAATAATCACCTGCATAAAATCCAAACAAATAAGTTGGGAAAGCTATTTTTGTCTAAGGAAAGTAAGTAACGACAATTTCATCAATAATTTTCTCTTATTTGTACCATTCAGTATGACTGGAGACCATCCAGTTTTAAGGGTGCTAGACAGTTAAAGTGTAATGTGATCTAAAATTTACCATATCTATACAAGGAAAAATCATTTGAGTACAGCCTACTTCTCCTTAGCAATAAAAATAAAATTTATTTTATGATTCTTCAGAATACTTTACAATGCCTTCTGCTCTGACTTTACTGTATTCATTCTAAAAAGCAATTAAGAATGTTAAATTATGATCTTTCTTGTTTAAGTGTTTTTAGATGTCTTTAAGTGGTATGCTAAGCTTGTTAGGAACATATTAAAAATGTATTTGTTCTTCTTGATCATTTTTGTCTAAAATACTCACTGAGATGACCTTCTCCCCACAGTAGTCTATAATAAAATGTTGATCTGATGAAGCTTTCAGGACAGATTCCTGAAAATCAATGTTTATTTTTACATTACCCTAGTACAAATCTATGTTTAAGTTAAGATATATTTCATATTAATTAATGGAATAGATATATTATTCTCTTTGAATTATTTCTGAATTAGATAGCAAGGATTACTTGTTAGAAAGCGAAGATGAATTACTTTAAAATAAATGCATTTAATATGAAAAATAGTATCTTTTTTATTTTAATCAATTAATATATGTTTTTACTACTTTAAGTAATACTTTATTATTTTATCATTGATTGTTTCTTTTTTAAAAAGTTTCTGTGTATCTGATATATAATGCATCAAAAACTAATCAAAAATATCTAATTGTAATAATAAATAAATTAATAAGTAAATAATTTAATAAATAAATATAGAAGAATTTTAAGGAGAAAAGAGTCTTTAGATATATTCTAATAAAAAAATTATCAAAGGTAGTTAACAAAAAAATGGATAAGAGTTTAACAAGCAATTATAGCATTTAATAATATTCAAACTTATTAGTAAAAGTTTTAAGTACTCTGAAATAGGTTTAACACTTTGCTAAAAGCAGCTAACCTGAGTTAGTCAACAATTTTGATTGCTTGAAGACTTTTGAATATGTGTCTAATCACCTTTCAAAGTTCGATATAAAAAATCTGATTACTGAAATTCCTAGTTTATGCTCACCATCCTCATCAGAACCGCTTTCAATAACTTTCATTCAAAAAAAAAGAGGATTTATTATTCCATGGCACATGATTTACATCTGCTTCGTACTTGAATAATGTTAATCAGCTCATGAATTTTAAGATAAAATGATGAAAATCTAAGTTAAACCTAAGAAGGGAGATGCAATTTTTAACGAGTCTAACTTGATTGCAGGCAAAGGTCTTTACTTAAGAGGAATTTTATAAGTAGCAAATAAAAATATAGACGCTGAAGAGCAGTTCAAGAATACTAATGAACAATCTGTATCTTGTGTGGTAGCAGATTTCATAGAGCATTTCTAATTTTATAAGCTTAACATTTAGCTAGCAGACTTTGAGTAGTTAGCAGAAAAAATGAAAAAAGATGACTATCCATTATTTTAAAAGCATCCTCAGATTAAAGTTGTTTGGGGAGAAAAACGTGAAGAAAATAAGAATTTCTAGGATATGTTTGAAAAGCATCTTAGTTTCATCAATTTTTTGCACACAATTTATGAGTTTTAGTTTATGAACGAATCTAACGATGACAACGTCTTGATCATTATGAGCATTGAATTTGCATTATCTAAGCAAGATGAATAAAAAAATTTTTTGCAATACGTAAGCAATACAATCTAAGAATGCAAAAGAGTCAATTCAAGTGTAGTCATTTTTAGCTCAAACCATGACTTTTAAGCTTAAAAAACCAGTTTTGAATCTATCAAGCATTAATTTCCATTAATCTAAGAAAGTGGCAATGATTAACACTTCTTATTTAAGTATTTGATAGAAATATTTTAGAAAGACGAAGTATTACAATTCAAAAACCCAAAAAAATCGAGTCTTCCTAAAAGGGCTGACATAACATAGGGTTCTTTGATTTTGTGGGGTGACCAAAACAAAAATGAAAAAAATTTAGAATATTACAATCGTTTAAGAAAAGCATTTTAAGAATAAACTGTTTTGCAAATATTCACTACTTCAGAAATGAGGAGAATTCCCTTAGAAAACCCTAATAAAATTCATATTGTTGTAATGAGCAGTCTATTCTCAAGCGAAACAAAAAACAATATTTCTAATTTGAACTGGTGCTAGTAAGCTATTTTAGAACATGATTTAAACTGCACTCATTTAATTTTGTTTACAAGTGAACAATCTATTGAAAGAAATAAATGGGATTAAGATTTCAAAAAAAAGCATCCTAATATTCTAATAACAACTTCATATAAAGAATTAGAAGAATTAATATCAAAGGAAAATTTCTTAAACTAAAAACATTGAATTTTTTAATGATAGATTAATCTATTAATTCTAAAAAGAATATTATTTGTTCCTTACTTCTTTATTATTAACATTTTGTGTTTTGTTTATAATTTTAAATTATTTCAAATAAAAATTATATTTTATTTGAGAAAAACTTTATTTTATTTGAAAAAAAAGTTATTTTAAATTATTTATTTAAATTCCATTTTTTAATTATTGAAAAAAAATAAAATTTTTAATTATTTTAAAAATAATTTTATGTTACTTTTAAGTAAAAATTCTATATTCCTTGTTACATACAAATAATAAATAATACAATGAAAAAATTATCTCTTAAAATAAAAAATGTTAAAATTGAAAATTCAGTCGCCAGTAGAACATCAGAAATCAGGTGGTTGATCCAAATGTATCATCAATCTTTTCAATTTTTATATTTTAAACATATATTTATATAAAATTAATTCTTTAATAAGTATGTCTTATTCTGTTTTAGTAATAGCATAATTTAGATTTACTTTTTCCTATGGGTTTATTAAATAAAATTATTAATTAAATTGAATATCAGACATAAAGATATTTTTTAATTAAAAATAATAAATTTTCATATCTGACTTAACAATTCATTTAATTCAACAAGATTATTTTTGCTAAATGACTTGAAATATATTTTAATAAACAGACTTTGAAAAACATGCATAAATATTAAACATTTTATAAAAATCATTATTAAGGGAGAGGTCTCTTTGCCAGAGATTCTTCAGTTTGTAGAGCTTTGATAGCTGTTTACTATGATAAGAGAGGTGATACATTTTGTAAGTGAGGAAGTTCGTTAACAAGCTTATTTTTGAAGGTTTCGTATTTTTTCATGTAAAGGAAGAAACATTTTTTCATAGCTTAATATTCTTAATCACTAATTTTAGTAATATCTTATTCTATGTAAGGGAAAGGATTTGCAATGTATTTTTCTCCCCAAACTCTGGTACCGAGCATAACGTCCATAATAGCTTGCTTCTCAATTAAAACTTCATCAGTTTCACCTCTAATTCTGTCAGGAATACGAGTAGCTTCTGTGAAGTTGATACCTACTGGAGGACCTTCCCAGTATTATTAAATAGGATTCAAATGATGCATTCCAATAACAGCAGTGACCTACTGAGCGGCTTAGAAAGTATCCTTCAGCAAAGCTGTCATATATAGATCACGAGGTAAATTAAAAATATGTGGTAAGAAGTTGATTGAAGCATCACGAATACTGATAGGTTGCTTAAGATCCTTCATTTTAGTCAACACAAATTTAAATAAGTCCCTCATTTCTTGAATTTCGACTGTATTTCCTAATATAGAACGAAGTAAAGGCTCAGGCATATCTCCCAACATCACCTTTTATTTTCCCATCAAACCAGTATACAAAGTTCTATTAACGAGATGGTAAGGTGAATAATTTTTATAAACAACATGTTCGTTAATAGCTTGTATAAAAGGCTAAGTAAGTGATTCTGTAATTTCCTTATCTTAAATATTAGGATATGAATATGCGTTGTATGTATCAATGAATTGGAATTCAGTGTGAACTTAATTTCTTTTTAACATATCTAAAACAGTTAAATTAACAACACATTCTTCCCATGACTGTGGTTTCAAAGGATCTATTTATTCTAAGGCATTCACTTCATAATCTTCAACTCCTTTTAATGCGCATTTATGAGCCATAAATCTTTATCTAAATATTGTTAAAATAAAAAAATACATTATTTTGCACATTTAATTCAAAAATTTAAATCTCATAATTATAACTTCATTGATAAAACATTTTAGTGTTTCATGTCTAATTGTGCATTTAGTATATTTAAAAAGTTAAATCTTTCTAATTTTAAACATTATCAGAAGTTTTATTGAACTATGTATGAACATTATTATAATGCTTTATCTTTATGTATGAAAATCGCATATACTTTTTATCAATTATGAGGTTAATTTATGGATGATAAATTCAATACCTTGCCATGAAAGGAGAAGGATCCATTTAAATAAATAATAAATCAGGATTATTGACTGTTAGAGAACGCTATAATACATCGTAATCTTTAAAATCTTCCTTAGGTTGTCCGAGAGGTGCACCAATCAAAGTAATCTCATCAGATGATCCTTCAGAATGGTTACAACCAGCTAATGGCTTTAATTGAGCCTATTGAGTTTTATTTGCAAAATTAGCATCTCTTTAATTAAATAAATAATCTTCAGCTGATAAAGTTTTATATCCAAATGCAGGAACTTTAAGAAAAGCCTTGGCTGCAGCAGCTGTTGTAACAGCTTTGCTGCATTTTTAAATATTACTTTGTACTATTCCTATCATATCTTTAATATCACAAACTTAATAAATACTACCTATAAATTTTGAATGAAAATTTGAGTATTTTTTATTCTAGGCTTTTCTTTTTATACTGTTTTTAATAATCAAAAAGATATTTAAAGAAAATTAGAAAGAATTTTGCTACTAAACATTAAATTAATTACATAAATCTATAAATTAACTAAATAATTTAAAGGTGTTTTTTTTATTAGCTTTATGTAAATATTGTGATATACCAAATTCTATTTTTCTCAATATTTTAAAAATTAATTCACATTTTCTTCTTTTAATCATTTTAAAAATCTATTTTAAATAAAATCTTTTTTAAAATTTTAATATAAATTAGGATAAATTTTATTTTATTTTTTTATTTTAAAAATAAATCAAATGTTATTTAATTATCTAAAAAATTATTAATTTCAAATAAACAAATTTTAAGTTATATTCTTCAAATAATTTCCATGATCAAAATAAACAAATAAATAAAAATATAAAATAAAATTTAGGTATTTTTAATACAATTTATTAAAAGTTTTTGTTTATTTTCTGATTTTTATTTACTGTAAAGTTATTTTTAAGACTAAAAAAACAGCTGTTATATCCTAAATTATATAAAAAGATTTATTTGTTAAAAAAAATTACTTTTTTGTAAAGTAAAAATATTCAAAAAGACATCTCTGTTGTATTTGATTATTGATTCTTATTAAGTAGTGCATTACTTTTAAGTTTTATTTAATGATTTAAAAGTAAATTATTGAATATTTATTAATTATTTAATGATTTAATAGTAAATTATGGAATATTTATTAATTATTTAAAATAAATATATTCAATTAAAAATGTTAGCAATTTGATAATAATTCAATCAAGACAATATATTTACCAAGTAGACCATATTAATTTGCTTATTATTTTTTATAGTTATTAAATATTTTTCATGAAAAAATTTATAAAAAAATATTATCATTAAAATTTATATGAATTTGATCAATACAAACAAATATTATATTTGAAAATAGATTTCAAAGAAATTATAGATTTTGAAATAAAAGAAATTTAAGCAAATGTTTGTTAGTAATTGTAGTGGTTTTAAATAGATATTCAATAGAAGCAAAAGCTATTCCCAAATAAAAATAAATATCATCATTTTTTTATCTATATTACCTATTATTACTGAAAAATGACTTAATTTATTCGTTTCTGTATTTGTATTTATTTTGATAAATACTGAATATACACCTAATTTAAAAGTAATTAAATTTCTAGAAGGATTTTATTATTAAAATAAATAAATGAATGAATCAATTAATGTAAAATATAATCAATTAAATTGCTTCATACCTTGATTTACATTCTGTAGTAATTGGATATTTCTCTTCCATAAGCAATTTATTTATTGCTTATTATAAATTTAATATTCAAAAGGTTAATAAATAAATACATGATATCAAATATTTACAAAAATTTATTTTTTAATTTGAGTAAGCTAAAATATGTTTAGAACAAGCTAATTAGTTTATTATTTTACACTTTTAATCTTTGTTTTGTATTTAGTTTGTATAAAAGAATAAAAAATTTACATTTTTTAATTGATAATTAATACAATAAAATAAAGTTTTGAACTTTGATTTATATCAATAATGCTCATAATATATCTTCATTCAGTATAGACAAACATTTATATTAATTTTCATAAAAATGTTCAATTGATTCTAAAATTATTTAAAATAAATTTTAACTATGAAGTAATTAAAATTTAAATGATTATTTTATGATAAAATCTGATTGAAAGGAAAAGGTTATGTTTAAACTGAATATATATAACATCTACAATTGTCATAATATCTTTTTTTATATTTATTAAAAGTTAAGTGCAATTACGGAATTAATTCTTTTACAGAAAATTCAAATCTTTTACTTTATTTGTTTATTTGCTTTATTATTATTGTATTTCTTTAAAGCAAGAACAATTGTCAATAAAATGCGATTTTTAGGGGGTCCATGTTAATATTAAAATAAAGATTATCCTTTGTTCAATTTGATAAAATATTGAGATTGAATAAGGAGAATATTCTAAAAATCGCAATTTTATAAATTCTGATTTGCTCTAAATAAAAAAGAGTAAATTTTTTTAATTCATCGAACAGAGTAAACTGAATAGCAAATACAATCAATCAATTATAAATAAAAAAGACTTTGCATTCCAAATTTTTGTAAGTGGAAACAATTTAATGTTATTTAGGAATGAGTAAAATAGTAGAACATACTTTTATAAAAATAATAATTACATGAGCAGATATAGCTTAAGCTAATATTACACAAATTTATAAATATAATTCAACTAGAACTAATTTTGCAGTTCTGTACAAAAATTTTAATGTTAATAAATTTTTTATTCATTTATAAAAAATTATTTACTCTAAGAATACATTGAAAATATTCAAGTGTAATGTGAAATATATTTAAATAATTGCAGTGTAAACTAAAATAAAAAGAAATTTCATAAAAATAAACAATAAATCTTGCATTAATCAACCAGCAAAGGTATTACCAAAATCAAGGAAATATAATCTTAATTATGAATTATCAAGTTTTATTAAATGAAATCTACCTAAATAATAGAGATGACTAAAAGGTGGATGAAGCTAATTCTCTCAATATCCAATATTCATAAATCAAATCAATCTAATCTTACTTTACTTATAATTAGATTGTGAATTAAGAAGAATGATCATTCTTATTACTTTAGCAGAACTATTAAGGTATTATAAATTTTAATATGCTTAAATTTGCAAAGTTACATTAAAGAATAAGTCAGAGTGCCAATACGTAATAGTACCTTAACTTTTTTAATTATAATAAAGTCATAAATTGTAATTGAAGAGTTGTACTTTATATATCTTAAAAGGTTAGCACATATATCGAATCATCATTCTTTATTTCTATTTACAGAAAATTAATTTTTGATAGAATAAAGGCAGAAAAGTTAAGCTGATTTCAATTATCTAATACGAAATATACATCTTCTTTATTAATAAAGAGTGATGAAATAGCTCTGTAAATCAATTAATTATATTATTTAAAAATAACCAACACATCTAATTATCAATTTTACCAGAATTGTGTTAGAATTATTTCTTAATATTAAGTATACTCTTGCTAATAAATTTTCTAAAGATCGATAACTTAAATTGAGTTAGAATGGCTTTTGAGAAATTAATAAAGTTAAAATCTCCTTATTCTTACACAAAAAATTTATATCTTTTGTAATTTGGATTGCTTAACTCTTATAGACAATAAGTAGGTAGTAGTTTATTTTATTTTTACTAAATAATGCATTATCAAAGACATAGTCATTCCATCAATAATTTAAGGCAATTTGGATTAAAAGCCTTAAAACGTTGAGAAGAAATACTACAAAATTTTCCTTTAAACAATTTGAAAAAGTTCTTAATAACTCAATTCATCGAACTTAGAATGAATTTTGTCTTGATGTTTACCAATAAATTTTACTTTATCTTTCTTTAAAAATGAAATTTAATGATAGGGCTAGCTAGATAACTAGCTAGTTAAATAAATAAAAAGATAAAAAAACAATCAAGAATTAATTCTGATTTAAAATTGACCTATATTTAATTATGAATTAATTTTTGTTTGTTTGTTTGTTTAAAAGCATATTTATAGAGGTCTAAATATAATTTGTTTGTAATGATTTACTAAAGACATACATGCACTGTTTGTATATATATATATCTCAACTTACTTATAGCATTATATTTATGTACCTCTTTTAAATATTTAAAAAAAAAGCATTTTTAATATAAATCAGTATCTTTCTTAATTTATTCTTTGTCTTTAGACTTTAAAAGCTCAGTCAACAATTAATTTAAGATTGTAATCTAATAAATTTTAGAAAAATAATAAATAAACAAAAACAAAACAAACAAATAATCTGTTTATTTCCTAAATTATAAATAAATAAACAAACAAATATAGGCTACTCTCTTCAGTCTTTACACTTCATAATTAACTTTACAATAAGCTTATATCCCATTTATGTCTACCATAATTAGAACTGATTCTTAACTGAATCCTTTAAACAAAGATCCCCATACAAACGAAAATGTTTAAACTGAAAATTAGTTTGTTGCTGAAGAAATCAAACCTGCTTCTATTTAACAGCAATCAGAATCATTTAAGGAAAGCGATACTCAAATTGAGAAAACAGAAAAGCAACAACCAACCTAGCTAATGATCGATGATGTAATTGAAAAATTAAATACAAGAGGTATTTTCTAGTTTTGGATTCTCTTTACTTTCTGCATTCTTTATACCGTCCTATGTGCCGCAATGCTTTATCCTTCTTTTTATCTTATGGACCCTAGTTTTATTTGCCCAGGTCAAGGAGACGGATTCACAGAAGCAGATACTGGGTGCGATGCTGGCTGTTATATTGACACCACTAGTGGAAGACGAACTTTAACCGACACTCTTAATTTATATTGCAATAATTAATAACTCCGTATAATGAGTATTTCTATACTTTACTTCGGTTGTGCTATAGGAAATATAGTCATCGGAGCATATTCTGAATTAAAAGGACGTCGTTTAGGTATGATAGTAACATGGGCTTTCTCAATTATTTCATTCATCGGTGTGATCACATCATACAGCATTACTTAATTGATGATATTTGAATTCGCCTTGGGTTTCTTTATCTAGCCTGCAAGTACATTGGTCTTTGTTTATATGAGTGAAGTATCTATTGGAAACTACCGTCAATACTTCTGTACTATTATCATGGTATTTTGGTCAGTTGGTGAATTGCTCTTACCAGCTGTAGCTTACTATGAATATAACTGGAGACTTGGATTTACTTACTACATGGTTATCCCAGCTGTTGTTGTAGTTATTTTACTTTATTTTTTCATGTATGAATCACCCTAATTTTTAGTCTCTCAACGTAGATTTGATGAAACTAAGCAAGTCTTACTTAGAATAGCCTCATGGAATAAAAGAACTGATTAGTATGCTATCATTGATAAATATGTTGAAGAGTAAAGATAATATGCAATTGAAGAAGAAAAAAAGAGCAGTTTCAAAGCTGATTAAATAACTTCCATTTATTTCCACCAAGTCTTTTGTCTTCCAAAGTTGCTCAAAATTACTGCCGCAGCAAGTGGCATTCTTTTAGCTATTAATCTTATTTACTTTGGTTGCTAACTTTCCTTGAGTACCATCAGTAAAAATTTTTAATTTGTTTGACTAATCTTTATTTTTTAATTACTTCTTTACAACTTCTAGTAACTTACAAACGAGTTAATCAAAAAAATTTATAATATTCCTTATAGTACGATTTAATAATTAATAGATCAATGAAGGAATAAATCAATCTTACTAACTAACTATCTTTCTTTTTTTCTCAAATACTTTCTTTTTTACAATTACAATTTGAACATTTTTTTGATAAAATCACAATCCCAAATATAAAAGAAATAAATAGTTAGTTCGTTAATAGTTTAGAAATGCTTTTTAATTGTGCTTTAATAAAAAGCATATCATAAATAATTAATTGCATAAAAATAATTATTTTTATTAATTTATTCCTATTTATAAATTATTAGGTCCTAATCCTTATGCAAATTAAGTCTATTTGGGAATAGCAGAAGGTTCTACTTTATTATTTTCAAATTTAACCACTACAAGATGCAAAAGAAAACTTTGGTCTTTCATTTTCCATACTGCCACTTGTATTTTGTGTCTCTTCTTTTTATTTGTTGAAACTGATGATGGCAAGATTGCAGTAGCTTTCTTTGTGAGAATTGGAAATGTATTCGCTATGGCACTTGTTTAGATATATCTAAATGAATTGTAAGATTTTTTCTTTAATTGTTTCTTATATAATCTTTAATTATTTTTCTATCAAATTAATCAAGATTCCCAACTCCTGCCAGAGCTGTATGCTAAGGTATAGTTTATTTCTTTGGTCTTGTTGGAAGTATCATCGCCCCCTACGTAATTGAATGGGCTGTTGATATTGGTATTAACTAAATAGCATGGCTTGGTATAGTCTCCTTCTTAGGGTCATTATGCTGCTTCTTCCTGAAGGAAACTTATCTCATGCCTTTAGATTAAGAATTAGAGGAATCTGATTTAAAGAGATTCAAAAAAATGAATGTCAAAAAAACAGCCACAGCTCCAACTGAATAATGAAAAATTTATTTAATCATTAAAAATGGTATTTTTTACCTACTACTAAACATTTGAATATAAAAATAAATAAAAATGTAAATAATAAATTCTAAATCCAAAAATATAAACTAATATGTAACTTAACTTTATATTACATTAATTCGTATTTGTTTTATCTTTTAAGATCAATTTTTAAAAAGCTTTATATTAAAACTACTTTTTATTTAAAGATTAACTTTATTTATCTACATCAATAATCCAAAAAGACAAAAATTATTTTTAAACTGATAAAGCTTTTTCTTTTTATTAAATTTAATTTAATGTAAAATTTCTTAAGATTTATTTGTAAAAAAAAATTTCTTAAGGTTTATTTGAATATAAAATTAAATTAAAAAATTCATAATAAAAAGACATATTAATTAATTCAAATAATAAATAATTTATATTTAGATTTTAAATATCATAATTAATATAAATTATTTCAATCATTTTTTTTTAAAGCAATTTTAAATTATTTGTTTAGATGGTGATTTTTTAGAAACATCAGCTATTATTTGCTTTTATATTTTGAATTAAGAAAATTATTAAACTGGTTTTAAGGGTGGATTAAATTGATCATATGAATTAGCAGCAGTGTCATATGACAGCATATTCTAATCTAAATCTTAGCCTGAATGTATTTTGGTTTCGTATTCATCAAAAATTTACTCTGAGTTTCTATGAGATAAGTCTTCAAAAATTTTGAAGCTTTTGCTTTAAATTTCTTACTTCAAACTACTTTCTTAGGAACTACTAGTAAAAGGAGAAATCTAACTTATTTCAAATTATCTTTCAGTTTAAGACCCTCCAAGTTACGCTGGTTATTAACTAGTTTTTATTTTAAGGAATTAACTAAATTTATTAGGAAGAGGCATGAGACTTTTTTATGGTTAAAAATTATTTTAGAATAAATTTGATTAAGAATTTTAGTGGATTGAAAATGTTTTTATTTTTTTTTGATTGTTTTTAGGAGAGTTTTAATTGCTGTGAAATGTTTTTTAGGAGTTTTAGCGCTGAAATAAGCTTTTTCTATCAATAATTATATTATTTATCTGTTCTGATGCTGTTTTAAAATCGTTTTAATGCAAATTTAGAATTTCATCACTATTTCTACTTGAAAGAAAACCACTTAAGAGTTTATTTGTTGAATTTTATTCTTTTTTAGAAAATTCTAATTTGGACAAAGAATTTTCTCTGCATAAATTAATTTATTAACTGATGTTAGAGTTTGGTTATTCATAATTATTAAAATATTGCTGTAATGAATCATTTTTAAAAATTTATTTTTTTATGTTTATTTGATTTAAAAAAGAGTTTTTTAACTAAGGACACTTTTTTTTCATGCTATCTAAGAATTTTATCTTTTGTCTGATGTCTAGATTTTATAATCTTAAGGGAAAGACTTGATTAGTTTGCTTTTTGTTAGTATCGTTACTATTAGAAGGTAATTGTAATAAAAATTTAACTTTTTTGCTATTTGGAGATTAATCTTCGATGCTATTTAGTTAATTTTCATTATCTTTATCCTGTAATTAATTATATTTAGAACAAATTTCTGTAAAATTATTGGAATTATTATCATTTTACTCTAATTATTTAAAGACTTCCATTTCTGATTAGGTTTGCTAGTAATTTTTATTTTAACTTTATTCATTTTAGATTTTTTTTAAATTTATTATTGAATGAGTGTTTTTATGGTTTTATACTTTTCTGGGAGATAAATTTAGAGATTTTATTATCGAAGGACTTTATGGGAAATAATTTTCATCTTGGTTTGAGATATTTCTTTAAGTTTACGATCCAAACAAAATATTGCTATATTTTTTATTTTCTATAAGTTGATTTTAGCTTAAATAATCTGATATTAGAAAATCAGATTATTTCTACATTTAGTGTTATTTATTATTTTAAGCTGCTTTTACCTTTATCTCATAAATATCCTAGTTAACTCCTTATTCGAATGAGGATTTATGGTTTGGAGAGGAATTTAATGATGCATTTCTTGAAATTTACTGTGAGTTAGCAATATTTTATTTGTTTATAGTTCCTCGTTTTTCTTTAAAATCAAAATAGTTAGATGAATCAAAATTTACTTAATTCAAATCTCTTGTATTGCTAAATTATTTATTTAAATTAAGTTATGATTGAGAATTTGAAAGGGATTTTTCACTTAATTTACTTATATTATACATACTCCTTTACCTTTAATTCTATCTAATGACAAAGTCAATTTTTTTCAAGCTTGAAGGAGGTTTCTCTCCTTCCTCTGTCTCTAAATGGTGCAAAGACTGAGGATGTTATGATTCTATAGCATTTAAATTATTTGAGGTAAAAATCAGTGTTGATCTTTGTCTAATTATTGGATTTTACTCTGCTGAAGCATGGTAACTCTTACTGTGTTATGTATTACGATTGTTATCTTAAGACTCCAAACAGCTATCTTACTAAATTTAAATCTATGACTAAACTCTTTTATGAGACTATATCTATTTATTTATTATTGGTTATATAGCAGCAGTGTTATATACATTATCAAATTTCATCTTGAATGAGTTAAATTCTGATACCAAATCCTTCATTGAAAAAGGTGAAAGGTCATTATGAGTTTCTTAAAAAAATTTATTAGATTCAGCTTTATTATTTATTTTATTGTTATTTTCTTGCATTAAATTTTCTACATTTGATGATGTGAATTTCTTGGTCTATTTTTATTAATGACTTTCAGAAATAAAGTAATCATTTTCAGCTTTGATTTTTTAAAGGATTGTTTCTTCTTACTTTTATACTGCTTCAGTATAAAGTTGCAGATACCTTTTGTGCCTTTGATTTCCATGAGCTATCAGAGATTTCAATAAATTTTAGTTTTGATATTAACAGAGAATCTTTCGAGGAATCTTGAAAATAACTGTGTCAGTTTCTAGAGTTACAATAGAGAATTCTTTTTAAAGTTATATCATTTTATCTTAGAAAGCTTAAGATGGTGAAACTTGACCTACGTAACTGAGCATGCTTTCAAAATCCTCTTTGAACCAGTTTTCATGTCCAAAAAACTCTCCCTCACTAAGCTAAGCGAGTCTTAAACTGAGTTTACTTACTCTCGACATGGTATTTTTCTACAAAGATGAATCTATATTTTTAATTTGACTTTTGGAGTGATTGGAAGTCATTTTTTTTTGGATTTCTATAGAGCCTTTGTAAAGCAAATAAAGAAACTCCTCTTCTTAATCAGGATGAGAGAATATGGGATTTTCAAGAATTTCTTATGCTCTTTTTCTTTCAGTTGAGCAATGCTCTATTTTTTAACTAGAACTATTATTATTGGAGCTTCTTTTAGATGAATCATTAGTACTTTCTAACTCTTTTATAATTTTTTAATTTTTCTCTAAGTGCTCTTCCTTGAAAAAGAATGCAATACTGCTTAAAATGTCTTAGTTTAAATCTTTCTAAAAATTATTTAATAAAGCTCTTCTAACAAAAGTCCTTTTCTCTAGCTCTTGCTAAAAGACTTTAAGATAATTTTTCTTGCTTATCTTACCCAAAATTATAAATTTAGAAATTTAAAAATGATTAGAAATTGTGTGGAGAGTTTATAATTAATTATCCAAATTCAAGTTTTATGCTTACTAATGTTGATCCAAAATATCTTAATTTTCCTATGACTGAATTATAATTTCTTTTACTGGTTGAATTTAGTAATTTGCTTCTAATTTTTTAGTTGATTCTAATCTTAAAGTGTTACTCTCTTCTTAATCATCTGATACTATATTAATTTCTTGATTATTAACTTGTTTGTTGGTTTATCTTAATGGGATCCCGTTGTGTGCAATTAAAGTAGCTGTTCTTTTTTAGGACTAGTCAGAAAGAATTGACTCTCCAAAACTATCATATTCATACAATTGAGTTATCTTCTTAAATCCACATATGGTTCCACTTTACCTGAAATATTTTGAAAAGTATTTATTTCTAAGTAATTCTTCATCTTCTTAGTTTCTTAAACACTTAAGTATGCTTTTACCTTGATTTATTTGGTTTATAATTTACTAGCTACTTTACTATGAATGCTAGTTGCCATGTTTTGAGTCCTTATATTCATTGTTTAAATATTCTAATTTTTATCTCCATTTTACTTCAAGCTCTATATCTTAAGAAGACTTAGGAATAAAAACTGATATGTTTCCTTTGAGGATAAAGTATAAATATTAGCTTTGTTCACCTTTGTGGAAAACTGCGCTATATTCTGGAATTTCTTCGTATTCTACATATTAAGCCAAATCAAATAGACGATCTTATAGCTCTTACTTTGAGCAAACACCTTTTAGGTAAGGGATATGAGATAAAAAATCAGCAACAATTGCTCTGTCTTTCATATCACTTACATTAGATTATCTTTATAGTATTTTGATGCAATTTTCAATCATAATTGAGTTCAATCAAGCTAAAAAAAACAAGTTTAAAATAAATAGAATGAGCTTTGTTTAGAATTTAAGCAGTTATCAAAGAGATTTAGTTGAATTTGTTATATAGTTTAGCTAAGTAAGTAGGTTAATAGAATTATTTTAGTAGTTGAAATTGTTTTGTGTTTAAGTTTATCTTTTTCAATTTATATTAATTACATAAATCATACTATTTGATTTATAAAATACTTACTTTTAATGTTTTTGAATAATTATATTCCGCTTACTTATTTATTTTCATAATTATTTGATGGAATTAGTAAACTGTGTATAAATAACACATATTTGTATCAACGACAATTGCAGCCAACACACCATAATATAGATTTCAAATATAAACATTACTTATATTTTCATTACAAATCAAATGTTTTTTTTACCATGCAAAATTCATAATTAAATTTTACCATAAATTTTTTTAATTTGCTCTAATTACTGTAATAAATAGAAAAATAAATAGAAAATTATTTATATTTTTTGTAACAAAAAAATTGAATTTTTAAATCTTCAAAATATCCAAAAATACTTTAAAAAAATTAATAATTTTTAAATTATTATGTCATATAAATAATTTTATTTGAAAAAAAACATTATTATTGTTCGCTATTTTTAAGAAATTGTTAAAAATGAAATACCTTAAGTATGGTAAATTAAACAATAGATTGGTACCAACAAAAAAAATTCAGAACATTTAAAAATGATAAATGTATGTAGATTTAATTTTAAAGTAATTATATTTTTCCAATAAAATTAAAGTGTTTTAACAAAATTAAAAAATAAGAAATTATCTTAGAGATAAAAATATATTTTATTATTAAACAAAAAAAACATGAAAGAATGAATGACTAAAAAGAAAAAATTTGATTTTAATCTTTCCAGATGTTTATAAATATAATAACAATTTTCTTCAGTGTAAGGTTTTTCTGATATTAATCATAGAAAATATAAATTCTATAAGAAATAATTGATATTCTTTTTGGAGTAAAGACACTGTTTGATAAAACAAAATTTGCATTTGTCAATTAGATTAAATAATAAGTTCCTAATTTAGTAAAAACAAACAAGTACATTTTTTTGCTTAAAAAAAACTTTTTGAGTATTAAAATTAGATAAAAAGTTATCACCGTTCTGAAAATAAGTAAGAATTAAGAGTTTTAAATTAAAATAATTTATTTAAATAACTCAAAAATTTTAAAACTCTTAATCTCATTAGTTTTCCAATTCATAATTTAAAAATCTATATTAAATGAGATGTTTTTGAAAGAAATTTGCAAATAAATACTGCAAAATCATAAATAAATAAATAATTGTTATAAAAGTTTAAAAAGAATCTAAATATTTGAGGACTGACTAGCTTGTAATAGATTTAAAACATCAAAATTAATTAAAACAAATAAATTATAATTCATTTTTATGATATAAATGTATAAGCATATATTTATATAAAAAAAGAGATAAAGTAATTATTTTTAGAAAAGTTTAAAAATGCCATAGATTTAATTTTTAATAAATAAGAATAAAAAACATCAAAAGTAACTATAACAAATAAATTATAATTAATTTTTATGATACAAATATATAAGTATATATATATATATAAAGAAAGAGATATAGTTAATCATTTATAGTCATACATTAAGAATTTAGAAGTTTTGAGAATGAAATTTTTTAAAGAAAGATGATGTTTATTAATTATTTAATTAAAATATGTTGTATTCATAATCAAAGAATTACAATTTTATTTTATTGAAATGGTATTAAATCGCATTTGAAAGGTTTTTAATGTTGGTTGTTTAGTTAATTTATTGAATTATTGATTGATTGGTTAATTTATTTTTTGTCTGATTTCTTGCTTAGATAATTATTTTTGTTTGAATCAATTGAAAAAAGCACAATTTTTTCCAAAATTTATTTTTAAGATTTTTTAATAATTAAAGTATATGTGCAGAAAGAAAATTTGGTAAAGCTCAAATCGATACATGCAAATTCTTGTTGCTATTGGTCAATTGACTTGATTAGCTAATAGGAAGAAGCTTCCATTTAACGATTAGATGTTGTAACTCGATAGAATCTAAAGGATTACTTAAAAAATCATAGAAGCCTATGCTTTCCAAATTCTTTTTAGTCTTAATAGTAAAATTACCTATAGCAAATACAATACTTTATTAACAATAATCATTAAAAAAAGACTCTAAATCTTTTTAAAAAAAATCTTGTTTCTAGAATTCGTCAGTACATACAAAGATACAAACAAACTGTCTTTCACCACATGTTTTACAATCATTGTTTTTCTTTTCTTCACAAAATGTAATAGCTTCTTTAATACTGCAGCACTTTTAAGGCATAAAATTAAAATTTGTTAAGAGCATTTCTATCGTTTCTAAGTTCCTATAAACCTTATCTATTATTAAAACGTTTTTGCATTAACATTTTAAAAATTTGTAGTGCGAATGTATTCCTGAAGGTTGCTTCTAGAAAGTCATAGTTCTTGTTTAGTTCTTTTAAATTTAATCTAATAAAAAAAAATAAATTAATTATTTAGTTAGAATAATTTTATTAGTTTGTTATCATAATCTTTCGAATTTTAAACTTTATGTTATTTATTAAAGCTCATAAAATTCGATGATAAGTTTTTATATTTAAATTAAATTTTATATTAATTTTTTATAAACGTAAGATAGTTATTATTTTCAAAGCATAAATTTATCCATTTTACATCAATAAAATGTTTTAAATAAATTTAAATTTATCAAAATATTAATTTTTATCTAAACAAATCTAATTTATTTATGAAATTAATAATCAAATTATTATTCAAGTATAAACAAAAAATTTTTAAATCCCTTTAACTAAATGTTAAATTATTTTTAAAATAAAAGTGGGTACATTTAATAATAATCTATCAATATTTCATTCAATTTATTTTTTAGAAATTTTTTATTATTATTAACAATTGTTTATTGATTCCTTAAAAAATGAAAGTAAATCGATTTTTATTTAAAACTGATAACTTTAATGGAGTTTTTTAATATAATTTTGTAATTTAGTGAATTTAAACTGGTGATTTATTTCAAAATTAAATGAATAAAAACATTAAACAGGTTCTCTGTTCATCTAATAATTATTGAAAATATTTTATTTAATTTTTTTTTTGAGTATTTCTTCATTTAATAATTTTATTTTGACGATTATAATCAAATTAATAAAAAATTAAATACTTTTTCATTGATTTTTCTATTTACAAATATTTTGAGTAATTTTATTAAAAAATTATCTTACAAAACGAATTATATTTTTATTTAATCAATTTATATTTATGATAATAACCAAAAAAAGGCAAAAATCATTTTTTTACAAAATTAGTAATAAAAATATCGATAAATGATTGCCTGTAAAAGTATGAAAGGATTTTTAAAGGTTTTACTCATTCGTTTTCAAAGAATTAAATTACTCATTAAAATTTTATTAAAATTTATTTTTAAAGAAATCATCAATCCAATCCATCCATCCATCCATCATTATAAATTTTATTTCAATAATGATGAAACTTTATTTGAGTTTTGCTAAATTAATTAAAGAATGTAAAAATTTATTACCAGAAATATCTTCTGAAACATCTAATAAATCATTTCCTGTCTTTGTTTAAACTTGATTTCCCTTATTGGAATTCAGAGCCATCACTCCATTTTAAGATGATAAACCATTTTAAATGATTGAAGATTAAATTTGTTGATTTGTGTTGCTTTTTTATATATTATTATGCTACTGATTGATCTGCTCATCAACTTATGAAGTAATAGTAGGAGGTTAAGATAACTAAAAAAGAGAAGCATTTTTATTTTAAAAGATGCTTTTGCTATTATTTTACTCTTGATACATTAGAAAATTATTGGCATAAGAATAATTAATCAATGAATCCTATATTTTTTCTGACTTTTTATTTTCGATAATTTTAATGTCAAAATAAAATTAACTTCCTTTATGAGGAACTGAAGTAAATTTAATGCCACTAGCATCATTACTTTCTAAAGGTGGATCATTTTCTTTTGTTAAAGTATATTAATATTCTGGATTGTAAAGTTTTTTAGCAATTATATTGCAAATGAACAAATTAAAACCAAAAGAAGATATTTATTTAAAATCTTAATATCCTATCCCTATTCCAGAGTTTAATAGTTTATTTAGTTTTTGCTAAATACTTTAGTCCATACCTTCTCCTGTGTCTTCTACCTAAAACCTAATTATATTTTTTAATTAGTTTCCTTTTTTTGTAGGAGGGTATATTCTAAATTTTAAATATCCAGTTTGGGTATGTTTGTGTGCATTTGAAAGTAAAGTAATAATTATTTGTATCAGTCTTCTACTATCCGTAGGAATAACGAAGGGAGTATCTTAATCATAATCTACTATAAATTTAATATTCCTATCGCTTGTTTATTTAAACATCATTATACAGTGCTCTACTACTTCGGTAATTTTAGTTTCTGCTATGTCAAGCACGAATCTTTCACCTACTAAATCATTAAAGTCTCTCAAATTATGAAGAATATATTTTATTATCCTACAAGATAATTAAATTGGCTTTATGAATTAATCTTTAATTTTCTCTTCAATCCTTTAACTTTTAATTCCTGCCTAAGAAGTTGCTATAATTTTACTCAAGCTTTAAGTTAAATCATTATTAAAGCACCTAAACAGGTTTTTTAGAATTTAATAGAATTATGATTTATTAACTATTTTTTCTCTCTAATGAATTTCTTCAAACACTAGCAAAAAATTGTATGGAGCTTCTCTTCTTTCATGTTCATTTTCTTTAAAATTTAAAGTTATTTAAAATCTTTTGAAAACTATTGTAATTTAAAAGTACCTTTTTAGTTATTTTTAATTGATGTGATATTAATTGATTGTGATTCCGCCATCTCCTCCATGTTGAATTTAAATGTTTAGGGATATATTTTTATTTAGTATTTCTTTATTTCTGATAAGTCCAAGAGCTAGTCTTCTGCCGTGAACGAAGCTATTACAATAGGTTTGTTAGTGTAGTGCTTCTTGAAATACTCCCAATTCATTGAAATTTTTACCAAAAATTCTTTTAGTGAAATCCTATTTTAAAAGCAAAAAATAAATTTATAAAATATTTCCTCATAGCAAATAAATAACAAATATAAATAAATATTTGAAGAAATTAAAATAAAAAAATTATTAAAAATTTATTTTGAAAAACAAACTATTGCAAATTTTAATTAATTGAGAAAGAAGGGAATAAAAAATATTTTTTATTAATAAATTTAAAAGTTAAAAAATTGAATTGAAAAGTGCTTTTTGAACTATTTTTTTTAATTTTTAAAAGCAAAATTTTTTATCAATTAGAAAATGAAAGCATCTAAAGAAACTAAATTATAAAAGTAGTAGCGATTATTAATTCATATTAAAAAAATGAGATTACATAATGAAAATATCTAAAAATCAAATTAATTAGCTTTGAAATTATTTTAAAATATTGCTTAAAATGTTAAAAATTTGATGAAAAATAAATAATTCTTACAAAATGTTTTTAGACTTTAGGCCTATTTTGTAGGAATATGCTATATTGTAGTTTGTAGTAGCTGCAGAGTTAGACACTTTGTTGCAGCTCATATATGAGTTTCTTGCAAATATTAGCTCCTTAAATGTAGAGGGACTATAGAGGAGTGGTGCTGGATTTTCTTGACTTACTTAGAGTACTTTAGAGTTATTAGGAGGATATTAATTAAAATTTTCTAGGTTATTATTGTTTTTTTTTGTAAAAGATTGAATGGTTGAGTCTTATATTAAACCAGGTAAAGGTTTTGTTTAACTTTATTTTTTAAAATTTTCCCACAAATTCATAGTGTCTATGTCAACTCTTTCTATTATAATATTTTGTAAAAATTAATCAAAGAGCTTAATGAGGTTGCTTTATTTAAAACTTTATTAGGATTTTTAGCGAGGAATAGTGGTAAAATCTGAAGGAGAGGCATGCCCTAATTCTGCTGGTGCAGTTTCTGCAAATATGTTAATTTTTTCTTTCTAAGCAAAAAAGGTTGCAATTTAAGGAATTATTTACTTTGAAACATACATGGTTGATGCTGTTTCATCAAGTAGAGCATATTGGACTGAATCCTTTAACATATTATCAGCTTCTTATTTATTAGAAGTTTCAAACTATGTATTATTTTATAGTTAAGGCTCCTTCTGCTGTATACTCCAATTTTAATTTTGGGTTTATTTTACTGAAAAATTAATTTTATTATCTATATTGTTTATTATGATTTCGTTTCCGCTTTTAGTTTTTTTCAAGTTGTTATTGTTACTATTGTTGTTCTTGTCATTTGACTTTCCCATGCAGAATTACTCCGAGAAGCAGCTATCAATTATAATCCTTTAAGAAAAATAACTTTTTTTTGCTTGTAGGTATGTATCATTTTAGGCATTGTATATATTTATCTTGTTGCAGATCATCAAGTGAAATGGGAATTATTTGAATTTAAATTAAATGATAAGAAGAATAAATCCAAGAAGACCCCATTAAATAAATTAGATATATAATTAATTTTATTGGTAATCCAATGATAGAATAGAAGCTAAAGCAAATATTATCATATCTAGTAATAGGAGCTTATCTTTAATTCGAAAAATTTTAAAGTTTGGTAATACTTATTTTAAAATGAGCTAAATAAAGAATAGTTCTACTACAACTTCTAAAGCAGAATTTTCGATATCAAACTTTAAGAAATTATTTGAAAATACGGCGCATCTAAATATTTAAGTTGCTACAAAAAAAAATATCTTCTTTGTGTGATCTTACAAAACGATTTATAGACTCAATGTTTTTAAGTATATTAAAATATTAATTAGAGAAATGACTTCAATTACTAAACAAATTAAAGCAAAGATTATAAAAAGCTAATAGTTATCATAATTGAATCGTCTTACAATCTACAAGGCTTCAACTATCATACCTGCTACCTGAATAAGCATCACTTTTAAGATTTCCTTTTGGATTACTTCATTTTAGTTTTTAAAAAGTTTGTGAAGGTGCATGGACATATCTTCTGTTCTGTTAGTGGAAGCATGGTTAGAGTGAAAATATTTATCTTCGTTCTCTTTGAGTTTATGTTGATTGCTTTACTTAGATAATTAATTGCAAATAATTTAAGCATCTAAGCTTGCAATTTTTCCATTTGAAGAATTTTCAAAGTGCTGAGTCTACTGAGCCTCACTCTTGGGTGATTTTAAATCTGATTTACTGTTAATATCTATTTCCTAAATCATTAAACCTTTTTAGGTATTTTTATTATTATTGTCATTACTATTATTATAACCACTCGTTTGTTTTTTAGAGGACTCAACCAAATAATTTTCATTAGCTCCAAAATTATTACCTAAAAAATAAAAGTTACCCTGGCCGTTATATTGCATGTTTTATTTATTTTATATCTAAAAAATATCTTGTTAAAGTTTTGTTAGATTATTATTGAATTTTTATTGACTTGAAATTTATCCATTTTTATTATTTTCTATACTATTTTTAATTTCATGCCAAGAATTACTTTGCTATTAATCTTATTTAACTATTTATTTATTGACCATATCTTAAGCACCATAAAATTTCTTATTAGAGGGTTACAAATTAAATTATGAATTCTGAAAATTTTAATTTTATAGCATGATATTTAAATCTGTAATGTCTATTTTTGTCTGAAGAAGATTCCTTTCTTTTCCGTTAGCAATTATTTCTCGCGAATTATGCTCAATGTCACTTTTCTAATTTAATTCATTAACAGTTTAGACATTATAAATAGAATTTTGAAATGAATGGTTATTGCTAATAAAAGCTTAACTCTATTTATTTATTAAGTAGTTTATTTCTTCATTTTAAGGACTTTAAATTAAGCTATGTTTGCTATTTGGGATAGGAAAAAGGTTTAACAGATTGTTGTTTTATACTTCTTCTTTTTGCGCTCCATTTTAATATATCGTTTATAGCATTTATGGAGTATTTTATTGATTTTTAATTATATCATTAATTTGAGCTATCTACAAATCGTTATTGTTTGGAATTTAATCGCAAGGGCTAAAAGTTATACTTTTTTATGGCCTAACTTCAACTATGCTTTTTTAGCTTTTTTTGCTACCGTTGCTCATTAAAGTCTCATCAACAATTGCTTGCTTTAAATTATTTTATTGGCCTTTATTATTTAAAGCCATATAAATTACCTAATAATGATTATTTTAATTAATTTTTGACTGATTTCTTTAATTAATCTGATAAATACAAAATCTCTATAATCTAACTTTATCTTTAATTTCTATTTTCAATGAGTAATTTTTAATATCCATCCTAAACAATATATATTAAGCAAATATTAATATTTAATCAAGATAAAGATAAATAAATAGATAGATAGAAAGTTTCATTGACAAAATATATTGATTGATTAATCGATATTTTTTGTTTTTTTCTTTAATGATAAATTGATTGATAAACAGATTATAGTCAAAGATAAATTAATTTGTTTGTTTGTTTGTTTAAAAAAAATTAATAGCTTTTTAAAACAATTAATATTTATTACTAAAACAAAAACTTTCATTTTGTTCATTATTGAATTTTTAACTAAAAAACATGATCTATTTTAGAGTAATTAATAAACAAACGATTTCAAATATCCTATAAATTATTTATGGAAAAAAATTAAAAAAACTTAGGTCGATTAAAAATAATCCTAGTATTAAAAACCTATTTAAAAATCTAAACTTAAAAAAAATGTAAACTTGATTAAAACATTAAATTAATATGACTCTAACGTAAAACTAATGTATTTATAAAATGAAATACTATCACATGAAGCAGTTAGTATATATTGTAAACAAAATAAGGTATTCCTAATTCAATATATTTTCTATGATTGAAGGAATTATTTGCAAAAATTATAAAAAATCAAGATTATTTTCATACATGGTAATGCGTCTAAAAAAAACATGTATATGCTGTATATACCACAACTTGTTTGATTCAGTTCGTACTAATTCTAATAATTATATAATTTTGAATATTATCTTAGAATGAGAAATCTTTTTACTTAAAAAAGTAAAAAAAGACAAATTAAATTTGTGGGATTTATTTTAATTTATTAATTAAAAGTGGATATTTTGACGTAGCTAAAAACATAATTATTGGATATTATTAAAATTACAATCAAAATTTATATTAAATATTCTCAAATAGTTGATGCTTTTTTTTCGTTCAAATGTATTCATTTTGAGAAAAACTTTCTTAGTTTAAGATTAAGTTTCAAGCTTTGAAAATTACTTCCTGATAATAATAAAAATACTAATAATAAATTTATTGCTAGTAATATCAATTTAATAAAAGAAATTCATCTGTAGTTAAAAAGCTAGGAAAAGGTGTTGACTTTATTTATTTATTTATGCTTTAGAATCAATAAAAATTTCAAATAAAATTTAATTTTATAATGATATATTTTTTATCTATAATATAAATAATAGAGAGAGAGAATTGTTAAGACTATATCTATTTATTGAAATTTCTAACAAAATACTATTTTTTTAAATAGTAAATTTCTCAAAAAAATTTAAATAAGAATTAACCTCAGTTTTTAAAATTCAAGCTATTTTTACCCACATTTTATTATTAAAACAAGAAATATATATATAAATTTTTGCATCATCAAATGAAATAATATTAAATTTGTAATCTACATTTTAGGTCATCTAAAGATAAGGTATTATTAAATAGTAATTAAATATATTGTCTAATTTTAAAAATACAGATTTTTTAATAAAATATTAATAATACTTTTGATTATCTTTTGAAAAAGCATCCGCTATTATTAGGATATAAATATTTTACATAGTCATAAATTAATATGTATTTTTATTTATAAAATTAAATATCAACAATAATTATTTTCATAGATACAAAATTCATTAAAGTTTTCAATCTAAATTTTTTGCTCATCAAATGAAATAATTAAATTTGTAATTTACATTTTAGAAGTTCATCTAAAGGTAAGATATATATTATTAAATAGTAATTATATAAATTGTTTAATTTTAAAAATACAAAATTTTTAATAAAAATTTAATAATATTTTTATTGATTATCCTTTGAATAAACATCCTCTATCATTAGAATATAAATATTTTACATAGTTATAAATTCATTTCTATTACCTATAAAATAAAACATCAAAATTAATTATTTTCAAAGATTATACATTATTCATTAAAGTTTTCAATCCAAAATTTTTCACTTTAAATAGAATAATTGGATTAAATTAGCTCTCAAACAAAAATTGCGTATTAAAAAAGTTAAGAATACTGGTTTTATCTATTTAAAGGAGAATGAGAAAAAACTTTTTAAAATAATTTAAAAATAGATTTATTTAAAAATATATTTTTTTTTGATTAAAATACCAAATTAAATAAAAAAGTAAAAATTAAATCAAAATAATTTCTTAGCATTTATTAGAATAAAAAAAATAAATTCATTATTTGTTCATTAAATTTTACAAAGTTAATTAAGTAATAATAAAATTTAACTACATAATTAATATTTTTTATCCTCTTGAAAAATTCAAAACAAATAAATTTTTTTTCAACTTTAAATTGATTTTATTTTATTTGAATAAATCTTTATGCAAAAGCAAAAAGCAAAAGTTATTTATAATAAAGCTACATACTTAATTTTATTTTTATTAGATTTTTAAAAAAGATTGTATAACAAATCTATTTTCTTTAAATTAAACTCTAAGCTTCCAACAAACCTTGTGAAAATAAATATAAATTATGATTTTCACACAGAATTTAAAAAGTAAAAATTAGAAAATAAATGATTATAAAAATATCTTTTTATTAATACTAGTTAGGATAAGCAAATATTAAAGCCATTAAATATATCGAAATTCATTATTTATTTATTTATTTTCAGTAAATTTTGCTCTAAGGATTTTAAGATTTCTATCTATTTTCAATATTTGATAAGTAAGTAATGTTTATACTTTAGCTACTTACAACAACGAACTTATTAATTAAGTAAAAAAAAATACTTAATTAATTAATTAGGAATTTTTATTCTTCACTCAAGCTCAAAATAAAGGACTAACTATTCCTCAAAAGCTTCAAAATATATAAATACCTAGTATATCATAGCTTACTTGCAAGAAGATACTTTAACTTCATTTTTAAAAACTCTCATTTATTAAAAGGAGTAATAAATTAATAGAATGGAATACTTAGAATAAATAAAAGATTCGAAGTACTTTGAACCTATTAGAAATACTAATCATTTTGATAAAAAGATATAAAAACTCATAGAGGCTTCAAAAGTAGTTTAAAAGAAACCTCTTGATATAGTATGTGAGTATGGATCTAAATCCAACTTTATGTATTTTGTTCTAGAAGGCAAACTTGCTGTGTTTATTCCCAAAAACGAATCTGACTTGAACCAATAGTACTAGATTTTAGTAGGCATTGAAAAGTGCAAAAAATAGATTAATAAAGACCCTAGTTTGCTAGAAGCATAGTAGAAATTATAAAAACTACAAGCTGAATGGCTGAAGATTTAAAAGCAATTCGATTCTGAGCTTTTAAATAATTTTAAAAAGTACCAAATTAGTCTCAAACCTGCTTAATAAGGGTGGGATGATGAATTTTACTTGGAAAAGAAGAAACAGATTAATTATTAAACAAGCAGTTTGCTTAAAAAAGATGTATGCAGCATGAAAAAAGTCGGAGAGCTGAAAAGCGGAGATTGTTTTGGAGAAATAGGAGCAATTTTAGATAAACCAAGAACTGCAACTATTATTTCAATAGAGAAAGCTACTTGCCTATTAGTTTCTTTTGATAAATACAAAGAAATCTTTTCATAAGAGCAGATTTATGAACTCAATTTCAGAGTCTTGAATTTGGCTTAAATCTTTTAAGAAAAATCTGTAGAAACAGAAGTGGTAGCCCATCTAGCCACTCATTTCTAATAAGTACAGGCGATTAATACGGTATACAGGTAAATTAATTTTGAAAAAATAAGAAAATACATTTTATATTTTGATCCATTCAAGTTGATAATTTGTGGTACTAAAATTAAAGTTATACGTACAATATTAACTGATGAACAAACCTTCAAATTATAATTTCGTTTCAATTAATTAATACATAAATACATCAATCAAGTTAATGTTACATAAAAACAAAGGCTCTGATGAGTTTTATCAAAAATTTTATTGATTTTTATTTTAACCTTGATGATAATAAAAAATAGCTTTAAATATTAAGTTATGTTTTATTTTTATTAACAGAGAAGGTGAAAAAGTAGACGGATTATATTTAATACATAATGGTCATGTCGAGATATTTAAAACCTAAAAAGATTACTTCAATAGTTAAATTTCAATAGTAGTAAAGGGAAAGGGATCTCTTCTTGGATTGGAGGATTACTTTGAATTTGATAATAACTCGCTTTTATTAAATAAGGAATAAGCTAAAATAAATAATAAAAAAAATGGGAGAAGTTTCACTGCTGTCTGTAAAGATTTAAACATGAAAATTTACAAAATAGATAAAGAAATTTTAGATTATTTCATAGAAGGCTACTCCCATTTTAAGAGCTATATTTTGACTATGGCTCATTAGAAGTTCTTGGAATACAATTCTAAATACTAAAAAAACTTAGAGCTAAAAAAGAAACTCAGTAATTTAAGTTTAGTTTAATAAATCCCAAAGAGCTCAAAAAAAATGTCTGTTGATATTTCCGACTTAAATAATTCTTTGAATCTTTCATAACTAAACGGCCATCATTAAAAATCGATTTCAATTGAAAAATTAGAAGACTTACCTAAAGAAGAAATAGCACCAAAGCTAAAAAATATCCAAAATTAAATAGAAGATTAAATTTTATAAGGTTACATTATCAATAAAAATAAAAATGATAAAAATTTAAATTTTCCTGAAATGCTTCGTTATGAAAACAGCAAAATAAAAGATTTAAAACAGAATTATGAAGTTTACATAACAAGGAATAAAAGACCACAAAGATAATAAAATCAATCTTATGCAAAATATGATGCCTTTTTGAGAAATAAATTTGATTAGCAATTTATTTAGGCATTTGAATAACTAAAAACGAATCAAAACAAAAAATCTCAGAACAAATAACAGAGTTAAGAATTAATTCTTAATGATTTGCCTGAAAACAAGCTAAGTTTAGACTTTATTGTTTAGCAAAATTAGCTCAAATCATTAAGATTCATCGAACAAAGATCAAAGAAATCGAAGACAGAAAAATCTGTAAATAATATAACTTAGAACTCAAGAGATAGTCTTTATGAAGAAGATGAAGAATAAATTCAATATGAAAATAAAACTCTAGAAAGAGAGGATTCTGATTAGACTTAAACTCTTTAGTTAGCAGACAAAAAAAATGAAAAGCTCTTCAAATATAAATCAATGAATTTAATTCCATCAATTGCTGATATTAAAATAAACAAAAATTATAGCCAAAAGCAAATTTAATAAAATTAAATGAAATTTTAGGAAAAGTTCTAAGGTGAATAAAAGGAGTAAACCAGTAATTTTACTACTGATAGAACTAAATCTGAAACAGATTAACTCACCAAATTACAAAGTATTTAAAAGATAGAAATGTAGCATGGGATACCAATTTAATTAATTAATTCAGATACTGAATAACTTTTATCAAATTAAGGTGTCTAAGGGTAAAGTATAATTGATAATACAGAAATTATGCAAAATAAAATGTATGACAAAGACCAAGTGATAAAAAATGATTCTAAAATGTTTGAATAAAATACAAATAGCTTGCTTAATCAAAAAGACAAGTTTGCCTAAAGATTCTCAAATTTCTAACTTGAAAAGGACAAATCAGGTAAAAAAGTAATCTTAAGGATTAATAGAAATAGGAATTAAAGCGAAAAATTCACATCTCCGGAACCAAAAAGTTAAAACTGCTCTCTTCATTAATTATTTATTTCAGAAAATCAGCATTAGGATAATGATTAAATTTCTATTTAGAGTCATTAACCATCAGAAAAAAGATTAAATTCAAATACAAATAGCAGCTAAAACAATTAATTTAATCATAATCTGTAAGTTTCTAATCACGTAAGATCAAAATAGCAATCGCTTATAGATTTAAAAGATAACAATAATAAATCTTGCTTAGTTGAATAGCACTTAGAGGAAAAAATTTAAAATGACTCACAATAACTTTGTGATATAAAAAATTATAATTCTAAGATTTTAAACTCTATTCAGTCTGATTAAACTCCTTTGAGTAAAAATAGTACCTATTTCGAAAGTTAAAAACACACTAATTCTCCCTTTTTACCAAAAATTAACAACTAAATCTAAGCAAACCACTAAGATTAGGAAAAACAAAAGATAATTTCTTCTTTTAACTCACTATATTCTAATCATAAAAAAGCTAATAATGATAGCAACATCAAGATCAAAAGTAATGAGACTTTCTCGATAAAATCACCTGTGAATATATCTAAAATTTCTCATTCGAAATTTGATTTGATTACACCTAACAAAAACAAGGTTATTTAATAATTCAATAGTCCTAAAAACTTAAAAGTTAGATTATCCATACCTTTTACTTAAAATGTATATGAAGAAAGTGAATATAATAAAAGATCACATTCTAATTAGTTAAAAGATTCAACACAAAGTGTGGATTAAGATTACAATCACCATTTTGGTTAAGACAATAACGAAAAGATAAACTCAGAGGCCAATTAAAATTTTATAAATAAGTTTTTTTTTAGCCAATAACCCAGTAAAAGGGTTTCAATTTAGCCTGAAAAGTTTAGCAACAACAGCACTCTTCCACTAAAAAATAATAGGTATTCTTCTTTGATAAACATAGAAAACGAAAGCTAGATAAATTAAAGTTAATCTATGGTTTCATAGAATTTTTACAACAGCCATATTTTTAGTAATTAAGATGATTTATAGAGTGCTTTATCTCCATCTAAAAAAATTAAACTTAGAAAAATAGTTGAAAATAACAGTTTTACTCATCTTAACTTTCAGCCTAATAATTTAAGCTATTCTAAGCCTACATAAAACTTGTAAAGAATCTAAATGAAAGAATAAATTATGGATGATATTTAATCTAAACTCGGGCTATTTCCATAAAAAAAGAAAAATGAGACATTTTATAAAGATTCAGCTTTGAGAAAACTTAACTCTCATGAACTAAAATCTGACCATAATATAAGTCCTACTTCACCTCTAAAATAAAATCAAAGATAATCAGAATAAAATATAGAAAGTATAAAAAAATTAGCATTTGCAGAGTATGTCAATAACAAAAGTATTATTAAAGAAGAAGAGCATTAAACATTATTAAGTACTCCTTAAAACAAAGTAAATAGTAATAACTAAAAACAAACAATGTTAAAAGGAACTAAAAGTCCCTAATCTCTTCACAAATACTCAGAATATGGAAATAGTCTGGCTTAAATTTATAAACTATAGCAGATGGTAATAGGGACACCCAAAAAATAGTTAAAACCTTCTCAGCTGGTGCTCTATTAAAAATAGAGTAAAACATCCAATAATTATATTTCTAATCTTTTCAACAACAAACTAAATTAGTAATAGATTTAATGAATTAAATACTCAATAAATAAAAACTATCAAAATCAAATTATTTAAAAACATTAATTTTCTAATTGAGAATATTTCTGATTTATACTTTTTATTTTAAAATAAAATAAAAATCACATATTGATTAGCAATAATGCATAAAATCACATTATAAATAGATAAATTAATTTTATGTTGTAAATTTATATAAAAATGGTTCAATTAGTTAAATAATGGTTAATCTAAATATAGTCTTGCCAGCAAATAAAAATAAATCAACTTTAAAAACTTTTTTGGGATTTTAATAATAAGACCATTAAATATAAATGAAAAATAAGTGTTATAACGTGTATATTTTATATTTAGATTAATTAATGTTTTTAATTAGAAAAGCATATCTTTTTAATAATTAATTCGCATCAAATTCTATCAAATATATATATTACATAAATCTAAAATTTATTAAAAATCAAATTAATTTTTAGTAATAAAAATAGTGTAAGGAGCAAAAGAAAAATGGAAAAATATAGAAGATTTGCAGATTAATTTACAGGAATTAATCCATTCTTGCCAGTATTTTTAAACAAGAAAAAAAAAGCAAGTGAAATCATTTTGAAACTGGTAAAATAAATAGAGTTTAATCTTAGCAACTATCCAATAAAATTGATAATATTAAAGCATTTAATTAATTTAATTCAATGCCACTTAACAATAATCTAATATTATTTTATTAAATTAATAGCTTTTAGGTCCTATTTTAGTTTTAATTAGATTGCCATTGATTTTGATATTCGCTCTTTTACTTGTTCTTTACCATTCTATTTTCATTCACTTGGTAATTCTATTTTGGATACTCATATTCAAAGGAATTAATAACATAATTTTAATCAAATTGTTACTTATAGTTAGTAGTCAATTCATTTAAAAGAGTTGTAACTCTCTTTAATCACCTTGTATGTTTGAGAGTCATCTTATTCTTGATGGGTTTCTATAAATTCAAAACAAGTTTTAAAATCCTCTCTAAAGAAGGGTAATTTTATTTTTATAAAAAGTCAATAACAATTCTTTATTTTTATTTAATATTATTATTGCAAAGTTCTAACAAATCTCCTCCTCCAAAAATGAACTCAGGATTTATAGTTTTAGCTAACCACACAAGTCCTGTAGACTACATCTATATGACATACTTGTAAAATAATATATGAATTTGCAAATAAAAATAAGCTTATTTTTAATTAAAGAATGTCACCTATTTTCTCCAAATAGTACATTTCTACCAAGGACTCTTCTCAAACAAAAGTAATAAATAATTTATTGTTAGAATCAAATAAATGTAATTATTGTTTTCTTAGGTCCTTTTAAGCCCATTAAGTTTCTTTTAGACAATAAAGGCAGCATTTAGCTTGGATTATTCTATTCCAGTTTAAGGTGATGATACTGAATTAGCAAAGCATCATGATTAAAAGCTTAAAGTTATTAGTCTCATCTAAGTAAATAGATAATTTATAATAAAAATTTAATTAAGTAACTCATATTTAATTAGTCATCTTTTGATGAGCATAAAGGTCCTCTTTGTGTATTTTTTGAAGGTGCAAAGACAAACGGTTATGGATTTTTGTAAGCTGAAGAGAGTTTGATTTAAGATATTGCAGAAGTTTAAGAAAAATATAGAAGAGAAGTTGTTGTATTCAATTTAAAGTACACTGATAAATCTCACTTCTCCCCAATAAATACCACCAGAAATCCTTTCTTGCATTTTATTCTTTTGCTAACTAATTTTTCAAACGAACTAAAAGTTTCTGCTAAAGGCATTCCATTCTAAGATACTACTTAAACAGGACCTTTAGACATAAAATAATATAAGGAATCTATTTATTCATTTTACGAGTCATCAGGTATTAAAAAGGTACTGCATTAAATAATAAATAAACGGTTTATTTATTTATTTATTTATTTATTTATTGATTTTAAATTTATTAAAATAGATGTAAGTAACATGGAGAGAATATTAGAAGTTCTTAGATTATTGGTAAAACTCTCAATCTAAATAGTACATTGAAGAAATCAAAAAGAGAGAATGAAAATAAAATTAATAAATCAAAAAAACTTCTTTATATGTGTTAATAACCAATAATATTGATAATTTCATATATAAAATAATTCTTAGTTTTATCAATTGAACAACAAAAATTTATGGCAATAAACTTTTTATAATTTCTAAAATCTAAATCTTTAACAAATCCCAATAAAATTCATTTATTTTTTATGTTTGATGAAAAAAGGAAGTTTTTACATTACTAAATTAAAGTTAGAAAATTAATACTGTTTTATATTTTATTGAATTCTATAAGATAAATAATTTGCACAAAATGTATTAAGTTATAAAGTAGGGTAGGTAAGTAATTAAAAGTATTTTGCAATTAATTAATTTAACAAATGTGTTAGCATATATGCAAAGATTAAAGAATATCAAAAATTATAAAATAAAAAAATTAGTTGTGAGTAAACTTTTCCAAATTTAATAAAATCATAATAAGATGTATGTTTTTACATAATTTTCTCATTCTAAGCATTAAAATTTAATATTTAATATCATTAGAAATGAAAAGAAAATTAAAAATATTATTTTAATTATTTGACTATTTTTTTAATGATTATTGATAATAGTTGTAGTTTATATTTATTCTTTTAATGATTATTTAATCTATTTGTTATTAATAGTTTTAATCACTTAATTTTGCCATGCAAGTATAATAAAGAGGTACCTTATTTATATGTATCAATGTATTTCGAAATTAATTGCAAAATTTTATTTATTAAATTACCTTTAATTGAACCATATAAATAATACTTATTTAGAAATATCTTGAAAAGATATAAATTTTTGTTTAGTATTACTTTTTTCAAATTATCAAAACTTATATTTATTTTTGAATATTAAGAAAACAATATAGTTCTTCACTTTATCTACTCTTTAAATTGTTTGAGGTTTAAATTAACTTGAAAATTATATATTTCCAAAATATACTACCTACTCCACCAATAAATTTCACTTAAATTTGCAATTTTAAGGTATATAATTAATGGGTTGAAATTGTTTTATTTATGATATTAAGTTATTATCATTTGAATGATATATATTTGAAAATATTTAAGTTTAGAAATAGTTAAGTTAAATGTTGATTTAAAAAGAAAATTTATATAAAAATTAATTTGATTAATTTAATAAATATACATTTTAAATATCTTTGTATAAATTTAATTAATTTTCTACAGAAAATATCTTAATTTATTTTACTTTTAAATATCTTTGAGACAACAAATTAAATTTTTTAAATAGAAGTTTAAGGGGAAATTGAATTCTACTTAAAAGTTTTAGAAAAACAAATTTAAAGCACTAACTATATTTATAAATAAATAATTTACAATATTAATTAGTTTAAAATATTTTAAATTGAAATAATTTTGAAGAATGGAAGGACAGTTGAGATTTTGGATATTTTTAAATAAGAATCTCCTTGTTCTAAGGGATTCTAATTAAAGTAAGTTATAATACGATTATAAAAGCAAGGGAGTCATATAGAGTTAATTATACATAGAGACAATTTTTTACTTTTAAATAACTATATTATAAATACTTTAATCTTTTTTACAAATTTTGTGTTTTATATTTATATTGAAGCAGGGAGAATTAAATAAATCTTCATGTTTAAAATTCAGTATTTAAATCACTCTTGGACCTTGATGATAGCAGTAACGGCGTCACCTTCGGTTTCTCTAAGAGCCTTGATGGCCTTAGCCTTGGTGCACTTACCGTGTTCCATGACCATCTTGATGGATTCAGCATCCAAACCAGTTTCGTCGAGGTCACCTTCAGCTTCTTCGGTGGTTTCAGCGGTGGTTTCGGTCTTGGGAGCTTGAGTGGGAGCCTTGGAGTTGAACTTTTCAGCTTCAGAAGCAGCTAAGTTTTGAGCGAAATCGTTGATCTTGGCTTCACCGAAGCTTTTAATTTGAAAAGAATTATTAGAATATAAATAAACACTATTTTTGCTTAGAAGGTTATTTTTATCTTTAATTTTAAATATGGCTGTCTGTATTAGATTTAAATTGTTTTAAGCCAATCCTACAAATGTAAAACTATTCTTATTAATTCAATCATATTTTTAAATTGCCATTAAATGTCAAATTGCTTATTTTGTATATTTTTTTCTAAAAAATATTCAAATATTTTCCCTCCTTCTAAGTTTAACATCAAACTTAATCATAAATTGCTTACATGATGTAAGAGTTTTCAGCACCAGGTGATTTCATGACATCGGGGTTGTCAATATATAAAAGTAACTACATGTTTATTAAATAAAAATTATTATTTTTTCAAAATTATAAATTTTGTCAATTAATTACGTTCTTGCCCTTTCTAATGGTGACTCTGTTGATACCTTCAACAGACTTCATGCCGAGCTTGGCCATAGCCTTCTTGAACTTCTTTTCACCTCTGTTAGCCTTCTTGTCGCCCTTTTCATCATCAGAGTCAGAGTCGTCGTGATCATGTTCGTGATCGTGATCGTGGTCGCAGTCTTCACCGTGGACGTGTTCGTGATCGTGGAGCTTCTATTCAGCGTCAGTCATTTTATTTGATTTTCTTTTCTTTTTTGATTTTTAAGAATTTGTAATTAATTTTCTTTTTTTCTTTTGTTTTTGGCACTTTATACTTTTTTTTGTTTTACCCCAAATTCATATGATTTTGTATTTCAGCCTTATCATTCTTTTTTCATCTTAGTCAAAATTTTCATTTCAAAGGCTCGCTAACTCACTCATTCACTAAATAATTATTTCATTCATCCTCACTTTATCTTTTTCGATCTACCTACATACATAGATAGATAGATATCTGCAAATATACATAGATTGTTTATACTCTAATATAGATTTAAAAATTCATGATAGATATGATTGAATATAATTAAATATTTGATTGTATGTAGATCTTGAATTTGATTGAATTTCATTTTTAGAAAAGGCAAATGAATGCGATCAATATTTTTTTATATAATCATTTGATATTTTGTTCTAATTTCTAGATATGCTAATTAATTTGATATTTATATTTTTGCAGATTAATTGAAGCGATATTAAATTAACATTTTCTGAGACATAATTTAGTAGTGCTTAAACAATTTAATTTAAAATTAAAACCTTTTTATTTAATGCAAATAAATTTAATTTTTTTAAATTTAGAAAATAATTTTCATTTAATTTTTATATTAATAAATTAAATAATATAAAAATGAATAGATTTATTTAAAATAGAAATTAATTTATATTTTTTTTTATCACAATTTAATATTTAGTCCATATAAAAATGATAATTTATCATAGTAAAATAATTTATTTGGTTTTTTGTTTTATTAAATGAGTAATTTATATAAATACTAATAATATTTTTGCATACTTTTGAATAATTTTTAAAAAATTTAGATTTGAAAATAAGTGATAGCCAGTCAGTCAGTAGTGGTAGAAAAAGAAATTTTTAAAGTTTTTGAATTAAAAAATTGAAATCAACTTAAGCAGTTAATAATCATTTGTTTTAATTATTTTTTATCAAAAACAAACACTTTATAAAATGAAAAAAATTAGCTTTTCTGACCACCTATAAGAATATTTTTTTTCTTATTCCGAATAGTTTGATTAGGAGTATGTGCAAATGACTTCAACTTACTAAGATTTAGATAAATAATGTTCTTCTGATAGAGAAAGGCTTTTTTTTTTGCTTGATGCTCTTGAATTAAATTTAGCTATTCTTAAAAAAGATATTATGCTCACGTTATTTTCTTTATGCGCTAGTAAAATAAATTAAAATTATGAGCTTAAATGTTAATAAAATTTAAATTAAAATAGAATTTTAAAATGGGAAAATGATCTTAAATACAAATTTTATTGAAGAACTTTATCATAATGATGGGATTAACATAGTAGATAGTACTTTTAAGGATTCAATTGAGAAATTAGTACAATATTAAGCAAAAAAGTAAATATTTATAGATAAATATAAAGAAAATGAAGATTATTCTAATAAATTTAAGGAATAAAAAGGTAGACAATTCTCCTAATGATACAAACGAAATGATCGATACCGAAATATAATTAAAAGCATCATTAAATACTTTATTTTTATTGATAATTCACATGCAAGAAACAAACAAAGATGATTTGATAAAATATTTTGAAGGTAATTTAAATTTAATCAATCAATATTTATATTAAAATCTTATAATTTCTTCAAAGACTATCTAAAATTAATTTTAAACTATCACATATTAATACTAGATAAAAAATTTGAAGAGTATTTGATGAAAATGATTTAGCTTTCAGTCGAGCTCTTTTTAATACCTATAAAAAAAATAATTAGTTTATTTTATCTATATCTGAAAATATATCTCTAAGATACCAGTAAAATATTTGATTCAAAAAAAATAATTATCTAATTGTCCAATTTTTAGATGACTCAGGGACTAAGTTAGACGATAATTACTACACTGAAGATAATATGAATTAAATAGACAAGGGACCACCAAGATTATTCATTTAAAATCCCACTAAAATAGAACAATTTTACTAGAGAAATATTATAAATTAGGCAGATATTGCATTAGCTTAAATTATAGTAGTGGGCTTACTTAGAACTATGCTCACTACATGTGCAACAAACAATAAATATAATCCTACAAATACTACAAGTACTACTACCACTATTACTAAATCAATTTTTTTGCAAAATTACTTTATTAAATTTGTTTTTTAATTTAATAAAATAAAGAGGGAATAGATTTAAATAGAGAATGGGAATCTTCAGGTATTCTTTCATTCATTAATTTTCAATGATTAAGATTTGATTAATTTTTATATTTTAAAAAATTGCCAGTGATACACATTTTACAGTATAAAGATGAAATTAACTTACAAAAAGAGGAGTTAAAAAAATACATGGATGACTATAATTAATACATTGAAAATAATAAAGATTTTCCTCAAAAAGATGAAAAGGAAAGTGAGTTAAACAAAGAAAAGTCAATAATTAAAATTGAATTAGATAGACATAGATTGTTTACTGCCAATATTATTTCAAGTTTTATTCTTTTGTTAGCAAAGAAGTTTAAGCATAATTGTGTTTGGTAATTTTCTTATCTAATCTAGTTAATTACTGATGCAAATGGAGTCTTAGTCTTCCTTAAGTTTTTAACAGATAAATTTTTAAGCATCAACTATGAAATTCCATATATTTTGTATGACAAATTTTATTGAAAAATTAAGAAGTAATTTAGTTAATTTTAATTAATAGATCCGATAAAGTTGCTTTAATGGATATTGCAGGTGATACTGTTTACAAGATTTCCAAATTGATGTATATCACTTGCAATAATTTCACAGAGAAGATATCTTAGTATTTAATAGATTATTAATCATTTGTAAAAAAAAAAAGCAGAAATTCAACAATATTTTAAATTTTATCAAAAAAATAAAAATTAATTAGTTTATATTGAAGAAGTTGCCTTAATAATTCACTATGAGAGAAGTTAGTAAATATTGTTATAAGCTAATGAAGTTGTAGATTCCTATGTTTGATAAGAGAATGTTAAAATCTAATTAAAGTTACGTGAAAGTTATTTCTGACCTATTCTGTAAAGTTTATCCTAACTTTGAGCCAGACAAATTTACAAAAATATTCAAAGAAGAACAAAAAAAATTCATGAATTAAGCAGATAAGGCTATGAAAGATGAGCCACTTAGATAATTATATTTACTTGAGGGAATTAGAGACAGAAAGTCTATGCTAGCTAACTATTGTAATTAAGATGAAGTTCGTAAAATAAATACAGATTTTAATAATTATCATTACTGGAAAGCTGATGAGTCCAAGAAGGAACTGAAATAAAAGTTAAATTTAGATGAATCAGGTATCTACTAGGACTAGCTTAAGCTTAAAAAATAAATTCTCAATAAAATGTGGGATGAAGTTTAAGTTCCTGAAGATTTTGAAAATAATTATGAAAAGTGGCTGGAAGATAATGTGTGGAATTATTATGATTGATTGATTGATAATAAAAAAAAATATTTAATTAGCTTTTTCAATTAAAAAAATAATAAGCAAAAATGAAATTTTTTGGCTGGTTGAATAAATAAAATTCTACTAAAAAATTGTTTATTTTTTTGCAATATTGTATAAAAAGTATTCGGATTTTAAATATTTAGTTATTGTTTTTTTAAATATTGTGCATTTTGAGTTCAATTTTGTAAATTTATTTGTTATTAAATAAGATTTTTTGAAGTAGTAAGCTAATCCTAGTGAAAAAAATACATAAACAAAATTTTTAATTGTGTGGTAAATATTTGTTAAAGCTTCAAATATGATGAAAATATCTTTAAATTGGGATGCACTGATTAACTTTATTGCATTGGAATAAGTAAAATGCCAAAATATATTTTGTTTATTTCTTTGTTTTTTGCAGATTTTGAAGTTGAATAATAATAATAATAAATAATGCTAATATTTTCATTTGGTTATTTGTTTATTAATCAAAAATTAATTATTATTTAGTTAGCTGGAAAAGGTTTATTTCAAGTAAATATTCTGCCTAATTATTAATTATATATAAAATAAGATAGTATTGAATTATGCTAGAAGATCCATGTCAAAAAGTTATTCGCGTTATTAAAGAGAAGCAACATAACAGAGACTACACTTATGAAGAAAGAGTGGCAATACTTGACTTTCTAGTAAAGAGTAAATTTGGAGAACATTATATGGGAAAGATCAGTGCCTTGCATAGGTTAGCCTATCAAATGTAATACGAAGTTTATGAAAAGGGCAAGACAATTTACACTAATATGGATCAAATTGATAAGCATTATATCATTTTAAATGGGAGAGTAGCTATTTTAGAGAGCAAAAATATAGAATAAATGAACTACTAAAGATAGAGAGAATAATAATTTGACTATGATCGCACACTTTCCTAGCTATAAGTAAATTAATAAGCTCGATAGCTAAAGAAGAGATGCGAACTTTAATAATATGACAGTTTTGGATTTAATTTACAATTAGCTTAACAAAATACATAGCAATATTCCCAAACTTCTGACCATATAGTCTTAGCTATGGAAAATACTCATATTTTAATATTAAAGGCAAAAATAATTCAAGAGAATAATGCAGAAAATTTATAGCTTAATTGTAAATTTGTTGGAAAGTAATTGTAAGTAGAATACACCTTGCTTAACGATATTATTTGTGAGCAGTGCTTTAAAAAGAAAGGAATGTATATTTGCTAAGAAAGTTAAAATCCTCGTTTCATTTATTGCGTTTTATATGGTTCTGTTCTTTACCAAGATTAATCACCTGCTGGGACTAATAGAAACAGAGTTGTTTTAGGTGAGGGAGCTATTATAGGTCAATCTATCAAAGGTGAAAAGCAAAGTAATTCTAATAAAGCTCAAAATTAAATTTCATAAAAAGCTTTATCTCGATAAAATAGCAGATATAATGGTATTTAGTTAGATATTTAATCCGATGAAAAAATAAATGAAAAGGAGGAGTAAGTATAATCTTCAATACACTCTTCATCTGATTTTACTGTTATATTAATGATCGATAAAGAAAAGCTTGGCTAAAAATTGATTGAATACAGGAGGTAGTAGGATTATTCAATAAATAATAGCAATAAGCAGTAATTTCACCAAAGTTCACAAAGGAGTATTTAGAAACCTAAGGCAGAGAGCAGTTAAGTTAATGATTTTAATGCAAATATTTAGTAATCAAGAAGACAATAAAGACCAGTTTAAGAAATGAATGTCACGAAAGGAAGATTGGTGTTTTAAAAAAAGAGTAGGAGTTAAAGCTATTCTATTTTGTGCAAATTGATATAAAAAGAAGAGAGATCTAATTCTTACAGCAGAAATAAATTAAATTTTATAGAACTAAATCCTAATTACAAAAAAGAGTATTTAGCAATTGAGTAACCAGAAAATAAAAATAGAATATAAACATTAATGGAATAGTCATTTTATCAAAATAACGATGTCTAAAATTCTATGCAAACTAAAAACCTATAATTGTAAGCAAACGAGAACAATAGTAATAGGAATGACTTTGAAGATGTGGTTAAGAGACTTGCAGAAAAAAGTGTTTTCCCTTAATATTATCAATAGGAAAAGAAATATAATAAATTGCTAATGAAAAACCTGAAAGATAGGGAATAGATAGCTAGACTTATAATCGAGAGCAAAAAGCCTACTTACCTCCCAAATTACTTTAGTAACCCTGAGAATTTTGTAAACAAAGATCAATTAATGAATCAGTTTCACACAAAATATTTGCATCATAGTATTAAAGAGATTTAAAATAACCATAAATAAAAAAGAAGCTACACTCACTAAATCCAAAGTTAGAATTCTACTGAATATTTAGAAAATTTCAACATAAATAGTCTATAAACTGAAGAAGAGATAGATAAATTTATCCAAAAAATCAATAGACAGCTTATAATATCAGAGACTCATCAAAACCAAATACCTAACAAGACTTCATAAAGCATATCAAATAAAAATAATAATAACAATAACAATAATAATAGTGTTAGTAGTCATAACTAATAAATAATTAATAAATAATACACGCTTGGTAATTTAATCAGCGAAGAAAATATGGATTTAAATCAAGAGCAAGATAAACTAAATCACTTAACTGTAAATTCATAACAATTATTCTACCCATATAGAGTTCAAGAAATGTTAGATTAGTTTATATCTCTCAAAAACTAAGAAAGTGGATAAAAGAATATAGAATGTATTGAAATAAGAAAATCTAGCATTCCATAAATAAAAAAATAAGGATAGAGCTAATAAGAATAGTATTTAAAAGAAGAGGTATTTCATAATTAGAATTAAAATATGCAAAATAATTGCAATATATACTAAGATATTGCTTTTGAAAGTAATTAGGAGCTTTAAGAGATGGATGTAAATTACCCATCTAACGACTCTTTTCAGAATGACTAGTATTTAAATTAATTAGAAATTCGAGAATAGGATCAGAATTTAAACATGGATACAGATTAAACCCAAAATTATGAAATTATGAATTATTTTACTTCTAATTAAGTATCTAGGTTAGGAAGCAGAGGAAATATAGGGATTAATTAGGTAGATAACGAAAAAGGAGTTCTTAGATCACAAAGTGTTCATAATATATTAAGAAAATAATTAGATGTTCAATAATAAAAAGTGTTTGCTTTAAATTAAATGTATCCTAATATTAGGTAAAGGAGCTTATCAAGAAATAAAATTTTAAACAAGAATAATTAAAATCTTACAAAATCGTAGAATGAGTCAATAAATAAAATATTAACAAAAACTGAATTTCGGTTAAAAATACAATCAGAAAAATAATTAAATAAAATAGTTTCAGAAGAATGTAGAGGTAGCACAATTTTCAAACCAGAGAAAAACTTTGTATCTCTATTATCAACTTACATATAAAATACTTAATAAAATAGTTAAAAGACGAGTAGAAGAACATCGAATTTAAAAGCTAGGCCATCAACATCAAATTGCGACTAAAATTAATTTAACTTAACGAGCAAATAAATAATGCTATCTAAATTTAATAATAACCTAAACACCATAAATAATCAATCCTTGAGTAATTCACAAAAAATTAAATAAGATTTAAAATAGTCACAATCTGAAATTAATAAAACCCCAAATAGAACTATATTATTTAGCAGCAGCGACAGAAGATATTCAAAATTAAATTTGCCATAACACAAAATAAATTATCAATCAGGAGAAAATTAAGATTAAAAATAAAAATAAAAGTAATGAGCCTTCCTGAGATAGATACCTTACCTAGCAACTTAATATACAATTTGAAAAAAAATCTCCTCAAAATAAATTGCATTAAGTTGCTTTAAATTTAGTTAAAATAATAATTTTAAAAATTAATTTTGAAACATACTGTAACTCCTCAAAAGCTCACTTCTAGCCTTTAGCTATTTTTTAGTAAAAAAAGAAGGTATAGAAAGTTAAAAATTTTGATTTAAAAATAGCTATAAGTGAGATGTGCGCTTACAAATAGTGAATTAAAATTAGATAATAAAATCACAAACATACACTGACTGATTTTAGAGATAAATTTTTAATTAAAAATTTTTAGAGATTCTGTCAATTACATAAAATAGAATAGCTATATTTAAATTTGAAGCGAATGTAAATTTTTCATTCTTCATTCAATATCCTTATTTTTAGAATTGGAATAAAATATTGATTACTTTCTTAGCTAAGATAGATAATATATACTGTTCTTTAACAAATTTTATATAAATAATAATTTATCTAACTTTTACTTTGTTTAATTTATTTTTTCAAAAAATAGCTGCTTTATATTAAATATTTTATTTGCAAATATTTAAAATTATAATTACTCTTTATATCCTACAAAAAATGGTATTAAAGTTGAATACTTTGTTTAAAATTACAATAAAAAAATAGTCAAATATTCAAAGTTAAGATAAACAAATATTTTGCTTCTCATCTAATTAATAGAAAATAATTACAGTCTTCTCAATTTAGTTACTATATATAAATTTAAATTTGTGATCATCCATAACCACTAGATCGTTTATTTATCATCAAGTATTAAAGTTGAAAATTTTAAAAATTAATACTTCTTAATTTTTTATCATTCTAATTATTTTTGATTGTTATTTTGTTAATTTTTTTTTTCTTTTATAAAAATTATTAACTACTCGCTAAAATTGGCTAAAAAAACTGATTTAATTTAAAAAAATCAAAGTATAAAAAAAATTATGTTGAATTAAGATTTTTTTCTATAAAATTTACTAATATTTTATTTACTCGATTAAATATCTATTATCTATTGCATCAAATAATAAAGATAAAAACAGTAAAATCATATCAAAATATTAATTTTTGACATAATATATATCAATTCTTTAAATTAAAAAATTTAAGATAAATTATTTATCCTGCTAGAAACTTAATTTTTATTAATCTAGGAGCTTTGAAATTTTTAAAACAAAGAGATGTTTTTAAATAATTATAATATTAAAATTAGTCTAATTAGCTCTTATTTATTTATTTCAATAATTTAATAATTAAAATTTGCTGTTAAGAAAGAAAAACAAATAATATTAAAAAAATATTGAGTAAATTAGACCTCAAACTAACTATTGATTGGAAATGAATAAAATTAAAAATAAATATTTATAACCAAAAAATAATAAAATTAAGAAATATTATCAATTCGAACTATTTATTTATCAATAGTAAGTAATAATGAAAACAATTTACTTTACTCTCACAGAAAATTAAGAATAAAAAAAAATTTATTAATAGTAAAATTAGGTTATAACTTAAAAACGAATTTATTAGATCCTCAAGCACTATATTAAATTAATTAGAATTCAAAAAATTGTTAACAAGAAATAAAGCAAAAAAGGGAAACAATAGTCTTTAGGCAGATAAAAAATGGAATCAAATAAAAAAAAGGGATTTACAAATTTTTTAAAGTGTCTGTACACAGAAGACATTTACATCATAGCAAAATAAGCAAAAAGAGGAAGAATATATAGTTTCTTACAATTATCCATTAAATATATTTTGATAATATTATTAGGAGACATTGTAGAATACTCGCAAAATCTCACTGAAATTGATTATAATTTATAGTTTTTAGATGAGCACTCTTTTTATCATTTCTTGAGCGATTCTTAGTATCTAAACTAAATAGTTTTAATCATTTTTTATATCAATTTGGTAGTTTTTTCTTTACTTAACTTAGTCCTTTTTGATTTGCTGCTGAGATACTTATTTAAGGGAAATACTTCTACTTTCCTTTTATATAAAATTTCTTACTCAAGCAATAGCTAAAATCATATTTTTTAGTAGCTTAAAAAGATTTTATCGTCTCTTATCTAGAGCTATGGATATGTCTTCCTCCTTCCTACAGTTTACTATTCATCTAAAGATCTATCTTCTGTATACTCTATAGTTAACTTATTGATAGCTGCAATTTTAGGTAATTATTCAATTTGTAATTTAATTAAAAATACTTTGATTTAACTTAAATCATCAAATTGAACTTTTAAAAAAATGAATTTTTCGAAAATTTAAAAATATTTTCATCATTTTTTTATTCATTTTATTGATAAATGTGAATAAATTTTGTGCTTAAAATTTATTGAGACAATTAAGGTTTTTTATATATTTTGTAAAAACTCTGATTTAATAGTTTTGAAAAAAGAATTAGTAGTAATCTTCAAATAAATTAACTTGAAATTTTTGATTTGTAGAAAAATAAATAATCTGTATCAATTTTTTACATTTAATTTCTTCAATTTTTTATTTTTATTTTTTTGATTACTATTTTCCTATTTTCTTAATCTAGTTTTCTATGATCATTTTAAATACCTTCTCTATTTTCTATGCAGATTAAATAATTTTTTTTCCTTCATTTTAAAAATGGAATAGTAATAAAGCTAACAAAATCTCAAATTAATAATACGAATTAATGAATTAAAAATTATGTTTAATAAAAAAAAAATAAAAATTTAGGTTTCATATTCTATGATACTGACTACGATTATTCTTTATATTCAGAAGATCATTTATCTGCTCCTTACAGCAATCTTAATAATTTACTTTTTTTGGGGGAATTATTGTTTTGCGCTGTAATATGTAGAGACAACTCTTACAAAGAAGGCTTGACTATACTATTTTTATTGCTTGATTTAGTAAGAATGCATTTTAGACCTTATTACAGTTTTTAAACTCAAAAAGTAGCTCTCTTTTTTAATTTCTATGGAATAACTTTTAGCTTTTTGATATTAATTGCGCGGTTAACGCCATAACCAATTAATTTGATTACTTTTTTCTCTCCAGTGTTAATTCCCATAACATATGTAATGGCAAGCAAGACAATAATTTATATAGAAAATAATACTTTTGAGGATCTATAAAATAGCTTAAACAATTAATAAATTAATTTAACTAAACTAGATAGAATAATTAGACTTACTGTACTTAAATAAACTAAAGATTAAAATCTAACATTTTCACAAGTTGATAACATTTTAATGAAATAAATGAATATAATTACCTAAAAATATCAAAGATAAAGCTCCAAAAATTAAGAAAATCATTTAGATAAATAATAGGAAATAAGTTAACGTGTGTAAGATCTTGAATAAATTTAAATTAATTTTGATGACGCACATTCCCATAAAAATACAAAAAAAATTAGAAAACAACTAAAGGAAATTTTGAAAGAAATATTTTAGAATACTTTAAAAAGCAAAAGTGGAATTTCTAATGCAAGAGATCACGCAGTATATTTCGTTTTTTTAATTGAAATCATGGGATCTCTTAGACAATATTGGATTCTATACAAAAATATTTTATAAAAAGAGAACTAATTTTCGAAATAAGCCCAAATATTTAATTCTATCCACAATATCATTTATCAAAATAAAGCTGATGTTCTAAAAAAAGATCAAGTTAGTGATCCTTTTGGACTTAATTATTTAAGTGTGATGTAGTATGAAAAATAGCTTGAAGAAACTGTCAAGCTATTTGATGTGGTGATCAGAAATAAAATTGAAGTTTTGGTTAAAATGAAGCAGAAATTAATTAACTTGGAAGAGTTAATCAAAGAAATTGAGTTATTCTTTTAAAATAATAAAAAGTTAAAAAGTTATTTAAATTAATTGACTAAAATTAACTCATCTAATAACACTTTATATGAGCTTTTGCATCTATATTTAGATACTTTAGCTTTTGCTGATAAAGACATTTAAATTCCTAGATATACTGCAGATATAAATAGAAAAAAAATAGACCAATAGAGTTATATAAAAAGAAATTGGTAATAAGATTTATACAGTAAGTACACTTGCGTGCTTGCGTCAACTTATGAAGAGTCAGGTGCCTTAACTGTGAGAAATGTAACTCAGAATTTCTATAAAATTTTCAATTTAAAAAATAAAGAAGAAATAATAAATAAAAGAGTTGATATTATAATCCCTTCTTATTTGTAAAGCACACATTAAAAATATGTTAACCATTTCCTAGAAAAAAAATGTAATCTAAAAAATGCTTTGTATAATAAATAAGTGGTTTTTGGTGCTCTTTCTAATTGCCATATTTTACCTTTACAAATTGATATCAAGGTGAACCATTTATTAGATTAATCTTAGTTTGGCTTAACCGCAAAAATCACTGCAATTGATTAGAAAAAGCAATTTATTCTTTACTGCCCAAAGACTTATTAAATATTAGGAATGACTCAAAAAGTGTCCAATATACTAGGGTTAAGCAGTGAAAGAATAATAAAATTTAAAATTAATTAACTCTTTCCTTTAGTATAAGAATCTGGTTTTGTTCGTATTAGATAGTAAATTAATCAGAATTCATAAATCTTTGATCAGGAAGACCAAGATCATGAATATCAAAATCATTAACATAATTTAGTAAAATCAGAGCTGAAAATAGACAATAAGAAACGAAAAACAAACAAATAGCCAGTGAATTAATAAGAAATATCATTTTAAGAAGATTTCTTGTATATATCAAAGAATATTACAGAACAAATTTTAAGTGCTAAAAAAATTTCAAAAAGCACTACTAGCAAGGTGAAATAAACTGCCAAATTAGAAAACGAGGATTTAATTAGCAATTTTTAATTTTTAATGATGAATTTATCAGTGAAAAAAGTCGATTATTAATTGAATTAAACATTTTGTTAACTAGAAATAGTTAATGCAAAATAGTATTTAATAGAATAGAACCTACAGGCAATATTTTATTAAGTAAAAAGTTAAATAGGATTATATTAGAATTAATTAAATAATTCTCATTTAAATCCTCTAATATCTCTTGAAACACTTTAAACTTTACTAACAGAGCTTTCTAAATGTTTTGAGAATTCATAAACCAAAATTTAGAGTTTTTCTTCAAATGTATCTCTGGGCCATCAAAATAATATTTCAGATATTGCAAATAACTCATTTTAAGCACAAAATAATATTGCACAAGCACCCTAAAAAGATACAGCCAATTTTATATCAGATATATTTCACAGTTAGCTTTTTCCTCAGCAAGTACAGCAAGAAACAAATTCTAAAAGATAAATTTTAAATCCTTTAAGTATTGAAGATGTAAAGTGTAATTCAGGAGACTTTCCATCAATTATTTCATAATAAAATGAAAATAATATTGATAACATAAGTAAAATTTCTGAGTGTTAATTAAAGCAATACCCACCTACCACGAGAAGAAGTTTATTGGATAAGCAAGATGATAGTATTCTCTAATTAACTGCTGATCAAGGAATAGAATAAGATATCTCTAACTTAAACACCTACACTCCTAGAGAGAAAATCTTATCATTAGGCGAGAAGACTTCAACTGAAACTTAGAGAAATTAAATGAATTAAATTCATTCAAGCAACAAATCGTTGTTAAAAAATAACGATTTAAACTATTTATAAATGAATGATACTTAGAACTAATAAACATCTCATAATTTACAACATGCTAGTAAATTTTAACCAAAAAGTGCAAAGAAACTCACCAGCAAAAATAATAAACAAAGGAACTCTTAATAAGCAAAATTTAACAACTTTTAATAGACTTTTTATTAAGAATAAATGAACTTTTCAGATAAGCATAACATAGAATCTCTATTGGATAAAAGTAAAATTAAAGATAAAAAGCAACTAAGTATTTGCAGGCAGCAAACAACTTTGAACAGGTCTAAAAGAAACTAAGAAAACTCTACGAAAAGAGAAAAAGAGGTTCTAAAATAAATTTTAGATAAATAAGCAGATATCTAATCGACTAGCTCTAAGAAATCTTCTTATGCATCTGCATCTAGGCAACTTAACTAAATACTTTCTTATTAGCATGTGCCTTTAGCAATAAAAATTTCAACATCTATTGGAATAATTAGTTATTTTGTTATAAATATCTTAATAATAACGTAGTATTTGACTCTGAGTAGCTAAATAACATAAAGCAAGCAAGATAAATTTTATTCAACCTGGCCAATAGACTTCTAAGCTGCTGTATGGAATTTAGTTAGAGACAACAACATTATATATGCTGTTAAGGGTTTGAATGATTACAAATTTCCCTCATCAAATGTTAAAAATTTATTCTTAAATAACACTTTTTATAATATTCTAGAAACTAAAAATATTGTTAGTGAGCTTATAGCCTAAACTTCAGGATAGAATGCAAATGCTCTTCCATTTTAGCTTCTGAAATAATTACCAAACACCTTCTAAATAGGAAAATATTATAACTAAGATAACATTACGAAGGTATCATCAATTGTTTAAAAGTATGTTTTCTATTATGTGAATTACACAACAACTATCCACTTCTCTATAATTTTATCTTATCAGCACACTTTTAGGTACGCAGTTGGATTGGGTACAGGAAGACCGGAGTACTATATGATTTTAAATAACATAAATTTTTACTAATCTTTAGGGAGTGTTTAATAGCAATTATTAAATATTTAACAATAAAGAGATAGTGACCTATAAGACTAGTTAGTTTAAACTATGATTTTAATTATAGTCATATCTGGTGTTTGTATTGGTATTATTATACCTCTTTATTCGTACATCCAATAGCAAAGAGAAGATATAGTAACTCTTTTTTCCACTTTCAGCTCAATAAAGTTAGATGATATGCTTGAAAAAATACAAAATAGTTACGAATATCATAGAAAATAACACAACTTAGCCGCTCTTAAAATAAGCAACTTCAAGTCAGAAGGAAATAAGAAAATAGCGAAAAATATTAGTGCTACAACAAAATTACAAAGGATTAGCATTCCTTTATTGTTTAAACTACTTATATTATTTGGTTTAATAATCATATATCCTATTGTAAATAAAATAGTAACATCAAACTACATAACGTAATAGACAATAGCTCTGAATACAGTTGGTAAATTTAATCTTTCTTTAAATTCAAACTATATTTATTTATTACTTTTTTGATTAAATTCTTTTTTAACTTTTCTAATTATTTTTAATATTGAATAAAAATAAAACAATTTTATTAATAAAAAAATAAATAGTTAATATGTATAAATTAAAGGGCTATATATCTCATATTATAGCTTAAAATTATAATGTCGTTTATATGTAAATGTATCCAAATGCTAAGCCTATTATGGTAGGTAACTTTTTAAATGATATCAAAGACCTAGTTAGTTACATTGACTAATATTAGCAAGATCTTTAGGATATTATTGATTTATAACCAACAATAAATAGGTAAAATTAGTAATAAAAATAAATTCTTAATATATTTTTTTCAAATTAAATTTTAGATATCAGTAAAATGACTATGATAATTTCTTCTTCTAAATATTTAAATCTAATATGTGCTAAGTATTCTAAAATTATCCTTAGTATAACTCCAATACTACACTGATTAATAATAATGATTGTACTACAGTGCACAATGGGATACTATAAAAAGGATTGTAAATTAGTATTAAGGAATTTCTAACAATATATCCAACTTTGTATTCAATTTACCAAATTTAAGATCCAAAAAAATACACTCCTCTTCTCTAAAAATTTACAGCCAGCTTTAATATTCAGGATTTCACAAAGTTTGAAATGATCTTAGAAGAGGTACTTGTATCTCTAAAAAACTTCATTTTTTCTGTAAGTCAAGATTACTATGATTATATTTCTTTAATTTAGATTTGGCTTTTACTCTACTAAATATGTTTAATGACTGTAATCTTTATTTTTGGGTGGCTTCAGTTCTCCTTCTAATTACATTATAAATTGCTTAAAACAAAATAGTATTTGCAGGTTATGGACATTGCATCTTTACTTGAAAACAGCTATATTCTTATTTTTATTAAAAAAAATACATCTATTTGATTCAATGTATAATAAAATATTTATTTTGATCAACTAAATTCTCTTATTTATTAATATTATTAAAAATATGTTTGCTATTTCTTAAATTAAATTTTATTAATAAAAATTACTTTAATAATCATCAACGAATAACATCTTTAGTTTTCTGTAATAGTTATATTTTGAGTGCTGAAATATTTATTTATGATTTAATGAGTTATTATTGATTCAATCTAATTTATTTACATATTATTATTTTTATCAAAGATTTATTTGTAAAGCAGCTCAATTACTCTAACTTAGCGAAATTCCATTTTCTATAAATTTAGCAATCTTAATACCTCCATAAAATAGAACACCGTCTTAAATTTTAAGCGTCTTCTGTTCGAGCAATTATAGTAATTAAAATCTAATATTGATGATTTATATTTTTATCCTTGGCGGATTATTTCAAGATTATATTTCATTTAATCCAAATTAGATAATAAAAATTTTATTTCTTTAATTTAAAGGAAAACTGAAAAATATGTTTATTTTAAAACAATCAATTTATTTTAAATAAAAAAACTATTCAAAATATTTTTCATTTGATTAATATGTATTATTTTATTTTTTAAAATTTAGTAAAAAATATAAATAATTTAACAAAAAAGAATTTAATCTATCTTATTAATAATTTAAGTGAATACTTAATTCATAAAATATATGATATAAACTGGTAGTTAAAATAAGATGATTTTATTTCAAATAAATAAATAAATAAATTTAAAAGTTTATTTTCTATTTTAAAATTTATAAATTATTCTAATGAATTTTTTATTAAAATATCATATTAATTTGAATTAAATATGACAACTTAAGAAAGATAGATGGCTAACAATATAACACAAGATTTTGTTGTGATTTTTATAAAAGAATGGAAATATTTTTAATGGTCTTTATTATTAGTTATAAAATTGGTTTTGATTTACTCAGTTTAAAATAAGCAAATATTAATTAATTAAATAAAGAGAAAAAGAACTAACTATATCGTTAAATAAAAAATATAAATAAAAATTAACATTCAATATAAATACAGATTGATTGATTAATAAATATTAATTTTTTTTAATTACTATATATATATTTATAAGAAAATAAATTACTATTGAACGAACACAGTAAAGCTTATCCACAAAATTTATTACTAATTAAATAATAATTAATAGAAAATTAATTTTCATCAATTTAATAAAAATGAATAGCTTTGGTGTTGTATAGAAAAATGTCCTAACTCAATTTATACAAGGACAGCCATCTCCTTAACAAGATAAAAAATATATTCCTGATAAATTTAGTCCAGACATGATAAGTGTACAGAATTTTAATATGTATCCCTTTTCTGCTTTTGGTTTCGTAGAAGTAATGCTAAAGAAACCATTTAATAAATCTCCACAAAGACAATCTCTAACTTCTTCAAAAAATCTAATGTAAAGATAGTCAAATCAGTTTAGTAAGTCCCCTATGAGGTAGTCAATATATTCTAGGGAAAGCATTATTAAGGAAAGAGATGAATAAGAGGATGAATTAGAGAAAAAGGTTCTTTAAGAACCTACATTGTTAACTGGTATATTAATAGGCCCTCAACATCTTTTGGTCTAGTTAGATAATACAGAAATCTTAAGTAATGACTTAAAGGTAACAATAGGATCATATGGAAAAGTTAATGTAGTAGAAATACTTAGAAGCAAATTTTTGGCTCTAAATAGGTTTGTAGTCTTACTTTTAGATAGGCAAGTTGGAATAGAAAGAGGATATGTCGGCCTAATATCTAATAAAAGAACATTTAATAATAAATATTTCTACTCTCTTGACACCATAGTTGAGTCAGATGTTTAAATTAAGAAAACTGGTATTGTAGTAGCAGGTTTTATCAAGAATTAATATCATGCCATGCAATTGATATATAATCAAGTTAGCGATGTGATGGGAGGAGTTCTAGTCAATATTAATGTAGATAGAAATAATTTAAGCAGAGATGCAGAAAATTTTGCAAGAAATCATTGGCCTTTGCTAGTAAACGATCCAGAAGCAGGATATTGTGTTGCTGGTTTTACTCAAGAAATCAATTCAAAAGGTTTAAAAAGCATTTTAATTAACTCTGAGCAATTCAATCAAATAGTAATTTTCACTCAAAATTATCAACCACAAGACATCCTTAGAATACCTTGTAAGCAAAATTAATTTTATTTATTATTAATAAAATATTAATTAAATTAATTAATAGGTTGCGCTTAATTGAGTGAAGATGAATACAAAGTAGATGTAAAATCTATAAAAGCTCATAGAAAATCTATAAAAAGTGTTGTTCGTATTAATTACAGATTGATTGCTTCTATTGATAGCGAAAAAAAACTCAAAATTTGGCAGATTGATTCAAAAAAAGTATATTCCGAAATAGATTTATCATCAAGTCCAGGATGCATAGTAGCCGATAACAGAAATATTTATGTTTGTCTAGATGACAAAATTTAAGTATGGGATTGGCAACTTAAATAAATTACTCATGAAATTGAATGCTTTTATCCAATCACTCACTTAATTAAGGTAAATCATTTAATTAATTTTCTAAAATACAAAACTAAAAAATAATTTTTTGGTTATATTCAAAAAAGTGAATGTAAAGTATTTCAATTTGAATTGAATATCTAAAGATAATCTTTTAATATTCTAAACATACTTAATTTTTTATTCATAATTTTAAATGAATATTTTCAAATCTATTCTTTAAGATTGCAGAGTTAATAAATAATTTTAATAAATTATAAAATGGATTTATTAAAAATTTGCAATTTTTTTAATTAAATTTGATATTAAAATTAAAAAAATTTAAATCAAAAATTCAAACAATTAAAAAGAATTTAATTTTAAATTTATTAAAATTAAAACATAATAAATAAATTAAATTTAAACTAATAACATAATAAATTAAATAAAAATTATTTTAATTTTACTATGATTAGGTCAATAAAAAATATATGGTTACAGCTGATGCTGGTGGTTAGATCATAATTTGGAGGAATAATGAAGTAAGTAAAATTGTTTTTTAACCCAACTAATAGATTGATTAGGCTGATGTGACAAGTATGGTTTTATTTAATGAGAAGTTTGTTGCAGCTGGTTTTTCTAATGGAAAAATAATAACTTTCGATATCAGTTAAGGTGTGTAAATGAGGGTCATTGAAAATGGTCACTTTGTTAGAGGTAGACTGAATTAGGTTAATAGCTTAGTTGTTTTCAATTAAGAATATCTTATTAGTGGGTGTTCAGATTAAACAGTAATTATCTGGGATTTAAGCAATGAATATAAAATACTTAAGAAAATGAAATTTGATGGATAAATTCTTTCAATTTCTTCATTAAATGAAAAAGAAATGCTTATTGCTCATGGCTGCCATGTTACAGTATATAATATGTCTACTGATAAGACTTTTAATCTTACTTAGGTATACGAGCCTCATTCTGAATTAGTAATAAATTGTACAGCTATAGATCATGAAGTCTTTATCACTGCAGATTTAGGCGGTACTATTAGACTATGGAGAGTCGATAAGGTTTTAGATGAAATTTACGAAACTATCTCCTTGGAAGAATTGCAGAAGATCTCTGAATAACTCAAAGAACCTAGCAACTACAACTACTTTTTTTTTAGAAATTTTATACAATTTTCTCAAATACCCTAACTTTAAATATAGCCTATGAGTTAAAAAGAGAAGCAATTAAAAAATGAAATTGAATAACAAAAGTTGATCTAACAAAATTTAATGCAAGAGTTGCAGTAGGTTTATCAAATTTTGAAAAATAGAGAATCTGAATTACAGCAAAAGACCAGTCAAATAGAAAGACTTACTGGAGAGCTTGACTCTTTGAATAACAAACAATATCAAAAAAATAGTAAATAGCAAGAATAAGCTGAACAAATCTAAAAATTGTAGCAACAGGTAAGAGATCTGACGAGCAACGAAAACAAATTAGTTAAAGTAATTTAAACATAAATATTGTGTGTGTTTATTTATATTATTTTTACTAAATTAGGAGCTAGAGTAACTAAGAAAGAAGAGCCAAAGCAATTTAGAAGAAAGCATTTAGCAATCAAAATCTAAAGAAAGACTTACTTATATCAGCAGCAATGGAAAAAACTCATAAAATATAGATTAATTGCAGAAACAATTGAACTAATTAAGTAGTACCATAGCCAAATTAGAAAATGAAAATGATAGGCTTAAGAAGGAGTTCAATAGCAACGAACAATAAGTAAGATAATTTTAGCAAAGTCCCAGCAAATCTTATAATAACAAGGGCTCAAACGATTAATATCTTACTAACTTAGAAATGGAAAATAACAAGTTGAGAACCTAAATAAGAAATCTAGAGTAAGAATAGCAGCAATTTTAATAAAAATAGAGTAATGAAAGTAACCAAAGAGAAGTTTACAAATCTCCTATTAAATCATAGAGACTAAGCTAAAATACAGTTCCTAAATCACCAATAATTGATCCTAAAGAAGAAGAAATAAATAGGCTAAAACTAGAACTCACAGAGTAAGATTCATAAAATAAACTACTAGCATAGTAATTGGAATCTTACAGATTAGATTTAATAGAAAAAAATAATGAAATTGAAGAGATGAAGAACTCAGTTCAAACATTAAAAGACAGCTTTAATGAAATTTAAAACTTATAATAAAAGAAGCACAAATTAGATCTCAAGTAAAAAGAAAAAGAAAAAGAGGAGATTATTTCAATCTTAAATGAACAAAGATAGTAAAATTAGAAACTAATGAAGACACTCGAAAGCACAAGAGAGCAACACATTAAAAACTTGTAAGAATCAAATAAAGAAAGAAGATAAATGTTAGAAAATCAGAATGTTTAATCAAACATACCTAATTTCAGCAGCAGCAATTAGTACACGAATGACTTGAATAAAAATAACTCATTTAATTCAAGAGTTAATTATCAACAAGAACCAATATTATCAAATAATTAAGAGAATTTAAGTAGCTGGTAAACTCCTTAAGATATTCAAAGCTGTAAAAAAGAATTATAAATGGTTTAAGACTAGATTCAATCATTGAAGAAATCCATTCTTAATTCTAGTAACTCATAAAGTGATCTCTAGCTTTCATCTCAGAAGAATGCGAAACCCTAGAAATATAATGAGCAGTAACAAGAAAAACAGAACAATAATATATCAGAAAGAACTGCTCAGAAAAAATAAGGTGGATTCTTAGATGCTAACATCTCAACACCTATCTAAAATAAAAAATCTCTTTCTCCAAACAAAACAACTAGCCCATAAAAAGATAGAAACACAAACAATCAACCATAATAATCATTTTCTAAAAGCAAATCTGAATTGTAGCAGATTTTACAAAATAAACTCTCAGATTTACAGCAAGAGCTATTAAGAAGACAAGGAAAACTAGATAGCTAAGGATATAGTTTGAATAAATAAGAGAGAGGCAGATCACCAAATATTAGTATGAGCCCTTAAAGATATAAATAAGTTAATACAAGTTCATCGCCTCTACCTAAGCAAAATATGTATAATCAAGGAAGCATAAACAGCAGTGTAATAATAACTGGCAATAAAAACTTGGGTGATTTAATTGGAAGTCCACTTAAGTTAAATAAATGCAACATTGAAATAGATATATCTGCAGCAGATGATAATGAATATGATATAGATGAAAAATACTCATCACCATAGAAACAAAATAATTAATTCTGTTAACCATAAGTATAGATTTTACTTGCAAATGACTAATAAAATAAATAAAAAAATAAGTTTTGAATGATTGATAGGTAGAAGTTTTACAAATAAATAAATAAACAAATAAAAAATCCAATAACAATTATAACTAACAATTTTCCTTGTAAATTTAAAATTTTAAAAATTATTTTATATGTTTTTGTAAATAAAATTCAAATTTATTTTCCATTCAACTAATTAATTAATTATATTTTTCATTATTAAGATTTTCACTCAATATTTTTAAAAAGTTATTAAATTTTTTTGCAAATTATTTTACTTTAATCACTTTCTTTACTTCTTCATCTATATTTTTATTAAAAAATATATTTAAAATTACCAGATATTGACCTTGAATTTTGAGATATTAATATACTCTATTAAAGCATAACATAATTTTGGAATTAGCCAGGCATTAATTAATTAAAGGCCACTCCCTCCCACATTTTTACCCTTCATTGAGATTCTTAATCCAAAATTTCAGAAATTATAAAAAATATCCTTAATTTTTGATCAAATAGGCTAGGCTCTTAATATAAAAAATTTCAAATTTTTTAAAAAATTAAAAAATAATTAAATAAATGGTATTTTGTAATACATCTTAATATAAGTATTCAAAGTATCAGCTTTTCTCATTTCTTAACACTCATAGTCAAAACATAAAAACTAAAAATTTTCAATGCTTTTCATAAGTTTTTCTTCGTTCACAATTATATTTTATTTCTCATTAATTAACACTTGCATTCAAAAAGCTTTTGAGTGTTTATCAAATATTTTATAAATTTTTTATATTGAAAAATTGAGTGTTAGTTATTGAAAAATGAAGGCATATTATAAACATTTATTGTATTATTTAATTATTATAAAATAAAATTAGTATTTAGATAGCTAGATCAATAGATAGATATCTAACATAAGGATATAAAATATAAAGTTTAATAGACGATTAAGTAAATTTATTATATTAAGAATAGTTAGTTATTTTTATAAATAAATAAGATTTTTTATATATTGAAAGTAAATGCATGTTAACAATCACATAATCAATCAATCATTTTCAGCAAATCTTTCTTACTGTCATTCAAGGTTTCCTCCTATAATTTTTTCAACAAGCTCTGGACCTCCATGCTCTAAGCATACATTCAAAGCATCTCCATACTTTTATTTAGTTTTAATAAGATCTTTTGAAATAGCTTGCATATCGTTTTCCATATCTTTCATCTTTTTTTCCATATTCAACATAAGTAGCTTGTTGTCCTCAACCTTCTTGTCAAAATTTACTTTCTGCATCTAAAATTGATAAAAATTAGTTAAGATCAATAAAGTATTTAAATTCAAGAAAGTTAAATTAGTTATTATTTTTTTCCGAATAAATAGAATTGATTAAAAAGATTAAAAATAAATTTTTTGTACTTTAATTTAAATCAGTTCATCTTTAGCAGATTAGTAATCGAGCTCTAACTTTTTATATGCTTTGGCTATATCATTATTTTAATCAGATTTCTGCAATTTTTAATTTAAATCTTTTATTTTTCTTTGAAGCTATTCATTTTCAACTGATAGTCTAGCTATTTCTGATTCTTAGTCTGGATTAAAATTAGAGCTTTGAACATTTATAGGTTTAACAGATGCTCTTAATTAAATTTTCAGCTCCTAAATTTAAATTTAAAGACCTTCAATTTCAGCCTGGTGATCTTCTTTCTTTAGATTAAAATAAAATTATTAACTTATGCAATAAGCTATTTAATTTGAACTTACTTGCTTCTTGTATTTTTTCTTCAGTTCTTTATATTTAGTTTGATTAATGTCATCAGTTGATTGATAGAGATTAGATCTTTCTCCTTCTAAAATTTACGATTCAAGTTCTCTTATTCTTTTTTTTTTCTCATCAATATCTTTTTCTTTCATTTAAAGAGTATCAGTCATTTTCTTAGCCTGTCTCTAAAAGTTACTCTTCAGATTTTCTAATTCTTCTTTTTGCTCAATTATAGTGCTTTAAGCTTGATCAAATTCTTTAGTTCTTTATTCTATTTCTTTGATATTACTTTCTAATTTATTAATGTATTCTTGTTGATACTGGTTCTTTTTTTCTAGTTAGATAACCAAATCTCTATTTTCATCTTTATCACTGCTACTATCATTTTTCTGTTGCAAAATTTCCAATATTCTTTGCTTAAGAGTTTAAATTTCTTTATCTTTAATTTCAATTTCTTTTTAATGACTTTCGTTATCTTTATCTACTTAATTTTTACTATATTCATAACGATTTTTAATCTTTTGGTATTCTATTTCTACACTTTTGAATTTTAAATCAGCTTTTGTATATTCATTTAAAGCTTTTTGTCTCTCGTCTTCTGCTTTTCTAATTTGATCTTTTATTTCATTTAGTTGCTAGTCTTTTTCAGATATTTATTGTTTCAAGTTAGTAATTATGGTGCTTTGTTCTTGCTGTATGTTTTATTAAAATTAAATATAAATAAAGCTAACTTAATATATTAACATTTTCAGAAGTGGCTGAATTTGCATTTGTCCTTATTGTTAATTCTAGTTCTTATATTTTCTTTTAGAGTTTGAAATTTTCACTTTCTTGCTTAGTTTACTCATTTCTAAGTCTATTAATTTCTTCTTATTGGCTTGTTATTTTTTCTAATCTCTTTTTGAGTTCCAATTCTGTTGTCTTATTTTCATTAAATTATTTAATCAAACATCAACTTCATAAAATATTTTACTTTTGACTAAGTACTCAAACTACTTTGTTCATCCTATAGAGACTCCAATATCTCTTTATTATCTTAGTATTCTTTTCTGAGGTTTTGATAATCAGAAGAAAGCTTTTATTTAAATTAAATAATTTTCAATAATTTTTCTCAATTTTTTTGAATTACATTTTTAAACTTAGTTTCTAAAGTTTTAAAATTCGAATTGGCTTAAGTTGCTTCACCTTGAGCTTTAGTAACTTAGAGATTTAACTCTTAAATTTTTTACTTGAGTTTGTCGTTCTCTATTTGTAACAAAGAGGATTTTCCATCTGGTCCACTTCCACCCTACTTATTAAAGAGAGCCTTCTTCAATTATTCATTTTCTGTTTGTAACTCATTAATTTTTTTAAAAGAATTTTATAATTCTATAACCTTTTGCTATAATAATTGCTATTAATTGCTATTAGCTTATTAATTTAAGGCTTGTTGCTAAGCTTATGGCTATTAAATAGATTCATTTTTAACTAATGGTCTAGAAGGAGAAACTCCTACAGGTTAGTTACTTCTGATAGAAGAGCTCATTTAATTTTGGTTGTTAAATATTGCTGGTTTCTTTGGAGGTTCTTAGCCAAAAATCGGTTTTCTAACTTAATTAGATGCCAAATCAGAATTGCTATTCTATCTTGATAAAGAATTAGTAGGTTTATTTTAGTTAGGCTTTTAGGCAGCAACTGGAGCTTCGTCTTCAGAATCATCATTTGCATCGATAAGAATGACATCCTCTTCATCGTCATCATCATCTTATTTTTAAATTAAAGCAGGCTTAATAGCTGAATTCAACTACTGTTGAGGTACACTTGAGCTACTCTTAGAAAATATATTATTTTATTATTATTAAGGTTAGATTTTTGATTATATTGTAGTCTACGACATAGGATTAGCAGGTACTCTTTATTAATTATTTGCATTTATTGTTGATTGACTTGAAGATTATTAAGGTTTGTTTATTTAAGGAGCTTACAAAAAGGCTTCTCTTTCCTTTTTTAACTGTTCTAACTTTTCTCTTCTTTTTCTTTCTTCTTATTCTTGGGCTAGTTTTAATTGGTTTTCTTCATCCTTTTTTTTTTATTCTTCCTTAATCCTTGCTTCTTCTTCCTCTTTTTCTTTCTAACGCTGCATCTATTCTTCATATTCTTTTTACTTTCTCTTTAGTTCTTCTTATCTCTGCTAAAATTCTCTTTGTTTCCTTTCAAATTCCATCTCTTCTTCTTTCTCTTTCTCTAATCGAATTCTCAATTCTTCATCTTCCTACATTTTCTTTTCTTCTTATTACCTTTATCTCTCTTATTCATAAGGATCATCTTTTTTCTAAGTTTTTTATCCACGATCAATACTATCATCGCTTTTATTTTATTTATCTATATTACTCATAGAAGTGCTTCTTCCATTACTAGCTTAAATGTCATTCATATCTTTAGCTTTACTGAATTTTAAAAATTGATATTAAAGATAGATGTCTTCATAGAATAAACTAAATAGGCTAAATAATATTCAATAACTAATTAAATTGTACCTCCTTTCGAATTCGAATACTCCGCTACCAATGTTATTAGAAATACCTTTTAGGTTTTGAGAACGAAAAGAATTCTCTCCATCCCTATCACTTTCACTTCTGTTTATTATAAAGTATGATTTTTTATAAAATGCTCACTTAAATTTATTGATATGCTTTACATTTATGATTCATTTACATCACCAACTTTCTAATAAATCAAATCAAATTTTAAAGTTGCATTTTTATCAGGACATTTTTCTAATTTCAATTCATAACTCTTTCCTTTTATAATAAAAAATATATACATATTAATTTTTAAACTTTTAGAATTCAAAGCTCTTTACTGGTTTTTTCTGAATTAGGTAGCTCTGATAAATCTAAAGAAACTTAACCTCCTGCTTTATCACCCTTTTGAGATTCTAAAACTACTGTGAAAACACTCTAATAAATTATTTATAGTATAAGTTTATGGTCTCACACTAACTAAAAAGATTTAATATTACTAATTTTTCTTAATATTAATTATTCTTTTTGGAGAGATAAAGAGTTGCATCTAGAAATAGAGATTCATTGAACTTTGCCTAGCCTGTTCTGTGATTAAGTTATGAACTACGCGACGTTTAAGTTGAATGATTTCCTAATAATAAAATTGATTGCCATTTTTTGAAAATGAAAGCTAATCAGAATAAGGTAGTCAAATTTGAAAGAAAAGAAATACCTCTTTTCCAATGGACTTTAATGAAGCATGAACCACCTAAACTTAAATTAACCTATTATATCTCAGCTTCATAGTTAAACTTAGTCGCCTTTGTTCCAATTCTCTTAAAGAATTTGCTCATATAACTTATTTTATTTTGTACACACTTATTTTTTTCCCTACTTTATTTAACTTTCTTAAATAATATGTAATTATGCTTTAATTATCGTTTATCATAATTATTAAAATCTGTGATACTTTCGCTTTAATCTATTTTCAATGTAAAGCCTGATATAAATATTTTTAGAATGATTTGACCAAAAATAAATATCAAATAAAAATATTGATTAAAATTTAAGGAATTAAAATAGAAAGAAAAAATTATCAGTAACGCTAATTTTCAAAATTAGTGCATTCTTAATGTATCTATATTTATTCAAATCTTGTTAAATTTCATAATAGACAGCTTGAATTTCACTGAACATTTCATTTTTCTCATAAAATACTATTTTATGTTTTAAAATATTTAAGATAAATTAAATTAATCAAGAAAAAATTTTGAAAATTTGTCAACAAAATAACAAAATAAAAAAATAACAAAATAGACAAAAACTACTTATAATAATGTTAATTGTAAATTAATAAATATAAATTGATGTTAAATCTTTTAGCAAACAATAAATATATTTGATTAAATCATTTAAAGAATAATAAAAAACTAGCTATTCAAATGTTCTTATCAAGGATACAAATTTCATTTAATAAATAATGAACACAAAAAAGATGAAATTAACTAATTTTTATATTTTTTAGTAACATTTTTATTTTTTTCAGCATATGAGTAACTAATTTGGACTTTAAGCCAACTGAAAGAAGCTATTTTCATAAGAAATTTTATCGTTTTTAATAAAAAATATTTAATACCTAAAATTATTTATTAAAATTAAACTGAATAAAAATTTAAAAGCATTAATAAACAGAGCAACTATCCAACTTTCTTTAATTTCTCAAATTATAAGAATAAATTCATTCATTTTTTCAGATAATATTTTTGTATTAAATTTTATAAAGTAAAATAAATATTGGACATAACGTTTTTCTACCAATAAAACACTTCCATCTCTGATTTAAAAAACATGCATAAAACAAAGAAGAATACATAGTATTTGAAGTTTATTATATTTTTTTTGTTTTTTAGCAATACTATTTCATAATTTATGCATGCATGACTTATTAGAATTTTAAACGTCTCTTTAAAGAAAACCATCTCACTCATTATCATCTGTTTAATTATAAAAAGATTAAATAAAATTAAAAAATATTGAATATATTTTACCATTAATTCCTACCTCTGGAGTGCCTTTGTACACAGCCTACTCACCTTTTCATTAAATAATATAAATTTAATTTCAAAAAAGTTAATCTAAAATTTTAAATTGAGTAAGATTATATTTACTTATTAAATCACTGTGGTACACTATTTTATAAAAAATATTTTAAGTTAAAATGATAAATCAATTAAAAAAAATTAAATACCTTTGCTTTCATACTAAACTTGCTTCTCTTCTTTCTTCTTATTTGCAAGATTTTTCTCATTTTTAGATTCTAAAATTTTAGTATTAATAAATTACAATATGGATATTAAATTATTTTTATTTTACTGCTAGATCTATAGTTCAGTTTACTATCAATAGGAACATTGGTAGATATAGTATTTTGTATTGTAGAAGTTTTGTTTGTATTATCTACATTATCAAAACGAACTACTATGTTGTTTGGCATTTAAATTTTAGAAGCATTTTTTGTAATTTCTGGTGGTAAGAGTCCTTACTGAGTTGATTTAGTAATATTAGCACTTATATTTATGCCTTCTTTAGTCACATTTATATTAGTAACGCTAGCTTCAGCATGGAATGCTAATTACTAGTTAACTAATCTATTCTAATTTTGAAATTAAAATGCCTTTGGGTCTATGCTCATTAAGTTGCTAATTTATTTCTATATGTCAATGCTATTAAGACTGCTTTCTTGTCTTTTCTTTCTCTTTTTATCAAAAGTGCTCTGCTTAATTTAAGGAATTTGAATTTCACCATTTTGCACTAAAATCTGTTAGCCGCTTATTTCGTGGCAATTTATTGAATTACAATTAAACTTCAAGCAACCTCCATTTATCAAAGGATTCAAAATTTAAGATTTATCAGCTTATGCCTATTGTTACTATTCCTTCTCTTACTCTTTTTACTTTTTTTTTTGCTGTTATTGCATCTATTCTTGCTTTTACTCCTGCTGTTTTTACTTGTTTTTTTCTTTCTCTTATTTGATCAGATTAAGTTGTTCATTTAAAAGCTGATATTCCTCCTACCTCTTTTTCTTCTCTTCCTTCAATTATTATTGCTCTAGCTATTTAGAGTTCATTTTTTTTGAGGTCTTTTTCTCAGGTTTTTCAGCTTATTTTACTTTGGTTTTTTGCTTTTTAGTTGTATTATCATTCTTTTGCTTTTATTGTTCCTCTTTATCTTTATCTTTATCTTCATCTTCTTCTTATTCATTTTCTAAAAATGTGAACATGTTGTTATCAACTCTCTCCTTCTTTTTGTCAGCTAATTCCAATTTTATAGCTCCTCCTTCTAATCATTTAGTAAATAAATTATTTAATTAATTATCAATATAAAAATATAGACAAATTCATCAAATAAATCTGTGTTTAAATAAAAATAATTTTACTTGGCTAAATGCTCACAAATTCTTCATCTTGTTCATTCTTTTCTTTTTCTGATTCCTGCTTTTTTATTTAAGTTTCTTGCTATGAAGTGGAACTAGAGACAACTTTAGTTCCATTTACTTTATTAGTATTAGCAGTATTGCTTGCAGGATTTTAAGTTGTTTTTTAAATTGTTTTTACTTGCTAGTTGACAGTTGAATTTATATTTTTTGAAGACTATTAAGAAGCGCTTTTATTAAGCTCTAACTTTTATGAGTTTTAGTTACTAGATTATTTTTAGATTTGAAACTCATTCTTAACAATTGAAGAAGATAAATTACTAGGTTGACTAGTTATGGAACTACTCTTTATTGGTTTATTTATATTTTAAACACTTTGCTATTTTTCTTCAGCTTTTTTAGGTGCATCAGAAGAACTTGATTATGCATTATTATTTAATTTTGTTTTGCTTGTTTTACTTTAATTTGAAGATTAAGGAAAAATATTGCTTTTTATCAGTTAGCTGTTTTCTTCATTGTGTTTACTCTCCTCAAGATCTGCTAGCTCTCCACCCATACTGCTGTGATTAGTGCTCTGTATAAAATTATTTAAATTTTAGCTATTTTTTAAATCGAATTATTATACCTAAAGAGAATTCGAAGATCTTTTTCTTTGCTTTTAATGATTCGGATGTAAAGTAAATATTGTTTAAACCTCTTGCAATTGCTGCTTCTGTTCAACTACAGGAGTAAACAAGTCAACACATTATGGAGCAATATCAACATATAGTAGATTTTTATCCTTAAATGTACTTCTAGCAGCACTCAAAATAATTTCTTTTTCTTCATCAGTAAATAAGTTATTTTCAAGGAATTCCAACATCCAGTTATCATTATCAAACATGTATTTATTGAAACTAAATTAAGATATTTATTGATCAACCAGTAGTTTTTTAAATATCTTTTCAGTTAAATTTTGCAATTTGACATAAGGAATCCACAAACTATGAGTAATGTTATATGCCAAAATAAATGTGTTAAGCACACTAAATTCATCTTCTTCATTACTTTGAGGTAATTATATGCAATCATTTCCTTACAAACCATTTATATAATTAGGATTATTAGGATTTTCAATTTTAAGTGAGCTTTTTTTTTAACCAACAGGTCCCCATATATTTTTAAATTTAAAGCTCTTGCTAGAGTCATTAAAAAATCTACTAGTTTAAGAATTTTCTGCTAGTTAAAATTTATCATCAAAATAGAATTAATTTGGTGAGTAATTTATAGAATCAAGCTCTACCCTGTTAATGTATTAATTTATACCAAGCTATTATTGTATATCAGGTTGTTATAATAACTAATACAAATTAGGATTTTAAAAAGGCAAATCTAATTTTTCGACCATCTTATAATAATTTAAAGTATTCATAGATTTTAAATCAAATAAAGGGTGCTGTAACTAGTTTGTATTTTAATTAAATAAGTTTATATCTTTCTGAGTGATGTTAATGTCTTAATTTTAAATATATTCTTAGTTTTAAATCTCAAAATTTTAATTTTAATCTTAATTTTAATTTTAAATTCCCTCATTTGTCATAGCATCATCATCATCCCAAGTACCTTTTTAAAATTACAACAACGATTGTTAGTTGAAAATAAGATGCAAAATGATTAATTACATGCTGTAATATTATTAATAATAACTGCAGAGTTCTTAGAATCGTTCGCTTTTAATACTGCAGTAGTGAGTGTATCAGGTATTTATAATTAAGATTTTAATTCATTTAATACTATCATAACATCTGGAAATATAGGGTTTTAAACTGATGAATAATTATTGTAAAAACTAATTTTTTAATTCACTATTTTTAATGCTATTTCTTTATAATTTATATAAAATCTTTAATCCTATTAATTTATTATTTTTATTAAAATAAAATTAATTTATAAGTAAATATTTTTTTCATTATAAAATTTTATTTATTTATTTATTTATCAATCAATCAGTCTCATCTTATCTCTTAATTTACAAAATATCCTTACTTCCTTCCTTACTCACTTTTTGATATTAAATAATCAATATTTATTTTCTTTTTTTTACATAGCTCCTAATTCAATAAAAATTATTTCTTATACAATTTTAAAAAAGATTTTTTCCTAAATATTTTATTTAACTTGATGTATTTTAATGTCTAAATTATTTCCTTTTATTTAAGATGCTATTAACTTTTAAATATTTGATATCTCTTTAAACATTAGTTAAGTATATAGTTTGCCATATTGAATACAATATTTTTATTTGCTGATAACCAATTTGTTTTATCCTATAGAATATTCTTTAAATGTAAAGGAATTTTTAAGGAAATAAATAATTTATTAAATTCAGATTGATTTCCAACCAATAATTTTAAAAATGTAAAAATTCATTTTTTTTTTAATAAAAAAGATCAAGATTAAGCCAGACTGATAGATAGATATGTTGTTAATTAATATTTCCAAGCTAATCAATAAAGACTAAACTTACTTTATAAAATGTATGCTCTTTTGCTTTTTCATGCAAATAAGGACAATCTTTTTTAATACATTATTAGCCATTTAAAAATGAATTACAGTATCTATTTTATTTATATTATGAAAATATTAAGTATTATTTTAAATAACTGTTTTATTTATTATCTATCTTTCTCTTTGTCTATATATCTCCAAATCAAACCAACTAACCTAAATGCTTCATAAATCCCTAAATATGTTTAAGTAAAAACATATTTCTTTAACTTTTTAGTGGCATATTAATTCAACAAGTGTTTGTTGTTAGTCTCTAAAAATTGCAATTTAAATGCTAGAAGTGATATTCAAAAACTATAATAAAGTGAATAAATGGCTCAAAATAGCTAAAAAAAGATTTATGATCATGATCCCTTTAGCTTATTATTTTTATGAGTTAATTATAAGAGCACTTGGCGTAATATTCTTTTGGTTTGCTGGTAAAAAGTTAGAGATATATATATAAAAGAGAGAAGAAGAGAAAAAGAAGAAATATATTTTAATGCCTACTTAGTTGATCCATAAAATGCTCTTAATGGCTTGCTATCGAGTTCAAATTAATCTAATGCCTATTAATAAATAAAAATTGAGTTGAAGCACTTTGAGCGCGGGAATAAAATAAAAGCATTTAATAGAAAATAATCAAATAGAAAGTAGTTATTATTCTATTACTAATATCGCAATTGAAGCCTCATTAGGAGAAGAATATGAAACATAAACACCAACTGAATTTTAATCTCTATTACCCTCCTGCTTTAAAATAACTTTTTTAACATTTCCATACTATCCCATATACTGCTTCTTCTTTAAAACCTAATTTTATGATAAATAATGTCAAAAAAATATTTTATTTTGCTTTTGCTTTTTTAGTTTTAACATTGAAGCAAGCCAGCTTCTTTTTGAAAGTACTTAAGAAACTTAAAGATAAAAGTATTAAATTATCATAGCTTATAAACAAGCCTTTTTTTGCTTGTTTTTTTTTAAATTGTAGGCTTTTTTAAAACTAAAATCTTCTTATAATGTTTGTGCATCTTGTTACCTCTTCTTTACAAAGCTTTGCATCGAGTCCATTCAAAAATACTAAATTTGTTTGTATGATTCTTTATTCCTGTAAATCTGTTGAATTTATGAAAAAACTACATTAATGAATTATCTAAATGAGATATTTGTAAATATCATAATAACGCATACACAAAAAAAAATATTTCTAATAAGCGAAAATCTAAAATAAATCTACTTTAATTTGAATTTGCTTAATTTATAGAGAGGGTTGAGATAAGGGCTCCTTAATTTGATTTAGGACCATTGACTACTTTGAATCCGCCTTTGTTTTTATCGCTACTCATTTCTACTTTTATTATTCTTATTATTGCTTAATACTTGTTTGTGTTTTTTATAAAAATGTGCCTTTATCACTAGATATTTAGATTTTTTGTCTAATATTTTTTTTTCTCTTTCCACAGATCAAAGATAATCTATTTTTCCCTCCTTATATATTTAATGTGATAAAGCTTTTAAATTATAAAATCAATACAAAAAGCTTGTCAATCAATCAATGAACGAATGAATGTTTGCATTATTTTGATTTAGAGTTTATATCTCTGTTTTTGATTGTTAAGAAGCAATGGTAAGAAAAATTTTAACTAACTACTTATTGATTTTCAATAAATACTTCTTAATTTTAAATGGTAGTCTCAATATGTATTTATAAATTTTCATTTCTTGGGTTTTAATTGTATTCAATTAAATGTTATTATTCGCTAATCTATCTGAGGTAAAATGAAATTTTCTTTTTCTTTCACCACCAAATCAATTAAAATAATTAAAATCTACTTTAATTTTAGCTTCAAATAAAATTTATTTATCAGTTCAATTATAGCTCGCTTTCAATATCTTTACTTCCAAATTATAGTGTCAAATAAAAAAAAACACTCCTAAATTGTTTGAGTAAAGTAGAAACATAAAGGAATTGAATCCTTTTATTACAAAGAACCAACCCAACCAAACACATTAATTTTTTTAAAATTTAAAACCATCTAATTAGCAAATCACGTAAAAAAAAGTTCAGCAAATTATATTTTATTATCTTATATTAATTTATAAATTTAATAGATATTTTTAATAATGTTTAATAAAAAAATTATATTTTGTGAATTAATTATAATGAGTTTGAGTATTTATTTATAAATAAATATTTAATAAACAATTTTCCTTAATTTTATGTTCAAGATTTTATATCAAACTTAATCATTTTAATAAAAAATTTAAAATAAAACATAATTAATTTGTTATCAATTTTATTAATTGAGAAAGTTAAAAATATTTTACAAAAAATTTAAATAAAACTAATTAAATTTTTAAATATTTTTAACAGTTTCTATTTTTTTTTTACTTGCAATAAATAAAAATAGATTTAATTTATTATTTCTATTTTCAATTTATTTTTCTGATATTTTAGAATTATTATTTTAGATTAATTTTTTAAGATTTATAAGTTGACTAGAACTTTTATTTAAAAGTATTTTATCTATTTTATAATTTCAGGTAATATGTTAAAATAAATTTCTAATAATATTTGAAATAAATGATTTATCTAAAGAACTTTCAACAGGTTTTGAATTTGAATTTTGGTTTGATTATTTTTTGATAATTTTTTGAAATTATAATTTGATTAAAAAGATTCTGTTTTAATCTTTTAAAATTCAAAAATAAAAAATAAATAAATGAACATTATTTTAATTTTTCAATTGTTTAAATCTATTTTTATAAATTATTTTATTTTAAACTTTTTAAAAATTTATTCTTTAATAAATTGATCTTAAAATATTTTTAATTGGGTTTACAATCAAATTCGAAAAAAAATAAATACCTTTGATTCTATTTAATTAAAATAAAGCAATCTAAACAACAAAATTAAATTTTTGTTATCATATTTAATAGATATCTGAACTACTTACCCAACACGATTAAGATTTTTATAAAATGTAAAAAAACATAAAAGCTTAAGTTCAAGTTAAATTTTTAAAATGAATACTTGAGAGAACTCTATTATATTTATTTTTTAGTGCTTTTTTTAGTTTTTAAGTTGATTGTGCTTTTATTTTCTTTAAGAAACAATTCAAAAAATATAATATTCCGTCATAAATTAAAGAGTAAGTAGAGAAAAAAAACTTAATGAAATCAGGTAATGTGTTTTCATAGACTGTTCTAATAAATTACATTTTTTCATAGAATCAAAATATTATGGAAATATATTTTCTTTTTAGAAACAAAAAATCAATCAATATCCATGTATTTTGCTATTATTTTCAACAATTTAGAGTGCCTTAATGAATAGTGATAAGAAGAAATTTAATTTTTATTTAAAAATATGTGGCTATTAATATACTAATTACTTTAAACTAAAGAATATTTTTTTACTACTACATTGAATGGTAAAACAAAAATTAAAAAGAGTTGCATGCGCACATGAAAATATTAAGGTTTTTTTTAACACAAATCATTCAAGTTATAACTTTTTTTTAATGGAATATTATAAATTCTGAAATTCAACACATCCTCAAAAATAGAAAAAGGAGTTGAAAAAAAAAAAGCAATTTCTCTTTTTGTAGCTATTTATTGAGATATTTTCCTCATCAAAATAAGATTAAAATTCTCGTAGAACAAGAGAGAATAATTCTAAAGTATTCATTTCATGATAGTAAAATTTTTTATTATTGTATGAATAGGGAATGCGAAATATGAGGTATTCAATATAGCGTAATTTTCACTGATCTACATATAAATTATTGTTAATTAAAAACGTAATTTGAAATATATATGAATAATTTATAATAAATAATTCTAATATTAATCAAAACGAATTGATTGATTGAACGATTGCTAAATTATGTAAACAAAATTCAAACTTATAAAAAATTTAAATAAAAAATTGATAGGCTTAATACTAGCTGGGTAATAGTGATAATTGCAAATGGTAATATCAATAGTTTAATTAGTTTGTAAAATTTAACTAAAAACATACTAACGAGCTCTAAGTTCTTCTAAAAACACTTATTACATCACCTTGATTTCAGTAACACGAAATAAAATCTATGAGGTAATTGAGTATAAAAACCTTTTGAGAATATGAAATACTGAGGAAGTATTTACTTGAACATATTCGAAATAATTGGATGATATATTATTGAATCTATTTTATTGATAAATAAGTGATTAATTACTAGATAGAGGGAAAAAATCAAATTGATAAAAATTATTAAAATCAAAGACCATATAAATAGTAAAAGAAAGGTAAGTGATTATTTGTTTATTTGTTTTTTAATAGGTTGCTTGCTTGCTTGGTTTTAGTAAAATACTTACGAAATTTAATTATTAAAATTTTTTTTCAAATAATATTCTTAAAATAAATAATAAAGAGTAAAACAAAAGACTTCAAAATAAAAAAATAAATAAATGGAAAATAACACAATCTAGAATGGTATTCACTTAGAGTGTCAGTTTGAGGTTAAGATACAATAACAAATTTAAATGACATAATAAAAGAACTCAGTACTGCTCAAAGAAGTCACTGAAAGACTCTAAGAAAAGTAATACTAGGCCACTCTTGGAATTGGCAACATTTTCTATGCTGTAGTTGGATTCATATTTTAGTACCAAAGCGAGAGTTTGCTAACTCTGACTATTCCAAACATCCTCTTTTACTTGATTTTAATTTATTATATTCTTTACTCTTATCGTGTAATCTCTTAATACCTAATAATTATGAATGTACATGAGGAAATATCTAAAGATAATGTACTTTCTTTCTCAATAGACTTGGAAATAAATAAAGAAAGTGACATTAAAAAGAGCTTTTAAAATACTCTACTTGATAGAATAACTTTTAACAATACACTTTACGGATTGTTTGGATTTTCTATTTTTGCTTTTCATTTTATCTACATTTTCTTCTTGTGCAGTGATGACTCTTAATCTATACTCTTCTTGGCAATAATATTCACAGGATACTATATTAATATATTCATCTATGCCGTTTTACTTGCTATTTCTACAATCAAGAAACTCATTAAAAGATTTAAAAAAGTTGAAAAAAGTGAAACCTTGTGTCAGAGCATAATCTAAAATGACTAATGCTGCATTTGTATGGACTCTTTCAAAAAAGGAGAGGTTTTATAACAATACAGCTGCTGTAACAACATATTTCATACTAATTGCATCCTTAATTGGAAGCAAGTTAGCAATACTTGTCCTCTTTGCAGACAAAATATTTGAGTTTTGAGCTCAATTTTAATTTTTTCTTTTAAATTAAAAGTAAATCAACAAAATTTAAAAGAAATAATCACCTACTTTAAAATTAAAAATATGTGAACAAAATATATCTTACTTATTTCAAAATAATCCATCATCCCTAACTACTATAAAGGAAGATACAATTAACTTACTCTAATTAACAGTATTTTATTACACTCAAAAAATTGATAGACACTCAACAATCAATTAATCAAACAATAAACAAACAAACAATTAAACATTAAAACAAACAAATAATCATTTTAGTTAATTATTAATTATTACTATCAAGACTTAAATGATTTTTAGTACTTTATATATATAAATATATATTCAATATTTACTGATATCCATTATTACTTCCTTCAAACAACACTATTATATATTCTTATTATTTATTATTTGTCTTTCAATTAAAAATTTTTAGTGGATTTCCACCCAAAAATGATCAATTCAAGAATTTAAATTTTATTGACAAGAAAACTATTAAAATTTTTTTTAAAAATATACATTTAAAAGACACAAAGGCTAATTAAAGTGCATAAGATTACAATTAATTAAAAAGATCAAAACTAATTTTTTGGATTGGATCTGTGATTTCGCTCAACTTAATCATCTTTTTAACATTTTAAAGTCTAAAAAAAAAAATAAACATTTTTTGAAAAGAATATTAGCATTTAAATTTTTAAGGTTGTAAGGTTCTATAAAGTAGTGGCTGCAGCAAATAAATCTGATACATTTTGGTCATTATAAATCTTTGAATTTGATTAAAATATTGTACCTTAGATTTTGCGTTATCATGGTTGGTCGTCATTTTATTTAAAATTAAAAATTAATTAATAATTAAATGATGTAATCATGGTCATTTGATTATCCGAAATTATTGTCAAAAATTATATCATTATACTTTTTAACTGTCAAAAATGGTTAGCAAATAATTTGTCATTATTGCTTCAATACGACAAAATCATTTAGAAGAAATAGACTTAATTAAAAAATTTTTTGATTAAAAAAATACAATTTCGTTTGAATCTTACATAGAAAATTTTGATAGAAATCTATTTCATCTTTATTAAAATATGAAAACGTAAATTAATTTGTTAATAGTTGAGAATATAAAATTTAGATTACCATTTTTATTTATTAATCCATTAAGATTAATTATTTTTTTAAATTTTATGTTGTAAATAAACATACTGTTTTTATTATCAATCGAAATAAGGCTTTTCCAATATTAATAAGCTCAAATACTAAATTATTGTTTGCTCATCATTTTTTGGTATTCTTCAAAATTCAATCTCACAAATATTTAGCTTTCTTGATCTTATTTATTAAATTCCTCTTCAAAACTCCAAAAAGATTTTAGTTAGTTAGTTAATGAATGGATGGAAGATTAATAATGATTGATTAAAGTAAATTTTGAATATAACAAACGCTTATGTTTAATTTATAATTTAGATTTGTGTAAATGAAAAAGATTATTTCTAAAATTTCGCCTATGACTACAAAAGTTACTAAAAAGAATTAGAAATTTTTATTGCTTATTACTTTTGAATTGATTAAAAGTAAATTAAATCTTCCGACAAGTAAAAATTGCTTTTGTTACACATTTTAGTATGAAAATTTATAAGCACATAATTAATGCTCAAAAATTCTTTTAAAAATTGTATTTGTAGGACTTTATACAAAAAACTGTTGATTTTCCATCTACTTTTAAATAATAAAGGACAAAATTAAGATAATTTTATTCAAATACTTCTGATAATTTCTCTTGTTAAAAAGTTTAACTCCTTATTTTCTAATTTCAGCTTTTAATAGCTTAATTACTTAAAAAAGAAAGATATTGCTTCAGTTAAGGATTGATAGTATTGTAAAGGAGGAAAAAATAAAAACTAGCATCGACCAACTAAAAATGTTCTTTTAATTGATGATTCTTTTTATGCGTTTAATCATCTCAATTTTTAATTCAGTATGAGATCAGTATTTTACCTAATTTAGTTATTAATAACTATATTATACAAATCTTAATAAATTTTCTATTTGACTTTAAGCTTATAATGATATGTAAGCTAAGCTATCAATTATTGCTAAATTATTTTGAGTCATTAATTAACAGCAATATATTTTACTATTTTGTTCTCTCCTTTCATTTCAAATAGATAAATCAATTGTAAGATAAACAGATATTTCAATATAGATTTTATTTTTGATAATCATTCTTAAAATTAATCAGAAAAAGACTGTTTTCTGGCTATAAAATAACAATTAATTTAACCTGCCAGACTTAACTTTTTTAATTTTGTTTACTTTGAGATCAATATGAGATTGAATCAAATTTTTGATTACAAAAAAATATTTACATAGTTTATTTTACTTAATGTATACAATTTTTTTGGAGAAAACAACTAAAATCTAATTAAATTGAAATACAACATAATATCTTATAAATCTTTTAATTAATCAAACAAAAAGATTTTTTTTAGATTATCATAAATAATAAATACATTTAGATAGTTCCATTAATAATTTATTAAATACATACAATTAATACTTGATGAGCTTAGAAATGGATTGCGAAAATCAAATAATAGAGTACACAAACTAGAAGAACTTTTAGAATAATGTTTAGCTAATACAAAAAGTGAAGAAGAGACTTTGCGAAAAATAGTATTAAGCTACTTTGGGCATAGGAAGTTTATTTTATGCATTCATAGGATTTATTTTTAAAGTATCCAACAATGATATGGATGATTGGAATATACCTAACTATCTCTTTTATACAGTGCTTGGTTATTACTTAATTTACTGCTTCTACATAATTGATTAGTATTTGGTCATATCTTCAGTTTATGATGAAATATCCAAATAAAATGTTGTTTCTTTCTCTATCACCATAGAAGTAAGCCTTAAGGATGAGTTTAAGAAGCAAAACTTCAATAGAAACTTGCTAGATAAGATTTCCTTCAAGAATACCAAACTCCATGTATTTGGGTTTATATTATTTCTCCTCCATTTATTCTATGTTATACTCTGCTTACAAAATGACACTCAAGCATTTATATTTTTGCTCATTATTTTTACAGGCTATTACATCAACATTGCAGTATACTTTGTTGTATTTATTAGAAACACATTCAAATTTGTTAAAAAACAACTTAAAAAATAACATATTTAACCAAAAACTGAACATTTAACTGAAGAAACTTGTTGTATTTGTTTAGCTTAATTTTAAGAAAATGACAGTATTTAATAATATAGCTGCTGCAGTAATCTCTTCCACTAAGAATGCATAGAAAGCTGGAAATAAGTTAAAAATTCCTGCCCTCTTTGTAGATGCCTTATATGAAAATATTCATAATTTATTTACTTTTTGAAAATTAATTATCAACAAATAATAAAAAACTTAATTTACTAAAATTAATAAATAACATTACTATAAATAAAAAATATATTAAAAACTAAATAAAAAAAAAATATTTTAATTTAATAAATTTTTAAATTATTTTCAAATCTAATATTTATTTATATATTATATATAGAAATAATTAATTGTATATTACTTTAATATTATATTAAATCTAAAAATATAATTTATTTCCTTCTATTCATGTTGATGCAAATTACAATCAATCTTATATCTTGATTTTTTTAAAAATATTCTTAAAATTATTACTGAAATGATATATAAAAGATACTAGAAATATACATATCTAGAAATCGATAAATTTTGTAAAATTAAAATGAAAACCACTCATCAAACATAATATATATTGATTTATTAATTATTATTTCAATAAAAATATCTGTTGAATCTAATTGAAAAATTATTAATAAATTTCCTCACTATTAAATGCTATTATAAATATTTTATGTAAATTTTTATTTTATTATTATAATTTGGTTATTTATTGAATATGCCTTATATCATTAATTTCCTTCTTTTAATTTTATTAAAATTTTTTTTTATAAATGACTTCCTTATAATTTAAGAATACTAGAAATAAATTTGATATTTATAAATTTTATTTTATGCATTTAAAAATCACTCTTTAAACATAATATATATATTACTTATATATCAATATTTATATTAGCTTAACCTGAAATTAATTGACAAATTAAGAAAAATTTCATTACTTTTAACATCATTAGTATTAAAGGGAAACTTTGATTGCAATATCATAGTTTGTTTTATAAATATTTCATATATTATCAATTAATTTCCATTTTAGAGCTTTGTACTTGAAGTATTTTTCAATATGCTTATAAAATCAGTCAAAAGGTGGGTATATATATCTGATAAAATCAGAGATAAGGTTGAAAGATAGATAGATTAAAAAAATTGATAACTTTTTTATGATATTAAATTTAAAGGCATTATCTTGTAATTAAATTATTTTAATAAAAATACTTATAAATTTTAAAATCAATGTACATTAAAAAAGGCATAACTTAAGTTGTTTTCTTAACTTTATTAATCTAGGTTTTTAATTTAATCAACTTACTTGCTAATTTTGCTAATTAATTAATAGCTTGAGTATTTTGGAGTATTTACAATTGGCTAAGTGCCTTCAAAATGTTTTAATGATTCATCAATTATTTAGATATTTTATTTTGATAGTTCAAGCAATTTATTATTGTTTTATGTTTTGTAATAATAGTTTAAATTAGTTCTAGTGTAGTTTAATGAACAAGAAGTTTACATTCTTTTGATTTTTTTCGACTGATTCATCTAATTTTCACATAAATATTATTTTAAATTGGTATAATTTTAAATGTGATAATATTCTTTATGTGAATTTTCCATATTTTCTTAAAATGTATTGTTAGAAAATACAGTTTAAAATTTTTGATCTTTTTCGAATAGTATTTCAATATTCTAAAATATATAGAAATGATATTCAAGTCCCTTTTATATTAACAAAAAATTTAGTGATTTTCCTTAAAATTAAATATAAAATTAATTACTTAGTTTTGAAGTGTCTTAACAAAAAAATTAAAGAATGGTCCTAGATTACCAATTATATGATAATTGACCTTCCACCCAATAAAGTTATAGTCTAAATATTATTAATTAAAAGCAGGATTTTTGGTTCCAATAAGTTCTAGTAACATATATAATTTTTTAAGTGAAATACCACCACTGTTGTCTTAAACTGATATTTTAATTATGTTAGATTTTGCATTTTCACCTTTGATTAATTGGAAAGAAACATTCACTTAGCTTTGATTTTATTCGTTTAACTAGAGTGTTTTAAGCTAACTATTACATTAGCTTGTAATTTGGTAAGCATAACTTTAATTTAAGTCATAATTAAAATCTTATTAAATATTTTTCGTAGCTTTTGTTAAGTTGTCTGAATTATCAATTTGATGAGAATTAAATTATTCAAGTTGTTGAGAATTTAAATTAATGGTTTTTTAATCATAGAATGTTAAGTTTTTTTTTCTTTTAAATATATTTTATAAAAAAGAAGAAGATTTTCTTTTTGATGTAGTTTATTCGTTAAAGAATTTTATAGAATTTTCAATTAAATTCATAAGTGTCTATCTTAATTTATTACTTTAAGTGCATATTTCAGTATTCTCGTCACAGTTTAAATATGAAAAATTTAATTTTACCTCTTTTAACTTATTTAAGAAACTCCTTTTAATTATATCATTAAATTTTCCTAAAGAACAATTTTACAATAGCTAGGAGCTATTAAGAAGTCTGAATTCATTTTTAATTATTTGAGCATGATCTTTGTAATTGTACATTTAATTGTATGATTATAAAATATTTGAATTTATTACATCTTTATTTTATAAATTATTTGAAATATTTTATAATTTATCTCCTATTTTATTAAAGTTAAATTAGTATTTTTGATAAATTATTTTTCAGTTTAATTTAATAAATCTAAATTGTTTCTAAATAATTTCTCTAATAAATTTATGCATAATTGACAATAATATTTTTAAAAGTATTGTAAAACAAAAATAAGTATTTAAATAAATATTATTTTAAGGAAAAGATAAAATTGGAAGATAATTTTTAAAAATATATATTAAAGCTATTAAATTATTTACCTATGTTAATAAATAGCTGAAAAAAACATGTTTCTAGGCTTGAATTAATTTTTTTGAGAGCTTGTATCTTTTGTTTTTCAGTTTCTCTTTCGATTACTAAGCAACAAAAATAACTCATAAAGTTTTAATAAGCTGACACTTTAATAGAAAAAACTTGATCTTTTGAACAATCGTCCTTTTTGTAAATTCCATAAAAGAAATCCTGCGTCTACTCTTCAAATTAGATATGAGATTTATCACACTCATTTTTAAATTCTTTATTGCCACCTATTGAATATTTTTCATTAAATTTTAGCTAGCTTGATTTTTATTTTTTATGTTTTTTTTCTATATATTCTTTGATTAAACTAATTATTCGGTTTTCAACCGTATTCTTTTATAGATTATTCATCCACATATTATTTTTGTTCTGAATTATATCTCCAGCTTGACTAGTTTTTGATTATTAAAAATCACTGCTATAATCTTATAGCTTGTCAACTGTTTGAGTTTACCTAGAAAAAATTTTAAATTCATTTGAATCATTTATTTGTAGCATTTTTTTTGCTGAATTGTTAATCATATCTAATTCAATCAAATTGTTTTTTTAGTCATACCGCACAGTTATTATGCTTAATGATAACACTTGTTTCACTATTTGAGACCACTCCTTTTAAGAATTCTGATGCAAAAATATTTATCTTCTTTCCCTTTGTATTATGTATGTTGAATATAAGACGAAAATCATAAAAGCACCATATTAGTATTTAAACGAGTAAATATTTTTAGACCAAAACACACAATAGTATCTAAATTAGTATTAAATATTTTCAGTAAATAAAAAATTAGATAGTAAATACTATTAAATTAATAAAAAACATAAAAATAGAAACTATTATTAATTACATCACAGTTGATAATATCATTTGAGTGCATGTGAATAAGTAATTTGAGCTTAAGAAAGCAAGCGTTACTTATATAGAAATTCCACTAGCTCCAAAAAAAAAGAGAAAGTAATCATCATTTATACCAGTAGAAGTTCCAAAAAAGATTATTTGACCACAAAATACTAACACAACAAAAAAATTAAGAGCGTTAACTTAGAAATTAAAATATTTAGGTTTTCGAATTGTCAAAGTAGAGTGAAAGATGCAATTTAGAATGGCAACGCTGAAAACAACCAAGTTGTTCAGATTAAAATTAACGGAAGATATTACTACACAAGGAATAGCTATTATGAATATATATCCTGTTAAAGTGTTAACAAATATCTTTCCATATGTTTTATGAGACTCTTCTTAAAATTTTTGTTCTAGAGACTATGATTAAAAGCATAGTGATATTTAATTCATATTTTTTAGTTTATATTTAATTATTCGTCTTATTAATTCTTAAAATTATTAAAAAATAATAATCTTAAACAAAAAACTCATTAGAAGGTTTATTTTAATTAAAGACAATCTCTCTTTAAAAATATGATTTACTGCCTCAAAATATACAAAATAAAAATAAAATTGCATTTTCCAATTGAATTCACTTTTTTTAAATATAAAATAATACATTCAAATTAAATAAAATTTTAGAAATTAAATTAATCTATTATTTTTATATAGATTATATATTTTTATTGCTATTTATTTATTTGTTTATTATATAACAACTAAATTAAAAATAGATTATTTTATATTATTTACAAAATATTTTTAATCAAATAGAATATGAGAGATGTACAATCTGTTTGTTTGTTTTGTAAAATTATTAATAGAAATTAATTATTTTATCACTATTTTTTGAAATATAAAATAATTTTTTTGATAAGGAAATATGATAAATATTTTAATAATCAAACAAAAAGCCAAAATATTTATTTTATTTAATAAAGATTTGTTTATTTAAATTAAAAATATAATTTAAAATAGTCCCTAAGTTAAAATTTTTTTGACAATAAAGATCCATTTTATTTTTTTCAATCATTACGATTTTGACAAAAATGTATGTCAATTTATGTACTTTTTGGTATTTTTATGTCACTTTATGTTACTTTATGTCATTTTATGTTCATTTTTTTATGTTAATTCTTTTTCTTTGTTAAATTTATGTTAAATATTTCCCTACCCATTATTATTATTATTATTATTATAGGGAAACTTAGATTAGAATATCATAGTTTGTTTTATAAGTATCTCTTAGATAATTAATTTCCATTTCATAGCTTTGTATTTGAAGTATTTTTCAATATGCTTATAAAATCAGTCAAAGGGTATATATATAAAATGTGCTTATTGTAAGTTAGATAAATTATTTATTATTTGTAATTTTAAAAAATAATATCATTTTATTTTAATATTTTAGAATTGTTTATATTACTTTAATTTTATCCACAAAATTGCTTAATTTTACCACTGATAATTTTAATGCAGACATTAATTTCAATCTCTTATTTTAGTTTTTAAATATTTTAATAAATGTAATTCTAAAAAAATCAAAGCTAAGGTTGAAAGATAAACAGACACATCAAAAAACAGATAAATTTTTTATTATATTTAATTTAAAGGCATTATTTTCTAATTAAATTATTTTTTTAACAAAAATATTTATAAAATTTAAAATCAATCTACATTAAAAAAGGCATAACTTAAGTTGTTTTCTTAACTCTATTAATCTAGGTTTTTAATTTAATCAGCTTACTTGTTAATTTTGTTAATTAGTTAGTAGCTTGAGTATTTTGGAGTATTTATAATTGGCTAAGTGCCTTCAAAATGTTTTAAAGATTAATCAACTATTTAGATATTTTCTTTTGATAGCTCAGGCAATTTATTATTGTTCTAAGTTTTTTAATGATTGTTTATATTAGTTCTAGTGTAGTTTATTGAACAAGAAGTTTACATTCTTTTAATTTTTTTGGAGTGATTCATCTAATTTTCGCATAAATACTATTTTAAATTGGTATAATTTTAAATATGATAATATTCTTGATGTGAATTTTCCATATTTTCTTAAAATGCATTGTTAGAAAATACAGTTTAATACTTTTGATCTTTTTCGAATAGTATTTCAATATTCTAAAATATATAGAAATGATATTCAAGTCCCTTTTATATGAACAAAAAAAAGAGTGAGATTCATTAAAATTAAATTTAAAGTATAAAATTAATAACTTAGTTTTGGAGTGTTCTAACAAAAAAATTGAAGAATGGTCCTAGATTACCAATTATATGATAATTGACCTTCCACCCAATAAAGTTATAGTTTAAATATTTTGAATTAAAAGCTGGATTTTTGGTTCCAATAAGTTCTAGTAAAGTATATAACTTTTTAAGTGAAATACCACCACTGTTGTCTAAAACTGATATTTTTATTATGTTAGATTTTGCATTTTCACCTTTGATTAATTGAAAAGAGATGTTCACTTGGGATTGATTTTATTCATTTAACTAGAGTATTTTAAGCTAACTATTATATTAGCTTGTAATTTGGTAAGCATAACTTTAATTTAAGTCTAAATTAAAATCTTATTAAATATTTTTCGTAGTTGTCGTTAAGTTGTCTGATTTATTAATTTGATTAGCATTATTTTATTCAAGTTGTTTAGAATTTATATTAATGGTTTTTTAATTATCTAATGTGAAGTTTTTTTTTCTTTTAAATATATTTTATAAATAAGAATATTTTCTTTTTGATGTAGTTTATTCGTTAAAGAATTTTATAGAATTTTCAATTAAATTCATAAGTATCTATCTTAATTTATTACTTTAAGTGCACATTTCAGTATTCTCATCACAGTTTACATATGAAAAATTTAATTTTACTTCTTTTAACTTATTTAAGAAACTTCTTTTAATTATATCATTAAATTTACCTAAAGAACAATTTTATACTAGCTAGGAGCCATTAAGAAGTTTGAATTCATTTTTGATTATTAGAGCATGATCTTTGTAATTGTACATTTAATTGTATGATTATAAAATATTTGAATTGATTACATCTTTATTTTATAAATTATTTGAAATATTTTATAATTTATCTCCTATTTTATTAAAATTAAATTAGTATTTTTGATAAATTATTTTTCAGTTTAATTTTTATTTAATCTAAATTGTTTCGAAATAATTTCTCTAATAAATTTGTTTAGAATTGAAAATTTTATTTTAAAAATTATTATAAAATAAAAGTGAGTTTTACATTTCAATAAAAATTATTTTAAAGAAAATATAAAATTGAAAGATAAATTAAAAAAAAATATTTTAAAGCTATTTAATTTTTTACCTATGTTAATAAATAGTTGAAAAAAACATTTTTCTAGACTAGAATTAATTTTTTTGAGAGCTTGTATCTTTTGTTTTTCAGTTTCTCTTTCGATTACTAAGCAACAATAATAGCTAGTAAAGTTTTAATAAGCTGATACTTTTATTGAAAAAACTTGATCTTTTGAACAATCGTTCTTTTTGTAAATTCCATAAAAAAAATCTTGTGTCTACTCTTCAAATTAGATATGAGTATTATTATCACCCTCATTTTTAAATTCTTTTTTGCCACTCATTGAATATTTTTAGTTATATTTTTGCTAGCTTGATTTTTATTTTTTATGTTTTTTTTCGATATATTCTTTGATTAAACTAATTATTCTATTTTCAACTGTATTCTTTTATACATTACTCATCCACATATTATTTTTGTTCTGAATTATGTCTCCAATTTCACTAGTTTTTGATTCTTAAAAATCACTGCTATAATCTTGTAGCCGGTCAACTGCTAGAGTTTACCTAGAAAAAATTTTAAATTCATTTGAATCATTTATTTGTAGCATTTTTTTTGCTTAATTGTTAATCATATCTAACTCAATCAAATTGTTTTTTTAGTCATACTGCACAGTTATGATACTGGATGATAACACTTGTTTTACTATTTGAGACCACTCCTTTTAAGAGTTCTGATGCAAAAATATTTATCTTCTGTCCCTCTGTATTATGTATACTGCATATAAGATGAAAATCATAAAAGCACCATATTAATATTTAAAGGCATAAATATTTTTAGACCAAAACACATAATAGTATCTAAATTAATATTTAAGAAATTTTTCAATAAATAAAAAATTAGCTAGTAAAAAAGTAATAAATTAATTAAATATTTATAAAAATAGAAACTATTATTACATCATAGTTGATAATATCATCTGAGTGCATGTGAATAAGTAATTTGCGCTTAAGAAAGCAAGAGTTACTTATATAGAAATTCCACAAGCTCCAAAAAAGAAAAGAAAATAATCATCATCTATACCAGTAGAAGTTCCAAAAAAGATTATTTGACCACAAAATGCTAACACAATAAAAAAACTAAGAGTATTAACTTACAAATTAAAATATTTAGGTTTTCGAATTGTCAAAATAGAGTTAAAGCTGCAATTTAGAACTGCAATGATGTAAATACCCAAATTGTTCAGATTAAAATTAATGGAAGATATAACTACACAAGGAATAGCTACTATGAATATATATCCAATTAAAATGTTAACATATATCTTTCCATATGTTTTACGAGACTCTTCTTAAAATTTTTGTTCTAGAGACTATGATTAAAAGCATAGCGAAATTTAATTCATATTTTTTAGTTTATATTTAAATATTTGTCTTATTTATTCTTAGAATTTTAAAAAAATAATCAAAAACAAAAAACTCATTAAAGGGTTTAATTTAATTAAAAACAATCTCTCTTTAAAAATATGATTTATTGCCTCAAAAAATACAAAATCAAAATAAAATTACATTTTCCTAATGATATCACTTTTTTTAGATATAAATACATACAAATTAAATAAGATTTTAGAAATTAAATTAATCTATGATTTTTACAAACTGATTTTTACCATAAAACAAATTTTTCTTTTACATCATTTGATGTAATATATAGATTTTATATTTTTAACGCTTCTATTTTTTATTTTTTTATTAAATAGCAACTAAATACACGATTAAAATAGATAATTCTATAATATTTATTTTTTATCTTTAAAATTTTATTAAAAAAATGATAAAAAAAATTACTAAATATTTTTTAATCCAATAAAATACTAGAAATGTACAATCTATTTCGTAAAATTATTAGTATAAATTAATTATTTTATCACTATTTTTTCGAATTAAAAAATCATTTTTTGTAAAAGAAATATGATAAATATTTTAATAATCAAACAAAAAACTATTTTATTTAATAAAGATTGATTTTTTCTTAGATTTGTTTGTTTGAATTAAAAATATAATTTAGTCCTAGAGTTAAAATTTCTTTTATAATAAAGACATAAATATAAATAATTTTATTTTTTTCTTTCTTATAAAACCTACATTTTTTTAGATTAAAATTTATAATTTGTATTTTTTATGAAGTTATGATTGTTAAAATATAATAAAACTTTATTAATATTTACAAGAGTATAGAAAAATATATATTTATTTAATGTGTGTGAAAAATTATAAAATGTATTTTTTATGGCAAAAGTGATTAAATTAATTTTATTTATTTATATTATAAGTTTTTTTGAGGTTAAATCAACAACATTTCCAACCTTGGTTTGCTTGAATACGAGCGGTATTTAGTTAATAATCATTATTATGATGATTATGGTTATCATTACATGTATTTTTTTCAAATTAAAAAGAACTCGGTAGTAATGTTACAGATTAATATGATCTTTCTCTCTTTTTACTTGCAAAAGCACTTAAAGTGTTTTGTTGAATAGGTGATGTAGTTGAAAATTCTGTCTTGACTAATTCATGGTATTCCTTTTCAAAATTTGTGTTAGATTGATATGTACTTTCGCAAGTTTGTTGCTGAGAGTTCATAGAATTAGAAAGTTTTGTTTGACTTTGCAAGTTTGCTTGAGAATAAGATTTTTAATGCATAATTTTAATAGGAGTAATTTATTTTTATGAAGCATTTCTTATAATTGTGATTTTTTTTTAACTTTAGGTATCTTTTTATTGAATATTTTCTTGATTATCAGGTATTTAATTTCTTTGATTTTATTTGCTTGGAGCTGATTAATCTTTTATATTATTATTATTATTTTTTACAAAGGGAGTATTAGATTAATCTACTTTGCTGAAATTTTAATTTTTCAGATACGAGTTTTCATTAATTGCCTTGCCATTTACTGCACTTCCCTCAAGTGTTAAATCAGATAATGAATACAAATTTTGATTTTACTGATTTATTTAGTTTAATTTGTTTAAAAGAGATTTAATAAATTTTTGATCATTTTATTAGTTTTAAGAATTAAAAGAGAGATTATGAGCTAAATTCTTGTTGGTATTAACACTGTTCATAGCAAAAAAACTAGTCAAGTTTTTAGTACTTAAAATAGAATTTTTCTTAGAGTTTATATCTATTATTGTTGGTTAATGAAAGTTAAAACTGCAAGAGTCTCGGTGTTCAGATTATTTCATAATATTCTATTGCTATTATTACTACAATTAAGTAGATTCGATTAGACTATTCTCACATTCAATTTTTGAAAGAGATAAATCGCTTTGATCTTATTCAGATTCATTCGAAATGGAGTCAATTTAATTTTGTAAATATTTCTCAAATTTTTATGGTTGGCATTTAATACTACTATTTACAGACTATTCTAAGTAAGGATTGTTACTCACTTTGCAATCAAGTGAGGCAGACTGATACCTTTGATCAAATTTCTTTTCTTTCTTCTACTCTTTGAATAATGGAGATTAATTTTTATCTTAACAATTTTATCCTTCTTGGTTTTCTTGATTAAATGTAAAATATTTTTTGAAAAAATATTCATTTTATGATTTTTCATTAGCATTTTAAGCTTAGGAAAAGCTATTTTCGAATTAAATACCTGATTTATAAAATTATTTTACAGGTGATTAAGAAGAAGTTTGCTTTGATAATTGGAACTTATTAGTTTATTCTCCTGAATTTAGGTTTGTGCTTTAGGCTGACCTATAAGTATAGTTTCTGGATGACATGTTTTAAGTTGTAGAAGATTCCTGCTTCTCTTCTGGAATAGCTTGCTCTTATTTGTATTAAGTAGAAACAAACATTTAGCTATTTTTTACTTAGGAAGCACTTAAAATAGTGGCATAAGAACCCACCTTTGGGTAATACAAATTACTATTAGAGATTTACTTGGAAAATGTTAGATTTTATACATTTGATTGAACATTAGTGTTAGTATTATTGAATGTGTTATTGTTCTAGCTAAAAGAAGCATTTGATTCAATCATAGATACATTTTTCGACTATGCTACTTTAAAGGATGCAGTTTCAGAGATGTTTTTTGGAAGCATTCTTTCTTTCACCGACTAGGTATACATTTAAATTTTCTTTTAGTATCTGTTTTCTTCTTTATTTCGACCATCTCCATTTGCATTCTTACTAAATTTGAGCTTGTATATACCTAGATCTGATGATATGCTCGAGTGGCTAGCTAATAAAGAGTTGGCTAGCTGATTTTAAATAACTGGAGTTTATTGAACTTTTTGCATTACTATTAAATAAATTGTATTTATTTATTGTTTTTTTAAATTCAACTTGTGATTATTAAGTAGATATTTATTTTATATTTTAATAAATATTTTATTTTCAGAAGAGTACTGAAATTTTAAAGTTGTTTGCGAAGGTAAATTATTATTTTGTTATTTGTTTATTTGTTTACTTGTGATTGATTTTACTTACTTTCTCTCAAACAAATAATATTAATTGTAAATTTTTTTGAATAACTTATTAAAGTTTAGTTAAATGTGGTATCTATCTATCTATATTGAGAGCAAAAATAACTATATATTTTGCTTCTAAATTGTCAAAATAAATAATTAATTATAAAGAAAGTATTAAGAAGATATTATATATTCCACCTTATTTCAAATATGACTTTGATTATTTATTTATTTGAAATTTGACTGGCTACCTCAATTCTCAAATATCCATTAAAATTAACCAATCAATAAAAATAATAATTAAATAACTTTTATTGTATTTTACATCCTTACTTTTCTATTTCTTTATTTTTAAAATATTTGGAATCTTTGCAATTCTAGATTAATATTTATTTGATCTAATTAATATTATCCAATTTTCCTTTCTTGAGGATACAAATCAACCAAAAAAATTTTAATTTTTGAAATATATAACAGTAATTTTGATTTCTTCAATAAATAAAATAAAGTTTTGTATTATAAAATTATGCATTCTAGTATGAATAGAATTCACGCAAAAAATAAAGTATTTAAAGTTGATTATAATTTTAAAAATTTGTAATTAATTATCAAAGAAAGATTAAAATAAATAAATAACACTTGCTTCAAGATTATCTTTTTTTGTGGTAGATGAATTAAATAATTAAGATTATTAATCAAGGTATTAAATACCACGAAATAATCAAATAAAAAAGAATATAATTGAATTGTATTTACCATTAATTATTCTTTATTATTTCTTCCAAATAAATTATATTGCAAACAAGTCATTATAAATTTATATATTCAATTCTATTGCATGCAAAATAATAAATATTCTACTTTAATAAACTAATTATTTTAAATAATATAAATTTTAATTTTTAATAGTTACATACTCTTAAAAAACTAAATTTTTTTAAAAATTTAAAAATAAATCTTTGAAAATAAATTTTATGTGTGAGAGCAAATAAGATAAAATAAAGATATAGACTTAAATAGATAAAATAAATTTTTATTTATATCTTAAATTCATTAATAGTTAATATGATATGTAACAAATTATACAAAATGATTTTACATTTTTTATTTTTATTTTTTAAAATTTTAAATTGTATTTTTTAATTTTTAACGCTTACAATTTATATATAAGCCTATTATTTTGTTTATAAAATACAATACTGCTATATTTGATTTATGATAAAATAATCAAAGATAAATTAAATGTAAAGACAATAAGATAACCATCCTGACTTAAAATATAAAAGAAAATTAGAAAAGCAAACAAAAATTTATTAAACAAATTAATTGTAAGAAAACATAGATTTGATTAAAAATAAATGTTAAATAGTAACCAAAAAATAAATTAAAAAATATACAAATAGAACTAAATTAAATTTTATAAAAAAGGGGAGTAATCATAATATAATGATTATAAAAAATTTATAAATTTGTTTTATACAAAGTATTATTTATGCTTTAGTTAAAACAAAAAAAATAAAATAACAAGTTTGCATTATGTATTTCAAATCAAATCATTATTAAAATTAATTAGAGTTCTAAATATTTTCGAAAAACCTATTTCTAATTTATTATTTAATTTGTAGAAAGATCATATAAAATTTTACACAAATATGGTTAATTTTATAACAAGATCAAAGTTTTTATTTTTTTTTAAATTTTGAGATCGTTTGATTGATAATTATTTTATAAATAGGTTTAATAAATTTAATTTTTAATTTGTGTGTTTTAATTAAAGTAAAAAATATAGATATGATTAATACATTCCATACATTAAATAAAATTATAGTTTAAATTTATTAACTTTAGAAATATATTAATTTGAAAAAATTATTTTTATTATTAATTAATTTAAATTTATTTAAATATTGAAGAAAGAAAATATAAAATATAATTTTTAAATGATACACTTGAAAATTATTTTTGTGAATTTGCGCACATGATGAGCATTTATTAAAAATAGAAAAATTTTTGTGAATAAATAAAAAAATAATTATTTTTAATTAATGCGAACTAGCTGCTCAATTAAAAATGAGTATTTGTTGGCGCACCTTTAATCAATAGATTCAAATATTATAAAATATTTTTGTTTCATCACTAAATATATTTTTTTTAATTTTGAAACTTTAACAACTAGTTTGATGCATCATTTGATTGATAATAATTTTTTTACTAGGTTTATGAAGATTTTTTTATTATTTTATTTGAGTCAAAAAGTTAATGAAAAAAGGAATTGTGGATTTTATATTAATGTTTTAGAAAATAAATTAAAATTGTTATAACAAAGCATTTATTTTTTGATGAATTAATTGAATAGGATATTAATATATATATTAAAAATAAGATAAAATATTGTATGAAATAATTTTAACAGGTATAATCAAATAAAAATAAGAAAGAGTTAAGTATATTTTTTAATTTATAAATGAGATTTAAATTGATTGAGTATTTATTTACATGCATTCAATAATTTTAATCAAGCAAGTTAATAGAAATTTGTTTTATTGCTTGTTTAACAGCTAGTGTATATTCTATATTGGTTGGTTTTAATTCAAATTAATTATTTTTTTGTTAGTTTTTTATTTATTTATTTATTTGTTTATTTTTAATTAGTTTGCAAAAAAGTTTTCAATGCTAAGACTTGATAAACTAATTTTCCTTGTTTTGCATTTGCTTCACTTGGTTTGCACATTGTTATTAATAAGAAACCTTTTCAGATATTGCTTTTTATTGATAAAACAATTAGTTTGAGTTTTGTTGTGCTAACTGAGGATTGTTTGTGACAGGATAAGAATTATTTGAATAAGGATTATCATTTTCTTTAGATTTTTGATTGAGAAGATAAGTGCCCTGCTTTGTAGAGGGATTTAGGTGAGGTAAATTTGACTGAGGCTAATTATTTTAGAGAACTTGGACTTGCTAATAATTTTGATGGGGTTTGCTTGAAGAGGGACTTATGCTGATGTTTTGATATTGGTGATGGAGATTAGGATTATTGTTGATTAGATTATTAGTATTATTGTTGCTATTGTAGTTAATATTGTTTTCTTTACTAAGGAGATTACTACTGCTGCTTGTGTTGAGTAGATGCTAAATATTATTTAAAAGAGTATTGTTACTATTATTGTTGATTAAGATCTAAATATTACTATCAATCTCTCTCAAGAAATGGGAAGAAGAAGCTGAGCTCTTTTTTAGTTAGTTATTTGAATTTACAGTATTGTTATTATTATTAAAGTTGTTATTATTAATATTTGTATTTGTGCTCACTATATGCTATATATTGCTTATATTTTATTAATCTTACATTTATGGGTTTTCAATTCCACCTTTGAAGGAACATTTCTTATAATTTTATTTAAGCTCATCATTAGGATCCATTTCTTCATCTTCATTAATTCTATTGCCATTATCTTCCTCTAATAGAGACAGTTGACTACAATCGGTTATAGAAATTTGATAATTAGTATTGTTTCCATTAGTGATTGTGCAGTTGCTATTTCTTTTGTAAAGGTTGTAATTTTCTGCTTAATTTTAAATTACACTAGAAGGCTTATTTTAGTTGCTATTTGAGAAATAGTTTAATAATTGAGAATTTAAATCCATATTAGTTCTTTATTGACTATTTAAGAATGCATTTATCTTGCTATCTGATTGAAATACTTCAGCGATCTCTTCATCTTATTCTTAATCCTTAAGAGTATTCTAATCCCCATTCATTTTTAGTTTCTCAAGTTCTCTTTATAGGAGGTAGTTTTTTAATACTTCTTCCAGACATTCTTTTTCCTTGTATTAATCTTCTAATTCCTTTCTTAACTCATCATTTTCAACTCTTATTCTGTTGATTTCTTCACATTAATACTCTATTTTTTTAAATTTAAATAAATAAAAACTCTCCTAAATTTATTCTAAAATGAGATCAATTCTTTGTATTTTTTATAATCAATAAAAAAGAAATATAAATAAATCCAAGACCAGTCAAATGTGCATTTTTCAAATATTTTGTCATAATGATTTTATAATATAAAAATAGTTTATTTTTGTTTATTTTCATTATTGATCAAATTCAATTTTTAAACCAAAATTGATAAGAAAACAAATTAAATTATTTCTCACAAATGAATCTAATTTAAACCAAAAATCTTTCAATTAATTTGTTAAAATTAAAAATTCTTGAATGATTTTTTATTTTTTATTTTTTTAATAAATTTATAATAAAATTATTTTGAGAATTTGAATAGACTATTTTTACCTTATTTTGATTACACTGATTGGTTCAAAGAATTTTTTTATGACATTTACACTATTTTCTTTTCTAAAGATTCTGATTTCTCTTTTTCTGCAACAATTTCTTTCTGTAAATTGGTGATTTTCTAATTTCATATTTAATATTTTTAAACTATTATATAATTAATTGAATTAAATTTACCTCTAGCAGAGACTTTTCTTTAGGAGATTATTCTTTGCTTTAACTATTAGAATACTGCTTAATACTTTCATTTTAAGAGTTTAACTTAACTTCTAGAGTTGAGCAACGAGTACTTAGTTCTTTATTTTGAAGCTCTAAATTAGAAATGTTGAAGAGCAGCTCTTGGTTGATTTGCTTCATTTCTTTAATCGTATTCTAAGAATCTTCTACTAATTTTTTATAAGCATTCTCTTCAGCTCTCTTTGTTATGATTTCTTATTGTTATTGTATTTATTGCTAAAGGGATTATAATCCTTCTTTTAACTACTGATTGTCTTTGTTTAATATTAAAATATTTGCTTATAGTGCTCTGTTTTCTTCTATCAACTTGGAGTTATCGTCTAGAAGCTTAAGAGATTTTAAAGAAAGATCATTCACATTGCTTACAACTTCTCTTTGTTGTTTGTATTACTCATTTTCTTTAAGGAGAGAAGTTATTTAATCATACAACTTTTCATTTTCAGAATTTAGATCAGCAATTTACTTAGTTAATGATGCTTTTTCGTCGTTCTTCTAAGTCTACTCTTATTGAGTCTTTACTTGATTATTAATTCTAATGTTTTCTTCCTAGAATTCTGCTAACTTTTCTAAAAATTCGTATTGCTATTTTTGTATCTCTTCTTCTCTTTGATTAACTTATAATTTTAAGTTTTCTTCATTTTTTTCATATTCTTATACTTATTCTCTTAACTCATAAATAGTTTATTCATAATCAACTAACTTCTATCTAAGTGCTTCAATAGTTTATTCGTAAGAGTCTTTGAATGTTTAATCGCTACTTTTATTTAATCCATCAGAACTTATATGTTAAAATTGTTATTAAAATTACTGCATTTCATATTGTAGCTAGCTGATTTATTGTTCATGAATTTCGTGTTGCTCAGCATAGGCATTTACTTAATTAATTAATTCACTATTTTCAGTATCTAATTTCTATATAGTTTATAGCTACTCTTGGCTCTAAGTTGACATTTTAGCTATTTTTTATCTCAGGACAGCATCTCTGTACTATAATTTTCTTATTGTTATTTTTAAAGCACGTATTTCAACATCGTTATCCTTACCACTAATTTCCATAGCTTTCATTATATTTCTATAACCTTACATAGGATTTGATTTCATTGTAGGGTGAATGCTTATTGAATCCTGGTTCAGGTTATTGTCTATATTTTAAGTCTAGTTTAATGAATCATAAGTTTCAGATCTTATGTCGCTTGTAGTCTAAGAGCTTGTATATTCTTCGCCTTAAAACGTTTCATTGTAAACATGAGGAGGTATTTCATAGTCCATTTGCTAATTCTTTTCTTCAATCATTTGATCAAAATTTTTTATTTTAGGAATCAAAAGTTTCTTACTAACTTTGTTTAATTACATACTGTTATTATCTCCATGATACGTATGATTAACTTGCATCGAATCAGCAAATAATTTATTGTTATCATTATTTAATACCTCATAACTATCATCTGCAATTGTTAAAGCTCTTCTTTTTTAAAACATTTTTTCTTGGTTTTACTAATTAGCTGAGACTGCATCGAATTGGAGATATTCTTAATCCACAACACTTTTGGACCTATTTTTTTCATCCTATTTTTAATTATTCATTTGAGATTATTTAATTTAATTATTTGTTATTGGTGTATGTTAGTAAGGGAGCTATTGTGATTTACTAATTTCACTAAAAACATTTTATTTTGGAGTGCGTAGGTAATCTTCATTAAGTTTGCAGTTTGCTGGCATAGAAGCAGCAAACATTTCATCGCAAGCCTCATTATTAACATCATAAGTTTCGCTATTATATTATTTGGGCTGATGAGAATTTCCTTTCATTTAAATTGGTATTTCTTTTAGAGACAGGATATTTAATTTATCATTAGAACTGTTGAGTTCATTAATATTCATTTTTTTATCAAGAATAATATCTGAAATTTAAATATTGGCACCTGAAAGATCAATAAATTTATTTTATTGTACCATTTAAGAAGAAGGAGTAAATTATTCTTCAAATTAATTTAATAAGCATTTCTGAGGGTCAACTGAAGAAGTGCTTGAATGAAGAGAAAAGACATTCTTTTTTGTAGGAAAATTATTTTTTGATGGTGAAATATTTTTAATAGTTTTTGATAGCTGATTGAGTTTCAGATTTATTTGAGCCACTCCTTTTTAGTTTTGTTATGAAGTTGCTTATTCGTTTAATTAAAGACTTTCTTGATGAGAAAATGATGCTCTGTAAGGATCATATTATTCAGATTGCATACCTCCAGTAATGCTAGATTAGTTGATATTAAACACACAGTCATTACTATTAATTCTCTACCTTGGAATTAAACCCTATTATAACATTTATTGCTAATTATCCAAATTATTGTGACAATAGCTATTGTTTAGATTCATAGTTTAATTTGTTAAGCTGCTATTAAGATTTTATTAATTTACTATTTTATTGTTATTTATACTTTAATGCAAAGCTCCCACATTGTTATTACTATGATGATAAGATTGAAGCTTATCTTATATTTACTAAATTTATTTCATTGGAGAGTCGCTGCTTTGTAAGTGCTACAGGAAAAGAGTTATCTTATCACTGTTCTTTTGAGGTTGCTGATTCCCTTAAATTGAATTATTAAGTAGATTATTGTTTATATTGTTTTTGGTAGATTGAGAGCTGAAAAAGCTTGAGAAATTATGGTATTACTCTCCTCTTAATCCTGGGGTGAGGCTGTTGCTAAGCTAATGGGAATTTATATTATTTGCATTGTTGCTGTTGCTGTTAATATTATTGTTATTGTTAGAATTTGTATTGTTTTTTTTACTAACAGAATTTTATTGATGAGCTTGATTTCTAGTACCTAAAGGAGTTTTTTTAGTTTTGTTTTGGACACTCATCGATCCTGATTAAACTGGATAAGAAGAAGCTGCCTTGCTATTTGTACAAGTACTATTGCCATTCTACTAAATCTTAGAATTAGAAAATTAATTATTGCTTTATTTTTTATCACATGAAGTAGTTATAGATAGATTTCTATTTCTAGTTAAATTCTTTTTACTACCTTGCTACTAACTGTTAATGGTACCTTGATTGTTTTATGCTTATTTTTGATTTGGTGCAGGTTGTTTTTACTTTGCATTTAATGACTTTTCTCTTGAATTTGAGCGACTGATGCTTTTCCTTTATTGATTTTTTAATATAATTTCATTTTGCTTGCAATTTTTTAATATGAGATCCATTTTTTCCTTATAATTCGCATAAGTTATATCTTGGGCAGAAAAATTTTGCATTTTGGTTGTTGTATCCTATCCTATTTGCTTGATATAAATCTTTTTGCTAGAAGTGGAATGTATTTTTCAGATAAATAAAATTATTTTTGTTTGTTAAATTCGATCGAGCTGTTTGTTTCTTTCCTATATTTAATTGGGATGTTTGTTTGTTAGTTAGTTAGCTCTTTCTTTATTAATTAATTAATTTTTTGTTTCTTTTTTAATTTATTTAATATTTCAGTTGATTCTTACAGTTTAACAAATAATAATACATCAGTAATAAGTATGTATATCGAGATTTCATTAATATTTTGACAAAAAGAAAAAAAAATTCAAAATCTTAACTATTAGTTGTTAAATCTCAATTACTTAACATATGAAAAGTTTTTGTTTATATTTTCTTTAAATGCATCTTCTACTTATTCATGCAATTACTCTTGTACGATTTATTAATCAATTTATATTATTTATTTTTAGATATTTACAAAATGGTTATTAAAATAAAAATATTTTATAAAAGCACAACCATTAAAAATTTTAAAACAAATAATTAGAAATCTTTATTTATTAAAAAAATAAAATTACATTGTTAAATTAATCATTGTATTTAATTTAATATATTAAAATAAAATTTAAACAAAGTATTAAGTTTTAGCATTAAAAATTTGTAAAATAATTATAAATTTATTAAAACAATTTTTATTAAAATATAATTAAAAAATATTGAATAAAAATTTTATCATCTATCTTATTATTCTTAATATTTCTGAAAAATGCAAAAAATAATATTAAATGTTATTTTTAATAATTTTATTAAATAAAATAAATAGTCAAAGATAAATATAATAAAATATATTTATATATTTACAAAATAATAAGTAAAATAGTAATTCAATAAAAGTGCTAACAGCAAATAAAGTTTTTGTTGGTAATAAAAAAATTAAAAGTAATTTTATTACTAATATTTAATTATCTAATAGAAATTTTAACATATAAAAACTCAATAATGTTTCTTCTTTGAGCATCATATAAATATTATTTTTATTTTAATTAAAAAGCCAATACTTTTATAAAGTAAGACTTTTGATTTTTTCATTTATTTGGTCTAATGTTTTTTGCAAATAATGTTCATTATCGTAAAAATTATTAAAAAAATATTATTACTCCTACCAAATAATATTAAAAATGTTCTAAATTTAAACAATAATTTATTAAAATATTTTTTATAATTAATATTAAAATATGTTTACACAAGAAATTTAATCAAATTAAAATTTTTATATAAAATTTCATTATTTTTCACAAGGAAATATATTGAACATATTCTAAATAAAATGAAATTAATTTTAATTTGTAATTGATACTTAACAAAATATTAACTCGATCCACCTAAATTTTTTAATTTTCTATAGTAGTGAAATAATATTAGATATTAATTATATGAAATTTTTAACAAAAATATCTAATGAAAAAAAAAAAAGCAGTGATAAACATACAATAAAATGTAACAAAATGAATAATAAATACATTCACAGATTTATGTCTTATAAATAATTAAAAAAAGCAATTTTTTACAAAAATGTTTGTTTTTTATTTAATAGTCCTCTAAAAATCAAAAAAATATACAAAAAATATTATTTTTGCATCTTGAAATTAGAATGTTTGTTCGAAATGTATTTATTATTGATCTATAGGTCTCATATAACCATTTAATTGTAATATTTGAAAATAGATAGTGCTTTAAAACTCTTTTTGAAAGATTGCATAATATTAAATAATGGATTTATTTAGGATAGTTAGTACTGATGTTTTTGTAATAGTAATACAAATTATTCAAGCTGATCTCTAATTCAAGCACTGGTAGATTTTAAAGTTTTATATTTACTATGATAAATATAAGTGAAATAGGCTGCATTTAACTTTATAATTAGAATTAATAATTATATAATTCTTAAAAAAAACAGAACAGTACATTACAGTAGAGTAGAGTAGAGTATATTATTAAATTTTACTTTTATAAAACAATCTATTTTAATTAGTATTTAAAAAGATTTTAATCATTCATAGCTGAATGTATGTATATAATAAGAAAATAAAACATATTACTACACATTTTTATATTCTTCTTACTAATTTAATTTTACTTAATACTGGTTAGTAAACTTTATAGTCTTACTTTTCTCAGAAGTTATAGAGAAGTTAAGTCCTATTTATCCTCTATAAAGATTTAATCAATAAATATTTAAAAATATATTCCAATCTATGTTAAATAGTTTATTCAAGCTTATACTTATTTTTATACTGGTTTTGCTAATGTTTTATTCTACATTTACATATTTATCTAAAAACTAGCTGGTTATTTATAAAATAAAAATTTATCCTTGCTTTTTTTTATTTTAAGCTATAAATAGGACTAATAGATGATTTTTTTATCAGATGTAATTACTGATGTGGAGCTCTTAAAAAATAAATATTAATGAAGGATTAAGTTTGAAATATCTTTTCTACTAATAAAAAAATATGATAAAAATGTTACTAACAGCAAGTAAGTTTTAATAATATTTTTGCGTTATTTATTTTTTCATTAAATTCGAAAAACAATTACTTTCTATTTTCTTAAAATGTAAATAATTAGATAACTTGAATAAATGCTTGAAAAGACCTGAGTATTTTTCCTAATTATTCACAAACATTCTATCTGTAATTAATTAATGTTTTCATATTAATAATAATAATAATCATTTAATAGAAGTTAAAATAACTTACACTTTTGTAAATACTTTATTTAAATAAAATTAAATTGTAAGTTGCGCAAATTAATTGATAATCAGATCAGTAATGTTATTTATCATTTTTGAAGATGTGAATTACCAAATTACATATATTTGCTCAGTAAATACTAATCAGTGAAAAAAATAAATAATACACTTTTCACAGCTTAATTAAAGTAACTTTTTTAATTCCCCAAAATTATATATATAAATTATTTTGCACAAATTTTGTATTGATTTTTGAATGAATCAAACAAAAATTTAATATAAATGATTTATAGAGTAAAGAAAGGTTTAAAAGATTAAAAAGAAAAGTCAGTCAGTCTTATAAAAAAATTAATTAAAAAATAATTACAATTGAAAAAAAAACAAACAACACAAAAATATCTTTTAAATAAACAAATGGGTTAAAAAGAATCTTCAAACAGAGAAGTCTTAAGAACTACTTGTGCTAAATAAACTTACAAGCAATTTAAAAAAGACTTGCTATCAATCAGAAAAGAACTCTATGGAATCTATTAGTTAAAAACAGACAAATTCAGATCTGTTGGTGAAGACCTATGCACTTTTATTGATATTCTTTAGTTAGTAAAATCTTACAAGACAGAATCTGAATACAAAATTTACTTAAACAGGATCTCTTAATACATCGCTTTAACAATAAAAGCCAAAGATTAATTATCTTAACTTTTAGAATCTTCAATGAATACTAATTAGAAAGTTATCTAAAAAGTGTAACAATTCGTCTTTAAGCTCCAAAATTCAAACTAAAACAAATACTCAGCTGAGTATTTCTTTGAATTAGCATAAGAATTAGAAAAATATAACCAATAAGAACTCTCTACATGCCATTCTGATTGAACAAATAATAAATTGAACTGATCTGGTGAATCTAATATCCTTCCTTCTTATCTAAATTTACTTCTTCTTCTTCTTAGATAAAGGATAGAAAATAGCTAGACCTTCTATATACTAATCAAATCTAACTTTCTTATATAACACACACACATATAATAGACTGTTAATAATATCACTAACCACTTTTATATTAAAAAATTAAATTTATAATTCTAATTTACTAACACTGTATGTATCTTAATGATTTAATTTCATATTTATATAGATAGATTCATTCATAAACTTACTTTTACTACTTTAAAAATCAATCAGTTAATCATTTCATTCATTCTTTCTTTCACTTTTTCTTTTTACTTTGGCTAAAATTAAAAATCTGATTTTTTCATTAATTTACATAAACTAATAACCTTCATCTATTTTTTAAAAAAACTACACGAAAGCCATATAATTTACACCTTTCATTAGATTTCAATTATTACAGTAGGTGTCTGCTTTATAGAAAATAAATTAACATATTTCAAAAATTTTTTATTGATATTTAACAACTCATTACACATAATTTTTATTTTAATAAATTTTTAAAAGCTGATTATTAAAAAACATTTGAAAGTACTTTTAATTAAATAAATATTGTAAAATAAAATTATTTTTTATTTGCGTAAAGAAAAATATTTATTTTAATCAATGAATCCCATATTTTCATTTAGAAATATTTTAATACAATTTGAGTATTCTCAAATATAAAATTTCCTTCAACCAATTAAAAAATATTGAAAGTAATCAATCCTTGGATAACTTCTGCTTTTAATTGTTAATTTCTTTCTTTTAAAAATAATAAAAAACAGAAAAATAATGAATGTAACAAGAAAGGATAAAAACTATTGTAAAAAGGAAATTCTTAATTAAAAAAGAAAAAAAATTTTAATTCCTTTTACTCTTTAAAATTAATTTGTTTATAAATATGTTTTTATTGAAATATTTAAGAGTTGAAAGTAAAAATATACAGCGAAAACTATCTAAAATAGACACTATAGCATAATATATTATGTTCTGTTTTTTGAAATATTATAGATTTAATTTTATACCTCTCTTTATAATATAAGTATGTGGACTTAAAGAAGTTTTACTGTGTATTAAACTATTTAATTGTCAAACAATTCTAAATTATTTACACTTTTTTGAACTTGCGTTTATGGTTGTTTTTTGTTTACTAATTAATAACAAATTCAAGTTAAAACAAGAATTTCAATATTTTTTAACAAATTAAAGGTTTTATTTGTAATAAGATTCAATTTAATTTAATAGAAAGGCTACATTTTATGAAAAAGCTAGAATTTCACAATTTTTCAAAAAATTAGTTAAATCATTTTTCTTACCATACAATTAATTATTTTTAAGAAAAGTAATATTTTTATTTAATATTTATTGAAACGCCATAAAGTCAAACTTAGACATGATTGTTAAATTTTTGAATATTTAAAATAATACATGTATTATATGGTAAGAATGTATAAAGTATCTATAAAATCTACATAAAATAAAAAATATATTTGTAATACGGAAAATATTTTCAAACAAATATTAATTTTACTTCTAACTATCTAAAAATAAAACAAAATAATTCTTTACTTTGTAAAATAACTTTTTGATGGATCAATTTTTTAATTATTAATACGTTTTGTAGATTTATTAGATCATAGTGGAACGTCTATTTTAAGATTAAAATTCTTTTAAAAAAGCAAGTAGATAGATAATTTATTGAGAACTTAAATTTTTATACCATTTAAATTTTCTTAACAAGGTTAAAAAACAAGTAAGTATGTTTATCAAAAATGAAGAATTTTTGTATTTGTAACAAAACGATTTTGTTAGCTTCAAAAAATAAAGAAAAAATAAATAAATAAGGAATCATCAGATTAATTTATCTATTTTTTACCTTTAAAACCTTTTATTTAAATAATTTTAATTATTTGAAAGATAATAAACCTTTACTGTACTTTAGAATGATATATATTTCTTGTTGATGTTAAGTTAATTAATTTATATTTAATGTACAAATTTTTATAATTAACAATAAGTTATAATTTTTATCATAGACCACTAGCGTAAGATATTAAGAAATACCTTAATATATTTTATTAATTAATTAAAAAAAATAATTAAAGTTTACGTATAAACTATTTTACACACTAAAAGATAAAAATATATATGTTAGCCATATTTATTATATTAGTCAAATTATAATAAATGTAATTTTCTAAATTATTTCTTAAGAAAAATCCACAAACATTAAAAAAAAATTTAATGAACATATTTTTTATTAATTAACTTATATACAATCAAAAAATTAAGCATATGTTATTTGATTATATTCAAATATGATAAATTTTTGTTAATAGTATAGTAAACTCTTTAAATTTATATGCCTTAGCTTTATAATATTATTATCTAAAATATTTACTTTCTTCTTGTAGAAATACTTATATTAAAATAACCTAAAAACTTTGTTTTTAGCCTTCAGTTTTAAACATTAAAAACCTTTATTTAGATAATTTTTATTGTACGCTATAATACTCCTCCAAATAAATTAATCAATTATTTTTCATATAACTCATCATAAAATTAAATATTAACTATTATTAATTAAATCTAGCACTTAGTATTATGGTTAATTTTTCTACAACATGTGTAACATATTTAAATTCTAAGCATTCGCTAAATTTTATAAAGAACACATTTTTTGATACAGTAAATTTACACCTCTATATTAGTATTAGAGGTGGGAGTCGAAATTCAATAATGATATAATTAATGAGATATACCATTATCTTAATAATAAATAAACCCCATTATTGTTAATCATAATAAAGTTTTAATTTATTATGAGAAAAATGATAATTAAATATATTTAATTATATTAACAAAGAATAGAAAATGTTTATTAAACATAGCAATAAAAAATATTATATTTTTAACAAAACTTCATAATCTCCTTGATTTTTAGAATTTATTTTTATCTATTCAAATGTTAAAATTTTTAGAATTCTAAACTATCTTTCTATCTACCTTTTGCAAATTTCTAAATTTAGTAATCCTTTTAATTTATTAATTAATTTATTCATTATTTTTTAAATACTAAATTATTACTATCTATAACTATATTTATTATAATCATAATTGTTGAGGGAAATATTTAGTCTAAAAGCATCTATTTAGAAAAGGCAGGAGGATATATTATATTTAAATTATCTATTTCTAATTGTTTTCCAATATTTACCAAAATACGGTGAAACTACTTATATGTTTGTTTAAATCAAATAATAAGATCAAGCATTTAAATTAACATCATTCCTCTATATTATTGAAATATGAAAAATCTTGGTAGAGTTTTTTTTGTCTATATCAATATTTAAAACTTTCCTAAATAAAATAAATGTAAAAGACATTGAAAAAGAAGAAAGCAAAAAAAATTTAAAAGAAATCCATAGTTTTTTTATAATTTCACTTTTAAATATCTATTAAATCCTTTAAAAAGTAGAGGTAATCAATCTATTCTCTGTTGATATGTTATTTTATTTAAATAATATTAAAAGCAGATTATAAAAAAACTAATTTGCGGAGAAAAAAAATTATTGATAAAATAAATAACAAAGTAAAAATAGATAGATTGATAGATAAAAAAAATTAAAAAAGGTTTGATCACAATGCTTACTTATTAAAACTTTTAGACTAGATATGTATAGCTAGAAAAATTAGGTGAAGGAACTTATGGAGTTGTATTTAAGGCATAAGATATGTAGACATAATAATTAGTAGCTATAAAATAGATTAGAATAGACCCTAATGAAGATGAAGGAGTTCCTTCGACTACATTAAGAGAAATATCAATTTTGAAGAAGTTAAAACATAAAAATATTGTAAAACTGCTTGATGTTTATGTTTTCCCTGAAGCTTAAAAAGTATCTTTAGTTTTTGAATATTATCCGTAAAATTAGCTTCATTTTTTGCAGCAATTTTTTTTATTTAAAATCACATTTTTATATCATATTTAAAAAATAGATAAGATTTAAGAGGCTACTTGAAACAGTTGCAACAAAAAAATTAGAAAGAGATCCCTTTAAGCTTCTATTAAAATTAATTTAGATAAATAATAGAAGGTGTTGATTATTGTCACTCTTAAGGTATCTTGCATCGTGATTTAAAGCCATAAAATATTCTAGTAAGTTCAACTGGAGAAATTAAAATAGCAGATTTTGGATTGGCAAGAGCTTTTAACTACCCACTAAAAGAATTAACTAAAGATATAGTCACACTTTGGTATCGTTCCACAGAACTGTTATTAGGTAAAGTTTGTTTTAAATCTTTTTCAAGTCAAATAAATATGAAAAATATTAAATACAAAGTCTTAAAAATAGCATATTTGATTATTAAAATAAAATTAAATGAATGTTCTCATAACAAAATAATTATGAAATAGGTGAGTCATAATATGATATAGCTATTGATATGTGGTCAGTTGGATGCATTTTAGCAGAATTTGTTACTTTCAAACCACTCTTCATGGGTGACTCATAAATTGATTAACTATTTAAAATATTCTAATTTTCTGGAACACCTAATGGGGTTATTTGGCCAAATGTTAAGAAGTATATAGATTTTAAGTAGACATTCCCTAAGTTTTTGCCTTCAAACACTTTAAGAATAGATCCAAGATTCAAAGAGTAAATTAGAAATGAAGGAATCGAACTTATAGAAAGTTTACTTCAAATAGTACCAGAAAAGCGTTTAAATTCAGATGAAGCTCTCAAAGCGCCTTTCTTCAAGTTAACTTAATGAAATTAAATAACAATAAAATCATCTTTTTAGTTAATCTGAATCAAATTTTAAATAAAATAATGTAATAACAAAATTTTGTCACTTCATTTTACTTTATATAACTTTAAATTTAAATATTTATTATTTATTATTTTTAAGATTCTCAAAAAAATAAAAAATTATAACATATTATTTAATTCTAAATTTAAATATTTAACTTACTACTTTAGTTAATGCTAAATCTTTGAAAAACAATAGTTTAATAATTAATTAATGAATCTATTTTTATCTGTTAAAGATTGAAATACTACCATAACTACTTTATATTCTTTTAAATTTGATATTAAAGTTATTATTGTATTTATTATATTTAGTAATTAATATATTTTTAATGATTAAAGTTTAGTTTTCAAAGAAATTAGTTTTAGTTTTATATTATTAAGAAAGAAAGTAGGATATTTGTTAACATTCCTTTTACTTACCTTTCATGTAATCAAAAACTTAAAATTTACTTTTAAATTCGTTCTTTTACTTTAATTTTTTTGCAGATTCTTTTTTGTATTAAACATATTTTGAATTGCAAATATTTTTGCCAGAAAAAACAAATTATTAGAAACAGAGTAGTTGTAATAGTAATTTATTAGAAATATTTTTATTTATTGATAAGTAGAAATTTTATTATTAAGTGTAGTTAAATAATTTTGAATTTGAAAAGAATATATTAGGTTTCTAACATGAAGCTAGCTTGAATCTATTATAAATACTTAATTAATTAATTAATTAATTAAAGTGGAAATTAACTTTTTCTATAAAAAATATTAATTTTTTACTCATTTATTTATTTATTATTTATAATTAAAACAAAAATACTGTATAAAATTATAGCATAGATTTTTTTGAATACTTCTTAATCAAGATGAGCTGCTGCAAAATTTGCTTATTTGAATGGGACGTTGAAAGGACCATTCCTAGAGTACTACTATGTGGACATACATTCTGCGAGGAGTGTATAAAAAACTAGGTTTAAACAAATTTAGTTTTTGTTTGCACTCAATGTTAAGTTCAGTATAATTATTAAAATGTAAGAGATGCACCTATTAACAGGACTCTGCTTGAATATGCCGAAGAAATAAAATAAAAATAAATATATTTATCAGAAAAATAGTCATAATTAGTTGATATCACTAACAATAAAAGCAATTAAGGATAAGGAATGGGAGATTTAATAAAATAGTAACTTTAATATGAAAGTATGAAAAAAGATCATTCAAATAATTTGATGGAAGATATTAATGAAAACTCAAATAATTTCAATTAATAAATGTAATACGCTAAAGCAGATGATATTTGCATGTTTGAAGATTGTAATAACACAAGAGTTTACAAGTATGGCAAAAAATAGGTGTTCTGCGAGAAGTGCTTGAGTAAATGCAGTGCTAACATTTTTAATTAAAATCAAAGCAATGATAACAACTCTAATTCTATGATGACAGCTTATAACGTATCTCCTTTTGTGTACTATTAACAAACAACACCTTCAACAAATTTGTTTTCTACACCTAATAAAAATAATTAAAATACTACTCTATAACTACTGAATTAACAAGGCTTTTCTTCTAATTAATAGTCTTAAGTATAGTAATAAATCCTCAATCCTCAGACTTAGTAAAGTATTCACTTCTCCTCTCCGCCTCCCAACAATTAAAGCTATCATAGAGTGTTATTCTAAACTCCTTAATACAGTTCTAGCAGTATGAATTAATCATAATAAATGAATTAGTCTTATAAAGTAAACTAATTTAATTCTGCAAGTGACTTTAAAAGCAACCCATTAAAAACATAATTATAATTTTGAATAATAAATAAAATAAAAAGCTCTTAATAGAGATTATATCCTTCCTTAAAAAAATATATAAAATTCTTAAAAAACCTTAAAAAGGTATCTTAAAATATTTCAAGCAGATATATCATATACTAATTAAAATTATTTATTTATTTTGCAAGTATCTATTAAAAATGTCAAATTTTGTCAAAGCTATTTTTTTTGCTAAAGGCTTATTAAAAATCTATAAAAATATTTAATCTTAAAAGTGTAAACAAGCATCTTCTTTATTTGTATCAAACAAAATTAATTAACAAATCTAAATACTAAATCAATTATCAAAATTGTCATAATATTTTACAAAAAATTAATAAATTTTTCATTTAATTTTTACATAAATAAAATTTGATTTTTATTTTTGCAAGTTTTTCAACTAAAAAAAATTCTGTGGCTAGAAATTTGTTTTTTACTATTTCATAAAGTAAAATGAATAAATCTCAAAATTATTTCTTTGCATGAAAGCTAAAAATATTTTTTCTTTTTAATTTTTTTAAATTTGCATTTTTAAAATAATTTGTTAAAAAATGAAATAGAATATTTTATTCCTATTATATATTCTGATAAGGAAAAAAAAAGAAATATCAAATAAGAGAAAGCTGATCATCAAAAATATCAAAAAATAAATAAAGCTTTCTCAAAACACCAAATATATCAATCAATAGATTAAGAATTTTTTGTTCAAAAACCACATATTAACAAATTAGCTATTATATTGATTCCTAACAAATAATTAAATTAATATTTACCTAAATAATATTGTAAATAAAGAAATAAAGGAGGAAGGAAGGAAAGAAAGAAGAAAAAATTGTACTTCACTTTAAGGATATAAAAGGAAATTTAGAAAGATACAGTAGAGTTTTTATAACAATTTAAATAATAAGGTGAAAAATGGGCGGTAAAGGTTCCAAAAACAATAACGAAGAGGAGATATAGGAAGGAAAGCCCTTCAATTTCTAAAAGCATATTTCAATATAAGTTGATTAAAATGGTAAATTAATAAATGTTCCAGAAGAATGGAAAAAATATGGTCTAGGCTTAGATATAGATGAAACAAAAACAGTTAAAACTAAGAAAATGCCTGAAGTTGTTAGATTTGAAAATGAACTTCCAGAAAATATTTAGGAATTGATAAGCATGCTTTCTTTGACTGTTTCTAAACCAGAAAATTTTGCAAGAGTCCATCATATTGAAATTGATCCCTCTGCTCCATACGGTCTTAAGGGTTTACCTCCTGAGTGGGAAGAAAGGTAAATAAAAAAGAAAAGTTTTTTTTATAAAAAATAGAATTTGTTTTAAATTTGTATATTGCTATGATGAATTTTTGTTTGAAATAGCAAAAATGAAAATATGTTCAAAAGGAGTTAATTGATATTTATTCATAAAAAAGATTCAAAGTTCAAGGCATAAACACTGAAGAAGTTAAAGAAAATCCACAAAACATGATTTCAATTATTAATAATTATGATCAAGGAATAGAAGCTCCTAAAAAGATTATTCTTCCTACAAACGATGAATTTCTTAAGATAGTTGAAAATATTGGTTTGCAAGAAGATGATCCATCAAAGTTTTACAATTTTGGAGATAAATTAGGTAATAAAAATAATTAAAAATGAGCTCCAAATAAATTCATTAAGAGTAGTTTACTCTGTAAATATAACATTACTCTTCAATCAATTTATTGTTAACTTATTTTTTAAATAAATTATTACTTATCATTTAATTTTATTTTTGTTTTAATCTAAAGGCAAAGGAGCTATGTGTTAGGTTTTCAAAGCCACTAAGAGAAAAACTAAGAATGAAGAATTTGCTGTGAGAGTTATGAAACTAGGTGATGAAGGTTCTATGAACAAGATTAAAATTGAGATGGCTATCATGAAAATTTGTCAACATAAAAATATTGTTAGATATTATGAAACTTTTAAATTCATGAGTTGCCTTTTCATGGTTATTGAATACATGAATGGAGGTTCACTCACAGAAATCATATACTAAAATTTTAAGACAATACCGGAAGATATTATTGCCTATATTCTTAGAGAAATTATTTAAGGTCTTAACTTTATTCATTTGCAAAACTAAGCACACAGAGATTTAAAATCAGATAATATTTTGGTCAATAAGAACGGAGAAGTGAAGGTAGCAGATTTTGGATTTGCTACTTAACTCACACAAGAAAAACAAAGAAGAAAATCTGTCGTTGGTAATTAAATTTAAATTATTTTTATTTAGAAATTTTATATTCTAAAATCTATACAAGACAGATTTAAATTAATATTTATTCTAATAAATAGGTACACCTGCTTGGATGGCTCCTGAACTCATTTTAAAGAAGGAATATAATGAAAAAGTTGATGTATGGTCTACAGGTATTATTGCAATTGAATTAGCTATGGGTGAACCACCTCACTTGAGAATGCCTCCATTGAAAGCTATGTATACTATTTCTAGTAAAGCTCCTCCAAGACTTGACCCTGCAAACTTTACTTAAAACTTTTGTAATTTTGTAGAGCAATGCTTATAAAAGAATCCAGATGAAAGAGCTTCATTTTAGACACTCTTAGAACATCCTTTTCTCAAAAATGTACCTGCTGATGCTGCTTCTAAATTTGCATCAATGGTTCAAAATAAAAAAAATATTCCACTCAATCAACTATTTAACATTCCAAAAGATAAATAGTGATTCATAATTCAATTATAAACTTCAATAAAAATTAAATATATATTTATAAATTATATTTTTCAAATCATTATTAATTGTAAAACTAAATTAATTAATTTTTCTTAGAATGCAATTCATTTATCTCATGTTGAAATATGTTTCATTTTATATAGAAATAACAAATAATATATATTTAGTTTTTTTATAAATAAAAGTTAATAAGTTTTTAAGAAATATTTTAACTTAATTTTCTGAAAAAAGTAACTCCTAATGAATATGCCTCATACATTTTAAAAGGGGGTTTTATGGTATATTTGTCTTAATTAAGCAAATCTTAAAATATATTTATGAATGATTTGAATTATATTCTTTAATTATTAATGGAAATAATTTTATGTTAATTTAATAAATTTAAAGATTAAGCTAACTTATGAAAATAAAATAAAGAACAATAAAATCTTAAATAAAATAATTTTAAATATAAAATATAAAAATAAGTATAAATATTTAGTTTTTATGTATTGTTTATTTCTAATAATTTTCAAATTTTTTCAATTTCTTCAAAATGAATTATATCAATAACTGTTTCAAAAGGAATTTATTTAGTTTGTTTGCCAAACTAAATTGTTAAATAGTAAATACTTTCTGAGTCTAGTAAAAATTCGTTTTGTAACTGATTAATTGAGGTCTTTAATGGAAAATCTAAATATTAAATTTATTTTGATTCAATATCTATGTTCATCTATAAAGTAAATCCTTTTTTTATTGTATAAAAATAATCTCCTTTAACTATATTTCCTCCATGATTAGGACTTTAAAAACAAAAACTCTTCCCTTATTTTGTTAAACTAAGCAATCCATTTAAATTATTTTTATTAATTAAACCAATAATTATATATTTTCCACCTTCATCATTAAATTTAAATCTAATTGTATATTTTTTGTTTTTACTAAGCTCATGTTTAAAATAAATTTCTCCAAAATCTATTTCTTAATTTTTGTAAACAGATATAACATTTTAATTTGAGTGTTATGTAACTTTTATATCCTAAGATTTTGAATCACTACCAAATTATTCTTTTCCACGAAGTAATTTTATTTAATTTTGTTTACTAAAGTAGATATTTGTACTTTTGATTGTTTAAAAAATATCAAAATCTTAATTCTCAGAATTTTTCCATAAGCCTTTAGCAAAGCAATTAAAATGATAATCAAAATCTTAAATTTCTTCATTTAATTTATTTTTAATTAAAATATCTAATTGATTTTACATTTCATTTATATTTTCTCTAAAAAAGTCATATTCTTTTATTTAATCATCTAATTTATTTAATTATTATGAAAACTAAGTTTTTATAGAACAAAAGTTAAAGATTTAAGGAATGTCTTAGTATCTTTTTATTTTTTCAATCATAAGCTAAAATTATAAATTGTTTGACTCTTTTTCTTCATGTTTTTTTTTCAGAAATTCTATCAAATCGCTTTTATATAATTCAATACAACTATCAGAGTTTAATATTTTTTTTAGCTCATCCTTGCTTGAAATCTGATTGTAAATTCTTGAAATTAATTCTTTTTCTACTTTTAAGCTTGAGCAAACATTTAAAACTTCTTTCTTTTTTAACTCAATCGCCTGAAGAATTTCATTAGTTAAATCTTTAAATTAGCTTTCTATTTTATATTCTATATCAACATAATTTTTAAAAAGTTATTTAAGTTCATCAGTAAGCTTTTAATTACAAATAGGTGGCCAATTACTAAAGATATAATCATCTTAGCTATTATTAATACTTTCTATGTTGAGATAATCTTTTATGCTTGAATCTTCCAAAGCGCATTACCCACATCTGAAGATTTCGCTATCCAATCCTTAAAAATTTATTTTAAAATAACTTATTTTATTACCAGTATGTTCTTTACAGTACATAGTTTATTATTCAAATATTTTTTCCATTTTAGTTAGATCTTATACTTAATTAGATTATTTTAATAATTTTTTTCAAATCCTTTTTTTTTGATTTTTTAATTAATATTTTTATAAAATAATAATAAATTATAAAACACTTTTATCTCTTTTCAAAATCTAAAAAATGATTAATATAAGCTTTAATTTAGTTTTTGAGAAGTTTTTTGTAGTCATAAAAAACAAATAATCACTCCAAAATTTAGTTAGAATGCTTTTGATATGTAGCAATTTTTAAATTAATTTTGTAGTTTATTCCAAATAATCAAATTTCTGTAAAACATTTGACTATAAATACTAAAACTTAAAAAAATTTCAAACTAAATTGAAAATAAAATTTTTGTTTAAAACTATTCTTTTTAAATTAATTTACCAAAATTAAAAATACTAAAAACTTTGGAATTATGCATTTTTGTAGTTACTGTATTCATGTTTGAAGCCTAGCTTATTAGGCTTGATATTTATAAACCTAAGTAAGCAATTTTAATTAATAATATCAGAAAATATTTAATTTGAAATTATTTAAGAAATAATTAAAATAATTGTAAAATTTTATTAAAATAGATAATTTTTTTACCCTAGGTTTTTTTATAAAAAATAATTTCTAAATTATCATTATTTATGAGAAATAAAATTCAGGGTGCTAAAATATGTTTTTCAAATAGTTAAAAGTAAAAATGTAAAATTTTTAAGATAATAATTAAGAATATTAGAATAAATTTTAATGTTTTATGTCTTAAAAAATATAAAAATTAATGTTATTTTAATAAATTAATGAAATTTATTAATATTGATTCTTTAACTATTAACTAAATATATTATTTATAAATTTTATTTTACTATAATTGGTAAAGGTAAACAAATGAAATAATTGACTATTATAATACATAAATATACTATAGGAGAGTTAAATTAATTTTATATGATAATATATTATCGATTAATACTCTTCTGACTCTTGAGATCTTTTAATTTAAAGTAAATTTATTTATAGGGTCTTTAATAAAATTTAAATGCAAAAATGAATTTAATTTAATTCTAAATTTGCATTGAATAATAATATTATATTATACTGCTCTTTTTAATTATGTTTGCCTAGTGATGTTAAATTATATTTGTTTGAGTGTTATTCTATATATTTAGATATTGATGATTAATGGTTGTAATTAATTGAAGAGAAATTTAGTAGAGAAGGTAAAAATATTTGGTGAAACAAATTATTAAAATTAAATAATAGATTCTATAAACAAGGTATAGTGTGTGAGTGAGTGAGTGAATGAATGATTGAGTAAGTAAGTGAGGGGTTTCAAATAAATATTTGCAGAATTTTTATAAATTTTCACAGTAATATTTATTGACCTATTGATTGATATGATATTTCAGTTATTAGAAAGCTTTGATTGTTTTCTGACAGAAGTGTTACCAGCAGTACGAGGAGGAGTTATTTTGCTGATTCCTTGCATTGAATTAACACCAGAAATATCAGTAGTAGTTTTGCACTTACTACAATACCAATCATCATCAATATTAAAATCATCTTCATCTGGAATTACACACTTTTAATGATACCAATCTTTACATTTATCGCATTAAATAAAGTTTGAATCAATTACTTTTTTACAAAAACAATATTGTTTCGACTCTTCTCTATTTGATGATGCGTATTTGCTTTTTGTTTAGCGTTTACTGTATTTTAATTAGTCAATATTTGTAGAGCTTCCATTTAATTTTCCATTTTATAAGTAGGGTGTTGTACTATTATTGTTACTAGCATATTGGTGTGAATAGCCATGGTTCTCTTGAAATGAGCTGTTTAAACTTCCACCTCCTTACTGTTTTGTTGGACTGTTCAAGTATGAATCAATATTATCATTTGCTTCTTTAATTTTTTGGGCCTTTTTTTCTTCATTCTTTTTCTTTTTCTTGAGCGAAGACGGTACAAGCTCATTCTCCTTTTCCAATTAAGGTGGTATAGGTGATTAGTAAGCCATGTTCGCCTTTACTTATGGGTTTTCTTGCAAAAATCTTTTAGTTTCGTTGTTTAATTCATCATGTTAAATCTAAATTTCTTGATAGATTTAATCTGCTACTTTGCATTTTTCTTCAGAAAGATGATAGTATTCAGTTTGTGTTTTATCTATGCATTCTATTAACTTTTTTTACTCTTCATTAAAATTGCATGATTTCTTGTTTGCAGGAATTCCACCACTAGCTTGTAAGCTTTTTAATAGATCTTATTGGAATTATTCAAGTAGTTCTCTTGCTCTTGAAGCTCTTCTGTCTAACTCTTAAATCAAACGTAAATTACGATTAACTTCAAGAGGTAAATAATGAATTTTTTCTATGTAATCATCAAGATATGACATTTATTCTTGGATATTGGAATAGTTTTTTATAAGAATGCTAGTAATCTATCTATTTATGACTTTAGTTGGATGGCTTAAAGCTAATTTATTGAATTTTGAATTATTTTTTTGTTCCTATTTATTTATTTGTTTAATTGTTTTGTTTTCCGATCTCTTTAGTAAAATTGATAAAGGATGTGAGGTCTTCTTCAAATAAATAGTTAGCAAAAGATAATGATAAAATATTAAATAAAAGCAAAAATAAAGAAATTAATTAATTAGAGTCCTAAATGAACGTATCAATTAAAAAATTAATAAATGAATTTAAAATATTTGATAGGTTCAATTGCATGCAACCATTTTTATTTTAAATGGCTATTGTCTTTCAAAAAAAAAAGTCATTTTATATTTAATTGTTTTATTATTAAAAGTATCTTTATTGATGTTTTCCCAATCAATTTCAGATAAAATGTTGCAATTTATTGATTTTTAAAATACTAGCTAAAATAATAATATAAGATAATACAATTATTATGTTTTTATTTGCATTTTATAACTTAACTACTTTTTATCAGGAAATCAAAATGATTAAATTTAAATTAATTATCAAATTAATAAAATAAATAAATAATTTTATTATACTAATTAATATTTATGCTAAGTAATTTTTAGTTTTATAAACTTAATTAATATAAAATAATAGTTATTATTAACTAAAAAAAGTAGAATTTTAGTTAGAGGTGAAATTTTATTGAAATTTCTTTATATATAATATAAACCCTTAAAAATTTGTATACTTTTTATGATAAATCTTACTATTATTTATTTTTATTGTAGCTAAAACAAATAGAAGGAATTCTAGTTTTTAGATAGGATATTTAAAATGCAAAATTATGGTACAACATATTTGATTTATGTATGTATGTATAATTTGCGAGAAAGATTATTAAAACAAAACAAAAAATTTTAATAAAGAAATGATAAAGGGATAAAAATTTACTCTTTTACTCATTTAAAAAAGGTTAACAACATAATTTAAGCTTAAATTGGCATTCTTGCTTAAACTAATAAAAGTAAAACTAGCTTTTTAATAGAAATCTTTATAAATAACTTATTATAATTAAGTATTATTTGATTATTATATTATATTTTTTTATTAATAAATAAGTTTATCAATAATAAATACATTTTTCCAAGTAATTAATTAAATAAGTAAATTATAAATTAGGTAGATTATTTTTAGTATTTAATTCTTAAAGAGGAATACTCTTTGATATTTAATCTTAAAAATTTGGCTCTAGTGATATAGATTAATTATTTATTTTAATCAATACTTGATTGATTGAATTTGATCATAATTTTAAAAAGTTAAAATTTTATTGTTTTTTATATTAACCATCAATTTTAATAATAAATAACTACAACTCCTACATTATTTTTAGCTGATAATAAATTTATTTTGTTTAATGATATATTTTTGAAAAATAAATAGTTATTTTCAATTTCTAAAAAAAACATAAGGTTTCAAAATAAAATTAAAATATTTTAATCTTAGTCTTTAAGCACGTAATAGAGACTTATTTTTTATTAGGGTAAAATGACATGACATATTCAGATCAGAAATTCTTTAAATAGTAGTACTAATTTTTTGAGAGTAAAGAATTTGGTAGGGTAGATAAATTTTTTATTTTGTATTTAATAATAAGCAATTGACTCAAATATAAGGTAAAAATGAATAAAATATACTGTCGATTCCTAACAAAAACCCTCTAAATAAATGACAAAAAATAAATTTGTAACTTAAAATATTAAAAGACTCTTAAACACCAAATTAAAAGAGCTGTTAAAATATCCATATTATTATTATTATTTATTTTGATGGAATATTCAACTTTGAATCAAATTTATCTTCAACTTCTTTGATCATTTCAGCTTTTTTTTCTACTTCTTTTTCACTATTTTTTTTTGGAGCCATTATACTATTAGCTTATTTTTATTCTCTAATGAAGGTGGTATAAGATCATTAAGCTTTATTCTCCTTAATTTATAGTTTCCTTATGAAAATATCTTGGTTTCGTCGTTATTAATTCATCATTTTAAATCTAAATTTGATAAATTTAATCTGCAGCATTGATTGCCTTTTTTTCAGAAAAATGAGAGTAAAAGTTTTAATTTAAAATAAATAATTAAATTGGTATTTTTTATTCTTAACTAAAATTTCATGATTATTTGTTTGAAGACATCAACTTCATGCTTGCAAGTTTTCAATAAATCATATTTGATTTATTTTTTAGTAGTTTTATTTCTTTTCATTTTTATTTATCTTACTCTTAAATCAAACTTAAATTACAAAAAAATTGAAGAAGTAAAAATGAATTTTTTTTATATCTAATTATAAAGAAGCTACATTTATTTTTGTAATATTGGATTACTTGTTTTTTAAGATGATTGTAATATCTAAAACTGTGACTCTAGCTAATTTACTTAAAGCTTTTTATTATTTTTTGAATATTATTTGTTACTATTTATTTACTTTTCAATTATTCAGTTTTCTTATCTATTTAATAAGTTTTTTAAAAGATGTAAAATATTCTTCAAATAAATAGCTGACATGATAAAATCATAAAATTTTAAATAAAGACAAAAATATAAAGAAATAGACATTCACATGCACATGTGAATAATTTAATTATTCAATTAAAGAGTGCGTATTAAGTATTTGCTAAGATTAATTACTATCATTTTTACTTTAATCATTTATTTTAAATTATAAATTATTGAAAATGAATTTCTTACTCTATTTACTAGCAATAATTTATTTGACATATATTAATTTTTTAGAAAGAAATAAATATATTTGTTTAATTTTTAACGGGGGGTTTTTCCAAGAACAAATAAATTTTAATTATTTATTTTTTTCTTAATTCTCCCCTCTTATATGTTATTTTGAGGAATATTAAATAATTTACCCCCTTTATTTAAATTTTTGGAGAGTTTTAACACTAAGTACTAGTAATAAGAAAAACATTTAAGGAAAATTATGATTTAAAATAACTAATAGTAATTAATATTAATCCCTTTAATGAAATGCTAAAATTTTTTAAAAAAATAATAATAAATTAATTCAAACTAAAAAAAATTACAATAAAAAAACTGAAGGAAAAAAAATGACATAATTGACTTTTAATTTTTTAAAGGTAGCTTTATTCCCTATCTTGCTTATCTATGTTAATTGTATAGGGTGCCCGTTTTGGTAATCTTACGCATCAAGCCATAGTCAGCCAGTTCAAAAAATACTTCTTCTTAAATCAAATCCATAAAATGACTAAGAAGATATTGCCGCCATGATTGTTAGTCCTTTTGCAGTTGGAATTTTTAATTTAAAAACAAATTAATAGTATGATCTAGCTGTAATAAGAGAACCTATAGTATTTTATTAAGTAGATAAAGATGATAGATCAGCTTTAAAAATTTCTCTCTTACACACTTTAGACTCTAATGGCAGAGTAATTGATTGGAACCCTCTAAATGGTTTGAAGTAAAACACAATCTAGATTCCAAAGAATATTACGATAAGCTAAGATTCTTGCTTAAACTCATAAGAAAAGCTAGTTTTTTCATGGAACACTACTCATGTAAATTTTTATTACCTAAAAATATTTTTTTTGATGTAAATACTATTTATCATAAAAAGATGTTCGCAATTGATTTTTCATAATAGTTGAGTCAAAATTAAGGCATTTTTGTATAAGAAATTAATTTTTAGAGGAAATTAATTAAATGTATAAATGATAAACCTAATAGGCGATTTTTACTAATTGATTCTTAAGGAGGGATAAGATCATTTGATATCTAATAATAAGTTTTGACTTTGTTGATATAACTTGATTAATTTAATTAACTTTAATCAATATTTCCCTCCTTGAATCTAATCGCAATTTCTTATTTACAAAATAATAAATAAAATTTTGTAGTTTCTTACAAAAATTCATAATTACTATTCTAGTAGTAAATAAGTTCCATTCCAGTCTAGATTTTAATAAACAATCAGGAAGACCAATTAATACTAATTGGATAAAAAAATTTGTTTTAAGTGTGGTAAATAAAATAAAATAGTCTCATTTATTAGGCAGACTTTTAATCTATCAAATGTGATTTTAGAGATTCTATCTTCAACTAAGTAGATAGTGTTATAAACTTTAAATTTGGATCTGTTAGCAGGAATAATGAGGTCATCGCAATTTCGGATAAGTATGTATTTGCCTTTAATCTAGATAAGTAATAACCCATCATTTTCAAAAATTAAAATTTTGGATTTAATTTTACACAAGGATATATGGTAGGTAGTAAAATAGCTATAAGTAATGATTAAAGTGTAACTATACTAGATACAGTGACGCAAAGATTTAATTATGTTACTAATTATTATTTTCCGACATAAACAAATTATGATGTTATTGAAAAAATAGAAGTAGATGTAGACTTAAATAGGTATAAATATATTTATATTTTTGTATAAATACATTAAATAAATTCTTTTATGATAAAATTATTTAGGATAATCTTTGTCAATCATAATGGAATGATTTTCATTTGGTCATATTTTGATAGCACATTTGAAAGATTTATACCTCTTTTAAATAGTGATTCAACTTTTTTTATTGATAAATAGCTTAATAAAGTAATCAAATTAATTAATTAATTATTATCAACTTACTTTAAATCTTTTTTAAAACATTATTTGAATTTTAATAAAGTGTCACATCATTCATTCATTAATTATTTTAAAAAAATTTTTTTAATATAAATAAACACAGATAAGAAATTTATTTTCTAATAATTCATTTTTATTTTATTGATAACTTTTATATTTTTTTATAGTTAGTTGTATTAGGCGTTTCATTTGGAATCGGTATATACTCAAGTTTTAGTGTAATCCTAGATTATATAAATTTGACAGTAACAGATATTCTTAGGATACCTTTTTAAAATCCTATAGTATAAGAACTAGGTTATGTTTAAGATAAAATAAATGGGTATTTAATTGGATACACAAAAATTACAACTCATTATATGATATTTAGATTTCAAAAAGATAATAACCATACTTTGATATTTAATGGAATTTTTCTTAAAAATTCTAATACTAATCTGCAAGTTTAAAATGTATTTTTAATTGAAGGGTTGCAGTAAATACTGCTTTAGATTTCTAATAATCTATTCCTTTTCAATTATTTATATTAAGGAGATTAGTTTAACAGTCCTCTACTAATTTAAGGTTTATAAAATCCTATTTAATATTATTATTTTAATGCAGTTACTCTAAATCTATATATCATTTAACAAACATAAATTTTGGTAAAATAAATGATTTAATAAAATATTTATTCAATTATTTAATTTAAAATAAAAAAAGATTTATGCTTATACCTAGAACCAATTTTAGAGCTATAAACAATTCGATATCTAGTAATCCAAAAATCCAACAAGTATTTAGTTTATAGAAGGGTTACAAATGATAATTTTCTTTACTGATTAGAATATAAATTTCTATTAATACGCTGTTAATACAACACTTATATTTAACCTATAGAGTTAATCAATCATTTAATATGTGATAGATGAATCTAAATCTCTTTTGATTACGATTAACAGCTAATATTATTTATATGTTTTGAACATAAAGGATGGAACTTTACTTTATTCTTAGGTGCTTGAATTCAATAATATTCTAATGTTTAACATATATCCTGATCAATAAATAGTTACAATAAGTAGCATAAATGGAAAAACCATAATATTTAACTATATTAAATATACCCTTTAGGGTATCTTAAATTATCAAAAAAATTAGGCACAATATTTTGATTCGTAAAACAAAAATCTTATTATGATGTCTGACGTTAACGTAATTTTATTAATTTGTTTGACTTTATATCTCATTAATTAACCTAACAACTTGTTAATAATATAGGTATTAACTAAACCTCTTCAAAGCTTAGGTTTGATAAATCAGTTTTTTATGGGAATAATTACTAACTACTACTTAGAGAAGTAAAGTAGCCTTTTATTTATTTTGTCTAATTAAGTTTAAATTTACAATTTCAAAACATAAGAGTATCTCCCACCATTTCCAAGCATAGATATTCAAAAAGCGCAATATATATATGCAATTTCATCATAAGATTTGATTTTTATTCAATTTAGTTCATAAGGTAATTCAACAATTTCTATGTATAAGCTAAGTACGTATTCATATTTAAGAGACATTGATTTTTCTTATACAATATGCTAAAATCTATAGTTTTTAAGTTATGATGAAAATTTAAATAGATTATTCGCTGGCTGTATCCCATGGAATGTAATTGTTTGGGATATTAATTAAAATTTTAAAATAACAAATATTATTGCCTTAAATAACCCTTTGCAAATATAATTTAACATAAAGACTAAAGCTATTCTGGTTTCTCAAGTATCATTAAATATATTAGATATTTTTATCATTAATAGCAAATCATGTTTTTTTTTAATTTAGTACACATGGTTCATATCTCGTCTTGATTACAACACACTTGCAAAGCAAGCTACTATAAATGGAATATTTTCAGATTTTGATTATGAAAGAGGTCTTTAATTCACTTGGGATGTAAAATATATTTTTTTATATAATTTTAATTTTAATAATGTAAACTTAAGTAAAATGGAGATATAAGACTTTATGATCCAAATTCTAAAGGATTTGCTTTTTAGCATGCACATTAAGGTTGGATTAATTCAGCAATAATAGACAGTACTAATATGATTATTACTACAATTGGGTAAAAATACAAATATTATATTCTAATTTTTTCAAATTATTCATTTTTAGATATTTCTCATGATAATTATGTGCAGAAATTATCTGCACGAATTTTTAGAGGATCATTATGTATATAGTTTTTAGTTTTTGTAGGTTCTAAAATGATATTCTACCAAGCAAATAATATTTATTCAAAATTAATGTTTTTTTTATTAATTTAAAGTGGGAAGGTTTTTAGAAAAAAAATTTTATTTGTAAAATCTTCGCCATAGTAATAAACAATACGTTTTTGTGCACATAAAACAAACATAGTGTTTATTGTGCGCCCCTATAATATATCCTAATCTGTTTATCATTTTTAATCTTTAATTATTTTAAAAATAAATTTAGATTTTCTTTTATTTAAATCTATTAATGAAAATATTAACTTTTTTTATAAACTTAGAGATGATTTTAAAATAATGACTTGGAACTATACGGCTTTTAATATTTTTTAATAAATGTATACATTATTTAAATTTAAATTTAAGTTTTTAATTTATTTTTTTATTTTTTTAAAGCTCATCGCAAACTCTTAAGGGATAACTTAAAATATAATTTTTAGATAAAGATAACAGTAAAATATACGCAGGTGATGCTAATGGAATTATTTATCAATTAAGCTATCCTGATTTGACTCTAAATAATATGATTTAAGTATATTAAACTGAATTGGACATGTTATTTATAGACTTTAATCTAAATATTCTAATTTATGGTTCATCTGTAGGAAAAGTATTTGGTTACTACAATTTGATAGAATTTATAGCACCTTATGCTTATTAAAATTCTCAAACCAAATTAGGTAAATTCTAAAAAATGTTAACTTTCATTTTAATGATAATATGCATTTTATAAAATAGGAGTTTTATCTGTTTTGAAAACTGAAAAAGGACTTTTATTTCATTAAAGTTAAACAGGTGTTTAGTTATGGAATGAATCTAGTTCGTAGTTATAGTTTGGATTTTATGTTTACTCAGACAGCAATTAATTTTATTCCTATACTAAATTTTTAATTTTACAAGGTTAAAAAAAGAGGGCTTGTTTGATTATACCATAGTAAATAATATTTTTTGATCTTGATACTTTAGATGTCTTAAACATCAACTTATAATATTGTGCGAAAAGTATTTAGCTTCCTTCATTTCTAATCTGCTCGCTTAAAAACTAATTAACTATAATAAAACTTGATGATTATACTACATTACAGACAATTGTTTAATAAGATATCTAATTTACTATCAATATCTAGAATATAGATAATAAAAATTCTTTTTTTGTTACAACAACTCAAGGAGAGGTTATTTGCTATAACTTTGATCAAGCAACAAATTAATTTTAATAATAATTCTATTCAAAATTGCTTGACAAAGGCATTTCTAATTACTTATTTATAATAAAAGATAATTATTATTATATTTTAATTACGTCCTTCACAGGATAATTTGGCTTTCTTTAAATTTCCTAATAACTAATTATTCAGACTTAAAAATTGATCAATTTTTAAGGTACATCTTCTCATGCTCATAAGATTGTGCATTATAATGATATGGTATATTTATTTATATATTTTTGAATTTAATTAAAAAAAATAATTTAAATTAAATATAAAAAAATAAATAGGTTTATATAAAGAGAGTTGGTGATTTATATTTGAGTATCTATGGATTATAATAATTTAATTTGATAAATAAAATATCTAGCCCTTGTATGGGCTACGCATATAAATTTGACATGAGTACAGATTTAGATATTATTTTATAACATTGTGTTGGTATATATTAAGTAAATGCGCTTTCGAGTAACTAATATTTAGCTTCAGGAAGGTTCACTAATCAAGTAAAACTGTCAGATGTATATACGCCAATTTAAAATTAAATAATACTTATAAACAAAAACTATTTTATAGACGTTTACAATCTTCAAATATTGATTTACTAAATAGATTATGCTAAGGCTAAAGTTATTATGTTGGGAAATTTTTATTATCCAGAAAAGTCAATAGGTTAAATAGCTGATTATTTAATATTTTAAGATTAAAAGAATACCTACGTCCAACTCATACTCTATTCTTTTACTAATGTAGGAAAAATCCAACTACCAATTAGTGGAGAAAGTATCTGTTAAGAAAAAATTGCATACGAACAGTTTACAGAAACCTTGTTTTAAATTTAAATGATTTTTCAGCGAATTTAAAGCTATTATATAATTTAAAAGCTAATATTCTAATTAACTATTGTTTAAGAGATGGTTTTATAGCCGCTACCTTAATCCACATTTTCATTAAACACTGAAATAGATATTATATTTTAAATACCAGGTAGATAAAGTTTTGAAGTTTAGAAAGCATATATTTCTGAAAATCTATTTCAATCCTTTAATGGATACTTTTAAATCAGCTTGATAAACCTCTTCCTTGAGCCAGTGATTAGATCAAATAATATTCTCATATACTCAATTTAGAATATTACCTAATTCTAGCTGGTTAATATCTAGCTTTCATCTTAAGTATTCTCAACGTTTTAAATATAGCAAGTTTAGTCCGTTTTATTTGATAGACTACACTTATAAGGCATAAATATAATAAGCAATAAGCCATTTATTTTATTTAGTTTTACTTAAGTTAAAAATATCAACTTCTAATAAACACTTATAACATAATCATTTTTTACCAAAGTAATTTTATTTTATTTTGAAGGTGATATAGATGATACTAATCCCTCAAAAATATTAATTACTAATTTTGTAGTTGACAATTCATCATTTATATATGATCAAGATGATCAAAATTCAGCTCCAATTGTAATTAAAAAATTCAATGAAGTAAATTTAAGTTAATTTACTGCCAATCAAAATAAAGGTTCAGCTATCCCTCTTTTAAAAGGCTTTATAATAGCAAAATATACCTTACAAGATATATTCTTTATGAAAAATGAAAATACTATGCTTTTTCAATATTAAAATAGCATATAAACTTTCCAAAATGATTTAGAAATAGTTCAAAAAAAAATAACAGATGAGGTAGATATAAAAAATTTATAAATCTCAAATAATAGAATTAATTAACCATCTTTGTTCCCTCTTTTTTCTATTACAGCCTCTTAATTGCAGATTAACGAAATTTTTGCTGAACTAAATTTTGCTACTTCTTCTAATCCTAATTCACTATTTAATTTCTAGCCAAATAATGTAATAATGACAAATGTTACTTTAAAAGAGAATTAAGGTAATTAAAATCTTTTTACGATATAAAATACATCTCAAGGAAGTATTAAAAATTTGACTTTACTGAGTAACGTAGTCAATTCTGTTTTATCAATAAGCCAATCTTAAATTACAATTTCAAATGGATAATTACAATAAAACTAATCAAAATAAACTAAATTGTAAACTTCTGTTTTTAATATTTTACAAAATTCTAACATTTTTATGAGTAATTTCAAATTTGAATAAAATAAATCAAATAATGGAGGATCAATATTAGTATCCTAGAGCTAATTATTTATAAGCGAATGTTCTTTTTCAGGAGATAATAGTTATGCTAGTGGAGGTTCAATCTTTTCATAAAACTCATAATTGACTATTTACTAAAGCACATTTGAATAATGTTCTTCTTAGGTTGGAGGATGCCTGTATGTATAAGAAGGATAACTAAACATAACTTAATGCAATTCTCAAAATACAATTGCAAATTAATCAGGTGGATTTTTATATATTGGCTCGGTTGATCAATTTATTTTAGAAAATATAAACGTCTTTAACAGTGTATCATAAGGCGATGGTGGATCTCTGTATATTTCACAGTCTATTGGAGCAAATTCTATTATTAAAAATAATACTTTTTTTAACAGCAAAGCAAAAGGGTAAACAAATTTTCTTCGATTTCTTATTAATTTGATTTACTATTTATTAATCCAAATAAAAATTTTATAAAAAGGAGTGGAGGTGCTATATTTTTAGATAATTCTAATTTCTAGATAGTTTAATCCAAATTTGTGAGTAATAGTGCTGGTATAGGAGGTGCAATAAGATACACAAATTTAAAGCCTTCTTTTATGATGAAATCAAATAAAGAGGATAAAGACTCTTGCAATACATACTAAAATAATAGTTGCTAAGAGAACTCGGCTATCATATTTGGTAATTCAATAGCTAGTTATCCTACAACAGCTTTAATACTACCAAGTGAACGTTTCAATGTTCATTCTGATTTCCCTTATTTTAGATTTAGTAACTTTTAAAGCGGATTAACTAACTTTGATCTAACAATTGTTTTTTTTGATGAGTTTTCTGCTCCTATCAATTAAATTGATATGTAAAATTAATGTAAAGTTTTTATCTTTTATATTAATTAAATTTTAGAGTTAAATTGTTATTTTTAAAGCTATAACTAGTTAATTGAGTTCAGATTTATTAAAGGAAATCAGTTAATATAGCTGTAGAGCTTATTTAGAATAGTAAAATGCAATCTTATAAAATCAGACTATTAAACTAGATGGTGCAACTCTAGCAGAATACTAATATAATAGCAATAAATAAGTAGGTTGTTTTTTACATAACTTTAAAATCACTGGAGTTCCATCTTCAAAATCATCTATGAGACTTTAACTTAATGGAATGAAGGCAGTGAATAAAAAAAATTAATTTGAAGATGTTGATAATATTTAAGTTGATATTTAATTTAGAAGTTGCAAAACTGGAGAAAATTATAACGAAATTTGTTAAAACTGTTTAATGAAAGAGTGTGTTGAATGTTAAAATGGAACATATTCATTAATTTATCCTACTGAAAACAAAAAAAACGAATGTAAGAGCTGTGATATGTCATAAGCCTATTCTTGCTTTGGAGATTAAATTTTGTTAAGAGAAAATTATTGGTAATTTAAAAAAATATTTATATTTACATGTTAATTTAACAAATTTTAATAATTACTTCATTAGCATTAAAATCAATTTTAATAAGTAGTAAAAATATGTATGAAAAAATGTTAATGAAAAGAATTGAAAATTTTATTATTTTATTAAACAAATAATAGATTAGTTCTGAATTTATAAGTTTATATAAAATATTTTTAAAAATAGGAGAAAAAGCAATGATTCAGATATAATATATAAGTGTGATATAATAGATAATTCTTGTAATGGTAATGCATAAAAAGGCTACTGTGCAGAAGGATATGTAGGGCCTTTGTGTTCATTTTGTGACATTTCTGGAAAAGTATGGGGAGAATCATACTAATTTGATAATACTGTGATAAATAATGGAATTTAATGTACTAAATGCTCTTTAAGTTCATCTTTTTTATTTAAAGAAGTTGTAATATTTTTAGTAATAATACTATATTTGATTTTCTTAGTAATTTAATCCCAAGATAGCAACTGTAAGGTATGTGCTATGAGAATATTATAATCTCTTGATTTATTATATCTCGGTGTTTCATCATTTTTGTCTGATAATGAGGTTATATCTAAAATAATTATTAACTAATTTCAAATACTTTCTACATTAAAGTATAGTTTAGGTTTGAACATTTCATAAGCTTTCTCAAGTTTTTTAACTATTCCTTAGGCTGCATCTTAACCTATCAATTAGTTCACTTATTCATTTGACTGCTTTTTTACAAAACTAAATTTAAAGATACCTATCTAATATTTTAGATTTATGTTTCTCTCTATCATATTCCCCATAACATTAATCATTTTCTTTTTTATCTTTGTATATATCATTCTATCTACAATATAAGGATTTTCTCCATAGTAATATTTCTTTTATAAGACTAAGTATATCAGATTGAATGTACTAATAAGCATGTTTACAGTCTTTTCTTATATTGCTTCATAAAATATTTATTAAACTGCTCTTCAAAGTATTTTCTGTGAAGAATTCGGCGGAACTTATTATATGAAGAGCTAAATGGATTAAATTTGCTATACCGAAGAGCACTACTTTTATATTTTAATCCTTATAGGTCCTGTTCTATTCATAGTAACTATAATATATCCATCTACAATGTTTTTAATCCTTTATCGAAACAGATTTAAATTGTTTGACCAAAAATTAAAGTAGATTAATATAATCAGAAGGTATGGATATTTATTTAAAGGATATAAAAAAAATACATGGTGGTGGGAAATATTGAAAACCTGGTATAAATTTATAGTTATCTTATTGGCTACATATTACAGTTCCTCTATTTTAATATAGATATAATTTATCATATTCCTGCAATTAATATATCTCTATTTGCTTATGAAATATTAACCCTACCAACATTCAAAGATGAATAAATTAGAAAAAAAATCTGTGATATACACACTGCTGATATTTTAAATTTCGATTATTTACTATTATAATTAAGACACTATAGTAGCTAAATTTGCATAAATAGGATTTGTTTTCATATTTACCATTTTGTTTGGTAATATATTTATAATAAAAAGTTTACTATTAATTTATTTATTTATTTTTTTTGAAATAGGGAGACTATTTTTTAGTATTTTAGAAGTTCAATTAAGATTAAATTTCTATTTATTCGAAAAAACAAAAAGAGTAAGATAATTCTTAAGAAGATTACTTTTACCAAAGTCAGAAAATGGATTTAAATTTTTTTTAAAAAATTATTTATTCTAAAATAATTGGGGCTTGTATAATATAATATACAAAAAAGATTATAATCCTTATAGAGTTTTTAGCAAGTATTTATTTCACTTTACTTACAAATTAATTTTTAATTTAATAATTTTTAAATAAATAAACATATAATTAATTAATTAATTTTTATATTTTTAAATTTATTTTTAATTCATTAGCTGGAAAAAAGTTAGAACTGCTTTTTAATTGAGAAAAATTGAATAAATTCCAAAGTAGAAGCTTAGTAATGAAAGCTCGAATAGCCAGAAGATGATAATTTCTATAAGTAATTATGTTGACCCTTTTTAAGGTTTAAAGTATGGTTAATGTAAACCACAGTTTATTTAAGAACAACTTTAAAGTATTTAACAATAATAGATTAATTAAAAAAGTTCTCAACAAGCATTTCAGCATTCAAATATTTTTTTACCAAAATAAAAAAATAATGTTCCAAGTTATGTTTCAAATTTTCCTTCAGCTGATATAGCTAATTTGATACCTTAAATTGAATTATCTAAATAAATACCTAAAGTTGAATTACCTAATTAAATTCCTAAAATTGAACTATCTAATTAAATACCTCAGGTTATTTAAAATAATAACAAAGAAATTACAGGAAAGAAAAAAAAGCACTTTTACAAATTAAAATGAAATAGTTATCAATTAATTACATATTAATTGAAAATAGCATTTAATGCAAGATATAAGATATAGATAATTAATACAATAAAATAAATAAAAAATTAAAATATTTATTTTATTTTGTATATTATTTTTTTTTTATTAATTGTATTTTTTTTAAGCTCTTTATTAAAATTAAAGCAGTAATAATAAAAATATAAAAGTCAATAAAAATTTTAGGTTAAAGCTGATCATATTTTAATGAAACTGATTTAGCTAAATTTTTAATTTATTTTATTTTTAATTATTTTTGATATCCATAATTCAGTAATTCATATATAATTAAGATGCTAAGGAATTAATACAAATTTCTCAACATTTATGCAATAAAAATACTCAATACAATAAAAATTAATATGATTTAAATTGACAATTAAAGAAAAATTTTAATGTATTGGAGCTTAAAGGATTTAAAATTTAACATTATTTACTAATTTTATAAAGAATATATATTTATTTAAATCTATTGATTTTTCAACTTTATCAATTAAATAAACAATTTTTATAATCTAGATAAATTAATTGATTTCAACAATATTTTATTTAATACCTTTGTTTATCTTATTACTTTTATGTGAAGAAGTGAGATAAGGACAACAATCAATTCTAATAAAAATATTTTTACTAAAATTATTTATTTTTAACTACTTTTAATTATTAATTAGCAATAATTATCCACAATAAAAAAAAGCTTTCTAATATTTTTGAGTGTTAAGAAAAAATGAACAAATATTTTTTTGATAATCAATTTCTTAATTTAAAGATATTCTCTTATATAAAAATATTGTTATAAAAATATACTCAAAATATTTCAATATCTATTTTTATTTATAAAGATTTAAGATAATTTTACAAAATTTTATTTATTTAATAACAAATGCTTACAAAATTCAATTCAGCATTACCATCTACTTCTTTAATTATTTGAATATTTTTTCTTAATTTATGTTCTGTTTTTGAGCCAAAAAGGTGTTATCTAATTCTTTTTCAGATTAAGATGATATTCGAGATTAAAAGGCTCTTTTCTTCTTAGTTTATTTGTTTTTTTGTAGAAATCTCTCGATTTCGTTTTTGATTCATCATGTTAAAATTGCATTTATTGATAGATTTAATTATTTATTTTATTTTTTAATTAGGGAGACTTTTTTTCAGTATTTTAGAAGTTCAACTCAGACTAAATTACTATTTATTATAAAAAATAAATGGAGTAAGATAATTCTTCAGAAGGAACCTTTAACCAAAATCTAAGAAAGGAATTAAATTTTTGTTAAAAAAATATTTATTCTAAAGCCACTGGGGCTTATATAATATTATATACACAAAAGATTATGATCCTTATAGAGTTTTTAGCAAGTATTTAACTTTAAAATTAATATTTTTAAATAAAAAACTATTAAATTTTAATTTATATTTAATATTATTTCTAATTTATTAGCTGGAAAAAAGTTAGAATTGCTTTTTAACAAAGAAAAATCTTCTTAATCTCAAATTAAAAGTTAAGCAAGTTGATGTAAAAGCAGAAGATGATCATTTCTATAAGTAATTTTGATGACCCTTTTAAAAGTTTAATGTATGGTTAGTGTAGACCAAAGTTTGCTTAAGAAGAACATATAAGTTTTTAACAACAAGAGTTTGATTCAAAAAATCTGCTTCAAATATCTCAGCCTAAAATATTTTTTTATCAAAATATGGATAAAACCTTCATAGTAATATTTTAAATATTTCTTAAATTGAACAATCTAATTTGATGCCTCAAATTGGTTAAAATGGTAACAATTTAGTAAAGGCAAATAAAAAGAAGCACTTTTACAAAATAAGGTGAAAGAAATTATCATCATAATTAATTTATTTCATATGAAGTAAAATATAATTATTAGCTATGTTAAAAATAGATAAGTAAATGCAACAAAATTGATTACAAAATTAAAAGATATATTTATTTTGTAATATTTTATATTTTTATTTATCATAATTTTATTTTTTAAGCACTTTAAAATAATTAAAATAACTCAAAATTTTAAAAATAAAAATTTCATTTTATTTAGAAGGGTTTATATTTTTTAAATATTCTTAATTTTTAAATAAATTTTAAATAATTATGTCTATGCATATAATTCACTTATTTACTTTTCATAAAAATTGCAGGAATTTATAGAAATTCAAACTTTTGCTTTCAGAATTTTTAATAAATCTTTTTAAATTACTGAAGGAGTTCTCTTGCTCTTGATACTCTTCTGACTAAACCTTATATCAAATAAAATTACATTCAACTTCAAGAGTTAAATAATCAATACTTTGATCATCAGCATTTTACATTTATTTTTTGGCTGATGAGAATCTTTTTTACAAATAAATTTATAGTCTTTATATTTATTATTATATTTGAATGAATTAAGCTAATTTATTTGACTTTGATTTCTTTGTGTAGTTAATATTTTGCTTTTTAAACTCATTGATTTTCTATCTTTGAAAAAAATGTAAGGTCTTCTTTTGATAAATTGTAAAAAAAATACAATTATAAATATTAGATAGTAATAATTATTAATTAAAAATCTCATATTTATATAAAAGAAAATATAAATTAATTGAAGAATTGATAATAAATAAGTATTTGTTAAGGATAAATAGCTATCATTTTAATATTAAATGAAAATAATCATATTCTAAAATATAAATCGTTGAAAATTAATAACCTTATTAAGAATAATTTATGAGGGTAATATTGATATTTGTGAAAAGATAGATAAAATTGAATTAATAAATTAAATATTAGTTTCAGAAAATAAATCTTTTTTTATAATAATCTGAATCTCTTCTAAAATTTTCGCCTATGATACCAAAATATTTACTCAAAATTACAGGTTTGATTTTTTTTATGGATTTTATAATGATAAATTTAAATTAGGATAAAAGCTTTTGCATATTTTTATAAGTGTTGAGTTTATATTTATAAGGATGTTAATTTGGACATATTTTATTATTATTTAATTACAAATATTTTCAAAAGCAATGATTCTTTTTTATATTATCATTAACTAATTTCTTTCAAACAAAATATGTCAGAAAATTAATTAAAATAAGAAAATTTCTTTCATTAATAGATTTTTTTAAATTGGTGAGTTGTAAAATCTAAAGCGACTTTTTTTAAGTTATAAACATAATTTGGAATTTTTTATATCTTTTAAAGTTAAAAGTAATTAATTGATTATTCTAAAAAAATAATGTAGTAGATTAGAAATATTTTTAAAAAGATCAAAAATCCGAAAAATCTGAGTTTTGATGCAAGATAATAAAATGATAAAAAAAATTTTTTTTAATTTTATTTGATAAATTCTATCATAAATTTTTAATATAAAGTAAGAAATCTCACAATTGAAATATTAAACTGAAAAAAAAAAAATTTAAATAATTAGAATTAAAAAAGATTAAAATTAAAAAATATTCAAGCAGAATGATAAAATCAACTTTTAGTTTATCAAAAGTAGCTTTATTTACTATTTTACTTATCTATGTTAATGGAATAGGATGTCCATTTTGGAAATCTTATGCATCAAACCGTATTCTGCATATCTAAAAGATAATTCTTCTTAAATCAAATCCATAAAATGAATAAGAAGATATTGCTGCTTTAATTATGAATCCGTTTTCAGTTGGAATATTTGATTTAAATACTAATCAATAGTATGAGTTAGCAGAAAAACAAGAAGCTATAACATTTTATTAAGTAGATAAAGATGATAGATCATCTTTAAAAGTGTCTCTCTTGCATACTTTAGACGCTAATGGTAGAGTTATTGATTGGAACCCTCTAAATGGATTGAAATAAAACGTGATTTAGATTCCAAAAAATATAAATATAAACCAAGAGTCTTGCTTAAACTCATAAGAAAAACTAGTTTTTTCTTGGAATACTACTCATGTAAAATTTTCATTTTTAAATAATACATATTTATCTTGATATTAATAAATTTTTTTTTTAATAAAAAGATATTTTTAATAGATTATACATAATAATTGAATCAAAATTAAGGTGTTATTGTCGGAGAAATTAATTTTTAGAGATAATTAATTAAGTGTTTAAATGATAAGCCTAATAGACGATTTTTAATCATTGATTCATAAGGAGGAATACGTTCATTTGATATTTAATCTTAAATGATGACGCTATTAATATAGCTTGATTAATTTAATTAACTTTAATCAATATTTCTTTCTTAGAGTCAAATTGCAATTTCTTATTTTCAAATAAATAATTAAAATTTGGTAGTTTCTTACAAAGGTTCCTAACTGTAATTCTAATAGAAAATAGGTTTAACTCCCACCTAGGTTTTAATAAGTAATTAAGAAGATTAATTAATAGTAATTGGATTAAATAATCTGTTTTAAGTATGGCAAATAAATTAAAATAAACTAATTTATTAAGCAGATTTTTAGTCAATAAAATGCGATTTTAGAGATTCTACAAATATCAATGTAGATAGTATAATAAATTTTAAGTTTGGATCTGTAAGTAAAAAAGATGAAGTAGTAGCAATTTCAGATAAGTATTTGTTTGCTTTTTCTCTAGATCAATAATAATCGATTGCTTTTAAAAATTAAAATTTTTAATTCAATTTTATTCAAGCATACATAATAAATAATAAAATAATTATAGGCTCTGATTAAACAGTGTCTATATTAGATAAATTAACATAAAAATTCAATTATGTCACAAATAGTTTTTTGAACACAGAATCAAATTATGATATTTTTGTAAAAATAGAAGTTGACGTAGACTTAAATAGGTATAAATATTTTTTATTTTGATAACAAACATTCAATAAATTTTTAAATGATTAAATTATTTAGGATTATCTTTACCAACTTAAGCGGTACTATTTTTATTTGGTCTTATTTTGACAACTTATATGAAAGATTTATTCCTGTTTTTAATGGCGCGGTATCTTTTTTTATTGATAGGTAGCTGAATAAAGTAAATAAATTTATTAATTCATTATTGAATATTAATTAAATTTAGAGCAGTTTTTCTAATTACTTTAAAACTTTTAATAGTTAGTTTCATACGCATAAATGACTTAAGCGAATTAAAAGTAAAAATAGATAGTAATAATTGATTATCGAAACGGAATAATAATAGATACTCTATTATTTTCATTTTCTAGCCAAATAATATAATCTTTCTATTATGTTTAAGATAAAACGAATGGGTATTTATTAGGATACGGAGAAATTACGACCTAATATCAGATATTTAGATTTTAAAAAGATAACGACCATACTTTGATATTTAATGGAACTCTTCTTTACAATTCTGATTAAAATTTGCTAATTTAGAGTTTATACATAATGGAAAAGTAGTAGTAAATACTTCTTTAATTTTCCAATAAAATTTTCCTCTTTAATTACTTCTATAAAGACAGCTAATTTAACAGTCCTATATTGATTTAAGGTTTGTAGGATACAATTTAATATTATTATATTAATACAAATACTCTAAGCCTATATGCGATTTAGCAATCATAAATTTTGGTAAAATAAATTGCTAAAATATTAATTTAATTTAATTATTCAATTTAAAAAAAGATATTTTCATATACCTAGCAATAGTTTTAGATGGATAAATAATTTAATATTTTGGAAATCAAAAATCCAATAAATACTGAATTTATAGAGGAGTAGCAAGTAATTATTGTCTTGACATAATAGCAAATATATTTCAATTACTACTACGATAATAAAATATTTATATTTAATCTATAAAATTAGCCAGTCATTAAATATGTGATAGATAAATCTTAATCTATCTTGATTACGATTAATAATTCTTACTATTTATATGTTATAAACATAAAAGATGGCAATTTACTTTATTCTTTGATACTTGATTTAAATCAAGTCGAAATGTTTAACATATACATTGATCAATAAATCGTTACGATAAGTAGCATAAATGGAAAAACCATAATTTTTAACTATACTAAATATACCCTTTAAGGTATCTTAAATTATCAAAAAAATTAAGCTCAATTTTTAGATTCATAAAACAATAATCTCTTAGTGATGTCTAGGGTCAATGTATTTTGTTATTTTTTTTTAATTTATTTATTTATCATCAAAATAACTACCTATTATGAATAAATAGCTACTAAATAAAGTTCTTCCAAGCTTTGGTTTGATAAAGAGATTTTAAATGAAAATAATCACCAACTACTACTATGAGAAGTAAAGCGGTCTTTTGTTTATCCTGTCTAATTAAGTTTTAATTTACAATTTCAAATCATAAGAGTATCTTCCTCCGTTTCCAACCATAGATATTGAAAAAGCGTAGTATATATATGCAATTTCACTCAAAGATTTTATATTTATCTAATTTTCTGCATTAGCTATTACCAAAATATCTATTTATAAGTTGAGTACTTATTAATATATAGGAGATCTTGATATTTCGTACAAACTTTGCGCATCGCTTGTACTTTTAAATTATGACTAATATCTAAACAGATTATTCGCAGGCTGTACACCATAATATCTAAATGTCTGGGATCTTAATTAAAATTTTAAGTTAATATAATCTATAAAATTAAGTACCCCTGTTTCAATAAGCTTTAGTGTCGAGACCAAAACTATCCTAGTTACTCAGGTATCATGAATTTTTTTTTTTAGAAATTAACCTCATGAATATATAATATTTTTTTTAATTTAGTACTCATGGTTCTCATGTTCTCTTGATTATTACACACTTCAAAAAAAAGTGACTGTAAATGGAATATTTGGTGATTTAGATTATGAAAGAGGTCTTTAATTCACTTGGGATGTAAAATAAATATTTAATTTAATTTCAATTTTAATATTAATAATTTACAATAAGTAAAATGGAGATTTAAGAATGTATGATTCCAATTCTAATTCATTAGCTTTTTAGCATGCTCATTAAGGTTGGGTTAATTCAGTAATAATAGATAGCACTAACATGATCCTTACTTCTATTGGGTAAAAAATATTAAATAGTTGTTTTATTTTTCAAATTTTTATTTTTAGCTTTAATTGTGATTTCTTGAACTGTCTACTCAAACAATCGCATCCAATCATCAACTGCAAAATTTTTATAATCATATTTATGTATGCAGTTATATATCATGTTTTATTTGGGCACATATCTGCAGCAAATTCAAAATTTATAAATAAGAAGAAATTAAAAATTAGTCATACTACTTTTAATATAGATAAGAGTAGGTGCTTATTATTTTCTTACTATTATCAATTCAAACCAAAATCTCAAAAACAAACTAAACAAACCCCATACAAAAAAAAAAATTAAAATAGATATTTTCTTATTTATAAATAGCAAAAATGGTTTATAGATTATTGAAAAAAAAAAAATTCATTTAATATTCAGTGTGAAAATTCAATATTTTTTTGGTTATTTTGTTTTTTAAACGTCCTGAATTTCATTCATAATCAGTTAATATAGAAATATTATTTTTATTTAATTAAACTATTTAAATTGATATTAACTTCTTTAAAAAACTTAGAGATGATCTTAAAATATTTACTTGGAGCTATTCATCTTTAAATAGCATATAATAAATGTATGATTATTATTTTAATTTAAATTATTATACTTATTTATTTTAAAGCTCATAGCAAATTCTAAAGGGATCGCTTTAAGCATAGTTCTTAGATTCGATAACAGTAATGTATATGTGTGTGATAACAATGGATATATTTATCAGCTAAACTATCCTAATTTGATTTTAAAGAACATGATTTAAGTTTATAATAGTGTTTTGGATATGTTATATCTGGACTTTAACCAAAATATTCTTATTTTTGGCTCATCTTCAGGAAGTATATTTGGTTATTATAATTTGATAGATTCTATTGCACCTTATGCATATTAAAATTATCAAAGCTAATAAGGTTAATTCTAAAAATTTTAACCTTAATTTTATTGATAATACATATTTTATTAAATAGGAATTTTATCTGTTTCGAAGACTGAAAAAGGAATTTTATTTCATTAAGCTTAAACAGGTGTTTAGCTATGGAATAAATCTAGATAGTAGATATAATATGGCTTTTATACTATCACTAACTATTAATTGTTAGAATCTAAAACTTAAATATTACTTTTGTAAGGTTAGGAAAAGAAAGGTTGTTTGGTTTTGATGGGCTAAATAATATTTTTTGATCTTGAAACTTTGGATGTTTTAAACGTCTAAAGACTTAATTGTGTGAGGAATATTTAAATTCTTAACTTTCTAATATGCTCTTTTATAAACTAATTAACTATACTTAAGGTTAATGATTATTCTACATTTCAGACTATTCTTTAAAATGAAAACTAATCTACTATCAGTCTCTAGAATATAGATACAAAAAATTCATTTTTTATAACAACAACTCAAGGAGAGGTTATTTGCTATAGCTTTGATTAAGCAGCAAATTAATTTAAATAGTAATTCTATTCAAAATTGTTTGACAAACCCATTTCTAATTACTTATTTATCAAATAAAATAATTATTATTATTTTTTTATCTCGTGCTTTACAGGATAATTTGGTTATCTTTAAATTTCCTAACAGCTCACAATTCAGACTCAAAAATTAATAAATTTTTAAGGAACTACTTCTCATGCTCATAAGATTGTATTTTAAAACGAAATGGTACATTTATTTTTTAATTTATTTTTTTAAATTTATAATTAAATATGAAAAAAAATAGGTATTTGTAAAGAGAGTTAGTGATTTATATTTGGGTGTATATGGATTGGAGTAGTTTAATTAGATAAATAAAATATCTAGTCCTTGTTTGGGGTACACATATAAATTTGACATTAGTACCAATTTAGATATTATTTTATAGCATTGTGTTGGTATCTATTAAGTGAATTCATTTTCGAATTTCAAATAGTTAGCTTCTGGAAGGTACACTAATTAAATAAATCTACCAAATGTATATACTCCAGATTAAAATTAAATAATATTTATTAACAAAAACTATTTTATAGATGTTTACAACCATCAAATATTCATTTACTAAATAGATTATGCTAAGGCTAAAGTTATTATGTTAGGAAATTTTTTTTATCCAGAAAAATATATAGGTTAAATAGTTGATTATTTTATTTTCCAAGATTAAAAGAATACATATATTCAGATTTTATTTTATTCTATTTCTAACATAGGAATTCTTCAACTGCCAATTAGTGGAGAAAATATCTGTCAAGAAAAAATTGCTTATGAACAATTTACTTAAACCTTGTTTTAAATATAACTAATTTTTTAGCGAATTCAAAGTTATTATTTAATTTAAAAACTAATATTCTCATTAACCGTCGTTTAAGAGACTGTTTTATAACCCTTGCCTTAATCTTCATTTTCTTAAATAACCTAAATAGATATCTTATTCTAAATACCAGGCAGATAAAGTTCTGATGTTTAGAAGGTATATGTCTCAGAGAGTCTATTCTAATCTTTTAATGGGTACTTTTCAATTAGCTTGGAAAACCTCATCCTAGAACCAGCAATTAAATCAAATATAATTCTCATATATCCAATTCAGGATATCACATAATTCTAGCTAATTAATATCCAGTTTGCATCTCAAGTATTATATTCATTTTAAATCTAACGTGTCTAGTCAGTTTTATTTGATAGAATTAGTTTATTAGGGGTAACTATAGTTAGCGATTAACCAATAATTCTATTTCATTTTATGTAGGTTAAAAATATTAAATTTAAATAAATATTTATAATTGAATCATCTTTTACATAAGTTATTGTGTTTCAATTCGAAAGCGATACAGAAAACAATAATCCCTCATAAATATAAATTAGTAATTTATAAATTAACAAATCATCTTTTGTATACGATCTAGATGATCAGAATTCAGCTCCTATCTACATTCAAAAATTTAATGAAGTAAAATTAAGTTAGTTTACTGCAAATGATAATAAAGGATCAGCTATACCTCTTTTAAAAAGCTTTATGATAACAAAATACTCATTAGAAGATCTATTTTTTATGAATAACATAAACTTAATGCTTTTGCAATATTCAAATAGCATATAAAGTTATCAAAACGATTTGAAAATAATTCAATAAAAAACCACTGATGCAATCTAGATACAAAACTTATAAATCTCAAATAATAGATTTAGCTAACCATCCTTGTTCCCTATATTTTCAATTACAGTCTCATAATTACAGATTACTGATATCTCAGCTGAATTAAACATTGCAAACTCTTCTTATTCTAATTCTCTGTTTAATTTGTAGCCAAAAACTTTAATTATGACTAATATAACTTTAAAAGAAAATTAAGGTTTTTAAAATCTTTTTATGAACTAAAATATATTACAAGGTAGCATTAAGAATTTAACTTTGTTGAGCAATTTGGTAATTTCTGCTTTATCAATAAGGTAATCTTAAATTACAATTTCAAATAGCTAAATTTAATAAAATTAATCAAAGTAAACTAAATAGTCAAACTCTGTTTTTAATATTTTATAAAATTCTAAAATTATCATGAATAGTGTCAAATTTGAATAAAATAAATCAAATAATGGAGGATCATTATTTGTATCTCTTAGTTAACTATTTATCAATAAATGTTCTTTTTTGGGAGATACTAGCATTGCTAGTGGAGGTTCAATTTTTTCATAAAACTCATAATTAACTATTTATTAAAGTGAATTTTAATAATGCTCTTCTCTGATTGGAGGATGTCTATATGTGCAGGAAGGATACTTAAATATCACAGAAACAATTTCTCAAAATACAATAGCAAATTAATCAGGTGGATTTTTATACATTAGTTAAGTTGATAATTTTGTTTTAGAAAACGTGAAAATATTTAATAGTGTATCATCTGGTGATGGTGGATCTCTGTATATTTCACAATCTATTGGAACAAATTCTATTATAAAAAATAATACTTTTATTAATAATTAAGCGAAAGGGTAATTAAATTTTCTTCCATTTATTATTAATTTTATTTACTCTTAATCCAAAAAAATTTTTATTAAAAGGAGTGGAGGTGCAATATTTTTAGATAGTTCTAATTTTTAGATCGTTCAATCCAAGTTTGTGAGCAACAGTGCTGGTATAGGTGGTGCAATAAGATATATAAATTTAAAACCTTCTTTTATGATGAAATAAAAATAAGAGGATAAAGACTCTTGCAATACATACTAAAATAATTTTTGCGAAAAGAATATTGCTATCATATATGGTAACTCAATAGCTAGCTATCCCACAACTGCTTCAATTTTATCTAGCAAGTACTTTAATGTGCATTCAGAATTTCCTAATTTTAGCTTTGGTAACTTTCAAAGTGGACTCAATAACTTTGACCTAACAATTGTTTTTTTTGATGAGTTTTCTGATCCTATCAATTAAATTGATTTATAGAATTAATGTAAAATTTTATTGTTTTATTTTTTTATTGATTCTTCAATTGTTTTTTAAAGCTATCATTAGTTAATTGAGCTCTGATTTAGTAAAGGAAATCAGCTAATATAGCTGTAGGGCTTATTTGGAATAGTAAAATACAATTCTATAAAATCAGACTATTAAACTAGATGGTGCAACACTTGCGGAATATGGATATAATAGCAATAAATAAGGAGGTTGCTTTTTACATAACTTAAAAATCACTGGAGTTCCATCTTCAAAATAATCAATGAAACTACAGCTTAATGGAATGAAATCAGTCAACAAAAAAAATCAATTTGCAGATATAGATAATATTTAAATTGATATTTAATTTAGAAGTTGCAAAACTGGAGAATACTATAATTAAATTTGTTAAAACTGTTTAATGAAAGAGTGTGTTGAATGTTAAAATGGTACATATTCACTCGTTTATCCTATTGAAAACAAAAAAAATGAATGTAAAAGCTGTGATATGTCAAAAGTCTATTCTTGTTATGGAGATTAAATTGTGTTAAGAGAAAATTATTGGTAATTTTATAAATAAATAATTAATATCTAATTTAACAATCAGTCTACAACAAAAAAATTATTAATTATTTGATTTTAATTTTAATTTGAAATAAAGAAAACACTCTCTTTAAAGAGCACAAATTATTTGAGTTTATTTTAAATAAAAACGGCATTTATTTGTTAATAAATTTATTTTTTAAATTAGGAGAAAAAACAATGATTCAGATTTAATTTATAAGTGTGATATCATAAATAATTCTTGTAATGGAGATGCATAAAAAGGTTATTGTGCAGAAGGATATGTTGGGGCTTTGTGTTCATTTTGTGACATTTCTGGAAGTGTATGGGGAGAATCATATTAATTTGATAATTCTGTATTATATAATGGAATTTAATGCTCTAAATGCTCCTTCAATTCATCTTATTTGCTTCGAGAAATTATAATATTTATAATAATATTATTATACATGGTTTTCTTAGTAATTTAATCTCAGGATAGCAACTGCAAAGTATGCGCTATGAGAATATTATAGTCTCTTGATTTGCTATATTTAGGTGTTTCATCATTTTTATCAGATAATGAAGTTATATCTAAAATAATTATTAACTAGTTTCAAATACTTTCTACATTAAAGTATAGCTTAGGTTTGAATATTTCATAGTTATTTTCAAATTTATTAACTATTCCTTAGACTGCATCTTAGCCTATCAATTAGTTCACATATTCGTTTGACTGCTTTTTTACTAAACTAAATATAAAGATGCCGATATAGTATTTTAGATTTATCTTTCTCTCTATTATATTCCCATTGTCAATGATCATTTTCTTTTTTATCCTAGTATAATTCATTCTATCTGCAATATAAGAATTTGCTCCATAGAATTATTTCTTTTATAAAACTAAATATATGAGATTGAATGTAATGATAAGTATGTTGATAGTCTTTTCTTATATTGCTTCATAAAATATTTATTAAACTGCTCTTTAAAATATTTTTTGTGATGAATACAGTGGAACTTATTATATGAAGAGCTAAATGGATTAAATTTGCTATACCAAAGAACACTATTTTTATATTCTCTTCCTTATAGGTCCTGTTCTATTCATAGTAGCAATAGTATATCCATCTATTATGTTTTTAATCCTTTATCGAAATAGATTTAAATTATTTGACCAAAAATTGAAGTCAATTAATTTAATCAGGAGGTATGGATATTTATTTAAAGGATATAAAAAAAATACGTGGTGGTGGGAAATATTCAAAACATGGTATAAATTTTTAATCATCTTATTGGCTACATATTATAGTTCCTCTACTTTAATATAGATACAATCTATCATATTTTTACAATTAATATATCTCTATTTGCTTATGAAATACTAGCCATATCAACATTCAAAAATGAACATATTAGAAAAAAGATCTGTAATATGCACACTGATGATATTTTAAATATCAATTGTATATTATTACAATTAAGACAATATCTTATCTAAATTTTCATAAATTGGGATTATTTTCTATTTGGTGATTTTGTTTGGTAATACTTCTTTATTATTATTATTATTTAATTATTTATTGTATTTTTTTAATTAGGGAGGCTGTTTTTCAGCGTTTTAGAAGTTCAACTAAGACTAAATTACTATTTATTATCAAAAATGAATGGAGTAAGATCATTCTTAAGAAGGAACCTATCACCAAAATCAAAAAAAGGAATTAAATTTTTGCTAAAAAAATATTTATTCTAAAGCAACTGGAGCTTATATAATATTATTTACAAAAAAAATTATGATCCTTATAGAGTTTTTAGCAAGTATTTATTTAACTTTAAAATTAATTTTAAGAGTTTAAATAGAAATATTTTTGAAATAAGAAAGAATTATATTTTTTATTTATATTTAATATTATTTTTAATTAATTAGCTGGAGAAAAGTTAGAATTGCTTTTTAATAAAGAAAACTAGAATAAATCTCAAATTAAAAGATTAGTAAATTTGTGAAAAAGCAGAAGATGATCATTCCTTTACGTAATTTTGATGACCCTTTTAAAAGTTTATAGTATGGTTAATGTAGACCAAGGTTTGCTTAAGAATAGCCTTTAAGTTTTTAACAATAAGAGATTGATTCAAAAAATTTGCTTCAAATACCTCAGCCTAAAAGTATTTTTTATCCTAAATAAGGAAAAAACCTTCATAGTAATATTCTAAATATTTCTTAAATTGAACCATCTAATTTGATGTCTCAAATTAGTTAAAATGGTAACAATTTAGTAAAGGCAAATAAAAAGAAACACTTTTTCAAATTAAAGTGAAAGATATTATAATCATAATCAATTAATAAATAATTAATTAAAATTTAATTTTTGGTATGTTAAAAATAAATTTATAAATACAACGAAATTGATTAAATAATTAAAAAAATTATTTTATTTTGTATTATTTTATATTTTTTTTATCACAATTTTATTTTTTTTAAACGTTTTATAAATAAAAATTACACATATTCTTAAATGTAAAAAGTAAATTTTATTTAGAAGGGTTTATATTTTTTAATTATTCTGAATTTTTAATAGTTTTTTAAAATTAAAAATTCAAATTTTGAAGAATTTATGAAAGCTGTTTAGAGATCTTGATCAGTTAGTAAATAAAAAAGAGTAATACTTATCATGAATTTATTAAATTGTACTATATTTTAAGCGATTATTATTAAAAACTACTATTTATTTTATGATTAATTTAAAACTAAAATTAAGAAATATTTTTACATATATATTTCAAAATTATTGATAATTCAAATTAATAACTATTGATTAAATTTACTAGATTTTTATATTCTACTATATAATTCTAATTTTGATGAGCTTTAATTTTCTCGAAAATATCATACAAAAATTTAATTTGTTTTCCTAAAAGAGTTTTTTAACATTAAAAAATAAAACCCACAATTTAAAAATAGAATAAATTTTTATGTAAATTTAATTTTAATATTTATTTGATGCATTAAAATTAAAAATTAATGTATTTAAAATAAAATTAACAGATTAATTAATTAATTAGATTTAGATTTTAAGAATATTAAAAAGATTTTTTAATAATTTTATTAACATAATTTATTGCTTTATTTAGTTAAATTAGTATCTTAACGACTCTTTTTTATTAATTATGTGCGTATTAAAACTAAATTTTTAAAAATAATATTGAATCTAAATTAAGATTATTTAGAGATGTATAAAAGCAATAAGTGGATTATGTTTTGAGATTAGTGTAGTTTTTAAAAATAGTTTTATTTACTCTTAAATGATTAAGAGTTATACCAATAAACTTAAAAGGATAGGTTGAATCAATTCAGTTATTATGCTACCTCTAAGTATTTGGAAAGTGATTAACTAATTAAGCAAATTAAAAAAATTAAAGGGTTTTATGATAGATTAAGAGGTGAAAAATATTTAAAAATTGGAATTATTTAACTTTAAATAATCAATTTGTTAAACTAAGGTAATTAATTAATATATATTGGCTTATTTATGAGTCAATCTTAGCTTCATTTTTGCTTTTTGTTTTTTCAATTAGCAATATTAACATTAAAAAGTTGCGGATAAGCTAAGATGACTAATTTTATTTTTAAAACAGCTCCATAAAATAAATATATACTAAATTTTATATAATTAATCTATTTATTTTATAATTTTATGAAATATTTAGGTTTCAGCTTATTTAAAGAAAGATGCTTTTATAAGAATGAAATTGAATCATTTGACTTGTTGCTTAAGAAAAGATTTTATAGAAGAAATAATGAATATTTTTATCACTTATTAATTGAGAGTATTTAATAATTAATTTTAGGCCTTTACATTTTTTTAAACGAAAAAATAGAAAACTATTTAATAATATATTTTCAACTTTGAATGCTATAAAAAAAATATATTTAAATTAGAAAATAAAAATTTAAGTGATTAGTTAAATATAATAAAATATTTTAAATCTATTATTTTTATAGATATTTTTTTCTAATAAAAATAATATTTTTATCATTATTTTATTGTATTTAAAAATATCATTCAAATATTTATTGTTTAATTTAAGTAAAATTTATGTTAGTATTATCTTTAAATTTTATATTAAAACAATTCAATTTATTTTTTTTTCTAAACAATTATTTTATTATTTCTTCAAATATTTTTAAGTTCATTATCTTTTATTTTTAATTTTTAAAGATTTTCGCTACATAAATTAGTAAAAATAAGCCAAATTTACAGATTAACAATATTAATAGGTATGTTATCATAAATAGTTCAAATTAAAACAAATGTATTTGTTAATTCTAAATCTATTATCAATTTTTTTATAACCTATTTATTATTGGTATATATGTTGGTAAATATTAAAAAAACATATAATTTTACGAGTAAATGAATGATTTATACAACAATTTAAAGAACATTTATTTATTTAAAATTATCTTTAATATACAAAAATCACTTTATGATTGTCAAAAGAAACCAGAGTAAATTAAAATCTTTTAAAAATGCAAAGTATATATTTTGATTATTAAAAGATATCTTTAAAATAACAAAGCTATTTGCAAAAGAAATAGCTTTTAAAATATTCAAATAGATTAGTAAATATCCTTTATTATGCTTGTTTAGAATAGATAATTTTAGGAAATTAAAATTTTTTAACATTTAAAAAATAGAATTAGTTTATAATTTAATACATATTTTTTTCATCAATATTAATTTAGTTAAAAAAGATTTGGTTTATAATAAATTATTTATTAAATATTATAGTAGATCATAGGAAGAGCTAAGAGTTAGAATAATACTTAAAATTTATACAAAAATAATACTAATCACTTGGATAAAATGATTGAAAAATACGATGGACGTCGTTAAAATTATTCAAGACAAAACAACAAAAATAATATGCTTGAATCTTATCATGGTTCTAATTCTGCTAATCAAATTAGCAGAAAAAACGAAGCGTAATTATGCAGAAATGATGCTGTTGACATATTTTCCATGCATAACTAAATGATTAAGAGCATGGATTAAAGATTTGAATAAATGCATAACAAAATGATGAAAAATTTTGAAAGTTCTTTTGGGGGTTTTGGGATTGGTGGTATTTTAAAAGAATTTTAATAGCCATTTAGCATGATGAACAGCATTTCTAAATAGATGGATAGGATGTTTTCTGATTTTAGTGACCGTATTCACTTTATTCATCTTAAAAACATTCATTCTTATTTTTTTATATTGCTCACCAAACATTATATTTAAATAAGTTCATCATAGTACTATGCAGAATAGAGATAAAGGCGGGTTTACCTCAGTGCAGAGAGTTTTTGCTATGGAAAAGAAGATTGGACCTGATAATAAGCCTTACTAACAGAAATATTTTTCTAACAATGTAGTCTAGAAAGATTAATCAGGAAACACTGTAAATTATTGTATTTGATCTAATAATTATTGCTTTATTTTTATTTGGAATGATGAAAAAAGAAAAATAGAAATTTAATTTTTTTTAAATCATTTCAGATTATTAAAAGGAGTCTTTAAATATTAATTAAATTCAAACGAGCATTTATTGTATTTAACTTTTTCAAAATCAAATTAGATTTCAGAGAGATAACAGGCATATAAAAACACTTATGAGAAAAGGGATGCAATTGCATAAGAAAGGATGTTAAATAATTAAGGAAGAAAGTTCGTTTAAGAAAGAGTGAATGGACAAATCAGTTCAACCAACCATTATTATAACATGGATGAAAGTAAATATAAATTTTAATTAAAAAAATACCCATCAAATTTAAATATCTACTGGGTGCTTGTTTACTCACTTTAATTTATTTGTTGATTATATATTTTTCTTTGAATGATTATTTAGATTAAACTGATGATTTCGATAGTATGTGGAATAATTTCAATTAAAAGATGGGATTCCATAAAAATCATTTTAAATAGTTGGGATTTGGAGGAGGTTTTACAAATTAAAACAGGCTGAGAAACGATGAAGATAATTATAATGATTCAGCAAGTAACTGGAGTGCTCCTAGTAATTAAGAAAATTTCACTAGAAAGGGTTATCAACACAATTAAAGATAAAATAAGAAGAATTACAAAGAATATAATTTTAAAGATGATTAAAGACGTGGTGATTACCTTCCAATTCATGCTCGAAACGAGGATTAACCAGTGCGTCTCAACAATAACTTCAATGGATATGGAAGAAGAGAGAGTAAATATTTCTAATAAAATATAATATCTTAGCATCAATTGATTTTATTTTTCTATTTTAAATTTGAATTCAATTAATAATATTTTTAATATTTTGCTATCACAAAAGCTGATCTATAGCCAACGTAACCAAATTAAAATAGACCATCAGTAGCAGCACTTCCATAAAGTTAAGCACAAATACCTTCTAACAATAATAGCATTGCTGACTCAAGGCCTAACTAAAGAAACAGCATTTAAAATTCTAATATAAATAGACCTCCAGTTACTGTTCCTGCAAGATAAAATAATCAGATACCTATTAGAAACGGTGTTGAATCTGGAGTTTTTGTGAATAGAAATAACCCAAAAGGTGCCTTGCCTAAGGCAGGATGATTAAAAATAGAAATCGCAATTAAATTTTGTTTCTTGATTGATAATCTATAATAATTTACTATAATTAAATAATATACTGGTTTTAAATTTGTTATCAGAGTAATTTTTTTAAATATTAAATAAATTAAAATTCGTATTATAATTCTTCATTTTAAATTTCATAAAATCTTTTTTTATATTCTTTACACTTTTATGCTTTCGTAAAGTCACAAAAATAAATAATTAAGCCTTGCTTTTAATCAATCAAGCTTTGAGTAATCAATCTAAAAAATTAAAAAGATAAGAGAATATAAATGCACAAGTATTGAATATTTATCATTTTAAAAAGTTTATTTTCTAAAATGATATTTTATCTATTGCAATAAAATAGAAAATTTATGTAGATTTCATAGATGATTTAGAAATGCAAGGTTAGTCTAATGAATTTTGATTAAAATTTTTCTGTTTGAAAGTAGAATTTTTTAGACTGGCAAGTAATATTATTTATTACTGGAATTCAGTGCGGTTTATTATTTATTTTTTGATTTTTAAATTTAAATGACCTTCTTAAGAGCATTTGAATTTTGATAATAATCATACAAAAGACAAATTATTCAAAAAGTATTTATATAGTATTTAAATTACTAATTATCTATCTTAATTTATTAAATAAAGAGTCTTGAGTAGATTTTTAAAAGGATGGTCTAAAAATTTTAATATTTATAGTCTTTTATATGTAATTAGTGCTTAGGAAGACTACCAAAATTATTAAAGTAGAAAGTTTTTCTAATTTAAAATATTAGTTAGCTAGTTAGTTATTATCAATTGTGCGTGATTTATGATTTTGGAAAAGAAAGAATAATTTGTTGAATTTTGTTTAATTTTTTTTCTAGTATCCAATATTAATTTTCACTGAAATAGAGGATTTTGTATATATTTTTGTTGCATCTATTATGAATTAATGTCATAGCCTCTTAATATTTATATATTTTTATGTTTTAGAACATTTTTAATAATGTTACTCTGCCAATAAAATGCATCATCTAAAAGTACATAGCTTAAATAGATTTATTTAAGTATTTCAGAAACATCTTAAAAATTTCAAATATCTATTTGATTTTAAAAATAAAAAAGGATTGGAAAAGTGCGTGTATATTACTGGGTGTATTTATATTTAAGTTAAATGATATAATTTTATCGTTTTTTAACAAGGAGATTTAAATAAAATTGTAAGCTTTTGATTATAATCCCAATATTTAAAAATATGATCGATCAATAAATAAATAGCAACAAATTTTTGTCAATTACAACTCATTCAATTTCTAACGCGTTTATAACTCAGTTTTCTGGTTGAATTGAGTCAACTTACAATTCATACACAATTATAAATTTCATTTACAATTATTTCTTTTTTTATGAAATGAAAGTTGATGATTGAAAACTCTAATAATCAAATTCTACTCTTAGACAAATAATTAAAGACTCATTTACATTTTAAAAAGAATTTATAAGCATATATCTATTTCAAATTAATTCTTATTATTTTGATTAAATGAAAAGTTATTCGATTTTCTAAACAAAATCTCTATTAAAGCCTATTCATGCTTTTCTAAAAATAAAAATAATAAATATGCTTTCTTGTTTATCATCAATTCTGAATATGCTTTTTAAATTTTATGATAAGAATTTTAAGAAATGAATGAATGAGTTGCGGGAAAAGTAAAAATTGATTATTATTTTAATCATTTAAAAAAATGATATTCATCCACATATTAAATAATTTAAAAATTGATCGTTTTTAATATAAAATAAATTAATGATTCATCCATCATCCATCGTTCAAAAAAATAAATAAATCAATTAAAAAAAGTAAAATAAAATGTTAGAAATGAATTAGAAATATAATTTAAAAAGAAACTAATTAATTATTTGAGTGGTTGCAAATAAAAATAAGGTAAAAATATACAGTTTGACTAAAAAAATATAAAATTATTATATTTTTGATATATTTAATTGATATATGAAAGTAAGTGTGAGTCGAGCAATATTATATTTTTAATAATGTAAGGTAAAGTTGAGTTTTAACCCAATTAATGGAGCAATTAAGATAAAAAGATAGAGAGGAATATAAATATTTAATTAATATATTTGAAATTTGCATCTAAAAGTAGAAAGAGAGCAATTATTGATTGATTGAATGATTATTTGTTATTTTGTTTGTTTGTTTGTTTGATATGTGCATAGGAAATAATTAAATATTTTATTTAAATAGAAATAGGTTAATTAGGTTTATTTTGATAATAATTATTTATTGGATTAATATATGAGTAATTAATGTATCTGTCTGTGAAGATGAGAAGAGAGAGGGAGGGAGTATTTTTTTTTTGAGATAGAAATGAGAATTGTTCATTGAATATCAAGTATTTGATTTTATTTGCTTATTAAATTAATAAATTATCATAATAATGTATCAGGAGCCAGTTAATATTTATGGTCATTAAGCATTTTTATTTTTAGAGTTTATGGTTGGTTGCTTTGTAAATTAATAAAAACTAGAGGCAAACATTATTAAATGTGAGAAATGTGGTAAATTATTTAATTAAATTGCTCTTTTAGCGATTTTGTTTGTTTGTGGTCAATTTTTTGTAAGAAAGGAAATTTCATAGCACAATTAAAATTTTAACAAATATTGATTATTGTAGCCTGTCTGTTAATGAGATTTCAAAATACCTCTTCAATTTCTTTCTCGCTGTTGTATTGTGAATTTTTATGATGACTGAGGCGCTTGTTGAATGTAGAGTTTAATTCGAATAGACCATAGCTTACGTTGGTTTGAGCATTTTACTCAGTTTCAAAGTAATAGGTGACTCTCATAATCAGTTATTGTAAACGTTGGAATTTAATCTCAAATTTTTTTGAAATTTTCATTCCTTAAGGAGTGTTTTTAAACTCGTTAAGCTCTGTAAAGTATTTTGAATTGATTTCGTTAATGTTTTAGAATTTTAGCAAACATTATTTAATGTTCTTCAAGAATTTGGAAACAACCAATTCATGTTTATATTTGTTAATAACTTTGAAACGTTTGAAGACAGCTAAGTCTTTGTGGATATTTTCCATTTCATTGACTTCATTGTCTTGGAGGGCAATTTCTTCCCTTTCGGAGTCATCCATATCCTTTAAGAGACTCTCAAATGTTTGAACTCTTTATGTTTGAATGTAGAATTCGATAGATGAATAAGAATTGATTAAATCATTAACAATGTTATTGATTTATTTGTTTGAATCAGCAGATTTTGTGCTTGTGCAACCCATTTAAAGTCCCAACAGTAATTCTAATTTTATGAATTCTTTTTTAATAAAGGAATGCGGGAAGTGAGAAGGGATTTGATTATTTTTTTTTAATCACTTTTGATTTATATTTTAATTAAATTATTATATTTTTTTCTTTCTTCAAATTATTTAGAGATGATTGAAATTGATGGAGTGGGGTCTACATTAATTACTTATATATTTAATTAATTGCCAATTAATTAGTTGAGTTTTTTTTAATTTGATTACAGAGTCCTACTCAAATTAGAAACTCTATATATATACATATTTGAATTAAATCGGTGCTGTCACCAAAAATTATAATTTTAATGATTAGTTTTAAGATAAAGTAATCTAAAGACTGAATTTTCATATTTCCTTTTGATATTTAGTAAGTATGAATATACTGTTTAATAAAATTGACTACTCCAACAAAAACGAATTGTAAAAGAAAAACCATAGCAGAAGACCAAGTTAAGTGATGAAGAGCCATTTTTCAAGAAGAATATTTTTTAGTAATCGCAAACATGCAAAACATATTTTTTTTCAAATTTCAGTTATAAATAAAAATTTCGAATATATCTTTTTCTAGTAAGATAGATAAATAAATAAATTATGTATATTAATGAAAAAATAAGAAAAGTATAGTGCCTATTTAAAAATTTATCATTTAATTTAATTGGTTAAAAAAGAAAAATCAAAAAAAGTTATTGCACTATTGATAGAATTTGACGTTTCTCTCCCTGCGAGATAAATATAAAACAAATAATCCCAAAAAAACAAAACACAGATAAAGTGATAGATACTTAAACAAATTTTTTTTATAATAAAATTAATAGTTACTATAAATTGAAATAGTTTGATGTGATATGAAAAATCGAGATTTAATTCTAATAGTTTCTTTCTCATATTATAAAGGAAGGCTCAATATATATTATCTCTCTTAATTTATCTTTTTCTGTAATTCTTATAATTAAAATTCTATTCTATTGTATTCTTTTCTATATTTATTTACACTTTAAAAGAAATCTTAATGAAGAAAATACATTTTTTTCCTTCTATAAAAGGACAAATTAAAAAATACACTTAATAGCATAAAATTAATTGTTGATTTACATGTACATATTATTAGATAAATGTAAAGTCTAACTAAATATCTTTAATTAAATTATTTTTAACTTCAAGGCTAGTCTAGGTATTTTTTAATTAGATATTTCTTAATCTGATCTTTAGAATCTGAGATTTATTTGATTATTTAATTACGCGAATATGCAAGAATATCAGAATATTAATCGGTCATCAAATTTATAATTTTTTATAATCAAACTATGTTTTATAACTATGATTTACAATCTAAAATAATTAATCCCCTTATACTTTGGACAAGCTAATTTAAATATAAATCACAAAGTAGATTTTTTTATAGCAGATCAAATCAAATGATAATTAAAAATTTATGTATCTTATCTTACGCATATTAAGATTAAATTAAATTTCCATAAATCATTTATAAAAATTTATTTTTTCCCAAATACTTTTACAAATATCAGTAAAAATACAAATATTATTTGATCTATTATTTATATTTAAGTCTAATTGATGAGTAAATCTTCGCGAAATCAGAATTAATAAAATATTGAAAAATAGTAAATTAAAATAAGAATCCAGTTCTTTTTTTCTTTTTTCTCAATCAAGCACTTGAACGCTACATAATAAGATTTAATTATATTAAATTGTTATATTAATCTTAATTCTAATACATATATAATTATGTTATTTATTTGGTTGTAATTGTTTACTATAAGAAAATATATCAACTTAATTCTTGAAATAAGATTTCAAAAGTCCCATCTTTCTTGATCTTTTTATATTCTAGCCTACTAACAAAATAGATTTTTAAAATATTAATATTGCAATTTAAATGTCAAAATGCTTATTAATTCTTATTTTATTTAAATAAAATTAATTTTTTACTATTCTAATGTATTAGAAAATTTGTATTTTTCAATTGGTTTTCACTTTTAAATAAGGTATTGATTTAATATCTTTTAAAAACTTATAAAACCGAAGAAGCAAAGCACGTGATTTAATTTACTTAACTTACATTGAAAAATTGAAAATTGTAGAAAAAACGAAATTCAATTTTTAAAATCAGGTAGTATTTTTGTTCAAAATATTAAAGAAAAAACAAATCTTAATTTCTATTGTTTAAAAAATCTAATTAATATTATATTTTTAATGTACTAATTTATATCGAATAGTACCTCTGGATATGTTATAGTTCTAGTTAAATATAAATGGCTTAAATGAATTCATGCTCACCGTTTTTACTATAAATAGATGCTTTATTAACTATCATTAAAGGATTTTGTATTATTTCATTTTCAGATAAATTAGAATTTAAAAATGATCCATTTTAACAGGTATAAATTTTTCTTTTGATTATGCAAATAAGAAATGAGTAATAAATTTATTTGTAAAAGAATAGTGATTTAAATATCAATAAAGGATTTTCTTTTGTACAAAAAATTATTAGGTAAGACAAAATATTTACCTTAAATTACATTAAAAATCAATAAAGTGAGAAATTTAACTTCCTCAAAAAAGATTATTCTATAAAGTTAATTTCCTACATTAAATACGTGTTTTTTCAAAAAAATTACTTGATTTTTCCCTCATATATTGCTAAACCTCTTTAATCTTAATTTTATATTGTAAATAGAAATTAAATTTCATTTTAAGCCTGAATAAAAGTAAATTAATAAACAATTATTTTCTAAAAAACAAAATTATTGCAAAAAAACAGCTTTTTTATATATTTAAGTCAAGTAAAAATTGAGAGAAATTTCATTTTTGTAAATAAAATTAACTTAATTTATGTTCCAAACACATATAAATGCATACACAGCTCCTAATTTCAATATTATTAAAATTTAATAAATTATTGATTGGATAGCTATACATAAAAACATTTAGATAATATTACTGATAAATTAAATTATATTCTGTAATTAAATTAAATTTTCATATGGACAGATTAATTTACATTATTTGATTTATTATTGTTTACTTTTTTAATTTATTTGCTTACTTATTACTAACTAAAGAAAGAATGAGAAAGAGAGAGAGAAAAGAATCACCATCCCTTGGGGAAATCTTATACAAGACTGTCTAGTGCTACCTTTAAATTATTATTTTAATATTTTAGTAATCTAAAAAATAAAAATGAGAATGTATACTGGCTTTCCATTTATATTATATTGAAGACGGACCTTCATAGCTATGCTTTTTTGCCCTGCCATTGTATTAACAACACTCATTACCTATATTGTTATTATTTTTTATAAAAAATTTGTTATATTTTTAGTTATTTCTGTTAAAATATATTTAGTTTAGTAAGAATAAATTTCCAAGTAACTAGCAATTTCTTTGCTGATAAAATTCAAAAAAAAATTAATACATTTAAAAGGTTTAAATAAAATAAGAAAAATTAAATTCTCAATTTTTTTTTTAAGTATTTTTCTAAATTTTAACATTTGATAAATTTTTTCCTTTATTAAGCAATTTTGATGGGCATACATTTTAGTTTTAAATTAGCTTTTCTCAAAGAAACATTGATATTTAATTTAATTTGTGGTTATAAATTGCTTTAATTAACATTCTTGGATTTTATTTTCGTGGATATTAATACGAAAGATTCTTATAGTTTTATAAAATACATCTCAATCACTCAAATAAATTAATTCATAATTTGGTTACAGAACAAAGTAAATGGATAAGTCAAAGCTGATAAATTTGATTGTATTTTTAATCAAATTTGGTAAAGAGAATATTTTAGTAATAGAGATTTTTTTGTTGCAATTAATATATAAAAAATTTATGATTATTTAAATCCTTACTTAAACTGTTTCACTTGAGGAATTAGGAGGTATCTGGGTAGATGATATAGGATTCATTGTTAGTTTATTATGCTTTTGAACAGCTACTTAGAACTAAAGTTCATTTATAATAAATGGAGTCTTATTTCCATACTCTATAGTGATCTCAACAGTATCTGCAGATTGCTTTATTTTAAAATATAGAATATTAACAATAAAAAATCAGAAGATCAAATTATAAAAATTTAAAATATTTTTTAGATAAAATTTCCGACTAATTATTTTAATTGATTTGTATTAGGGCAGAAATAGTTTTTTATATAAAAGAAAATAAAGTACTAAGTATTCAATATGAAGTATTTCTAATTAAATTGTATGTAACAATATAATAAGAAATAAGAGGATAATTTGTGAAATACCCCTAAAATTAAAAATCACTAGAACTACTTTAGGGTTAGGTTTATTTAATTTGATGAGGTTAATATAGAATGCTAAAATAAGTAATTAAGTGAGGAGATTAAGTAATTAAAATCTGTTAAAAACTAGAGTCTATTCAAAATATTTTTAAGATTTTACCTTAGTGCATTTAAAAACAATCTTAATAGTTGCATCTTCGATAGCTGTAAATATGTGTTTTGGTAAAACTGGCTAGCTGACTTGCATTTCTCCAAAGTCATCAAAATTATTGTTTGAGGTTATTTTTTGATTAGAGATGGGAGTAGTTGTTATTTCTTCGTCTCCACCGAGTAAATCAATTAAGTTTTTAGATTGTTATTGCTCATTATTTTTCTCTTTTTAAGCCTGTGTATTACTTTAAGAAATTTATTAGTTCTAGCTTTGGGAAGGTAAATCATCAAGTAAGTCAGTAATTAGATTTTTTTATATTTTGTTATCATTTTGAGCTGAAGGTGTGTATGAAGTTCCACCTATTATATCATTTAATAAATCTATACCATTCTATTCTCCCTAAATAGATGAAGTTGTTGGCACATTATTAGCTGTACTAGTACCTCCAATCAAATCGTCTAAGATATTTTGTTAAGCAGTTTGTGCTTAACTTACTGGAGTTTGAGGAATTTCATCATCTTCCAATAAATTTGTTTGCTTTTTTTAGCTTTACTCATCGACAGGCTTTCTATTAAATAAATACGTAATTTAATATTCGATATATTTCAAATCATTAAATATCTTTTTGTAAGAAATATAACAAAATAAAAAATGTTCTATCAAACTCAGTTTTAATTAAAGTAGAATAGATAACAAAAAAAATTTATTTATAAATTTAAATTATTTTTTTTGTTTATTTACTCCTTTTTAAAAAGTCATAGATATTTTGCTTAAGCACTTGAATAAATTAATGAGTTAAATATCAGATAGATATTTCAAAATAAGGAAAATTGAATTAAAATTTCAGAGGAAATAATAGTGTAAATAAATTAAATCTAAATATTACTTAGAAAACTGTTAGGTAGCTTTTGAATATTCAGGATTAGTTTAAAAGATATAATGAACTTAATTTTTCCATTCATTTTAAATTATATGCAAATATTCACAGGCTCTCTTCTGAACTTCTGGGGTTGTTGATGTAGTTAATGGGTTTAAAATGTTTACATAATTTTCTAAAGTTAAACTAGTGAACTTATAGAATAATTTCATTAAGCAGTTCATGCCATATTCTTTTACGTCATCATTTTCAACATACTTTTCAAAAACTTTAGAGATAAGGTCATATACATCTTTTTCACTAATTGAGTCTTCTGAGCCTTGAGTGGCTGTTACTAATTTATGGCCATACTCACCAAAACAGTATAAAGAGACAACTGCCAAGCCTGACTAATCAATTTTCTGTTTAAGTGCAAAATATAATTTTTATACAGCATACTATTACAAACTAGGAGAAACAGATATTAGATTAATTAAATTGTTAGTAGTATCTTCTTTGGCGTAGCTACCAGCTAAACTGAGCACTTTGATGATCTATTTATTATTGTAATTAATTTTAGAAAATAATTAAAAATTTTTTAGTTATAGCTTACAGTATCAATTTGCCATCTTCTATTAGGTGCGTGAGAATCTATAATCATGCAAGTCTTTTTATAATTATAGAAAAATATTTAATATTTTACTTAAAAATAATTCGATTCTGAAAATTAATTAAGTAATAAACAAGATATTTTCTATTTTAAGTAAAAAAAGATAGAAAAACAAGTGTTTTTTTGTAAAAATTTAGGCTGCTTTCAAAAATAATTCTAACCTTTAAAACTAGTTCTGGTAAGAAAATTAGTTGTTCAGGATCCATCATATGATTCAGTAATTCTTTAATAATACTCTCTACATTCTCACTTGAAGAGACCATAAAAATCAAATCTAATGCAAGTTGCTTAATTGAAATATCTTCTTCCTTTAAGCATTAAATAATTGTTTACATATATTTCTAAACAGTTTTTAGATCGTAATTCAAAACTTTCTATAGCATAAAGAGAGAAACATATTTAATGTTTGGTTCTGCGTTTTTTAAGAACTTTCCCAATACATTTATGCATAATATTTTTAACGAGCTAGTACTGCCTATCTCCATAACTGTCTTTACACATTCATATAATACAGCACTTCCACTATTTTTATCTCCATTTGTATTTGAGGCAACCTTTTTTGTTAAAAAATAATTGTTGTAAATTTAAATTGTAAAAGTTTTTTATTTCAAAAATGTATTTTTTAAAAATAATCTCAATTAAAATTGAAAATGATAAAAAAGTTTTCTAAAGTAAAACCATTTTAAATTTACCTCTCCCAATATACCACTAATTTCATCTGCTACGTGTTGCTTTCCTTAAGCCATCATTCTGAAGAATTCTAAAATAGAAATTTACAAAAATGGGTCATTAACTCCATTTACATCAAATTCTGCACTCATATTACTAATAAGAGCTTTCAGTATTTTTTTCAAAGGAGTAATATGCTTATAGAAATAGTTTTTATTTTCTTCGTTTAAAACAACTAAAGATTTCATTAAAGAGACAGTACTTAATAGCACACCTAATAAGTTTTTCAAATAATTTATAAGAATAATATTATATAATAAATAAAAATTAGACAAAATTTTTAAATATTGTAAAATTTATTCCAAAATCAATTAAAATAATTTTCTTCTTTCACCAAATTCTTTTAGATTTAATAAAGTTTTTAAAATAAAAAAGTATTTTTTTTATTTGCATTAAGATTATTTCATAATAAATTATATCAAAAATAGATTAAACTTCTTATAATCAGCTATTAAATAAATACATTTAATTATTTCAAATTTTATTTAAAAAATTTTGATTTTAATAAAATAATTGCATTATATTTCTATAAAATGATATTATTGAATTTTCAACTTATTTGTGAATGCTTTAAAAAAATGCTACAAATTTTAATTTGAAATCAATAATTTTATTTAATTTTTGTAAATGTTTATTAATATCTTATTTTAGAAAGAATGCCAAAAACTAAATTTTAAGAAATATAGTTTACCATGATGCTTATCCTCCATCAAGCTATCTATTTATTATACTATATCGGAAGTTGCTTCAGGTAACTTTTTAACCATTTTAATACAACATAATGCTACTTTCTTTTTAATAAAAGTTGATCCAACTTAGAATTGCTTCATAAGATCTGGAATCAACTCTCTACACATTTCTGTAGTGCAAATTTCATTTAAAGCTACAATAGCTAAACTAATAACGTAATTATTCTAGATATTTTAATAAAATAATTTATTTTCGCTTTAAAATTAAATTTTCTTATAATTTAGTCATAATTCTATTGTTTTAATGTTTTTTTTTGCATTAAGAATTATTATAAAAATTTACAGTGTGATTTAAGTCAATATGAATTCTATTAGTGGCCAACATTAATATTTCAGAATGTTCATGGAAAAGTTAACAGAGACCTAAGTACCCAATTCTTTTATTTCCATAATTTGAAGAAGTAATCAATTTAAGGCATTCCATTTAACCAAAATCTGTGTTATGACCTAACATAGATATGTAAAGCAATTTAGCTACATCCTTTGCTCTTGTTTCTTCTTTATTTTACTTTAATTTTAAATAATCGAATAACATATTAGATAAGCTAAATTAGCTTTGGATATAAAAAATAATTTTATTTATTAGTTGCAATTCAATTGCTTATAGTAGTTTAAAAATACATAATTTATTTATCTTTTTAAATTTAATATGATTGTAATCATACCAGGAATCTTTCTCTAATTAGAGCTTTTTCCTTATTGATTAACTCTCTTTCCTATGCAGCTGTTTTACATTCCCTCACTTGCTTTATAATATCTTTAAACTCATGTAAAGGGTGTTATTTAGTAGCTCCCTCTCCTGGCTTGCTAATACTCATTTCTTAAATTAGATTTATGTTCCAAAAATGAAATTTTATTTAATTTGTTTAATATTACGCTTAAAATTTTTATCTTATGAAATTTCTCTTTCTAAATAACTTTTGATAGAAGACTCTATCTTTTATTTATTATTAGATATTTTTTGATTTATTAAAAATTGACGCTCACAAACAAATAAACACAAACATTATCAATCCAAAGGCCTTTATTTATTATGACCACTTCAAACAAAGATATGTATGAATATTCATTTGATATACAAATATATTCAAAGCATCATTCTCATTCATTTTTTGAATTAATTATCAAAAAATATCTTTAAATTTTATCAGTCTAATTTAATTTTCATTTATAATTTTAATTGGGCTATACAATCTTATTAATTCTTTTATCAATCATTTTAATTTTTCTTAAATTTTACAATTCAAAAATAACAAACAATCATAAAGCTTTTGCTTTAACATTAAAATAAAATGATTTTTAGTTTTTTTTTTTTTGTGTTTTTCAACTATTCGAAAAATTTAAATAAATTCAATTTTTATTTAATAAATTTATAAATTCTATTCAAAAATGTCAAATAAAGGTCACAAAAATTAATCTAAAATAAATATTTCAATTTTTACTAAAATAATTATTCAATTAAATATTAATTAAATTCAGTTCTTAAAAAATATTATTTGAAATTTTTTTTTAATTTAGAATATTTTATTTATTTTAATTTTTTATAATTTTGCATTTATTTTTTTAATTTTTATTAATAGTTGAATGTTAATTTAATAAATTTTTAATTATTTCATTTGTCTGTTAGTCATTTTTTAATAAATTTGTTAATTTTTTTTGTTCTTTTTCTTATTATTGGAATTAAATATTTCTTATTTATTTATTTTTTATTTTTTTATGATTTCAACGAATATATTTTAATTAAAATTTTGATATTAATTTTTATTGATGGAAAAAAAATAAACTGTTAGAGTTAATTTAAGACAAGCTCAAAAGCTTTGTAAGTATATCGCACTAGGGGCTTCATAACTAGACTGCTAGCATATAGTAGAAGAGTAAAAATAGAGAGGAAAGATTAAAGAATAAATCTATTTCCTAAGATCAGCATTTATTTCTGTTTTAGATCTTTATTAACAAATCTTTTATATTAGTAGCGGATTAAAAACTTCTTGGTATAATGTATCCTTCATAATTAAAGCAATGAAAAACTTGGAATTTGAGATCTGTTAATCTTTGATCTGTTAAATAAATTGTTGTGTCTTAGTGTATCATTTTGACATAAGGGTTTTTGGAGAAAGAAAATGAAAAAAAGATGTTTGCATATTTAGAAGTGTTTGGTTTTTTTTGATAGTTCCAATCGACCTTTCAGCGGTGATTTCATATTAAATATTTTTTAGATAATAATTTAGAGTCTACCACTATGCATTTTTTAACATTTTATCGTTTAAAGAAGTGGATTTCGGTTACCAATTTAAGATTTGCCTTATGATTGAAAAAATTGGGCATTCGGGTAAACATCTTGATTATCTAAAGACTATTTTTTTGTTATTTTCTGTTAATTACAATTATTTAGATTTTTTAATTAATTACAAAAATTTTTTATTTTTCTTTTTTATATCAGCATTAGGAAATTTACACAATTTCTTAAATTTTTTCTTATCTTTAATTAAGAGTGCTTGCTAATTAAAAAATTTCTTTACTTTCTATGCATAATTAAATCTAAAATAATTATTGCAAATGAATGTTTGTTTTTTGAAATTCCAAATTCATAAAAATTGTCAATAATATTTGCCTTCTATCGATAAAATGAAACTAAATAACAGCTTAACTCAAAATATTAAAATAATGTTTTGGAAAAAATATTTTAAAGTCACTATCTACTCCATTTTTAATTGGCTTCTTGAAAAAATCTAAAAATTTATATTATATGTAAAAACTATAAAGAAGGAGTTGTAAATAGAAGATTTATAAAATATATGAATGGATTTATTTATTTATTTATCAAAAGCTATTCATAATTTCATAGATTATTTGATTAAAATTTCTAAGCAATAACAATAATCAATTAAGAGTTCTCTTTATTGCTTTTGCTTGCATGCATACATGCTAGTTTGATTGCTTGATTGCAGAAACAACACAATGAAAACTTTCTCTACTTTTCTTTTTATTCTTATTCTTTGATAAAAAATTATATAAAAATTAAAGGCATTATTAGAAATTATTAATAAAAAAATTATTAAATAAAAAAGAGAGAAAGCAAGAAAAAAGAAAGAAAATTTATATTGCGCAAAAAGAAATGAAGTTAGATCAAATTATCAGTTATTATATTACTCCTGTCAGAAGATTCGATAAGAACTTGACTGCTGAATAAATTTATGAATAGTATCAATAAGCTGCTCAATTCAACGAAATTGACGCTTTCACAAATATTCGTTTCCACAGAAAGTTCAAGGAATATATTCAAACTTAAGAATAATCTGACTACCTTTATGAAAAAGCTAAGCAAATTTCTACTCTTGCATAGAAGATGTTCGAAAAGAAATTCCCTGAATACTACACTTAGTGAATTAATAAAAGTGAATGACAACAATCTTAGGAAAATCATAGCAAGTAGCCTATTTGTTTGGAGAGATAAATTAGGAATTTGATATATTTTATAAGATTAAGGAATAAACTATAGCAATAGATGATATAAATATTTACTGTCTTAAGCATTTAAGATAGTGCGTATATCATTTAGAGTTCATTTTTATTAAATTGTATACATTTAAAATACTTGTAATTGTTAATCATATTTCCACTTTGCATAATTAATTTCCTCTAATCAAGATTCATTATGATTGCTTTCCTCATCTGTTTTTCATTTTTTAAAAACGATGATTAATTAATTGCATGTTTAATTTTGTTAATACAAAAAAATAACTATGGAGATTAGGTGTAATATAGCAGACATAAAGACTTTCAATTTCTATAAAATTATATCCATACTAACCAATTAAACTTAAGATATATAATTATCTATAATCTATAAACTTGCTCACAACAGCAACACAATAAATCCTACATTTATCCCAATAATATTTCAATCAAAAATTTTCAAAGAATTTTATTGCTTTCAATATAAAAAGTATCTTTTAATTTTTTAGGATTTGATCAATCTAATTAATAAAGATATTTATTTATTTAAGTAAATATAATAGAAATTTTTATAAAATTAATAATTAATTAATTTATTTATTTATTTTAAATCTTTTACTTATAATTATAAATATTTTGACTTGTAGATTACTTTTTAAGAAAAAACTTCATTTACAAAAAATAATTTATCTTTTATTGAATAAAATGATAAAAGTGATATTATTTTATTTGAATAAAATAATAAAAATGTTTATAAAATAATATTTTTCTCAAATTTTATTTTCGATTTCGAGCTTTGCTAACTATTTTCTGTTGAGATAAGTTATGCGTTGTGCATAGTATTTAGTTTCTAACTTAAATATAATCTCTTGATTATGAAATAGAAGATTTTGATTTTTAAACTTATCAATTAATGATAATAAATAACAAACATTTCTATTAAATTTAAAAGATTTTTATGAAATAAAGTAATATTTCATTGAAAAATACATGTAAATGTATTATAATAATTAATTTAAAAACAAAAATTCAATTTTTTATTTATTATAAATGAATAAAATTTAAAATATTTCTCATTTAAATTGCAATGGAATTGGATAGAGGTCAAATTAAAGTATATTATAATGTAGGCTATTAGAACTATTAATTACATATATGAAGGAAATGTTAAAATGATTAGTGATATAAGAGTAGGTGCATTCTATAACACTTTAAAATTTAATCAAGATCAAAGACAAAAACTTAGAATTGTAGAGAAGTTAATTTGCTAAATAAATTAAATAGAATTTCAGGATGGATAATATGAATTATGTTTAATTTATTTGATGAGTATAATCAGTAAAATAAATAAATAAATAAAAAACAACAATATTTGTATAATCTTATAATAATTGCTTAAAATTTAAGGGAATAGAAGTGAAGATTATAATAAGCATTTAAATTCAGTTTATGAAATCTTCAAGAAATAATCCCGTTTTACTTTAGCTAGACTCTCAGTTTCTTTAGTAGCAAAATAGCTGCCAATAATGTCAAATCTTGATATAAAACGAGGAAAGTTTAGTTTTATCTCATGTTGATTTATATAGATAAGATATTAGATATGATGCTAATTCAAATTGTTTGAATTTAAACGAATTTAAGTTAGAAAAAGGGACAAATAACAAAAGTTAGCACAAAAGAGCAACATAGAAAAAATAATTAGATGATAATATTAATAAATCTTGTGCACTTTTTACAGATAGTGAATTTCCAGCTGGGATAACATAGTTAGTAGGAGAAAATATCTCTCATTCAAATACAATTACAATTTAAAAAGATTAGAATGATATAGTTTGGAAACGATCAACAGAGTTTTTAAAAATTCAAAAGAGTATTTTTGGGAAAAACGGCATTCAAATACATAAAATAAAATAAGGCACTTTAAAAAACTGTTATTTATTAAGCAGTCTTTCATGCTTAGCAGAAAGACCAAGTAAAAAATTAAATTTCAAATAAATTAAATAAATAAAATTCATTTCAAAATAAATCTTTTAAAAGTTAAAAACTTATTAAATAATATTAAAGAAAGGATAGCTAAACTCTTCAAAAGTAGATTAATCAGTAGATATGGATTATATTCTGTAACTATTTTATTATTTCTTATATTCATTGTTAACACTTTATTTTTATAAATTATACACAATCTTGAGTTATTAATAAAAAAACTGAAATTTTTTTTTCAATTTTGTTTGATCAGTTTTATCAAAAAAATAAATAAATAACCAAATTTAAGTAATGTTCAAATTTTAAAGAATCTTATTTTTATATAGGTTTTTCTTTATGTGAATGGAGAATAGAGAGAAGTAATAATTGATGATTTATTTCCAGTTTATCACCAAACTGGATTATTTTTATTTGGAGGTTAATTAAAATAAGACCTTTGGATTTTATTGGTAGAAAAAGCTTGGGCAAAAATTCATGGAGGATATATGTACCTTGATATGGGAACAATGAGAGAAGCATTACATGATCTAACTGGAGCACCATGTGACAACTATTTCTTAGAGAATGAAAAAGAAGATGAAATTTGGATTTTAATAACTCAAGCATTATAAAAAGGATATTGCATCACTTGTGGGACTAAGTCAATAAATAACAAACTACTTCCTAACAATACAAGGATGCAAGATCATATCCTAAATGAAATGGGGCTTGTATCCTCACATGCTTATAGTTTATTAGGCGCCTATATTTTAGAAGATGCATCTAAAACAAAGATCATTAAATTAAGAAATCCTTGGGGAAAAGATGTAAATATTTATTAATAATTAATTTATGATTTTTCATTTTGAGGATTCTTTTTTTATGGTAAAAATTTAATTTTTCTGAAAAACTGAATTAGAAAACGAAAAGATTGCTCAATTTATTTTATTCAAATCTTTTTTCACCTTTAAAAAAATGCTAATTTTATCCTTAAAATAAATTCAAATTTTAGATAAAATAAACTCTAATTTTTCTTTTTATGTATAAAAAAAATGAGAGATTTTTTATAATTGTTGATATTAATCAATTAAAAATTATTTTTTGAATTAAATTATAATAGGAATGGAATGGAAAATTTAGTAGAAAAGATGAAAAATTCTGGGAAAGCATTAACAAAGAATTGAAAAAAAAATTAGGTTACTAAAAGTCAAAAGATGATGAGGGAATTATCTTTATGTAGTTTGAAGATTTTTTTAAAAATTTTGCAGATCTATAAGTGTGCATGGTGAATGATAGTTATAAGTACACAGCTTTCAAAACAAATTAATAAACTGACAAGAAATATTTTTATAAAATATCAATTTCTTAAAGTGGGGAGTATTTTATTACAGTTAATCAAAAAGTTAAAAATAAAAAAGAACAATATTTGTTTGCTGGTGCTAATTAAACAGATTATTCTTAAGTAATGATGACCTTAGCTTAATGGGATAGTAAATACAAAAGATATATTTACATTGATGGAAATTTAGACTGTTATCGTGAAGTATATACAAAAAAATCTAAACAGTAGATATTTAAAGAAGGAGATTATATTTTGTGTGTTAAAGTTAACTGGATTAATCAAAAGGATAACGATGAAATAGTAATTAGCTCCTATGGAGTAGACTCAGTTAATATTTGTCCCATCGATCCAATAGAAAATTTTACTAGATATACTATGTTATAGCATGCTATGTTTTAAAGTGAAAACAAAAAATGCTTAAATAAATACATGAAGAATGACTTCTGGATATGCATGAGTTAAATGCCAGAAGGTTATATTTATATAGCAGCTTGGAATAATGTAAAAGAAAATAACTAAAATATTAATTTTTATAGAAAGAATTAAAAAATTTATCATAAAAAAAGTAGCAGTTTTGTTGATGACCTTTGTAATTAATAAAAATATGATCATTAATAACTGAAAAGCTTTGATTTTAATTGCAAATTTATTATTAAAAATATGGATGGATTAAAGCTTAAAAAGCCATTTAAAGAAAATATTATTAATTTTTATCTTAAACCTGGATAGGCTGATATTGCCTTAATAAAATGCAAAGACTTAGAGTAATTACAAAGTTTTGATGTGGAATAATAGTTTATATTTTGATAAAAATGATGGAATTAAATGTTAATTAAAACACAAATAAAATAAAACATATTAAAAGAATAAAAAAAAACAAATTAAATATTTAAATTATAATTTAAATTAAAAATGCTTCTAATTAAGTAAAATATTTAAATATTTGGTTTTAAATCAATTTTTAAAATGAGTAAAAATATTTATGAGATCATCAGAAGAAAAAAAACCATTAATTATTTATTATGTAAATATAAACAAACCTACATATTTCAATTCTAGTTCTCCTTGAATTATTTTTAATTTTATATATTTATTTATTTATTTATTTATTATTTATCTTTGAATTTGATTATCATTATTTAAGCCTATTTTTTTTAAATTAACTCTAAAAACTTGTTTAAAGAATATATATATTTTTTTAAATATATCAGATTATTTCTATGATTAAATTTAATTTGTTTGAAGTAAAAAGAATTTTATATTGCCATTTATTTATTATGGTTGAAATGGAAAATTATGTTTTTGAATATGATGAATACTTAATTTAATAACACAAAAAAATAGATAACAACAAAATTAATTTTTACAATTTAGTATAGCACAAAAGGTTTTTTTTAATGAAATGTATTTATTTAGTAGAATATAACTTATATTATTTGATAAAAAAAAATATTCATTTAAGCAAGTATTTATTACTTGGTTCACTTGCACATATAACATTGGTGTTGAAAAATAAATAATAAATATTTTTAACAGCTAATTATTTTTAATAGAGATATTTTAATATTTTATTCTATTTTTAAATATAAAATTAATTTTGAGTTTTTTAAATATGAAATTTAAAAAAATTAATATATGATCATAAATTTTCTACTTCTTTAAGTTATTATTAAATGTAGTTGCTAATATTACCTATGATTTATTTTTTAAAAGTAATAAATAATCTATATAAATATTACAAATATACAATAATTAAAGAACCTTCATAATTATAAATTTTCATAAAGATTATTTGAAGAGTTTCATATTATTCCTATTAATTATTTTAGCAAACTATTATTTTAGAGGAACGAACCAAAATTTTATTTTTTATCAAACTTCTTCAAGAAAACATGTCTAGATCTGACCTAAAGTAGTAGAAGACATTTATGAATCTACCTAAAGAGTCTTTTTAGAGTATTGATGATTTGTATTTACACACCGAAGAAGAAGAATAATCTCAAGGTACTTACTAAAAATAAAGATCCAAACTAAGCCAAAATGAAATGGAACATTTTAAAATCACTAAGCCTCCATAGTTAAATTTAGGAGGAGGCATTAGCAAATAAGTTCAATAAAATAAAGTCCTTTTTTCTAAGCCTAAATATTTAATTAAAAGCATTGATAAAGCTGAATACAATCAAAGTTAGAATATACAAACAGAAAACAACTATCAATCTGCAGAAAGGCCATAATCCCCTAAAGTTGCAAGAAAATTTCCTTTTAGTTCTCCAAGCAATCAGCTTAGATCTGAAATGGCTAATTAAGAGGAAGAAAGAGCTTTTAAGAAACCTTCATTCTAATAGCATAATTTAGATTAAATAAATATGAAGGGTAATTTGCCAAGAAATGTATTTTCTCTAAGCTCAAAAAATGATGCTCAAAAAAATTTAATGAATATTTCAGACTTATAAAAACGAATTGCAACAAACAGAAGTGAGTTCCCACAAAAATAATCTCTTACTTAGTTAAAAGAAAATATATTTGCTAAAGATACAAAATAAGAAGGAACTCTAGACTTTAAAACTAACTAATTTTATGGATAAGGGCCAAGGTATGATGGAGATGGCAACTTAGTTACATATTCTTTAGTTGGAAAGCCAGAGTGGTTTTTATAAGCTTCTGAGGATTAAAAAACTCTAAAAAGAGGTAATATTTTAGTAGAAATATTTTAATAATAATAAGCGGAAAAAGATTTTTAAAATAAAAAAACTGTTAAATAAACAAAGAAAGATCTACTGGCTTTATAAAAGTCATTTAATTTTGAAATAACTCTATATTGCAGAGTTAAATATTGCTTTTAAATATGATATATACAGAATGTCTTATTTTTTTAAGTTAAATTAAAATTTATTTTTTTTTTTATGCAAAGATTCTGCAAAGTAATCTAAGTTAAATAAGAAAGTTTCAATGGCTTCTTTTGCAAGCAAAACATCTAGCATCAGGATTAAAAACTCAATAGATACTTTGAGTAGAGTAGATAAGAAAAGAAGAGTAGCCAATTAATCGTTGGGTGAATAGCTTACTAAGGAGTAATTAATTAAAAAATTAGAGAACGTTGAAAATAGAATCGAGGAAAATAAAAAAAATGATGAAAAGGTTTTGGAAAAAAAACAATTATATGAAAAGGTCTAAGAAGAGAAGCAAATGCATTAACTTTCTTACTATGACTCTGTAAATGATAAATGGGAAAAATTAAATTATAAATTATCTGAGAAATTACTAAGACCACCAGAACTATCTCTGTTAAAATCTAGTGTTCCTTAGTTTAGATAAAAAGTTGAGGTCACATAGATTTTGGAGCAAGTGAAGACTCCGAATGAACTACTGGGTAATAATTAATATAAATCCTTTTGTAAATTATATATTTTATGATTTAAATTAGGCAATAAATTTTGGGAAGTTACACTTAGAGATAAGTTTATTGATTATACTAAAATAAAGCTAGGATAAAATGATGAGCCAGGAATACTAAGCGAAGATCAAACAAATTTAAATTAGGAAAGTAATATTTTTGAAAAGAGAGCTTAGTCATCTCATTAAATGAACAGATCAGTTTATAGAGAGTTATCATATTCTAAAGGAACAAAAGTACCAGTATTGTTTAAGAAAGAAGTTGAAATAATAAAACATCCTAAATTACTAAATACAAATAATTAATCTAGCACTCAGTAATTCTAAACGCTTGGATAATATTTTAGTTCTATCAATAGCAATCAATTTAATAGCACCTAAGGAAACACTTTTAATTAATAATAACCTCGGTAACTTCTTTCTTAATAAATGTCTAGGCGACCATACTCCCAATAAAGTGCACAAAATATCAGCTATAGAGCAAGAACTCCTTTTAATTATAATGGATTTGCAAATGCAAATGAATTTATGAATAGCATACAAAACTCCATGTCAGTTAACCACTCTTCTCAAGGGCAAAGGGTTAATCTAAATAACTCTATGGATAAAATACAGTAGTTTTTTACTGCTTTAACAGTTGATGCTGATGAATTAGTTGTAAATAATATAGATAATTATAAATTTTTTAAGGGGAATTTTGTTTATTTTATGATTAAAAATTAAAGATTAAAGGAGAAAATAAATTGAAAGCAGAGAAAGAAGCACTAATAAATGATGGGCATCCTAATTAATTCATTTATAAACACTTTAATTAAGATGAGATTACATAATTAGAGAATCAAAAAAATTCATCGAAATAGAAAGAGTAAAAAGAAGGAGGTAAAATTATTTTTATTGGAATTTAATTTGATTTAATTTATAAATAAATAAATAAATAAATAAATAAATAAAGGAGATTAATTCACGGGAAATACAGATTAAATTAAATAATAATATGTAAATGCATAAAACAAAGGAGCCATATAAAAATAATCAACGTTTGGCAATATGAAATCATCTAACATTTTTGATTAAACTGCTAACAAAAAAGAAGATATGATTTCTAAAAAAAGGAATAACAATAATTAATCAGCAGGAGCTAATTAATATAATAATCAGTCAGAGAATAACCACTAATCTCTAACTTCATAAAAAACAATCACCAACAATTTATTGTCCCAGCAATCAATAAAGATTGGAGGTTTTAACAACCCTTTTCATGTATCCTGAAAATGAAGAAATGTATAAAATATTTTAAATTGAGAAATCCACTAAATATATAAAATAATAAATAAATCAAAAATCAAATATTTTGGAAAAAATAAAAATTAAAAAATTATAATTATATTTTTTTACTAGTTATTTTAGTGTCTTTGCTCATTATATATTTATTATAAAATTAAAATAATATTTTATAAATAAAGAAATATTTCATATAAGCTAGAGATATTTTTTCAGATTAAATAATTAGAAAAAGCTATGTAAATTTCTAGTATATCACATAAAGTTGTTTAGTTTTCTATTTTGTTTATAAATATTTTAAGAAAATATTGAAGTAAAGAGTTAAATAAATATTATATCAAAACATGATTTAAAATATCTTAAATTTCAACAAATAAGATATTATACTTTTGAAGATAGAATTTAAAGTGAAATTAGAAAAATATTAACTACTAAAATCTATTTGTATATACTTTAAGAAAATACCGAAGAAAAAGAGATTACAATTCCATCAAAGTTAATTAATTAACATGAACAAAAAAATTTTTTTAATTAGATGAAAATGTTTATCATAGTTTTAGAATGATATAAAAATATTAACAAAAATAAAACAAATTTTTTTAATTGTAACTTCAATTTAAATAAAATTTAAATATAACTGATGAATTTTTTAATTTTTATTGAGTTTTCTACCTAAATAATTTTTTTTCATAAAAATTTTTAAAAGACTTCGTTCTTTGCTTCTCCTTTTAGATGAGTTAGAAGAGATGAGTTTTTACGGTAATTATTTTTGTAAATTTTTGTAAAAATCAATCTTTATTTTTGGAATATAAAATTAATGAGTATCTTATAAATAGTTTTTAGAAAAATTAAAGTTTTATATTTTTCATTATGAAAGTTGTTAATTACATATTTATGAAATATTATTTAGTATCATGAATTGTTAATTTTTATATTAAATACTTATTTTTATACTTTGAACTTGTTACACTTATTAATGTAAATTAAATTAAACAGAAAAATGCAGAATATGAATATAAATTTAAACTGATTAAAAATAAAACTATAAGATTTATTTATCTATTTATTTTTTAGCTATCAAAAGAATTGTTTTTATTTTCAAATAATTTAATTATATAAAAAAAAATTTTTTTCAATAAAAATAGTGTTTTTTACTTTTTACATATTTGGTTAAATTATCCTTCTAAATTACTATAAAATTAATTAAAGCCTTATTAATAATTTAAATGTAAAATATTAAATGTAAAACATGAATGATTTTTAATTCTAAATTATGAATAAAAGTTTTTCAAATAAAATGAAGATTTATGAGAATGTTCTTTACAATTTTCAATATGGTTAATATTTATATGAAATTGAATAACAAATGATGGATTTGCTTTTGAGTAATCCTTCCCTTTTAGATAATTAAATAAAAATCAGAAATTGTTAAATTGTTAAATAATTAATTTAGAATACTTAATTAAAATAAATTACTGAAAAACAAAATAGTTTGGATCTTAGTTTCAAAATTTAACTTGTCTGAAGCTGCCATTTCAACTTTAAAAACTCAAATTAAACATGTATAACTTTAAAGTGAATGATCCAGTAGTGGCAGAATAAGCTGAAATGAGCTTGGATAATTCCAAAGAGTTTTCATAATTTTACTTGAAAAACGATTTTTAAGAGTAAGAGGACTATAGAATTCGTAAGGGAGACTATAAGCGCAGCAAATTGTTTCAGGCTAATGAAATGGTTTAGCCTTAAAGCGTTAATATTTCTATAGTAGAGGAGAATCAAACTATATTAACAGTAGATGGTAACGAACTATAGCCATAAGATGTGAGTTGCAAGCAAATCAAGCAAAAAAAATAAGAAAATTTAAATATTGTTTCAAAAGAGTTTGTGAGTAAAGAGGGAATACCAAATACACCAAACATACATTATATATCACCAAATATAATTCCCTTATCTAAAGTCTAGAATTATGAGACAACTGTTTAAACAAAAGCGACATTTAATAATTATAGAAACAGCTTAAATTCATCTAAGCTAGGCATTCAATCATCTCCAAATAAATAAAGTGTTCGGAATACGGAAAAACAAATTAACAAGTATAATGGATAATTGATATAAGATAAATCTTCTTTTTCCCCTTTAAATTCTGCTTTAGTGTAAAGAATGATGGTAAATTAGAGGCTTTCCTTTTTTAGGATAGTGTTTATAATTAATAGATTTATATTTCACATCAAAAGAGTTTTAATGCTTTTCCACCCAGAGAAATTGAATTCCCTTTAATTAAATTTGATTGGCGATTTAGCTTCTCAAAATTATGAATAAGACGAATTTGGTATTCCTTACAGCCCAGAATAAAATTTTTATAAAAATTATTTAGAGCAAAAAAGTATAAACAATAATAGCAATAATGAATAGGCAAATTGCTTTTCTTAATATGTAACTAATGTGAATATTTCTCATGAGAAATAAAAAGAAATTGAAAGACAAAAGATGAAAAAAAGAAAAAGAAAAATATTAAGAAAATTATAAAAGCTTTTTGGCATTAATTTTTTTTCTTAGATTTTATAAATGTGCAAGCAAAAGATGAAGAGATTAGCTAAACTTACAATTAATAAAATACCTCTAATAGATTTAAATTCTAATTACTACTATATTTGGCAGACAATAATCTTGATTTGTGATTCGATTGTTATGATTTACATCCCATTTTAAATAAGTTTTTAGCCTATTGAAGTTGTTGAAGTCTATTTGTTAAAGGTAAAAAATAATTTTTTATTGAGAAATAAATAAATAGAGCTTTGTCCTTAAATTTATTTTTTAAAATTTTAATTTTGATTTCAAAAGCTTCACCTGAAAAAAATTGATGATTTCAATTTGAATTATTCGAATAAGAATTTTTAGTTTATAAATATCAAATTTTTGATTTAATCATTTACAAAAGTGTAAGTAAAGCCTTATTAAATAAAATTACTAATAATATAGGTAGTTCTTCCAATAGTTTACTTCATGAATCTGTTTATTAATTTGAATGTATCCGCTTACGATAAAGGAATCGTAATCACTTCTCGCTCGAAAATAGTCAAATTGTATTTTACTAATAGCTTCATATTTGATTTTATAGCTATTATCGCCTCATTTTCTCACAGTTTTCTCCTTTTAATTCGATATTTTTACTCCAACTCTTTGATTGAGTAGCTCAAATCATACTTCATCCTTAATTCAAATTTAAGTGCTGTCATTTAACTTACCTCTCTGGTTATAAAAATATTTGCTTTTTCACATATTTTTAGTTGCTTTTGGCATGCAATAGGCTAGTACTATTACTTTCAAAAAATTGGGTAATTTATAAAAATTGTAAAAAATTCCTTTTCTATTTTATTTTATGTCAGATATTTACTAATTTTAATTTGGTATTAGATAATTTTTTTTGAGGTTACAAATTCACCTAAATTTGATTAAGTAATAAAAGATCGAATAATATCAAATTATTGATCAAATTGTCAAAAATTTTGATTTATAATCAATTTATTTAAAAAGAATGATAAATAATTCTACCCGATTGCTTTAAAAAGTTTATAAAATTTTTATTTTTAAAAATTAGATGGATATACGAGCTTGGATTTTCAAATGAAGATTCATATAAAATCTACATTGTTTGCTTTTACTATGCTGTAGTCACTATGAGCACTATTGGATATGGAGATATTTATGCTAAAACTACTGGGGAGATGCTTTTCATGATATTTGCAATATTAATATCTAGTTGCTTATTCGGATACACAATAAATTAAATAGGTAACAATAAGTTAATTAATTAATGAGCATTTTTTGTTTTGTTTTGTTTCTGATAGCTTTTGTAACCAAAATTAATCAATTACATATATTAAATTTTTCATTTGCAATTATAAAAATAATGAACGAAAAGCTTTTTTTATTTTGAATCTATCATATTAAAATCATTATACTCAAGATCATATACTTTAAAATTAGGGACAATAATTACAGAACTTAGATATAAGCATGAAATTTGCTCTAAAAAGTAAGCTAAACTGGAAGAATATTTAAGTAGACATCAAGTAGATGCAGGATTAAGGAGCAAAGCCAGAAAATATATTTAATATATTTATTAATAAGAAAATATTATGAATAAGGATGGTTAAGAAAACCTTAAGCATTTAAACTCTTATCTAAAACAAGAGATTTAAAAGGATATTAAAACAAAGGCATTTAGTAAAACAAAGTAAATATTCTAATGTATCTCAAGAAATCCTAAGTTTTTAGATAGAGTCGTCTCAATAATAAAGGAATAGTAATACGGACCTGAAGAATTGATTAACTTACCAAATTAGAATTGTAATCCTTCTCTGCACATAATCCAGTATGGCGAAGTTGAAATATTTATTAAATCTAGAGAGAGTAATTTACCTTTTAAGACAATACAAGTAAAACGCATTTATTTAACTTTAAGTTATAATTTTAGATTTCAGTAAATCTGAAACAAATTTTAAAAATCAAGTTTCTTAAGGCTGGGAGTGTATTTGGCTAACAAGAGTTTTTCACTAATAACTAAATAAACTATTTATAGGCAAGATCAGTGGGAATATCTTACATATCTTTTATACAACTTTAAGATTTTGAATCTATTTTAGACTAATTTCCTGAAGAAAAAGAAAAGTTCTTCATGATAAGAGACTAGGTGCTTATAAATAAATAGAATTTTCTCATTTAAGATAGTTGTATTTCTTGCAAATCAGACAATCATAATCTTTAAAATTGCCCTTATATTTTTTATTTTCCTATTATTAATGATGGCAAAAAAATATAATAGATTGTAAACTAAATTAATAATTAAGACTAAAGTCTTTTTAAATAGTAATTTAGGTAGAGGCAAAAAGTGAATGTCTTTAAAAATTTAAATTTACTTTAATCCTAAATAAATTAGTATTAAGTTAATTAGGATGAATTCATTAACATTTTCTATGGATAGTTAGATGAACAAGATCACATCGATGGTAGACTTTTATATTTAAATATATTAATTTTTTTTATGTTATAAAATAATAAATTAGATTAAGATCAAAGCCTGTGTTAAATGAGACCAGAATTCGAAGATACAGATTCAATGTCTTAAGATTAAAATAAAGAAAATATTAATCTTAGCAGAATTAGAAGTCACTCTAATATTTCTCTAAAAAACAATAACTCATATAAATTTCCATTACAAAATTAAGTTGTATTTAATGATTTGGATTCTTAAAAATTACGTAATAGTCATTAAAATAGCTAAATTCTGACTATTGATAAAGAAATGTCTCACAGAAAAGGTTCTAATAGCTATTCTTCAAAAAAAGGAAGTAAAAAATCAAAACAATTTTAAGAAAATGACAGAATATTAACTTAATCTTCTCAGATTGCTTGTGAAAATAAATTTGATTAAAAGCCATCAGATATTTTAATTAAGAATATAAAGAGTGAGATGTTCAACGAAGATATAATTTAGTAGTAAGCTAAACAACCTATTCAAACAGATATTTTAAAAAGAAGTTTTACTACCAAAGGAACAGATGAAGTGGAAATGAAAAAAACTATTTCACGAAAAAAGAGAAAATCTTTTACTCAAGTAAATTAAAAGAAACTATAAAAAGAAGAAGAGGAAAATGAGGAATTTTGTTTAAAAGATTAGGTAGTATTTAGAGAATAACTCAACTAAAATAATACATCAGAAACAAATATATTTACCAATAATCATACCCATTTTTCTAAGAATTTTACAAATCAGTATTAGAATAAAATTCTTTCGAATAATGCTGCACTGTAGTCAGATAAATAAATATAGAATTCATCCTAAATTAATATTCTTGGAGGAGTTAATTCAAACTTATTCCCAACTATAAATTTATAGCCTCTTTTGTATTAAAATTCAAATAGTTTAAGCTCCAAAAATCATTCAAATATTTAGCCTCATAAAACACAAATTTCTCAATCTTCAAACCATACAATCTACAAATAAAAAATACAGAATCCTGTAATATAAATTCTGCCAAGTTTAATAAGCTAATTAAATTAAATTTTTGTATAGAACTAAAATTAAAATAACATTAATATGAACCAAGTAAATAAAAACAGTATTGATCAAAATATATCAAACGAAGAAATATAAACTATTTTAGGAAGAAATATTAACAATTAAAATAAACAATACTTAAAACCTAATTAGTTTACTGATGGAAATATCATACCTTTAAATCTAGATATCTTAAAAAATTACCAATTTTATCTTCCTCACAACAATTTCGATAAGATGTCTCATTCTTATAATTAAAAGTTGAAAAATAAGCTATAAATTTAAAAAAAAGTCTCTCCTAAAAAAATTAGAAGATCTAAAAATGAAATAACCTTAATATAAGATATTCAATTGAATTGATTCTTTATCCAAAATACCATAAATTAGTAATGATATTTTACCTATGTAAATAAATTTGTTGCTTAAAAAAATTACAAATAAAAGCTAATTAACTTTAAATTTAGGTTTTTAATTTATAAAAATAATTATTTTAATATATTTAGAAAAGCTAAAAAGTGATAAAATTATAAAATTTAAAATTTCAAATAATTTTATTATTTTGATATTCAATTTAATTATTGAATTAAATATTTTTGTTGCTGTTTTCTATAATTTTTTCTGTAAAATAGATTTAAACAATATTCCAAATTACCCAAAGTATTAAGTTATGTAAATATATTTATTGTTTTAAATTGTTTCAAATTATAAATCATTATAAATCTACATTTTTTATTATTTTTATAAAAAATTAGTAAACATTTATTAGAGACTGTAAGTAGAATAATAATTTTAATGAGAGTATCAGAATTTATTTCTTTTTTCTTAATATTCTAACTTTTTCATTCAATTTTAAGTAGATTTTTTAGATAAAATCTTTAAGGCTACAAATTTTAATTGTAAAAAATATTTAGAACATCAAAAATGAATAAATATAAATTTAATATAATTGATTTGAAATCAAGCTGATAAATATTCATAAAAAAATATTTAATTTGATTGAAAATTTAAAATATCTTTCTCTTAGTTATTCATCTAATAATATAAATATTATTTTAATTTTTTTCCAAAACATTATTAATTAGTTAATAATAAGTAAATATATTTATTGTTTTAAAAAATATTCAAATTATAGTTCATAATAAATCAAAATTATTAGCTATTCTAATAATTTTACATTTTTTTACATTTAAAAAATAAATAAAAATTAGGAAATAGAATAAATATCAACAAATTCAATAAAATTTTATTTTTAAATTTACAAAAAAAAATAAGTCATAATATTTTTAGTTAAATTTTCCAGTAATTTAGTACTAATACAAAACTTATATAAAGTATCTCATTTGAAAAAATAAGCAATTTTATCAAATATTACATAAAAGAAAAGTATAGCTAATAAGAATAGAATGAAGTATATAAAATACTTGGTTAAATATCTTTTTGCTTGTAATATGTTAATCAATTTACTTGATTGTTTAATATCAGATTCAATCACTTTTTACTATTGATTAAGAGTATCTAATTTATTATTTTATTCGTAAATATTCTTTTACATTTGATTTTATAGTTAATCCATAAAGAAAACATCTTATTTTGCTTATATTAATTTCAGATTTCCAGCAAAAAAATTATTATAACTTTCATAATTCTACTAATTTTATTAAATGTTAAAAATAATTATTATATATTTATTGTTATTTTTTTAATTACTTCGCTTCCATATTATAGCTCTATATCGTTTATAAACTAATCAAGTCCTTAAATTTAATTAGGACAGTGCTTTTGATTTAAAACCAACATCTCTTGATACTTTGCCTATTGTTATTTTAAGTCCATTTAATGCATCTATATCTATTTATTAATTATTTTTATTTGTATATTGTTTGTTCAAGGATTGATTTTTACCTCTCTTTTTGCTTAATTTATATTTTGGCTATTACTCAAACATTCTAAATCCATTTCTTTAAGCAGGTTTTAAGCATAAGTAAAATCTTACTTCAACTTTTAAAGTTTATCTTTTATTTTATATATTTTTATAATGGATGCTTATCAATATTAATTATGAATTAAATAAATACCTTTATTCACATTTCCTACTGATTATTTAATACTTTTGTCAATTTACTACAAAGTGTCGATGTATTAATTTTATAATGATCTAAAGTTTTCATTCTTTTTACTCAAATTCATTTTATTTATCTCAATCTTTTTTAATTGTTCTATTTTTACTATTCGGTATATATTTAATTATTTCTTAAAAACAATATTAAATTTTGAATTTAAAAAATTTCTAGTAAATCAGAAAATAACAGTAAAATTTATTACCAAATATCTTAAATTTTCTATTTTAATTCAAACCTTGTTTAATATGAAATTTTTCATATTCTCACAATATTACATTTAATATTTTTTAAAATTTAAAACACAATTGAAAATTAAATTTACATTTCTTAAAAAAAAGTATCAAGAATATTTTAATACTTTGAAAGTAATAAATGAAAATTAATTTAATCTACAACTATTTTATTTTGATATTACAAATAATAAATATTTAAAATAAGCTAATTTTTATCTTTTTTATGTGAGCGTTAAAAATGCTTTTAAATAAATAATTAATTATCATAAAAATTTTAAAGAAAAGATTAATTTTAAAAAATTTTGAAAATTTTCTTTTAATTAAATTTAGTTTCTGCTAAAAAATTAACTAATTTAAATTCATATTAATATTTTTAAAAAAAATTGTTTATTTTACTCTAAAATTAATATAAAACTATTAAATTTTTTGAAAATATTGTTTATTAAGTAAATTTTCAACATATTTCTAATTATCAAACAGATATTTAACTTATCATAATTATTTAGGATAAATTGTTTATTTGAAAATAAAAACTATAAAATTTCCTTAATTAGTTTTGAATAAAAATAAAAAATTTAATAATACTAATATTGAATTCTTTATCTTATTGTTATATTTCTTTTAATATCAATAAATGAAGAATTTTAAATTTAATCTAATTTTGAAAAAGAATAAGAAATTTATTTGAATGGTCCAGAAAGAATATGTAAAATAATTGATAAATATAAAGTTTGTTTGTTATATATAAATACAAACTATTAAGAATAATAATCAAAATTATTATTTTTAATAAATATTTATTTATTAATTAATTGAGTTATCTTTAATTATTAATTTTTGTATATAATTATTATTCAATCCTTAAATTAGCAAAATAATGAAATGGATGAATTTTTATTTATTTTTTATTCACAGAGTTGTTTGTTTTTTAATTATATTTTTTATTTACTTTGAGGATTTGAATTTCAAAATAATATATTATAAGATATTAATTTAATTATTATTTATTATTTATTTAATTAATTAATTATTTAGGCAATCGATCATTCAAGCAAGCAAGCTATGTTACTTATCAATTCATTTATTTTCGCCAATTTTGTTAATCTTTGAATATTCTAAGAAGGCTTTTTTGAATATAATTAAGTATTAATATTAAATTTTAATTTATTTATATGTTTTACTAATTTTTGTTTGCTTCTTGGAAGAGTTGCTTCCGCCTGGAGTAAAGCAAAGAGGTCTAAAGGATCTTGAATTTCCAAATTCGTCTATGTTATTAAGTTAACCACTACTCTCTCTTCTTTAAATTAAATATGATGGAGGTTTACTTTCTTCTTATGAGGTGGTATTTTTATTTTTCAAACTAGAATTATCACTATTCAATGATGTTTCATCTATTATTAATTTCATAAATAAATTAAATATCAACACAAATTTTAATTTTTACTCTAATTTGATTTTTCTTCAAGTGTCCAACTTGTGTTGGATGCATTTTTATTCTTATATTGTTAATAATATGTGGGATCTTTTTGGATATTAGGGAATTTTTTGATTGAGTCAAAGTAAGGCTCTTTCTTTAAGTTAACTCTTAACTAACTACGAGGTAACTTACTAGAAATTGGACTTCTTGACGTTGATCTATCTTCTGGTTCAAAGTTATAAACTTCTTCAATTTTATCTTTAAATGAGATTCTTCTTTGAGATTTCTAATTTTTTTGATTTTTATTAATATATTTATTATGATAAAATTATATTTAAATTACCTTTACAGAGCTAGCTTTTGCTAAAGCTGAACTTGTTGGAGAGCCCATAAGTGATTTCTTTAAAATAGTTTTGGATTAATTGATAGAAGATCTTTTATGAGAAACGATGCTAACAGTTATTTCACACCCGTCCTCATCTTCTACCTAAATACTAGAAGATATTACTTTAGAAAGTTGTTGATGGCTTTGAGATTTGGAAAATGAGTTGTTTGTATGAGCTTCATTATTAATAGAAGTTGATGAGTTAGCTGAGAAAGTGAATTCTTTCATAGGATATGAGTTTTTATTTTGTATTTCAATATCAATACTTGTATTTTTGCACAATTAAATGTTTGGAGTTGTTTGAGAATGCAATAATGATGAAGTCTACTATTATGCTTATTTACTTTCTCCGATAATCAAATCTGATGATGTCTATTCACTTGCACTTTCTTCTTCCTAACTTGAGCGTTTGCTACCGAATTCCTAAAACTGATAATCAGTATCAATTTCTTATTTTAGGTTTCTACAGATGCCAATATCTTCAGTATTTGATTCATTTTTAATGTTAAATGTAAATTGCTGTCTTTTCTTTTGAGATGATTCAGAATTATCATTAAAAAGTACAGTAGATGAAGGAGTATCTTCTTCGCTTGAAATTTATTTCTTTTTATCTTGAATCTCACTGATTATTGTTTAGCTTTCGAAATTACTTATGTAAGTATTTTCGTTTTAAGATTCCTTTGTTTGTTGAGGATTAGGTTTTATAGAATTGGGATCTGCTTACTGCTGATTAGGGGAATTCTTTTTAATTTTTTCAGGAGTGGAGTTTACTTGAGAGCTAGGAATTTCTTTGTTATTGCTAATTAATTGATTACTCTCTAAATTTTCTCCAATATTGAGGATGGCATCGTCATCATCATCAATAGGATTTCTCAAAATACGACTGTTGTTTTCAGATCTTTTTTCATCCTAATCACTAATATTTTTATTGTTTGAGTTGTTGTTACTTGATTTTGAGTGACTGCTGCTGTAACTGTATTTAGAAATATTGCCATTGCTCAAGTCATTTTTCTTATTTTGGATGATAACGCTATCTTCGATTAATTTTTGAGTGCTTTCATAAAAGTTGGATCTTGAAGATAGATAAAATGTTGATGATGTAGGTTAGGTATTTTATTTAAAGCTTGATACTGAAGAGTTTTCCTCTTTTTCATTATTTTATGCACCTTTTTTATCAGCATCCTTTTGATGACTCTGAGTTTCATGTGCAAGTGGTACGTAATACAAATCTTTATTAATAACAAATTTATCTTGAGTTGGTGTTGTTCTATTATAGAAGTTTTGCTATGAAGACTAGTCTAGAGCGCTATCTATAACTAAAGTTTTAGGTGCTTCTTTCTTTGGTTCAGTATTTGATAAAGGGTGTTTATGTAAGCTATTATTGTGGTTATCCAAAAATGACAATTTTTTGCTCGCACTTGGACGATTAGAGGGAGGATTCTGGAAAGCTGAGAAATGGGAGTCTTCATTTTCTTGTGTGTTGTTTGTATTTTCGCGAATCTACTCGAGTGGATTTTCTCTACTTGTATGGACTTCATCCTCATTACCTTCTAATTACTTTTATTTTACTTCTTGAAGCTTATTCATTTGGGCATTATTCAAAGCTATTTTAGATTGAGAAGGAGTGTTTGGTTTAGAAAGTACTTACTATATATTATTTTTGCCACTTACTACACTGTTTTGTGAAACATTTAAATCAGCCTCAGTCTACTTAGTAGGAGTTTTCATCTTAGCTTCATACTCTTAGAAGAGTGTGAGGTTGCTTTTATTCTTAAACAAGGGCTATCTTGGAGTTATATTAGTGTTACTTACAGGAGAAGTTATTTACAATTATTAATTGCGAGGTTAGCTAGAGTAATTGCTAATATTCAAGTTATTAGGAGTTTAGGAGCTAGTATAGCTTGTGTTGTTGCTGCTTATGTTGCTATTGAAGTTTTTATTATCAAAAACTAGGCCTTAGTTTTGGGTTTATTGACTTTTTGTTTCTTCAAATTACTTAAGATAAGTACTAAAACGAATGTTTGTACCATTAAGCAGATTTGAGGCTGAGCTTGTGTGCTAGTTATTGCTCAAAGATGATACATTGTTTGAGTTAATATTAAATGTATTCTAGTTTTTTCCTTGAGAATATTCATCTATTTTTTTACTTCTTAAGCTTGTGTTATTCAAATTATTATTGTTAGGGGTGTTAAACATATTTTGCTAGTATCTAGAAGATTTTAAATTTGAACCAGGAGTAGAAACAAAGCTGTTGTTGTTGTTATTATTATTGATTGCAGTATTAATATGAATATTAGAGTTGTTTAAGTAAGAAGAGTCATTAGCGTTTTCTACAAATGATTGTTTACGAGAAGAAACTGCTGAATCTTGATATCTGTTTTAAGCAGATGAGCTTGAAGATGAGTGATTAGATTTTGCACTACCTCTGTAAGAACAATGATCCTAGACCATAGACTACTCCATCTTAGAGCTAGGCACTTACAATAAAGGAGAATTATTATTGTTGCTATTGTAGTGGATGTTTTCAATTTGCTTTTAATTAAGAGAATTATTTGAATTTATTTAAGAGTTAGTAGCACTAGTTTAGCTGTTTTTCATTTAATTATGTTGATCTTCTTTTAGAATGATTTTAGAACTTCCAGAATGCAAATACTCTTAAAATTGACTTTTCTTTTTCTTTTCATCTTAATCTGAATAGACATTTGATTAATTTTAAGAAATTTATGCATTAGGGGTTGAATTTCCACTTTCACACTCTTTTTCGTGAATATGCTCTAACTAGTTTTATAATTAGCCTAGAGGTATTTTATTTTTAGAGCTATTGTTGTGATCTTTTTTATTTGACTTTTTATTCGAGCAATAAATAGGAAGCTTAGGAGAACCTTCACTGAGCTAATCAGTGTTATCAGTTCGAAGAACAACATCATCTTAATCACTAAGATTATCATTCTTATTCTAAATGGATAAGTTTTGAGTAAGACTTTGTAACTCGCTTTCATACTATTCTTCTGATTAAATATTGCTTATAATCAAAGCATTCTTGCTAGATAGTTACATTTATGAATTCGAGTCTTTCTAATCAAGAGTATTTAACTCACTACCTGATGACGTAGATGATTTAAGAGTTTTATTTATGTTATCAAACTTTAAGCAGAAAGGAGTTAAATGCTAAGAGCCATTTTTCTCATCACTTGATGTCTTTTGCTGTATGTTATTTTTGTTAGAGCGTTTGCTTTTTGAGCTCTAAAAACAAGGTGTTTACTTTCCTGGAGCATTTTCACTTTCTTCTGTGTTAAGTTTTTATTCTTTCTTCTAAGGGGTGCTAGCAGAATTTTGATCATTTTACTTTTATAACTCTTTATTGTTCTTGTCAACTTGAATAGGAGTAACAATCTTATTATTTGTTTCTAATTATTTATCGTCTTTAATCGTTTGCTTTTCATTCTTTTCATTTGCAATTACTGGTTTTATAAATTAGATAAATTCTTTTTGCTAATTTTAAGCTGAGTTGTTATTGTTTTGATTTTATGCAGAAGCTTTATAAGTTGCATGTTTAAATTTATTTTCAGGTTCTGGGATCATTGTCAGAGCTGAATTTTGATCTACATTCAAACAAACGTTAGATTATTTAGATTCTTAGGACTCATTATTCTTGAAAAATTCTTCAAATAGCTTTTCTTCTCCTTATGACTATTGAGCATAGGTTATTCTAACACTCTCTTCAAAGTTATAAATCTTAGAGTTATTTTATGTGCTTGTATCATTCCTATTGCTAGGAGTTTCTTCTTTTTCTCCATTTATGCTGCTCTAAAATGAATTTCCATTCTTATTTTCTTTTTAGCCTTTCTCGAAGAGTTTAGAGGGCTATGATAAAAATAAATTTTTATTAAATTTTCTTATAAAAAGTGTTTTATTTACGTTTTTGAAAATATTAGGGCGCTTTATATTGTTAGGAGAGAGAGTAGGAGCAGTATTTATTGCTTTCTTTTATGAAACAGATGTTTAAGATTCGTCAACAGACTAAGGGCTACTAAAAGTGTGAAGAGCGGTTGAACTGTCGTTAGCTTTACTAGAATTTTTGGGAGTGTGATGAATGCCCATTTATCCAAATCCACTGTTTATAATTTATTCAGTAAGAAGCTATTGCTACTAAGGTGATAGGAATTAAGAGGAATTCAAAGGTGTTTTATAAGTAGAAATAACATCTTCATTATTTTCTTTAATATCTTTTTTGAGTTTCATGTTGGTAGAGGTTATTTAAGTGATAACTTCTTTTCCAGAAAAACTGAAACGAATTTTTTTATCATCACCAATGTTAAATTCAGCTAATTTTATAGGAGCATTTTGAATACTATCGTAAATGTTAATGCCTGGTTAGTTGCAAGAATTGTTCATAATTTACTCTGATTCTTTGTACAGCTTGTTTGTAAGGCTTTCTAAATCTTTAACAATATTTTCTTTTAAATCATCAATTATTTTTTATAACTGAGGTCCTTTGCTTAGAACATTTCCTTGCTAATATTGTTATCCTAACATTCCATTTATTGTAGCATTTGCATTTAATTAAACAACACTGTTAGGCATGTATTACTATTAAGAATTATTTTAAATTCCTTAAAGATAGTTACCACTTTGGCTTTCTGCTTGAGACAAAAAGCCTCCATTGCTGTTGAGAAAACTGGATTAAGAATTGAAGAATCCGCTCTAGATTACATAAAAAAAATAGTAAGCTAAAATATTTGTTTAACTTCAATGTAATATTTATGATACCTTATTTTGAGCTATGCTACCAAAGTTGCTAGATGGATTGAAAGTGCTCTTGCTATCAAATTATTTATTATTAATATGGTTTATAAAAGAACTGTTTTATAGAAAATTGCTTTAATTTATGCTTCCACTTGTTATACTTTAAGCTGACCTTTACTAATGCAGGCTCTAACTTTTAGAGTGCCCAATTTATGAAGGTATAGATTGTTCTACATTTAAACCTATTTAGGGTTAAGGAGATGCCGAAGGATTACTTAAGTTGTTACCATAAAACTCAAAATTTTAATAGCAACTATTTTAATGCTTATGATTAGTAGGAGTATTTGCATTGAAGTTATTATTCATTAAATTGTAACTGCTTGCATGTCTGTTATTACTTATAAAATTAAATGGTTTATTTTAAATGTATTTTAAAATAATTTTATTTACTTCATTTAACTATTAAGGTTGCTTAGTATTCTTTCTTAATTGTCAGGAGTGTGTTTAGGCAGCTAACGAGGAGTAATAATACCACTGTTATTTTGCTACTTGTAGGTTGGAGTCATAGAGGAAGAATTATTATTACTATTACTACTAGTTGGTGTTTAGTTTAAATTTGAATAAGATCTTGGATTAGAGAAAAAGTTTTCAATCTAGTTGATTTGTTTAGTTGCTATTGTAGTAAAATTATCATTAACTGAGTTATTATGGTTATTTTACTAATAAACAGATTATTATGCAAAGCAGCTTAAATTCTTATTGTGACCTCTAGCACTAGCCATGCTGTTTAATCTGATATTTTCATTTGACTCGTCTGTTTAATAAACACTATTTTAGGAGGAATTACCATGATTGCTAGATGAATCGTTGACCATATTATTATAGAGTTGAACACCTTGCTATTCTTTCCTTATTTAACCATTTTTATTTCTATTATAACTTTATTATGAGTCATTTAAATATTAGCTATTATTTTAAACAGTCATAGGACTGGCATAAACAGAGTGGTGCTATCTGCTTTAGCTTGCTTAATGATAATTAGGTGTGTAAGGAGTATAATTGCTTTTGCTTTATGTAGTATAAGAATTTCCTTTAATATTAGCTAATCCACCTTATATTACTTTTGAAGCATGAGTATTTTATGGAGATTTATAATTCATTTATGCCTAGCAGTGCATAGAGGCAGCTTAACGAGTTTATCGTTAACTCTATGGATTTTATTACTACTAACTTATGTTACTTAAATCTGCAGCTAATATAGACCCTTTATTTATTATAAATTATTTTATTAAAAATAAAAATTAACTTCATTTCTAGAATAAGTTAAGATTAAAAAATTGCAAAATTTTATTTATTTCGTTAAAATAGAAAATAATTTTTAATTTTATGTGGTTGAAATTAAAAATGGTAGATGACTTAAGATAGAAAATAAAGAGTTGATATAAAAATTTTGAATGACAAAGTTTTATTTATTGTTAGAATTTCAAAAGAAATATGAAAGTTTTTTTGAATTCATAATAGTATAAATGAAAAGAGAGTAAAAATGAAATTAGGTTTTTATAATTAAATTGCTTAAGAAAAAAAGAAATTAAATGAAAAAAATTTGATAGAGCTATTTGTTTCTTTGATAAAATTCTTAAGAAAGTAAAGAAATTTATTTGAATTTATGAAGGAAGAGAATAAGAAAATAAAGTAAAATAATTACTGTTAGCCGTTTAATTTAAAAATTGAGTGAAACTAGCATCGGTAGTGTTAAGAGTAGTCTCTTGTGAATTATTATAATAATTACTATTGTTGATTTAATTAGCACCATGACCACTTAAATTACTGTTCTAATGCTAATGAAAAGACGCTTGTTTACCATTTGGAGTCTTTTTTATGCCTGTAATTTTTTTGAAAGGTGAATTAGATGTATATGGACTTGAAGGAGCTTGCATAGCTTATTTTGAGATAGGAGATATTGAACGATTATTATTTTTTATATCACCATGATCAATACCATGATGATATTATTACTAATAATCAATATTTGTATCTTTTGTTTGCAAAACTGTTTTATCAGGAGTTCCCCAAATAATAGGAGGACCATATCTTTAAGCTGGTTCACGCTAAACATTTCCAGAAAAGCCATTATTTTCCAAAAACCTGCGAGAATCGGTATTACTATTCAAATGCATTATTCAAAACTTGAATGATATAAAGTATGTATGCTTGAGATATTATATTGTTATGTTAAAGGTAGTTGTAATGGACTATAAGGATATAATTATACTTAATTTCTAATTTATAAATAAGCACTTTTATTATGTGTGTGTTAAAGCAGTCAACCTCTTAAGCTAGGGTGAAGAAAAAAAGGTTATTTATGAAAATCTTGAATTAATAATCAAATTTAATTTATTTCTTTAAATTGTATTCTTTAAAGCAACAGGTTTAAATTGATAAATACAGTAAACACCTAATATATTAAAATAATACCTATCAAACTTTTCCCTTTAAATTAATAAAAATGCTAATATCTTGCATTCATAAAATAATAAACAAAATTATCCATCAAATGTAGAAAAAAAAATTTCAACGAATCCAGTTAAAATTTTGCACAACAACTACAAAAGAGCTTATTTTTTGCCTTTTATTTTTGAAATATTTTAATATAAAAATAAAATATTAAATTCTTTGTTTATAAAAAAGATAATTGACTTGAGCAGATTAATTGTAAAAATAAATTGATAATTGTTATAACTTATTAATATTTATTTATTTTATTGCTTATTTAAAAATGAGAATTATAGATAGTATAACAAATTATTAACTTTTTATTTGTTTTCAAATATCATTTAAAGCTAATATTGTAATTTTATAAAATACTAACAAATTTATCCATCTTTCATAAAAAAATATCAAAATACCAATTAAAGTGTTACACTACATGAAAACATGAAGAAAAGATCTTACCTTTTTTTGATTTTACTTTTTTTCTGAATAATAAAGATTTGAATGAATTTATTTGTAAAAATATATTGAAATAGGTTTTATAACTTATTTAAATTTATAAGTTGTTTATTTGAAGTGAGAATTGGACATAATATTACAATTTATTTATTTATACATATAACTTGTATTTATTTTTAATATTATTAATATTTAAAAATGAGAATTATTGATAGTAAAGTAAATTATTAACTTTTTATTTGTTTTCAAATATCATCAAAAGCTCATATTGTAATTTTATAAAATACTAATAAATTTATCCATCTTTCATAAAAAAATATCAAAATACAAATAAAAGTGTTGCATTACATCTTATCTTTTTGATTTTACTTTTTTGCTGAATAATAAAGATTTGAATGAATTTATTTGTAAAAATATATTGAAATAGGTTTTATAACTTATTTAAATTTATATGATTGTTTATTTGAAGTGAGAATTGGATATAATATAACAATTTATTTATTTATACATATATTTTGTATTTATTTTTAAAATTATTAATATATATTTATAAATTTAAATTAATTTGTTTCTGCAAAATAAGTAATTTAATTTATTTTTTATTTTATTAAACATTTTTTATTTTTTTTATTTTTCATAATTGAGTGTTTGAACCAACAAATTTATTTTGAGTGAAGATTTTTCCTGGTGATAAATTTGATATTTCAATTTTATTAATGTGGACTTCTCCTAACTGATTACTGGTATTTGAATAAGATGAATTGGAATCAAGTTGCTAATTTTTATTTTCTTTAGAAAAATTATAATTAGCTTAACTTTTAATCTGATAAGTATTAGATTTCTTTAAGGATTAGGGACTCGAATTATCATTGAAATTAATAAAGGACTAAACATAGTTATTTTGGAATTGCTCACTGTTAGTGTGAAGTATTCTCATGTCTTAATATAAATAAAATGAGAATTCATTTTTATCGTTGATAATTATATCATTAGTTGGCCCTAAAGCGCATATTAATTTAGCATTCACCTGTAAATTCAAGCAGTTTAATCTTTGATATATTAAATCCTAATCTGGCTTGAAGGTTTTCATGATTTTGATAGGCTCTGCATACACTTATTTGAATGTTAACAAAGTCTAAGATTAGGATTAATTAGTTTAGCTTGAATTTTATCCAGGGGATATTAAATTTCTACTTTCGGCTTAGGATTATTAGATTGGTATTATTAAACTTTATTAAAAATTCTTAGCATTTTATTATTAGCTTGGCAAAGAATAGCTATTTTACTTTTTCATATCTTAGTTTTTAGCATTACTGATTTTTATATTATTACTTTTTATTTATACTTTGGTTGAAGTTATTTAATTATTTTCAATTGATGGTAGTTTTTATTAAAAAAATATATTTTTTACTTAATCTTTCTATTGATTAGGAGATATTTTGGAACTTTGAGTCATATTTATTGTTTTAGAAGTTGCTGTTGTTGTTGTTAATCTATGAATATCAAAAGAATTTCCTTTGCTGAAAAAGTTATTTGAAGGTCTTTAGTAAATACTTTATGGATTTGTGTCGTGAGAGAACGAAGATATCCTAGTTTAAACAGGATCTGGTTACTACTTTTTTTGTTAAAGATCTTTATGATCGTTGGCATTTATATTTTATGGGTTACTATTAAATTTTTTAGGGTTTTCATTTAAATATAAATTATTTTCTTGTTTTTATGGACTGTTATTAACTAATATTTTTATTTTTTATTCTTTTTCCTCTATCTTAAATCCTAGTTATTATGATGGTATGATCGCGAAATGAGAAGTATTTCTTTTGTTCATTTAATAGCTTTCTCCACTCTCTATAGCATTTTTATTTTGGTCATTGCTACTGCTTTTACAATCTTCATCTTTAAATTAAACTAAGTTATATTAAAAATTTTTATCTTTTTATTCAGTTTGTTATCTTTAAGGCGAGTATATCGAAGCTATTTCTTTTATCAACTAGTAACTGTTTTATTTTTAAACATCTACTTCATTTGGAGCATTTGATTAGGTCATTTATATAGTATTTTGATTATTTTAGCTGATATTCCTATTTGAGAAAATAGAATTACTCCCAAAATTATTTAATGGCGATTTTTGATTTTCTAAAGATTGTTATTAATTTTAAATATTTAAAGTTTAACAATTAGGAATTTAGAATGAGAATGATTCTTCTCCTATGTTATAAGCTGGAAAAATATTGCTATTCACTTTATTTGAATCAGGAATCTACAATGAGTCTTGATTCTAATTTAAATATTTTAGGGTCTTAGTGGTTTACTCACTTGGTTTACTTATTGAACTGTTTGTAGTAGAATCTTTCTAAAATATATTTTATTTGGTAAAGTTTTAGAATTAATAGCCGATAATGTTTTAATGGGTTTCATCTGTATTCTTTTCGTAATCTCTGTAAGACTGCAAATCTTCACAATCATTATTTACCTTAATATTAATATTATTTTCGTTTTAAACTTTCATAAGCTAGTCTTATTCCACATCTGAAATATGTTATGGGTCTTTTTGATCCTTTAAATTTAATATTTCGATTTAATTTTGAATAATTTATTTGCTATCTAAATTAAAATTGCTATTTGAGATTTAGTTAGAAGGTTGAGTAAAAACTTGGAAATTAATAGACTAATTTTCTAATTATCCTCCATTATTATTATGGTTGTTGTTGCTAATACATGAAATTTTATTAGTTGAACGAGTATTATTTTCGCTTATAAAAGGCATGTATTATGTCTCTTTATCAGTGTTCTTGGTAATAAAAGTGTGTTTCTACTTCTGATTATCTAAGAATTAATTATTTAAAATTTAATTATTTAAACATTTTTAATTTAAATTTATCTTACCATAAAATTAATTCTCATTGACATCAGAATTATTTTTCAGATTGCTAATTGTTGCAATTGCATTTAAAGAGTTTTTGTCATCAGATGGTACCTTTTCTAAGTCATTTTCATTTTAAAGTAGAAGAACTTCTTAACTATGTTGCATATCGTTATTATTTAATACCCTAATTTAAGGTTTATATTTTTTATTTACACTCTTTGATTATGCTTATTTTTTAATATTCAAACTAAAAAGAGAACTGCCTTGTTTAGTATTTTTATTCTAATTTAATTTAAGTGCTTTGTTAGGTTCTTCCTTATTTTATTTATTGACTTACTTTTGATTAAGCTCATCGTCTTTATTTTCTATAGTATTCCAATTTGATATCTCATTTAAATTTTCTAATGACCTTTCTTATTGATCATTATCGTCGTCATCATCATCATCTAATGATTTTTGTTAAATAAATTCATATATATTTTTCTGATTTTATTTCATATTTTAGAGATAGTTATTATCATTAGTATTGCTTTCTAACTTGTTTCCTTTCTAATTATTTAATTTTGTCTAGTCTTAATCTTCATCTTCTTCTTCATTTTCTTCTAGCAATATAAAATTCTAATTTGACTAATAGCTATTTTCAGAAAGGCTAAAATTGATGGTAAATTTAATAATATTGCTTTTGCTGTTAACACCCTTAATCTATTGGGCATTAATGTTAATATTCTGTATGTGGTTGTTTTTTCTGTAACTTTTTACGAACCTTTCAATTTCCAGAATGAAATTTTAAATAATCTGAGCAACCCTTTTCTAGTTCGAGTGGAAGATAATATTCTCTCTTGAGGATTCACCATTAATCAAAACATCGTACTTTATTGGGAAAAAAGTTTGATTTGAAATTTTAATATATTCAAGCATTTCTGTTAAAGAAAAATCGGTCAGAAAATCTGGAAGGGTAATCTGTTTGTTTTCAAATTTATTTTATACAATAAAATTATAGAGAAGCATATTGTTAAGAAGGGTTGTGCTTTGGTTTATACATGCTACTAAGCTTTCATGCAAATATGAGAAAGGTTCCATCTTTTGAATAACTGGCTATAGCATTTAAATGAAGTCTTGCTATTTCTGCATCTGCAACGAGCATTTGTCTTTATATAATCCATTATACTTATCCCATTCCTCTTCGTTAAATATTACACATGAATTAAAGCAACTATTTCTTATAAAAGTATTTATCTTAAATTAAAATAACTTTTCCTTGGTGGGCTTTTTTTTTGGCTAAGCATTTTAGTTCTTAACATTTTTAGATACGATTTCTACTTCGTCTTCTTTTTGAATGGCCAAATACTTCTTAAATTGGCTAAAGTCATAATAGTTCTTGTGCTTTTATTTTTTTATTTGAGATTTTATTAGTTCAATAATTACATTTTCTAATTTTGCGTTTTTATCTTTAGAACTAGCTTAAAGACTTTTTTTTTTTTACTCTAAACTTAATTCATCTGTGATATTATCGTATTAATTTTCTTGTTGTTTAGACTTCACTTTTCCTTCTTGAATTCCATTTTAATCAGGGTAAAATTCTTCGCTTTTGGAACTCGTTTGCTCTTATAGATACACTGATCTTGTAAATTTCTTAAACTCTCCTTTATTTTAACTGCTGAAATACCTCTCACAACTTTTGTTTGAAAACCAAATATCGATGTTATTCAAAGTCTAATTGTAGGATACAAAGAATATATTTTAGTTAAGACCATTTTTGAGGATATTAGTGAACTGCTTATCATTAAATTGATGAAGGAAATTCTGTCTTCGCATCTTGTGGTTGTAATGAATAAAATACATTTCGCATATAATGAAGGCAAAGAATATTATCATTACGATTGAGAATTTAGAAGTTTTTGATCCTTCTTCAACAATAACTATTATATAAATGATAATAGTAGTATAAACGATTGTAACGGACGTTAACGCAATTTTAATTGTTGATGAAATAAGGGATATTATAAAATGAAAACCAACTTGAATTGCACTATACTAAAAAGTATTTTAGATCAGCCAAACTGCTTGAGCTTCGCAGCTAGCACCTTAGATAAATTTATTATTCTACTTAGTATGCTTAATCATACCTAACATGCTTGTTAATAAAATAGCAATATGGGCAATCAAACAAATGAAGTTAAAAAAATCTTTCTTTTTAGTCAAACCCAAATAGCAAACAAGGAGTATTAAGTAGCCTATAATTGATAATACTTCATTGGAATCAATACTGTTATAATCTTAATTCATTGAAGCCTCAGCTATTTCAGGAATTACATAGAATACAAAATATCCTAACAATATTTTCCTGAGCAAGCGACTGTTCTAGTTGGAGACTCTTTTTTAATATTATTTCTCTAAATATCGATTCTAAAATTCTAAGCTGAATCGATTCATTTTTCAAAAATCCTTAATTTAACACAGTAAAATATCCTACTATTGCTTACAATGAATATCTATCGTCAGCTTCTCTATCTACCTACTATCTATCCTTAAAAAAATTGGCCTACAGCGTTGATATGTCTACTATTATAAAGTTAAATATTATGTGGGAATAATTAGTGCTTATATTTTATAAGAATAGTCTTTTTAGCCTTTAAAACAAACTTAGAATTTTCAAAATAAAATGAAGTTTAACAAACTCTAGAAAAATATACTTGCTTATAAGCTATTTATTAATTTATATTCGTGTTATTTTTAATAATCTAGTTTGTTTATTTGCTTCTTTTCCAGTCTTTTTTTTGGAATATAAAATCAACTTAATTTCTTTATTAAATAATTAATAACTATTCATTGAGTGCATCAAACAATACTTGTCTTTACTTTGAAGTCGGTAATTTATTTATTTATTTTTTTTTCAATTCATTCAAATAATTAAATTAATTGATGCTTAAAAGACCTAAGAGTTTACAATAGAGTGACATTCAAAGATAAAGATACTTTTAATGAGTTGCATATGTGTTAGCAAATCAATAATTATTAATATTTTAACCTCAATTAAATTAACTAATTTAAAAAAAAATTTATTCCAAATATTTAAGTGTTTGGTTTATAAGCTAATTCATTTACTAAAATAAAATAAGAAATTTGATACATATCTTTAGTCATCCAAATTTATATAAAAAGTGATGATTGATATTTTATCTTAAAACTGGAGTGAAAAATATCTTTAAGAGCTATCAAAAAATTAGTTCTAGCAAAAGAGTATTAAAATGCGTAAAATAAACAATCAATTATTTCAAAATAATACCTACTTCATCAAATCAATCTATTTTTTCTATAAACTAAACTGCACAACTGTTATAGTCGATCCTCTTTAAAAGTCATTTTTAACAAAAATTATTTTTTTTAAAACGAAGAAAAATCTTTGAAAGTAGATACTGAAGAAGAATAAAAAAATAAACAATTATTCTGAATTATTTTAATATTCACACATTAAATATGATTAATTCACATAAATCTATATTTACTGAACATATAATTAACATTAATTTATACATTCAATAAATACTTTATATCTAAATACTCACTTTTATTCTTAAATAAAGAATCCTAACTTTAATTTTTTATTTCAAATAAATTTCTTAACTTAGTTATTCAACTCAAATTTTTATTTTTTTGGTAGGTCATATAACTGTTATATTAATTTAAAGAATCTTTATATAGAATTAAATTTAGATATACATTTTGCTTAAAATCAAAATAGAAAGCATATTGTTAAGATTTAAGATAGTTTATGAATACATAATTAATTAGCTTTTCATTTTGAAATTATTCATTTACTAAAATAATTCCTTTTTATCAAATCAAAAAACAATTCATCTTACCAAAATCAGTTTGTAAGCTTAAGTGATTAAAAATAAAAAGATATTTAATATCAAATTTATTAAATGAAAGGTGTAACACTTTTTTAACTAACACACAAATCAATAAGATTTATCAGCAAATTTACATTTCTTTCAAGTAAGATTCTTAAATTACTCCATAAAATTTAAAATCACTATTAAAAATTTTTAAATTTATTAATTTCTATTGCATAAGAAAAATTTTACTCAAATTCTGAATACTTTCTAATCCCATATACAAAATCTTAATCTTGGTTATAGTGATTTATTTGATCTCAATTCGAAATCGAAATATTCTTATATTAAGTGCTTGAACAAATGCTATTTTAATAGGAATTAAAATCTTAACTTTATTTGGAATATTATTATGTAATTCACCAAGCTTTACAAAGATTTTCTTTTGTAATATTAAGTCTTAATAAAAGCATTTAATTTTTTGAAATTTATAAGCTCTTTTTTTAAAATAATTTTAAATTTCATTCATACTTCAATTAAAATTTTAAATAATGTTAACCATTAGTTATTTAATTATGAAATCTATTGATTGATTTATTTTAAAAATGTGAGCAAAATAGAGAATAAAACAAATAAAAAAAACAAAATAATATTTTATTCAAAAAATGAAAAGATTTTATTTTGCTAGGATAAATTATTTAAGTTCTTTATTATTATTATTTAATCTTAATTTTTTACCAAATAGAAACTTGAAAGTATATCAGAGTATCAGAAATCAAACACAAAATAGAATAAATAAAAATTTATAGATTGCTTTTAGATGAATGCTTATTCAATATGTTTAAATGATTCTTGCAAAAATAATTTAATATTATAAAAGGATAACTAAACAATTTAGAATTGTATTGATAGTTCTCATAGGCTTATAAAATCTTAAGATCTTATAGAAAATGCATAATGTTCCATCAAAGTCTTTTCATAAGCTCTAGATTTGTTGAAGGAATCCTACATTTTTAATGAATAACCAGGATTGTCAAACATAAACGTGTAAAATATTTCAGCTAAAATCAAGTAGGAGTTGGAGTAATCAATTAAATATGTAAATGAAATTAATTGCTTAAAATATTTGAGCATTCTTTCAATGCATCAAGGTTGTCCTTTTTTTGTAATTATAAAAATAGTCTCATGAATCAATAAATTGTATTCAAAATGGATTTATTAGCTAGTAGTTTTTGAAGTAGCTACTTTACATTGATATGGAAGGAAATATAACAAACATATAATTCGAAAGAATTAAAGCCCTAACTTCTCTTCTTTAGCAAATAAATTCAAGAAAATGTAGCATAAATTAATTTAATTGCTAAGATCTTATCTAAGAAGTAGATTAGAAACATATCTAAATATTATCTATGTATATTAAATTTAAGGATTAATAGTTAATTAAAGTATTAAATAATAAAAAGAGATATTTAGGTGCCTATTATAAGTTTTATAAATAGAATTACAGTATATGCTTTACTACCATCTATTTAAACCCTTTATCTCTCTATAATGTAAGAAAACATCTTTTTTATTCATTCCATTTTTTAAAATGATTTTTTTTATTTTAGGCACTAATAATTAACTGAATAAGAAAACAATACTCTCTGCCATTTTATAGCAATATAGACTTCTCTAAAAAGGCTTCGTTTACAAATTATGATAGGTCTATAGTATTATAATCATTTAAAAAATATAATTTAGTCTTTAGTTATAAATAGGAGCATTAAATATTTAACTCTAGATTAGAGGTATTTTTTATTTAATTAGGTATTAAACTAATCATAAAAATAAAATTAATTTAAAGTTGTGGGGTCTTGCCTCTATAAATATTTGTCCATCTTGCACACCTCATAAAATACAACTAAAATATTAAGGAATTAAAATTGTTGTTTGATTTCACTAAATTCTAGGTACCACATACAGATTTACAAAGCTTAATAGCAATATTTTTAGAACTAGAGAAGTCGAAATCAATAAATTATTTTTATGGCTACTTCAATAGGTAAATTAAACTTAATTTTTTATTATTTATAGTTATTTCCATTTGTTTTAAAATAGCTTAAAGCCTTATAGTACTACCCATCTAGGTGATCAAATTGTATAACTCTTAGCTAAAAATAAAGTAATTTAGGAATTCTGCTTAGAAACAACGTAATTAGAATAATTTTTTGAAAGAAAATTTAAAAGTAATTCTTAAAAATAGCTCTATTAAATACAACTTGAACAAAATATCTTAAGGTCTTAGGCTCAACGAAGGACTTTAATATTTCAATTTAACAAGCAATGATGATTATGAAATGTAAATAAATATAAACTCAAATATAAATATATTAAGCTCTATAAATACATATATTTTATACTAATAGAGATGATGTGGTAACGCTTTGTAAGGCAGCTGAAGATAGAATGCTAAATTCTACTTTGAGATATTTCAATTCTTACAGGTATTTTTTTATTTAATCTTATTTTAGTAATTTTTAATTAAAATAAAGCTATGTCATACCTTATGAATACAAATCTAAATTTAAAATTTTAACTGAATATTAAAATTTTAGATACTAGGCACTATTTTACATATTAGCTTATAAAAAGCATTTTGCTCCCTATATAATTTATAATCCTTACATATAGTACATTGACCTCTTTGTAAATTGAAATTTTTGTTTAAAATTTGTAATTTAGTAAATATAATAAAATTTTTGTTAGCTTTAAAAGTAAGTAGGATACTAATAGAATTAATTTTTAATAAATCAAATTAGGATATTACAGCTCATAATTATAATTATAATAATAATTTAAAATTTTGTTTTTCTTATCTATTTATTTATTTCTATGTTTTTTTCTATTTTTAAATATTCGCTTGCCAATATAAATAAACACTACAAATTCAAAAATTTTCAAATTAAATTTATTTTCTAAAATGTTAAGTTGCTTTCAATTATGTATAATGTAAACTCTCTATAATAAGACCACCACCCATAATATCTAGAATTTCTAAAAAAATGGTCTTATTTAAAATATCACAAATTATGATATCATGGTTCATGATATTTCAAATGCAGGAACAGCTATATATAAAACTAATTATTATGATTTATTAATGTATGCTTTTATTAAATAAAGTTTATTTTAGTTTAAAAAAATATATTTTTGAATGATTTCAAATAAAAATTTGATAAAATATATACAAAATTAATTAATTGAATTTATTTTTCAATTTAAAAACAAAATTATTTTAAATAATCTTATGTTATGTTGAATTAAATATTTCATATTTTAATATTAAATAAAATATTAGCATGTTAATTTTATGCTGTTTTAATTATAGATATAAGTTTTACAAAGAATATATTATATATATGATTGAAACAGATAAAAAATAGATACTTTAAAAACACGTCAAAAATAATAAGAATCAAATAAAAATAACCATATATCAATAAAAATTATATTTAACTATTTATTATTTACCAACCAAATTATTATTATCGCTTGGAAATCAATATTTTGTTTTTATATATTTATATAAATTTTGCTAATTTTCAAAATTAATTGATAAAATTCTTATTATATTTAAGTATTATTTATTATTTTACAGACATATGGAGGACACACCTAAATGGTTAGATGTAGCATTTTTCAAAATTTTATGTTTTGATTGTTTCTATTTATCATCTTATCTTATTTTTTCAAAAGAAAGGCATTGCTATAATGGAGAAGCAAAGCGCTTCAAGGACTCAAGATGAACTTTAATTTTTAAGTGATTAACTAGGAGACTTATAGTTTTTCTAAGAATATGTATAAGATGATATGGTAGACTTGTTAAAGAGATGTGTTAGATATGTTAAATACAAATTTTGTAAAAAGGGTGAAGTTATATTTCATATAGGTAGTTAGTTTATATTTGATTTTGTTATTTTTTTACATATTATTTATTTTATTTGTTTAAAAGATTCTGAAGCAGATAAATTTTATATTATAATCAGTGGATTAGTAGGTGTATTTACTAGACCATCAGATGGTAATTAAAATAGAAAAAGGAAGAAGAAACATTTTGAGCATATTATTAAAAGAAAAAAAGATTCGTTGAACACTGATTTAAACATTAATTAATCGATGGCATCATCTATAAATCGTATGTCATAAATTGAACTTCAAAACATCTCAGCAGAAAAAATTGATGATTCTAGATTAAGATTAAGCATAGCTTCTTTATGTGAAGATAATATTGATGATAAACGTGCAAGTATGAAATGTATTTCATAATATTCATCAATGAAAAGTATCAAAAATTTATAATAACTAAAAAGATCTGTGTCACCTACATATAAAAAAAATAATGAAAAATTTATAAGAATTTAGGATAAATCTTCTTAAAAAAGTATTGCTTCTTAAATTGTTAAGCAAAATAAATCGAACGCTTAAAATGTAGCAGCAAAGGCATAAAGATCTTTAACAATAGATGCATAGGAAAAAAAATAAAGGTCAATGAATATTTAGCAATAAGAATAAGGATTCTTTCTTACTCAAGATCAAGATTAAAAAAACATTATATAGAATATATCTTAGTAAGAACTCTAAACTAAAAATGAAGCTATTTAGATGAATAAAAATGTCAAGAACAATTTAGGATTAGGTAAAGAGTAAGATATAACTGATAAAAAGCATATTTATTATTTTGGAGAACAGCTTACAAAAGTAGAAATATTTATAATTAATTAATAACGTTAACTATTAGACTTATCTTTAAAATTATAGGCAAAAAATATGGAATCAGGAACTGCTTTTGGAGAATTAGCACTTGTTTATAATAAAGAAAGAGCAGCAACAATAATTTGCTTGCAAGACACTCATTTAGCTTATATAGAAAAGGAGCATTTTATTTAAATATTTAGTTAAAAGGAGGAAAGAAGAATATAGTAATAGGCAGAGTACATAGGAAAACTGCCACTGTTTTCAAATTTCTCTTTCTAATTTTTGAGAGATCTATATTACAATACTATTTCATACAAATGCAAGAAAGGAGAAACTATATTTTAAGAAGGGTCTTCCCCTGACAATGTATATATAGTAAAGAAAGGAGAATTCGGGGTAACATTTTTATATAGTTATCAAAAATTTATTTCAATTTAATGAAAATAGATTTTTAAACAGTTTCAAGTTTTAAACTAAGCTCCAGATAGCATTCAGATTGGTAAAAATGAACAATTAGAGGTCAAATCTGTCAATCCATTATTTCACAAGAAAATGTTAAAGAAAAAATAAATCAAGGTAAACTTAGTTCATTTGTAATTTTCAACAAATATTATTTTTAAATTATTTTATTTATTTATGCTAATAAAAATCTAATTGAAAATATATCAATCAATTGTATTTTAATTTAAATAAAATTTTAAATCTTATCAAGTAAGTATCTGTAAAATATTTTTATTTTTTCAGTTTAGAAAATGAAATGAAGATTAATTTATTATTTTATTGAATTTGATCGTTAAATAAATACACCAGTTAAAGTATCAAATTTAAGAATAATATTTTTTATTATTGAAACTAAAAAAATTGTTTAAATTTAATCATGTCAAATTATTTTTCAGCATAATTAAAATAAATATAAAAATAAAAAATAATTATTTTTAATTTTATTTATCATTGAATTTTATTTCTAAATACTAAAAGTTAAATATTAATTTTAAGAATATTATTTTTATTGAAAATAAGAAAAATTAGTTAAATTTTATCACGATTACAAAATTTTTTTCAGTTAAAAAATGAAATAAATAAATAATAATTATTTGTAATTTTATTGAATTTTAGATGATCGAATTTTTATCTTAAAATAGAATTAAAATGAATATTTTGAATTTTTAATTATTTTAATCAATAATTTATTTAAATTAACATATGTTTTTTATTGAAGATAATGAGTTTAGGAGAATATGAAGTTATTGGGGATAGTGATTTAGTTTAATCGAGAAATCGCGAATATTCATTGAAGTGTACTTCTTTAGAAGGAGAGCTGCTGGTTATTAAAAGAGAGTATTTTGAAGATAAAATTTTTAAATATTAAGACACTTTCAATGAGATACTTAAGAGATGCAACAACCAAAATATTCTTTTAAGTTAAAGGATAGAAAATATTTAAAATTAGATAGATTTGTTTTCTAATTAGAATACAAATAAAACCTTTGATAAAAAAGAAAGAAGTTTTACAAATCTAATAACTGATAAATAAGGAATAGACAGAAAACTTCCTGATTCTCCCACACAAGAGAAAAAAAGATAATTTGAATACCACAAAAAAATCCTTATCCACTCTAATATTTAAAATTGCACAGATGATATTATTTTACCAAAAATACATAAAAATATCTCACCTCACCCTTAAGAAAATTCATAAATTTATCCCAAAAGTACGGCTAACAAAAGTTGTTGCTATTCATCTGACCAGAAATATTTTTTGTAATCTAGTGCAAGAAGTCACTACGAAAATACACTCATTTCAGAATTTGACAATTAATATAATTAAGATACAAAAAATGTATTAGGGAATAGCAGCTTAAATAAAGATTATACTTACAGAGTTTAAAAGAAATAAATAATAAAAGATGGTATTAATAGGCAGGAAATCATAAATTAGTAGGTAATACTTAACCATTAATTTAATTTTTAAATACTTTTTATTACGAATCACTTAAGATTACATTTAATTTCAGTAGTTAAAAGTATGTAACTTACTTAATTAAATAGGGAAATGATCGTTCTATAAAAAGTACAAATAAAAAAGAGAACTAAGTCTAGGAGATTAATAAGTATTATGAACCCTTAGAATATTAGTTTATGAACCAATAAAAGAGTAGAGATATTAGACTAATTAAAAATAAAAGGAGCTTACAGTTATCATTAGAGTAGGAACAACATAATTTGACTACTGATATATAGAGAATGAGCTTTACTCCCAACAGTACAAAAACACTTGATAATTCAATAGGAAATTATCTAAGAGAGAAACAAAATCTTTCTTAGTTTGAAAATTAGCTAAATTAAAGTATATTTATTGATGGATAAAATCAATCAGATTAGAGGAAACTGTTTGATAGAGAAAATACAAAATCTGTTTAGGGTAAATAAGTAGCACCCCATTTCAGGTCAATATCTTAATAGGATGTATCGACTTAATAGTATGAGACATATGATATGAATTCCCAGAATTTTTACTACAATAAAAATAAGCAAGTAACAAAAGTCTAAAATATTTCTAAAAAAACGATTTAGGAGACAATTTAAGAAGGAGCAGAAAAAAATTAGCAAAAATAAGGATAAGTACCACCATTGAACTTGTAGGAATAATCGAATAGATTAAAGAGGTTTAGCCCAAATTTAAAGAATAGTAAGAATTTAAAAATAGGGAACCACACAGAAAGAATATCCAGCAAGAAGGAAGAACAAGAGAAAGTATTCATGGACTCTACATATGGGTATTTTCTGAAAAAAGAGTAAGCTGCTTAAGAAGTTTTTACAGAAAGATATAATCAGAAACCTGTGCTAATAGAAATAAAGTAAACTGAGTATAATAAAATAGAGTAAAATAAAAAGAAAATTGAAAAATATCATCAGCAACCAATATCACAATAAGAGAAAATTCTACAAACTCTCATATTTTCTAACAAAAAGATAAAGAAACATTTATTTTCTAAGATTTTAGGAGATGAATATATGACCATATAGAATAATCTCCAGTCATAGCAGTCAGATCAAACAAAAAGGAACAATTAAAATAGACAAGATAAACAGACTTAGAGCTAAGCAACAAAATATATAGGAAGTGAATCCGCAAGTTAAAATGGTATTTTGACTTCCGATTTTGGTACACGAAGAAGCTAAGAGACTGTTTAGTGTAACTATTATAATTTAAACAATGGTTTTGACTAATTTCAAAAGGAGTAGCTGCTTACTAATAATAATTGCAAAAATGAAAATAATCCATCATAGAGCGATATCAAACCAGTAAAAATAACATCTGCGCAAGCTATTTAATTAAATAACTAGTAAGTATACTAATAAGCGTCTTTGAATATCAAAGATTTAAATCAATAGTAATAGTTAAATTAACAAATTTCAGATGATTAAATAAATAAATTAAATTAGAATAGATTACTTGAGGATATATCTTCAGGTGACTAAATTTGTAAATAGAACTAAAAAATAAAAGACTTACCTATTAATAATAATACTTCTATTAATGAAAGCAGAGAATGTGTTCCAACAAAAATTAAAAAATTAGGAGAAGTAGAAAAAAATGCAAGTCATAATTAGTAATCAGTGCTGAAAAATAATATTAATATTTTCCCTGAAATTCTAAATTTCAATCTAGAATCAGAAAGTAAATTTATTTTTGAGTAATATTAGTTTCTCGATTCTATCCGAGACTCTCAAAAATACAAAATAGGTTCTGCATCAGTTTAGAATAGATTCTTTAAAAAAACTAAAAAAAAAATGCAAGAAACTAGATAGAAAATAAACTAATTAAATTAATAAGATATTCATTGATTTCTAAGAAATTTGATGATTAATTAATTAAATAAATCTTTTTGATAAAAGAAACAAACTAGTAAAAGAAAATTACATATTTTTCAATCAAATAATCAATCATATTTATAATAAGATATTTTAAAATATATTAAGAGTTTATAAAAAGAAAGAATAAACACAATTCTCTTCTCAATTATTGTGAAAACGAGTAACAAACTGGTTATTAATAGTAATAGTTAATAAATTTAAACAAATAAATTTTTAGTATTTTGTTCTAAAGAATATAATAACTGTTTACTTTTATTTTATTTCAGAAGGTTATTGTAATTATTTTGAAAATAATAATTTGAATTTTTTGTTACTTTATTTTTCATTTGTTTTGTATCATTTTCATTTAATTCTTATCTATTATTTTAATTAATTACATTAATTATGTAATTTAAGCAAATAACAAAATCTTCTATTATTAGAATCAAAAATTTTTAATACAAAGTCTGCAAAAATCATAATGAGAAACCCTAATAAAAATATCCACTTAATAATATTCTCTGAAAAGGAATTTGCCTGCCTTAATTTTTAATTTGTATTTTTCGAAAATACTTATTTTTTAAGTAAGTATTAATTTTTGGTAGTCAATCATAAAAATATTAATAAATTATTTGATTATGTGAGTGAGTGATTGATTAAATTATGTTATTTACTTCATGAATAATACAAATCACTGTTCAGAATTAGAAACATCGAAATAATAAATATTAATTGGATTATTTACTCAAAAATTTAAATTATTTTGTAAAACAAAATCAATAAAATATGGGAAACAGCCAATCAGGTTACAAATGCAAACCCTACAAAACAATCTAAGAAATTACCTAAGAAATGAACTTTGCTCTTTCTTAAAGCTCAACAATAGTTAAGCAATTCTTGTAAGAAAGGGAAAATTTTAGAAAACAGTTTAACGAAAACATACTAGAGCCTCATTTCGAATGCACTCAGAAAGATTTAGTTTTGATAAATAATTATTATACAGATAATAACAAATCTTTTTTAATTAAAAAAATGGGAAAGATTATTTTAAAATAATATATTGACCTAATTGACAAAACAATCTTAGAATGCATTCAGATATTAGACTTAGCTTATAAAGTTATCGAAAAGATTTCTATTTCTAAAACTTTGATAAACAGTGACATATAAATTAAAATAGAAGTGTAAAATTAAACTGAAAACTTATCTTAAAATATTTCAAACCTTGAACTATTTTTATTTTAATATATTGACTATCAGCAAATAACCAGAAATCAATATAAAAATAGATAGTGTATTTAAGATAATCACAAAGAAGTATTAATCAGTTATCAATCATCAATAAATACTTTCCAAAGTTCATGAAGTCATTTAAATAAAAATTTATTAATTTAAAAAAAATGTGTAAACTGAACTGAAACACCTTGTGTGATAAATAAATAAATAAATTACAATAGAAAAATAATTAAAATTAGAATTTAATAAAACAACCTTACTACTTACTATTTATTTATATAAATTATAATTAAGTTAATTAATTATTTTAAAATATCTTTTTATTTTAGTAAATTCTTTATTTGTGTATTAATTATATTATATCAATCTATAATCATTTTAGACATTTATTTATAAACTTTGCTTTGTTCTTTCCTTTTTAATCTTTTACAGAATGATTTTTTTTAGATAAACTATAAATAAGGAATAGAAATTTGTGAAAATTAAACCAGTGGATGCATCGTTTTTACTTATTTTATTTTATAAAATTGAAATGAATGATATAAAGAGCATCAGTTAAGAAATTCTAATTTATTTGATTTAGCAAAGTATTGTTTTCATAATTTTTTAATTAATATAGTGTATTCATTACATTTGTTTTGAGTATTATTTCTTTTATACTTAAAGTTACTCAGATTTAAAATAAATTTTTACATGTAATAAATATCCTACGTTCTTAAGCTTACAATTGATTTGATATTACATCAAACTCTTGAATTTTTTAATTATTTATTCTTAAATTCAATTAAATATTTTCGTAAACATAGCAAATATTTTTAGTTCGATTGGGTGATAGAAAGAAAGCATGGTTAATCATAATTTTAATTATTCAAAAAATATTAAATTTTGATAGTAATAATCCATAGAAGTTTTAATAGTGTTCTGAACATAAATATAAGATCTAATTTTATTTTTCGTAAAATATTTTAACTAAAAATACTTTGATTTGGCTATGAATAATAATTCAAGAGATTTAAATGAAATTAGCAGTAGTATTACATATTAAAAGGTTAAGTAATATTGACTGTAAAAAATAAATAATGACTGGTTCTGATTGCATAAGTATATTTTTAAAATATCAATTAAGATTTAAATGTAAAAGCTATTAAGTAAAGAATTTTAATCCCAGTATTTATTTTTATTTTAAATTCCCAGTCTATTTCTGTTTTGGGTGTAAATAAATTTTGGATTAGGGGTGGTTTAGCATAGACTCAGCTTACATACAATTTGAGTAAAAAGTAATAATTTTTTAATTTCCAATTTATTTATTTGTGTAATTGCATTTTTAAATTATTAGAATCTTAATTATAGTAAGCTCTTTAGATAATTATCTCAAAAAAATATATATTTGTTTAAGTAATCTGACAATGAAATACCACAATACAAGATAACTTATTTATCTAATTTAAAGAAGAAATACATGTGAAAAACTAAAAACTATTGTGAAAAACATATTTATTGTAAAAAAAAAAAGAATACATTCCTTTAAATTGAATGTAATGTTTTGCTTATTATGCAGAATTATCAGTTGCAATAAGCATTTTGTTTTTATTACAATAAATGCTTTTGAATTTTATACTTTTAAAGATAATTTTTGATAAGTTAAATATTACTAATAGTCAACTTTTTAGGTATAATTAAAAATATGAAATAATCAAATATTTAATCAATCTTTTTTATATCTTTTAATTCCTTTAGATAATAAGGATACTTTAGGAAAGTAAACGCAGTTTCTTTTAATAATTAAATGAATATATTGATAGATCTTAATATCTATTAAAACTTAGTAAGCAAAAAAAGTTAAGGCGGATAAAGTGCTTTTAAATTTAATTTTTACTTTTTTAAAGATTGTAACAACCATGCAATCATTTCTGTATTTTTCAAAAAATGTAATAAAATATTTAGGAGTAATGCTTAATAAGAAATCGTTTTAAATATGACATAAATGACTTTGGTATTTAAAAAGATATCAATTATATAATTAATGGAACTTCTATTACCTGAATAATTAGTAAGTGCTATTAACATAATGTTACTGACTTAAAAGATAAAATAAGAAGATTCGTTTATTAGTCTTTGAATAATTACAGAAGGTATAATACTACTGATTGAAAAAAATAAATTAAAGATTTAATATTACAAACATTATAAATTATATTCAAGCCAGAATTAATAATATTTTGAATAAATTAAGTAGCTATTAATATGAATTCAGTATGGGTTTGTTTTATCAAATTAATAATCAAAATAAACTTAAATATCTAGCAAACGAGACCTTCAAAAAAGATATAATACAAATAAAAAATCTAAATTGAAATATTAATAAATAAATCAATCAATCAATCAATAAAAAACAAATTCCGAAATGGGATAATCCAATTCTAATGAGATTTTAAACAACCACTTTTCTCTTAACTAATAATCTTAATCATCTAATATAATCATGGATTCTGAGTCCTTGATAGAAGAGAGCAGAAAATTGGTGATTAAAATTAACGAAACCTTTGAAAAAATTTCCTCTTCAAGATAATAAGTATTCCATGCTTTGGGAATTTCTTAGGTTGGTTTCGGCAGGAAGTATAAATAACTGTGGTCAATAGATGACGATTTAAGCATTTTTAAATAATAATTGTAAAATTTAGATATTATCGTCCCCTTAGAAAATATATTATCCATAAACTAATATTGCTTTGAGCTTTCGATGATTAAAATTGGCATTGTTTCTCAACTTTGCTAAATAAATCGCTTAATGGATTAAATCTAAGCACACTTAAAATAAAATAAACCAGAAAAAAACAAAAAAATCTAATTAAAAAACTCCATTAAGGTTTTAAATTCAAATATCGTAAGGCTTGAAGAACTTTTATCGAATAGATTTGTTTGTTAACTTAACAATTAAGATTTCTTAAACTGTGTCCACTCAATCTAGTTCAAAAATTCTTTAAAAAAAATAGACGATAATATCAGTTTGAGAAACCAATCACCTTAAACAATCATTGATAACACAGACCTTTCTATTCTCTCAACTAATTAATCTTTTGATGACATTTTCTTGGAATAAATAATATGATTAATTTTTTAATCTATCTTTGAAATTCAAGCAAAAAAAACTAAAATTAAAGATTTCCTTAGAGTGTAAATTTTACAAGGAAATTCTTAAAATTGGTACTATCAAAAGATAAAATTGTAAATAAATGCTATTCAAGCATGAAATTAAAAGTCGCTAAAAATAATAACTTTTACTTAGTAAGTCAAAAACTTTAACTATTATATTAAAATAAATTAATTATAAATAAATACATGTAAATAATAATTACTACTTCATATAAAACACTTTCCTTACTCTGTTTATAATTATATAAATTGCTAAAAAAAATTACTAAATTCTTATTTAATACAAATTTTAAATTGAAAATATTAAATCTATTTTTATTACACTATTCAATAACTCACTTCTTATTTTACACTCATTTCATAATAAAATTAGAATTTTCCAACTCTCTCTTCAATTAAATAACGATCTATCTTAATTTCTTGAAAAGTCACTCTAAAGGATAATTTACTTGTGAATATCATCTATCTATTTACCTGGCTGATTTATTTCACCTTCTAGCCAAAATATCGCTTCATTAAAAAATTAAATAAGTAATTAAATATTCATATTTAATATAAAATTTCAATAAAGAAAAATAATTGATAAAATTTATAAAAAGATAAATAAAAAAATTATTTCATTTAAAAAAATTAGTCGATTAATGAATGGATAATTAAATTTATTGATATTAAAATTTTTATATTTAGAAAAATAAATTTATTCATAAGAAATTAAGTATACCGTGATTATCATTTTTTCCCTATTATTAGAGTATTCTGAATTTGTGTTATATTAAAAAAAAATCATTCAATTTATTATTTGCTAATCTATTAGTATCATTTTTTAGACTTAATATTTCAAAAAATCTTAAAATTTAACTCTATTGTTATTAATTGCTTTGAGAAACATTAAATCTCCATTTTTTTACAAAAATTAAAAAATATTTTACTAAATTAATAAAAATTAAAAAATATTGAGTCATTAATCAGCAGCCATAAAAAATAAAATGTAATTTTAATACTTAAAGTAATTTAAAACTGTTGAATTTTAAGCATATATTTTTTTTAAATGTTTAAAAATATTCCATGTTTAATTATGTCAGCAAAATAGTAATGAATTTTATTTTCCTAAATAAATTGTTTAATATTTTTATTAAAAAGAATTTAATTGATAACCAATAATTTTTAGTAATTGAAATATTAAATATTAATTTTATAATAATTTATAATAACTAAATTAATAAACATAGGCAAAGTATTGCTTATTCATATTTTATTTTTTTATTAAAGTATTTATTATCTGTAATTCATAATCAAAATAAGAGATGAAAAAATTAATTGCTTTAAGTTAATTTTTTTTCTAGATTTTTTTTTTTTTGGTAATTATTAACTGTGGATTTATTTTTCATAGAAATGAAAGGTGTAAATAATTCATGAAATTCAATTGAAAATAATGCAGAGTAAATTTTCTCAAAAATATTTGTGATGAAAGAAAGGTTATTAAAACTTAAAACAAACTATAAAAAGAATGAAATTCTTTTTTTAGAGCAGACAGACAGACAGACAAGAGAAAGGCTACATTTAGAAAAATAAAAATTAGTGAGATAATATCATTGAATATTTTAAAAACTAATTTATTTAAAAAAATTATAAAATCGCAAGTGATATAGAAAGTCAATTACGTATATATAACTCTAAGCATCAGAATAAAGTCTTTGCTTGTCTTTTATCTTTTTTAAGTTTTGAAAAGCTCTAAAAATTCAAAAATAACTTTTTTCAAATTTTGCTAAAAAAATCTAAATAAATCTAAAATAATTTTACACAAATGGGCAACAGCAACGCATCTAATAGCATGAATTCTGCTAGCAGTTGCTCTACTGTTATAATGTCAAATGGAACTCCAGAAAAAGACTAAAAGGCAACAAAATCTTCTCCAGAAGAACTGATTCAAAGTTCATACTAGATTATTGATTCTGGTAAAAGAATAATCAAAGAAATCAATGAAGGATAGTACGCTAGCTATAAAATGTTCTAGCAGTAAAATAGAATATCTAAACAGTACAGCATTGCAGAAGACTTTCGTTATTTTGTTGAATATTTAGAAAAAAGCATAATGCAAAATAATAAAAATATCATCTTTCTCTAACAATCGAAATAAAATTTATAATGCAAGGATGAATAGCTTCTTAACATTTATGAGGAGCTAACTTAGAAGCTAGCCTAAGCAGAGAACCTGATCAAATTTGGAAATTAAGTGCGCTCTCATTTAACACTATGTCAAACAGTACTTCTAAAAAGCTCTTAGCTGATTGAATATATAGAAATACTAGAATCAAGCTAAAAGAAATAAATTAAATAGAAGGGATTGAAAAAGTAGCTCGATTAAGCTCAATACAATCTGAACGATATCATCATGACACTGGAGCAATACTTGTTACAAAAAATATCATTTAACTCGATTTCTGATGTAGATGGGTATCTAATTAGATTGATTACAATTTAAACTTAGCTCATAAACTTAATGCAACAATTCTAAGTTGAAGAAAGCGAAGATATCTAAGAAATCCCCTACGAATTAGAGTGAATATTAGTAACCTTAATAATATTTTAATATAAAAATACACATCTTCTCTCATTACCTGAAGAAAGCGCTAACAAAAAATAAAACTAAAATCATTTTTTACTAAAGCTTTAATCTTACTTTATCGTCTACCTTTAATAAAATTATTTTTAATCTTTTAACTGACGACTGAAAATTAAATTATTAAAAATAATACAAAATAATTAAACAAACAAACAAACAAACAAATTTGCTCTCAAAAGTATACAAAGAAAATAATAAATTATCTTTCTCTTTTTTCTTTGAGTATTTCTTTCTTACTCACCTCTAATACTCTTTTACTTCTTAAATACTTTAATACTTAGCAGAAAGTAAATAAAATAGGATTTAATAGGTAGTTGAAATAAAATTCTATAAAAATTTTTACCTCATTTAAGTAAACTAACGTAAAAAATAATTTAATTAAATCCTATCTATTAGATTTCATCATAAAGCAATGTAGATTTTTGTAAATCTACTTAAGTAAAGACGGGCTTATGAATTTGTTTTAGTTTGAATGATTTAAGGTGTAACACAAGGCAGAAGATAATATAAGAATATCTATTATTTAACTTTCTTGAATCTCCTTTATTACATTCATTCACCTTCACAATACTCTTATTGAAAAACCAAATCTTAACAATCTAATCTTACAACCTAATTATACCTATAAACATTTATTAACCCAAACCTATATAATCTAACTAATCTTATTATAGCATTAAAGATTCTTAATTTTATTTCTTCTTACATTTAAAAAAAATCTTATATAATCAAAAAAATGAATGTCTGTCTTAAAATTCTTTCTCACGCATTCATTCATTCATAAATAATAACCAAAAACTTTTAAAAAAATCTTAAAATCAATCTATTAACCTCTTATAACGATAATCTTGTTAAATATATGAATTCAATTTTTACTTGGAACAATAGCACAAAAAATATCTAAAAGTCAAATAAAAATATGAAACAAACTCAACATATTTTATTTGAAATGAATAAATGAATTAATTTTATAAATAAATAAATTTGAAAAATAAATACTTAAATTGAATAAATAATAATTTCTATTAAAATCTATTTAGTTGCTTTGTTTATTTGTTCGTTCGTTTTTGTGCCTTTTTCTTCGTATATCTTGAAATTAAAAAAAAAAAATATCTATCTATATATAGATTTTGTATTACACTCTTTTACATTAGAAAATTCATGATTTGAAGTTTCTTGATTTTATATTTTAAATTAACTAAAGCCAGCAACTATTACAAAAGGTTTCTTTAAAAGAATATTTAGATTTACATAAGTTAATAAAATGCAGTACTTTTTTTTATTTACTTCTTAATTTAGATTAGGAGATTTAATGTAACTTTAATTTATATTAAAGAACAAAAAATTCACTACTTTTCTTAACTAATCGAAAATCCCACACACCCACACTTTTACTTTTTCTAAATTACAAAAAGAAATTATCAATTTAAAACTCAATCTTAAATTTAATTAGGAAAAGAAGTAATATATGCAAAAGCTAATTAATTATATCTTTTCTTTTTTCAAATAAAAACAAAAAATTATTATTTTTATATATATCTCATCCTGATAAATTGATAATGCTATTAAAAAAATATAATTTTTATAAAAAACTTGTTGATGATGCTAAGTAATAGTAGAAATTTATAAATTCTATTTATGCTTTCATGTTAAAGTTAAGATATTTGCTTTTGTAAATTAGCTACTGGACTCAAAAATTAACATGAATACTTAGAATTTCAAGGACATTAATTAATAAAAACGCAAAAATGTGTAAAAATAGACAGCTGATCATAATGCGCTAACCTTATTTTAAAAAAAAGTGCACTGATTGGAAATTAGCATTTTTTACATTGTTATAAATTAGAAACGATATAATTATATAATTAAAATTAACCTAGCATAAAAAGTAATTAAATGATTAATTTTTTAAGTAAAAAATATTTATACAAGCATTTGCTATGAATTTATTTTAAATGGTTAAATAAATTAAGATAAATAACTCAGTTTTTCTAAAAATAACTTTACACTATAAAATAAAATACAAATACTTCCTTTATTGTTAAGTAAATAAAGCTACTTTCAAGTTTTAATGAATAATTAAACTCCAAATTTCTTCTAAGAGAATTTATATCTTATTTTTAAGCGATTTTGCTGGATATTAATTTTCTTACATCAATTTTGCCAGTGTAAAATTTAATTATTTTCAGTAAATAAAATAGCTTTTAATTATTTGTTTATATGCACTTATTTCATACTTATAATTAAACTGAGTTACTATTCATTTGCTTAAAATATAGCTGAAATATAATACTTTAGCATAACCTTTATTTAATTAGTAAAGTTAGACTGGTGTTTGCTAAAAAAAGCCTATTCAAGGAAGTTATGAATTGTTTTATTATAGGGTTTATTTTTTATATCAGCAAATATATTTTGAGAAATTCGATAACGTTTATATATATTAATAGAAAAGACACTAAGACAGTATGAATGGGTTTTAATAAAAAGATCTTTTTTGCAAATTTGAGAATAATAAAAATGATTCAGTAGCTAATTTTGTAACTCTAAAAAAGTTTGTTTTTTTTGATTTGATTAAGTCTTTAATATAAAAGTTATCCTACGCATCGAACAAATATGTCATTTTTAGTATTTTAAAATAGTACACTGTAAAATTTTTGGATAATTCAATAAAAGGACAAAAAAGGAGAGAAGTAAATTAAAAAGCAATCTCTACTATATATCCAAAGAAGTTCATGTTGGGAAATCTTTGTATTTTGTTTAATTTTGATAAATAAGGGAAGAAAAGAGATGTAATGATAATACTTTACACCTGTTTTTAATATGCATTTAGTAATTTTTATTGGCATATTTTTTTCAATAACATGCAAATTTTTTTTACTGAGCAAAAGAGTATTTTGATATTTGGTAATATAAGTGCACTGATTTTTTTTACTTTTGGTAATAGTTATCTTAGTATGCAGGTTACATATAACATGTTAAGGTATAAATGAAATTATTATAATAAATTCTAGCTAGAATAATTAATTAGCAAATAACTGCATCAAGTGTAAAATATTGATCGACCTTAAATTTTTCATGGATCTTTATTTATTTATTTATAATTTGTTTTTGTTAGATTTTTAGTTTTAGCGAATCAATTTTATGTCTAATCACTTTTTTATTTTAAAGATATCTAACTGAGGCAAATATTTTTATACTTCTTGATTGAATATTAAACAAACAAGAAATGTTCCTACCATCGATTTAATCTCGTCTACCATGCTTGTGTAGTCCAATTTTTTCAGTAGCATTTTTACATAAATATTTATAAATATATAAGTACATCTTATTTATTCTTTTATCTGTTTTAGGTGACGAAAGCTGATTATAGTAATAGGATATTACATTGAAATTAACAAGAAAAAATCTGTGATGCAAAACAAAAATAGATAGCTCGATTGAAATCAAAAAAAAGAAAAAGAAATCATTGCTAATTTAAACTCAAATGCTTATTTCCCACTAAAAAAAGAAATAAGTAAAAACAAACTAAGACTGAAACGATCAATGTTAAATTAAATTTATTTAAAAGGGAAAAAGTTAATCTTTAAATTAATTATAAAAAATTAAAACCAAAAACAATTAATTAAAAAGAAATCAAACAAACCTTAACTAAAAGCAAATAATTAGATTAACATACCAAATCTAATCTTAAGTACTTATTATTCATTACCGAATAAGAAAATCCCTTCTATCTAAATTAAAAAAAGCAAGATAAGAAAGAAACAAACAAATAATTAACAAAAATATCAAACAAACAAACAAAAATGGGTTGCATCGCTAGTCAATAAAAGAATGTCTCTCAAGTAAAAACAGTTAAATCTTAGGCTTAATTAGAATATGAATTGAATAATTGCTACGACCACTTCAATACCATTTCAATCACACTTCAAAAGAGCCAAAAATATATTTTCAAGAGTGTAGGAAAGGAACTAAACTCTAAAGAATACTACTTAATATACTAAAAGCTCGAAAACTAGCCTAATTAAGAGAAAACTATCGAATCCTTTGATATATTTTTCAGAGCGGTTGAATAAGGTCTCTAACTTCTCCCTATGCTTTTAAAATAGAGCCAAAAGCTTGAAGCTAGTCTTTCAGACAGAAAAAATGAAATCTCAGAATTCAAGCAATCTCTTATTACACACATTGAATTCTGCAAAAATATTGTACTCCCTTCTCACATGAATTCCTAAAGCACTGAACATTGAAAAATTAAAAAGAATTCCCGAATTAATAAACTCCAAATATTTTTCAGTCTTCTAAATAGCTAAATAAATAAATCAGTACATACTATAATAACAATTGAGAAGTCACTAAATTTTATTAATCTTAGCCTTCCCAGATAGCTACTAATACGTACTATCTATCTATTTAATTATTTATATAGATAGATTGCCTTTTTTACTAACCTGCTAATCAATCAATTAATTATACTGTATAAACTTTAATACTCAAAATACAAATAAACTCAACTAATCCAAAAAATTAATTAATTATAACTGTGAATAAAAAATCTAGATTAAGCAGCTCAAATACTAATTTAATCTTAATATAAAATAGACCAGTAACTTGGTTTCTAAAAAATTTTTACTACCTCCCTAATTATAATTATGATAAGCTAAACCAAAATAAAGCAGGCTGAAAAGTAATTATTTAAATTATTCAGCCCTCAGATGATTATTGGTTCATTTATCAGCTAGTAGAAGAGCTGCATGAGACTCTTTAAATAGTACACTTTTATTACCAAAATGTATAGAAAACCAACAATAAATAAATAAACAACTTACTAAAATATTTATAATGTATTATATATTAATTTATTTTTCTTTTTCATATTATAGTTTTAAAATATTTATCTTCTTACTTAAATTTAATATACTTGCTTCCCTAACATTATTAGAAATTAAACTAATTCTATTTAGCTATAAAAAATACAAAATTTTCTCTTAAATTAAATTAAATTAAAAAATTAAATATTGTATGCAATACATTAACCCTAACGCATTTGTAAACGAATTTACTATTCTTATTTTGATATCAGCTAGAGAAGGCTAAAAATATTCCTTACTGATTCCACAAAATTTGATATTCTAATCAATTATATGAATATTTTTTCTAAAATATATTCCTTTTACTGAATTATATTTTTGCTTATTTCCTTAATTTTTTAAGTGGCATAATATATATAATTTTTCTTTTTCCACTTCAACTATTGATAAATAGAAGATTTAACCAATCTAAAATGCAAAAAAAAATAGAATTATTTTATTATTTTGATGCCTTTTTGTGATTTTCTGCCTACAAAAATACTGTTTTCCCCAACTTACAAGTATTTTTTAAGCTTCAGCAATACAGATGTAAAGTTATAAATATTATATCATTTGTTACTATAATTGATTTATAATATATTTAGATAAATAAAGCAATTTTCTTTCCTGAATTTTTTACAAATAAAATAGCAATTTTTCTTAAGAAATTCGAAAAATACAAAAATTTTCTCGATTTAGACTAATTATTAATATTACTTCCTTACTATTTATCTCAAATAATGATTGAAATTAAGATTTTATAGTATGAAGTCATTTTACTTAATATCAGTTCATAACGCTAATTAATTCGCTTACAAATTTAATATATTTAAGACTAATAATCAGTTATAAATATTACAACGCAACCACTATTAACCAAGCATAGAAATATAAAAAAAGGTAATATTTTAAATAGAAATATTTAAGAAATTTAAATCGAAGTAAATATCAAGATTTTAATACTATTTATAATATTAAAAATTGATTCATTTAATTTATAAAGCATTTTCTCATTGTAAAAAATCTGATCTTCCTTAGCAGCTTTTTTCAAAAAAATATCTAATTTTTACCAAATTAATATTAAAAAATAATATTTTTAAAAATCTATTTTTTGTCTCATCTTAATTTAAGCAATTTTCTATTTAAAATAATTTAAAAACTATGATATTATGAATGAGATATCAGCTAAAACTAAGTTATAAAAGAAGATAAATAAATAAATAAATAGAGTAATTTGTTAATCACAACCACAAAAGTTAGAAAACAAAAAAGAAATTAAAAAAATATTTGATAATTTACAACCTGTTTCAATAAATAAAACATCAAATACAAATTTGTAAACTTATCTATAATATTTTAAATCTAACAACACCATATTTTTTGAATCTATAAAATCTTATAATTAAATGATACTTAAGTACATTTTTAATATTTTTAAATTATAATATTTTTAATGATCAAAAATTATAAAATCAAATGTAAATTAAATTCTATTTTTGTAATTTGGAAATTAATAAGTTCCTTTATATGAAATTGAATTAGCTAAGTCTATAAATAGAAATTTTAAGAATAATTAATGCTAAATTCTTTAAAGACAAAAAAATAAAAAATGTATCAAAAATTCATTTAAATATTTTAAAATATTCTAATTATATTTAAAAAAATATGTTTTGCCTGTTGAAAAAATAAACAAAAGTAAGGCTTTAAATTTTTATAACAGTTAAATTAAAACTCTTTTCAATTTTAAAAAGTATTATTTATATTTGCTTTTTGAAAAATTTAATATTGCCATCTACATAAAAGAATATGCAATTAGAGTAAATAAATTTTTCAAACTTTCATGTTCATAACTTATAAAGCAAGGGGAGAAAAATAATCGAAAATTCCTGGGACATAAGCAGAATCTCCATAGCCGAAAAGACGTCTATTAACTACAAGCTTGACTTTAGCGTCTGGGAACTCGGTATTAACAATTTATTCAAATGTAGCAACACCATCAATAAATCTATTTATAATTAATTATAATTCAATTTTATTTATATTCTTTAAAGAATAAGTAAATGATCTCTTTAATCATTCATTCATTGATTCATTCATTAATTAATTTATTTTTTTACCCTAAATTTTATGCCTCTTATCCAAAGACTATATCTTTTTGGAATAAGCTTGAGTTTAATTATTCATTTGAGAGGTTTTTTTCATGGAACTTTTCAGCTCTTAATTTTATGAGTTCTTTTTTTAATTCTTCTTCTCTGTCGCTCAATACGTTGTTGATCCTATTAAAGAATGTTTAATAGACATCTTTATAATAATTAAAAATACCATTTTTTGTCTTCTTCAGTAAAAGGAGTGTTGCTATCTAATTTTTTACCCTTAGTTGCTTCTGAGCAATAAGTAGTAGCAATACCATATTCTTTATTAAATTCAGATGTTTCAGTAATAATTTGAGAGAATCCAAACTAGCCAATCATAGAATGTTTAGCTTTTTATAAAATTAACAATAAATTGAAACTTTTTTCTTTATTTAATTCAACTTACAAGAAAAGCACCTATTAGCTCCTACTAACACTATATTTGCTGCTCCAAAAACTCTGTCTTCACCAAAAGTATAAATAGGAGCTCTTTTTTTATATCAATAAGTTATACATAAATATTCGCATATAGTTAAAAAGGACAATGAAATTATAAATATGAAAATATATTTACGATGTTTTATATGAAATATCCTTCAAAATAGACACAATATTCTTAGCTTAAGTTATGCTTCCTTTTTTAAAATCGAATGATTATATAACTTTTCTTAAATTTGCTCATTATATGTCTTAATACTATAAATGAGTAAGTAACATCATCTATTGATGAAATAAAACTATAATGAGAGTATTTTAATACCTCCATCTGAGTTTATTGAAACAGCTACAAGGGATGGTCTTTATCTTATAATAGTTTAACTAACGTTGAATAATTTATCAGTGCTTTTGATTATAAATAAAATGTGATGGATGATTTTAACAATAAATATTTATTTATTATTTAGCATTTTCAATAAATGAAATTAAATTTTGTATTTAAGTAAAAAATACATACATTCTACTAGATATATTTGAGTGAATCTTAAAATGAACTACTTTAAATCCTTTGCTAAACATTACCTTATTTTAAGTATTTTATAAACTATTATATCTTTTAATTTTTATCTATTATAAATCTACCACTGTATGAGTATTTATATCAAAAAATCTTTTCTTCGAATTATTTGGAATAAAATATCTGAACTTTAAATTAAGATATATACTTTGTTAAGTAAATAAATATGTAGTCAACTATTTTTTATAAAAATAAAATATCTTTTTACACAATCAATTAAGTTAAAGCAGTATAATAAAAATATTATTGCAAACAACCAACAAAAAAACTAGAAAATAAAATAATATTTTTTCAATAAATTATTAAAAAATAATTTTTTCAATTGTTTAATTTTGTGTTTCGTTTTTACTATTTTATAAATTGAAATTCTTCTAAAAATATTTTTATTTGTTTTGAATTATTTCTATTTATTTATTTATTTATTTATTTATTTTATTAAAAATCTTATGATCAAAAATCTTAATCTTTAAATAATTTATTTATTTATTAAAATCACTTTTCATCAAAAATCTTCTTTAAAAAATTCAAAATAACTAATTTTAAGCAAACCCATAATTTTTTATTTTATAATTTACTATTTATTTGGCTGCTCTTTGCAACAAGAATTTCTTTAACCTCGCGACAGGGGCAATATAGCAGCAAGTGACGGTTAACTGATGCGCTATTATTGCTAGTTGAAAACTACTTCAATAAGTGGAAACGACGCTTGCGTCGGGTCCCAATTTCTGGAAGGTCGTATGACCTACTCACTCCCTATATTAATCAAACAAAACTAAGTTCTTTTCTTCTTAATTCCTTCATATTTATGATCTTATTTTCAATTAAATCAAGTTATTATTAACTCTAAAATGAATAAATTTAAATGTAATATGTAATTTAAAAACAAAATTTATGTAAAAAAAAAAAAAGAAATTAGCATAACTAACTAAAATGCTTTTTAAAATGATGTTTTATAAGTAATATCATAAAAAACTAGCATTCAGATTATGTTATTTCTTTTTATAAAAAAGAAACTCTGCAAATATTAAAGAAAAATAAAATGAAAAAATATATTTTTAATTGTGCACACATGAGATATATTTTATAAAGGTTTATTATAAAAAAAACTAAACAAAAATAATTATTTTAAAATGTTTAACTGTTTATTTTTTTATTATTTTTAATAAAAAGCATCATTCAATCACTCTTCTTTCTGAACATTTTTTTGTAATATCAATTCTTTTATGTGCGACATTGGATATAAGAGCCTCCCAAATTTAATTAATCCAAAGAATTAATCCCTAATAGGTAATACAATTCCATGATAGTGTAAATGATCTATTGAAACATGAGGAGGGATATGATAGCCATATTTGTACTCTTTTCCAGGATGACTTTTTTAGAGAATTTGTTCGCATACTTTGTGAATTTCATCTAAAAGTTAGAGATCATTGCTAGTTAAATAACTAGAGTTTTCTATGTGCTTAATTGGACATACTAAAATGTGCCTCTGCGAAGATGCTAAATCAATATCCTCAATAGCAAATACAATGTCGTTTTAAAAAATGATTAGATTTTTTTTGTTTTATAAAATATCGCAAAATTCACAAAAATACTGGTTCTTCATGCTTTTCAATTAATTTCAAATATATTTAATACTTAGAAACTAAATGTAAATGTAAATATTAAATGTGTTAAAAATTAGTCAAAGATAATAATGTTTTATTCAATAAATTTATTTTTTCATATTCTTAAAAAATATATTTTAAATATTTAATATCAAAAATCTCAATTTAGAATAATTTATATTTACCGATTGTAAAACATACATTATTATATTCATTAAGTACAAAAATTTTTGATAGATGCAAGAAAGAAAGAAAAATTTAAACATTGAAAAGTTTAGTTAAAATCAAATCTATTTCATTAGTATATTTTGAAAATATTTTGTCTATAATTTAAAAATTGTATTATTAAATTAACTAACCCATATTTTTATAAACCAAATTAATCTTTATAAATTGAAATCTAATCCTTAAGAAATACTTATCCTCGCGCAGAGGGGCATTATAGTAGCAAGTGAAGTATTAACTGATGCACTATTATTGCTAATTGAGAACTATGTTCGATAAATTGACTTTAAGTGTAAACTTATTGGCATAATTTCTGAAGGGTCTTATGGACTCCACTCACTTCACTTAAATTAACAAAACAAAAGCATCTTTTTTATTCTTTTTAATATATTTTTATTTAAATAATTTAAACATTTTATAAATAAATAGAAAATAAGTGAAAATGAAATTCATATTAAAAATAAATATTTTTTATAAAATTTCAAATATTAATTTGCTTATTTTTCAAGTTTGAATTTATTTATAAAATCAAAAGTTAATATCTAATATAATATTCTTATTTTATACTGCATTACAAGGTAATAATATGTATAAAATTTAAAGTAATTGTAAGATTATTTGTAGTAAAATTTATTACTATTTAATTCATCCCTTAATTTAAATAAATTAATTAAAAATAAAATAATTAATTATTATTTTTTAGTTTTAAATATGTACAATTAAAATATTTAACCAATAATTTACTTTTAGACTTATTTTATTTAAATATTTTTAAAAAAATTATAATTATATAAAAAAGCTGATTTATTTTATCATTATTATTCAATGTTTTGAGAATAAAAAATATATAAATTAATATAAAATAGATGCATTTTTTATAAAATTTTTGAAGTGAATTTTGTTGGTATTTTTAAATTATTTTTCCAAATCTATTTCTATCAAATTTAAAAGCATTTTGTCTATAATTTGATGTTAAATAATTAAAAATAGCTAACCCATAATTTTTAAGGTCAAATTAACTTTTATAAATTGAAATCTAATCCTTAATAAATACTTATCCTCGCGCAGAGGGGCATTATAGAAGCAAGTGAAGTATTAACTGATGCTCTATTATTGCTAATTGAGAACTATGTTCGATAAATTGACTTTAAGTGTAAACTTATTGGCATAATTTCTGAAGGGTCTTATGGACTCCACTCACTTCACTTAAACTAACAAAACAAAAGCATATTTTTTATTCTTTTCAATATATTATTATACAAAATAAATAAGCAATAATTAAATCAAAAACATTTTCATTTCGACTTAAAATAAATTAAAAAAGGAATTCATATGAAAATTTTAAAAAGATTAACTAAAGTTTCAATTGATTTTATAAATTAAACTAAATTATTTATTTACAAATTATATATTAGGTTTAAAAATAAACATGATTTAAATAAATATAACAAAGAATTAGTTGGTTTTTAAATTATTTATTATTTTTGAGAAAAGTATTTATTTTTAGATTTATTTAATTGTGTAAAAAAATTAATATAATTGCATCTATTAACAATTAAGAATAAAAATATTTGATAGATGCAATTTATAAAATTTTTGATCAGGATGATAAGCAATTAAATTAATTGTCCAAATCTGTTTTTATGAACTCGAAAAATATTTTGTAATAATTAAAGTTAGCTAACCCATATTATTTAAATCAAATAAACTTTTAAATTTATATATAATCCTCCTCTAATTAGTATCCTCGCGCAGAGGGGCATTATGGAAGCATGTGAAGTATTAACTGATGCACTATTATTGCTAATTGAGAACTATGTTCGATAAATTGGTATTGAGTTTAAACTTATTACCATCATTTCTGAAGAGTCTTATGGACTCCACTCACCCAACAAAAACATTTTTTTCATGTTTTTAATTTAAAAAAGTAAAAATATTATATAAATATAATTTACAATTAATGCAAGCTACATATATTTTAATTAATTGTGACAAAAATAGACAAAAATAAATTTAAGAATTAAATTTCTTTAAAATTTTAAAAAAATCAGTGCTCATAATTTTATTTAAATATATTTTGATAAAGAAAACTTTTAATAAATTTTTATAAAATTCTTATTTTTATTTTTAAAGTTTTAATTTTTAATATAAAATCTACTTGAACAAAAAAATAAAAATTTTGCCTGTTATTTAAAATTATAATTAAAAAGTCTCAACAATTATTTTAATAAAGCTAATTAAATTTTATAAATAAAAATCTAATTCTTTAAAAAACTTGTATTCATACTTAAAGGTGCATAAAAGAAGCATGTTCATTTTTAATTAAAGCTTTGTTATTTCAAATTGAGAACAATGTTTGATATATTGACTTTAAATTTATGCTTATTGTCACAATTTCTGATGATTATTATGGACTCCATTTACTTCACCTAAATTTTTGATTCAAAAGCTTCTTTCTTATTATTTTGAATGCGTTTTCTTAATATTAATAGCAAAAAGCTTAAAAAAATAATTTAAAAAAATAAATATTTAAAATATTATTCAAAAAAATTATACTTTAACTTTTTTAATTCACTAGAAAAATATTTATTAAATTGAAATTATCATCAATAATATATCAAAAAGATAAGTTAGAATAATAATTTGTATGTATCACCAATATTATTAATGTTTTTGTAATTTAGAGATAAATAATAAATATTTTTTTGTTTATTTGTTGATTTATTTCTGCAAATATTTTTTTTGTTTTATTTTAGATAAATATTTTTTAGTTTATGAATCTTCATTTACTTTTAGAAAATTCTTATTTATTATTAATTTATTTGTAATTTTAGTTTATTTATAAGTAGAAATGCTGAAGAATATTTTCAACAAGTTCAAACAAATAAGGTAAGCCCATAATGATGCAAAATTTAATAGAAAATTAGTGGGTACAGATAGAAGCGGAAATAAGTACTACCAATACTTTGATGAAGAAGGGTATGAAACTAAAAGAGAATGTGAATATTTAAATGTTTTTGATCAGAATCATGTGAATAGAATAGATCCAGCTTGGGAAGATTGGTTGAGAAAGAAAAGATTAGATCCTTTTACTGAAGAAGAAATGGAAAAAATTTATAGATACACTGATAATCTAAGAAAAAAAGGTATTTCAGCTGATAAATATGAATAAGAAATGATGAAAACTTTTCGTAGAACTGATAAATATAATGCTGCAGAAAAAAAAGACTTCCAACCTGAACACTGGGATTTTGATTAGAAAAACAATAAATGATATATTAGTAAACTCAATTGATAATAAAAATATATTCTTGATTAATTTATATAATTTTAATATATATTAGTTATTTTTAGACCAATAAACATTTTATATTTTGCTAAAAAAAGAATATTACTCAAATAATTAAATTAATTACTATTAATTTCATATTATAATTAAAAGAATAGAAATATTGTAAGCAATCTATAATGTATTTATTACTGAGTGATTTCAATTAATATAATATTATCTTTTTTTTAAATAAAGCTGCTTTTAGATACAATAAGTGAAACATCTATTAAAAGTTTCTCATGCATTTATTTAATTAGAAAATTAATTTATTTTTCTTAGATAATTATTCAATCAAAATTTGCTATATTAAGATAAAAATAGTTTATTTATTTTTTTTGGAGAGAATACGCACAAAGGATAGAATATATTATACTAATGAAATTAACAGATTAAAATAAAGTTAACTATCTAATTAATATTTATTAAAATAAATAAACATTATGCAATAGCTTTTATATTTTCCATTATCGTACATATTTATTTATTTAGTTTTTTAAATTTTGATTTTATTTTTTTTAGGAGTTACTATTTACTCATAAATTATTTTTTTAAATGAAAAATAAATAATGACTGAATTTAGTTAAAAAATATTTAGAAGTATTTAAGATTCATTAATTATTTATTGTTGGACAAAGAGTAAGTAATTTTTATCAGGTTGCTCAAAAAAAAAATGAATATTTGAATAAATGAATGTTTTAGATTTAAAATTTAAATTTATTTATTTACTTTACAGTTAAACAAATACAACAGTAAATATTATTATCATAAATCTTTACCCAATCTGTGTATTTCATTAAGAGCAAATTATGCTTCTTCTTTTCCTTTATCAGCTGTAAAGATAAATCTGAAGAAGTTCTTTCTTTGAATTGATTTTTGGTTTTGTTTTTAATAGGCAACCATCATTGTACCTTGCTCAACCATTTTAGCTTTGATGATAGGAGGAATATTATGCATGTCTTCCCAGAATTTTTCTGTTTTGTCTTCTCCTAATTCTTTTCTTTTTAAGAATGAGTCAGGATAATAGAAAAAGCTGACACTAACATATTCAGGCTCATTGATTAATTCACAGTTAGGGTGATCTTTAACCAACTAGGCAAAATATTTAGTGGTTTCTAAAGAATCAGCAACAATTTATTCTAAACCTAATGTACCAAAATGTTTCCAGTAGATCCAAAATTTGAATACATCTATATGTCTTGCACATTAGTAAGTCTTATCTCCTGAATCATATCTTTATTAAAGAAAGTATTGATTAATAGATGAAATATTAATTTTTTAATTTATTTTATTACTTAGTTGCATCATAGAGTTTTTTGTCCTTCATGAAAAGATAGTCGCTACCTAAAGCATTAGCTTCATGAAGCAAGCCAACATGTCTAGTGAAAAAGGCTGTACATTATTAAGGAACATTAAATAATTTATGAGCATCCCAAGCGAAACTATCAGCTTAGCTGATGAGGCTATATTTATTTCTAAATTCTTCTAAAAAGATCAAGTGACCACCCCAACAGCCATCAATGTGAACCCACATGTTATATTTTTGTGCTATTTCAGTGCATTTGTTGATAGGATCAACTACACCAAAGACTGTTGTACCACAGGTCAAATTAACCATTAAAGGAACCTAAATTAGATTAATAAAAGAATAAATATTATTGATGAATATTACGTATTTTAGTTAATAATTTTGATAAAAGCTATCAAAAAATATCTTTTATCATAAAATTTTTACATTTGGATACTGCTTTTTCTTTATGAACTAAAAAAATATCTTTAAAAATAAAATGAAATTATAAAATATTTTAGCAGATTCAAATAAGTTTTGTTTTATATGTTTATTTATTTATCTTCGGTTTTTATTTATTTAATTCATTTTCTTCAAGCAAAATAAATAATTGTCTATCTTACTGAACCTTCTTAAATGCATTTTTAGATTTCCTTTTCGAATTCCTCAGGAATCATTCTTCCTTCTTCATCACAAGCTATTTTGACAACAGAATCAAGACCAAAACCAAGCATAATTGCTCCTTTTTCGATGCTATAGTGAGCTAATTCAGATGTGAAAAGTTTCAAATCAGGAAGAGCACGAAGACCTTTTCTCTTAAATTCAGGATATTTGTGTTATCTAGCTGCTAAGATACCATAAAAATTAGATTAGGAACCGCCTGGGCAGAAAACTCCATCAATTGTACTCCACTTTAAGTATCTTTCTGCAAATAATTACTAAATGGCGTTTTCCATAAAGTTAAAAACTGGGGCCATTTCATAAGTATACATAGAGCCATTAATTGTAGATGTGAAATAGTCTCCTGCTAAAGAATATTCATTTGAACCACCGAAGAGGTTATTGAAAAAGTGAGAGTGTGAAGTCTTAACGCTATATTTGTCAACTAATTTAATGAAGTTAATAATCTCTTCATCAGACTATCCTTTTAAAGGAAGAGTTAAATCTATTTCTTTAATGAGCTAATCAGGAGTCTTAAAGTCAATAACCTTTCCATTACCTGTCTTGCATTCGAGAATTATCTTCTTCAAAATCTAAAAAACATCATCCAGAAATTTCTCATTGAGTTTTTTATCTGATAAATATTAAAGGATTTAAATATAAAATATTTTTTTGAACCAATAGTTACCATTTGCTAAAAGATGCTAATCTTATTGTTCCATTCTTATTTGTATGATATTCTAAACTATATATTTACCTTTATTTAACAATAATTAATTTTTTTTTTAAAGTAATTATATGTGGTTTTTATGAGTTTAAGCTATTTATTGATTGATGATAGATATTTTCTTAAATCTTTTATAAATACTCTTTAAATGTAATGATCCAAATGTAAAAGATTTTTTATCTCATCTTTATCAAACATACCTCAATATTCTACTAATTTTCTTTACATAAAATAATGTTCGTTCATAAATTTTTATTAAAAATTATTCACCATTTAGTACTCTATGAGTTTGGGGGAGGGGTTGGTGATAATTAATGAGGATTAACTGTATATCAATTAATAAATATTTGTTAGTTTAATTTTAGAATATAATTTTTTTTAGTAATTTAAAATATTTATTCATGCTATCTTGTTTTACTTTTGCAAATAAATATAAAGAAAATATATTCACAATTAAATAAATATCCTCAGTTAATTTAATATATTTTTATTGTATTATAGCTTTAATAGAAAATAATAATTATTAATTAATACGATTAAAAAGAGATTTTATTTTTAATTAGCAATTTTAAATTTATTTTTGAAATGAAATTATTATTGAAATTTATTTAGCTAAGCAGTTTTACACTTTTAATTAAAATTTTTTAATATTCCATTCATTTTTAAATATAGATTTAAACAAAGATATTGATAAATAAAAATTAAGTAGCAGGAGTTGAATGATTTCATTTACTTATAATGTTTATATTAGCAATTTTAAATATACTTTGAAATCAAATTTTTATTTAAATTTTACAAACAGAATTTACACCTTTTAGTAAATTTTACTTGCAATTTTGCACTTTTTAAATAAAATTTTACATAAAAATATTTGATAAATAAAAATTAAGATGAAAGAGGTGAATGAGTTTTATTTAATTTTTATGATTATTTTAAATTTGAATAAAAAATGATAAATTTTTAGATGAATTTAGACGATAAACAAGTAATTATGTAATAATTAAGCGAATTGATAAATAATAAAATAAAAATGAGTTGAAATAATCTACAATTACTTCTCACCATGAATATTTTAATAAGTTTGAAAATAAACAACTATTACAGCTCGAAAATCTTTTGTTTAACTAATAATTAAGTATTATTTAAATAATTATTCACTTTATATATAAATAAGCTTGGAAAAGTAGATAATTTGAATATTAATAGCATAAAAACTTTGTAGAATAGGATAACCAAATCAAAATAAAATAGATTAAACTTAAAGAATCACATATTAATTATATAATTCAAAAGTTATAGCTATACTCTCTTTTCATGTTAACTAAGAAGCTCACAAGATAAAAAACAAATAAAGCTAGTAAATCAGCATAAAGAAACTCAGATTAGCTTTCAAAAAATGATTAAGGGCATTCAGAAACGAATACTAAAAAAATTTCCAAATAGACCATATTTTTTATTATCTTGTAGATTATTAGTTTAGGTGAATACGCATGCATAATAATGAGTATTCATGTATTTTTATATAATGATTACTTAGTTTAATTTGGTCTTTAGCTTTCATTCTTTTTGGTATCTAAGATTATTAAAATAGCATATTATACAGTCAAAAAACAATATATATAAGTCGTATTAATTGTACTGTGTTTAGACTATGTTGCTGCATATCTGATTATTAAAGAAGAAAGACAAAATAATTAAAGAATCGAATAAGGAGATAAAGTAGTGCGTGAAGAATGGGTTTAAATGAAATAATAGCAGCAAAAAAAGATTGATTAATATTTATCCAATATGTCTTATTAAAAATCACCAACAAATTCTAAATAAAAAAATGATGAGATGAAATAAATGCCTCTTAATGTTAAGAAAGTGCCAGAAAATATTAAAATGAGTCCCCATTAAAATACATTTTTGTCACAATTTAATTAAAAGCCAACCATTTCAACCTAAGTTAATAACACAGAAACTACTTAAAAAGAGCAATTTTAAAATAGCTTGCAGAATAAGCAATTATTCAAGCTAGGAACAGGCTTGACTGAAGGCAGAAGCCCGAATCAAGATATTTAATTTTTTAATGCAAATCCTATTTCAACAAATACAGCTTAATAAAACTTATAAACGGATGAGAGATCAATAGAAAATATACTACCAAAAATTAGTAATCAGCATGAATCACCAAATTTAAATTATTAATAATCAGGTTAATTTATGTCGAGGATAGAGGAATATAGAAACTCTTAAACATTAAAAAGCAATCTTTAATTAAGCATTAAATAAGTTTCTTAAGAATCTAATAGTAAAATTGCTTTTCAAAGTGATTATTAAAGAAAGCAATCAAATTTTAGTTAACAAAACAGATTAAAATCTTAAAGTAAATACTCAGTTTAGAAAGAAACATCTGAAGAAGAAAAACCAGCTAAAAAGAAAAATGAACGTGTTTTAGAATATCAAATATAATCTAGCGTTTTGAAGAAGCTAAAGTTAAATAAGTCACAATTACAAAGCTTTATTTTTAATAAATTTACAACAATCTACATCGAAGAAGAGGCTGACTAAAAAAACGAGAAATACTTTATGAGAAGAAAATTTCTCTTAAGTGTAACTAAAATTTTTGATGGGATTTTTATGGATGCTCCCTGTCTCTATATTTTAGCCTATATAATTGCAAATCATTTAGATTTAGCGTAGCTTTATCCTTTACTTTAAGCTGGTTATTGGTATATTTCAATAAGCATGTCTATTTCTATTTGCTTATTTAACAATTTACAAAATTTACCATTTAGACAGCATGATAACTACTTTTTTCTATAATTAAAATCATTTATAAAGAACCTGGCGATTGTATTATGCATGGTAGTTTCTACTACTGTACTTTGGGCGTTTACTTCGTTGAACGGAACCGCTTTATTGATATATGATATCTCTGTCTTTTGCATAATTAATCACTAAGTTTTTTCGTTTATGCAGACAGTTTATAAGGAAGAAGTGAGAGGAGATTCAAAGTTTAAGTTTATGCTATTTTTAATATGCGTTTGCTTTTCAATTTTAGTAGGCAGTCTTCTCTTATTCGCAAATCTGATACTACTCTTAAATTCAGATCTAGCTCATGAAGCTTTGCTGTAGCTTAGAAAATAATTAGAATCACCAGATCCTAAATTAGTAAAAGACTCGCTCTTCGAATTAGTGGAAAGAGGTAAATATGGGTTTAGATTTTTGTAAAGATAAAATCTATTTTTTGTTTTAAACTTAACATGCCTTGCTATTTTAAGCCTGTTTGTTAATCAGCTTTACAATTTTAGCTGGGATAGCTCAATAGTTTCTTACCACAAACTTCTATTGGGATTTTTACCTGTGTGCTTATTGGGAATTCTCTTGCAATATTAAGATAGCTCATTCTTTAACGACACACTGGGTAAGATAGTGTTTGATCACTACAATAGAGTTGTTAACAATGTTAAAATGTTCAGAGTTAAGCTAAGAGTAAAATAATTAAATGAGTAGTAAATTTATTCTTAATTCTCAGAAGTAGAAAGTAAACTCAAAAACTTAAAAGAGAAATATTCTTAATAAGATTAATTTAGGAAGGATTTTGAGCATGAAGAAGCTAGATTAAATAGATCAGTGAAATCATAATAAGGATCATCTAATAATAAAAGCTAAAATAATTTAAAACTTATCACAATCTCTAGAAGGATAAAAGAAATCAAAGAATAACTTAAAGATATAAAACAAGAAATTGAAAGCCTTTAAGTAATATTTGAAGTGAGAGATAAGGAGTTATAAGTTATAAGAGAGTAGGTCAAGCAATGCTAAGAAGAATTCGATAACTATGGAAAAATTAATGGAATCAATTTGGCTGAAGAAGTTATGATGGATGAGCAACAAATAGAAAACGAAGCTATTCAAATTTAATACTAAGAATATTTAGCCGAATTACAGAAAAATCAATTTAATTACAATTAAATTAATGTTTAAGAAGAAATAGAGGCATATTAATAAAATTAAAATAACTCAAATCATTCATATCAACATCATAAAAGCCAATAAAAACACGTTCATCATACTTAAAACCACCATAGCCCTCATCACAATTAATCTCATGGCCATGGTGGTCTTCACCATAATCATTAACATTTTTAGCATCATTATGCTCACTAAGGTCATTAAAATTCCAGAAACCATCACTAGAATTAATATATTTAAAATAATCATCAACAATAGCATCATTTGCATTAACACTATCAATCACACCACCTCAACCATAACCAATAAATTTAAGAGTAATCCAACTCTCATCACTAAAATAATCATAATCTTCGTCATTGATAATCAAAAAATAACTAATTTTATCATCACAAATCAGATAACCTAATACCCTTTAAAAGTACTTAAAATATCTCCCATAATAAGTATATATATATTTATTACAATTAAGTACATGAAAGATTAATTAATTATATGTTGATTATGACTATCTTAGTGATAATAAACATAAATGGAATGAATCAAAGTTGTGTTTATTATAAGTATTATTTTTTTAGGCTTTCATTAATTACTTGAGTTTTCCTAATATAAAAAAATTTTGGATGAATGAATTTGATTAAACTGTTTAGAGTTTGAATTTAAAAACGAGTAAAAATAAGTAAAAAATTATATATTATTTTTTTTTACATAATATAAGTTAAATTATTAAAGGATATATTAAAATTTATTTTTAAAATTGTTTTTATAGATGACATTTATTTATTATCTTTTTAAAAAATGAAGTAATTAGAAAAATGATAAAAAATTATTTTGTTAATATTTAAAATTGGAAAATTTGTATATTTAAAGATAATAAGCTCAGCTCAGTAGGAAATAAACTTCTTTTTATTAGAATTATGTTTAATACTAAAAAATTTAGTAAAATTAATAATTTTTAATTATTTTAAAGAAATTTATAAAATTCATGCTAAATCATTAACATACAATTAAAAAAAACTTAAAATTTATGAATAAAATTAATTTTGGCAAAAATTTGTAAAATTTGAATTTCAAAATAGTGAAAACAAGTAAACAAATTCTTAATTTTTAATTTATTTAACACAATAAGAGTTAAATTATTAAAAGGTAGATTTAATTTGTATTTTAAATAATTTTATTACTAAAAGTAAAATTATAAGAAAAATGAATTAAATTTTTATCATTAGTAAAAGATATGAGCTTGAATTTGAATAGATTAAAAGGTCAGCAGTAAATAAATTTCATATCATGTGAATTATTTTAATCTATAATAAACTTAAAAATATAATACTAGATAAAAAATAGTTTCTAATTTTATGCTAAATATTTGGCATACCTCATTAAAAAAACTAAATACTTTTTGAAAAAAATTGATTTTGGCAAAACTTTCTTAAATCTGAATTTCAAAATAGTAAAGATAAGTAAATAAAGTAGATTATGTTTATTTTAATAACAAAAATCAGTTAAAGGTTTTAAATTTTTTTTTAAATTAATTTGTTTTATGACATTTATCTCTTGTTTCTTTGTAAAACTAACATAATGAGAAAATGAAAAAATTGAGACATAATTAAAAAATGTGAAATTTTTATTTTTAAAGATGAAAAGCTCAGCTCATTCATTAATTTTCTATTTATATGAATTATTTTAATCTATATACAACTAACAAATTTAATATTACAAATACATATATTTTTTAGTTAAAAGATATTTATTGAATTTATTCTAAAAATCTAGCATATTTTTCTACTTTTATATATAGCTATGAATGAATTTGTTCGATTGATAATCTCAGTAATATAAAAAAATTAGACAAAGAACTTTAGGGGTGTAGATAAATTTTTTATATAAATAGTATTATTTGAATAAAATGAGTAAATATGTAAGTGTAATTTAATAGAACAAATATATTTTTGAATAGTGATCTTTTAGTAGTAATTTTATATTGAATGATTAGATTTAGGTATCCTTTATTGGCTTCTTAAGAAGTTATTACAAATATTTTTACTTTGATATAATAGATAGTTATAAAAATAGTTAATCATTAATTGGTTAATTTCTGCGTTTAATATTACCATTATTTAATGAATATAAAGTACTAAATAAATTGAGGTAATATTAACTTGTATTACTCAAATATTTTTTTCTAAGTTTATATTATAAAAAATTATTTATGCCTTTGTTAATCTATTGTTACTATAAATTTTATATGAAGCTATATATAATAGAGTCAATTAATTAGAAAGATAACATATTAATATCTGTTTAATCGCTTAATACTAAGCAAGCATTTAAAAATGATCGTTCTTTTTATCGAAAATTAAAATATATTTCAAACCAATAGATAGATATATTTGAAATATTAATAAATTAAATTTTGAGAGAGAATCAGATAAAGATGTGTAACAAAATTATTAAGATTCGATCTATTAATTAATGACTCAAATAAATTACAAAAGTATTGTAAATTATTTATTCTGTAAATATATTAAATACAGATTTAATAATGCAAAATATCTATAAAAAACTATTTGTTTTCATAAAAAATGAACAACAAATATCTTTGATAGCATTTTAAAATAAGTATCTTAAATACAAAAGTTAAATTTATTTATTGTTTTGAAAGTGAATGAATATGCATAACTTGTTATTGTTAAATTTTTTAAATTAATGAAATTATAGTTATACTGAAATAAAAGTTAATCAAAGTCTATTAACTCATTCCCTTGGTTACTTCTAGTATTATTTTTCTTCTAAAAATGGGGGAATTTGCTCATTTTAAAAGAAAAACTAATAAAATGTAATAAAACTTTGCTTGAAATAGAAAATACTTTGCATTTTTTAAAGTTCTGAACGATATTATTAATATTTATCATCAAAAAAGTTTAAAATACAAAAAACCTTCAAATTGTAATCCACGCCATTTATTGATGTAAACTTTATAAAAGTTAAATAAAATTTAACAAAATTTGTGGAAAAATAAATAAAGAAAGTTGTTTGTTTATTTGGAAGAAATGAATGAATGAACAATTAACATTTATTTATTATTAAATTTAAGAGAAATTCTAAATAGATAGATAGTGGGTAATTAAAAATTTTAATTTTTTAACGCTTAGAAACTTACATCAATTATCTTAATAAACTATTTGATTTAGTAAGATAAAAAATACTTCTTTCACAAGGCTAATCATAATTATTTAAATTTTTATTTAGGCTAAAATATTTTTAAGATGGTTTTTTTGACATTGTTCTTATTGATAAAGATTTTAATAACCATATAAGTTCTATATTTAGTTGAAATGTGAAGGGTATTACATATTTTTATTAAAATCTAAGTGATATTAATTCTTTGTTATTTAGTTATGTGATTCTTTATATTACAGATTTAAATTTGTTCTTTTTAAAGATGTTAGTCAATGTATTTTACTGGGCTTTTTCATGTCTGTACAGATATTGATTTATATATATACCATTTATATTATAGATTGCATGTTAGGTTTTTCAAATTAATTGCACTGATTTAAATTTTTTTACTATAACAAGCCATAGATTTTAACAGAATAAAAAATCAATGCAGTTACGTGATTTATAAAAATACAAATATATTATTTTGTAACATTAATGTGATTTTTCTTGAATTTAGAATCATAATTACAAATTTCAATTTTATTTAAGGTACGCATATATTTACTTTAGAATTTACTACAATTTACATCTAATTAATTCTAAAATAGATATATATATGCAGCAAAGTTATTTTGAAATTCATTTTTAGTAATGATTCTGTATTTTTGTTTATTGTTTTGAAATATGAAACACCGAATTATTTTTATTGCCTACATAAAAAATTCAAAATACAAAAATAATACAAAATTCTTAATCCGAAACGTAAAATTTTTGTTTCAAGAATGCTCAATCTATCATTATTTATATAAAACTATACAAAACTATGTATTTTTATTTACTAGAGTTAATTACTGTAAGAAAAGTTAATTTAATAGAGTGAACCAAGAATATATTTACTCAATAATTTTTGTAAATAATTTCTTTTATCTAAGCTATAATTCTAGTCAGGAAAATTACACATTTGATAACTTTAGTTATATTGGATTATTTAAATATTTCTAAAACAAGTTCTAAGTACATGGAATCGTTTCAAACATATTTAAATTTTATTGATAATTTAGAAATACCTGCTCAATTTTTCTTCTATTATTGTGTCAAACTATTTTCTATTTTCACTTTCAATCTACACATTGATAAAAATTGAATATTTAAATTAATAATGAGAAAATTCAAAAATATGAAATTATTAAGTAAATTAATCTAGATAAGAATTTAATTTGAATCTTTAGATCTATTTAATATAGTGATTCATATGAAATACTCATATTGATAATAGTTTTTGAATAAATTATATCTTCTTTTTATATTTATGATGTAAATATGTTTTAATTTTCCATAATAAACACCAAAAAAATCCTAGAATGCACTTCATAGCAATAATATAGCTGGAATTTATTTGTGTGCGCAGGAGTTGAAAGTTCACTTGTTTTTATCTGAGAGATCTTTACTACTTTTTCATTTTTTTGAGTTCTGCCATAAATTCACAGAAGTAATCAGTAAAAAAATTCATTTACTGATGTGTTTGGTTTATATAGCTTTAAAACTAGAGACAAAATTTGCTTTTTAGAAATGGCAGCACTATTTTTTTGGTTTAGTTTTTTTGTGAACAGTTTTTGGAAAACTCTTGTTGCAAGCAGCCACTCAGAAATGACAAAGTAATGTTAACAAAAAGAAGAAAAATAATAGTAATGTGAATAAAAGAAATTGATATAATTAAGGAATTGAAGGCAGTTTATTGTTTGTTAGATATAATATTACTCAAAAATTAGTGTCCAAAATTCTTTCTATTTCCGATGATACTTGGAATATAATATTTAATTGTTCATTGATAATTTGATTACAGATACTTGCTTGGCTATAAAAGCTTTTCTGATATTTTTTTAAAAGAAACAAGATTGTTTTAATTTCTGTAATAATAGAAAAATACTAACAAAATACATTTTTTATTGTAAATATTTTAAAACCTCCTCTAAGATGAGATTCTTATGAAATCCTAAAGATCCAATATTTTTTATTATCTTGCACCTTTTTTTCCTTTACTGCGCTTTTCAGAATTATTAAGGTTCCTTAATTATAATAGCTAGCTATCTTTAATAAATTATATAGCACGAAGAAATTTTAACTATAACATCTTAATGATCTTCTCAATGATGCTATATATGTATTTTAAATTTTTGCATATCAGCAACGCTTGGTATTTTCTACATTCTTTTTGGATTATTTTTGAAGATTATTCACTTTCTTTAATTAATCGCTCATTAGTCACTATTTTAAAAATCATCTTCTCCTGCATTTAATGCTTGTTGCTCAAAATTTTTGTTTTAATTTTCTCTTTAATTCTGAAGAAAAGATCAAAGAGTAAGGATACTACCTTAAATCATGCTTATATCGTAATTCAAATTTAAACAGCTGGCTTGTTTTAATTTACATTAATAGTAAAAAAATAGATTTATCATTTTTTAATTCATTTGACATGTACAACAAAATTACATATTTATGTAAAATATGTTAAGTGTGATTAGCGCTTATTTGAAGAAATATAATATTATTAGATATTTTCCCCTTCGAAAAGTTGCCAATATTGTTATTTAATAAGTTAGCTATAATATTCAAGAAAAATATGTAAAAAAATTAAAGTTGATCAAAAACCAAAATCAATTAATTTTAATGGAAAATAAAATTTCTTAAAAGCCGTTTGGATTTATAGTAAAGCTAGATTTTTTATAATTTAACTTTTAAGCGATTAATAAACGCTTGTGCTGAAGCAAAAATAAACCAGCGCATTATTAATAAAAGCATAAAGTTTTCATAAAAAAATAAAGGATTTTGCAAATATCTTAAAAAATCAAGTATTGTTCTATTTTGCTAGATAAATAATATTTTTCTTTTGTTTTTTTGAACTTTGATTCAAATGAAAGTCTTACATTGAATCTGAGTAACAATATAAGAAATTTACCCAGTAAATGTGATATTCAATATTATTTTAACTTCTAAAGCAATAAATATAGAAAGCATATAAACTACAAACATATTTTTACGAGCTTTCAACATTTATTATCAATAAAATTATATTAGTAAGTATTTTTGAAAGTATTAAATATATTTAGTAGGTATTGTCCAAAAAATATCACTTTTTTTGAGATTCTATTACATTAATATTCAAAATTAAATCATCACTTGATTGATAGCTCGACTTCAAATTTTGATTCTACTAAATTAAGCAAAAATAGATAATTCATTTAAATGAGTCAATTAAAATTATCAACCAATTTCTTTTTAAAAGCTTAATAATACTTACCTAGAAACTGAGAAATTTGCTTACTTCTGATTATAGTGTTTAACCTAAAATTTTTACATTTTTAATTCCGTAACAAATTTTGTATTCCTGCGTAGCTTTCAATTATTTCTTTTTAAGTTGGCAAAAATTTGCTCTAATAACTTTATTGTAAGAATTTTATAGGAATCATCAAATATTTATACATAAAAACCTTACAAGATATAATATTTTTAAAAATATTCCTTAAAAATAAAAGTAACTTACATTTCTTTTCAAATTTTAACATTTTTTTTTGAAAAAAGAAATAAATAACTTTTTACTTTTTACAAATTTTATGATCAATTTTAATAGCAGAATATTCAATTTTAGCTAATTTAAAAACACCTTAAAATAATTTCATTAATGTTTTTTAGGTTATACAGTCTTATACTTTTAGCAATACTCGATAAGCTTACTTTTTAATAAACAAAAATTAAAATTTGTTTATTTTTTTTAGAGAGTAATTCCATTTAAATTAAAAAAAGAGAAAGTAAAATTAACGGAATCATAGAAACAATAGTAACAAACACTCATCTTTGTTACTATTTTAAGAATGCCGCAAGGATGTGTTTAAAATTTAATGAAAAACGTAATTGTATTATATTGAAGTAAAAAAGAATATGTTTAAGATTTTAAGTGTAATGTTAATAAAAATTCTAAAAAAAACCCATGATTAATAATCATTTATATTGCTTGCTCGTCAGATTTCTTTTTTGTTAAATTCTATGCTCCGATACAGTTTGAAAAAAAAATAACAAAATTAATAATTTTTCTTGTACACTTATTTTGTATATAAAATTGAATGTGCATATTAAGGGGATTTGTATATAAATTGCTTAATCAAATTAATAGTTCCCACCTTCTTTTACAACACTAAGAGTCTGAAAAAATTATAATTAATTAATAATATTAAATTATAATAATTCTAACAATTTAATTCGACTAGCCAGAGGTATTCTTAAAAAAACTCTTTATCCTCACTCAATCAATAAGCCTCTTCTCTTAAACCTAATTTACTATCAAAAATATCAAACAAAGATATAAGCAAATTAAAATATAAATAATTAAATAAATAAAAATGTCTGAATCACTTTCTTGCTACACAAATTCTCACTCCGAAAGTTTACATCCTGCTGAAGCAATTAGCTAGCAATATTAACCTTCCCTCCATGATTTCGCAAGCATCAAAAGCGTTTCTTATCCTCAACTTTCTGTAAACAGACAAATATTTATTCTATATTAAGTTTTTAACCATAATATTTAACAATTTTTCTCTATTTTAACAAGAAATTTATATTTGAACATTTTAAAGCTAAATTATGTAAATTAAATATTATTTATTTAATTAATTAGAAAACATACAATTCATTTATTATTGGAAAAATGAGATTTTCTAAGTTGGACTCATCTAACGGCCTTGAAGTTTAATATGAAAATATCTTAGAGTAAAATTTATTTTTATTTGATTTTATAAGCAAAGCGATTTCAAACTATTGCCTTACTCATTTTGAGCAAAAATAATTACAATAAAATATTAAATCCTTCAAATTTAGTTGTATGTTTAATACATCAAATCAAATACGATATTCATTACAATAGCTTAGGATTTTTGATAAAGAGATTACTCAAATTTATTAAAAAAAAGTATTCAAATTTATTTGCCAAGTAGAAATTTTGACAGATTTTTTGGAATGAATCCAAACAATTTTAAATTAATTTTTAGGATTTTAAATCATTTATTTGCCTCCATTTTAGCTATGCTAATATCATTATTTTAATTCTCAACCTAATGAAAATTTATTTAATTTATTATATAGTGAATTAGACTAATAATGTGAAGAAGCAAAATTGAAAGATTGTTGCCATCTTTCTGACATTTCTGAGACTGCTGCAACTAAAAAATTAGAGCCAAAGAAAAAGAGAGCTCAAGAAAAATAGAGTAGTAATAAAAATATCTCTAAGAAAAAAAACTTGCTTTCCATAACTGTCAATGCCAGAGTTGTGAATGACATTAAAATAATTTAATCAATTAACTTCAGCTCTTCTTTCATAGAATTTTATCGTCAAACTTCAGATGAATTCTAAACATCCTTCCATTCTCTGTAAATATATTTTCATTTTATTTGATCAGAAATAAGAACAAACAAACAAAAAAAAATAAACATAAATTTATTTTGAATTTTTGTGAAAATATGAATTTCCTAACAAAATATTTAAACAAACTAACACTAAAAAAATATTTTAAACAAAGTTAATCCTGTTTGTATTTATTAAATAGACCTTTAGAAGACTAGACATACTATGCCATATTTTAAACAGCTTTCGATAAGATTACTGAGAACCTAAAAGAAAAATATGCTCCTTACATATGTCCCATAGAAAATTATTTAAACAGAGTAAATAATTTACTTACTCAAATTCACATGCACTTTATCTAATATTTTTTGGTACTCTTGCAAATTAATAAAAAATTTCAATTAATTTTAAGATTAAAAGAATTGTTTACAATGAAACTTATGATAAATAATTGATTGAATCTTTTGGTTTTACATAATTTTAGATAAATTTATGGCAGCGGAGGGTAAATTCTATTTATTTACTCCCAAATAATTCAATTTAAAACATGAAAGTTATTACCAGTATTTAAGAGTTATCGTCTGATACAAGTTTCAAATTGATTTTTCATATTGAATATATAATTTGCAAGTACCATATAAAAATGCCATTTAAATAACAAGTTATATAATTTTATTTTATTTATAGAAAATTGACACAAAAGTATGCATTGAAGTAACTAAATAGAGCAGTAAAGATGAAAATAATGAGTTGTTGATTTGCTAAATCGGTATAATACCTATGGATTATTAATCAACTACTAATCCTAATCTTTTCAACAAGCGTAGAGAGGGAATACAGAATAACAAAAGCAAAAAAGCTAAAAGAAATCTTTCTGAACAAGAGAAATAATTCCTTTTACTCTACAAGGAATGCAATATCAATCCAAACTTGAGTGTATAAAGCGACATCTTAAATTATTTTTAAACATGCAAATATAGAAAAATTGAACAAATTGAATTCTGAAACAATATTGAAATAAACTGATTCTATAAATAAATCATCATTTTCAACTATTCAAATTTACTAACTTACTTATAAACAAAAATTTTAAGACTGAGTCCTCATAAATAAATTAATAAAAAATAAAAATAAGAAATCTGAAAAATTTTTAAGTTTGTTGAAAGAGAAATAATAAAAATCATTTTATCCAATCCAAAATATTCCAATACTTTGCAAATGAGTTCTCATTGCACACTTATTACATTTTACCATAAAATACTTACACTAATTAACCCAATTAAAATATGTATATAAACAATTTAAATTATTTTGTAAATCTATATCAACTATTTTCAAATTTGTATTTTGTTACTTACTCATTTTTTAAAAAATGAATCGATTTTAACACAGAGTTTTTTAGTTTATTCTTTTTTCAATATTTCTTTGGCAAATAATTTCTTATAAAAAAAACTAAATATTAATTAACAAGTAAATAAATAATTTAAATTCATTTATTTATATTTATTTTTTACTCATTCTTAATATCCTCAACCAAAATTAATAAGAATTGAATTTCTAAATTATTTATATTATATTCATATACACTTTATTCATTTACATATTTATCATTAAAAAAGTTATTGTTAAAGTTAAGATCATTATCTAATTTTACTGATTTTATTATTTATTGTTAAAAGACTTATTAATAAATTTTTAACTCATATGAAAAAGATAATAATAGTAACAACTTAATAAGAAGTAAATAAGACTTTATAATTTTCACATATAATAACAAAATACATTCTAATCAACCATGCTATCTTCGAAAAAGGCGAGTATTTGATAGTCATTGTGTTTTCGAGAGAAAAATATAATTAGTTTATACTATAGATTGCTTTAAATTAGGAATTTAATGCAAGATATATGTGAGGTTTAACCTTTGATATAATTTATCAGAACGTAAATTAATTATTTTTTTATTTATTAATGCGATTAATTCATGTAGATCTTGCTACTTATTTGCTTACCTTTCTAATCTAATTTAATTTACAATCACTGTTCCAATTTAAAAATTATTTAGCTATAAGCATATTATTAAATCTGCTAATTTATCCATAAATTTTATAATTAAAATCTATGATTAATGAAATTGTTTATTGATCTAAACAGTAAAAGGACTTTGTAAATGCTAATCTGAAAACTCACACTAAATACAAATATTTGTTACTTAAAAATTAATAAAAATTCAAAAAAAAATAAATATTTAGTTTTGAAATACTTTGTTAGATTTATTAGCTGATGAATAATTAATTGCGTAATAATACAAAAATTTTTATAATTTGCCAATTAATTAATTAAATAACAATTTTTATTAGTAAGCTAAATCAGGTAATTCAACAATAGATCTGCATGAGTTTACAAGATAATAAATAAAATATATAATTGTAATAAAATTATCTTTTTTACTTTCACCTTTACCGACACTCTGCCAAAGTATAGAAATTTTCAATTTATTTTAATAAAAACGCAAAATATATTTTTCTATTAATGAGATTTGCTGTAAATATTCTAATTAGATTACTTTATTTATGTTACATTAATGGCTGAATTTAAAAAGTTGGTAGTTAATTATTATTGGTTTAAATTACCTATTTTTACATACAAATTGTATACACTTTATCTTTAAGTAAAAAATAAAGGATAAAAGTATTCTATGTAACGTTGCTTATAATCAATAGTAAACTTTCTAATCAGAAAGATTTTTTATTTTACATTAAGGAAAGGAGAAATACATAATAAGTTTTTTTAATTTGAAATTAATTAAATTAACTTTCTATTTATATTTCAGCTAATAATTCAATACACATATTTTAGAATAGTTTTGATTGTCTTGTAAGAAAAAATAATGGATAAGCAAATCGGCATCAAAGTAAAAGCAAAATATTCGAAATAATATTTTCGTGTTTTTTTGATAGTCGTCTAAATTTAATGGAGATTTATTTGAAAATTTACATTGACTATTATTTATTTAATTAATTGTGAAAATATTTATTTATTAGGCTACATTTATCTCAGCGTTTTTATTTCTGTAACATAAAATTTGTTATTGCTAATAGCCTCTCCTCTTTCGATGATATTAAGAAGGTAAATATTAAATATAAAAATAGTAAGCTAACTTAGATAAGAGTAGAAAATAAATATATGAGGCAATTACGTAATTCGAAATATATTGATGACATACATAAATAATTTAGCAGAAATATACAGATTTGAAAAATTATAAATTATTCTGCTTTTTTATTAAGAATAAGCACCTTTTATTTTTTACATTATAGTCCTGAATCTCCGTAATTAATAAAATTAAAGAAATGAAGACTTAGAATTACAAAAAATTTCACCAATTAATATCAAAATCTCCTCAAAACAACAAAAATTTAGTATAATTATTTATTGTAATTTTAATTATTATTGTTAGCAGTCTTTTAATGTTTTCAGTTTCGCAACAAACAATAAAAACCCTTGATAGTAATTCAATTTAGGAAAGCTGGTATTCCAGACTTATTTAAACTGAAATAATACCAATCAAAGATGAAAAAATCGTAAAAAATATTGTTTAATTTATAGTTAAAGCATAAGAAAATTAACTAATTATTAAAGAGATTTTTACTAATTAGGAATCTAAAATACAAGAAACGTTTATTACTAACATAGACCATACCTAAATAGATAAGTATCAGAATTTGCATGTGTATTTTAAAAATTTAATAACTGACATAAATCAATACTAAATAATGTAAATACGCATTTTTTTAAACTTACAATACTATATTTAATGCCTCTCGCAAAACCAAAAATTATTTAATTTAAGGAACTTGGATGCATGCATACCTGAGAGCCTAAAATCTGTAACAGAAGAATCAATAAAATAAAAAACATAAGAATTATCCCTTATTACATCATATTTGAATTCTAAAAAGAAAGGCTCTAAAATAGTCATAAAAGTTACTAATTTTTAAGGAAAAAAATTCATAAAATCTATACATCATTCAGAGTCCTTTATGAAAATGCTTTAAATTGAGTCAGATTAATTTCAAATAGATTTTCATACTATGTAAAAAAAATTCATTCATTTTCTTGATTCCATTCCAAAATTCAAAATTTGACTTTCAAATACAAAGCGAAATTCATTCTTGTAGTTACAATTATTTGATTGAAATTTATAATAAGATAAAGTGTAAAGACAAGCTATAACAAACTATTCATAAATTAGAGTACAAAAAAACAATTTTTAATATTACTTATATTTAAAAATTAAGGTCAATTTAAGAACTTGCCCATTTTCAGTTGATCAACCAATTTATAAATTGCTTTAATGGAAGTAAAACAAAAAAATCATTTGTTTGTAATGTAGCTCATTCACTAGGAAGAGTAAATGTTTTTTTTAAACTATCTTACTAATTATTTTTTTAAATACGATAGGATATGGTAATTAAAGGGTAAATCAGCTAAACCTAATAAATGTCAACAGATATGAACACATTAAATAAAAAGCCTATTTAAAAATTTCATGAATAAGAAAATTCATTATCAACTATGTATTTTTTAGATATTTTTCCTATTGATAATTAATTCCTTATGAACCCCAATCTCTCAAATCGTAGAAAAGAGCTTCTAAAATAAAAACAAAAAAAAATTTCTATCTAAGAAAAGGCATTCCTTAACACAATTAAACAGTTTTAATCAACTTTAGATAAAAATCTAGAGGATCAATTAAGCAGAGAATATAAAATTTGTGGTTATAAGTAAATAAAAATAAATGATTAGTGATTAAAATCTTAAAATACTTTAGATTATAAAAAGAAAAAAGCTTAATAATCTGTAAACTATATTTTAAAAAATCTAGCATCTTCAATATTATCAAATTAAGATCAATGTTAAAAAAAATTAAAATGTAACAATCAGCCAAATTTTTAACTAGTTTCTGAACATTTGTGGTTACTTTCATAAAATATATCAATAAAAATAATGAACAAGGTTGCTTACTTTCACTTACCGAACTAATATCAATAATTAGTATACTTAAACACTTTAAATTAAAATTAATTAAATTTATCTACTAAAAGACACTACTAAATCTTTAGTTATTAACTTAAGCAAATTAAATTATAAAACATAAAAAAATTTTAATTTTTTATATTAGAAATTTTATATTTTGCACAAAAATACACTTATTTGTTACTAATTGTATATTTTAAATAAGAGTATTAATCTAATATTTTATTTTTATTTGTAATTTTCGATATTTAATAAATTTTTTTGATAAAAATCCTTTAAATAATGTGTGAGTACATTTAAAAATATTAAAAATTCTACTAATTTTTCTTTTTTTTAATGGAATTTATCAATTTAATTATGAGAATTCCAATAAATAATTTGTATTTTTTGTATTAATCATAGAATTAAAAAAATCATTAAAATATTTATCTTGTTAGTTTTAAATAAAATTATATCATTATGTTTTTAATAGATTGTAAAATAAAATTTAATATACAACTATAAAATCAAATTTAAGCATTTAATTTTTAAAATTAAATTAAAATATCTTATAAAAACCATATCATCTTTTCACTAAAAATTTTTAATAAATTAAAAAAACGATGACAATAAAGTAAATTAAAAGGAAAAGAAAGATTAAAAAATGAAAAGAAAATTGAATAAAAGAGATGAATAAAGTCAAAAAATATACATAAAAACAAAATAAATTTACCCATATTTGTAGCAATCAGATCTTAAGCTAAACATATAAAGGAAACTGAGAAAATGATTAATTTTGGTTTATAATAAAATTGTTTTTGATTCCAAAGAGGTATTTGAAAACATAGTAGAAAAACAATTTCAATAAGAAAAATAAATAAATAGTGGAAAAAAATGATAAAATTGATAAAATATATGAGTGATTAGATAATAAAAAGGACTGAAAATAATAAGAAAAAAATGGACAAAATATTCAAAATTAGGCAAAATAGATATGTTAAAATTGTGTTCAAAAGATCATTATAATAATTGATGTGTATTGTTTACTCTTTTTATTTTTCATTGTCTAATAGCTGATTTTGTGTGTTATCTATTAATAGGTGTTTTACTTTTTCAAACATATATGTCTAAAAATAAGAACTATTTTTTACAAAAATCAATTAAATATCCAAAATTTTTATCATTTCAATTTTATCAAGAAAGACTTAGACTTATATTTAAGTAAAATTTAAATGGTTTTATTCAGTAATCTGTTTTTAAAAATTTGATAAAATAAAAAGTTATTAGAATTTTTAAAATATCCTAATATATTTAAAATGCCTAAGTCAAAGATAAAAGACAGGATGAAAATTAAAATATAATTAAAAAATATGAAACTATAAATAACTTAAATATTTGAGAAAGAAATGGAAGAATGAGTAGCAACTATTTATACAAATTATTATTAAAACAATTAAAATAATCTGTTTTTAATTAATCTTATAGCACATATTCAGTAATCCTATATCTCTATATGATAATGAAATATATTGTATTTATTTACATATGTATTTACACCTTATATCACAAAAAATGTAAAATACAAAATATTTTTAGCCTTAAAATATTTTAAATTAAACTAATTTTTTTATGATTTCATAATAGGCTATTAAAGAGAATAGGTAAATTGTTAATAACTTAAACGCTTTTTTTGATACATTTATTTAAAAATAGATTAATTTAATAAATTGATAACTTTATTAAGATATTTTTTACAAAATAACTTAAAAATAATTCACTAAACTCTTTATAAATAGGTTAAAAATAATTTTAATTAATTTATTAAATAATAATTTTTATTGAAAAAATTTTAATTTTATTATTAAAAATATTCTTAAAACTAAAATATTTGCTTTCTCAAATAGAATAAAATAAAGGTAAGTTTATTATTATTAAAATTAAAAATCAGACAGAAAATATTGTTAATAAGATGAAGATAGATAATGTTATTAATTATTTTGGTATATGATATGAATAGATAAATTGGTGATGAAAAAGGCCTTTGATTTAGCTATATTAAATAATTAAATTTATAATTTATATTAATTGTTAGTTTGAAAGAGCTTGTGTAATTTATTTATTTACTTAATTAATTAAAACTAAAGAAAATTAAATAAATAAAGTAAATTTTAAAAGGCCAAGAAGTATAACTGTTTAACCATCAATAGTTAAATTAAATCTCCCAAAATAAAGTCTTTATAATGAATATAACTTTTGATACTTTTTTAATACATTTTAAAGGGCAATTTAGGACAAACTGTATTTCTATTATTTAATGAAATAAGTAATAAAAAATTATAAAAACAATAATTGAATGAATAATTTTTATAATTGTTATGTGAGGTATATAGAAAGATAGATTAAATGGGGATAGATATGCAGTATGCAGTTAATAAATTAATTAGACAAAAAATAAATAAGTTAAATATTTAAAAATTATAAAATATTATTATTAAGATAGGCACTTCTATAATTCATAGTTAATTTTGGTTGTTTATATAATTATTTATTTATTAATAAATATAAATTAAAATTTGAAAAGAAATTTAATTATTTATCTCAATTTATTGTAGATTTTTATTATTATTAATATTCATTCTATTTTTTATTTATACTGAATCGATTGATATATATATAGTCATGTCATATCACATGTCTTCTTGTGCTATGAGACTATCAGATTTATAATATTCTTCGTTTTGCACATTTTCATTATCTTCGCTTTATTCAATGTTATTATTATCTAAATTAAAATTTGCATTTGAAGTTTCTTCAGATACGTTTTTCTATTCTGCGATGTCAGACTAAGATTTGAACTGAGCTTCATTTTTGAAGCAATCTATTGTATCGCTCACTTTTTGGTTAGCTATTTAGCCTTAAAATATTCCGCCTAAGTTAACTTCTTCGTTTCCTAGATTAACTGTTTGATCTTTCATTATATTACTGTTTCCTCGTGATCTCTCTTAGTTTGTTTTCTTTTTTTCCCTTTGAGCGCTACTGCTACTTTTTTCTTCTTTGTGATATTTAGTAGTGTTGATTTTAAACTCTTCATGACCTTATTAGGTTGGAATTTAGTATTATTCTCTTTATATAAACGAGTTGATATTGTAAAATAAAGGAAGAAGAATTTAGTTGAAGTATAATTTGCATTGTTTTTAGCAAAAAGGCTATTAATGTGATTATTTTTTGTTAACTTAGCTATGTTTAGAACCAGTATTATGACTAACGCTTTTAGATCCGTTTGTGCTGTCGCCTCCTTCACTACTTTTAGTCTCTCTTTCAGACATTACATCATTAGAACTGCTATTCTATTTCATGGAACTATCATTAACAGAACTAGCATTAGTAGTGTTATTAATCGAGCTATTATCAGGACTACTTGAATTGCTTTATTAAATGTTTGCCATTTTCATATAGAGGTTAAATAGCTCTTCTAATTAGTTTTTATTTGGGATATAATGCTAAGTCTTCGATTGTTTGAAAACTTTCTTAGTTTCCTTATTTTGAACATTATATACACTTTATGAAGAAGGAGTTGTCTATAATTTTTATATATTATTTACAATTTCTTTCTCTTGTGAAGAGCTAGAGTGGTTTAAGATGTTATAAGGAGATTGTATTTGTTGTGAATCTGATGATGATGAACTATTCTACTAATCGAATTCATTATTGCTTGAGCTATTAGCACTGTTTTATTTACCCTTTTAGTGATGGTAGCTATTTGAAGATGAAGAAGGAGTTTGCTAATTTTATTATTTTAGTAATTCAGCATTCTTCTTTAACTCTTAGATATATGATTGTTATAGTTAAAGGATCTACTATTACTATAACATAAAACAATAGAATGGGTTAAAGTAAGGTTAATCACTTCTTTGATTTTAATCAACCTAGTTCATATTATTATTATTTTAATTGCTGTTATAGCTGAACATTTCCATCATGTATTAATTCATATTTTAATTTTTTATCATCAATTCATCGCTACCGTTATTATAATTTGTTTAAAACTAAGTTTATTGTTACTATTATTGTTATTGTTATTGTTACTGTTACTGTTACTGTTATTGCTATTACTATTACTATTACTATTACTATTATTATTACTATTATTGTTGTTGTTGTTGTTGCTATTGTTATTATTATTACTATTATTGTTGTTTCTATTAATGTTGATAAATACTTTATTGATCATCGATCACACTATTTTAAATAGAGGACTAAAAATTTGGTGAACCTTGTTGAGATAATTTTTGTTATTGATTTGATTGTTTTTAATAATTAGTTGAAGATTTCAAGCTTTGGAATGTTGGAAAAGATTATGCTTATGGACTATAAACTCCTCCTAACTCGCTTAGACTAGAAGGTTAATTAGATTGATTAAGATTGCTTTAATATCTATTTGTCCTCTCAAATTATTAATTGGTATTTTTGTTATTTGATTATTATTAACTAGAGTGTTATTAGGATAAATTTTATATAGAGTGATTAGCACTGTTTCCGAGGGATGAGTGGTCACTCATTTTTGAAGATTTTTAGTTAAATGAAAATTATTAGACATCATCTGCATGAGCAGCATTAAAGTTGTCTGGAGAACCCATGCTTTCATCAAGAACAGAATTTTATAATCTCGATTTTTTAATTACTTGAGCTTGACTTTATATTTGGGCAACAATCTAAGGCTAATTATGTTGATATAAAGAATCTTATAAATTGATTGCTGGAATTTATGAGATTGTTGAGCTTATTTAGGTTTGTTGCAATTAAGGTATTTATTATTGAAGATAAAATGATTAATTGATTGTCTAGTTTGTATTAAATTTTAAATTTTATTTATCTACTACTTATAATAATGCTTGATTTTAAACTGCATTAGATTTTTCTTTACTATCCTGTTTTTGCTTCTTTGAAAGCCTTGGTGATTCTCCATCATCTTATTTAGATTTTTCCTGCTAATTGTTCATTGAATTTATCATTTTTTCTCCATTTTGGCTATTATAATCTCTATCATTGCTTTGATTTTAGCTCCTTTACTATTTTTCTTTGCTTTAATTAGAGTTTCTTCTAGCGTGATATACAGGACATTTGTGAAGCTTTTTTCTTTTGTCTTAGTTAAAGACATTCAGTTCAAATATGCTTCTTATGCTATTGATAGATGTTTCTTAGTTAATTTTGAAGAAATCTATATCCTTTTCATTACTTGAATTATATCCTTTTTTTGCACTGTCCCTATCGAATCTAAATTGTCTTTCAAATTAATCATTTTTCTGCAATTGTTTTTAAATCGGTTTTTATATAATCATTAAGTCTTCACTCTATTTGCTTTCCTTTTGAGAGAATACAGATCTTTCAAATGTCCTATTTACCTCACTTCCTAATTAATTGATACCGCTGCTTGTTTAGTATTCATCATTATTTAAATTGATGTGCTCAACATCCTGCTCGCTTTCTTCAATTAATTCTTGTTCTTGTTCTATGGCTTCATTTCCAAGTAGATTTTATCCAATCTAAATTTTATCTTCTTCATTAGAAAAATTCATGTAGATTTTCTAGCTTGCCAAATGTGTATAAGATTTTTTATAAATTTCTTTTAGTTCATCCTATCATATTTCCATAAAAATAGACATTTTTTATTGATTTTTGAATGAAATAACAGATGAAATTTCTAAATTTTAAATTGCTTGGAAAATGAAAGGAAATCTAAAAATTCAATTAATTAATTTTAAATAATCTAATGTGGCTAAATCAATGGTCTGCTTGTAAGATATTTGCAATTAGACATGCGAATTAATTTATTAAATTGTAAAGCGTGTTGATCTAATAAAAAGTTAATATAAAAAATGTGTTTACTTAATATTTGAGTTCCACAAAGTTGGATGGTATGTCTGCTAAGAGAGTTGGAGAAAAAGAAATTATTGGGCCATGGAGAGGCTTAATATATTTAATAACCTTTTTTAATAAATTAATATTAATATTTATTTGAATGAGTGAAAGAAAAATAATTATGATGATGCAATTACTTTTTTGACTGTTTGATTTGCTTAAGAAAAAGGAGAATCTGATTGTATATTTAAGCAAAGGATAATAACTTTATTTGCATATGACTCATGGTCAAGCTTTTTATTCTATGTATTGGCTGTTTACATCAGAGCTTGGTAGATGGATTTTTGTATGCTGGTGAAAAGTGAATTCTTTATAATATTGATTAAAGCGTGAATATAATATTTAGAGTGGGAGGAAAATTACTTTTGTTTTTTGTGGGATGAGGTTAGTGTTATAAAACAAGCGAATAGCCTTGGGAAATTTCAATAAGAGGAAAAATGGATGAAGAATCTATTTTAATAAAGATAAGGGTAAGATTTCATATCAAAGAAAAACTTTTAATTTTATTCTATATGAATTTAATAATTTCTTAAAAAACTTTCTTTGTTACAATATTAAAATTAAAAATTGAGGAAAACAAGACTTCCTTTTATTTTTGAATATATTATTGGGTGTGGAAGTTTTTCATGTAAAATTATTGATATTTATAATTACTTTATGTCTTATCGAATATGCCGTAAAATAGTTCAAGATCCCCTCAAAATCTTCTTTTATCGTCATAACTTCAGGGTTCTTTGGATTTACCTTCACTTGGTTTTTGTCTAGGTGCTCGGGAAGGAATGGATCAAAAACACTAAACTCTGTTTACTTTTATAATTAAGTTAAATTGTCATTTATTAAAGTGTATTAATTGCAATCATTATATATTTTTTTATAGAATGAAGGTTGCTAATTTAAATTTGTGAAACAACTTACTCTTTCTTGATGGCTTTTTTTCCTCGATTCTACGTATATGAGAGGAGAAATTCTGTAATCTACAATTTCATTTTTCTCGTCCCTTAGTATGAAAACTAATCCAAACTTTAATCCCTTTTTAAAAAAATAAAAATAATTAATATTTATGATTTGCCTCACTTGATATTATTATGCTAAAAGATTATATTCAGATAAAAAAAAGTTCTTTTTGATTAAATTATTTCACTAACGAACAAAATAGTAAATGTTCATATGCCATGATCTCCATAGTAACAATTAATGAATAGGAATTTAAGTTGAAGTTTGAAGAAAGACAAATGGAATTAATTCCAATAAGTAGCAGATGCCGATTTAATGAATACTTTAGATTAGAAAATTTTAACTATACTAAATACTTTTTCCCCCTTTATTCTTTAACTTTTAATCAAGTAAGCTAGAAGATCGATCTCAAAATGAATTAATATAACTAATTTTTTAATTTAGCCAACAAGATGCCTCTTAAAAAAATGTAAAGAATCACTCAAAAATAGTCAACTTATATTATCTAACAATAACAATTATAATGACTAAAGAATAGATTAATCCGCTGCGGAAATATATGTGTAAAGGCAATTAGAAGGCAATATTTTTTATTTTCTAAAAATTAAGTTAGTAAGTAAGTAAGTGAGGTTGGGATGTGGGGGATGTATGCTTGTATGTATGTATGTGTTCGTATTATTATAATTGCAAATATGAGGGCAAGAAAATCAAGAAAAGTCTTAATAAAAATCAGAATTGCTGCCCAATATAATTAATCTAAAAGGTCAAAGGTCGGATAATTTAAATGAAGGCTCAAAGGAAGAAAAAGAGTTTTTCGATAAACCCCAAAAAACAAAGAGAAGAAGTTCATTATTTCGATTATTAATATATGCAGTGAATCTTAATTGCTTAATTGATTAAATTGATAAATACAAAAGATTTTTCATTTTAGCAAGGCAAAACAAGTTTTGCATACATCTCATTTAATAGTTCCAATTAAATTTAAGAAAAAAGGATTTATTACTACTTCCTATTTAATATACCATAAAACTAATATATCCACTAAAATCGGAGCTGCTTATCAGCACTATGGAGATTGCAGGCAGTCTAAACACTAACTATTCCCCGTTTTTTAATCATTTAATCAGAAAGTTTTTCCATTTTTACCTGTGTAATAACAATTTTATTATAAATAAATTCCATTTTACTTTAGTGTTAAACGAAGTATCAACAAACTTAACGCCTGCTATAGAGGTAGTTGAGTTTTCAACTTTCACAACTGTATTTCCTAGGAGTCGAATCAAAGAGAAAGAAGGAGGCTCAGAAGAAAAATTCTCACTTAAATCAGGCTCCTTGAACGCCCTGAGTTCCATATATAATTTCAATCCTTCTATCTCATTTTAAAGATCTTATTACTGAAGATCTTGCATTTATGGAAAGTTGATGCAATAAGAAAAAGTAGGGATATTCAGATTTTTGTACCATAGCCAGGTGAATTATTTAGGCTGCAAAAAGCGGTTCTCTTCTTTGAAAGAAATTGAAGCCTTGCCATAGTTGAATGATCCGTTCGCTTGATGAGAGGGACTCTATTTTTTAATCCAACAAAACTCTGGTGATTTAGAGTTAGCGAGTATTTCGCGTTGAAGTGAATTAAGTATTTGTAATATATTTCCTTCCATCTTTAGATAGAGGAAGAGTATTTTCAGTGTTATAAATTGTGTACTATTAAGAATTACTTATAAATTATTTGCACTTGATGATTATTTTTTTTTAATTAAATTATATATAAATATACAAAAAACATTGAATATTTTAGCTTTATCTAATTAATTAACTATAAGTTAGTAATTATAATTGAAGAATAACAATACTTTTTTAATTTAAAAAAATACTCTATAATATAATTAGTCTCTCTATCATACAAAATGCAATATGGAAACAAAGTTACACTTATATTTTGACTTTTTGCAACTAAAAAACAAAATATTAAAGTATGTGTTACTCTTCAGTGTAGCTTCAAAATCGTACAATAAAAATAATATAGGATACAAAAAAGTAATTTATTTAAATGAGGTACGATTTGTAATATAATTTTGGCAATCAAATATCCTTTGATAGAATACTCAAGTCATGTAAAAATGAGGAGATTAATACTTACAATAGTAATTGTTAATAATTAATTCTAAAAATAAGCATGTTGACATGTAGAAGTAACATATACTTCACTTGAAAGTAATTATGCATGAGACTGTCTTCATTCATCTTTAAAAAAGACTGAAAACTGCTCTCATAACACAATTTATCAAATTCATCTAGCATGTTTAATTTATAATAAATTAATATCTATTCTTTTTATATTATTTGAATTTTTGTTAGGATTTTTTTCAAGAATGTCATTTTTATTTAGTAATTCGCTTATTTTCAATGCTAAAGTCATGAGTTTTTAGATAATTTCTTTTCCAAGTTCATTAGCTGCTTCTGGAAGCCATCGTTAGGATGAGCACAATCTCTTTTGGATTTCACAAATTGCAATTCCTTCAAAAAAGTTGTTTATTTATTCTTCATCATCAAGTAAGCAATTACTATTGATGAGCTTCGAGATATTCCCAATTAGCAATGCACAAATACATTTGTCTTTTTAATGTTTTCATTTATGAATGTGTAAGAAGCATCAAAATATTACTCTATATTTTAATCTTCTCTGTCGTACGCTTCAAGATACAAATGCTTGATTTTATTATCATAATTTAGCCTAAGTGGATATCCAATAATTGAAACGATCGCTCCTATCCTTAGCTTTTTAAGTTTTTCATAATTTTCAGCAACTTCTATCTGCCCTAAGTACAAGCCTCCTTTCCCCTACAAGGAAGGTTTTATAATTTCACTATAGGGAAGAGGAGGATTGAATAAACACTCTTCCATAGTTGAAATAAAAAACTTAGAAATTTAATCAAGTAATCTGCTTTCAAATAGATTAGAACTCCTAAATTTTAATGATATCAGCTTTTGGCAGCAAATTATTCTTATCATCATAAATTAAATAAATTATGAAATATAATAATGAATATAGAGTCGATGAATACTCTAGTAAGGTAAGAGTTTTACATGCAAATCGAATATGTGATTTGTTTTATCAAAATAATAAATAGTAGTTAATTAATTGTAAATTAGATAAAATATGTTCCCTCTTTTTTATTTTTTTCATTTCCTCCTCTGAAAATGTTTTAGAGTCTATCTAAAACTATGAGGGCCAGTTACTTACTTTTTATATAAATTAATGGAATTGAATAGACTGTTTATGGATGTAAAACAATCATAAACATCTACCTACTTATATGAATAATTTTTAAAGATTTTTGATTTTTGGATTAAAGTAGACAAATAAGTTTACGCCTTAACAAGTATATGTAACCATGGTAAAATATTTTTCAAATAAAAAAAAAATACATAATTTATGAGCTTATTATAAAAATCTCTTCATTAATTATTAATTCTGGATTACTTGATATATTTAATCAATTTACCTTTTAATTAAGTGGGGATGGATAGTTAGATAGATAGATAAATAAATAAATAATTTATTGTTCTTTTAATTTGTTATCTTAACATTTAAAAGTGGAGGTATTCATCTACAAATAATAGAATAATCATAAGAAAAATCTGAATTTGTTACAAGATTTTTTTTAACAAACCAATGTGTTTATAATGGTTATAATATATTCTGATTGAAAATTTGTAATTTGTAAAATAGATGTTTCTAGAAAAAATATTAAGACTAGATTCAATTAGAGCATAACAGAAAATATCTTAGATTAAAATTATTATCTTAAATAAAAAAAAGAGTAATTAATTAAAAATAACAAATTAAAAAATGTGCTGATTGACTAAATGCTTGTTACAAAAAACTTAAAATTAAATTATTTTAATTTTTTCCATATTGAGCATTATTTGTCTTTTTTAAAATTTTTAATCACTTAAAAAAACTATTGCAAATAAGTATAAAAATTTTTCTAGCTGGCTTAATATTGTAATCTATTCAATGGAAAATTAATATGAATTAGTGCTAATTAATTCAGTGCATTTAACTCATTTATAATTTAAATTGCTTGTAAGAATAGCAAAAAAAAATAAATTTATATTTTTAATAAAATTATTTTATTCAAAAAAATTTTTGAAATTTACAAATTAAATTTAAAAAGTTTTAAATTATTTTAAATCATTAAAAAGAACTTAGAAGCTAGAAAAACGCTTTTGTATTCATAAATTATCTCCATTTTAATTTAGTATTTAGTTTATCGGTTAATAGTATGTGTTAATTTTAAGACTACTTGTTAACAATACTAAATTATGATCAAAAAAACTCTCAAAAAAAATAAAAATTAGTTTTTTAATTGCACTTTATTAGAAAGCATACAAACAAACACTCAATTCTATTTGGAATGAATGCAAATTAGAATTTTATTTTTCCAATTTAGGATAAAGAAAGAATAAATTATTTATATTAATTAATTAGCTGATAGTGTTATGAGCACAATGAATGATTAGCAATTAAATGTAAAATCTGGTAATTCTAGAAGTAATTATCAAATCGCTTCACTAAGTTCTAGCAACACATAAAAAGATTTATAATAGTAATACCCTTTAGCAGAAAAAACTATTCAAAACCCCCTCATTTTGAATCCTTTGATAAAGCTCAATAAGTAATTCTACTTAATTAAAATACTATTTAGAGCATAATTAACATTTATTAAGTAATTTTGCTTAAAATAATTTAAAAGCCAACCTATCCAATATGATATCAGTGAGAAAACTTTTAGAGATATAAATAATGAAGAACCTAATTAGCAAAAGCGTTTTTCAGGTACTTATCGAAGTTAAAATGAAAGTAGAATTAATAATATAAAAATACATAAATACCTTTAACTATCAGATTTTTTCTATTTTTTAATTCACTGATGAGATATTTCTTCATTTTTTCTTTAGGATTTGACCAGGGCATAGATGATACAGACCTAATATTTAAAGAAGGAAAGGATTTATTTTAGAAATCTCAATAATCTTTAAATTTCGCAAGCAATTTCTCCTCATTAACCTTCAAGTCATAATATGAAGTTTTATCTTCTTCTCAAAATATAATCCAAAAAGATGACACCAATATTGAAAATCTTCATAATATATAATCAGGCTAGATAAAAAGTAAGGGAAGTGATAAGCTCTCTGAAACAATTTCATAGAAAAGCTAAATAAATAATCAATCTTTACTATAAGAAAATATAATTTCCTAAAATTATATAAAAGAAAACACAAACTAACAATAAGATGACATCAATCATGATACTTTTTATAAAAATGAGCTCAATGAGAATGAAGACAATTTAGAAAAAAGAAAGAAAAATGTGGTTCTTGATATTGTAAATAGAAATGTGAATCAAAAGATAAAGCAAAATGAAAATTTAACAATAAAGCTTAATAATTCTGAAAAACAAAGTAAAAAGCTTGTATTGGTTTATAATAAAATTGTAATTATTTAAAATAGCAATACCAGGAAATGAGGATATTTCTAAATTTGAAGATTAGCAAATTAGAGAAAGGAATTAGACTTAGATTCCATCACCTGATAAGTTTTAAAAAAGAATAAATAATGATGATCTTCAAGCATTAGGAGATTAAATATCACCAAATCAAAACAGGAGATAACATAAGTTTGATAAGGTGAATAAAATAAATTAAAAATCGAAATTTAAAGCAAATAATACTATTGAAAAAGCATTGAGAATACTAATTTATAAAAAGAGAGAATAGAGGTAAAAATTTTATTTTCAATTTGATATTTCTTCTTATTTAATTGAGAAAAATATAATAAATAAATTTATATATTTATTATTTTTAAATGTGTGTTTCTATTGATATAATTCATTATTTGATTTATAATATATCATAATTTTAATTCACATTTTTTCAAGCATAATTCATATCCTTTACAAAAAAACATACCTAACTAACTCTATCAATAATATAGAAATAATGAAGACTTGGCTACCTTGTAAAAGGCTACAATAGACATGAACTTTTTTAAAGAACTATTATCAAAAAAGTCTAATATTTAAAATAATATTCATTAAAATTTATGCAAAGCAATGTAATATGAGTACAGAAAGCAAGGGAGTGTTGTTTTTTACGCAGGTGATATCCCAGATAGATTTTATATTCTTTTAAAAGGTATAACTGATAATATCTAAATAATGGTACAATCATTTATTTGTTTAAAATATAGGAGAGGTTGCTGTTTTGCTGAAAAAATAACAAGAAGAAATAGATAAGCTAAAAAAGGGATAAAATTTAGATCCAACTGATGAAAAAAAGAAGAGCAAATTTACTTTAAGAAAATATTTGCTCTTTAAAAAATTCTAAAAAGTAGTCAATAATCTGAAGATTGTTATTTTGTTTATTAACAGATTAAAAGCTCTTAAAAATGGAACAGAGGAAACAGAAGAAGATTATTATAGCCAAAATATATTTAATTTTAATGAAACTTAAGCAGTTTTATAAAATAAAGATGAGTTAAATTAAAATAAAGTTATTACTAGCTAAAATAAAATTGCTTTATTTGCAAATGAAATCGAAACTTAGTCTAGCAAGATTACAAATAGTAGCAACCCACCAGCTTTTAATAATTTTTCTGAGCTTAAAAAAAAATAATCTATTTTTCTTCAGCCTATCAATAATAGAGCAAGCTTATTTAGCCCTGAAAATAATACTAAACTATAGAGTATAATTATGGATACTTCAGGTTAATCTTGTCTTAGCCCTAACATATCAATTGAAAAGTAAAACAAAAAAAAGAAGAAAAAAAAGAAAGATTTGTAATTTACAATCAAATAATAACCAACTAAGCCTATTGATGATAAAAAAAAAAATTTACTTCCATCTTAGTTGGCTATTTATGAAAGTAAATTGTAAGATCAGCTGAAATAGGATATTATGACTTCCTCAAAAAATATTACAGGCCTTTTCAAAATGCCCAAAATGAGTATATTATAAACAAGCTAACCCAAAAAGAAAGATAACACATAGCAGCTGTAATAATAGAGTACTCTGAATTAATCTTAAAGCATGACTCAATCGTAGTAAAAAAATCAAAATAACTCAACTGAGCTGAACAGTGCAGAAGAAAAAGAATAATAAATAAATACAAATAATTAATCAAAATAGATATAAACTCCTGAAGGTGGAAAATAAGAAATTAGAAGTGTGAGAAAATCATATTTGAAGAAAAAGATATTAGTAAATTAATTATTACATTTAATAGAGTCATATTATATAGTACCTTTTTATTTAGAGCAATAAGTTTTGTTTGTTCAACAATGCTTAAAAAATATTTAATAATTAATATAGCAACATTTATCAATTTACTTTAACTTTATTAGGTTGATTTTCAAAAAGTTAGGCTTGGAGTTAGACTAGCTAAGATATTTGAACCTTCTAGTTAGTAATCTTAGTTGAATATTGGTGGAGTAAAAATATTGCAATGCTTTTAGATGCAAAATGAAAACTTAAAAAAAATGCTGCCTAAACTAGATTTAATGAGTTTAGAAAACTCAGCACACTTTTTTGATGAAAATATCTTTAAGTATTTTCATGCTTCTAATTTAGGTAAAATTGAGATTTTCTGAATTGTATTATTTATTTATGAATTTAAATAGGTGAAGGCAGAGTTTTTGGTGATCTCGGTATCTTAACTAAAAAGCCAAGAGCTGCAACTATTGTTTGCAATGAAGACTGCTATTTTGGAGTATTAAATGTTGAGGACTACTCAAAAATTTTAATGGAACAAAAGAAAAAAAAGATGCAAAAAGGGATAAAATTCCTTGCATCAACCATAAATATTAGTCTTTCAATAGAAAAAATGGCAAAAATTTCATAGTTTTTTGAGAAAAGATAGTTTGCTTCTGGAGAAAGAATATACGAAGAAGGAGACTAAGTTTAACACATTTATATTATAAAAAGAGGTAATTTTTTAATTAAGTTAATTCATTTAAATTCATAATATGAATGATTTAGGTGAGGTAGAACTATTTAGAAAACTACAAACTTCTTATGGTATAAATTAGAATCAAACTATTACTGTCAGCATTGGAATTATTGGTATAAAATCTTATTTTGGAGAGGACGACACCATATTTAATAGAAAAAGAAAATACACTGCAGTTGCTAAGTAAATTATAATTTGATAATTTTCTTTTTTATATTTTATTGTATTTATTTATTATTTTTAAAAAAAGGATAGACACTAAGCTCCTTATGTGCAAGAAAAAAGATTTTTAAAAGTTAATGAATGAAATATCTGAGATGAATATTGCACTCAAGGAAATGGCCATATAAAAGGAATTTTGGAGAGATTAAAAATATTCAGATATCTAAAAAACTAGAAATTCAATCAAAAAAATAGAAACTTTATATAAAGCAAGGAATGCTAGCAATTCAATTTCTTAGCAACTTTCTGAAAATGAAAATCGTCTTTAATAACAAATTAATGATGCACTTTCTACTTTAGTCTCTTAGTAGACTCATAAAACTTAATACACTTAAGAAGATGATTAATATGAAAATTAGTAAAGTGAAGAAATTGTAAGAAGGCAGTTGCTTAAACTTGAAAAAGACAGCAAAATATTAAATTTGGCTGTTTCAAGAAACAGAGAAAACTCTCTCTCGTTGAATAGAAGCTCAATAAAGCCAAATCCATAGCAACAGAGTGTTTTTATAGAAAAATCTTAAATATTATAATTAAATAATGAATCTTATCAGATGAATTCTCCTAAAAGCTAGGTAACAAACTAGAAATCTCCATAATCATCTCCAAGATAATCTCCTCGCAAATCCCCAATCTTATCTCCTTAAAAACCACAATTTTATTCACCAAGAATTCATCCAATTTAAATTCCAAAAAATAAACCTAATCAATCTCTAAAATAATCCCCAAATAACAGAAATAGTTAATTATAATCTCCATAAAATAGGGATAGCATACAAAATTTTAGCAGCTGCTTTTAAGATTATGTATAATAAGAAACTAAAGAAATTCAAAGTTAAGTTGAGCCAGCCACTTCTACAATAACCAAAGATAATTTTATTGGAAGTGGAATCAATTCATAGAAATGTTATTTCAAAGGAAACTATAGAAACATTAGTCCAAGATTAAAGGAAATAATTTAATAAAATCCTGACCTAAACAAAGAAGGATAGATTAAAGAATTACTGTGCAAAATATAATACAAAAAGCAAATTCTTTAAAATAATTCATTAGGCTAATGTAAATCATTATTTCATTGAAATTAACTTTAGGATTTTTATAAAAAATTTTATTTTTTTCAGAATAGTTATCTGTAATGCATATATTCAAAGAGACTTCAGACATATTCAACGATGCAACTCATAAGCAGCATAAGATGAGGGATTTTAGAAAACATTTAGAATCTGCAGATGGAAGCAAGCGATACAGCTTAAATGAGAAATAATTTATTAAACAAGGAAAAATGACAAGATAAGAGAAGATAGAATAGCTTCTTTAAAAATTTAAAGAAAAAACTTTAATTTAAAATGACTTGACCAAATCTTTGACTGGAGAGTTTTTCATTCAATCTTAATCTCCTCAAATAAAGGACAAAATCCCTAGTTGCAAAAGAACAAATAGTCTTGATTATCTTTTAAATTCAGAAATGTTTTAAAAAAAGGATTTTGTTATTTAAAGCGACTCTCTTAACAATTCAGAAAATGTTATGCAAAGTTCTATAAATTCTCAGAGCTCAGCTTAATCTTAAATGAAAAAACATGATTGCGATAATTTTATTTTTTTTGGATAGTAGAGTGCAAACAAAGGCTTGAATGCTAGGAAATTAAGAAGTTCCTTCTTTTACAACCCTAAGCATCATAGAATTGGAAGCTTAAATTTACAATCTACAAAATAATCTAAATTTTTAGTTCAAAATTAGCATAGCATTTTAAATAGCAGCAATAAAAGCAGTTTAATTGACTAAGATCATTTAAAGAATGAGCAATAATCTAAAACCAATCACAGACAAAGTTTTTCTTAAACACAAAACTCTTGTTTTTTCAAGAATATATCTGAATTTACAAATCCACTACCTTCACCAAATGAAAGTCCATTTAAGAGTAATAAGAGTTTTGGCAAATTAAAAAGTATTTAGAGCAATATGGAAAAAATTGTAATAGTAAATCACATGGGAAAGCCAACCACATTCCTTCAATAAACATTTTAGTAGCAATTAAAGTGACTAAAAATAAAAATAAAAAAAAGAAATATTAAAATTTTATTTAAGAAAAATTATAAATAAATAAATATTTCTTCTAACTAAATAAATTACTATTTACTCATAATTTATTAACCAATTAACAAGCCAACTAAAACCTAAAACATTGCTAAGTAAGTAAACATTCTTAACTATTACTAATTTAAGTTAATTTTATTTTTCAATATTACTAAATAATTTTATAATTTATACTTTTATTCAATTAAATATTTTATATTTTGTCATTAAATATTCCTTTACCATCAAAATATTTTTACTTATTAAATATTCTTTAAGCTACAAATAAATCTTTTAAAAATAAACATAAATAAATCATAAAATTTTATTGACAAAGATAATAAATAAATAGATATAAATTAAATTAATTAATTTTTACTACTTTATAAATTATTAACCAATCAACTAACTAAAACCTAAAAATAAGTCAACATTCTTTAAAAATTATTAATTTAATTTTAAATATATATTTCTAATATTTTTAACTAATTTATTATATATATTTTTATTGAATTAATATTTGATACATTTCGTAATCCAAACTGATTTGTTGTTAAAAGAGGCAAACAAAATAATAATTCTTTTAATTACATTTAACTTTTTAGCAACAATTGAAGTGATAAAAGTAAATAAATAATGAAATTTTATTAATAAAATGTAATATAGCTTAATTATTCTTTGAAAAGCTTTCTAAAAAATAAAGCCCTTTTCTAATGAAGCCTCTTTTAAACCCTTTAAATTAAGAAATTTTCATTAAAAAGAGAGGGTTTAAGTTAGAATAATTATGATATAATAAGTAAATACTTTTAGTTAGAAAAATAAAACATCAATTTAATTAATATTTATTTTTTATTAATAAACCATACTAGCAAATTAAATTTTGACAAAAAAATAACTTTTTCTTAATAATTATTAGTTTTAATTGATATTACTTTATATTTCTAATATTAATAACATATTTTATCATTTATATTTTATTGAATGTGTATTTGGTATATTTAATCATCAAAATAATTTTGTTGGTAACTTAATTAAAATAATAATTATTCTAATTTATTTTTGATAAAATTTTGAGAATGTTTTTAATTTCAATTCTTTTATTTAAATAATCAAAAATTTTGTTATTATATATTAATATTGGCTATATTGTAATCTTCCTCAACTATAAAATTTTAACTAATCAATAATCAGGCAAAGTCTAATTAAGATAAAAGAAACCAAAAATCATAGATATTTAGTAAATAAATTTGTATAAGCTACAAAATAAAATATAGATAAATAGATTGTAAAAAGAAATTGGCAATTGAAAGGTCTTTGACAATTAAGCATACATAAAATTAGGCATGATAATAATCAGGAATATTTATATTTTAGTTTTAGCAGTTATATTTGCTCATGCTTAAGCAGATGGGTTTTCAAGAGTTTCTCACCATCTTTTTTTCAAGCAATAAAGATTCAGAGAAATTTTAGGAGGTTCAAGTAAATCTAGTTCTTTTTCTCAATTTTATCAATGATAAAAGCTAAGATCTATAAAATAAGATAGAATTTTTATTTAGCAAGAATAAAACATTTAATTTTTGATGATATTTTATCCATTAATTTTATTTTACAAAAAAGAGTACCTTTTTTAATGAAAATTAAATAGTTTAACTAATTATAAAGAAATCAAAACTTAGTCTATAAAATTATTTTGTTTAAGCCATATTTTTAATATTTTGTAAAATTTAGGTCCTAGTCTAGTTTTATTGAATACATTTATGGGGAAGGTTAAATAAGATTCAAAACAAAATATTGGAGTAGTAATAGCCGATAAACCTAATTATGATCTTTGTGATCACTAAAATTTAGATAAATGGAAATAAGATTATATTTAAAGCGTTTAAAACATCGAGATTTATCTATTTATTAAAATCACAAACTAATGTCTTTTCGGAACTTAGATTAGAGAAGCTGTTTTGTTGGGTGCCAAAGGTGTTATTCTTTATGATCCAATTGGAGATATAAGAAATAATCCTTACCCCTAAATAAATGGTAAATTTTATAGTTATTTATTATAGACTTTACAAAAAAATACTTTTATTATAATAAATACTTTTAAAATCTAGTCGATCATATTGATATTCCTGTGCTTGTCATATCAGATAAAGATTTAGGCTAAAAGTTATATGACTAGATGAAAAATGATGATTTCGAAGGTTCTGTAATTTTGTGCTAGCTAAATTTTGCTCCAATCTAATAACAGGCTTTTCCTAAAGTTTAATACTTTTTTTCTTCTGTGCAGAAGCATAGCTATGCGTTTATTGATGGACTTTACAATTTTATCAGAGAATATGACCCAAATCAAACAGTAAGCATAGTTGTAACTCCTCAAATATATAACAGTACTGAAGCCACTAAAATTTGTTAAACAGAATCTTGTTTGGATCACACTTAGAAAGAAATCATTAGCAATGGTTGCTTTTCAAATGGAAAATATTGCACAATCCACAATGTTAATTACTTTAATCGTAAAAATATTAATAATATGCTTAAAAATTTTTATTTTTGATATTATTTTTATATATCTTATTCTGATAATAAATTTTATAAATTAGCAAGTGATGTTCTTGAACATGAGTTATTTTAGTATATTTTATCAACTTAAAATACATTTGAATGGACTCTTTACATGAGAGAATTTATTTAAAACTGTGTTTAATAAGCTGAGAAGTTCTAACTGCATATTGACTTATCAGAATGTGGTGAGAATATTCTAAAAAAGTAAAATCAGCCATTGTTAACTCAAGTCTAGAGAATTATAAGAGAATCATGGCTTTAAGGATCTGATAAATAATAAATAGATTATTAGGCTATGGATAATGCAAGCTTTAGATTAATTAAAGAAAAGATTGATAATAACAGAATATATTAATGGCCAACTATAATAGTTAATGGAGAGCTTTTTTAAGACAATATAGTAAATGTAAAAAATTAATTAGCCAGAGTCCTTTGCAAAAGCATGCTCTACCCATCAAAACAATGTGTTTCTCTACTTTAGATTGGAGTTTAAAATGATGACTTCGAGGAAAATGATTAAGGAGATAATTACAATAGTAGAAATGCAGGAAAAGCTATTAGACCAAAGAAAAAATCTTCTTTTTCAAAAGGAGTTGCAATCACTTTGTCATTGATAGGAGGTATGCTGATAGGAGGCTTAATTTTCTATTTAGTTAGGAGAAACCACATTAGAGAAATGAACAGACAATTAAATAAAAAAGTAAAATAGGCTGTTGAAAAATATTAAAAATTTAATGAAGTTAATAACTATTTCTAAGAGCTTTCATGATAAATTAATATAAAATTATTTATTATTTAAGCAAGAATATTTCTGATATAAAATAAGTTAATAAAATATTTTAGGTTATAACTTGTTAATAATTAAATATTATCTATCGTTTGTTAATAAAATTTTTATTTTTTTCCATTTTTGTAAAAAATTATTATTTTGATTTTTTATCATACACAAAACTTGCTTGAATACTTTTTCATTGAAATTAAATGGAAATTGGTATGTGTTAAAATAAAATTAATTAATTAACCAATGAATTATTTTTTTTTTCATTTGAATTAGAAAAATTAACTTAATTCTAAAGAATTCATTTAATTCATTGATTCATTCAATTATTTTTATCTATCTTGGTATGTAAGGTGAATTTGTTTTTAACTAATATTATGATTTACATATTTTTAGCATATTAGGTGTCTTAGATTATTCATGATTTTTATAAGCTACTTATATCCGTTATGAGCTCGTTAATTATGTTTAAATTCAACTATCTTTTTCTTACTAATTTGATAGCAAACAAAAAGCTTGGGAAATTAATTAAAAAGAAAAATTAGATATTTTTGCATATTTAGATAACGATAGAAATCAATCTTGTCTTATAAAAAAATAATAAAAAAAAGAACAAACAATAAATTTGTTAATTAATATTACTATATAAAGGTAATAACTGTGCTCAATGATTAATAAAATGCATTAATAAAGGGCTAGTTTGTAAGAACTAGATACAGATGATTATTTTGACAATGATGGATAATATGTTATTTAGCATAATAAAAAAAATATTTTATAGCCAATCAATTTAAATGCTACTAATAAGAGAGAAAATACTTAAGTGACTCAATCCACTGCTATCAGTCACCACTTAATGTAAGGATGCGGTGTAGGAAATAAATTTTAGACTCAGCAAAGTATAAGCAACTAGTCAATCGCAAATAATTTCATAGATAATTCCATATAATCTAAAAATATAAAAGACGATTAGTCTGAAACTCTCTACTTAACTACATAGTAGTCTCCTAAATCCACTAAAAACTATTCTTCTTCTGTAAATAAATTAATTTCAAAAAGAGTTTTAATTTTTTTCATTTCTAGGATCAGCAGCAATTCAGCAGCATGTCATAATTCTAATATATTTGCTAAAAATTCTAATTAAAAATGGAAGATATCATGTAGATTATGAAAGGATTTTAAGATAAAGGTATTATAGTTGTTTTTAATTTACCATAAATAAATACTCTTCAACTATTTTTTTTCAAATAAAGAATCTAAATAGATGGAAGAATCTTGCAAAGAACAGGTTATACATTAGAATCATACCCCAAAAGAGAATTCTCTGCAAGGAGGAATTAATAAAAGCTAAATCCATTCTTAACTTTTTAATTAGTTGCTTGTCCCTTAGTAAAATGAAATGAATTTAAGATTTTAAAGCGAAGTTTCATAAGTCTAATCGTTGAATGAAAATGGAGAATAAGAAGAATAGCAATTTTCTGAGCAAGCTCCAAGTTATAATGTCAATTTAAATGTAAATTCTAATGAAGGAATTTAGAGTAATTATCACGATAGTAAATAGTCATCATAAGACATGCCTTTGTAATATAATCCTTATATTTTTAAAACCAAGAATGCTAATGATGTAATCAAACAATCCGTTTAGCAAAACTAAAGAGATCTTTAAATGCAAAATTATAAATAGGAATTATAAAAAAGCTAATAATTTGCAAACAACTCATAAAATACAGACACTAGTAGCATCAGTAGTCGTTAGAATAGCTACTAATTATAAAATTAAATAAACTAAATCAATTCAGGCTATATGCAAAAAGTAGATAATTAAAATAATAGTCAATAGATTTCATTAAAAAATGAAGTAAAGTAGCAGCAGCATTCGCAGTAGTCAAATGCCTATAGTAGTTTCAATAACAAAAATACTAGCTTTAGTTCAAAGGTGAATGAAAATAATTAAAAGTCTGATTAGTATTATGAAACTTCATTAGAGAACTAATCAGAATAATAATTATAATAGTAATAAGAAAAAGAATATAATTATAAGTAATCTGTTTACTCAGATCAGAGTGGAGAAAATGACTCTCACTTAGAGGTAAGATTTTCAAACAGTGATATCAAAAATCTACCAGAAATCCCCTCGAACATGAGATTACTCGAAAACGATGCAGAGGATTTCAGCTGCCCAATGTAGTTTATCAAAGGTGGATTTATAGTATACAGCATAAATAATGGCATTAAGAATTTTAAAGTGGAAGAAGATAATTATAATAAGTAAAAAGATTAATTGATTGCTACAGAAATCAACCTCTTTACTTCTTAATCAGAACAATAAAATTATAATTAAGATTTTGAAAATAATTAGAATTAAAATAAATAAATAAGTTAAGGCAGATAATAAAATGATTTTAATAATTGCAAAATATAATTTGACAATGAAAAAAGAAATTAAAATAATTAAGTATAAAATAATAATTTAAATTCTGAATATTTAAATTAATCAGATCAAAAAATTGATACCTAAAGGAGTAATTAAGTAAATATGTAAACAGAAGAAATATCGTTTACAAACTAAACTTTTGAAAACAGAATTAGTAGAAGATTTTCAGAGAAGAATTATTTATCTAACGAATATATTCAAAATAATAATAAGAATTCATTTTCAAGTAGTATTCAACCATAGTATACCCAAGAAAGGTCAGATGAAGAAGAGCAAGATTACTAATAACAGATTGAAGATAATGATTATGCAGAACTTGAGCGCTTAAGATAGCTTGCAAATGGTAATTCTCAAATTAGAATATTTACAAACAGATAGTCTTAGTATCAAAAGTAGCTTAGCCAATAAGATAGCAAAATGTAAGAAGCAAATTCCAATAATTCTTCTTAGTAGTAAAATGGTATGTCAATTAAAGAAATGAAAATGAGTAAACAATATCAAGACCCCTTACACTAGATTGGATAAGTTAACTACCCAAGTTTCAATAATAGCAATTAGATATTTGGTTATTAAACTGAAGAAAAACCTGATTAACCCGCTTTATAACAGCAAGCAGAGAATTATTTAGAAGAATATTAAAGTGAATAAAATTACTTCAACTAAAATCAATAGATCTAACAATAGTAAAATTAAATACTATTTAATGATAATTAGCAGCAAAACAGAAACACTTTTTGCAATAATAGTGCTTAGCAAACAAATTAAAACAGTCTTTAACAAAGCCTTAAATCTCATAAAAATAGTTAGCAATAATTTGGCTTAGAAAGTTTTGGAGAAATATCTTATCCATAACCATAATAGGAGAAATCAAATTAATATGGTCTACCTAACTTTTAAAAAGAAGAATCATTTAACGATTAGTTTTCGCAGACTTTCTCTCAATAAAACCCCTCTTAGAATTTTGATTCACGTAAAATTAAATAAAATCATTTATAAAATTTATTTTTAAAATAAATATTAATAAGAAACAAATATTTAAATAATCTAATATAAAAAAATATTTTAATTCATCAAATGACATTTTCTCCAATAACAAAAAAGAAAAATATCATCAATCAAAAAAGAAACAAACAGGATAATTTTAGAAAATAAAAAGTTTAATTTAAATAATATTTTTTTACTTAAAATTACCATTTTTTAGATTTATCATATTATTTCAACAATAAAAGAAAAAAGATAAAATAGAATTCATTTTATTTATTATATTATATCAACAATAAAAGAAAAAAGATAAAATAGAATTCATTTTTAATATTTTATATTATCACTTCAAATTAATATTTTTGAGTCGAGTATTTTTTAAGTGATAATATTTGAATGTTTCACCATTTTTTAATAAGAGGAGACAATAGAATTTGTTTATTTTAAATAAATATTTTTATCTTAAAGTTAGAATATTTCAATCATTAACAATATAAATAATTTTTATTAATTTAAAAAATCTACTGAATTAATTTATTTTAATTAAATAAAAATTATTCTAACTATAATTATACAATCTATTATTGACCAAAGTAATAAAAAAGAATAATTGTTTTTTAAGCTTAAATATAATTACTTCAACTGAATGTTTTATCAGAAAATAATATATCTAATAATTATAAAATTATCAATAATTATCATGAAAATAATTTCTTTTAATATAGTTTAAAAAATAAATAGATAAATTAAAGTAATTTATTTTTGTTATGTCAATAGTAAATTTAAATGGAGTATATCAAAACTAAGAAATAGGAAATGCAAGAGATAGTAATTATAAATAGGAGGGATAATCGCATAGCTACTACTAGAATTCCACTTCTATAGATTAATCTTAATAAGGAAATTCATAAAATGGCCATTATTATAATCAAAGCAATAATTCTTATTAAAACTATGTGGCATAAATGATAGATAGATATGAAGAGGAAATCAAAAGGCTTTAAGAATAAAATTAAAAACAGAATTTAGAAATAGTATTTTTTTTTATATTTTAATTAACTGATTAACATGTGTTTAAACTGTATGTAAAGGGAGAATTAAATGGAAAAATACATGGAATTTAGGAAACAAAGAAGGATTTTGAATTAGTTATATAAAGTTTAAAATAAAATCTCTAATGTGTAACTGATTTACTTAAAAAGAAGGAAGAAGATTACAACAAGCTATTTGATAAATATGTAAATTAATTGTTTTCAAATTTAAGGAAATAAATAAATAAAATCTATAAAATTTCTAGAATACACTGGTTGAACAAATATAAAGATCAGAATCGAAAAACAAATATAGAAGAGAAATTTCTCCTAATAAAGAATATAATGTTTAAGATTCTATAGATCGTCACACTATTAGACAGTATGATTTAAGAAGTTCTAGTAGTAAAGAGAATAGAAACAGTCAAGAAAAAATAATCAGATCTACTGAAAGCCCTAATAATATTCTTTCTCAAAGAGATAATAATTGCATGATACCTTTAATGGAAAAATAAACCTCAAGGAAGAATTTAAATTATGAAAATTCTTAATTTAGCTAATTTAAGGTTATTTTATTTTACTCATATTATTATCTAAAACTAATTTTACATTATACATAGCCTCCTATGATAAAAAATCCAAAGAAGATCATAAATTATGACGAAAACAATCGTAAAACTCTGAAAAGAGAATTCAGTGAAGTAAATAATTCATCTAATTTTGTCTTTTTATTTAAAAATTACTAAATAAATATACAGAATCAGCTTGGATAGAGGTAATTTTAGTAAATACAAGTTGTATAAAAAATAGTCTAAAACAGCTTGTAAAACGAGTTAAAACAAGATAAGGAAAACGTTCAAAAGTTTACAAAGAAGACAAGTCTTTCTCCTAACCAACAAGATGTATCACAAAAATTAAAATTTAATAAATAAATTTATTTTGTTTAATTTTGAATAGTCAAGGAATAATACAAATAGAAGTAAATCGCCCTCATACGGACTAAATAGTGCAAGAATAAATGATGAAAATCAAAGATATCAAGAGTCTTAAAAGATAAGCACAAAGAGAGAAAATTTATCTGGGACAAGAATATAAGATTGCTTTTTAAGCAGTGCTAAAATGGTAAGTAATTCTCAAAACAGATACTCAGATTAGTTTAAAAAGCAGAAATCTAACTCTTATTTACAAACCAATAATTTTGTTTAGCAGGATAAGTAATAATTAATTTACAAATTTGAATATTTAAAACTGCAATTAAATTAATTTAATTTAAATTAATAGATAAGTATTAGACGAGCTGAGAAACTATTGCTTTAGAAAGAAGTAATGACAAAATAATAAAAAAATGCACTAATTAAATAATTTACAGATATATTTAATAAATCTTAATTAAAAAAAACTAAAATGATAATTAAAAATATAAATTAAATGCTTAATTAAAAATAATTAACAAAAATACAAACAAACAAAATCTATGTATATATTTATGTTCATATCTTTTATATTTTATCTGAGTTATTATAATTTCTTTGTAAATATACTTATCTCTATTAATATCTCGTATGAATTATTTTAATTATAATTCATTCATTCATATTTTCATATTTTCACATCACTTTACATTTTATCTGAATTATTCTAATTGTGATTTCGTTCATATAAAATAATGTTCTTAATATTTTTTTAAAAATTTTCTATAAATAATTAAAATTCATAATAAATAATTTCATATCTTATTATATTTTAACTTAATTAAAATTTATCTGTTCAAAATACTCACTTAATTATATTTATATTATTTTCTGCTATAAATCATTAAAATTCCTTTATATGCAAATTTATATATTTTTGATTTTTTTTTTCTGAATGAATAATTCTAATTAAAACTTAATACGCTTAATTAATCTTAGTGGTTTTTATTTACTTGATCACAATTTCACTAAATTATTCACTTGCTTTATAGTAGATAGCTTTTGTAACACCAAAATTTATTAGCTGGCGATAAAAATCAATATTAGATGTTATTTTAACTCAAATCTAAATCAAATTTTCAATTTTAAATTTAATTGAGATAATAATTAAAAAAGATTCGGCGCAAAAAAAAACACGATAATTATTTTTATTCATTTTCTAAGTAAAATATATACAGAAATTTTACAAAATTCAATCCAAAGCTTTTAGTTTTTATAGATACTTCTTAACATATAATGGATATAACTTCATCTACTTCTCTTAATATTTAAGAAGATAATATTTAAGTAGCTGTACGAATAAGGCCATTAAATGAAAGGGAAAGGAAATAAAATGCTAGATCAATATTATCAATTGATCAAGAAAATCCTAATAAAATATGGATTGAATCTAAACCCGAGTCGAAATCTTACATTTTTGATTGTATTATAAATTCAGATGTTTAATAAGATGAAATATTTGAAAAAATTGGCAAGCCTTAGGCTGATTTTTGTTTAAAGGGTAATTCTTTATAGATTTATTATTTTTATCATAAATGGTACATTTTATAAAAAGGGTATAATTCAAGTATATTTGCTTATGGTTAAACAGGGGCAGGTAAAACATACACAATGTTAGGAAAATAGGGCGATCATAGAGGGCTTTAGCCCCGTGTTTTTGAGTATATTTTTAATGAGCTATAAAAATTTGAAAATAGTAGAGTAAAATGCAGCTATTTAGAAATTTATAATGAGCAAATTATGGATCTTGTAAATAAATTAAAATGAATATTATTTGGTTTTATTATATTTTTTACTTCTAATAATTTATAATCTTTATAATTTTTAGCTATCACCATCAGGCTCTACTTTATTAGTTAGAGAAGATTAAAAGAAAGGAGTTTACATAGAAGGATTAAGTGAAGAAAAAGTTACAAGTGCTTAATAAGCAATAGAGTTATTAAATACAGGAGCAAGGAATAGGCATGTTTCAGCTACTTAAATGAACATAGAATCCTCTAGAAGCCACTCATTATTTTCTCTAACAATAGAAACAAAAGTATTTATTAAATAAGCTTTTAAAAAATTAAATAATCATTTCATAAATGAAGGATAAGGATAATGATGGATTAGAAAAGATAAGATGCTCTAAGTTTCACTTTGTAGATTTAGCTGGTTCTGAAAGATAAAATTTAACAGGAGCAGCAGGATAAACTCTTAAGGAAGCTTCTAATATAAATAAAGTAAATTGCTTTTGATTAGAAATGATATATTTAGATTATTTTAAAATACATGTAGAGTCTTACAGTTCTTGGCTGTGTTATTAATTCTTTAGTGGAGTAAAACCAAGGAAAGTAAAGACATATCCCATATAGAGATTCTAGACTAACATTTATATTGAAGGACAGCTTAGGAGGAAATTCAAAGACATTCATTATTGCAGCTATTAGTGATGCTTCTATTTCATTTTAAGAAACTCTTTCAACTTTGAAATTCGCTTAAAGAGCAAAGATGATAAAAAACAAAGTAATTTTATTGATAGAGTTTATCCCATATATTTATTAATTATTTAATTAGGCTTAGCTAAATGAAGAAAATAATATAACAGATGTTAAAGTATTAAGATTAGAAATAAAACAGCTTAAAGAGAGACTTGAATAAATGAGGGAATAAGAATTAAACTTTGAAAAGTAATTAAAAAGTTAAATGAATGAAAAGGAATCTCAAGATGATGAGACAATTATTGAATTAAAGGAGCGTCTTAGAAAATTAAATGAAGATTGCCTAAATAATGAGAAAGAATTTTAAAAAGCTATCCATATTCTCAGACAGTAATAAGAAAATGAAGCTTCAAAGTATGAAAATATAATAAGAGAAATGAAAGATTAAATTTCTAAATAGTTCACTTCAGACGCTTAGCAATAAATTATAATCCATTCTTAGCAAGTTAAGCTTAAGATGTTATTAGAGAAAACTTTTCCTAATAATTATGAACAAGGAAAATATGATATGCAATTTTTAAAAGACACTGAAAATTTATTAAATGATTTTGAAGAAGAAACTTAATTTGAAAAATCAACTAGTGGCTATACAAGTCCTTACGATAATGCCCAAACTGAATAAATTATAATAGAAGAATAGGAATATTCATAAAAGGATTACCAAACACCAAGTTCATAGAAGGATTGCTAATCTATCAATTAATAGAAGGACTAATTTTTTCTTATTTGCTTAAATAATCTTATGGGTAAAATAGATCAATCAATTAAATCTCGTAAAGAATTTGCTGAAGTTCTCCAAAAAATGGGTAAAAACTTGATTAATTATTTATAAATATAAATTTATTTTGTAATTTATTTATTTTTTTATTTTTATTTTTCATCTAAAAATTAAAATAAGGGTTGGAATATGAATGGAATACTCCTGAAAAAATGAGAGCATGTGAATAAAGTATAGATAGTTTAAGATAGGAATATACAAGCTAAATATTTAATATGCAATAGTAAGTTTAAGTGCTAAGAGATGAAAAAAACTTATATTAACAAGAGATTGATAAACTAAAAACTTATATTGGATCAATGGAAGAAGAGATTGATATGAAAAACAGAGAGTTAAATAAAATGGATGAAAAATATAGGGAATTGAGTTAATAAATGAGATAAGAAAATAAATAAAGATAAAGTGCTTAAATGATTGAATTAGTTGAGAAAATTATATTTTTAGAAGAAGAAAAGGATAAACTGATTAGAGAAAGTGAGAGGCAAAAGTAGTCAATAGATATGTAAAAACAGGAAAATAATAGCTTGTATAATTAGTTTTAGCAGGTTTAATAGCAATTTGAAGTTTTACAAAGAAAAGAATGTATCTCTTGTGAAGAAATTAAGGTTTTAAAAGGATAAATTAAAGAACATGAACTTAGAGAGTTGAGCCATTAATTTAAATTAAGTAATATGAATAATGAATTGCAGGATTTTATTGAATAGAATACATAAATGCTTGAAGAAGCATAAAAATGGTAGTGCATTGAGCAAACAAATGATTAATTAACAAAAAAATTAGAAGATTTGTAATCAGAAAACACTAAGTTGGCTGATTAAGTTGAAATCCTAACAGAATCAAACTAATTTATATAAAATTAACTTGAAGAGAAATCTAAACAGCATACTGAGCTTGAAAGAGATTTGTAAGAAAAAGAGAACAAGATGTAAGAATTATATAAAAAAAATAAAAATTTGTAGGAGAGATATGATTAACTGCAAAATAGCTATGATAACATACAAATAGATTCAGAAGAAAATAATGAAATTCTTGAATAAAATAAATCTTTATTTAGAAGATGTGATAATTATGTTGTTTAGATTGAAAAATTAACTAAAGAAAGAGATTAGTTATAAATTTAAGTTACAAGAAAGCAAGAATAAGCATCAAGATTTTAACTTAAGATATCTGAGTTGTAAGTCAGTTAAAAGCATTTATCAGGTGCTTTAAGAGATGCTCAAGAAAAACTTTCTCAAGCGTAAAATCGTATATAAAATATTAAGGTTAAAGCAAAGTACATAAAAGAATCAGAAAAATGGGTAGCTGAAGCAGAATCTAAGCTTCTTTCTAAAGATATAGAAATCCATTACCTAAATTCAATTTTCTAAGAAAAAGTATAGAAATGTAATAATATTTGCTTGAAAATTAACAATATCCTTGATGAAAATGAAAACCTGAAAGATATTATAAATTAATTGCATAATGAGATAGCTAAGCTTAACAATGATAACTTTATATTATAAGAAACAAATAACAGATTATGTGAAGCCAATCAAAATATATGTAGAGAAAAGGTAAACATTCTTAGCAAATTGAGTAAATACGAAACAGAAAATTTAGATTTGTCTCAAAAGTTTAAGGGATTAGAGCAAACTTTTAACAATCTTATGATTTCATACACAGCTTTAAAAGGCGAAAACAGTAATTTATAGATGGCATCTATCATATTAAATTAACAAAGACAGATAACAGCCAAGTTAGAAACAGAACTATAAATTAAAAATGATAAGATATCTGATTTATAAGCTTACCTAGATAAATATACAAATTAAATTAGGTCATTAGAGTAAGATTTGGCCTCAACAAAAAAAGAATTAGAGCAATTTAAAAAGTAACCTTAAGCCAGCTCTCCTTAATTAAAGGTAAAACTTTGAAATTTTTTTTTATTTAATTAATTTTCTTTACTTTCGAAATTAAGGAGCATTAAGTAAGAATAGATGAGCTTATAGCCATGATTGGATCATTTGAGTACCACTGTGGTTTGGCTAGTGAGTTGTTAGATAAGTTAGAATTTGAAAAATAGGAATAATGTGTTTTAATTGAAACATTTAAGACATAAATTAGAGCAATGAGCGCTAGTATTCAGCTTCAACAATCCAATAGCTTCTAAAGTTATGGCAGAAAAGAAATTCATTACATAGAAGGGAAAAAATATTCTAAAAAAGCTAAAAAGTATAAAAGAAAATATTAAGAAGCTTTGGAAAAGAATGATAAATTAATCATGTAATATGAGAGTTAAATCATTAAATTAAGAATAAATCAAGATGAATTTATATAAATACAGAAATAATTAGAAGAGAAAGAAACTATTTCAAAAAAGCTATAAGAAATAAACAATGAATTAAATTCAAAGCTAGTAATGGCAAATAAAATAGTTTAGCAAGTTTAGCAAACAGAATATATCTAGTTCTAGCAAGTGCATACAAATATTTGAAACAAATTTTAATTAGCACTTGATAGAATATTAATTAATCAATCAATCAAATAAACTACCATTTTAATTGACTACTTTATAATGTAACTAACTAACTAACTAACTACTTTAATTAATTAATTCAATAATTAATTAAAAAATAAATTTATAAAAAAGAAAATATATAAGAAAACAATAAATATAAACTTAATATTAAGTTTAATTATAATTCCTTGTTTAAATTTGAGTATTTTAATATATAGAATTATATATATATAAATGTTATTTATGAGTATAAAAGACTTTTATTAATTTAAATTATAATTCAATTAATAAAATATGATTCTAATTATTATAATTAATTAATTATATTTTATCAAGTTAAAAGTAATTTATTACTTTCAAAGTATGGAAAAATGTTAGAAAATATTATTTTTAATTTATTGTATTTATTTTTTTTTAAAACTCTAATATTTTTTGAAAGTAATGATTTGTAATTTTATCAAAGGAGTATTTTTTACAAACCCATTAAAGCCATGCTTATTTTACAATATTCCAAGTTAAGTTATAATAAATAATAGCTATTATATTTTAAAGATAATACTTTATGTGATAAGCTGTTCTGTTAATTTAATAATTTTTTTAATGGATGGAAATATTGGCTTAACTTGCAAACCTACTCCTATAATGTGATCATATATAATCTGTAATCAATCATAAAAAATATATTTAGAGATACAAAGTAGAAGAGGTATTTGGATGAATGCAAAAAAATTAATGCATTTATTTAATTTTGCTCTTTTGTTTTAAACTTAGAAAATTTTAGCATTTCATTAACCCAGTAAACCAATGTCTACTTTACTATATTTCATATATATTCTAAATAACCAATAAATCAAACCTACAACACCTGTAAAAAGAGTAGCTTCAAATGCAGGAGTAGCTTTGATTAAACCTAGGAATTAGAGTTAATCATTTTCTAGATCGTGTTTAATATCGTTTTAAATAAATTAAACAATTTTCATAATTTTATTATAATAATTATTATCAATCTATTCCTGTTTCAGCATTTTAGATTTTATTTTAAGAAAGAATTGTAATATTTAATCATCTTTATTTGTGTCTTTCTTTTTAAATTTATTGATTAAAATTTACTTTTAGACATCAATTAAGTGACTTTACTACAATAAATACTAAACTTTCATTATTGCTTTCACAGAGGATAAAAAGCTTTTATTTATTTCTGTTTACAGATGCACCCTGTTCAGTTAAGTGTAAATCACTACTACAGAATCTAGCAATATCATAAGGATGAGCCACGTTTGTTTGTATTCTTCTCCAAATTATAGTAAATCGAAATAATTTAGCAGAAAAATTGATAAAATAATAATTAATTCAAGGCAAAATACTATACTGATACGGTCAATTAGAATAATATCTTTCTACTTGTAATGGAATCCAAGTTTTCTCATGTTATTCCAAGAGATCAAGCTGTGGATATCTGTAAAATCTATAGAAGGAGTTAAATCAGATTACCCAAATATATCATCAATTTCTTCCTACTCATGATAAGAGGCTGATTTATCTAGGCAATCACATTCTTTAGTGATGCTATTCTCTGCTTGTTTACAACATAATTTCTATTCCTAAGTACTACTTAGTTTATTTTATTACTCTTTATCTTTAGCAGAGTCTAAAAAATATTCCTAACATCTCAAATTATTCTACTCGTTAGGGATAGGATTATTATTCTAAGCTAAGCATGTGTTATTTTATTGCAAATTATCTTAATTAGCTTATATTTAGAGCTTTACGTCCTTTATATTTTAATAAAATTGTTTTTTTATTATAAAATTGATAGAAAAATTACTTTTGGAGAACTGCTTTACTCCTATTGATTTTCTTTTTTAGGATTTAATAAATTTTTATCTTGAATAATTTTTTTTTATCTATTTTTAGTATTTTAGCTCTCTTGCTATTCTATTACTTGGTCATGTTTAATTTTCTTATCTTTTTTTAGATTATCTTTAGCACTATCATCTTCAAGATAGTGAGAATAGTCAATTAATTTATTAGTGAGACAAGTATAACCATTCATTACATCAAGATCTATACTGAAGAGCAAAAATCCAATAAATATAGTATAAATCATTTGACGATTTAATTAGCAAATTACTCCAACAAATACATTATCACCATAAAAGTTTAATCCATCATACAGTCTAAAGATACAAGGTAGAAATCCTTTTAGAAGAATAAAAGATATAAAACAAGTTTTTTTAAAGTAGTTTGGATTTAATGATTCCTATTTCTCGCAGAATATTAAAAGCTCATTACACAATTTTCTACCATTAATTTTAGGTAAACTATTTTGCTCATTCTAATTAATTAAAAGAAAATATTTTTAATAAGATTTTTAAGGTATTTAAAATTTAATCTCAAAAAAAAAATAAATAATTTAATCAATTTTAAAATATTTTTAAATAAAATAAAATCTAATTAGGTATTTTATTGAGTGTTTCTGTTTTCTATAGTAATTAAATCGACTTATTAAAGTAGAAATACTTTACATTTATTTCTTGATCATTTGGTTATTCATTTGTAGGGTTTTGAGAGGTATTTTCATCACATTATATTTCTTAAATTTTAATAGTTTGAAGCCTTTTGAATCTATTTTAAGTTTCTCCAACTTTTTACTATTTATTTTAATTAACTTTTTCTGTGCTTTTCTAAAGTTTATCATGCTACTTTTAAATTTAATTCTTTTGTTCTTATTCTATTTATTTTTAAAGGGGATTTTCTAGAGAAAAGGGGAGTAAAATAAAAGTAAAAGTTTAACTGTCGATGAACAACTGCTTCATAACTTTCACCATTCTCTCTTCAATTTTTCTTTCTCTTTAGATATTTTCAAATACTCCTAATTTAACATCATTATACTAGCTGTTTAACGGATGGCTAGCAGTAAAAGTTTAATTAGTGCATATATTTTTAGTAAAAGTCTTATGAAGTGAGCTAAAAAAGCCAGTTTTAATATTACTAATTTTAGATTGACTTGTGCTCTTATTCATCATCTTTTTTACTTTTGCTTCACTCAAATAATATAATTCTGAGAAGAATTTATTGTTAAAAAGAGCGCTTTTACCTAAAAGAGCTCCTCCTAAAGTAGCAACACTGATTCCTACAGAATTTACAATAAACTCTAACTTATAATAGAGAAAATCTTGTGGTGAAGCTAAGTCTTCTCCTTTTATTAAAAATATTATCATAATCCAACTCATAATGCTCAATATAGTTGTTTTTGATAAAATTTGAATTATTGTGGCCACTTTTATTTTTAATGGCAAGTTATCTAAGACTTTATATTTCCACAAAACATATGAAGAAATAAACGGTCCTATGATTTGCAGTAGGATTAAAAAAACTATATTATATAAAAATTCTTTTAATTTTGAATTGTTAGGATCTATCTCTAAGCTTGATATACTCAAATTCAGCGAAGACTATTGTGAAGTCTGCTAATTTTACAACTTATTTGTATCTTATTATTTTATTTCTTTTGAAGGTTAGCAAATTTAAGTTTCTGATTTTACATTTTAAATAATTATTGTTTGAGCATTCTAAACTAAAATATTTCTATTGTGAATTATTTTAGAAGGTGTATCATTTTAATTTTCAATAACAGAGTTTCCTTGAATCTAGCTATTATCAATTGAATATTCTACAGAGCCGTTTAATTCTTGCTAATCTCCACCGTGGCTTTTTACATATTTAAGATTGATTTGCTAGGGTTAAATATATTTTTAATTTATATCCTTCATTCAAAATCAAATAATCAATTATTAACAACTTATAATTAATATTAATTATGATTTATTCTTTAGATTTTAATTTATGTTTATCAAAAAATTATAAGCACAAGGTAAGTTCAATAATTTTAAATATAAGATTCAACTGCATTTCTAATTGCTGCATTTTTTCAATTTATTAAAATGGGCATAATTCGATTTTTTAAAGCTAACCTTGTTACTGACTTTATGAAATTACTATCATTCTTTATCTTTTCAGAATATTTTAAAGATAATATTTTAGAAGTTATTGAAAAAAGAATATATAAGTCATTACAGAATGTAAGTACACTTAATTTATTTTGCTTAATTATTTAAAAAAACTTACTCATATTTTATGTGAAACATTACATATATTTAAAAAAAATAAGTAGTTGTTATCTAGAAATATTATTTTGAATTAATAGGATATTATGCATGATAATGTTTTAGAATTTATCCAGATTATTTATATTCAGAATAGAAATTGCATCAGAAAGAAATTCTTTTAATTTTTTATTTTTAATAAAACATTCGCTATTGGCAAAATATTAAGTAAGAAAATAAATTACTATTTCATAAAATGGCTGAGTCAATTAATTAAAAAGCTCTAGAGTATATGGAGAATCTGGAAGAAGAAACTCCCAAATTTAAAGATGCAATTGAAACAGAAGAGTTAGTTTTGAAGCTATTTGAAAATATAGCCAATTATCCTCTAGATGAAAAATATAAAAAGATAAAAACAACTAATCCAAAAATAGAATCTGTTATCTTTAAGAGATGGCAAAAAGCATCTACATTTTTTGAAACAGTAGGATTTAAAAAAGAAGGAGAATTTTACATTTTAGGAGATTCTTCCTTAGGCAACGTTGTTAGCTTGATAAACGAAATAAGAAATCGTATAAAATTCAATTATGAAGTTTATGAATAGACTGATGAAGGAATGAAGGAAAAATAAGAGAAAGAAAAGTAAATCTTGCTCTAGTTACAATAGCTTTAAATAGAATAAGCACAAAAATAGCAAGCAAACGCATCAAAAATTATATAAATTAATGGGGCTTAAGATTTTTAAGCAAAAGTATTAAACTCAGATAAGCCTGTGATTGTTGATTTCTATGCAGATTGGTGTCCTCCATGCAAAAAATTAGCAGCTTTAATCGAAACTGAAATATAAAATAGTAATGGCTGGCTTGTAGCTAAAATAAATGGAGATAACCCACTTAATAAGCCATTATCAGCTTCCCATCAAGTTTCAGGCATTCCTGCCATATTTTTGTATCATAAGGGACAATTAGTAAGAGAGTTTTCGTTCACAGGTTTTAATCCTATGTCTTTATAAAAGATGATTTAAAAAGCATCTAGTTTATGTTGAAGCAAATTTATTGTGAAAAAATATTTATGAAGATATATATATCTAAAATTTGATAACCTGTTAATTTTACAATTTTAATTCTAAATTTATTTTCCGTTTTTATTTAGAATAAAAGGCTAAGTTAATTAATATTAATCAAACAAAAAAACAAACCAACAAACAAACTAAATTGTTTTTATTTATTTTAAAATTAAAATTAATTTCTGTAAAATAAAATTTAAACAAAATATTTTTTTTCTAATCAAAAATTTATTCATGATAATAAAATAATTGATTTATTTTTAAAAATATTGATTGATATTTTCTTAAATTATTTTTTTAATAAACAATAAAGTAAATTCATATCAATCAATAAAACTAGATTTTAAAAATTTACATTTTACTCTCTTATAATCGAAAGCTGATTCAATAATTGTCAATTTTTAAAAATTAAAAATCTAAAGGCTAAGAAAAATGAAAATGATGTCTTTTATTCAAAAATTTGAATTAAATTTTATTATCAGAATTATATTTATGGTTAAATCACAATATGAAAAGTTAAATACGAGTAAATTTTTTTTACTTATTTTGATAAATTAGTACAATTTTGTATTTCTTACTCGGTTATTTAGAACCAAGGTAGTGAGTTTTAGGGCGATTTTAAATTTTAAGCAGAATTATTAGATAAAAATTAAAATATAGAAATAATATTAATATTTTTAATTGTATATTATTTTCATAAAAAGATTTTGTTGATTTTTATCTTTCAAATTATAATAATATATAAATAAATATTCTATTTCTTAATTTTCTATAGTAGCAATTATTCACTCAATTTATTTTTATGCTTCGAAGATTTTGACTAATGTAAAATTTTAAAGTCTCACACAAATTTTAAAAATTATTCTAAACTTATTAAAGTTAGATACATATAGCCTTTTCAAATGGTATTTTAAACTGAGGAAGAAGTATAAAGCTTATAAAATAATAAGCCATATAAAATTTTACACACTAAATATTAATGTCTATTATATTTTTAACTTACTATAACAAAAGTTCTACTTCATACTTATTATGTAATTTAAGAATAAATAATAAGTTTAAATTAAGAAATAATATTTTTATTTTTTTAACTAATTTTATAAAAACAGAATAGAATAAATAAGATAAGTATAAAAGAGAAGCTTAGAGATTTAAAATTTAAAAAATAAAATCAATCTTCATAATCATCATCCTCAAAATCATTTTCATATCTTTTGTGGTGGTAATTGTTATATTTTTTAGTAAATTCGTCTTCATAATCATAGTCTTCATCATTTTCCTTATCTTCTTAATCCATGGAATTGGAATTATCATCGCTTGATTGTTTTGCTAAGTAAATTCCATGAAGACTATCTTGAAACATGTTTGGTTTCTTTTTAGATTTCTTTTTAAATTTTAAATTATCTTCATCGTAACTATCATAATCTTCATCTTAATTTTGTTTGTCATAATCATTATCTTCATCATCAAAATTTTCTTCCTCATCTGGGTAATCATTTTGATCAGCACTTTCTCTATTTGAATCTTCACCTTAATTTATGATAAATTTCATTTATAAATATCGATATAAAAATTTTTTATTAAATATATATATGTAAATCTTTTTATTTACTGTCTTTGTCTGAAAAGTCATCGCTTCTACAAGGTGCAAATTCCCCATCAAAAAGCTCAGAATTATTAGTTTAAACAAAATGAATTATTCCTGATTAAACTTTTAAGATATTTTCCTGTTCTTTTTACAAAAGACTTCCTATATTTTATGGCCCATCATCTTACTAAAATGAGTTATCTTCTTCTATTTTTCTTTCTTCTACTTCATAGTAGGCATATTCTTCATCATTTACATGCTTTTCGTCTTTTAAATTTGTTTTTCTTAATATTTTAAAAATGATTAGCATACTAACTAAATTATTTATTTATTAATATAACTTACTCTACTATGACTTCTTTTGAGGTTGGGTCTACTACCATTTCTAAGATTCTCTTTTAATAAATATATTTTGTATATAAATTTTTTTTTAAACTTAATTTACATGTTTTCTATGAGCTTGCAACTTTCTATCTCTTGCTTTCTTTCTCAAATTTTCAGCTTACATCATCTTAACTTCTTTTATTTATTAAACTGCTTCATTATCAACTAGCTTAAGAATGTATTATTTCTTTTCTACTTTTTCTTCCTCTTAATCATTAAACAATAAATTTTATTTCTGCTTTTCTTATTCGTTTTCTTTCTTTTAATCATCATTTTAAATAGATAAATCATTCAACATCTTTTCGAGGAAGTTTACACCAAAGAGAGGGTTGGGCTTTTATTTCTTTTAAGTAAACTAGCCTTCTATAACTGTTTTTAAAATTTACTAATAAATAAAATGCATAATTGATAAAACTAATCTCAAATTTTAATTACTTAACTTTTCTAGTGGGTCTTCATTAGCTTTTCTTTTCATTCTAACTACTAAAGTTGTTTAGGGTTAAGCTTTTGCATCATTTGCGCTATTTTCCTATTTCTATTGAGTTTAAATTTCTTATTATTTATTGATGGTATCCATTAAATTTAATTTCTAATTATGTATTTTGCTATTGATAAATAATTAATTCTATCTCCAATTTTTTTTATAATTAACTTTTATCAGAATATTAGCTAAAAAATATCTCTAGCTAAATATTAAAATCTCTACTGTCTGCTTGCTTGCTTTATTCACTAATTAATTATGTGCAATAAATCAATTTTTAATATTTAATATTTTTTTATAGCAAAATATTAATAGATTCATTCATACATATTTGCTGATTTTTGCTTATATTTAGTCAAAATAAAACTATTTTAACAAAAAAAGTATCAATTATTTAAGTTAAGAAAACTTTAACATCAATCTTTAAATAGAATAATAAATATATTTGTTTTCTTTTAATTGGTGTTTATGATATTTTATATAAAATTTATATTCATTTTAATAAATTTAAATAAATCTAAATATTGGAACCTTTAAATTACCTGCCAAAATATTGATTTTTTGTTTATGAAAGTTAGACACTTTTTATAAATTAATGATTGAATTTAGATAATTAATTATTTATTTATTTTTTGATTGAATTTGTTATTTAAAAAAAATTAAATTTGATGATTGCCTGTAAAAATAGTAATTAGTGAATTTAGTTAGTTAGTTATTGATTACTTTATAAATAAGAAATATTTACAATTAAATTTTATATTTAATAATAAACTTTAGATTCATTAAAATAGTGAAAAATTAGATAATTAATTCATATTTGCTAATTCAAAGTTATGCTGTTTTTATTATTCTGTTTGTTATTTAATGCTAGGAGAGGAGATGGGCTATTTAAATTAGGTGATCCAACTTAAGATTTAATGTTAACTTAACTCGTTGTTTTTATTTAAGAATAATTATGACTAGACAAATTATTTTAGGAAGGTTATTCTATCTTTTAATCAGCAGGGATAATTTTTCTATTATTTCCAAACATATTTAAATTTAAAATAATTTGATTTTAGTGGTTGTTATTTATTTAGGAAGAGTAGTTGTTTTACACTCCAATGCTTAGACTTTACTAAGGCAATGAAGATTTTTCTTATTTGTTGATGTTATTTGCATAAATATTATATTTTATATTTGGTATCACTTTATTGTTGTTATTCATATTTTTATTATTATTGTTATTGTATTCAGAGCCTATGCTAAAACTATTATTATTTAGGTTTTAATTTAATTAAATATTTCTTGTATCAGATGACAAATTTTTGGTATTATTTTTAGCTCTTCTGATATCTAAATGACTTAAAATTGAATGCTAAACTTCTAGTTCATTTTAGGCGCTAAAATTATTAGAATTAGGATGCTATATATTGGGAAACATTTGGCTTTACTGTTAATTAGAATTTAGATTTTATATGAATTATTGGGTATTTGTGTATTGATTTCTACCTATTCTTGAAGATGCCTTGATGGGGAAATCGTTTCTACTTCCCTTACGAGAGTGAAAGCTTTTATCCAAGTTTAATGAGTTAGTTTCTTTTATTTGATAATAATCTTTCTTATTGTAGCTTGTTTTTAAATCTAAAAACTCTTTTTAAGGTTAATTCACTTATTCACAATCCTTTAGCTTCATTTATAGAGGATTGTTACCATTTTCTTTTTAATTTACTAAGATGTTAGATTTATTCTTTAAATTTTTACTTGAGTGAGAATCAATATTTTTGCTACTTTATTCATCAATATTATACTAATCTTCAGGTGCATATCCATACCTTAGAGGTGAAGACTCATAGTGAGATAAATTTTGAAAAGCTGAATTGCTATTGCTATTATTTAGCTATTTGTGTCTCTACTATATTGAGGTAATATATTCTTTTCTCCTTTCTTTATCTGTTTAATCTGTGTCATCTAAATGTAGCATATTAAATAAATTATTGTTGCTTTTTTAATGTTCTTCATTAAGTTAAATATCTTTTTCAATGTAAGTCTAAAGATAAATCTCTCTATTTTATCCATCTTAATTTTAGTTTAAAGCCATCTTATTAGATACTTGTTTGTTTGTTCGATAAGAATTTCTAAATTCAATATTTGGAGACCGTTTTATCTAATCTTATTCCCCAAAGCTATTACAATCACTTTTATTGCTGTTTTCATTCTTCACATTACAATTATTTAAATTATGATGATGATAGCTTGGTTTAGAGAACAAAATATCTTCTAAAAGCTAATTAGCTTTATTATGAGTATTAGATGAATCAGCTCTCTTTTAATTATAGTTTACAGAAGAGTTGCTTATATTCCTCTCTCTTATTTTCTCATTTTTTTAGTTTATTCTGCTATTATTTTACCTATCTCTGCTCTTATTCTATGACTAACTATTAATTACAATAGTTTCATCTTCAGAGTAGTAAGTCCCCTCTTACCCATACTCGTCTTACAATTTCTTTTACCTGCTCTACTAAAGTAAACCAATCTAAATTTTTTCATTTTGCTACTTTAGCTGCTTTTACTAATAAAAAAAGAATTTTAAAAATAAAAAAATTCATAAATTTATTTAAATTTTCATCAAATAAAAAACATGATCTCATAGTATTTGACTTTAAATTGTATTTAAAACTTATGATTTTAATAAAGAATATTTTGCTTTGGTTAATAATAATTGATAGCACTTAAAACCTGTTTATCAAAGAGTATTTATTTTTTAATAATTCAAATATAAATTAGATTCTTTACCTAAATTCGATTTTATTTGCATATTTATTCTGGTAAAATAAACATTTTTTTTTAAATTTATTACTTTATTGTTGTTTGATAAAGATTAAAACTTTAATTTTTAATTATTTGTATATTAATTAATACATTTGAAAGTAACTAAAATTTGAGAAAATCAATCTACCTCTATCTTTCTTTGAATGATGGTCTTATAATTTTTGTCAACTACTGCTTTGGTTAAAGCTAATCCTTCTATTTATTCCATATTGAAAACTTTTAGAGCAGGATTAGATCTATCATCTTCCTGCGTTTTTTCCCTTACGCCACTATTTTTAGAGGTTTTATAGGTTTTATTCTATCTTTGAGTCAGTGACATTTAATCAGTTTAAGCCAGCTATTGCTAAAGAAGCATTTATTTTTACTTCAAGGCAGCTTGTTATTCTTTGAAGGAGATATTTTATTTTTAAATTGAGTTTACGATTTCATACTAAAAAATATCATTTTAAGTAGGAAGGGTAAAGTATTGTGATTATTATTTTTAGTTATATTCAAAGCTACGATTTTAAATTTAATTAATATAATTTCCTCCATTATTTTATTAGGGATTATTATATGGTTTTATGTATTCAGGAGATTTATTTTAATTTTCTAATTATTTTTTTTTTTAATGTTTTTTAATTAAAGCAACAGGTTCAACAGAAGTCTTTGCACTAGGCATAGGAAGAAAATTTTAATTTGCTTGCTACGAATCAAAAGCTTAACCAACTTTAGTAATTGGATAATAGTATCTCTGCTACTATTACTATGGATTTAAATAAGTATGAACTGAGAATATTTTTTTTCTCTATATTTAAATTGGTTTCTTAACATCATTACTCTATTAATTTTTTTTGTTTTATAGATCCTTAGTATTATCCTCCTCTTCATATTCATCATCTTCATTTATTTGAAACGGCCTTTTTATTTAAAACATAATTATTTATAATCAAACTTTTCAAATGTTCATCACAAATAATTCTAATATATTTTTCAAAATTAAAATTCAATCCAAATAAATACCTAAAATCTGTTTAAAATTCAATATTTTTATTTATTTTAATAGAATTATTTTAGAGTAAATTTCTATAATTATTAAGCATTTTAAACTAAAATGATAAATATCAAGTTAGAGCTTTAAATAAATAAATTATAAATGTAGTAAACTCATTTAAAAATAAATTAAAATTTCAATATTTATTTATTTGTTTATTTTCTGATTTTTTTGGGATTATTTTTATGCAAATAAATGAAAAGTTTTTATTTTATTGCTTAAAATTTGATTACCATTCATCTTCTTCGTATAAATCATCTTCGGGCTCAGAATCACTTCCACCATCTAAACTCTCTAAATCATTTGGGTCTTCTCCTTACTCGATCAACCTAAAATTGTTTTCTAAATCTTTTTTCTCAAAGTAGTCCCTCCAGTTTTTTTCGATATTAGGACATATCTGTAAAATTTACTATTGAGATAAAATAGGGCGGAATATGTCTTAAAATTAATTCTCACTATTTACGTTATGACTATCAATCTGCAATTATCCTTAAATTGCATCTAGTTGATTGCTGCTAGTAAATATATTCAACTAATTTTTTGATGCCCTTTTCTACTTATTTTTTATTTATTGAGTATCAACTGAGTTCAAGTCTTCTGAATTTATAGTAATTCCTCTGTTCACTTGAGAGCTTTGTGTTTACTATTTCTTTTTTTCACTCATGTTCGGAGTTTAAACTCCTTTCTTTTATATTTATTGCTTACCTAAGGACTAACTTCTAAACGTAGCTGTAGTCTTCCTCTTTAGCTAATCTTCCTCATATCCAGAATATTGCTTACCAATAATATTACTTGATGTTGATTAAAAACAATTTTAAACTGTATTTGACTGCTAAAAGCTTTGTTATCCATCTTCACTTTTATTTTTTGAAGTATTATTATTGCTGGCATTATACAAGCTACCTTTAGTGCTCTTCATATTATCCTCTATGATATTGTCATAGCCTTTATTATTATTAAATACCAAATCAGTAATCAAATATTTCTATTTAGCATTTAAATTTCCCTTATTAAGCTGTAATTCAAACTGCAATTATTCTAATGTAAGAGCTTATTCAACAAACGATTATCCTAATACAATTAAAATTTTAATATGAATTAATTTAACACACTTATTATCTATTTTTTTATTACCTATGGTTTCACCTATTTTCAAAAGATCTTCAACAGTAAAATGAAAAAACTGTTTCACACTTTAATTTAGTTTCTCATCATAAACCATTTTCTGATATCCATAAAAGCTAGTTTCTACAGTAAAAGAATAAGGTATTCCTAATTCTTACCATGCAGTTACTCTTGCCGTAGTTACTCTATCATCAGTTACCTTAAATCTGCACTCCTACAAAGAAAAGAAATCTGTTCTCTTTGCTAAAATATGTGGAAGAAGTCTAACCTTTGTCCATGCTGTAGTACCTCCTTTGAAAAATAAAATTATATTCAAATAAATAGTTTGAAAAATCTATTAAAAAAAATAAATTAAAAATTTTATTATTTGAATAAAATTTAATTTAATTTATTAAATATCAAAAATAATTTAATTTTTAAAAAGTGAATTTTTACCATCTGTTGCTTTGTTGCAGCCATAAATAAAAAAATTAGTTAGTTAGGAATGACCATGCAGATCACAAAACATCATAACCTCTCTTTTTTATTGAGTCTGTTTGATATCTTCTTTGATAAAGTAGACTTCAGGAGTTAGTTTTTTATCTGGGAATTACCATTTTCTATTTAAGTCAAATCCACTTAAATTGCATCTTGTATTTCCTAAGTTTTTAATTTAGCTTAAGATTATTGTTGAAATCAATTTAAAATTACCAAGAACAACACCGTCTGGATTGACCATGGGGATTATTTTAAAGATGTAGATTTACCTAAGAAATTTACTGCTTTCCTAGTCTGATAGAAGATAAGATATTAAACCTTGGCAAACAAAGCTGCTCGGACTTTCTCCTGGATGCTACCTGGAAATTATGTAAATTACTTTTCTTTTTCTCTTTCTGTATGGACCTTATCTTTTATTTGTGGCTATTTTTATTTGATAGATTGGTAATCCAAGTCTAGAATTTGCTATGATTTTCTTTTTATAATAAATGTCATCTGTCCTAATTTTAATAGTTTCGTCCTAGCTTGATTAAGTTAAGACTTACTATTCTTTTTCGTAATTATCTTGAGCTTACTCTTTAAGATTTTATTCAATTGAAGCTATGAAATTACATAAATCAGTAAAGGTATAGGCATAAGAATGAGCAAAAACTACTCTTTAACCAGCCTTCTCAAAAGTGTAAGTAAAATCTAGAGTTTAGTAACCTCTTTTTTGAATTTTTTATTGCTTGATTAAAAATAAAAAATATTTTAACTTTAATTATGAAAAGCTAAAATTTTAAACAAAAAACGATTTGAAAAAAGAATTGTTCTAAATGTTATAAATTAGTTAATATTAAAAAAATTGTAATTCCTAATAAATTTTATTTAACTTTAATAATAAAATTAATTAATTTAATAATTGGAATTTTTGTGGTGAAAATATTTGTAACATTTAGTGGATAAGAATCAGTTGTTAAATTAATTGTTAACTATAAATATTTTTTACTTTTTTTTCTAGCTATTCTTTTGTCAGATTATCTGTATTCTGCCTATAAAATGCATGGTCTACGTTACTCTTGTAATAAAATATGTTTTCGGATTTTCTTTACCAATTTTATTTGACAACATTTTGACGTAATTAAAGGCATTTTGAAGATTGAGTTTAAATTTTGTTTTCTTCTTGTTATTCCATCACTGCAATTTTCATCCCATCTTTATAGTGTTAACCATTTCGTTTGTTATTCAATATAATAAATTGGATAGTACATGGCTCTTTTGCTACCACAGTAAATTAAAACCAATGCACACATCCTTTAGTATTACTATCAGATTTCAGTAAAACCATGAGCTAATCGTTTGATTTGTTGATACTACAAGAAAATATGTTAGAATTTTCATAATCTCCCATGACCATGATTTTATCAAAATCTCTACATTTAACTTTCTAATCATAATTTTCTAAACATTTTGGTATCCTCTTATTCTCACTAAGAAAATCTTCCATACCTATAAGAACAACAAAAATATATTAATTATTTAACTAATTTACATACACACACACACACACACACGCATTAAGAAGGACAAAAAATACACATTCGACTTAATATGTATTTAAATGCGATGATCATCTTAATGTAATTTAAAAAATTTATTTGTTGCATTTGTGGCTAAAAATTTATTATTTGCTGATTTGTTATGATTAAAATACAATTTAACTTAAAATTTAATATGCTTGTCACTTATATACATTTTATTTATGTTTTAACATTTTTCATTTATAAATTTATAAAAATAAAATCTGTTTATTTACCTGAATATTTTGACACCCTATCTATAACATAATAAGCATACTATTTCATGTCTTAAAGAGTATATAGTTATAAAAACTTTTTGTAAGAATTAACTTTTTCTCTGATTTGAATGTCCATTTTTTTAATAAATGTGGGTATGTAGTCTATATAGCATATATCGTATGGATACTTAATGCTGTCTTCTGTAAATTTAGTATAATACTCAGAAGACATAGTACCAAAACAAATATTACACCTTTCAAGATTATCAGATATTTTAACGCATTTATGATCTGGTACATATCTATATCTGCTTTACTTTTTGAGAAACTATTGCTTTTTTTAATCTTCACTTAAATTCTAATCCTAGTTTTAAATCTGAGTGCTGATTACTTTTTTTTTCCTTTTTCTTTTATTTTGCATTTAGCTTGAAGATTTTTGTTCATTAATTATAATTTTAGGCTTTAAATCGTATACATCATATTTCCCTTTTTCAAGAAGGGGCAAAGGCTCACTCAATTTTTAACTGATCAAAGAGTTTGCTTTACTCTAAGTAGAAATTTTATTATTAATCCCTATAATTGATTAATTTAGCTACTGTTCATTGTCAATTACTTTACTTCTTTAAATACTTTGATCAAACTATTTTCTTATTGGACTTTAGCTATGAGATTATTAATTTGATTTAATATCACTTTCAGAATTTAGGAGTAATGAGCTTTCCGCAAGAAAGCCCTCTTCTTTCGCTTTTAATTTTATTGCATCCTTTTCAGGTGCTTTGCTAGAATTATCTTTCATTATATTTGAACTAATATTTATTTTTTATATATCATCTTTGAGATTTGACTTGTATAAACTCTCTGTTTTCTATTGCTACTCTAAGTGATGTTATTTAAGTTGAATTTAATCTTTTTCACTACTCTCGAGATGCATTATTTTATCAAGCAAATTTCTTTGTAATTTGCATTTTTAATTAAAAATTTTAATAATAAATAGTATTTTTGATATAATTCATGTTTAGATCCATTGAATTATCACAAAAAAGATTACTCATATTTTTCAATCAAAATATACCAATTTATCTTCATTTCTATTATTTCAAGCAACATTTAAGTAAATATTTCAATAATACTCCAAAAAGTAACTCTCGATCAATTTTTGTAAATATTTTGTTGAATGATTTCATCTTATCTTAATTTCTTTTCAAATTCTAAAAAAAGTTTTCAATTCAAACATTTGTTATCCAAATTTTATCTAAATAAAGGTAAAATTTACCTAATCCAAAAAATCCAACTAATATTTTTTAACTTTCTTTGAGTCTAAGAAATAAATAAATTGATAAACAAATAAACATAAAAATTTACTTAAGCAAAATACTTTCGTCTTATATCATCCTATCCAAAAAAAGTAATTTAAGTTTAGGAAAAATTTAACAGTAATTAATTTTTTAACAAGATTAACAATAAAAGGTGATAAAAAAATAAATATTTAAATTAAAAAAGCAAATTTTGCAAACAGATTTCCTTGATTTTAAAATACCTATTTATTTTATAAAATTTTATTTAATTAAAAACTCATTAATTAAATGAAGAATTAATGAAATACTTTAAAAACTATGAATTAATGATATCACAAATAGAGAGATTAAATAAACTAATCATGAAACAAATTATAAAAGCAATTAATTTAGATTGAAGGGTAAATTTAAATGAATAAAATTTCTTATGAAATTGAATATACTTTTTGAAATATTTCATATTACTTTTTACCATATTTTTTTTAAGCATAGAATATTATTTTACTTGGAAAACAAATTTAATAGCAAAGCATAAATATAAATAAATAAATAAATAGGTTATTAAGCATTTTATAATTATAATTAGCTATATATTATCAGAATTAAAATACAATAAATTAATAAACTAATAACTAAAAAAATAAGTAAATAAATAAACAAATTGCAAGACAATTAATTATCAGATCATCTAATTTAGATATTTAATTTAGTAACTAATATATAAATAAAATTGAATTTATTTCAATTACATGTAATCATTATTATATTTGGAAAATAAACTTATTAACAAAGCATAAAGATAAATAGATAGATAGATACAAAGATAGATAAATAGATAGATAAATAAACATTTTATGTATTTTCTAATTATAATTAAGTCTTTATAATTGCTTTTTAATAAAATCTAACTAAATAATAACTAATTTAACCATAGTCATACATACTTAAAATCTTAAAAACCTCTCTAAATTTATTAGATATGTATAAATTCATTTAAATTATAAAGAGATTTTTTTTGTTCATTTTAATTCAATCTAAAAATTCAGACTTAATAAGCTCTATTTGTTAAATTTTTTGAGCTTAAAAGATTAAAAATTCATTAGATAATTTGACAATCACTAGTTTTTTTTGTCTTCTTCTTAGATTTCTTTGTTAGAGAAAATGCGATTTAAAAAGCCATTTTTTTTGAAGTAGCTAACTGAAGTAAAATATGCAACTATTATTGTTGCAACTACACATAAGATAAGCTGCTAAAATATATATACTGGTACATTATCAAAGATAACCTCTTCTATTTCTATTTTTATTATATTTTACTGTATGAAAAATAAAAAATAAAAATTTACTCATTATATATTCAAAATCTTAATTTTTAGCTTCTAAGTCTCTAGACCTAGTATTTCTGTATCCCACTAAAGTAAAAAAGTATTCTTGATTTATTTCATCTTTCGACTCACTTCTGATGTTCTTATGTAATAAATGTTAAAATTAAAATCGCTAAAAGCTAAATAATATAAAATTTTACTACTACTTCACCATTTTTGTCTGTATAAAAATACAATCTTTCTGTATCTAAAGGTTTAAATTCCATTTCAACTTTTCTATTTATTTCATCGCTTTTCCAATAAACTCTGAACTAGAGTCCCATCTTTATTTTCATAAAATGAGTTAAATACTTCTAATAGACAAGCTTATAAATTAATAGTATTATTTTAATGGTAAAATAAGGTTTCAAGTAAATAATTACACTTCCAATATATGATATTTTGATATTATATTTTGAATTAGGTAATAAATCACTTTTGGCTATTTTAAATGTATGAAATTCATTTGGCTACGCTCTCAATCTATAGCTTTAGTTTATTTTAATATACTATGATACCTCATGAGCTAGGGACAATTACTAAAAAACTATTGCTACGATAATCACTTTCAAAATTATTTTCTTCATATTTATTATTCAATAAATAAATAAACTTTGTTTAAATATAAATAAATAGATCTTTTTTTAATATAAATTTCAAAATATCTCAGTTTAATAATAATATATATAAACACATTCTTTTATCATAAGTATAAATAAATAAATATATTATTAAGCAGTAAAATATACATACTTTTAACTTTTTACATATTACAATTACTAAAAATTTATCATTATGTATTTTATAAATAAGATGAATCCTTTTATTTCAATAAAGAATTTCTAACTAACTGCACTTGGAAATTTTTAAATAACAAAAATAGATTCTTAATTTACAAAAATAGTTAGGGAAACTCTAAAAATAGATAGATAGATGGATGATTTTCAAAACTTGATTATAAAATTTAAATTTATCAAATATTTCATTTTTTTTATGAAAAAATATTGTTAAAAAAATTAGGTTTATTTATAAAATTTTAGTTATTCATATTATTTTATTATTATTTCATTCTTTATTCAAACGCGTATCTATTTAAATCTTTATTTAAGTCATCAACGCCTTTTATTGATTTTATTCTATGCTCATCAGCGATGTCCATTGTACTTTTATATTTTTGATATAAATCATTACAAACTTAGCAACCGCTGTCACACCAATATTTAGGTAAAGCCTATTTTTTAAAATATTTAAGTTTTAACGCGCTGATAATCAATCAATCATTTTTAAAATAATTACTTTTTTTTCTTCATCCCAAGAAAAAACACAATATTACTTAGCCCAATAATCTTGGCTAGAATAGTACCATTCAGCATCTGCTTTTTCATAAATACCATGCTTAAATCTTAAATGATCAAATATTTCAGTTTGCAGAACCTTTTTCATAAATGTTACTGCTTCTTACAAATTTGCTTTATGATCCTCTAGTTATTGCTTTAAATTATATAATTCCTTCTCTTCATCACTTAGCTTAAGTACAGGATTGGTACTTTTCATTACTGCATGAAGCTTTTACCTAATTTACTTAGGATCATAACTTTAACTCATTTTATGATATTTACTAATTTTTGAAGTATAACTTTGAAAATTTAAATTATTTTTTAAAATGAATGAACTCTATTTTTTTGGAAAACTAAAAGAATTTAATTTAATTCATTCAATTTTTAGGTAAAAACTTTAAATTCATTAAAAATTAATTAGAAAAACATTTAATTTCTATTTAAAATGTAATTGCATCAAAATATTTTGTTGAAAAAATAATGTAAAATTATTATTTATGTGATTGCTTTTTCTTTATTTTTTTATTATTTGAAGATTTTTTAATTCTACAGAAGAATCTGCTCTTAAATGTTACATATAATATGACGCATCAATCCCTTTATTGCAGTACATAAATTACAAGTTAATGCTATAAATCGATTTCTATCGTTTATCAAAAACATCTATCTAATTATTATAATCATGCTAAATACTAAGCTTAATCCAATTTATTTTTCTAATTAATTCACAAATTTATTTGATCACCAGCTTTAAAATAGTTTTAATGATTGCATACAATCATTTTTATTATTATTGGCACTTAAAATATTTTAATTCTTCACATTTCGCATTATCATACTAGCTAAATATTAAGCAAAACAATAAAAAAATTGAAGGAACAATTAATTCAGAAAAAATAGATAGATTTTCTTAATTTTTTGATTGATTTCTACTAATTTGATTAGATAATTAATTGTCAATCAAAAGGGAAAACAAAAAGATTCATTAAATTTAGGAATTTTCAAGTGTTAGCTTGCTTAATTAAGTCTCTTAAAATTTGCGAACAAACTAAATATAAAAACTCACAAACAAGCTCACCATTCATATTTAAAAAGCTTGAAATACCTCCTGTAAACATCTTCACAATATATTTATAAATACTTTATAGAATGAGCCAAAAATCTGTAATAAATAAAATACCCTTTGATTTGGAGCCATTGGGTATAATTAGAACTATAATGGGATTGAGAAACGGTATCTATTATGGTTGTCGTGTAAGATTTATGCATTCGATAGTAATGTCTCTTCTATTTAAATCAGGTTCTGTTTATGATAAAATTTTTAACGTTGTTTAGCCTACGTATGAGCATGGTAAAAATCTTGGTATGTATGTCTTCCTCTATAAAGCCATAGTCAATTTCCTTGAATATGTAAGGAAAGGAAAGAAAGATAAAATACATTCTTTAGTTGCTGGAGCCATTATAGGAAGATATGTTTTTGGAGAAAAGACACCAGTTAACCATCAGATAGTTTTGTATCTGCTCTCGAGAAATATAACAGGCGGAGCCACAAACCTGTAAGCTCGAGGTATCTTTCCGAAGATGAAATTCTTTCCCATATTAGCTGCAATATGCTGGGGATTAGTAATGTTCATATACGAAGTAGATAAGCTTTCATTGCAAAAATCACTGAGTGACTCTATGGATTTTCTTTACAAAGAATCTGATTTAAATCTTAAGCATTGGACAGAGTTAGTACCTTTCAAAATCCCCTCTTTTATATTAGAAAATTTAAATAATATATTTAAAACACCTCTACCAAACCTAACAAATTGATTGACCGGTTTCTATCTCGCTGAGAAATCAATATAAATTTTAAATATTAATAAAACTCGTCAAAAACTTCATATTTAATTGTAATTAATCAATTTTTCTTATAATATTATAAAACTTCAACATAAAATTTGGCTTAATATCCAATTTATATTCATTCTCTAAAATCAATAAATAAATAAATTAATTAGTTAATTAATTAATTAATTATTTTTATTTAGAGTTATTAATAATAAACAAATACGTTTTTAACCTATTCTATTATTAGTTTGTTTGTTTGCTTATTAAAGTTTTTGCTATTCGATTTCTATCCGTTTAAAATTTGTTGTTACGATTGATACTTACTTACATACTTTTGATACTTTTGAATCACTATCTAACGATACTTAATCTAATTAAAATATTAACAAATGAGTTTGATACTTTTTTAACTCTTTATAAATGTTTACCATTTTATATTTTGATTCTCCTGTTCTCATTTTTATTTTACTAAAATGATTCTTAAACTTTTAGTATCCTTTCACCTGCTTCTTCTGAAAGTCTTAAATTTAATGATACTACTAACTAGTGTTTCCATTTTATTAAATAAAAAATAAATAATCTTTTAAAGTATTTTAAATTTAAAATTAATTTATAAAATAAAATATTACATTTTTATGGAAAAAATCAAACTAAAATTTTAATAATTGATTCATTAATAATCATCTTATTTGATATATAAAATTTATTTTATGATATTGCTTATTATTTAAAGACAAAACAAAAATCTTATTCAAGAATAATTTAAATTAATATTTTAATCTTTTAGAAGTAAAAATTATTTTTAAAAATAATTTATGATTTTTTGCTAAGGATTTAATGTTCCATATATATTATAAATTATAAGCGAAATAACAAAAAAAATAGGTTTTGTTTAACATGAAAATACTAAATTTTATTTTGAACTCACTTAACTTCTTTTAAAATAATTCTGTAAGGTCTGATATTTTGGTTATCTTCAACAGTGTAATATCTTGGTTCATTTACAGGACTTTTTACTCCGTTTGGATTTACTCTACACTAAAAAACAATATAATATTTTTTCCCTTCGTAACTAGAAGAAACACCTGCAAAGTGCTCAGCTATAGACATATCGTCTGTTAAATAGACATTTTCTTTTGGACCCTTTTTAATTATAGTGTTGGTTATCCTACATTTATCCCCTCCATGAAGATTACGATAACCTGGAACTAAATTTTCTTTCATAATACCTGAAAGAGCATTTTCATTTGTACCATGGAATAAAACAATCCATGTATTTGCATCAGCATTTGATGAAATCCAAGACCTGTCTTCTCCATATCTATTTATGTTTAACGCATAGCCTTTATAACCTGCTGGGTAATGGTACATATGGTCAACCGGGTTTATTTTATCGAAGAATTTTAGCTATCCTCTAACATCATGTTTTCCCTTATAGCTTTCAGGCCATTCCATATTGTATTATGAATCAAACATATTTACTGATAGCTTTGCGAACTCTAAAAGACTCTTTTCGCTCACTGATAACCCAAGGTCTGAAAAAGTTATCTTTTTTCTTAATTCTTAAGAGCTAAACTGTTGAGAATTCACTTAAAAGTCAATCTGAAGAAGCTTATCAAAGTCAACGTTGATGATTGTGATATCCTATTATGGATTCTAAGAATTTACTTTTTATCCAATATCTTCTTTGAATTTTTAAAGGAACTCATTAATATTCTATTTCGTCTTCGATTATATCAGATTCTAGTAGAGGGTTGATTATTTATCGATTTTAATTGTAAAATATTTAGCTTAGTTATGAAGTCCTACCTAAAGAAAAGATTATTATACTTAATAATTTTTATCTTTCTCCAAGGTTTAAATTGGTGTATCAGTGATAAAAGTAGAAATTCCATCCTATTTAAACATATTCTATAAGATCATTAGACACTTCAAAGAATCTTTATCATCTTTATTTACTTCATTTTAAGTTGCATTGCCTTGCTGTATCTTTTACATTCCTTAAAGATAATTTTATACTATATCATCATTTTTTACTTAAAGGTCCTTCTTTTATTAATCGCTAGGCTAACTTTATGACACTACCTAATACGCTTTAGTGAATTAAACTGCATTATCTTTAACTTTAGTTTAAGGATTTAGTTATTAAAGTACTTCTTTGACTTACTAATCTCCATTTCCTCCTTTTACTTAGGTGTTTATTATATCCTTAAATATTTTTTAAATGTTTTAAATTTGTGCTTCAGTTTATTTTAGCTATGAAGCTTCTAAGCTTTTCTGCAGCTCTTAATTTAATTTTTTATACTTTTCTACTTCATCACCCTTTTCTTTTTGTATTTGAATCAAACTTTGTTGAGATTATTCATAAAGATCTTTGTATTTTGTTAGTTCATTTTTATCCTAATTTAATTAATTAATTTGATTTTCTTGTTTTTCTTTTTATTATTCCAATTAGATCTTTAATTCTTCAAATTTCTTTTCTTTTTATTGAATTTCTAGCATTTAATTCTAAATTGATTCATCTTTTTCTTTGATTTGAATGGTGCTTTATTCAATTATCTTACTTTTTTCTAAAATTTATTGCGTTTAATTCTCAATTAATGTTACTTTCTCTTATAATTCATTTTAGAGTTTGCTATTTTTTTATTATTCTTCTTCATGCAATTCTTTATATTCTAACAAATTACTAACTTGAGATTGTAACTCATTGATCCTAATGCTCTAGTTATTTATTTCTCTTCTTAAAGAAATATTCTTTTACTTAACCATATCAACCTCTTATCTCATATACTAATTTGATTATTTTTATATAATATTTAAGTATTCTTATTCATTTTTTTATGCTCTTTCAAGCTAGTTAATTGATTTTCTTAGATAACTCACCATACTAATTTCCTTCACAGTTTAAGCTAGCCTTTAATATCTTTCAAGCTCAACCTTCAATTTTTATACATCTGATTTTAGTATTTTTTTTGGTAGCTAATCTTATTATGCTCCAAGTTAATTATGAATTTACTCGTTATTAATTTCAAAAAAATTATCTTTCTCTGGTGATAAATCATAGTATTAACTACTTTCATTTACTATTTCTTCTTTTTAAAAATGCTATTAAATCAAATTTGTTTTTTTTCTGAAGTTTTAAGGCGTAGAAATTTTGTTATTAAATTACTAATGCTTTATACCATTTTGATTTTGATTTTATAGCTCCTAGCTTTTTAACAAGAAATTCATTCTCAATTATTTTAAATCTTCTTGCTCATTCAGCTAGAAAATATTTGGGCGAGAGGATTGCTATCCTTATTCTTATTTTTCTTAATTTTAAATCTACTCTTTATAGATTTATTTTCTGCTCATAATTTATTTCGCAGATGCAGAACTTATCCTTATATTTTTAGGATTTTATTAATCAAAGTCTTTTTAAAATAATTTATTATTATTTAAATTTATCTTAAAAGGAGTCTGATTTCTTGTAGACTAAGGAAAGATATCCTATTTATCGTTAGCTTGAGATTCTTCAGCATATCTTAAAGCTTGTGCCTAATCTTAAGAAAACTTTCTTCTAATTTTATAAGATGAAGGACGTTTGATTAAAGCTTATTTATGTGGATGTATTCCATTTTAGCTCTCATTTTACTATTACTTTTTTTGTTTCATATCCATAATTTGAACCTCTAAGCTAGAAAGGTCATAACTATCATCATCACTCATCACTTCTTATTACACTTATATTTCTCTATTTTTTATAACAAATTTATTTATTTTTTTTGATTATTAATTATTAAAATAATGTTATTCTTCTAAATACAAAACAAAACTAAAAAACATATATTAATATGTAATTCATAATAATGCGTATGTATATGTTGTAATACTAATTTAATGAACATCGATAGTTTTTTATTCACTTTAATTTATAAAATTTTGCAATATTCTCCAAATCGCAACTTAAAAAAATCATTTAAACTTAAATTTCTCAAAATTTAATTTTTAATAATTCTAATAGAGGTAAAAACGTATATATAACAAACAATATATCTAAGTCAAATATAATAATTCAAATAAAAACAAGAAAAATAGGAAATTACTCAAATATTAAATTAATAAATAATTTTGATTTTTCTTCATTTGCTAAAGATATTAAGCATGAAATTAAAAATTATGTATGATAAGAAGTTAATTAAATAATACTTAAAACATTAATAAATAAATATTTAATTATGCCCAAATATCAGTATTCATCATTTTTCAAAAACCATAATTTACACCATTTTAAGGCATAATTGGTTTATTCTTCATATTTATGTGTAAGAGTTTTTAGTAATAGAGGAGTGAGGAAGCGAAGAATTAAACTAATTATTTTCTAAAAATGAATTACTATAAAAATAAAAAAATATCTCAAAAATTCTATTTATCATTATTTATTCTTGACTACAAATTGTGAAGAAATCTTCAAAATTAAGGAAATTGGCAATTAATCTATTACAAGTTTTAATACCTTAATGTTTGATTATTTAATTAAGTTTAATATAGTTAATTCGCTTTCTCTAAATTCTATTAACTTATCACTAATAGCGTTTATAAAAGTAGGTGAAGAGGTTTTGGGGTTGAAGGTAATCTTTAGATTATAAAATAATAATTGCTGAAAAAGAGAATAATTTACCTAATTTCAATAAAAATTTATATGTATTAATATTAAAATCATAAATTTAAATAAAAGAAATAATAATCCATAAGTTATAATTTATAAATAATTAATTTGTTTATTTACCTACTTTAAATATTCTTTTCTTTTTAAGTTTAAAAATTTACTTAATTAATTTTTTATTGGTTTGGTTTAATTAAAATAAATTTATTTCTTTTTATATCAACAGTAAAATAAATAAATTTAATTATTTTTGATAAAATTATATTGAGAAATTTATTTTTTTATTGCTCATTTATAATTAATTAGAGATTGAAAAATTTATTAGTTATTTAATACAATGATTAACTAATAAATACTTTTATAAACAAAACAGAATTAATTAATAAAATGATAATACGTTATAAGTAAATTTTTATATTAATTAATTTTTTTAAATTATCTTTTAAATTTATAGTGCAAATTTTTATATAAAATTATATTTTGGCCTTAGTGATTAATTATGATTTCTTTATATTAAAATTTTATTTTTGTTAGTTTTTTATAATTCTTTTGTAAAGTGCTTTGAGTTCATAGATATTTATTTATCTCGTTAATAATTTTCAACAAATCATTTTAATTTAAAAGAATATTATTAATCAAGCTTATTGCATTCAATTATTAAAGTAGCTTTTAGTTGCGTCTTAGTATTGATAACTTTAATTATTATGCATTTCTTTAATTATTTCTTCAGACATAAATATAATTTGATCTTCCGTCCTTTCTTCTTCTGATGAGCAATCATAATCTAGATCCTTTTAATATATTAAATACATTTAAATAAGCAATATCTAAATACATTTAAAAGCAATACTTATTTTTTAAAATTCTAAGGAAACCTACTAATGTTTGTATGTATTTCTTTATCTCTGTAAAGATTGAATGCTGAAAATGAGTTGTTTTTTTTACAGGAAAACTTGATAGAGGATTTAAAAGGAAGTAAAGGCTTCAGTCTTTTCTTAGAGTCCTAACCCTCATACTCTTACTTGCATTCAGAAGTTATGAATTTTTTTTCTGTATGAGATATGTTTTCATCGATCATCTACTATTAATCTGATTACCCTAAATCGTAGTCTTTAATGTTAAAAATTTAAATTAACTAAAAAGAGGCTTGAATAAAAAAAAACTTACCCCTTTCTATAAATTTTCTCTTTGCACTCTAAACCACTGTAGATTCTTTCTCTTCAAACAGATTATTATCTATAAAATAAATAAATAAATAAATTAGTAAAATATATCAAGTTATTTAATGATAAATCACCATGAAGCGTTTCTCTATAGTTTTTAATGGGAGTCTAAGGAGTTTTACTATCTTAAAATACTCTAGCATGCATAAGAATAAACTAATTCATCAAAGGAGAATCATTAAAATTAATTTTTCTGAGCTCATGAGCTACATCTGATGTCAAGATAATATTTTTTTTTATTTAAAGCGTCTTTTTAGTTTAATTTTTCTTTGGAGCACGAAGAATTTCTTAATGAAAACTAGATTGTGAATTTTATCCATTTTTATCTTTTGCTGAAAATTGAGGAGTTTCCATAATAAGCATAAGCTATTTTATTTTAGCTAACAAAGTAGAGGTTTCTAAAATTTAGAAGCAATTAATTATACTCAATATTTCTAAGATTTAATTATTACTTAATAGAATTTAAAATTTTTAAACAACTACTTTTCTGTTTACTGCAATCTTGTTAAATATCTAAGGTAATTAGCTGAATATTAATTATATGACTGAAAATCAATCAAATTTTCAGCATTCCAAAATTTTTTAAATAAGTTTTTATAAAAATCTGTAAAACTTAATAATCTTGTAAAAAGCAGGAAATTATAGACAGAAATTTGTTTAAATTTTAGATAAAATATATATATATATATATATATATTATTTCATATACAGCTTAAATATTTATTTTAATATTAAATTTACTTATGTTTTGATAGAATTAATTTTAAACAAATTTTAAATTGTCTTTATAATAGTTTTTAGCCAAAACAGTTATTTTTATTTTATCCTCTTTGGTATTTTAAATGAAATAAAAACTTTTAAGCATCATTTTTCAGATTAAATCTGAATAAATAAATATCTAGTAATCAAATTAAAAAATTTGATTTTAGGACCAAATGTTTTATTTCCATAAATAAGTATCTTAAATAAAAAAATTTGAAAGAATATTAAGTTAAAATAGCATTGAATAGTAAATTTTATTATAAATTAAATTAAAATACTAAATTTGCTAGAATTTTAAAATGAAGTTTATTTTTTATCTAAGAGAATTTATTAATTTTGTTAATTTATTATGAAATATTTTATTAAATTTAATTAAAAATTTTTCAATCTTGAATTAAATATTGTATTTTTTATTTTTTAAATAATATATTATTCTCATTAATAATAAATTAAAACATTTTAAAAAAATAATTTAAAAATTAAAAGCTAAAATTGTATTATTGAAAATAATTCAAAATACAAAAAAGTTATTTTTATCTTAATTCCCTCTAATTCAATAAAAAATTAAAAGATTAAGGTAAAATAGATAAATAGATAATTAGACACTGTTACTATTTTATCGAAATCTGATTTGCTCTTTTATATGACCTCAAAAATTCATTCAAAGTTGTATTATAAATGCTTGGACAAAATTCGCCAAAATAATTAATTTTTTTAATTTATTAAATATAAAATATAATTTGAGGGAAAATAGAAATTAATATAAAATGAGTAAATCTAAAACCAAAACAGACCCACTTCAAATTATTGTTGATGAAGGAAACACAATTAAATTTTATGGAGCAAAAAATAAAAATGGCTTGTTCAGTAACTTTTATATATCTCCTATTAAGCTCAAAGGTAAGATATGGCAAACTACAGAGCATTATTTTCAAGCACAGAAGTTTGCTGGAACTGTCAAAGAAGAATAGGTAAGAAATGCTTCAGGTCCAGGAATAGCCTTTAGACTTGGTAGAAAAAAAAGCAATGATTACCCACTTAGAAGTGATTGGTTAAAAGTGAAAGATGATGTCATGTATGAAGCTATTAAAGCTAAATTTACCTAACATGATAATCTCAAAAAAATTTTGCTGTCAACAAAAAATCATAAACTTATAGAGCATACAAAAAGAGATGCTTATTGGGGTGATGGTGGAGATGGTAAAGGTAAGAACATGTTAGGTATACTATTGATGAAATTGAGGAAAGAACTTTCAGAAGAAATCAAAAAAGAAGAAAAGTGAAGAAAAATGATCTTTTTTTGAATAAATAGTTTATGTTATAGATAAATTTTTATATATTTAACATTAATAATAAGTAAGTTTTTTGTTACATTTTTTATATTTAGTGGTGAAATGTTAATTTTTTAGTATTTTAAAAACAAATAGTCAATTTAAAAGCTATTATTTAGTTTAGTTTGAAAATAATAGAAAATATAAAAAGTGGAATGAAATTGTTCAAAATTAAAATCCTAAAATACTAATTTTTAAATAGGATAATTAAATTTTATAATAATTTAGTATGAAATTTTATAAAAACATTCCTCTAACAACTTTAATGTTTAGATAAATTGCTAAAAAATATTATTGCGTTTTTTGTAAACATTAACTCCTAAAATACAATTTTCTTGAAATATAAATATGAATAAATAAATAAATAATTAAGGCATTTTAAATAGCTAAAAAACATAAATAATCTATGAATTCAAAAATTTTTTGCCATTTAATTTTTTATCTTTAAGTATCTTCTTAAGCAATGTTTCATTTATAAAAATTTAAACTTAAAAATTAATTTCTGTCGATATGATACTTTGGATATTATTGGAAAGGAAATATTTGAGAGTGTGTTTCATAAAAAATAGTTTATGTGGTATAAAAATTAAAAAGTATAATCAATTTAGTTTTATCTAAAGTATAAATTTTCTTTAAAATAATACAGTTAAAATAGAATTAATTATTTAAAAAGATTCACAAAAATATAAAATTCGCATCATAAAAAGACTTTTAACTTCCCCTCATTTTTATAAATTAATATTCAAGCAACCTAATTATTTGATAACAAAATAGGGTCTTCTTAACAATCAAGAAGAATTTCTAAAGATTATAATATGATTTCTTATATTTTTCTGAAAATGTAATAGTTAAAATGATGAATATTTATTTATGTGATATTTTTAATATATTTGGCAAATAAAACCTTCTAATATTCTATTAATTTAGTAGAATTTCTTAATCTTAAAATATAATAACTTAAGGTAATAGAGCAATTTTAAAATTCAAATCAAGTATATTTAATAGTTATTTTTCAAATCAATTTTCTTTAAATAAAGTTATTCATATTTTTAATTAAGAGAACCTTCTAATATTCTATTAAACCTATTAAGTGCTTCGAAAATCCTGAAAAGAACAAATAACAATTCAGAAATTTTTCGAAAAATATAAATTTTTAAATTAATATTCTAAATTATTAAAATTATGCTTCTTTTTCTTTTATCAAGAATATCTTCTATAAAACGTTATGGTAAAACAAGAAAACCATTTCTATTCTTACTATGCTTATTAAAAAACTCTTACATTCTTTAACACATATCCTAAATTTGTTAAAATTTAATTTAAATTAAATTATAACTATGAAAATATAACTTTTAATATTTAAGGACCATATATTTATAATTCCAATTTTCCATAATATAAATAAAATAATCTTTCCATTACTTACAAAAATTGAATAAAATATTTAATTTGATTTTTTAATATCAGAAATTAGATAAATTAGTCCACAAGTAGAAATTCTTAAATAAATTCAAATGAAGAAATTTATAAATTAATTTATATCAAGAAATTGATAAATTAATTCAAAATAAGAAATTATTAAGTATGAGCAAATAAATAATTTCATATATTAATTTAAATATGTAATAATAATACAAAAAACCTATCAATTAAAATTTAATTAATTGATCCAAGAAAATAATTTATAATTTAATTTAAATATCATGAAATTTTATAAATTTATCATAATTCTGAAAAATTGTGGCATTAATAATTTTTAAGAGATAATTTGTTAATTTTTAATATAGCAAGCAATAATTAATATTCTTTTTTTGGGAATAACTAATTATTTCATTCAAATAATTATTAGATAAATTTATTAATATTTAGTAATTTTTTATTGATTAGACTAAATTAATATTTTATATTTAAAGTTGAGTTTTAATTTGTTATAGTATAAACTTATTTAAGATATTTTTTTATTCTTAATAAGAATTTAATTAGAATAAAATAGTCATTTTAGCAATAATTCATGAAAGATTCATTTAGTGTGTTTATTATGATTAAGATAAATTAGATTATGTCTAATTTGTAATTTTACTATTTTTGATATTATTTTTAATTATTTATAATGAGATTAAAAACCAGTATGTATAATATGAATATAGAGAATCAACAAAAGCATTAAAATTTTTATTAAGACTTGATAATTTTTTATTCTTATTCTTTAAAAGAGATTAAACTAATAAATATTTAACTTATAAAGATGAATTTTAATTTGTTATTGTTTTTACTTATTTAAAATACATTTTGATTTAAATAAGGGCTTTGTTAAAAATAAGAAATTACTTTGAGCTATAAATAATTAATTAGATATGCAAAAAGCATTTTTTTTATATTAAAATGAGCAAAATCTCGTTTAATATGTAACTTTAATATTTTTTGATATTATTTTAATGATAATAAAAACTCATTTAAATATTGAAAATATAAAAAGAACAAAAGCATTAAAAGTTTTATTAAGGTTTAATAATTTTTTTTAATTCTTTAAAAGTTTTTAGACTAATAAATAAATAAATATTTTATTTTATAATATTGAGTATTAATTTGGTACTGTTTAGACTTTTAAATTATACTTTTTTATACTAAATAAATAGTTTAATTAGTAATAAAATAGTAAATTAGTTATAATTAATTACAATGCATGTAGTAGGTTTGTTATGATAAATATGAATTAGAGCTTGTTTAATTTGGAACTTTAATATTTTTTGATTTTATTACTTTGTATTTAGTTTTTATTTTTAATTTGTTTTCTATTGAATAATTAAATAAATTTTGATATAATTTCAATTATGAAATAGCTTTTAATTTAAAATTAATTTCAATAGTATCTTCTCTTTATAAAGTATTTTTATGCTTATGCTTATTTTTATTGTTATTGTGTTAAAAAATTGTAATTTTAACAATCCTCAATATTTTTTTTCACAAATAAGCTAATATCAAAAGGAGTAATCTCTGATTTTACAAAGTATCTAGAAGGAGAATTAGGGGTTTTTCTTCCGAGTTACGAAGATGCTAAGTTTCTTTTATAATGTTTGTTATTTGATTTTAAATTAGTTATAGGATCTTTAATTGTAAATTAGCTGTATCTATCTCTTTATAGGCTTGAAGATTGTCTAGATCTATTTTATTCTATAAACATACTTTGATTTAAGCTGACATTTACAAAGTTATTATTCTGACTTTCTTCAGTATTTCTCCTAGTTTCGTATTAACTCAGCCTTATTTCTGGTAATTATGGAACAGATCCTCTTGAATTTATTATGGATATATCCTACTTGTTTACTTTTACAATCTTTCTTAATATAACATCTTCAATAGGCATAACATCTTTAATATGAGATATTTTAATGATCAATTTATCCTGCTCTTAGTATTGATTTATATTTTTGAAATTATTAACATGATAATATCCAAAATTTTTAACATCCTTCAGAACAACATGATCGTTTGAAATAGAATACAATATTCCTTCATATCTAATATCAAACTAACTAACTATTGATATTCTTTGTCCTTTATTAGACATTATGTTTGAAAGAAATTCTATCATGACTCTAAATATAGTTTCTCTCTTTAATTCGTTTAATTTTCTGGCAAATAAATTAATTGATAAATTTTTAATAATCTTACATATGTTTGATGAAATATTTAAGCTAATAAATAAATAATTTATTTTTAGATTAAGTTTTGATCAATCAAATCCAGAAAATATTAATTGTTGCTTACAGTCTATTCTGATTTTACTGAAATGACTTAAATCCATAATTAAATATCTACCACATAAACACTACAATGACTCAAATAATTATCTTTATATTTCCACATATTTATTTCTTTAATGCTATTATTAAATTTTCAATCACATAAAAATGTTTTGAAGTTATTTTAACAAGCCCAAACAAAAATTTTATAAAAAATAGGATTATTAATCTTTTTAAAATGTATTCAATTATTTTAGCTCAATTTATCATAAAATTTCATTCTCAAATTCAATTTCAATCTGAAATTCATAAATTAATACTTTGATTAAATACTCTTTCTGATGAAAAACTTTTCTAAGATAAATTAAATGTAGAAAAAATTATGGTAATAATTTTCCATTTACACAAAACTTAATACAACTAATTATAAACAATAATTTTCAATTCATTTTTTTTTAGGAATTTAACATTAACCATTTTCACATGGCTTATTGCCTGCTAACCTAGCGAATTTACTGCTTAGAGGATGTCTATTTTTAGCAAATAATAAATAAGCTCTATCTGATAAAAATCTAACTCCTCTCCAGCGCATAGGAGCTGCTAACCAACCTAATCCTACAGCTGCCCAAGAGTAATAGTAAGCATCTATTCCTTTAACTATTTCCCCATTATTTAATTTAGCGTGCAGGATTAAATCAAGCTACTATTAAGTTAAATCTTCTCTTGGTGGTTTAAATTCGGGATGATGTATATCTACTAAGTTTAAATTATTTTTTTTATCCATACTTTTAAGCCAGTTCATTTCTTTTGTGCATAAATAACATTTCCCGTCAATATATAATGTAACTGGAAAGTGACTGCATTATTCCTAACTCATTAGACCTTTTTAATAAATTCCTTTACTATATTTGCTTTAAATTTTAATTTTGTATTAATTTATTATTCTTACTTAAACATAAATATTCAATTCAATTCAATTAAATTCAATATAGCTTCATGTCACTTCAAGAACTTTCTCTTTTATATAATGAAATAGAAGCATAAGCTACTGATCAACTATTAAAAAATATATTTTTTATTTGTTAGAAATTTCTACTATTAATTTTTTGAAGATTAAATTTTTAGAAAATGAGAAAACATTTTAAAATCTTTTCTTGCTTTCAAACTTGTTTTCATTTTTTGGAAATTTTAATTGAAAACTTTTTAATAAATTTTTTATTAAGGAATTTGAAAATTATTTTTGAATAGAATCTTTTATTATTTGATTGAATAAAATTTTTAATGTGTTTTTATAAAAGATTAAATATACTATATTTATACACGATAGTAACGATATATAAAAGCAATAAACAATAGTTAATAGATAGAAAAATATACAATTTAAGTGATAATTTAATTAAATTATATAAACAATAATTTATTGTTTTATTTTAAGGGTAAAATATGTTAAATAATTTTTATTAATAAATGAGCTTTGCTCACATGAGTATTTGATATATTTATTTTTTGTAGAGGTTATGTTTGTGGTTATTAGTTTATTTATTTATTTGCTTGGTTATTTAGTTATTTAGTTAGTTAGTTTATAAATTTGAGTAATAATTAAAAATTTTATGTTTTTTGGTTATAGTAAATCTACTTTTATTAATTTTATTATTCAAGAGCTTATTGTTATTTTTACATCTGAAATTTAGTTAGATAATCTGTTTTCTATTTAAAATGCCTTATCATCTTAGATTACATTCCTATTTAAATATATCAGTTTATGCTTTTTTAAATACAATAAATAATATAATTTGTTTACCTTGGACATATTAAATAAAAGCTATTTAATTGATCATAATCCTCTGCTTATTCACAAATGAAATCAATATCGTCTTCAGTGATCTACTAGCATTAAGAAAGACTGATTGACAATCTCTTTAAGTTTTTTAAGTCAAAAAGGAAGGAAACAAGATCATCAAAATCAGTATCAGAAATTTAAATTCTAAATATTTATATGAATGTCATTCTTACTTAGTATTTAAATAAAGTAACATACCTTGATAAAGAGAGAGAAATGGACTCTAAATTCTTGCTATAGATACCTTGTAAAAAATGATTAATTGCACTGAGACTTACTTTTTGTGAACTATATTAATTTAAAAAATAATTAATTAACTATTTATTATTTTAACTTAAAAAAATAAAATTACTTGCTAACATCAAATGATATTTCTTGTAAATTTTTTTTATTTTCAAGAGCATTTTAAATTGCAAAAATCGAGTTATCTGTAAAATTTGTATTTCCTCCAATTGCTAGAAAGAGTTTTTTAATGTTAACTAGTTCATTAAGTTTTTAAGAGAGTTATGACACATTTTCATCATTAATTTAATTGCTATTTTAATTAAAATTTTATTTAAAGTTTTTATCTCTCAAAATATGTTGAATAATTTACGATAAATAGGCCTTAAAATTGTCAACTTCAGGGTTTAATTTGATTAATTCATTTAAATATGTAATAGATATGTTTTTATTGATTCTTAATTTATCTTAGCTTTTGTTACGTTTGATTTCTCTTATTTTTTGTCTTGAAGAATCTTTCAAATCACCTGATTCTACTTTATCAACTTTCTTTGAGCTTTGGTTGCTACCGTTTCCAGAGCTATTGCTACTTGAAATATCATTAGAGCTGCTCATTTCTTCAATATTTTTGTGCATTTATTGAATTTGTTAAGCTTATTCAGAGCTTTCAACAAATATACTTTTTGAAGATTTGAAGTCTGGTTGAGAAAATCTTTATTGCTGAAAAGAATTTGTTTGATTACTCAATACATTTTACTAATTTGCTTCGGATTGATTGCTTTTTTATAATGGCTTTTAGTATTACATTTATTTTCCTACTGATTAAGAGACTTGCTCATTTGAAAAAACTAGATTTTGACTATTTAATAAAACATATTATTTAAAATTTAAAGCTATTTAAAGTAAATTTTGAATCAAAAATTGAAATTCTATGTTACTTAAAAGAAGAGATTTAATTTCTGTAAGAAGAATAATTTTTTTTGGGAATAGTAATAGTATTTTGATTATATTACTAGCTTTATGATTGATTAGACCTTTCTTAAGTTGATATCTTAAGTTAGCTGAGGTTGAGGCTTTCTTCAATTTAATCACAATTAGCTAAGAAATTATATTTTGAACAATCTTAAATATTGTGATATTCTTCTTAGATCTGAGAGTCAAAATTCTCCTTTATATTTTCTTAGTCCTCTAGATTAGGATAGGTTGTATTTATAGTCTTCAATGCTTCTTCTAATTTCATACGAGAGGATTTGCTATAGTTAAGGAAGCCTGCAATAATTTTATCTATTACACCGTCCTAGTACTCTTTCTAATAGATATAGGTTTTGAATAATTTATTAATTTTCCAATCATGGTCACCTTAATCAGCCTCAGAACTGATCGTTCTTATCTCTCTAAATGTAGGTCCTGTGCATCTATTTCATATAATGTGATAGATAAATTTAAAAGTGACAAATGAAGATAATTATTTTTTAGTTATTTACTCTGATCATCATTATTGGCAAAATATTACAAAATAATTTGGAAAACACCCCCAATAATTGAAGTAAAAACTTTCTTTATTAATTTTTTATCTATCTAACTGTATTTAATTTTATTAGCTTATACATTCTCAATATTTAAAATTTATCTATCTCTTTTTTAATTTATTAATTAGCAGACAGACAGAAGTGATAAAATTTTAGAGAGAAATTTAATATTTTATTTATAAAGAATATTTCGAAATTAATCAGATTTGTATCCAGACTTGCTGGAATTAACCTTATTTTTCTATGGTTGGTTGGTTGGTTTAAAATTAAAATAAATCATTTAATTAAATGAGGTTATTGCAAATGATTATTTCAAAAATTTTCATTGTATATTTCTTAAAAATTTTAATGATTTTCTAAATTTGAGTTATTCATTTAATATTTTTTTATTGCTTCATTTTACATAATTTGCAAATAAATATTGTATGCAGATTTCAATAGAATATTTTGTTGAAAAAATATCAGGTGTTTTGTTTGTTTTGAAAAAATATTAATGGTTGATGTTTTTTTAAAATAATGAAAAGTTATTGTTTAAATTTGGATATGATGAATTTATTTTTACCTTAAGAGCATCATTCCGAGAGAGTAAATGTCAGCTATAAAATAATTAAATTTCATATTTGATGAAATCAAATTTTCATTTTACAACTCAGGTGCTTGATATCCAGGAGTAAAATAAGTATTATCTCTAAGAGTAGTAGAATGTTAATGATTTAGTTATTAAGCACTTCCCCAGTCAGTCAAAACATACTCGTTTTATTCTCTAATAAGAACGTTTTCTGGTTTCAAATCTGAATGTACAAGACCTAATCTATGAGCGTATATCAAAGCTGAAATCATCTGCTTTGCAAATATCAATATTTCATAATGAGATAGTTTCTGCTTCTGCTAAAGTATTTTTTCTAAAGAACCTAAAGGGCAATATTCCATAGCTATATATATGCAATTTCCTCTTTAGTGATTCGAGTAAATTTTAATAATATTTTTGATATTCGGGTTTTCATCATTCAATTTTTTAATGCAATTAGCTTCTTGAGTTAAAAAATTTAATGTTGATGGATCATCGCTTTTCATTTTCTTAACTACAATAGGCTATTTTGTGAGATTGCATTGAGTAACGAATATTTGGGAGAATCCTCCTCTTGCAATTAATGTTAATTTGTCTTCAGAAAAATTATCGTCGAAAATAGCAGTTCCTATCATCTTTCTATATTTTTTTCCCTAATAAAGTGCTAAAAGCTATTCAGATCACAAGCGCTTGATTGATAACTGCCTTCTTTAATTATAGATAAATCAATTGGATGGGTAAATGGTTTATTCTATACCCTGAATCCGATTATATTTGTCTTCTCCTAATTCTTTAATTTTTTCTAATTTTTGTTTTAAGTTTGATTTATTAATTGTTAGGAAACTTTCCTATCAAAAAGTTATAAATGCTACTATGAATTCAATATCTTCAAACTCTTTAAGATTGTAAAATAAGTTATTATAAACAAATGTGCGCAGCAAGCTCTTGCTATTAATTCTTATACTTATTGATAGGTAAAATCAGAATAATTTTCGATATATATTAATTTATTAGGTTTAGTTTTCCTGATAAAAAAAATATATATATATTCTTCAGTGCGCAAATGAGTGTTAAACTGAGAAAGATATGGCTTTATTAATCAATTACTATTATTTCTGATTCTAGATTTTTAAAATCTGCAGCATTTTTATCAGGCTATATTTTTAAGATCAAATAAATAAAAACCATGTTTAAAATTCTGAAAATCTGGCTTTTTAAAATAATTATTTTTAATAAAAACCAACTTTATAATAAATATTAAAGTAAATAATGTTGAAGATTATATTGGTGGGGTTTATTATATATTATTAGACACATGAAAGATAGATCAAAATTATTTTCTGTTAATTTCTATTATTTAATAAATTACATCCTAAAAATAAATAGCTGATCATAATATTTTATAAAAATGCTAATTGGTGTATTTCTATTTAAAATTTCATTTCATGTTTGTTGCATTGTTAAATAATCTGAGAGAGTTAGCAAAATCTCTTCATTTTTATTTATTTAATAAATTTGTTCTTTATTTTTATTTAATATTTCTTAGTATTCCTTATAGATTTAATACATATTAAAAATTTTGGTTGATTTCACTTTTTTCATAAAGCTTATAAAAAAACATGGATATTAACGAGTTAACAAAGCAAGTTAGTTAGAACCTGAAGGAAAATATATCTTTGCGTAAAGAAATAAAGGAAGGTTTCAATTCATGGAAAAAGAAGCTTTTTGGATCTAAAAATGAAGATTCTGGTTCAAATGAAAATAATTAAATAGCGCAAAATGAAATTGAACCTTAAAAATAATTTTAAATAACAGAACTGCAAAAGAATTTAGATGTAAGTAATTTAACTAAGCAGCAATTAGAGTCAATAGAGAAGTTAAATGAAGTTTTGCAACAATCCATATAAAATAAGATAAATATCAGTAAAAATATAAACTTTTTTGGATATTAAAAAGTAATTGTTTGAACGTTTATAAAAATAAGGTTTTAAGACTCTTTAGAAATGGTATTTAGTTTTGATGAATGAGCCATCCCTCGGAATGTATTACATTTAAGAACATAATATGAACGTTGTTGAAAATAATGTAGAAGATAAGGTAAATATTTTGGTATATTTGTTAATCAAGCATTGATAAAACAGTTTTTCGAATCTCATTCAGTTTTAATGGTGAGATCAGTGCATTTTATAAAAATAAAAGATTGAATTAATTTAGAATATCGTTTATATAAATTCTTCTACTAATTAGAATAGAAAACTCTATTTTGTTTTAAAATTTGGTATTTCCTTTTTGGTTTTAAAACAACACAGTTTGTACTTTACAAATAATTTTAAGTTCCCATTTTCAAAAAAGTATCAAGATATTGAATTTATTCTTATTTAATTTAAGCACTTAAATATATAGTAATAAATTGTTATCAACCACCAATAAATACATATTTAATTTTAAAAATAGAAAGAACTTAAAAAATTAAATAGAAAGCTATAATACACAACAGAATAACTTTATAATACAAAAAAAGAATTAAAGGACATATCTAAACTAAATGGTGAATGGTCTAATAACATGTCTGAATATATCAATAGGTTAGGAAAAGCTCTATGAATTAAAGCAATTGTGTATTTTCAATGTATATTCTATCTAAAATTTAAAACACTGTTTAAAAATACTTAAGCTCAATTAAATCTAATTTTAACATTTTGAGTTTTTATTAAAAAAAGTATTTCTTTTCAAAAGATTTAATCTTATTTTAAAAAAATAATTTAAAAATAAAATTTTCTTCATTATTTTATAATTGATTTTTAAATTTAATTTGGAGATAATCGAGTAAAAATTTATAATTGTTTTTTTGGCTAATAAAATTTATTTTTACTTGTTTAAACAATAAAAATATAATTAAGCTACTTTAATTTTCTATTTAATTGATTTATTTAAAGGTAATTTTATTGAAATTTTTCTAAAACAGAAATATTTTAGATTGAGTTTTGAAATAAATTTTGTGTTACATTAAGAGATTATATGTATTTATGAATTTCTTCTGCTTTAAGATGTACAAAATTTATTTTTTCTAAGTTAATATCTGGAATTGTTAAGATTATAGTTTATCTTTTTGCATTGTTTTTCAATTTAAAAAAAAATAATTAGTACTTGATTGATTAATTGAAATTTAATTGATTTTTATTTTTATTAAAAACTATTTTTCAAGATAGTAATTTAAACTGCTAAATTCTTTGTGTAAAATGTTATTTTAATGAAGCTATTAGATAAACCAAAATAACATTTTGGTTTTTATTTATTTATTGATTGATTAGTTAATAATATTTGAAACACTAGTTTTTGTTTGAATTTAATTATAAAATTTTTGCTTACAATTTGATAAATTTTTTTTAAGTTTTCTATCAATTAAAATAAATTATCTGAGTAATTCAAAAGCAAATATCTATTTTTATCTAAATGCAAGTAGAAGATAACTAAATAAGAAGACCATTGAATTTTAGGTAGTAAAGACCTAAGACAGCTATTTTAATGAAATAATTTAGGGTAGCTGGTTATCGCCCTAAAACTCCTCTTATTTGTTGTTAGATTTCAAGAGCTGATTGCACATGCTGCAGTAATTATTTATAATCAATACTAAATTCAGATTGATATTTTACAATTCTTTAATAACTGGCTTAAAAAAAAATAGTTGAAAGATAAATATTGCAATAAATATTTTAAAATAATTAGATTAACTAGTATATTCTAATTCAATCATGTGTCTAGATGATGCTTAGCTCAAATAAGATGCTTAAAAATCTTCATATTATTAAACTGGTAAAAAACTATCTGCTTAAAAGGAGGATTTAAAAAGAGTTATAAGAAGCGGAAGTAAAAATAGACTTCACAGAGAGTTGATGTCATAGTAAGGTAAAAGACTAGATCCATATGAATTTATCAATTAAAAATATGAAGAGATAATGCAGGAATACGAGGAAGAAAAGAAGACACCTGAATAAGATAACAAATTGCAAGCCTTTTTGGAATTCGATTTATTGAAAGATTAAACTAATTTTCCTAATACTTTCTAACTAACTTAAAATCAAGAATACAATAAATCAAGGCCGCAGAGTTAAAGAAATAATAAAAATGAATTTTATTACTAATTTGCAAATTAAAATAAAAAGCAAAAATAGAACCAGTAGGAAATGTCTTCTGTAATTATTTCGAAAGTAGTTGATGTTAAGAAGTTGGAAGATAACATGTATTATAGTCCCAGAGATAAAGCAATAAAATAGATATTAAGTAATGCTAAATCCAAATAAGGAATACAAGAAACATAAGAAGTTTTTAGCTATTATGCAAATAACTACTTTTTAATAAACTAAAAAATAGAAAAAAATCGTCCTTAGCCAAAAAACTAAGAGGCAAGTTCTAGTTCAATTTAAAAATTAAATACTTAAAATGACAGCCAATTAAATTAATTGCCTATTTTAATGGAATTAGAAAATTAGGATTATGATTAAACTAAAAAGAAACAAACTATACTAGGAAGTTTAATTAATAAAAATAAAACTCAATAAATTACCTAAGAACCTAGAGTAGAAAATCCATAAAAGGTGTTTTCATTAATACCTAATCTATCCCCGAAATCTTCATTCTAAAATTAAGAAAATGCTTACGAAAAGCGTGCTAATATTAAGTAAAAGTAGCCAAACTATTTTATGTAGCATATGAAGCAAATAAAAAGAGATTAAAATATGGATACTAAAAAGCAAGTGAATTCAATTTAGAGAAAGAATTCTATCTCAACTCCTTAAAAATAACAAAGTATTTCACATAGAAGCTAATAATAATTATCAACAACTAATAAAGAAACAAGCAGGGGTAATATATTACTCACAACAAATGAAACTCTTAAAACAGAAGAGGACTATTTGACAACACCATCAAAATAAAATAAAAGACAGTATCTAAACGATTTTATCAGATCTCCTTATTCTACAGAAGTAATTTTAATTAAATATCTGAATTATCATATTAAATTTTCATGAAACTTTTTAACTAAAATCCTATTTCTTGAAAAATCTTTACAAATGAAAAGTTATAATTTTGAGTATTATTTTTCATTTTAAAAATAGTTTCCTTTAAAAGCTGTAGATAACAATCTCATGTTCAATCAGCATTCACCCTCAATAGATTATCTACAGCAGAGTTACTTAAAAAAAGCAATATCTAGCTATAGAGATTTTAATTCTTAAAAAACATGGAGAATTTCTACACAATATGATGAATAAAATGAAAGGGCAAACCCTTAAATGATACAATAGCAGTAATTAAAACAATAATAGGAAATTGTTAAATGGAATAGAATGCTAAAAAAAGTTAGTGTAAATGGTTTAATGCAATCATCTAACTTACTTAAAAAAGGAAATTAATAAAGCAACTAAGGAAGCTTGACTTCAAGAGAATAAAAAAGAGTTTCGTTTAAATGAAAGAATATTAAAAAACTAAAATTGTGAAAAATAAATTTAAAATATTATTTATATTAGAAAAAGAAAGAAGTAAATTTATGAATGAATAAATAAATGCAAAAATAAAAAATGGATGAATTAAAATTTTATATGAAATTTAATTACAAAAAATAAACAATTTATAAACAAATATATTTAATAAAAATATGGAGAGGATATAGAATATGAAATAGTACAAATTAGATTTAAAAAAATATTTGTAAATGGATTGAATAAGTTAATCAATTTATCATTGATTGATTATTGATTGCTTGCTTTCATCAGACGATTAAACATAAGACAAAAGTTTAGAATAATAATTCACTTAGTTGTCTTAGGATACTTTTACGGAGCTGAAAATAGCAGCTTCTTTCTCTTAATTTAGATAATCCAATAGTAGATTATCTACTAGAAAAACTGTATATAATTATAATTATTATTCTATTATCATGTCTGTCTTATGTTTTTCTATCCAAATCAATTTTTGCGTCTTATAACAACTAAAATGAAATGCTTGGTTACATTAATTTTTTATTAAAATAAATTTATAATTATTTAGCATTATTGAATCCATTTGTATGTATTTTGAATTAAAAATATAATTTTGATGGTTAATAGTGATTCACCTAAATACTTTCGATTTTTTATTAATTATCAATTACTACTAGTTTTCATTCCTCATATAACCATTAGTTCTTTTTATTAAATTTTAATATTACTTCCACTTTCATTCAGCTTGCTCCTAATATCTTAGTATAGTTTACAGAATAAGTTAGAATAGATAAACTAAATTTTCCTTTATTTTTAATAAAGAAAAATTTCAAATGTACTGACTAATTGACTGACTTGGGGGCTGATCATTATTATATTAATTGAAAGAGGAAGGTAAAGCAAGAAAGTAAATTAATAAATTAAAGGCTTTTTTCATTCAAACATAGAAGGGAATACAAAAGAAGAATAGTAGTAGTGATTGATATTGTAATTATATCAAGAAGCAGTTTAAGTATTTTAGACTTCACTATTTAATTGTAATAAAGGTGTATTAATCAATAAAAATTGTGATATTTTTCGGAGCTGTAGACACCGCCCATTTCAGTTCCGCTCTAAATGCAATAGTCTTCCATCAAGAGGTCGTTTTCTGGTCTAGGGAAAAGGAAATTTGGGCAGAAATTGGGAGGTGAGAAGGGAGGAATTTTATATTTTCTTAAACTATATCTGTAGAAACCAACAAAGAAAAAGAGGACACTAGCAGCAAGAACGAGGATGAATCCAAAAGAGAGGCCAAAATAGCTGGTTTCCTTGTTATCAGGAGTAGGAGAAATAACTTTTTCATCTTCTTTTTTTTCTTCTTCAGTTTCTTATTTGGTTTCTTTATTTTCTTCTTAAGGAATAACTTTAGGATCTTCTTAAGGAATAACCTTAGTATCTTCTTCCTTCTTTTCTTCTTTAACAGCTTCTTTGTTTTATTCATCAACCTTTTCTTCCTTAACTGGTTCTTTATTTTAATCACCATTATTTTGTTCTTGAGTTTCGCTTGCATTATTTTATTCTTTAACCTAATCTTTAGCATCAGTAGAATTTGCTTCTTTAGTTTATTATTAAGTATTATCAGGAACAACAGGAGTGACTTCTTCTTTAATTTCTTCCTTTTAAGGAGCAATTTCAGTTTTTTAATTAACTTCAGTGTCTTCTAAGAACCTAGTTGCATTAACGTTGGCTATGCAAAGCATGACCAACAAACTAACTAATAAAAGTTTATTCATTTTGTCTTATGATTTTTCAAAGAGATTTTCAATTTTATTTTTTATTTAATTAATTAATTATTTATTTATTTTAGCTAATCCTGATATTTAACAATTAACTTTGATTAATTTTCTTAATAGAAAATTTATAAAAATTCACACTTTCATATAAAAAAATAAATACTCTATTTTCCATACTACTTCACATCATTTTTGATTGATATGCTAGCTTGCACCTTTATTTTCAATCAATAGTTAATTCATTTTTTCTCAAAGAGCATACATACATATGCATAAATAAATAAATACATACTATCTATATTTTTGATTTATCTTTATTTTAGTGATATCTAACTTTAAATTTTTCTAATTTTTTCTTTGAATGTATGTACTTACAAGATAATAACCTCAATTTAAGTTAAAATAAAATAAATTGAAAGAAAAAGATAAAAGTAAGTAATACTTCATATAAGATAGTTCTATCACTCACAATCTAATTAAAATCTATATCTCTTAGTCAATCTCTAGTTTTCACTTAGCCCTTAACAATTAATATCTATTAAATACCTATTAACTATAATTTAATAAATCTATTTCATTATTTTCTCTTTAAATCTATATTTATTTTCAAGCTCTATTTTACAATAGACAATTTCTTCATATTATCTTCAATACTTTCGCCTTAAAATAAGATCATTCCTTCAAATTTTTTTTTAATTCAGTTTCAGATGACTGTTTCTGTAAATATTTTTAACTTTTTTATTTTTCAAAAATTCTTCCTTACTCCTTTTTTTACTTTTTATTTTAATAGATAGATAAATTTGAATGTTTCTATTTGGTATTGGTTTTGGATAAATAAACAATAATTTTTATATCATTCATAATGACAAACAATTTAAATATTATTTTCTATTAATTTTTTAAACTAAAAAAATACATTTTCTATTATTTCAGTAATTCGAAGAATATATTTAATCTAAAATGAAGGTTTTGTGTAAATTCATAAATATTTTTATTTTAAGAATATTCTAAAGTGTATCCAGCTCTCAATATAATCATGCTAATTATGAAAAATTAAAAAAAAATAAATAAATTTTTAATATTACACAAATATCCAAATCTAAATAAATATACTTATCTTAATTATTAATAATTTATTTTTCATTTTTCTAAAGCTCTTAAAATTTATAAATCTTAGCTAAATAACTGAAGCAATTAGCTTTTAGTTAGATCTTTATTAGTCATTTAAATTAATTTAAGTAATTATAAAAATCATTATTTCTTTGTTAAGAAGTCACTAATCATTGATTTAATTTAAAAATCTTTGATTAAAGTAGAATTATATGATTGCTGCTATTAAAATTTGAATAATTTTTTAATCTCAAAATATAAAAGTTGAAATAATGTTTTTATATTATAATTTGTTATTTTATAAACGAAAATTTGTAATAGACAATTACAAAAATCGAGTATTTCAAATTATATAATATTGATTTTTATTAAACTTTTGATAAACATTCAATGTATAAATCAGGCTAACACATTTATTATTAAATCCTTTAATTCACTAAATTGATCAAAAATATTTCCCTTTATTAATTAGTACTTTTTTATGAAATAAGAAGAATAAAATTAAGTATATTAAATTCTTTAAAGTCTAAAATATAAACAACTTTATTTTCATTACTTAATTCTCTTGATCAATTTATTAGGATAGCAACTTTTAATTTAGGTTAATCTTTATATTCAAAAAAATGAAAAGTATTATTTTCTTTCAATAAAAATTTTTATTTTATTAAAGTATGATTATATGTATTAAAAAATTAATACAATTATTTATAATATCTTTGAAATATTCATTTGATGTCTATAGAGATACAAAGAGATTAATATCAAAGTTTACAAGTATAAAAAGTTTATAAAGGAATTACAAAATTAAGTTCATTTTATACACAATTAATATAAGGTAATGTAATTAATTATAACTATATTTTTATTATTTAACCATTTTAAGTTTTGAAACTTTTTGTGTAATTAAATTTATTTATTTATTATTCACTTACTCTCATTTAATTAATCAGTTTTTTGTTACATATTTTGGCATTTTCAGACATACATTTTGTTATTAGATTAGATTTTAGTCAGGATGAGGTCTTCTTGCATTTTTATTGAAAGTTATTTTTTATACACTAGGCTGAGTAGCTGAATCTTAGCTGTTTTAAGATTGAGAATTTAGTTATGATTTGACTGCATCATTAATATTTCCAATTATTGTTTGATCCAAATCTATGTTTGTCTTTTAGATAGTTTATTAGTAGTTAAGTTAGTTAGTTGATTAGGCATTGTTCTCTTATATTTAGTTTTTGATTAAGTTACATTCTGTTTAATTGTTTGCTTGTATTATATTTTTGTTTTTATTGTCACTGTTATTTTACTATATTGGTTGTAGATTAAAGAAATTTAGCTTTTATCTAGCTTGTGATAAGGATTGCAGACGAAAATCAGCTGTGAATCTTTTCTTTTTATCTGGACTGCTTTCTATTGTTAATTTAGAATCACTATTTGGGTGACTATGTCTTTCTTTACTGCAAGAAGTGCATTTATCTTTGATTCTAGATTCACTTAATTTATATCCACTACTATTGCTAGAATTAAAAATTTTAGTATTAATAGGAGAATTTACATTTTTAGGGTTTTCTTAGTTAAATAAGAAATTTTATTGGCTTTTTTGTGGGCTTTCATAAGAGAAAAGACTTGAGTTAATTTAAGATTGTTCTTTAATTAGCTTTTTGTTACTCAAAGAATTTTTATAATCAGAGTTTGATGTTCTAATTCTACCGCGAAGTAGGCTGCTATTTTATGAGAATGCAGAACAGTTTGAGTTAGTTAAATTAGAATTAGTCTGTTTTTATTTAGCAAAAGAAAATATATCTTCATGTATATAATCACCATTTAATTTTTAGTTTTTTTTAAGACCACTATTCTAGCTATTCTGCTGGTTGCTTAATTATTTTATCTAGTTTATTTAATCTTATGTGTACAATATAGTTTTCATCTCTTCTAAATTCTAATTATTTGGTTGGTCGACAGAGACTATCATATCTCTTTCTGGTGAATCGCTATTTATTTCCCTCTTTGATCCGAATGAGAATTTCAAGTGATGATCATTTTTTTAGATAAAGTTATTTTAGCTATTCAATTTTTGTTTATCAATAAAGACTGTATTTTATTTTTGCTACTGGTCATCATCATCAGCTTTATATTTCTATTAAAATTAGCTGTATAATCTTGTGCTCATTTGATTGATATCTTGTTCAGTCATTTTATTATTTCTCTCATTTTTATTTTATTTTTCATCAGAAAAAATATTTTACTAAGGGCTTAGTCCAGCTAAGTCAGTATAAAATTTTAATTTGTCCTTTACTTTTACAGTATTTAAGATTTCACTTTTATCAGTAAAATGAGGATTTGGAATATTTTAAAATGAATTAGAATTAGTAGAGCTGTTATTTTCTATAGGAAAATTATGAGTGTCCCTTTGAGTATCAGCATTCATAAGTCTCAATTTTTCATTTAAATTCTGAATTTCTTGCTCTTTTTCTGCTAGCTTTTCTTAAAGTTTATCAACCAGTTCTATCTTGCTAAAGAAGTATTCATTAATCTTGCTCTCAAATTCTTTTTTCCTTTTACTGATAATATTTCTTCCATCAGATATTATTTGCACAACTTGAATTTAATTTAAGATAAATGCTATTTTTATTTTTCCTTTACAAGATTTACAGCAAAAGTTTTTCTTACTTTGTAACGATCTAAAGCATGTTTCATGGATCATATGTCCACACTCATTCATAACAATACATTCTTTTACAGCCTAAAGAGTTTGATGGCACTCCTAACATACCTCTTATTTATTACAAAGCCTATCTATTAAGGCATATCCTTGGTTTAATATCATCTGCTTTATTATTTGTTTAGCTATTGCTTCTATTAGTTATTTGTAATAAGAGCCTATAAAAAGTATATATTACCCTTTTTGAGCTTTTAAGAGTAACTCTTTAAGATTTTATGAAAATAAAGAAATTAAGATTGTTTCCAAAATCTTACTTAACCTTCTGATAAATTTGTTTATACAGATTAAGCCGCTAGAAAAATTTTTGGCTGTATTTCAGAGTTTTTTGAAAAAACAAGAAAGTTTAAAAGATTTTGTGTTGTGTGAGTGATAAAATTTTTATGAATTTTTCACAAAATTTTATTAATCAGTTTTCAAATTTAATTTGCAAACACAACGAATCTAATTATTTTCCGCTAAGATTTCTAAGACATTCGCAAACACACACTCGCACATACACATTTTCTTATCGATAGATTTAGTGCATTTTTAATTAATTTAATAAACGAATCTAATAAGAAAAATATTATAAAATATTAAAAATATATTGTTAAATTTTTATTTTTAAATAATTTCTATTTTATTATTTAAATCTAATAAATTTTCACATTGAACTAAACAAATATTTAACAATTTTTTTTTTTTAAATTTTAAATTGAATATTTTATTAAATTAATTAAATAATGGTTTTAAAATAAAATAATTTCAAATAACTTACTATTCAAAATTAAAAAATAATTTTTTATAAAAATAAAATACTAAAATTAATTTATTTAAAATGCTTCAAAAATTAAAATAAATTAAAATTAAAAATTAAATATAAAATAAAATTTATTTTTTGAATTATATACAAATTTTAATTTATAACTTAAAAAAAGATTTGATAAATCGATAAAAAAATAATATTTTTATAAAATTAAAATTTTAACCAACAATCCTTCATGTTAAATAACTGGTAGCAATTGTATGTATTTTTTAATATGCTAGATAAATTTAAAATAAATTTCAAACTAATCTCACAACCCCTTAATTTTAATAATTTTATCAAAGAAAGCCCTTTAAATATTAAGATTTCTAAGAAATGAGAAAATGCACTCACAATCATCTCAATATAAATTTAGGGCGTTTTTCACTAAATTAGTAAATTAAATGAAAAAAATATTTTAAAATTATTCTAATTAAAATTAAATGAAAAATAAAATATATTTTATTGAGTTATTAACTGTACAAATTTATTATTAAAAAGAAGTTAAAATAAATCTATAAAAAATTAATTATTTATGAATATTAAATCAAAATGATGAAACCTATAAATCTTAATTTAAAGAAAGAAAATCCTTTAAATAATAAAAATATACAAATATAGCTAATTGTTTAAGCAAATTAAAATAGATTGTAGAATAGAAAAAAAAAAGTTAATGGAATGATAATATTCTAAGTTAAAAAATATTTAAATTAATTATAAATAAATAGATTTATGTATTTATTCATGCATTTAATTATAGTTTTAAGCTCGATTAAGTATTTTTTTTATAATCAATTAAATGTAATTATTTTATATAAAAATTATAAAATATAATTGATACTGTCTCTAATTAAATCAAATTTAATTATTTACTAAATTAATATTTATTACTGATTAAGAGAATAAATACGAAAGGCTTTATAATATTGTTAAATGGAAGAGTAAGAATACCCATAGTTGAAACCTGAGGATATAGATTAGTTTATTTTTAGAGTTTTAAATAAATAGCTTGATAGCTTTTAGTATCTAAAAATGCTTGAAGGCTTTATTTATTAATTTGATAGTGAGATGAGGCCACCTCTTGATTACATTGCTGAAAAAGACTTTGAATTTGTTCTGCTTCTATAAAATTAGCTATCAATAATTGAAATTTTAACAGAATATAAAATCCTTATAGTGAATGTTCTCTGCAATATTTTTTCATTAAGTCCTTTTGCAGCAGAGTTTTTTTGCTAAAATGGAGGAATTTCCCAATTAAATTAATTATGCGAAAAATTATTGCAAACAGATTTTGACAAAGCAAATTTTCGTCGCTTAAGTGATATAGTTTTAGCTTGTATTGGGATATGTCTAGAATATTAGCCTGAAATGAGTTTAATTTCATTTTAGAGCAACAGTTGGATATTTTAACTTTTTAATATTTACTAAAAACCAGCTTAATACAGAAGTTTAGCTAACTATATATCTCTTCTTATTTCAAATTCTCCTTAGGATTAAAGTAGAGTAATCACACCCTAAATTAGTTAAATATTTGTTAATTTACTAAACTTTTATGATCCTATAATATACGCCTTTATTCTAAAAACACTTAAAAACATCAAAGATAAAGAAACACTATTGTTTTTGGTAAAGCAAAACATTATTTTGATTCTCTCTAATTATCTTATATCTATCTAAACGTAAAGACCTAGAGACCGTTCTCTTATTTTATAATTTCTTTTTGTTCTATCAACTCACTCAGAAATTCTCCCTTACTTTTCATAAGCATAGTTTTCAGCTGATAAAGTTATGAAACTCACTTTTTTTTTCCAATCAAGTAATGTAATCGTCCCCAGAAATTCAAGCAGCTCTCAAATAAATAAGAAAGATGATGACTCTAACAGTATTATTCTTTTACTAGGGATTGTTTAGAACCTTATAAAATAAGAGTTTAATTAAGAATTTTTTACTGTTTTGAATCAAATAACATAAATTTAATGTAGAAATTTTTCAGTTATTGAAAGTGTATTGAGCTTAATCAAAAGCCTACTTGAAGATAAAAGCTAGAGTAATGCTCTACTTATCTTTAATTTTTTAAAACAGATTCTTCTAAGCAATATCTAAACTAAAGTATATCTACAGAACAATGTAAAATTTAAATAAAATATTTTATCAATAATTTCCTCACTTGCAAACTATGATCCAAGTAATAATGAACTGTAAGTTTGGTATTAAGAAATATCGAGCATTTAGCAAGAATTTCCACCATAATCAGAAGATATGGAAAATGATGAAATTGATAATTTAGCAGATATACTAGCAAATATGGATTTAACAGAAAATGATTTTAATAAAACAAAAATGAAATGAATAAGTAATTACTTTGATAATCAAATAAACCTATTTTTATTCAATTGTAAAAAAATAATAAAAAGTGTTTCTTTTTTGTGTGAAAGTAGTAGTAATAAATAAACATATTTTATTTTTTAAACTTAGTGTTAAAGCATTAAAAAAAGTGTAAATTGGTAAATTGAGAAATATTTTATAATATAAAAGGAAGGAGGCAGTAAAAATGTTAAATTAATAAAAGAAAAGAAATCTAATATTAAAATAAGCAATTTAATACATTAAATTAAGAACCTAAACAAATTAAAAAAAAAGATGTTAATTCTCATTTATTCTTTTAACTAATAACATTAATAAGTTAATAAGATTACAGATAAAATATTAAGAATTTTGTTTATAAAATTTTCATATAAAATATTAAGAGATTTTATTTATTTAATATGCTTATTGTATAAAAAAGTTTGATAATTCGTTGTTATTTTGAATATTTATTTATTCTAGATTAAGATTTTATATAAAATAATATTAAAAGTGTATGAAATAAATTTAAATAATAAATTGTGAGCTTTGTTTGTTTTAGTTACTTTTATTTTAATTAATTTGTAATTTTTATTTTTAATTGGATAATAATTTTTTTTGTAATGTATTTCCTAATTTTTTAACACTTTAAGCAGGGGTATACACCAGTGCAGGGAAGTGATTTAATTCAAAAATTTACAAAAAAAAACTAAATTTACACACCGACAGATAAATAGACAAATTATATTTAAAATTAAATTAAAATAAATTTATTTTTTAATTATAAATTTTTTATAATTTATTTATTATGTTTATAAGGAAATTCTTAGAAAATAAAGAAGGTTTTTCTTTTCATATAGATTTGAATGAAATATGAACATAAACTTTCTTTTTGTGTTTCAATTTGAAAAATTTAATTAAATTTTATTAATTAAAAAAATATATAATTATTTTGCAAAAAAAAATAAAATACTCTGCTTAACTTAAAAGCAAATGTATATCAGATTTAAAAAAAAAAACATTTAGAACACCATTTAATGATTTTTTATATAATTATTTTAAAATCTTAAACAGAAATATTTTATTTAAGTTAAAATTTGTTTAACTATTACAATATATTTAGTAAAAATATTGATTATCTATTCAAATAAATAATTAATCTAATTATTTATAGATTTAGATATTTATTTATAATTCATATTTTACTTTATAAACAAATTGTTGAATTATATATTTTTAGTAATTAGTTTTATAGTTATAAAATTTTATTATAATTTCTTTATCAATTTTGGTCAAAATAGTCTAATTTTATATTTTTAAAAATTTAATAAAGATTATTTAAATAGATAGCTATTAAATCAAACAAATTATTAAAATTTAATTTGATTTTACTTCTTTACTTGAATAGATTTTATAGAAATTTTATTTAATAAAAAGAAAACTTCAATTTTAATTTGAAAATTTCAAAGATTTATCTATGTTTTTTGATTTTAGTTTATTTTTTATTAAAAATTGATAAACAAACAAAATACAATATTTATTTTTAGAATTCCATATAAAAATATTTTGAATATTGTAAGCATTAACTTTAAATAAATAATTTATAAATCATTTATAATAAGATTCTTGAACAAAAATCTATTTATTAATTATAGGTTTATGAATATTATTGAATTTGTTAAAAATAATTAGAGATATTTAGTTAAATGATATATCCTTTCTAGGAAAAGAATGATTGCATATGTAAAATGAACCAGATTAGAAACAAATACTTATGTATGGATACACACTTTAAAATAAGTTGAATTCTTAATAAGCAATTTTAGTTTAAAATAATAATTAATCTAACGAATCCAACATTCTGTTGTAATTCTTTTGAATGACTTAATTTTGCTATTATTAATTACAACAGATGATTAGAAATATAAACTAAATCTTATTTTTCAATGAAATATCCAGTTGTTTGTTTTGCTATTGGTTGATTTATGCGAAAAGATCATTTCTCAAAGACCAAGTTGTTAGAATTGAGGAACAGGTCTAGCATAAGGAGAACCAACGAAATGTTCGGGGAAAAACTTCTTTTGAATACCATAGGCGGCATTTAATTCGACACAGGTCTTGAAGTAGTATTAAGCATCCTATTTTGATATAAATTAATTAGTTAATTATTTATTTATTTCTTAAATTAATTTTATATTTTTTATGTTTTATTCGCAAATAATAAGCAAGCAATAGTTTATTTATTGGTAGGCATGCTAAATAAATATATTAATATCTCTTTCAAACTACAAAACAATATCTTTGCTTTTTATTATTTTTTGGTATTTCTACAGATATGAATTTATAACTTTCATTTAAAGACCCAAAATTTAGCTAATTCTATTATGTTTTTTTGTTTATATTAGAGGATTTAACAATAGTTATTCATGTATTTTGCATTTTGCCAAATCTTTTTTTATTCTAGATTAAATCTTTTGAATATTTAAGAATTGCAGGATTGATTTTTTCAAAGCTATTTATCTAATGTTGATAAGAATATTCACAAAATAAGTTATTTTAAGCTTGCATGCTTAAACTATTTGCTAATTTTCTAATTAATTTAAATGTAATGCTAATCTTGTTCTTGGTTATTGTTTAAAATCATTCATTTTTATTGTATGTAAATTATTACGAGGCATTCTGGTCTGTAGAAGTCCTTGAATAAGCCATATTAATTCATGCAATGAATAGTCATTCTTTCATATAAGTGACAAGCAATCAATTAGTGAGCCTATATTTTAAATAATAATAATTTTTAAAGAGACCAAAGTATTAACTTATATCATCTTCTATATATTTTGAGTTCTGATATTATGAAATTATGTTGATTTATACCTTGTATTCAACGAAATCGAACTTGAGTTCAGCCAATTTACCAAGGTGGTTAACAGGTAAAGTCTTAAGGTTAGCCTTGTTTCTGTATTAATATTCTATTAATTTAAAAAATGATTGATAAAACTCTTAATTTGAAATATCTATTTTTATTGGCTTTGAAATATATTTTTTTATTATATTATGCTAAAAACTATTTTAGATTTTCAACATGATTATCGATTAATTGATTGCTCATAATATCTGCAGCAAATTATCCAAAAATGATTTGATTTAGAGAAAAGTACTCAACTAAAATTATTCAACCAATTAAAACCTATTTATACGCTTTTTCCTTTTATTTACATGTCTGATAATTGCTGTATTTTTATTTGCCTATTTGGCGTTCAATAAATTAATTTTAATCTATTACCAGAAGCTTCCCAAGTTTCAGCAAAGATAGTCATTTCTTTTCTTTGATATAAATATTTCTTTCTTTTTTAATCTTTTTTTTATTAATAAATTTTCTCTTCTTCTTGTTTTTATTTATTTAATTAATTAATTTACTTTCTTTTTTCCTTTGATTCTTCCTCCTCTTCCCCTTCTTTTTCCTTTTTCCTTTTATTTTATATGAATCCTTCCATCTAATTTTATTAGTTTTTTATTAATTGATTGCATCTTTAAATAAAATACTAAACCCTATGTTTTCATTCAATATTTCTTATTTCTTTCATATTTTACAAGCAAATTTTAGCTCAATCTCTCTTTCATTCATTCATTTTATTAATTGATATTTATTTATTAATAATACAATTAATTGAATTTTGTTAACATATCAAATCAACTTGCATTATTTTAATGGATTTCAACTTAAAATCTTAAAATGCATCCTGATGATACAGTTTAAAAGATATAATTTGCTGCTGCAATATCATTCTTTATGAGATATAAATCAATTTGAAAAAAATAAAAAAATATCCTTAGACTCTCTTTATAATTTTGAATTTATTTATTATCAGATAAAATAAAAGATATTTTATTTTTTTTATTTTAAAACAATATATAACCAGAATAAATTTATTTATTCATTTTATTTATTTATTTATGCTTTATAAATATAATAATGAAAATATTAAAAATTAATAGAAATAAGCTAATGAATTATTTTATTAATTCAATTATTATCATTTTAAAACATTAAAACTAATACTTAAAATTAAACATAATTACTAAATGAATTTTAGATGAATGAATTAGATACTTAAAAGGTACTTACTTTTCTGTTTGTTTTTAAATTACTATTTTTTAATTTAATTTAAATTAACTTAAGATAAATATTTTTCATTGATTTTGCTTAATTTAATAAAAAAATAACAAATATATTGATTGATTGCATTTTGTTTTATGTTTTTATAATTTGGTGCTAAAAAGATTCAGACAAATCAGCAAACAAGCAAGAAGTATATAATTATATACAATAATGAAAGTTTTTATAATATTATCAATTAATTATTTAAAAAATAAATAAATAAATTAATTTAAATTTATGATTTATCTATTGGATCATAACGAATAAATTAATTTATTATATTTAAATTTTTCTTTTGAATTATTCAATTTATTATATTTTTAATTTATATTTATTTTTTAGTGTTTAGGTTATATTTTAAGCTAATAATATATAAGAATATTCTATTTTCAATTCATTTTATCAGATAGATTCAAAGATTCTTGAAAAAAGCTTCATCATCTTCGTCATCATTATCAAAATTATATTGCTAAATTTCTTGAGCCTTGAAAGGACTCTTTTCTTTTTTCTTTTACTTTTCTTTCAAGTCTTTGGATTCCTTTTCTTCTCTTTATCTATCCAGTTCAAAATCTTTGGAGTACTCACTATCAGCGCTTTCATCAACATCTGGTATCAAACTTTTACTATTTTCTTCTGTTTTTTTTCTATTATCTGGTTTCGAGTTATTGATTTATGATTTATTTTTTGTCATATTGCCTTTTTGCTGTTAAGTTTATAAATCCTACTTCTTTTCTTAGGCTTTACCCCCTACTAATTCATTTAAATTGTTGAATTCTTTCTACAATATATCGTTTACTTCTTTTTCTTCTTATTCAAATTTTTAAATTAAAGAGCCTCCTTAGATTTTAGAAACTTCATTATTTTTTTGCGATTAGCTCTGCTCTTTTCTTTTTTTCATATTTATAGTTACTTGGGTCTAGCTATTTACTGGACTTTATAGCTTTTATTACTATTAATTATTTTTAGAAAATCTACCTCCAGTGCTTTTATCTTCTGTTCCTTCTATATGACCATCATCTGTTTTTGAATGAGTCTTGTCTACTTCTTCGCTTGCTTTTTCATTTACTTCTAAAACACTCTCTTCTTCCTCTTTATCATCTTACTCAATTGTTTTTATAGGATTTTAACTCTATTCTTGGTCACTTTCTTTTGCCTGAGAATTCAGCTTTGGCTTGTTTTTATGCAGAAAAACGCATATTACTGTTATATCATCAACAACATCATCATGCTTTTTTCAAATTATATGAATTTTTATAAAAGCAATAAAAAATTTTAATAAAATAAATTACTTATTTCCAAAATTGAGTTGATTCCTTTACAAGCTTTTAGCAAGCCATATCAGGTTATTATCTTATATAGTATGGCATCACGTGCACCATTACCTATTTTATTATTTAAAATTTTATAAACAAAAAAAGTTAAGCTTTATTATTTAAATACCTGTCTGTTATTTAGAAATTCCCAAACACCATCAGATGCTATAACAATAAACCTGTCATCGTCTTCTATGTTGAAAAACTTTATTTCTATATAAATTATTTTATTATATGCCTGAAATATAAAAAAATTTTACCTGGTTCACAGATAACACCACACTAAGCAGCAATTAAATCACCGAAGCTTCTTGACATTGCCAAACCAGGAATATCATCATATTTCATCCAAACTCTAGCAGGGCCAACAGGATCACCATTGTAATCTCTATAAGAATCGACTCTTCCACCACAAGCTTCGATTCTTTTTTTCTCTTCAGGATCATCTGCTTTATGATCATTTGAGAGAGGTTCTGCATTCCAAAGAGCCTTTGTTTATTTACATAAAATAGCTCTAGAATCTCCTGTATTTGCACACCAAATTTTATCATCGATCATAAGTACACAAACAAAAGTACTTCCACTGAAAGTGCAATCGATTTTACTTTCTAGAAGCTTTTAAGAAAGCTGTAAAAAAGCTAGTTTTAAACAGCTTGAAATGTATTCTTAGTCTAAGCACATCAAATCCTTTGCTAGAAGTGCTTCTAAAATTTCTAATTTTAAACAAAGTAAATTATTAAAAATAAAAGGCTAATTTACTTCTAATATTAAATATAATGAATTGATAAATTTTTCTATTACTTGGAAATGTTTTTTTGATAAATTCAGAAACTTCATGCCCATTAACGCCATGTCCGTCACATACACTGAAGAGATAGCGATTAGACATTTTATTTAAATTAGGATGGATGATAAAATTATCTTAGTTTTTTTTTGGACCTTAATAATTACATCCTGCTTTACTCCTATGTGCATAGTGACTGACGTACAGAGGCCCATTTTTGGTTAACTTTTCATCTATTTCTTCCTTTGAATGACTGTTATTGCTTGAAGCGTTATGTTGATTTAAATTATTAGTGCTGTTGGTATTTTAGTATGTTTGCCTATCTAACAATCTTAATTGTTTTTACTAAAGTGATTGTATAGAATTCTTTTTCGGACCTAGCTTTGTTGAAAAAGCAGTTAATCCAAAAGATTATTAAATAGATGCAGATGTTGTTTAAGGAGTTATCTATAAAGATGGTGCAGATGCATTTGCCTTCAAACCTAAGACTCCTCCATTCTATTTTGGAGTGTTAGAACGAAGACTTTTGAAGTTGGTAGCAGCTTAACCTCCTCCGTATATTTTATTTAGCTCTTCGTCTTTTTTACTGGCTTCCTTTGTTTAATTTTGCTAAATTACATTTGAACCAGCGCTTTAAGGATTTTAATTTTCACTAGGTGGAGTTCCTGACTTTTAATCAAAAAAGTTTGTTATATCTTTGGAATTTTTATATTGTTTAAAACGATCTTTTATTCTTTCCAAATCAGGGTCTTTGTCATTTTTTTTTGAAGTATTTTTATCATCCTCCTACCCATTTTCATTGCTTCCCATGTGCGAGTCAACAAAATTGTTTAGTTTCTACTGATTTTTTTGATTCTTGTCCTTAGCTCTATAAATATAAACAAATTATTTTTGAATTAATAATCTTCAAACATAAAAATATTGACTAAAATAAAGGAATATAATTTTATTTTATTTTAATTTAAAGTCATACTTTCCACTTAATGGTGCAGCTGAAAGCTTAGGTAAACGGATATTTGCTAATTACTTTTTCATATCTAAATCATTGTCTTAAACTCGATTTAAAGTTGAGGAAGGATTAAACTATATATTTAGAACATTAGTGTTGCTATTTCCTAAACCAAATTAATTATTTTTTTCATTGTTGTTTTCATTTTCTGCGTTTTCATTGCTATCTCCTGTAATTTTATTTCCATTGCTACTCAATTAAAAGTTCTTAAAACTTTTAAGCTACCCAGATTACTATTTAACTTTTATTCCTTTTTACAGACTTTAGCTTTTCTACATTTTTGCGTTTTTATTTAACTATTATCCTTGCATTTGCTAACTTGCTGCCATAGTATTATTATTTATACTTATTGCATTCAATAAATTCTCTTAGCCCAAATGCTTTAATTGGCTTTAAGACACTTTTTATATATTAAAGGTTATTAAAATGCTTAAAAAAAATAATAAGTATAATAAAATGTAAATTACTTTTGTTGTCAATATGTGTGCTATTATTCTTGACTGAAAAGTTTCTAATAGTCTAAGCAGACTGAGGTTGCTGCATTAGGAATTTCTACTAAGAATTTTATGTCAACAAACCCAATCCATTTTAAGATTGACCATTGCTTTAATAAATGCCTTATTAAGAAGTAGATGGCTTTATTTAACTGATAATATTTGAACGGTAAATTTGGTTCAATTCTTTTTCTTTGTAATCATTTTAACTTATTTTCTTAGGTTATCCATCTTAAGATGGGCTTAAAGCTGCTAACCTCGAATTTCTCATTAGGAGCTCTTTTTAAATTGCTATACTTAATTATAACTTAATTTGAATTCTAATATTTCCTATTTACTTGTTATTTTTCTTTTCTAAAATGTTTGCAGCAAAATTTAATTAATGAATGATTATTGTTGATTGTTCCATTCAAAACATACAAAATTTTACAAAAAAAAAAAAAAACAGAGTTGCTCATAAATGAAATCTATATATAAATTAGAATCTAACATTATTAAACTTAGTTTTTAAATTAAAAAAATGCTAGCAATTAAGTTTTAAATGAAACTCAATCAAAAATCAAAAATGTTTAAAATTTTAAATATGCAAATATTGAAATGTTAAGAATAAATAATAAAATTAATTTAAAAGTTAAATTAATTATATTTATTTTACTATTTTTACTGTGAGCCAATCTATTCTTAAAATTATTTTAATAGTTATTTTATTATTAATTAAATAACAGTTTCATTTTTTATCATAATCATACAAAAAGTAGTCTTTAATTAAATTTAAAATGTTTTTCTGAAACAAAAATAACAAATAAATTAAAACAGATCTATTTTCATAAATATTTAATATTTTGAAATAATCCCTCTCAAAAATTTTTTAATTTTAAATAAGTAAAGGCAAAGTCATTAAATTGTAAATAATTTAATTAAATTATATTGATTTATATATTAAAAATAGAAACAAAGGCAAAATAAAATTAAATATTCATTATTCATTTTTTTCTTTCATATTTATAGAAATAATTTTAAAATAAATTTTTACATTATAATTTATTTATTTATTATTTTCCACTAAAAGTTGTTTAAAATGTGAATAGAAAAATATTATTCCTAATATATTGAAAAATTTCATAAAAATGATAAGCCACTACAGATTATAAAAGCTGCTTAAAAATTTTATTCTTAAGATTTTTAAAAGTTAAAAATATGGAAATTATATCTAAAGATTTATTTTTAAATATAGTTTATGATTATTATTAAATAATTATTAATTATTTCCCAAAATGAAAAATGTTTTAACTTTAATTAAACTTATCTCAAATTATAAAGTTAACATTTTCATTTTTTATGTTTAAAAGATTTTTCATATTGTTTTTTTAATGGTTAAGAAAATGAAATTCAATTTTATTCTTTTATTTTAAGGTAAATGTTTGTTTTTTAAAATTTTTGAATGTAATAAAATTTAATTTTTATTAAAATATAATTAAATTAGATTTTTGTTTTCTTCAAAAACTAGATTTTAAATAAAAATAGTAAAAATGATATATTTTGTGGTATTTTAAGATTTGTTTTCTGATTATAATTTGAATTATAGATTTAATGTTTTTATTTAGCTTAACTTTTTCTCAAATCTTAAATAAAAAATAGACAGACAGTCGAATTTTAATAAATTACATTAATATTAAGTAAAATTTACAGTCATTTAGATGTAAATACTAATTAATTATCACGAATTCATCGACTCTTTCACTTTTTCATAAAATTTATTTTACGTCAAAACTGTAAGAGTTTAGCACAGAACTTTAAGAAACAAGTGTAAAAAATATTAAAAATGTTTTTATTCCTAAATTTAATTTTTCAAAAAAATAAAATTTAATATCAAAATAGTATAAATAATCATAAAATTACTTAATATTTTAATTTTTCTAAGAAATAAAATTTAATTTTCTGTAAAACTTTTTATTTTCTTAATAAAAACTGATAGATTAATAATTAAATTATTAAATTTAGATTGATTACAAATACAAATCAAATAGTATATAGCCTGCAAATAGTTTCTAATTTATTATATTCTCCTTGTATAAATATGTAAACTACAATCATTTTTACTTTTTGTCTTAAAGTATCTGTCTAAAAAAAAAATATAAAAAATCTGATGGTTATTTATTAAGTCAAAACGCATTGAATTCGAAAGTATTATTTTTTAATTATTGTAACAATATTTTGACAATAGGTGGTTACTTTTTAATAAATTTAACTTTTTGATAGATTCACAAGTAATTAAAATGAACACATTTTTGGATTTTTTCCAGATATTTTGTCTAAACATAAATAATTAAAAGCATACATTTTTTAAATTATTTTACTAGTTAAATTCTATTTTTAAAAGACTAAATGTAGAAAATAAGTTATTATTTAATATATATTTTGATCAACAAGTGAAATTTATTGATATCTTAGTTTTTATCATATTTTTAACCTAATTTGTTTTTAGAAACAATTTTCATGTAATTTGACTGATTAACATAAGTTAGGTAAGATTTTATTTTAAAGATACTTTTCTAAATTAATCTATCCACAAGATTTTTGTGTTCGTTCCCTTAATTGCTTATCGTGTTATCTTATTTCGATTAAAAATACAATTTTTATATAAAGCACTTGAATCTATCGAATACATGATTTGTTGTAAGTAAATTAAAAAGATAAATTAAAAAAATGCCATTTACAAGTTTAGAAAAGAAAATGAAAAAAATTGTTAAAGATTTCAAAAAAAATAAGATGAAATAAAAATTAAGGTAATGAGTGTGTTTTTAATGAATATTCTCTTAAAGTTAAGATCATTTTTATATTTGATTTTGATATTATTGGTAGAAAATTAATCAAAATCATTAATTAATTAATAATTAATTTATTTGGTGGTTTTAGACATATCAGAATTTTAAAGTATTTCCAAATCTAATTTTAAGGATTTAGTTTAAAGAAAACTATTAATAAAACTCCTCTTAAATCGAACAAATACTTTAGGATTAAATGGCTGGAGAAACATGTTTAAGGTTAGATAAATTAGAAATAGTTATGGATGAAAAAACCAAATTTAAATGAATATTTTTTATTATACAATTCTATTTATTTTATTAATTAAACAAGAATAAACAATTTTGCTGAAATTTTTTGAGCTTTGTTTGTAATCTCAATTTTCTTTACAATTTTTTAATACAAAATTGCTAAATAAAAACTTTTTTGAATAAAACCATCTTAATTACATCAAAAAACGAATAATAAAGAATAAAATAATATTTTTTAAAACAAATCCTTTTTTTGTATTTTTGTTTACACTTTTTATTCATAAAAGCTTATTAGTATTTTTGATGCAAATTTCTAGTGGAAACAATCAATCAATCATTCATGAGTAATTATATTAGTTAGAAGTGATTATGGAATTTAAGCTAAAAAAATCATACAACATCTGTTTTTAATAACCAATAAAAATAGATTAATTAATTTAGTTAATTGTAAATCTTACACCATCGTTTGTAAAACTTTCCAAATTATTGTTGTGTTTTTGATATTGGTTAAAAATTGCTTGTTATAAATAAATGTCATTTCTATTAGGATTTTAAATATTATAATTAAGAATTCTATTAGAAATACACATATAAAAGAAATCTTATAAACATTTGCTTATATTTAGGGTGATATAATGCAATTCACAAATTATATGAATAGGAGGTGGATAAGATTGAATTTATTAAATAATTTTATAAAATATCTTAATGTATTGCACTTGTAAGTGCTAAACAATTACCATAAAAAAAATACTTCAGGAAATTAAATTTTTATTTTAATTACCCAAAAATAATTTATGTATTCTGCTTATGGTCAAAAATATTGTTTATTCGTTTAGAAAGATATTGAATAATTGTGATTAATATTGAAATGTTACAAATATTCATCAATGTGCTTTAGAAATTAAATAGATTAATTCCAATCAATTTGTTAATCAAGTTCTAATTTTCTATTTCTAAAAGCAATTTTTGCCACATAAAATTCTATGTTATTATTTAATTAAAAAATATCTTAGAAATAATCAGTACCTAAAGTTCGGATTTTTATCTTTTAAAATTCTAAATGTTTAATGAAAATATGATTAAACTTTGGCTATAAATACTCCTCAACTATTTTACTAAATTTACATAAAATAATAAATAAATTAAATAAATCAAAAAAGCATAAAAAAAAACATGAATCGCACTTTAATTGCTTTACTCTGCCTCACTGCAGTTTTTGCTACTAGAATCCTTTAACACGAATGTGTCCACGATGATATTGCTGAAACTTTCAAATACGATGTTTAAGACTTAAATTTAGATGACGATGCTAACAGAAGATTACAAGGCACTGCTCCTAGAAACATTAAAATCACTTACGATATGAGTTTCTTTAACAACCTCAATATGACTGACCCTGTTAATGTTGCATTCAAGTAAAATTCTGAAAAGGCTCTTAAGGTTGCTCTTCAATACTTCAGTGATTTACTCACTATTGTTCCTAAGCCTGCTGGTGCTATGAAATGGAATTTAGGTCCTACCTGTGGATTGGTCACTGTTCCTGATGCTGATAAAACTACTGATAAAGATAGTGATCTCCACTTATATATCTCCTACACAGATGAACCTACTAAAACTTTCCTTGCCTATGCTGGCTGGTGCAGATTCTTGAGAGTTTTAGGTCCTTCTCATGGTACAGTTAATTTCAATCTTGGTTTACTTAGAAACTACTAATTCTCTAACCCTATCGTTTTCAATGACTTAGTACAAATAGTCACTCACGAAATCACTCACGTCCTCGGTTTTTCTGGAAACGATGTTTAATATTGGGTCAATTCTGCTAAATAGCCTCATGTTAACCCTACTTCAGTTTAGCTCATCAGAGGTTTGAATTCTACTGTCCTCCAAACTCCTAATGTTTAAGCTTATGCTAGATAATACTATGGCTGCCCAAATCTTGCTGGTATGCTCTTTGAAAATCAAGGAGGTGCTGGGTAAAAATATTTTACAAAAAAATCAATTTTTAATTTAAAAATAATAATAAATAGTTCTGCTGGATCTCACTGGGAAACAACAGTTATTAACAATGAATACATGAACGCTGCTATTTCTCTTACTCAAGGTTTCTTCTCGTAACTACTTTTGTTTTTATTTTTGTTCATTTCTTAATTTTCATTTTAATTCTAAAATAGAAAATTCACTACCTCATTGTTAAGAGATACTGGTTTCTACTCATCAGTTAATGCTGCTCTTGAAGAACCAACTTTCTATGGAAAAGATGCTGGTTGCACTTTCGTCACTGGAGCTTGTGACACAAATAAGAGAGAATACTGCTCTGCAGGAACCTAAAAGTGTGATTATTACTATTATGCTGTTAGTGCCTGTAACCCAACTACTTTTAGTGATGTTGGATGCAACAATTAATAAGCCTACAGCAATGCTAAATGCTATGAACCTAATGGAAATTTCTAAAATAATCCTACTTATATTCAAAAGCTTGGTGTTGGCTTTGGTTAATCATCTAGATGCTTCATTAGTAGTTTATCAGATCCCACGTAAATTATATAATTTTTATATAAAATTAATAAAATTTTTACTCTTTATAAATAGTGTCTCAATCAATGAATAAGGTCTTTGCTACAACTACACTTGCAACTCTGCTAACCAAGTTATTATTTAAGTTGGAAGCAACTAAGTTACCTGCTCTTAAAACAATTAAGTTGTTACCATTCCTAACTGGCGTGGTTCTCTTAAGTGCCCTGAAAAGCTTGACTAATTCTGCAATTACAAGAAGGTATGTCCTAACTTCTGTTCTTCTAACGGTTACTGTGATAACGGTGTCTGTAAATGTATTTCAGGTTTCAAGGGAGCTGACTGCAGTCAAACTGCTTGATACACTAAAATTTAAAATATAATAATATGATTTAAAATTATGTTTTTTTATAGTATATATATTTCTAATATTTTTAATTTTAATATACTTTTCAAAATTCACTTCTGCTTACAAATAATTAATTTCAAATACTGTAAATCATATATTTTCTCTATATGAATATTATTTTGCTTATTTTATAATAATCTATTTTATCGCTATTAATATTTCTAAGATTTTTAGGAGGGGGCTTGCTTTAATTAATGAGAATATGCAGTATTTATGAAGCATAAATAAATTCAATATTATGTAAAAAATATTTAAATAAAGGATGTTAAATCTTAATAATTTTCAAAAATTACAACGTATTTAGAAATAAATTTGTTAATAATACTATCATTTTTATATAATAATATACTTAAATTAACATAAAAACAATAAATAAACAATAAATTCTTTTTCTAAATAATTTTTATATCATTTACTTATAAATACTAACTTTAAAAATAAATCTTTTATAAAATTTTAAAATATAATCAATATTCCATAAATTAAAATAAATAGCATTTAATTTGATATGCATTAATTAAGAGTAACAAAGATTTTAATAAAAAATAAAGGTCCCACTGGGATTCGAACCCAGGTCAAGGGATTTAAAGTCCCCAGTACTAACCACTATACTATGGAACCGGAACACGATATTTATGATTAAATCTAAATTTTAATCATCCTTTTAAGAAAATTAAAAATAAATAATTTTTTAATATATATTCAGATATAATTTTTTTAAAATTTGATATTAATATATATCTTAAAATCAATTTAATCTAAAACTGCTTATCTTTCTTGATTTAATAATGCAGAAAATAATTTTAGGATAAAAAATCAAATATTGTACTATCATTAGACTGTATTTTTTCCTGCTATTGACTATAATACAAAAATTAATCTTTTATTAAGTTAAAAATTTTATGATAGGTATTTATTTATTTTATTTAATTTCATGTTTTACAAAATTTGAAAGTATAAAATTAAAAAACTAATTTAAAATAATAAAACAAGAAGATAACAAACATATTTTTTTTATATTACAATTTTTTAAATTTTAATAAAATAAAGTATCTTAGAAAATATCAGAATGTTTTTAGATGAAACAAATTTAATCAAATGTAATATTTATGATAATTTAATATAAAATAATCTATGACAGAAAATATCAGTATTAGCTAAAACATAAAAATAAAAACAAATATATTTAATAATAATATCTATTTTTTTGTTTAAAAACTGTACGCTTTTTGCTTAAAATATAAAAAAATATAAATCAATAACAATAATAACAGATTGAAATTAAAAAATGAATTATTTTTTCTTTGCTTTATTGTGTCTCTCTGCAGTCTTAGCTGCTGAAAATTTGAAACATGAATGTGTGCATGATGATGTTTCTGCTTCATTTAGATACGACGTTTAAGAGCTGAACTTTGATGATGCTAACAGAAGAATGTAAAATGTTGCTCCTAGAAATATGAAGATTACATACGATATGACTTATTTCAACTCTCTTAATTTAACTGATCCTATAAATGTTCAATTCAAAAATAAATGTGAGTAAGCTTTGAAAATCGCTCTTTAATATTTCACTGATCTCATCACTATTGTTCCTAAGCCTCCTGGGTCAATGAAATGGAATTTAGGTCCTACCTGCGGACTAGTTAATATCACTGATGCTGATAGAAATAATGAAAGAGATAGCGACCTTCATCTATATGTATCTTATAGTGATGAAATTGCCAAACCATACCTTGCATATGCAGGTTGGTGCAAGTTTTTGAAGGTTTTAGGTCCTACTCATGGAACTGTAAACTTTAATTTAGGAAAGCTAAGAAGCTATGACTTTAATAACACTATTGTATTTAATGAGTTGATTTAAATTGTGACTCATGAAATTACTCATGTCCTCGGTTTTTCAGGTAACGACGTGTAATACTGGGTGGATTCTACCACTAAAAAGCCTCATGTTAATCCTATATCAGTTTAATTAATTAGAGGTTTTAATTCTACTGTTCTTTAAACTCCTAATGTTTAAGCTTATGCAAGACAATATTATGGTTGCCCTTCTCTTGCTGGAATGCTCCTTGAAAACTAGGGTACTGCTGGGTAAAACAAACTTTTAATTATAAATAATTAAATATACTTATATAAAAGGTCAGCTGGTTCTCACTGGGAAACTACTGTCATAAAAAATGAATACATGAATGCTGCTGTCTCAAACACTTAAGGTTTCTTCAGGTAAAAAAAAATATTGACTTGCTTATTATTTTTATGTTCCTTAATAATTTACTTAGCTAATCAATTATAAAATAAAAATCTCTCTTTAAATTTTAGATTCTAAAATTATTTTAAAAATCTAAAATCAAATCAGATTAAACAATTCTTCTTTTAACAAAAAAAAGCAAATTCACTACTTCTCTGTTGAAAGATACTGGCTTTTATGCATCAATTAACTCTACTATGGAAGAATAAGTTTTTTATGGCAAAGATGCTGGGTGTTCATTCATAAATGGAACATGTGACTAATTAAAAAGAGAGTTTTGTAAAGCTGGAGCCTAATAGTGTGATTACTATCACTTCAGTTCTGGAATTTGTAATCCATCATCTTTCAGTGATGCAGGATGTGATAATATCTAAGCGTTTAGTAACTCCAGATGCTATGATCCTAGTGGAAACTACTAAAATAATCCTACATTTTTAGAGAAGCTTGGTGTTGGATTTGGTTCAAATTCTAGGTGCTTTATGAGCAGTTTATCTGATATTAGGTAAATATTTTTACTTTTTTGGTTTGATAAATAGAATATTTTAATTTTTACTATAAAGTGGTACAGTGAAAGAATAAGGTTTATGTTATAACTACACATGCAATAATGCTAATCAAGTTATAATATAAGTTGGTAATAATACTGTAACATGCTCTCAAAACAATCAAATTGTTACATCTCCTAAAATGAATGGTTCCCTTAAGTGCCCAGAAAAGCTAGATTAATTCTGCAACTACAAAAAAGTATGTCCCAATTTCTGTTCATCTAATGGGTATTGTGTTAATGGTATTTGCAAATGCATTGCTGGTTTTAAAGGTGTCGACTGCAGCAAAACCATTTGAGTTTAATAATAAATATTATTATAAAATATCTTATTTGCTAAAATTCATAAAATTATTTGTAGTATTTTTATTATATTAATATTATTTAATTATATTTACTAAAATTTATTAAATTTTAATCTTTTTCAATTTACTTCAATATAATCTGTAAAAATGAATAAATATTGTATCGAATATAATTAAAGCAATTCAATAAATAAATTTAATTTAATTATATTTCTTTAAGCTAAATTTATTTAAATAATAAACATATTGTTTAAAAATTTTTAAAGATTCGATGAAAGAAATTTGAATTATTTTGTATGCTTGATTTACTAAATAATTTTTACTTTGTTGAAGATTAAATTTTATTCAACAAAACAAAAAGATTTTCATAAAACAAAATAGTGTTAAAATTAGAAAGAGATAATTAATTTATAGTAAGGTTAAAACATTTATTATTTAAATGAATTAAAATATATTTGATGATATGAAAGAAATTTGAATTATTTAGTTTGCTTAAATTACTAAGTAAGTATTATTTAATTGAATATTAAATTTAATTAAGTAAAATAAAAAATTTTTATAAAACAAAAATAGTACTCAAAATTAAAAAGAAATAATTAATTTATTATTTATTTTAAAAAACATATTTTATAAATGTATTAAATATATTATATTGGAAACTTTTGATGATCCTAAAACATTCAAAGTAACTTAATTGGTAATTTTAGAAAAAAATATCATTTAAAAGTTATGATAAACATTAAAATATTACATAAATAATTTATAGTCTTGTAGGGTTTTTATAGTTTTAATATTATTAAATACTTATTAAATTATTATCAATTTACATTACTTCTTAATAAAATTATCATAAAGATTTTATTAATTTGATAGAGTAAAAGAAAACAAGTTAATTTTGATTAATTCTGTTGCAGTTTAAATTTTAATTAAGTATTACTAATATGAATCAAAAAACCATCACAAGTTTTGTGCATGATACTGTAAATACTAAAATAATAAATAATTATAAATAGAAATGTTTTGAATAAAAAGTAGAAAAATTTTATTTTCTTAAAAAAATAATATTTATGAGTAAACATTTTTTCTATTTTGTATTCTTTATTTAAGGTATTTACACAGACAAAATGATAAATGAATATTAATATTATGAAATATGAATTTTTCTATTTACAATAAACATAAGCATTTTTATTTTTAATCAGTACAGATTGATAAATTCTGAAGCTGATTAAATTTAAAGTTTATATTACCAACAAAATTAAAAAGTAAAAATTTTAATAAATTGAAAAATAAAATAAATTAATAAAAAATACTTTAGTTATATAAAATTAACCTTAAATAGATTATTTTTGAATAAAAGATTGATAAATTAATATATTTAAACATTATAAATTACTAATTGTTAAAGACTAAAGGAGTGTAAAGCGAGTCAGAATTTATTTGAGATATTTAACAAACAAAAAACTAGATTCATACAATAAAAAAAAGTGTATTTAATTTAATTTTTACTATTTTGTATTACCTATTAAACTAAAATTAAAAAAAATGATATTAAAATAATTTTTCTAAATGGCTTTAGTATGTATTTCTTTAATAAACTCTGTGAAACTAAAATAAATTATTTGGTAACTAAATTTTGATTCATTACATGATAATAACTCTATTTTAGAAAATATAAATTTTTAAAAACATTTATAAATATTGTGGAAAACTATTTTGAAAAATAAATTAAAATTTATTTGATATAAAAAGAAATGACCAATTATTTCTATATTTGTAAATTCTATGACGAAACAAGAATAAAATATTAATTTTGCAATTTGATAGTAAAAAAAGAGGAGAATATTAACAATTTTAACTTTAGAAATTTATTACAAATAAGTACTAAATGCTTTCACAATTCAATTGTAGAATATCATAAAAATATAAAGCTAAGATATAATTTATGGGTTTATTTATTTCAAATCAATAAAGCGCGGTTGATTATAAAATAAAAATCTTAATAGTAAGATAAGTAACTAGATGAGAAATAAAAGATTTGTAATTTTTAAATAAAAAAATTTTAATTCCAACAATGAGGAAAATTTTATTGGTAATCTATTTATTTATAATTTAAAATTTTAGGAAATTATTATTAATATTCTAATTTATATGTAAATTGAAACTCGCTAAAATAAACAAATTTGTAAATATTATAAACAGGATAATTTTAATTAGGAGGATATATGAATTTCAGGTTAAATTGAGATGAAATCTGGATTGAATATTATGAATTAATAAATTAATTAGTTAAAAAAATAAGATATGAGTTAATAATAAAAAATAGATATAGAATTAGGTAAAAACACTGAAGATCAATTATATCTTTCTAGTAATATGAGTAAGGATATAAATAATTTAGAGACTAGCGCAAATTAACTTTAGATTGGCAATGAAACAATTTAAATAGAAGAAGAATAAGAAATTGAAAACTAATGCTTATCTATGACATATTACTATCTTTATCCTTTGGTTTTGGTTTTCCAAATTTTTGTAGCCATTTTGATATTTTTGTTGAATCTGATTTAGATGTTGTTAGGATGTAAAAAGCAATAAATTTTATTGGTAATTTGGCTGATTATATCGAGCACTGCTCTCATTTATGTAGCTGTTAATTACTTTTTTTTGTTGGATGAGTAGTCTCACATTTAGTACTTTTACCAAGAGTTTTTGACTTTTTTATTTGCAATTATAATTGTTTAGCAGCATATTATATTAGTCACAGTCAAAATAAATAAAAATCTTCTTCAAAATAGCATTTTAGACAAATTCAACACCACTTTAAATACTTTCTACTTTAATGAGGAATAAGAAATAGATGATAGATCATTTTCACTTGATTACAATTTTAGATTATCAAATATTTAACTGCAAATAGAATAAGATCCTTAGTATTCAAAAACGGCTTTGTTTTTTTCTACTTTTACTTTTGATGAAAAACCATCTAAACTGAATCTAAATATTAAGCAGTTTTACTAAAAATTTGATGAATATATCTCTCCTAGCTTCAAAAATTATTTACTTTTGTCTCTTATAATAACAATAAAGTTTGTTTTTATCTATTTATACATATAGAAGAATACTCCAGTTTTAAGTGAAAAAGATTATATAGATTTTGCTGTTGTTGCAATTGGATATTACTATGTGATATTTATGATGAATAAAAATCTAGGCAATAAAGATCTTAAAAGAAAGATTAAATAAATGCGTGTCTTCAATAATTTAATTTCATTTGAAGAAATTAATTCTCAAAATTTTAATTAGAAACTTGACATAACATGCTTAGTCAGCATTAAGACTTGGGATAATGCAAGAAGGTACATTTTATCATATAAAAATGATTATTTGCTCGAGCTAGAGTTATCATATATCTGGCTTATTTTATCTTATATTTTTGATATAGTAGGATGTATATCTTATTATTTTGATATCAATTGGATTATACCAGAAAATTCAGATCTTCTAAATCCTGTTCTTATAATTGCAAATAGCTTCAATTTTATCTTTTTTACAATATTTCTCCTATTTAGAATTTACTAAGGTTCTAAGTATAATCAGACTTTCGAAGAACTTGATCAAAGTGTTTCAAAAATTTTAGATGTCTATACTGATTTACATTTGATGCACTAAGAATTCTTTAAGTAAAAAAAAGAGAAGGGCAAACTAGTTGATGATAAATTCAGTGTTTATGGGTTAATTATAAAAAGGATTAAATAATTGAGCAAATATTACATCAAAAATCAAATACCATTCTAGAATAAAGTTTATTCTATAACTTAAAAAGAGGATTTGAGAAGAAAGATGGTTAGTGATTTAAGAAAAGGATTCAAAAAATTAAAATAATCTATTTAATAAGATAAAGAAAGCTACACTTATAGCTTTTTGAATTTGTTATAAGTAGATATCTAAAGCTTTTTACTTCCACTCACAGTAGCTTTAGTAACAACATTACCAACTATTGTTCCTAAATTCATTGAGTTTTATAAAAAGAAGTAATGAATGAATAAATTGATTTTTATCATGCAAAAATAGTATTTATATTTTATATCTTATTTAAATAAAACGATATTTTTTTTTAATTTTCGCAAAAAATGTATAGAAATTATTCATGAAAAGTAAATAAAAAAAATGAATTTTTGAATTAAAGTGTAACATTTAAAATTTAAACTTGCATGAATATAAAAAAGTTTTATACAAAATAATTTTGAAAAAATAAATTCATTTTTTTAATTTATTTAAAATATTATTAAAAAAATGATTGAGATATTTTAAAAAATGTTATTTTTCAATTTTAAAAATATTATTGAATTAAATTCTTGATATTTTGTTGGTTGATTATAGTTAACTAGGTTATATTTAAGCAATTTAGGAAAAAGAAAAATTTAAAACATCATAAAATAAAAAAAATTGAAAATAAGTTATAATAAATCATAAAGCTTTTACCAATACTGTTCATTGTTGGCATTATGAAAGACTAGCTAGCATGCATTAAGTATGAGAAAATTAAAAATTATTTAATTTAAAAAAATAAACATAAATGGGTAAATTATTATTATGATTCTTAGATTCTTGATGTTATAAATTAAAATTTTATAGATTTAATCTTTTAAAACAAAAAACAAGAGTTGTTATTTCTATTAATTTTTTTATTAGAATTCAGATAAATGAAAAAATATTATAGATTATTAGCTTTGACTAGCGTTCTGATTTTAATATTGGTGACATCCGCTTTTATAAACATCTAATTTACTACCTACTATTTAAAAAATTATATTTCGGATATTACAAACCACCTATTTGAGGTTTAAATCAAGCACATTTCTATTTTTACAGCAATAATCTGCGATTAGATTAGCTAAGAAGCATAAAAAATTCCTACTTATACCAATCTGTTAAACAGTTTTGTTGGAAAAGTTCTTAATGATATTACAAATATTCAACATAATTACAGAAACTCATTAGTAAATTATTATTTGCTCCAAAAAAATGAAGAAGATCCTAGCTTTTCTTTTATGATATCAAAAAACTCTGGATTAGTTAATAATTGGTAGAGTGACTAGTTCTACTATATAAATGATCTAGATTAAGAATATTAGTCTTATATATTAAAGCTTTCTTTATATAATATTTTACAAAGACCTATCCAATATATGAATAATTAATTTTAAAATGAAAGAAGCATTCTTTATGATAACATCTTTTATGTTACACAGAAATATGAACTCATTTTAAATAGTAGAAATAACACTATTTTTGATTGTTTTTTATCTGATTAGTGCAGTATTAATGGATTTAGTTCAAATAATCTAATATGCCAAAGTTGGTTTTAAAACGCCATTAATTAAACATAAAATATTTTTTTTTCACCTAAACTATTAAAAAATGAAAGTAATATCTAAATAGCATAGTTACAATGCAGATAACTTTAGTACCCTAATAATTAAAGTTAAAATAAGCTGACTGTCTTTTGTATATAGTCAATCATATCTAAACTTAATAATTACTTCATTAACTTAGGAAATATGATAGATAGAACATATTTAATTGAGTCTTTAAATTAAACAATAATTTACCAATCAAATTCTAACCTTACAATAAATAACCTTGAAAATTTATACTAAAATTAATTTTAATATTAAGATGTTATGTCAGAAACTCAATATTTAAGCACCTAAGTTTAAAATTTTCTTTCAAATATAACATATTTTTATTAAAATAATCCAATCTATATACAGCATGGAGTAATTTAGAACTAGTAATAAATAAGATATAAAAGTAATAATACTAAATATGTTATTATATTATCTCCAACAATAATTTAATAATAATCTTTTCTATAAAGTTAGAAAAAAAATAGTTCATAATTGAACTATAATTATTTAAAAATACCTTACTTAGTAATTAATGTTTTATAAGAAGGTTCTTTTAATGGATGGAAATAGAATTAAAATTCTACTTTAGATACTATATTTATAATTATGACAGTGGGAATGATATTATTCTGGATTTTTACATCATTGTTGGTTAATTTTTATTTATTTAGGCATTTCTATTTAATAGATGAATAAGTAGGACACTTGACTCATATTTTGAATTAGATGGCAGCTTAGAAATTTAATTATGATATTGCTTATAATAGCACAAAAAAAATATTGATTTGTTTTGAGACTAAATTACTACTCTAAACATTTTAAGATATTTATTAAATATTATTGTATACTTCTGAAAACTTTTTTGACAGCAATGATACAGAAACACTTATCAAACTAAGTAAAAATTTAAAGTTTTTTTAAGGTTTTGGTAATAAACATGCTGAAGGAATTACTTTTAATAATATTGGAGCCTTATTAATGGGAAAAGGACACATTTTTGAGGCTTTAGAGTATTTTACATCTTCAATTATTTGCGCTAAATATGAGATTTAGCAATTTTGTTAAGAGAATCCTATTTCATTAACTACCTTTTTGATTTCTGAATTTGGATATCAAAGCAACATAGAAGAATTAATCTTTGAATAAAATTAAAGATATTCAGTAATTTATTTGATTTTTATTAACATTTTAAAATTTTTAAATATTATTTATTCTCTTTATTTGTTTTATATCTAAAAAATAAAAAGGTAATTTCATTTTTATAAATTTAAAAAATATTTTTTTTAGATAAAACTTCAAAAAGAAAAATCAAGAAGCAGCACATCTAAGTAAAGTTTCTCGTAAAAAACAGCTTTTTCATCTGTTAAACAATAAAAATAATAAATAACTACATCGCAATAAATGCATGTGGACTAATATTTATAAGAATAAGCAAGGTAGTTTAATTAGTTTTTGAAAAATAAAAATTTAAAGATCTTTAATAATAATGAAAATGAAATTAAAGATTAATTTTAAGAATAAAGGTTTTTTCTTTTGTAAAGTTTGTATTCTAGAAATAGAAATTTACTTGTGTGCTTATTATATGCTAATTAAATTTATAAAGACTTCTTCAAGTTTTGGGATGAAATAAATGAAATATTAAATTTAATGACAAAAATATCAGAATAGCTCCCTTAAAGAGATTTTTTACTTTATGAAATAAGTATTGTTAGATACAGAGCTAGCTTTGAGTTGAATGGAGTAAATGAATTAAGTAATATTGAAAAATTAATAGAGAATATAACTATCAATAATATAAAATAAAAAGAATAAATATTATTGAATAGCTATAAAAATAGTCAAATGCAATAATAATAGTCAGAAATAACCAACGAGATTAAACTATATTAAGAGAGTTCAAGTAGTTTTTTAATCAAAAATAGTCAAGGTTTAAAATTAAATGAATTTAGTTCTATCAAAAGGAGTTAAATTAACTACACAGAAAAATAGAAAATGTATTAATTTCAAAAAAGCCAAAGTGCTAAAAATGAATCATAATTATAATTCAATTAAAGCAGTAGAGTGTTCAAGTTTATCCTAAAATTAAATGACACCAAAAAAATATTTCTTGAAGATAAAGTGCATAAAAATAGAAAGCATACTCATTTGTCTGAGAATAATTGTAAAAATTTATTTTTGAATAAAGTAAATGAAATCATTCTTTCCAGTAAGATGTAGATGAATATAGATTCTTTATTTGAATTTAGGGATAAGCTAGAGTCAGCTGTCTAGGATTATCATCTTTTTAATTATTATTATTCCTTAGAAAATTTACATTTAATGTTTACACTATTTAAATCGCAAATATTACTAAAGATTGGATAGTTCAAAGAAGCTGCTGAAGATTTAACCAGTTTGTTTGAAAATAAAAAATAAATAATATCTAGCTATCCAGTAAAAATAGCTTTGGTCTTAAAAGAAATATTTGAAAAATCAAAGATATAATCTAAAGAATTTAATTAATTATTTTAAAAGTTTGATAATAGCATTACTATGCAAGTTGGAATGATATTTGATTGCTAATAAAACAAAAACCTAATATTTAAGTCAATTTAACTTTTTATTTATCTTATTAATTAAGTTCTAAACTGGAATGGAGATTCTTTTGGAATTATTTTAACCGAACATGATATAAAGCTTATTGAAATTTTTATTCCTCTAATGAATGTTAAATAAATAAAGTTCCTTTAAAGCCAAATTATCAAAGATATCATAAATACAATTCATGGAGATATAGGATAAATGTTTGATAAATTGAGTTCTAATATATATGAAGATATTTCTTAATTTGATGACTCAAAATTTAATGATAAAGAATCATTTACAAACTAATATAATATTTCATAGTAGTACTCCTACAGTCCTTCACCTTATAAAAGTAGTGCTTTAGATTTTATAAGGGAAGAAATATAAAATCTTAGCTAAGAAGAATATCCATCCTTAATGAGTGAAGAATTAAATAACTCAAAAAATCATCTTAAAAGTATAACAAAAATTAATCGAATAAATAGTGGTTAAAAATTTAGAAAGAGTCTATTTCTTTAAACAAAGAAATGTAATAGTTTTATTATAAAACCACAAAAATTTAATTTTTCTTCTTAATTTGAAGCACATTTAGGAGATGAAAGTTTATTTCACTCTTAAGATGGATATTTTGATGAGAAATCAATCTTTTAATCAAAATCAATTAATTTTGAAACTAATTTAACTTGTGAACATTATTTTCATATGTCGATTCATAAAGCATTAAGCAATTTGTTTGCAAAATAAGTCATATTTGAATAAATAAATTAAAATTTAAAAAGAAATACTGGAGAAAAATACACTTTTTAAAAAACTCACAAATAGTAAAGATATATAATATATTGCATAAAATAACTTATTTTAAAGAAAAATTAATTATTTTTTAATCTATGCTAGCTTCTGTCTAAGTTAAACATTTAAGTTATCATTTTATCAGAAATTAAAGGAAAGTGTTTTATTGAGCAATAGCCAGAGTAAACATTTATTTATAATAACCTAGAAATATTTAGAGTTTACTATGATTGCTAATAGATTGTAAATTTTTTAAAAAATTAAAGAAATAAAGTTAATTTCTACAGTATTTCTACTTCAATATAGCATTATTGATTATTTCTATATAAAAAATAAATTAAAATATTATAATAAAATAGTTAGTTATTATTATATTATTTTTATTTTGTAAAATAAAATATAAATGAAAAATTATTTAATCACAAACATTTTTTTTGGAATTCATAATTTTTTTATTATTAAATACTCTTTAAAATACGATTGATTATCTTTCATTCTAATAATAATAACTAGTTCAACCTACCTCAAATTTAAAAAATATTAACTTTATTAAAAATAGTGTATACTTTTAAAATACAATCAGTACAACTAAAAAATGTTATTTATTTATTTTTACTAAAATTTTAATAATTGATTTTCATATTTATTTTCTATTAACTTACTATCTTTAAGAAATAGGATCTAACCTTACACTTGAAGATTAATGAATAGAATTTGATTTTCTTGCTCTTTAATTGATAGTCTATTGATATTTTGGTTTTTAGTCTCCTTGTCTTATTTCTTTAGTTGAATATGTAGGATTATGTATTTATTTTATAGGCTCCGAGCCATAAATATTTTATTGTTCAATTTAGTGCTGATCAAGTATTTCATTATGGTTAAGAATACTTCTAATTTTTTCTTTTGATTTATTTATTTAATTAGAATCTTATTATCCTTTCTAGTCTTGAAAATCACCTAAATCAATACTGTTGATCCATAGAGAGTTGCTTTAATTAACTGAAAATGATTTCTATTCTCTTATTATGTTTTTTATTTTGTCATTTGCTTTTTCAATTTAGTTAGTTTTTAGATTTTTATCTTTTTATATTTTTTATGGGCTTCCATCATAAAAAATATTATCTTTATGACTGTTTGTTCTCACCTTTACATGCTTATTAGCTGAATCTTATATACTATTTGAGTCATATTATTGGAATAAATTACCTTTTTCATCTTTAATATTCATTAAATTTCTAAATTTTTTTGTTTATAGTTAAATCGTTTATTATTAATTTGGTTTATATTTTTGTTATTCTGATTATTATTATTCATTTTAAAAGGGCTCTCCATTGAAGCTTATATTCTAAATTGAATGATCTATTTCTTTTCTTAAGCTTAATCTTTTCTTATTACTATAAAAGGAATCTCTTAGCTTTTTTATTGTTAGTGGTTTTTTTACAGAAGGAGAAAGATTGAATGAAGTTTGGGTATCACTCTAATTGGCATCTATATTTTTATCTCTGTTTGTTAAATAAGTTTCAGTAATTCCTTGTTCAGATGAATCTAAGACCTGAATAAAACTATTACTTTAAGATAAATCATCGTTATTATTATTATTTAAATAGGAATAAGAAGAATTAGTTTATTTAACATGATTTAGAACTTTACTCTCTAAATTTTATTGAGGATTATAAGCTTATTCTATTTTTTTATTATTTTAAAATTAACTGTTAATTTTCATTTAAGATTTTAGTTAAAATTCTAGATCTTCTATCTTGTTTTTAAGCTACTAGTTTTATTTTTCATTTTCTTTGATTATTACCTTGAGTCTTTTTATTTCATCATCGTCACTTTGCTTTTGCTGTTTAAGTATATTCAGCTCTTTATGGTAACTTACTAACAACTAGTATGCTCTCTATTTAATATCATTCTACTTAATTTTATTTATTTATTCTAAATTTAATTACTCAAGGCTGATCCATTAATCATATTTATTATTTAAATCGTGTAAAAATTTTTCATTTCCTGTTAAATTATTTTCATCTTTTAATTTATTTATACCTGCATTAAGACGAACTAATCTATCATTTATTTGTTATAATTATATTGTTTAATTATTTTTATTTTGGTCTTCAGATTCATTTTTTTCATTTTTTATATTTCTCTGAACTTAAGTGTTCTAATTCATATTCTACTTTTCTTTTTTTAGAATATCATTTGAATCCTATTAATTTTAGGATACTTTAACATCAATTTATTACTAATTATTATATTTTTCATCTTTAATTTTTAAAGATTGCTATATTTCTAAAGATTTTTGATCTTCTTTTACAGTTTCTTTTAAATTTTTATAACTATTTTAATTTTCTTTTTAATAATTTTCATTTTCTTATTTTTTAGGTTAAGTTTATAAAATTTATTAATTTGCTTACTATGCCTACATTTCTTTTTTATCATTATTTTAATGCTCTTATTAGCTATTTTTCACATTAGAAGAGCTTAAAGTATGTTATTCTATCTTATCTTTAAGTTATTTTTAATCAGAAAAATGAGGATCTTATGAATCTTAGCTTTGATTATCTTAATATTTTTATTTATGTCCATCCAATTACTTCTATTTATTTTGAAATTGAGTATTTGTTTCCTATTAGCTACTTTAATTGTTATTTTTAATATGCTCATTATTTTATTAATTACTAGCGAGGTCTTAATTATTTTCTTTGTTTTCCTAACTTTTATTGTGTAAGATAGATTATTTAATTGATTCTTCATCATAAATCTATTATTAATCTGTACTTTCTCTTTATTCATTTTATGATTGAGACATTTAAAAAATATTTTGTAAATCTTATTTTCAATAAAACTTATTTTAAATAACTAATATTTCAATAATTTTTAATGAATGATGGAAATTAATTAAAAAAAAAATTAATAAACTTTTTTTATAAGTAGTATATTAATAATTAATCATAAATCAACTTTTAAGTATTTAATGTTACTCGAAATAAGATATTTTAATTTAAGAAAAATTTAATTGTATCGCATAATATTTTATATATTTATTAATATTATTTTTATGTTTTCCTTTAATCAATTTAATACAAAAATAGAAAAATGTAAATTATTAACAAAATATAAATATAAATCAAATATTTTATAATATCAATTATAATTTGATTAGGTCGTATAATTTTTAGTAAATTCCTTTAAGATCTTGTTTAGTGGCAAGTTTGATACCAACATATCTCAACAATATTGCAAAAAAAATATCAGTAGCTAATACTCCAATTAATAAAGTACCTAAAAATTTAAGCGAAATCTCATTAGTCGAACTTGGATCTTAGCCACTAACGATAGCGAAGAAAGCATAGTAATAAAACAGAACAAGCAAAAATATAATGAATTTCAATATTTTCTAAATTATACCTTTTCTACTATACCCAAATTCTATAATTTTTGTTATTATAGTAACTACAATAATATTAGCTATCTATATGAAAGCAACTTAAACTGCTGTATAATTTTGATTAAAAATTATATTTGAAACATATATGTGTAATATTCTCACATATTACACTAAAAACCTACTAAATCTGCTTAATTATTCGTCATATATAAGAAATACGCTAAAAATGTCATGAAAATATAAAATTCCTTTCAAAATATTTATGGATTCTAGTTTTTTTTATTTAGAGTCTTTGCTTTATTAGTTCTCTATCAAATTTTTTTCGCTGTTTAGACATACTTGTAAAGGTGTAGCAGGATTTATATCTCTTTTCGTAAACTCAATATCTTTATGCTATTCTCTATCCTGTTAAAATAAAATAAGTTAAATTTAATTAAAATAAATAAATATTTACTTCATTTGTATTTTTTTAATTATTTTGGCCTAATAACTTTTAAGGAATAAAAGGAGAAGACTAAGTTATAAGAATCTCTGTGTTTTATTAATCATTTATTTTATGGTGCATATCAACCTATTAGATTTAACTTTACACTAAATTAATTGAGTGACTTGACTTGTTCTCTATATCATTTTAAACATTACTAGGCTTAGAAAATTTTTCTTGTTCCATATCTTCTTTCTTAAGAATTTTTTGTTACTCTATTTGAATTTAATTTTCTTTGCTTTTTAATTCTATTTTTTCTTTATTTAATTTTAAGTCTTCATCAAATACCTTAGTTACTAAATAAGGCGATTTTAATAAAGATTTTTTATCTAAGAAGGCTCCATAAATAAAAAGTATTATAAACAAGAGTGTCAAAGCACCAATTTCCCAAAATGATATGTACTTATAAAAGTTATCAAAATTAGAAATATTATCAACACCTTATCCTGAAAATATTGTTTTGATATTTGTATTATTAGTAAAAATATTCTCAATACTATTAAAAACTGTAACGGGATTTAAATTATCACATACACAATCATAACTGTTTAACTATATATTATAAACAGTTTTGCATCCATCAGTAGTCCACTAATTGTTATTTCTATTTATACAGTTCAAAGTTTCATTTTTAATTGGCTTAAATGTAAAGGAAACTTATTTAGGTGGAACCAAATTTTTTTGATTTTCTATAGTCTATATTTATGGGTCAACTACACTATAATTTTTAATAGTATAGCTTGTTTGATTTTTTTGTATTTCTTTTAAAAAATCTTAAAATGGTTATTCATTCATGTATAAATTTTTATTGTATTATTTGTATGAAACTTGATAAACTTAATTAAGCTTTTCTTAAAATGGTGGTAATTATTATATATTTGATTGCCAAGTACTATCATATAAACTCTAATCTAAATATATAGGTAAGTTTTTACTAGTAACTAATTAGCTTACAACTAAAATATTGGATCCGTTAAATTGTTTCTAATTTTCATTAGGTAAGGCATCTAAATTTAATAAGTTACCTATTTGCTGTGAAAGTTAAACAATAGTTGCTTAAATAGTACTATTATCTGATACCAAAGACGTGCTTTAATCCAATATATTGAAAGCGTTATAAATCTGTTAATTGTACAAATCTTTCAAGTACTGAATTTAGCTATCCTGAGATAACTAACTTTAAATGACTTTTAATAATTGCTGAATGTAGTTTAATATATCGTCAAAGGTTATTTATGTACTTTTATTTATGCTACCTTAGGTCATTTTTGATATTTATTATGTAGCAAGTGTTGAAAAAGTTGATTATTAATATTCGTTAGTTGTTAAGTTCATTAGTTAAGAATAGATATATCCTATTTACTATTATATTGCTGGATAAAAGTTTGGTCTTGAAATAATATCTTCGCTAAGAAGAGATAAAGTTAATATTTAAGTAAGCTTTGACTATGTCTGTGAATATTAGATCATATTATTTACAGCTTAAATGTATGAATTTTGGTCAAAAGCGCTTTGACTCACTTATATTAATTAGGTAACATTATATATTGCTCCTAAAGAATCTATAGCTTGTACTAATATCAGTATATCTCCTGGAGGCAAGAAAGTTTCTACCTACGACAAATAAGTTAAATCTGTAATTTATTTTCTTTATACCAGCAAGGGATTTTTTACTTCTAATTTATATAAATCCTAAGAAGTATAATAAAAGAATTTGTATGAAATAGGCATATTATTACTCTAGCAAGATGATAAAACCAACGAAAATATAGTTTAAATTGAATTTCCTTTGATTGGAACACTTCCAAACTAACAGTTATATGGAGGGAAATTTAGTTTAAATTAATATATGCTTTAACTAGGTATAGAATATTTAGGATTATAAACAGAAAATCTCAGCACTATTTAATGATTTGTAGGCACAAATTAAGAAAAATAATTCCAAATTTAGAATCTGACTTTACCATACTCAAACTCCATAGAGGCAACTACTTGATTTTAGTAAATGATAGCTCCACCAAAAAATAGCAAATTTACATCTTAATTAGAATCATATTAAATAGTAGCTTCTATTACGTCATTCAAATTTATACTGTTTCTTATTAAAATATCATCTTTAAAGTTAATTAAAGACTAAGGGATTGAGTTATCAATAAAAGAAATCACAACTTAACTGCTTGAAGTTCTTGTATCTTTATTTCCAACTAAAGTAAACTAAATATTAGTATATTCTTTAAAAGTTAAGGGATCAAATTTTAATACCATACTATTTTGAGGGATAGGGATAATATTTTATTCGATATCTTTACATGCAGCTTAAGTTTAAAGATCTATACATGACCACGTGTATTAAATTTATTAGTCTTAAGTAATACTTTAATTTAAATCTAAATCCCTTATGTCAGATGTAAGAATGAGCTAATCGCTGTAGTTTTAGATTCTATTCCCACCTTATATTTACACTATCAGAGGACAATTGCTTATTATTATATAATAACTAGATGTTCCTTAAATTCCACTATCTGTTTAAAATGTTAGCTTTTTTAATTTTTGATTTTAAACAAAAAATAAATTATTTTTGAAAGTTATTTAATAATTTACCTAAAAATTATATTAAGTGTTAACTTGCAAACTGTATGGCTATAGTACTTACTAAAATGATCTATTGTTTGATAGACTCAAATTATTATTTAATCCTAAGATACTTTCTTAAATATTAACATTTATTGATTACTGAGTATCTATTAACTAAACTCTGTTTTAATTGCACATAACTATAAAAGCATCAAAATAGATTGTTATTAAATCTTTTCTATTTTTAAATGATTAATTTAATAAAAAAATAAAATTTGACAATTATTTTTTTAAATTTAATAAATTTACAAGTAATAAGGTCCTTCAACTAATTATCTACCAGCAATATTTATCTAAGTTTAGCCTAAAACTTAAATACTTATTGATTTTGAAGAGCTTGTCTTAATTTTATATTAATAAGCTAGTGTAAAAGAAATTTAAACTTCTTATATAAAATATTCAAGAGGCACAAAAATTGTTGGTGTTTGATTAGTATTAACTGAATTTAATATTTATTGTAAATTGTCACTCAGAGCTTGTATATTAGGTACCACAGAATCTAAAGTCCAATAAAAATTGCTAACTCCTTTATTTACAGTGTTTAGAAATTGTTTTATAACAATTTTTAAATTATCACATTAATTAATAATTGGCTGGTAATCTAAAACCACATCAGGCTATGGTAAATTACTTTAAGTTACAGTATTTCCATTATAATTTATTATTAAAGCTTAATATTCAGTTACCATAATGACATTGTTAAAATTTACTGTGTCTCCACTGAATATTGTTGCATCATAATCTAATTTATTAAAAATTATTAATTGATTGCTAAAAAATATGTTTTATTAAATTTACCTAAAATTACATTTATAGCATTTAGTTGAATAAGACACAAAGATGATTAAGCTAACTTTTGATAGGTAGAGCTATCAAAAATATATTTACATAGTAAGTTACTATTTTCTGGGCCTTAATATCCGTATGTGCTAATCGCATATGGGAAAGAAATGACTAATTTATCGAAAATATCTGTTAGTGTAATTTAAACTTATGCATTTGCTGTTTAGCAGTTGTCATTAAAATTTAGATACGCTTACTTGCAGAAAAAGCAAGCCTTAGTTTAGAAGTCTCTTGTTTAACAGTTATCATATTGATTGTAAGGTAAAGCTAGATATAAAATATTACCCGAATATTGAAATAGCTCATATGATTTCATCGATAAACGTATCTGTTGTATCGCAGGATTGCTTCTTGGTATTAATTCATAATCAATAAATTGAGATGACTATAAAAAGCTGGTTTGTATGCCAGTCAAGCCATAAATATTTTTATACCTTAGAGATGTAATATCTGACATTATACCATTTAATGTGTAGTTTGATATGTGAGTTTTTTAGTAATGTTTTAATGTTGGATCTATGTAAATTCCTGGGTTTTATGTTATTTATGAATTATGGTAAAGAGAAGGCATGTCAGAAGGACAAATTAAGTAAGTAATTTAAATTTATTGAATTTATGATGCTGTCACTAATATTAACTTGTTAGTTAAATCTGTTTATATACTCAAACTTAAACTTGTTTGAGTTTATCCAGCATTGTTACCAAATTATATTCCAGAAATAAAAGTTAGTATCTGATATTATCCGTAAGTTTAAAAATCGTAATTTCCTAAACTATATTGCTAACTAAGAGTGTTAGAGTCAGAAATTATAAAATTAAGAACACCAGAATTGTATTATGTAGTATTTGGAATGACAATAACCTACAAATGAAAATCTGTGTTAAAGAAACCCCCATTTTTATTGAAGGATCCTTAAAGCTAAACAGAATAGCTAGTAGTAGTAATTTGAGAGTTAGCTACTGTTACAGCTTTGATATCAGATAAATCAGATGCTACTTTGGTAATAGATAATATGAGAAAAGGAGTTTATGTAAAACCATTATTAAAGCCTTTACTTACTGCCCAATAATTAGAAACAATTGTGTCATAATAATCATCTACAATAAAAGATAATACTGAATTTGTGTTTTCTATTAGTTAAAAAAATGTATTTTTTCTTTTTTAAATTAAAAAGTGAAAAATATAAATCAAAATATCAAAAAACCAAATAAATCAAATTTAATTTTCTAAATTTAATTAAATTTCTTTTGAGATGTTTAAAGTTTAATATTATTTACTTTAACAGTTTATACTCATAAAATCTTCATATCCTATTTTGCATAGACAATTTATAGTAGAGTCTCTGTCACTTGAACTACATAAATTACATGTACTAGGAGTGCTAGGATCACATGAGCTGCACTTATATGAGCATTTCGGTATGCAAGACCTAATTTCTTGCACTTGGTTGTGTGTATTTAAATTGCATTAAATTAAACAAGCATTATTTAATAGAAAATAATTTGCTTGACAGAGAAGGCAGACGAAAGTGTTTCTGACATAAATAGCAACTTCACAATTATTTATAATACTTGAAGCTATAGATGGAGTGTAAATTATTGAGCTACTCAAATTTATCGAATATTGCGATATTCTATAAAAACTACCACTAGGTATTTTTGATAATGTATCACCAAAGTTAATTAATAAATCTTAGGTTTGTGTTCCAAGATTAAAATTTAATGGCCCTGAATTTTAATTCTGATTTAATTACAAAGTGTTGCTATCATATATAAGTACTTAAAGACTTTATCTTGAGAAATTATAATAAGAAACAAGAATAAAGTAATATTGTTATACATTCAAAGTGAATTATGTCAAATCTGTTATTTATTACTAATTACTCCATTAAATTTTTATCTAGTATTAATTGCTGCTTACATAGTAGTAGAACACACTTAGGAATTACTAATTTCCTAAATAAAATGTCATAAGAGGAGATTAGCTGTTACTAATCGGATCTACAGATTATAGATAAAACCAGAAGGATATTGTCATAAACAGAGCAGGATTATTGAGTTAGTAATAAGAGAAGTATTTCTACATAGAGATTGATGTGTACAAGTAGTTTCCTCCATAAAAGGTTGCATATCCAGTACCATAAGATGTTATAGGTGATTAATTAAAATAGAAACAATTCTAAGAATAAAATGATTCATCGGGTATACAATTTTTAGTATCTAATTAATCTTTAACAAAATATTTAAATAAAGTAAAAAACTCTTGCGCTTATTCTGAAAGCATTAAACTGAATTAAGATAATTCATAATTAGTGGTAAAATCAATAAATAAATTTCTAACGCTAAAGACTTTATAAACAGATCCTTAATAAAATTCGCTGCTTAAATTTAGCTGAAAACTTGAAAGAAACAAAGTGTAGAGACTCAAATCTGTAATAGTAATTTAAGAAGCTTAAGTAAATGTGTTAGAAATATTATTATCTATACTATTCCTAAACACAAAAGATATTTAGTAGCTTATTGAAGTGATCTGATTAAATGAAATTGCAATTTCATGTACTCCACTATTAAAAAAGTTTGGATATGAAAATGATTAATCTGACAAACTAGAAGAAGCAGACTCTTCAATTTATAGCTGAATGGGTGATTAAGTAAAGTCAAATTATACATTCATAAAGTAAGTTGTTGGATCACTGTTCAAAGCTATATACATCAAACTAGATTTTACTCCACTTATAGTTTGTTTAGAATCGAATTTAGCTGTAATTGTGAAGCTCTACTAAGGTAATGAAGTATCAAGAAGATTAGATATAGGTATTTTATGATAATTGTCTGAATAATCTTGTGTTGCATAAACACTAGTATACTAATGATCAGCTAAGAATCTTACATCTAGTTAAGAGGTAACTTTTACTAACAGCAAAGTAATTTATATAAAAAGATAAATACTCATATTAATTAATTAGTTTTTTGTATTTTTAATTGTATTTTTTAATGTTTTGACTTATAAATTATTTACTATTTTACACTTTTTAACTCAACTTTATTCAATAGATTGTTTCTATATAGATAATTAAAGATAAACATCAAAAAAGATTTCAGATTTAGACTAAAGATTAATTTTTTAAATCTTTCATATAATTTACGTTTTAAAATAAATACTTACATTATTTACCTGATTTTTAAGAAAAACAAATTTTAATTACCTAATTTTAAATAATCATATTTTCTTTAACAAAAATCGAAACAGTGATTATAGATAATATAAATTTATTTTATAAAAATATAATTTAAATTAAATAATAATTATAGATAAAAACGAGGGTAAATAGCTGAAGAATACTTAATGCATTTAAATTTAATTTAACTAATTGTAATTTATTTTTATTATTTTTCTCTTTATTAAAAAACTTAAAAAGAAAAGTTCTAATACTGATATATAAATTATAATTGACTTTTCATAAATTTTCTAAGATTAACTGCAGTTTGATAATATCATATATTTTAAGATAGAAGCCTTTCATGTCTTTCTAGTTTAATAATTTAATTCCTATAAATCTACAAAAAATGGCTACTAAAACATCTGTAAAAAGTGTGGTTATTGCTAATACTAGTAAAAATTATAGTGAGACGATATTAGTATCGCTCGGTTGTTTACTACCTACAATAGAAACGAAAGCGTAGTAATAAAAACCTACAATTGAATAAATAAACAGTTTAATAATCATTTTTATATATCCTCTTTTAGTAAACCCATACTCAATCAACTTAGATATTATACTTATTAAAATTAGATTAAAAATCTAAATAAAAATTACTTAAAAAAATGTGTATGAATAGCTAAAAATTATTTATGAATCAAAGGTATGCAAAATTTTTGCGAATTAGATAAAAAATCTTGTTGGCCTACTTAATTCTTCGTCATATACTATAAAAATGCTGAAGAGATCGTGAAAATACAAAGCGCTTGAAAGTAAATCCATGTTAAGAAGCTTTTTCTTTTTCTCTTATTTTTTAATTTCAATATAAACCTGATCATTTTAAATACTTATAATGCTATCTTGCTTCTTGAGAGAGTTCTTAACAAATCTTCTTTCAGTGTACTCTTCATTTTATTCTGTTATGATCTGCTAAATAAAATTTTAAAATATTAAGACTTTTATTAAAATATTTTTCTATATTACTTCTTTTATTTGCTTATTGGCTCCTTATGTAATTAATCTATCTGACTAAGGAATCAAAGCTTCTGTTTTTAATTCTGAATGAAATTCGTTATATAAAACTGATTATCTCTTTGATTCCATAATAACTTCACTTGAAAGCTATTTCTTTTAGTTAAAATCATATGAATCTCTTATTGAGTGTTATGAAATTTATTTAAAAGTTGAGCCTTATAAATTCTCATTCTATGTAATTTTATTTTTAGCGTCTAATTCATTTTAATTTTTTTCTTCTTCTTCTTGGTTAATGTTCAATTATGTGTTATTTTTTTATTATGTTTCAACAAATTCGCTTTCTAAGTTATATTCAGGAATTGATTTTTAGTTCTTCAGCTATTAAATGAAGCTACCTTTACTTTATGACTTGAATCTTAAAAATTTTTAATTCGTTTTTAATGATTAAAATGAAAATGTTTATTGTTAAATTTTCTCATTTATTTTATTTTCGCTATGAAATTCAATGTTTTCAATTTTCATTGATTCTTCTTAATCATTTGGCTATTATAGCTAAATACTCGTTTATTTTTCTTAATTTTATTATTTATCATACTATATTTATTAGCTATCTGAATCTAAAATTAAGCTATTTTTTTATTAAAAAATATCAAGAGGCTTAATAACTGGCTATTATTCTAAAAATGGGCTATTGTTGAACTATTCCTGTTTAATAATATCATTAGATGGGTTTTATTTTTGAGTATTATTCATCAATAAATTTTCTTCATCAAACTTTTGTAGATTTTATTCTTGAATTTAGTTATTAGTTTTGATTGAATCTTAATTTTCTTTCTAATTCTATTTTAATTAGATTTCTTTTTGAGGTGTTTATTCATTATCTTAAATTGATTTATTTTCACAACAAATTTTTTATTGGCTATTTTTTTCATTTAAATTAAAGTCATCTTAATCAAGTTCATGCTTCTTTTATGTTTAAAATTAATTTGATTCTAACAACTAAACTGTTGGTATAATCGTTTTAGATAATTTATCTATAGACCTACCATATAAAATTAAGCCAACAAATAAGAAAGTTATAAAAGCCAAAACCCAGACAGAAAGGTATTGATAAAAGTTATTTAATTTTTCAATATTCTTTACTCCTTCTTCTGAAAATATAGTTTCTATATTTTTATTTTCTGTAAATATAGAAGCTATATCATTAGCTACTGATACTGGATTTAGATTATCACAGATGCAGTCATAATTTTTTGTTTTATTATCGAACACAGTTTTGCATCCATTTGTCGTCCACTCCGTATTGTTTCTATTTATACAAGTTAATGTTTCATTATTTATTGGTGAAAAGGTAAATTTAACAGAATCAGGCAGCTAAATGTTTTATTATTAATTTTCGATTGTTTTTATTTAAGGATTAATCACAGTGTAATTATTTATTGTATAGTTTTTTTAGGTGCTCTAAACACTTTTTACAAAATTTTAAAATGGTTCTTCATTAATATATACATTCTTTTTATATTATTTATATGAAACCTGATAAACCTAGTTAAGCTTTTCTTAAAATTAAGGTCCTTTATTAAGATTAGATTACCATGAACTTTATGATATGCTCTAATCTAAATAAAAAGGTAAATTTCTGCTTGTTATTTGCTGACTTATAACAAGCAAAGTTTATCCAACATATTATTTAGGATTTTCATTAGGCAAAGCATCTAGATTTAGTAAATCACCAATTTATTATGACAGCTAAATTATAGCTTATTCTAATTAGTTATCATTTTTTATCAAATTAGTATTTTAATCTAGCAAATTAAATGTATTATAAATTTATTAATTGTAAAAATCTTATAAGTATTGTATTTTTTTATTTTACTACAAATAAGACTAAACATTAATCAAAATTTATTGAATATAGTCAATAGTACCTTAAAGTGAAGCTTAGTTTCCTTCACTTAAGTTATTTTATGTAATTTTAGTTAATTGTTATGTAGCTAGTGTTTAAAATGTAGATGATTAATATTCATTTATTGATAACTAAATCAATAATCCATAAATTTAGAAAATTTATTATTAAATTGCTTATTAATATGCTTGTCTTGTAAGTATATCTTCACTAAGTAGAGAGAGAGTTAAAATTTAACTTAGCTTTGTCATACTTTAAGAAGACGAAATCATCGTATTAACTGCTTAAATATATGTATCTTAATCAAAATTAGACTATTCTACAATAACTATTTATGTAGCATTAAAAAGAGCTCCTAGTGAATCGATTGCTTGAACTAGTATGAATATATTTCCTGGAGGTAGGTATGTATTTGCTACAGCATTGTATGTTAAATCAGTTATTTATTTTCTTTATATTAGCTCAGGACTTTTTATTTCTAATTAGTACATATCTTCAGAATTATAGTAAAAAAATTAATATGATATAGGCATATTGTTAGTTTAACAACCAGAAAAAGCCAATGTAAAAATAGTTTGTAGAGAGCTTCCTGTTGTTGGGTTAATTGAAAGATTACAATTTAGAGGAGGAAAATTCAATTTAAATAAATAGATAGATTAGCTTGGAGTGTAATACTATGGATTATACACTGAAAATCTCAAAACAACATCATTAATAGAAGGAATAAAGCCTGAAAAATAGTTCCAAAGCTAAAATCTCACCTTTCCATATTCAAATTGCATCGATGCAACCACTAATTTTTAATATATTATGGCTCCACCAAAGAATAGTAAGTTAACATCTTATGTAGAATCGTACTGTATAGTAGCTTCTATAACATCATTCCAATTTATAGTATCTTTTATCAATAATTCATCTTTAAAACTAACGCTTGACTGAGGAATTGAATTATCAACAAATGAAATTATTATTTAACTGTTAGATTGACGAGTATCTTTAGTTCCAGTTAGAGTAAATTATACATTTGTGTAAGGAATAAAAGTATATTGATTGAATGTTATATTTTGGCTATTTTAAGGTATTGTAATATCATTTCCACTAATGTCTTTACAAATATTTTAAGTAGAGATATCTAAGCATGACCAAGTAAACTAAATATTTTGGTTTTGAGCTATTGCAGGATCTTAATCTAAATCTTTCACATCAGAATTTATTGTTAAGTTGCTTCCATAATCTTAAATTCTATTTCCACCCATGATATTAATAACCAAAGGAGTTTTATCTAATATCAATTAATAGCTAGAAGTTCCTGATAGTCCACCACTAGTTTGATAGGCAATCTGTTTTTTTTAAAATATGTATTACAAAAAGAATCAAAATAGTTTAAATTTTACTTGGAAGTTATATTATATATTGGCTTTTAAAGAATAAGGCACAAATATTTATGAGAAGGCTCTATTTTATTACAACTAAATGTTATTATTTAATCCAAGAGTTTATTCTGTAACTGTTATATCAATTGTTTGTTCTCTGTCTACAATCTGAGACTAGTCTTGAGAACATAGGATTATTTTAACAGAAAAATAAATTTCTATCTAATCTTTTCTATTTTAAAATAGAATATTAAATTTAATGTTAAATATTATTAAAATTAAAATTTCTAAATAATATTTTTTTAAATTTTGTACATAATGATAAAATATTAAAAATTTTTCTGTTTGAAATAATAAATTTAACTAATTACACATAATAAGGTCCTTAAACAAGTTATTTACCAAGTATGCTAACCTAAGCTTAACCTAAAACTTTAACATTAATTGTTTCAGATGATGTGGTTCTTATATTATATTAATATTAAAGAGTTAGTTAAAGCTCAACTTATGACACAAAAAATGTTAGTGGCATATATAAAGTAGGAGTCTGTAAATTATTTGCAGAAGTGATAATTTGTTATATGTTAGTACTTATATCTTGATTTGAAGGATTCACCCAATCTAAGCTCCAAGAAAAGGTTGATATTCCTTTATTTTATGTGTTTAAGAACTATATTATGGTAATAATTAAGTCATCACACTAATTAATCACTGGTTGATACTATAATATAACACCGGGTATAGGTAGAGGGTCTTAGTCTACATTATTTCCACTAATTTGAGTTATTAATGCTTAATAATCACTGGATTTTAAAACTTAATTAAAACTTAAAGTATCACCTTTTTATATTGTTGCATCACTACCTAAAATTATTTTTAAAATTGTATATTTTTTTTTTAGAAAAATAATTTTACTTAAATTGACCAAGATTGCTTAAGGCTAGATTAAACATTAAGCTTATTAACCAAACAAAGTATTTGTTGGATTATCAAATAAAAATTAGCATAATTTATTACTTTAATTAGGACCGGTATAATCTATCGTATCTATGTTAAAAGGAAAAGATACAGTCAAAGTAAGAAAATTGATTGATAATTTAACATTCAAATTAACACTTGAAGTTTTGCAATCATTACCTAAATCTAATAAAGGAGATTTACATAATAAACATTATAAAGTATAATAATTTCTTGTTTAACAATTATCAGATTTATCATAAGGTTAAGCTAAGTATAATATATTGCTCGAATATTAAAAGATATATTATATTTACATTGATAAACGAGTTTGCTAAACAGAAGGAATACCCCTTGGTATTAATGCATAGTCAAACATCAATTAATTTTTCAAATGAGTACCATATAAGCTTGTTAATCCAGCTAGTGCTTTAATTCTCAATGAAGATGCACTGGCCATAAATTCTGTCAGCGTATTATTAGATATATGAGTCTTTTGATAATGCTTGCCTGTTTAATCTAAATAAATTCCAGGATTTTGAGTGAAGAGATAGTTTTGAGAAATAGAAGGTAAACTAGAAGGACATATCAAATAGGTAATTTGTAAATATAAAACACCATAAGTTGTAATTATATCAAAAGAAGTTTTATCATTACTTAATACAATTATTGATTATAAGTTAAATAGGGTTCCAAAAGCGCTATTATCTAAAGTAATACTTGATATAAAAAACAAAACTTGATAATCTCCATATTTTTTTTTATCGTAGCTTCCAATATTAATTTTTTGGTTAGATTATGACTATCCATTTAAATTATAGCTTAAAATTTCAGAATAGAATTAACCGTTATTAGGAAGTACAGCTACTTAAAGATGAAAATCTGTATCTTAAAATGATCCTGAAACATAAGTCGATCCTTACAACTAAACTGAATAGCTTGTTTATGTAATTTAATAACTTGATACTGTTACACCCTTGTAATCTGCATTATTAGTAGCAATTTTTGTTATTGATAATATGATAAATGGAGTTTAAGTGTAGCCTTAGTTGAACGATTTAGTAATTTACCAGTTATTATTTCTAATAGTATCATAATAATCATCAATAATAAAAGCTTTGTCTATATTCTAATATTCTTGAAAAATAAAAACAAAAATTTAATATATTTGAAATAGAATATTCTACTTTTTCTCATTAATTTATCTATGTATGAAGCAAATTTATAGTTAAGTAAAAAATATGATTTATCAAAAAAAATAAATTGATATGATAATTAATCTTAAAATTAAAAAAATTTCTAAATTATTAATATGCCATTAAACATGAATATTTTTTTATGTTAAAAGAGATAACATTCTAGATTTTGTTCTAATAAGTATCATTTTTAAAAATTTTTTTAGAAAATATTTTATTTTTTCAACTTAATTTTATTTTTATGACTTTTTAATCTATTTTATACTTTTTTACCATTTTTATTCTAATTTTTATTTTTAGTAATTTCAAAAAATTTACATTGCTTTTAAAATCCTTTAGTAAGCTATTACTTATTACTTTAAGTTATCATAAATTAAGGCCAAAAAAAAAAAATTTTTTTTTAATGTCCAAAATTTTAATTTTTTTGTTTTTTAGCTTATAAAACATGATAAATGATCTTAACTATTAATGAGAAAAAGCAGTATAAAAAATGTAGATTTAAAAAATTTTACATTAGCAATTACTACTTTGAAGATCATCATAGCCAAATTTACATAAACAATTAGATTATATGTCTCTATCACTTGAGCTACACTCTAAGCATATTTCAGGAGTATTAGGGTAACAAGAGTTGCATTTGTACGAACATTTTGGAACACAAAATCTATATTCTGATATTTGATTATATTTTTTTGAGTCACATTAAAAAACACAAGTATTCTAAAAGAGAAAATAGTTCACTTGGCATATTAAGCATTAATATTAATTTCTTACATAAATAAGTATTTCACAATTTGGAATCAACTTAGTTGCTTTAGATGGAGTATAAATTATTGAACTACTTAAAGTCATTTTGAATTAGCTAATTTTATAGAAAGTGGCAATACTATATAAAACATCTCCAAAATTTACTATTAAGGGATAACTATAGATCATGTTAAAACTGACATTTGGAAGTAAAAGATATTATTTGTAGAGTATTTAGTTGTTACCATATAATATAATTTGCATTTGACTATTAGCAAATTAGTAATAGGAAATTAATATAAAGTATGTTTATTTTACATTTAAAGCATATGAATCAATTAAATAGGCTGCTTAGTTATACTTAACACCTATATAGAATTAATTATCATTCGCATAACTATAACAAATATTCAAGAATTATTAGTTGCCAATATTTAAACCAATAATTATTGATTAAGAACATTAATTACCTGTGGTGACCTAATCTAAATAAAACCAAAAAGAAATAGTCATAAATAAGGGAGGGTTATTCAGTTTGTAATAGCTAAATTGTTTATAAATATCCATGCCAAAGTAAATTGAATAAGATTAATAAAAATAAGCTTCTCCAGCTCCATAATTCTTTTTTGGATAATTATATTTATTTTAAGAATCAAAACAACCATTTAAAAAATAAGATTCATCAACAGCGCACATTTTTGATGGAGACATTGCAGATTAATCGAAGAAACTTATAAATTCTTGAGCCTATTCAGAAATTTAAAGCACAAAATATTATAATTCTGTGTCTTATGTGAAATCAATAAATTAATTTCGAAGACAATAAACTTAATATATTGTTCCTTAATATAATTTTTTATTTATTTAATAGCTAGACAAATAAAGGTCATAAATGCTAAAATCACTTAAATCAATTTAAGTTTGTTGAGTAAATGTTTAAATTAACTGAATATTATAACAGTCTCTAAATACAAATGATATTTGATAGCTGGTTAAAGTAATCAGATTAAAAGATATAGCTATTTCGTGTTATAAGCAGTTATAGTAGTTTGGATAATTAAAATTTTAGCCATTAATTGTGCCTGATTATGACTCTTAAATTTGAATTTAGTAGGGATTCGAACTTAGGTTGAACTATACAGCCATAAAGTAAGTACGCGAATTTAAAGAAGATCTTATAAACATTATACTTGGCGCACTTGAGATACCTTTTCCTTCAAATTTTCCAGTGATAGTGAAACTTTTTGTTGATGATTAAGTATCTAAGATCTAAGATATTGGAATTTTATGGTAGTTATCAACATAATTATTTGTATTTATAGTGTTGCTAGAGTACTCATGGTCAGCTAGGAATCTTATATCGTATGTACTGCATCTGTTTATTAGTGCTAAAAAACTAATTGTACATAGTAACAATATATAATTTGCCATTTATATTTACTTAGTATTTTAAATATTTAATATAACTTTTACTCTTTTTTAATTAAGTAATTCTGAGTTAGATTATGATATAAAATCGTTAGTCTTTAATCAGGTCAAAACATAATAATTAAAAAAGTTATCTCTAAAAATATAAGGAGAGAAAATCCAAAATATTAATCTGATTACTAAATTTTTTTAAAAATATGTGGTTTTAAATAAAAGAATTAATGAACGTGAATTTGATTATAGAAAGAATTTATTTATATTTTTGATATTTAAATGGTGGTAAAATGAATTGAGCTGAGCTATCTCTATGATTAAATTAATAAAATGCATAATTAAAATTTAGCACTTTATTAGAGTAATACTATTTTTTGACTTTAAAATATCCACTTTAAAAAAACTAAATAAAATAATAGATTTTCAAAAAAAATATTAATAAACCTTATTTATTATTTATTGATTTTTAGCAATTTCTTTTTACTTTTTTTAGATGAATATATTATCTTAATAATTAAATACTATATAATTTAATAAGATTTTTTTATTAAAAGGTTAATTTTTTCTATTAATAACTCTGCTAAAGATAAAATAGGAATGATTATCTTTCAAAGTTAATTGAAAATTTATTATACCTTCAATTTTTAATAACTAATTTTTAAAAATGAGAGGAAAGATTATTTAAAATATTTAGAGAGTTGTTTTTTTACTTATAATTTGTATTTAAATTATTTATTTTAACCAAATTTCATAAGAAAAAAATACAGAATATTTTTATTTTCTTATATCTATAGAGATAGGTTTTATAACATTTTTATTGTAAATTTATCTATTTTATTTTATTATTATAAATAATTTTTATGTTATTTAATCTATTTCATAAAGAAATTACATTATTTTTATACTTTTTTCTACATAAATGATATAAAAATACATATTTTTTTATTCCTCTAACATAACTTCATAAAATCAATAAATTATCAGTTTTAAAAGAACAAGATTTTTTTATAAGCTATCAAATGCTTTTTTTGAAAATGAAATTTAAAATTTGAACTTCATTTTGGTAATTAAATATGATATTCAATAAAAATATTTTTTAATAGCTTTATTTGTTAATAAATTTACTTAAATTATCCCATTTAAAATAATTAATCCAATTGAATATAAATATATATAATTATTTGATAAAAAATTATTTAATTGTCTTTAGATTTAGATTAATTAAATGCAAATTTATTACTATTAAAATCTTTAAACCTTATATAACAAAGATCTTTTAAAAATATATTTCATCTAAAATTATTAAGTTTTTATTTAAAAAATAAATTAATTTTGAATAAAGAAATATTTTTTAAAAAATTTTTCTTTTAAATTTTTGATAAATTAAATAAACTGAAATTTAATTTTTTATAATAATAACTGAAATAAAAAAAATGTTTGACTAACATTAAATGAAGTAATTATTTTTTAAAACATGAATTCTGATAAATAAAATATTAAAAAAGATGAGCCAAAGTATAATTTTTTAAGTTTTTGATAATAAATAATCTTATAAAATAATAAACTAATAATTTAAATACAAAATCAACAAATAAGATCTAAAATATTTATCTATTTAATTTTGTTCAACTTTATTTAAATCAAACTAATTACTGTTTTTAAAAAATATCAATTAGCATCTAATAATATAGTAGTAAATTTTTTAATTTACTTCTTTGACATCATCATGTTCACTTTTCTATTAATTTAACATTAAATAATGCTCACTATTTATTATTTTCTTTTATAAAATTATATTACTGAGAAGAAGCTAAATAGAATGTAGAAAAATCCAATCACAAATAATATTAAAGAGTAAATAAAAGGAGCAAGCAAAGTTCCAAATTCATCACTAATTGCAAAAACACTCATACTTGATAGACTTAATTTTTTGCAAATAAAAAATAAATTATTATTCCAAAATATATTTTATTAATAAAAAATAACTTACAAAACATTAAATATGCCTCTTCCTAACAATGTTGTAAGAAACAAGAAATATTTTTCCATAAATTCTCTCTTAAATTCAATCACTAAGAGCATTATACCTAAAATTCTTTTAACAATTATCAATATTATAATATTTCGAATCACTGAATAATGCAATTTTTATGATTGATTAAAATAAAAATTTACATCATAAAGAAGGGCATGAAAAAATCGAAAAAATACCAAGTATCTAAAACTTTAAATATTTGTAAAGATACAATTCTCCAAACTCCTGCTACAGATAAGACCAATCTATATTTTTAATATCATAAAATTTAAACTAAAAGAGCGTATAGATAATTATGAAGAATTTATAATGTAATTATTTAAGAACAAATAAGAAGAAAATAATATTACGATGAGCATATGTTGATAATTTTAATTATCTTACCAGCGTTAGATGACATTTTATTATTCTTAAATTTCGAACCTTTTTATTATTTTTTTTGATATATGCAAATGTTCAAAAATAAATATATTCTTTAATTTTGCTAGCTATTCCTTTGTTTTTGTAAATTAAATTATTATCAACTTAATTATAAAGTTGATGTGTTAAATAGATAATTGATATCTATTTTAAAACTAAATAATAATAATATTCTCAAAATCTTCCTGATCAAAAATTTAGAAATCAAAAGAAATGCTAATTATTTTTTCTTACAATTTTAAAAAATTTGGATTATTATTCTAAAATTTAATAATTCGAAGTAAAAAATTATTTTAAATATTTAATAAATACTAAATTGAATGATCAATTTAAATTTTTTGAGAGTTTGTTAATTCCACATAAATAAATTATTCAAATGATTCTAATAATATTCTACAAAATAAATTTATTTTAAACTTAAGCTAATTTTACTCATTTAAAATAAATGTCTATTAAGTTAATAAAATAGTCATAAATTATAATGTAAATACCAAAAAAAATATATCATTTTAAAAATATAAATTACCATTAACTTTATTATTTCAAATTTTACACAAGATTTTTGATACTTGTTTCAATAAAAAAATAATAAGAATAAATATTTTTTGATAATTTAAATTAAAATTAAGCTATTAAGTTATTTTTTTAGTTAAAAATAAAGCTATCAAAAGTAGATTACTGTTTTTTTAGTAATTTTTGTATCTTAATTGTTATTATAAAAAACACTTCTTGAGATTGAAAATATTAAAGTAAGTTTATAAAAAAAAGATAGACAAATTACAAAATTTATTAATTATCTAATTAACAAATACTTTATTCAAATTTTTTGATGGTTTTTGTAATATTTGTTTATTTTTCTATGATTTAATTTAGAAAAAACTGATTCAACTTTAAAAAATATGTCACTTTTAGATTTTAAAAACTATATAAAAATATTCTAATATTAAAGACCTTAAATATAAATATTATTTATCTTATTTTCTGACTATAAAATTTCTAAAGCATATTTAAATAAATTGTAAATTTAATAAAAGTTTAATTATGATTTTTTTGTTTGATAAATCTATCAAATCTATATTGAACTAGCATTTTTTTACAAACATATTATCATTAACATTAACTTATTAGCTGGTTTATATATTAAATTAGATTTTTGTTTATTAATTATAATATAATTCAATTTAGAAATTTAGGTATAAGTAATTTTAACTATTCTATCTTTTATTGCAATTTTTATTATAGAAAAAATAATGATTAATTTCAATCATAATCATCTCCTTCATAATTTTCATATTAACCTTCATCTTATAAATCTTCTTCATCATTTTCATCTTATAAGATTTGATTAGAATTATTGTTTTATCCTTAAATAGTTTCATGCTCTTCAACTTCTTCTTAATTTTCTGTATCTTCTAATTCTTCATTACTTTTATAATCTTCATCTAATTCCTCATCATCTTCATATTCCTCTATATCTTCATATTCTTCTTCTTCTAATTCTTAATCCACTCCTTCGATATCATCATTTGAATCTCTTTCCTAGCTTATTTCAGAATTAGTATCTCCATCTTCGCTTTATCTATTTTAAATTATCTACATTAAATCTTAAATTCCAGTCTAATTAATTTAAGAAGGTTCTTTAACTGGTTCTTCTATAAAACTTTTAGAATGCTAAATAAGTTCTTTCATAAGTAATATTTTTTCATTTTAAATTGAGGAAAAACCATATCTTGCCATAGCAGGTAATAAATTAATAGAAGAATTCTCTAAGCAGTAAATCAAATGGTTTTAAATTTCAATAGTATTTGGCTATAAGGAAGTGTTTTCTTTGGGTTAAGAGCTATCTTTTTTTTCATCATTTTAACTACTTGTTCTATTTAAAATTCTATTAAAAATTTACTACATTTTTAATTTAAATTTGATATTTTTTATTAATAATCAATTTTAAGATCTATTAAATACAAATTCAAAGTAGATATAAATATCTATTTATTATCAATTTATCTCAAATTAAATATAATAGAAAATAAATAAATAAACTTTTTATAAAAACAAAACAAGAAAATTATAACTAAAAATAAAATTATTAAAAGAAATCATGAATGAATTAAAACAAATATTTAATATTTTATTTTTTTATTTTATCTTATTAAGCCAAACGACTAAATTTTAAATCAAAATAAAATTACTATGTTGCTAAACTCAAAAAATATTTTATTTAGATGATTTTTAGAATTGTTTTTTTATTAAAAGTAAGATTTTAATCAATATAATATTTAATTTTGCAATCAGCAAAGTAAAATTTAATAATTAATTATATATAGGAAAAACAAAAATCAAGATGCTTCTTAGCTTTATTTTAAAATATTTAATCTTCTTTCTTCAATAATATCTTGATTTAATATCTATAATTTATTTTTCGGAATTAAAAATATTGATTCGCTAACTTGAAGTTGTTTAAGCTCTGGAATAAAATTATTTTTATTCTACATTTCACTTCTAGCTTAATCAAATATACTTTTTGGACTACCTTCAGTGTAAATTTTTTATGATTTATATGGAGTCAATATTTTTTTTGGAGAAGATTAAGTAGAAAAAGCTTTAGTGCTAGAATTAGGAGTCAAGTGACAAGTTTCGATTTCATCTTGCTATAGACTATATTTATCCGATTTCTCTTAATTATTGGACTTGTATGGTGAAGCACATTTTCTACTCTCTTGGAATCTCTCTTATAGTTTTTATTTTTATTTTAAATACCCTTCTTTCTTCCTTTTTACAATATCAAAAAAATCTTCAGAGTACATTTCTTACAAGTTTTTCTCTCTTTCATTTAAGAAATGCTATTTAACTTTCTTAAAAATTTCTTGCTTTTCTAAAAATAAATTATATTATTTATGAGAGCCAGAAAATTGATTATTTTTGTTTGTAGAACTTTAGCCAAAAAGCTTATTAGGATTTTAGTTTTCTTAAATGTTTCTATATTATTTGTTTGATAAAATCTATTCTTTAAAATGGAATATAATTAATTTAGCAAAAGGTCTCTTAAAATTAAACAAAATTACTCATTTCCTGATCAATAGAATCGATTCTTTCTTTTTCTATCAGCCTAAACCTAATTATTACAAAAAAAAGCTAGAGATTGTGTTTTTAAATAATTTATTTTTACTTTTATGGAGAAGCTTTTTCTTTTTCACTTTAATACTCTTGAATTTATAAACTCAATCTTAATAGCTCTTCCCTTTACTTTAAAAATAATCTCTAATAGTCCTAACTCTAGTTAACTAAACCCCTAAAAAAATTTTGAGAAATAAAAAAGTAGAATTATGTGAAATGCTTCAAAAGGAAAAATGAATAAATAATACTAGATCTATCTTTCCTTATCAGAGAGCTTAGTTTTCAATATAGCATTTTCATTTTTAAGCTATCTAATAGTATCGTGTAATGAAATTTCTTTCAAAAGAAATACTTTTTCAAGTGTATCCTATGCTTAAGCATTCATTTAAAATGTAAGCGCTTAATAATTCAATAAACTGTGTTTACTTTTCTTATTCTAAATTATTTTTGTTTTCTTTATTAATGTGAATGTAAATAAGTGAAGAATAAAACTATATGGCAATTAAATTACTGGATAATTTAAAAATTTACATTTATATATTAAAAATAATATATATTAAATAAAAGAATAAACTACCACAAATTTTTTCATTTTAGTTTTTTTAGATTAGAATTTATATAATTTATATTATTAACTTTTAAAATAGGACAAGAATAAAATAAGAAATATTTTCATGAGTAAATAAAATATAAGTTTTTAAAATTTGAATATTAATTTCTTTAATTTTATGTTCTGTAATACTGGTTAGGAAAAACTTTTCCCAAAAAAGCATATAGAGATAGAAACTTAAAATATAAGGAGGATAAAGAATTTTTAAATAATTAATGTTATAATTTAAATAGAGTATTAAAAAAAAATATTTTATTTTTATATTTTTAGTTATTAATAATACCCCTCTATTTGTAATACATAATTATTTTTTTGTATCGATTATAATAATATGGAATTTTCATTTACTTTCTGAAGGAGTCAATATGATTATTAGATTTATTGATATTAACTTTGAAAAAAAGGATAATATAATTTTTATAAATGATTTTATTTTATTATTGAAATTAATTGCTTTTTTTAATATTTAAATTTCATTCCTTGATTTAAATATTTTTTTGTATTTACTACTTCATTTTTTTAATTGCTATAGTTAATAAATTAAAATATGGAATAAAAATAATATATGCAAATAGTTAAATTTATTTTAAGCCTGTTTATCTTTTCTCGATAATTCTAATTTTTAATTTTTACAAGCAAATTGTTTACAAGAATTATTGATGAATTATTCCTAATTAAAAATATAAATTAAAAGTGCTTTTATGGAAACAGGAAAATACCACAAACTTAAAACTATTAATTGATCTTAATTTAATATAAAATCACTTCTATAAATTTAACAAAAACGAGCTAAATTTACCATCAATTAGTGAAATCATTAAATTAATAGTGAAATATTTGATTGGATATTTGTTTATAGAATACTTAAATATTGATTTCATCATCAATTTATTAAAAAATTAAAAATATATATGTATAAAATTATCATTGTCAAATGATAATAATTTTTTTTTTCATATTTACTAAATGCTTTTTTTAAAGCATTTTTAAAAGATTTTTTTGAGTTATTATTTTATAAAATTCATACAAACTTTTCAAATTTCAAAAATTGAGTTGCAAAATTATAGTTTTCCAGAAAGATTCTATGATGATCAAGTTTTTAATATACGCATAGAGTATATAATTTTCGTACTTATTTAGCTCAAATTAATATGGTCATTAATTTATTATGTAAGCATATTTTAATTAATCAATAAACTTTTTATTTTGTGATTTTAACTTGAATAAAAATTCAATCAATTTTTACCATAAAGTGTTTGAGATGTAAATTCTTGAATATGAAAAATTTAAATCTATTTAATTATCTAAATCTAAGCAATTCGAACCCTATTTACATGCATCATATTACCTAAGCTTATTTTGTAAAAAATTACAAAAGAATGAAATTTATTTAAATTTTATTTATTATTTCTACTTTTTCTAATTATTTTAAATATGGTAAAAATTAAATTTTATAAATGGAAGGTAATTTCACTTGAATAAAAAGGAAGTAAGCAGATGAATTCTAAATATATTTTCGAACAAGATATTTAGAAATCATCATAAAGTTAGTGGTTGAAAAATTGTATTTTTAATAACATAATTAATATGGTTATAGTATACTTACTTTAGTATGACTAATTAATTAATGTAAAGAATTTAATTTTATTACTTAACTAAATACGTATTCCTAAAACTCTTTTTAGTTTCAAATAGATTTTTACAATCTATTAAATATTCATACATCTTTCCTTATAAAAATTTCTATTTTTATTTTTCTTGAAAAATGTTTTATTAGAAAATATATAATCTTTACATTGGTTTGATAGACTTTATTTTTGTTAAAATACTAAATTATTAGAACTTAGCTCTTAGTACTTAAATATTTATTAAAATAAAAAAGCATAGGTATTCAAAATAGATTTTTATAGTTTTTAAAAATACTTATATTACACATTCTTAATGAAGCTAATAGTAGGTAGTTAGTTATTTTAACAAATATTTTAGGACAAAATACTCATGTGATTTTATATTAAAATAATTTATTATGAATATGCTTTTGATATAACTATTATTTGTATTAATGATACTAACTAACACTCATACTTGAATGATAATAAAAAATGAAATTATTTTTCACAAATCAAAATAGAATTTTATTGACTTTTCAATATTTAAAAGTTAAATAATTAAAATAAATTTTTAAGAAAAAGAGTAAGTTTTAAAATTATTTTAGATCAACTATTGAACAATTAATTATGAATCTTTAGATATTATTTAAAAAAGTTAAAATATAGATAGTATGATTATAATTAGATTCATTTCATTAATTATTTATCATTTTTAATTTATATATTTGTTTATTTATTCATTTATTCAAATACATTTATTGTATTTTATTAGATTTTTGGACTTTATTTTTATTCATTTTAATCTATTTTTTAGTTTTTTTATCTAACTAGTAATATATTTTAAGGTTATCAAATTTTCTATTGTCAAGTAAAATGCAAATATAGTTATGATATTCTTTAATTATTAAACCAGTAATTAAATACAAATTCTTACTTTAATTTTTTAATCAGTTTAAATTAATTTGCCCTCTAGTACTAAAATATAGTCACATGAATTTTATTAAATATAAATTCTTATAAATAGCAGAATTAAACAAATATAAATATCCAGTACCATTTAAACATATCTTATATTTTTGAGCTGTTTTTACTTATTTAAATCATAGATCATAATAATTTAAATATAAACAATTAAATAAAAAAAATAAATAAAATCTAAATAACTAAAAGTATGAATAAATTCATTGCAGTTTTATTAATAGCTTGCTTTGCTTTTACTTAAGTCCAAGCTCATTCCCAAGGACATAAGTGTGCTCATGAAAAAATGAACGAAAAGTTAGACAAAGAAATTGTTGACTTGATTATTGATGAAAATGAAAGACATCTCTAAAATGCTAATCCTAGAAACTTTAAGATTACCTATGATATGGCTTATTTCGATAATTTACCTAATACTCCTGAAATGCAAATTTTCAGAAGAAGCTGTGAAAAGGCTATCAAGATAGCTTCTAATTTCTTCAGCAATCTCATCACCATCGTTCCTAAGCCTACTGGTTCTATGAAGTGGGACCTTAGACTTAACAAGTGTGGTGAAGCTACTATCCCTGCTGCAGATAAGACTACCGATAAGGATAGTGATCTCCATTTATATATCACTTTCACTGATGAACCTTAAGAAACTTATCTTGCTTACGCTGGATGGTGCAGATTCCTCAGAATTGTAGGTCCCACCCATGGTCAGGTTAACTTCAACTTGGGTCTCTTAAAATCCTACAACTTTGCCAACTCTCTCTAATTCTAAGATTTAGTTGGAATCGTTATCCATGAAATGACTCACGTTCTCGGATTTTCAGGATCAGATATTGCTAACTGGGTTGATGCTAATAAGAAACCTCATGTTAATCCTACTGTTCAACAAACTGTTAGAGGTATGAAAACTACATTTGTTAAAACACCCAATGTTCTTGAATTTGCTAAAAAATACTATGGATGCAGCACTATTCCTGGTATGCCTCTTGAAAACTAAGGTGGTTCAGGATCATCTGGTTCTCACTGGGAAACTACTATTATTCAAGATGAATTGATGAATGCTTCCATTTCCCCAACCATTCCTATTTTCACTGGTTTTACTGCTGCCTTGTTAAGGGATACAGGTTTCTATGCTTCAGTTAACTCAAATATGGAAGAAAAATCTTTCTATGGTAAAGATGCTGGCTGCTCATTCATAATTGGTTCTTGTGATGACAAAAAAAGAGAATTCTGTACTGTCGGATCTTTTGAATAAAAATGTGATTATTATTATCATGGTGTTGGACAATGTAACTCATCTACATTCTTAGATAACGATTGCGATACTTATCAAACTTTTAGTAATGCTAAATGTTTTGATGATTCAAACAACTTCTAGAATAACCCAACTTATAAAAGTGCTATGGGAGTTTCTCTTGGATCTAACTCTAAGTGCTTTAACAGCTCTCTTATTAATGAAAAATATAAACCTATCAAGGAATAAGGTTTATGTTATACCTATAGTTGTACTGCTGCAAACTAAGTTATTGTTAGTGTTGGAGGAACTCAAGTTACCTGTTCTAAGAATGGTCAATAATTGAAGGTTCCAGGTTACAGTGGTTTACTCACTTGCCCTGAAAAGCTTGATGAATTCTGTGCTTACAAGAAGTTATGTCCTAACAATTGTAGTTCAAATGGTTTTTGCAACAATGGAACTTGTATTTGTATGAATGGTTTCAGAGGAGCTGCTTGCGACTAAGTTGCTTGAAAAATTAAATTAAAAATTTTATACTATACAAATTTACATTATTATTAATTTATATAATTGTATATTAAGTCACTCAATAAAAAATTTAATATGCAATAAGTAAAATTTTACTTTATTTCCTTTGCTTAAAAAGTATATAAATTTATAAGAAATAATTATTTTACACAACTAAAGATTTGCATTTTTAATTTAAATTTTAGTAGATTATAAGTGATATTTTTTATATTTATTATTTTTTAGAATTTTTAAAAAAAAAAATAAAATTAAATTATTTTTTTATCAGTGAAAATTTTTCATAAAAATTTTTCATCATCTATTTTTGATATTTGGATAAATATTGAAAATAGATACTAAAAAAATATTTCATTTTTATATTTTTTATTATTAAAATATAACTCCTCTATTAAGTAATAATTGATTTTTTTGTGTTTATAATAATTATCTTGAATTTTTTCATTACTTTCTTAATGATTATTAGTTCTAAGAAAATAAATATTATAATTATCTAAATTAATTTATATTAATCATAAAAAATGATAATATGATTTTTATAAATTATTACTTTTGTATTGAAGCCAATTGTTTATTCTAATAATTAAACTTCATCCTTGAAATTAAAAATTTCTTACTAAAATAAATTAAATATGATATTAAAATAAAATATACAAATAATTAAATTTATTTTAAAACAGTTATTAATCATTTCTCTATAATTCTAATTTTCATATGCAAATTGTTTACAGGGTTATTAATGATTTATTCCTAATTAAAAATATAAATGAAAAGCGCTTTTAAGGTATCAAGAAAATACCATAAGCTTAAAACTATTAATTGATTGGTAATTTAATTATTTGTTTATAGTAAATTTAATTATATTTAATTTAACAAAAAACGAGCTAAATTTACCATCGATTAGTGAAATAATTAAATTTAAAAAAATGTGATTGGATATTTGCTATTTGAATACTAAAATATCAATTTCACCATCAATTTTTTAATAAATTAAAAATACATGAATAAAATTAACTTTGAATATCACTAAGATTTTAGTTTTTTCTATTTCCATATTTACTAAATGACTATTTTAATGCATTTTTAAAAGAATTTTATGATATATTTATTATTTATTATTTTATAAAATTCATACAAACTATTCAAATTTCAAAAAATGAGTTACTAATTAGAATCTAAAAGTATATTTTTCTAGAAATATTCTATGATGATTAATTTTTTAATATACGCATAGAGTATTTAGTTTTCGTACTTAATTAGCTCAAATTAATATGGCCATTAATTTATTATGTAAGTAAATTTTAATTAATTAATACATTTTTATTTTGTGATTTTAACTTGATTAATAAAACAATCTATTAATTATCACAAACTATAAAATGTAAAATTTTTACCATAAAATCTTTAAGATGTAAATTCTTGAATATGATGAATTTAAATCTATTTAATTATCTAAATATAAGGAATTTAAAACCTATTTACATTCATCATATTACTATCGCTTATTTTGTAAAAATTCACTCTAGAAGGAAATCTATTTAAAAATTATAAATTCTACTTTTTCTAAAAACAGGTAATGCTTTTAAATAGGGTAAAATAACATTATTAGGAATAGAAAATCGTTTCACTTTAATAAAAAGCATTCTTTTTCTAAGATTTCTATAAAAATATTCTGAATAAAAAACTAAATTTTTTTTTAAACAAAGTTTGAAAAAATATGTAATTTTAATTTTATTAAAATTCATATTTATAAAATTCATATAAAAAAAGATTAATAATTAAATATTTTCAATTAATAAAATATTCATCAGTGCTTTCATATTTAAATAATAATTAGAAAATATATATTTTAAGCTGTAAAAATATAAGGAATATCATGAAATCCTTTTTTAAAATTTAACTGACTCTGTGTAATGTTTTAAAGTAATTTGTGCGATCAACAATATTCATAATTTAAGCACTACCTTATATTCAATTACTTTATTTATTAAATTAATTAATCATTTTGTGGAAATTTCTAAAATTTGAATTTTAATTGAAAGTAAGCAAATGAATTCTAAATAAAATTTTGGAACAACATGTTTTAAAATCATCAAAAAATTAATGGTTAAAATATTGTATTTTTTAAAAACATAATTAATAATGGTTATAGTATAATTACTTTAGTATCACTAATTTATTAATGTAAAAAATTTTATTTTATTACGAAACCATATGCGTATTCCTAAAGCACTTTTTTGTTTCAAATAGACTTTTATAATCTATTAAATATTCATACAATTTTTCTTATAAAATCTTAAGATCCATTTGATTTACATTAATTTTTGTGAAGATTTAGCCTTGTAAATATTTATTAATAAAAAGCGTAGATATCCAAAATAGATTTTTATTGGTTTTTAAAAATAAACATGTTACACATTCTTTATGATGGTAATAGTTGATGGTCAGTTATTTAAAAAAATATTTTAAGACAAAACACTCATGTGATTTTATATTAAAATAATTTATAATGAATATATTTTTGGTATAACTGTTATATGTATTTATGATGCAAACTAACACTCATATTTCAAGGAAAATAAAAAATCAAATTATTTACACAAATCAAAATAGAATTTTATTGAATATTCAATATTTAAATACCTAAATTTTTCAAAAAATTTTAAAGAAAAAGCGTAAGTTTTAAAATAAAATTAATTATTGAACTATTTATTATGGAGCAATAGAAACAATTTAAAAAAGTTAAAATATGGATAATATGATTTTTATTAAACTTATTTCATTAATTATTTATCTATTTTAGTTTAATATTTTTTTTTTGATACATTTATCTTTGTAAATTTGTTGTTTTTAACACCAGTAATTAAATCCAAATTCTTACATTATATTTTTAATCAGTTTAAACTAATTTACTCTCTAGTACTAAAATATAGTCATATGAATTTTATTCAATAAAAACTTTTGCGGAAAGAAGAATAATCAAATATAAATTTCCAGAACAATTTAAACAAACCTTATATATTTGAGCTCATTTTAGTTATTTAAATCACAGATCACAATAATTTAAATACAAACAATTAAATAAATAAAGAAATCTAAATAAATAAAAAAGTATGAATAAATTCATTGCAGTTTTATTAATAGCTTGCTTTGCTTTTACTTAAGTCCAAGCTCATTCCCAAGGACATAAGTGTGCTCATGAAAAAATGAACGAAAAGTTAGACAAAGAAATTGTTGACTTGATTATTGATGAAAATGAAAGACATCTCTAAAATGCTAAGCCTAGAAACTTCAAGATTACCTATGATATGGCTTACTTCAATAATTTACCTAATACTCCTGAAATGTAAATTTTCAGAAGAAGTTGTGAAAAGGCTATCAAGATAGCTACTAATTTCTTCAGCAATCTCATAACCATTGTTCCTAAACCTACTGGTTCTATGAAATGGGACCTTAGACTTAGCAAGTGTGGTGAAGCTACTATCCCTGCTGCTGATAAAACTACCGATAAGGATAGTGATCTCCATTTATATATCACTTTCACTGATGAACCTTAAGAAACTTATCTTGCTTACGCTGGATGGTGCAGATTCCTCAGAATTATAGGTCCCACTCATGGTCAAGTTAACTTCAACTTGGGTCTCTTAAAATCCTACAATTTTGCCAACTCTCTCTAATTCTAAGATTTAGTTGGAATCGTTATCCATGAAATGACTCACGTTCTCGGATTTTCAGGATCAGATATTGCTAACTGGGTTGATGCTAATAAGAAACCTCATGTTAATCCTACTGTTCAACAAACTGTTAGAGGTATGAAAACTACTTTTGTTAAAACACCCAATGTTCTTGAATTTGCTAAAAAATACTATGGATGCAGCACTATCCCTGGTATGCCTCTTGAAAACTAAGGTGGTTCAGGATCATCTGGTTCTCACTGGGAAACTACTATTATTCAAGATGAATTGATGAATGCTTCCATTTCCCCAACCATTCCTATTTTCACTGGTTTTACTGCTGCCTTGTTAAGAGATACTGGTTTCTATGCTTCTGTTAACTCAAATATGGAAGAAAAATCTTTCTATGGTAAAGATGCTGGCTGCTCATTCATAACTGGCTCTTGTGATGACAAAAAAAGAGAATTCTGTACTGTCAGATCTTTCGAACAAAAGTGTGATTATTATTATCATGGTGTTGGACAATGCAACGCTTCTACATTCTTAGATAACGATTGCGACACTTATCAAACTTTTAGTAATGCTAAATGTTTCGATGATTCAAACAACTTCTAGAATAACCCAACTTATAAAAGTGCTATGGGAGTTTCTCTTGGATCTAACTCTAAGTGCTTTAACAGCTCTCTTATTAATGAAAGATATAGACCTATCAAGGAATAAGGTTTATGTTATACCTATAGTTGTACTGCTGCAAACTAAGTTATTGTTAGTGTTGGAGGAACTCAAGTTACCTGCTCTAAGAATGGTCAATAATTGAAGGTTCCAGGTTACACTGGTTTACTCACTTGCCCTGAAAAGCTTGATGAATTCTGTGCTTACAAGAAGTTATGTCCTAGCAATTGTAGTTCAAATGGTTTTTGCAACAATGGAACTTGTATTTGTATGAATGGTTTCAGAGGAGCTGCTTGCGACTAAGTTGCTTGAAAAATTAAATTAAAAAATTTATATTATACAAATTTACATTATTATTACTTTATATAATTGTATATTAAGTTACTCAATTAAAATATTTAATATGCAATAAATAATTTTCTTCATTTCCTTAAGATTAGTAATAAAATCTATATGAAATTAGTTTAATTTATAAATAGCTTGATAAAATTTAAAATTATAAGAAATTATTATTTTATACAATTAAAGATTTGCATTTTAGATTAATTTTTAGTAGATTACGAGTTGATATTTTTTATTTTTATAATTTTATAGAAGTTTTAAGAAAATAAATACTAAAAAAAACATTTTATTTATATAAAT